CTTATTTATCAGAGTGGAATCATTTAATGATATCTATCTATTTTGACCCTTCAGGGCATTCTTTTATAAATTGTGCAGTAAATACAGTTTCCGATTCTTCTCTGACAGATTCAGGTATTTCTTATTACAAAGCATCTCAATCAGGGATGAAAAATGTTATTGGTGCTAAACTGCAAAATTCAAATTTAAGTGACTATTATCAAGGATTTATCTTTAGCATTAATATTTTTAACGCTATTAAAGATATATCTCAATTAGCTTTATACCAGCCATTTTGCTCACTCTCCTCTCCAAAGCGAACAAAACCACCTATTTTTTGGAGAACAAAATGCTTTTTATCTAAAATTTTGATGAAAAATATTTGATATATAAGTGATAATTTATTATAATGAATAGTTAATTCTTTAAGCAGCTTGCATTTTAAAAAATAAATTTTACAAATTAAATTAATTTAAGAATTTTTAAAATTCTCAAATTTATATAAAATATCTAACTTCCCTCGCGAGCTTACCAATTTTTTGTTCGCTAACGTTGAGAGAGTCAGAGAATTGCAGATCATGCTTGCCAACCAAAATTTGTATCCCAAATTGTAGTGTCGGTAAATTCTGAATTGGACCTAATTACAACTATTGCTCTGACTGTCATCACAATTGCACGTTTAGCTGCAAAGATTCTTCGTCAACTTGCAGTTTGTGCCATAATAATCTTTGCGAAGCGTGCACTGACTATAAAGCAGATTCATGCTTAGAATGCAAAGAAAATGCTGATAATGCTCCATTTTGTAAATGCTCAAGCCACTATGGCGTAAGTAAAGATTTATTATATTGTGAAGAATGCAAACCAAATGAGTACTCAGATGAAGGAATATGCAGTTATTGCCCAGATAGATGCATTTCTTGTGAAAATAATAATAACTGTACAAGCTGTATAAATAACGCTGAAATCTATAACGGATTATGCAGATGTGAAATTGGCTATAATGGCACAGCAGAATGTTTACTAGTACCTTTTAATGCATCCTTAGCTGTTAATAAAGACAACTCTTTGAATTTAACATTTTCAGATGAGCTTGCTGCAGATTTATCAGCCAATGATCTGTTTATAGAATACATAAAAATGGCGGCTGGAGAACCAGCCCTTTTCCTCAACACCTGTAGCCGGACACTCCGGGGACTTGTGGAAGGGGAAAAGGCGCGCTCGGAATGTGTATCCGGCTGGGTTTTACCTTGCACAGTGGAGCGCAATGTCGAATTTGGTCGACCGCAGCTCATTCTGTCACCAAGGGTTTTTTTACCTCGAGGAGGAAGGGTCTTCCAAGTTGGAAAGGGGAAGCTCAGCAGCGTCAGGAGTTATCTCCTTATCAATCGGGCAATTCCTAGCGCGATGCTGGGCATTGCGTCCCGGGCTTGGATTTCCTTTTTGGCCGACAGCCCTACCAAAAAAATTTTTTTTCAAATTTTTCGGAATGGGCAACCTCGTGCTCGCAGCTCAAGCAAGGCCGCAGAATTCCTAAATCTGCCCACTCAAGACTGGAGCAAGGTTGTGTATTGCAAGGAGGAGACGACCAACAGAACAGGCTAGCTGTAAAATCAGAGTCCTGTAGGCGGAAGTCGCAAAGCGGAGGAACCCTCGAGGGGGTCTGGGTGACTGCGTTAACAAGTAACAGCTTAGCAGCTGATAATCTCTAATTAAGATCTGTTTATAGAATTAAAAATCTTGATGTTTCTGATTTTTCTTTCTCATTAGAAAAACATGACCCACATTTTTATAAAATTTTATTATTATCATCTACCAGTATTAAAAAAGGAGCATGGGTTTTTGTAACTTTTATTAATTTGACCCACTGTGTTTCTATCTCAAACGGTTTATTACAAAACTCTACGTTGTCAGGTATTTTATATCATTATGATCCTTATTCTAATCTAAAAGAAACTGCTGAGATTTCAACAGAATCCTCAGCTATTTTTGAAGCATCTGTTGGAGCAGTTTTAGCTTTAAGTGTTATAAATCCTTCACCTGGTGGATTCTGAAATATGATTAACGCTTTGCAGATCATTTATTATTTAGGCTTGTCAAAAATTCCAATGTCTGACTCTTTTTTTGAGATTATTACAAAAATGAATGCTATAAAATATGCACCAAATATATTTTCAGAGTTTATTAGTAAGGATAGTGGAAATATTCCATTTGATCAAGCTGTAAAATTCAGCTATAACAGTGATATAATGTTTCTAAACGCAGGATGCGATATTACAATCTTTTTAATTATTATAGTTACTTGGCTTTCTGTGCTTTCCTTGTCTTTAATTCCTTATCCACCACTTTCAAAAATAGTTTCAGCTATTTTATCTTATTATAAATATTCAGTATTTTTAAGGTTCTGGGTCCAAGCTTACTTAGACATTGGAAATGCGGCTCTTATAAGTTTGTTATACGTAATAGACATTTAGTTTTCAGCTGGAAATGCTATTCAGCTAACAAGCACTTTATTATCATTAGCATCAATTGTGAGATTAATTTAGACTTTGGCTTTTATTTCGCCAATAGCTTTAATAAGGCTATCTTCAAATAATTTAAGCAGAATACAGCAAGAAGACAAAGAATACTGCTCAAAATGAAATTCATTATTTTATGAGTTCAAAAATGACAAAGGCCTTATCAGTACCCAATATTATTTTGTTTTTTTTATGAGAAGGCTGATATATATGGTAAATCTTGTGCTATTAGGGCAGCATTCAGAAACTCAAATTTCTATCAATATTTTGCTTTCATTTATGACTCTAGTTTATTTAATAAAATATCAGCCATATAAAGAAATTTTATTGCAGATTGCGAATCTTGTCAGCGAAGTTGCCATATTATTATTAATGGCAATGATATCTGCAAATTTATTTGATGTTCCAGAAATAGAGCTGACGAGCTTTGAACTTGTTATGGCAGTTCTGATTTTGGTTGTCATTGGAATTCAAATATTGGCTTCATTAGGCATTTTTGTTAAAGTTTGCTATAATATAATTAGAAAAGGCTTGCAGTCCCAATCAAGTACAGACCATAAATATGCGATTAGTACAGTTCAGCCAGAAATTGTTGTAGAAGATCTTGAAAGGACACCAGCAACTCAAGAAACTGAAGTCACTATGACGGCATTTGATAAGCAAATGTTTATTATAGCTGAAGAGGACGAAATTATTTCTCGTACCTAAAGATATTTAATAAGGTTTAATTTTAATATCGTTACAAATATAATGTAACACTTTTTAATATAAACATAGAAATTGTTTATATTTAAAATCAATTTTTTGGTTTCTAATTATAACTATCAGCCAGATACTCAATAATAGGGCTTGCTCTTTGTATCGGTTAGATAATAGCTAAAAACCCTATACAGATTTCTATTAGGAATAACTAAATGTGAATTGTTTTATACAATCTTTTATATTGAAGTAAGTTTTAAAATATCAGATGCAAGCATTGAAAATATCATTATCTTAAATAAACTTTTCAAAGTCAAAGCCTTAAAATAATTAAAGGAGTGAAAGATTTCTGGCTTTTTCTTCTTAGCATGGCTCTATATATTGATATTAAAAAACTGCGATAATTTCCAAAAACTTTATCTTCTCAATTATGAGCTCTTAATCTTCTTATAAAATAAATCTAATTTAATAATGCCTTTTACTTAAATATTAAATGGCTTTTCCAAAATTGAAAATAAACGTATTTTTTAAATTTAACACTTGCTGCTTAAGAGCTTTGCCAAAAACCACCTCTGTGAGCGAAGAAAATTTTTTTATGAAAAATAATTTTGATATAAAAGTGATATCGTTATTTGCAGATTTTTGAACTTTACCACCTAAGTGTGGAATTTTTTCCGCGTGTGAGCCCTTTTGATTTCACATGTGGAATCCTCTTTTCACACGCGGAAAAAATTCCACACTTAGGTGGTAAAGTTCAAAAATTTGCAAATAACGATAATTATTATAACGAAATCCCTTGCTAATTCTTTTTAATTTTAAACAAATTGCATTTTAACACATATAATTTTATAAATTAAATTAATATTTGTTTTCCAATTTTTGCGAATTGGGATTTTTTAGATTTCGAAAAAAAAAATTTAATATAAAATTTATATAAATTTTTAAAAAATAATTAACTCATTAGCAAACTATTTTTTTTTTGTTCACCAGAGAGGGGACTATTATTGAAATAGTCTGTATATATTGTATATTATCATGCAGCAATTCAGAATCCTTTAATTTATCAGCAGATGCTCAAATCTTAATAACCCCAATTTAATTAAAGGCAATTTATCTCACTGCTCCAGCTTAAACTAAAGGAATTAATTTTTATATAAGATAAAAATATAGCTTGATTGTAATATTTTGAATTTTAATCTATTTTTTATAGAGAATAAATAAAATAAATTAATTTATTGAGTTTGCCAGCTGTTTAAATAGATTTCTACTAACACTCCTTCCATTCAATTAGGCGAAAGCTATTTTTTATAAAATTAATACAAATAAGATGTATAAAAAGAATAAGTTCACTTCAGAAAATAAATCTTAATGGGTTGGGTTAAAGGCACAGTTTTGATGAAATCAAACAATATTAATTTTTATGTTGAAATTCAATAAAAGAATTTCTAATTAATAATCTTCTTAAAATTAATCTGAATCAGTATTAAACCAAGTCTTTAAAAATTTTAAAATTAAACAATAATTATCTCGCGTTTCCATCATTCCAATTCAAAATTTATATATAATTCAAAATTACTGCTAAATATAAAAAGTGCTTTTATCTCTATAAATATGAATACTATTCTGAATATATATTATCAAGTCATCACCAGTTTCTGAGATTATAAATGGAATTATTTCATTCTATATATTTCCCTTATTAATCTTTAAATTTTCTGCTTATTTCTGAAGCCTCAAAATTTTTCATTTTTTGCTAAATTTCAGATTTTAACTTTTCTCCCTTTTCAACTTAATCAGTAATAAAAAATGCACTTCTTCAGTGGCGGCGGCGGAGGTTTCCCATTCGAAGATTTTTTTAGTCAACAAGGCCCTCAAGAACCAGAAGAAGAGGTTGACAACACTCGCTTTTACACTTTACTTGGAGTCGACAAGTCAATATCCTGCGCTGATGTCAAAAAAGCATTTAGACAATTAGCCAAAACCAAGCATCCTGATAAAGGCGGAGATCCTAACTCCCCCCCCCCTCCGTGAGCGAACAAAACCATTAGAAAAATCGCCATTTTTTGACCAAAAACCCACCCTCCGTGAGTGAACAAAATTTTTTTAATAGAAAAAATTTTAATGGAAAAAAATTTTGATATATAAGTGATAATTAGTATAATGAAATCTAGAGCTAATTCTGTTTAATTTTAAACAAATTGCGTTTTAAAACATAAATTTTGCAAATTAAATTAATATTTGCTTCCCAATTTTTGCAAATTAGGATTTTTTTAAATTTCGAAAAAAATATTTTTTATAAAATTTATATATAAATTTTTTTAAAAAAAAAAATTAACCCCCCTCCGTGAGCGAACAAAATTTTTTTGTTCGCTCACGGAGGGGGGGGGGAGTAAGGAATTTCAAGAAATCACCCACGCTGCTGAAATCCTTTCAGACCCAGAAAAAAGAAAAGTTTATGATAGATATGGCGAGAAAGGCATCAATCAAGGGATGACTGGCGGTGACACTGAAGCCACAAGCATATTCGATTTATTGTCAGGAAGAGGCGGAAGAAGAAGAGAACAAAGCGGCCCACAGCGAGGAGAGGACGCGACGCATACTTTGAAAGCCAGCTTGGAAGAGATTTATAATGGCGCCGTCAAAAAAATCGCAATTAACAGAGACCGAGTCTGCCAGGCCTGCAACGGAGAAGGAGGGACTAACGCAAAAACTTGTAGTGGATGCAAAGGCAGAGGAATGGTCATTATCATTAGTTACTTATAAACGCTTATTTTCAATACGGGCTACTTCCTCCAGAATTTTATCCTTCCTTGTAGTAAGGGCTCACTGGGCTGGCCTGCTTTGATTACAGCTGCACGCTTGGTGACGATGCCATAGGCTTTGACGACTCGTAATGAGCTACTTTCTTCACCGTAAGTGAGTTGCCTGCACAGAAAATTCAAAATTGGATTTTTTGGTTAAATCTCGGCAAAAAGGAAAAACATGAAGCTTAGTTGCTCGATTGGCCTAGACAATGCCTATAGATTCTACTGAGTTTACCATTTCCAACTCAATGCTTCCCTTCTACACGAGTTAAAATCCAACTCTGAAAGTAGACTAAGGCTAAGTTCCAAACACTATTGGATTGCTTACCTAGCATTGCTGTCCATCCTTGGGCTTGCAAAACCTTGCTGATACAATTAAATATTTTGCTTAAGGCTGCATGGCCGTAGTCCATGCCTGAGCTCAGGCCATATTTAATTATGGCATAGGAATGGTCAACAAACTCCAAATGATTGGCCCTAATATGTATACCCAATCAGTTGGTGCATGTGACGACTGCAACGGCACAGGCAAAACATATGATGCCAAAAACCGCTGCAAGGAATGTAAAGGTAAAAGGATTTTCCAAGAGCGCAAAGTCATTGAAGTTACTATTGACAAAGGTATCCCGAACCACCACAAATACTCATTTATGGGAGAAAGTGATGAGAAACCTGGAGTCTTGCCTGGTGATCTTATAGTAATTATTGAAGAAAAGCATCATGAAATATTCAAGCGCAAGCATGCCGACTTGATTTTGCTGAAGAAAATCACAATAAAAGAAGCCCTGACTGGCTATAAATTCAAAGTAGCCCATCTGGATGGGACAGAAAAGATCATTGAATCTACTCCAGGAGACATTATAAAGCCAGGTGACGTCAGAACAGTAAGGGATCTTGGCATGCCCATAATGAGGACTCCTTTTAAATTCGGAAACTTATTTGTAACTTTTGAGGTCGAATTTCCCCCACCGAAATCGTTAAACGCTCGACAAATTGAGGAGCTGAAAAATTTGATACCTGGAGAGTCTATGGAAATTGACAGCGCAGGTGCTGAAAAACATATGACGATTGAGTTTGATAAGTCGCATCAGACAGAAAATAATACCAAGATTCATTCAGACTATAAAGATGAAGAAGAAGATGATTTAAATGATCCAAGATTTGAAGGAGCCAGAAGAGTTAATTGTTCTGGGGTTATATTTTAGATAATTTCTTGAATAAATTTAGTATTATATTTTTAAATATGGCGAAAGCCTGAAATTATCGGCCATACTGAGAAAATTTTTAAACTATACCTTACTATTTTGATTTATTTTAGTAAAGATTAATAAAATTCAAAATAATTAATCATGATGGGTTTAAAACTAAACTCATACTTAATCTGCGCATAGAATTGAAGTCAATTCAGACCCCCTCTTATATCTTCTTCTGTTTTTCGCTTTAAAGTGAGTTTGCATAGCGTTTTCGATCATACTTAAAACATTTGTATTAGCTTTGCTAAAACCCTCTTTTTCTAGAATATCCTCAATTTCTAAAAGAAGCCCACTCCTCCGGTTATTTTTTTTTTAAAAAAAATTATATATAAAATATATAGAAAATTTTTAATTTAATTTGTGAAATTTATATTTTAAAACACAAGCTGTTTAAAATTCATCAGAATTAGCTGAGATTTCGTTATATTAATTATCATTTATACATCTATTTTTTTTTTTTTCATCAAATATTTTTTTTCACCTACAAGAGGGGAGTCAGAATTTTGATGGACACCTAAAATTTTCACTATGTCGTCTTCTAGCAGTCTGTGATTGATAAAGTTGAACAAGGAAATGCTGTTTAAAATTTCGTGCTCAGCTTCCTTTTTGAGCTCTGATGTATTGTCAAGAGTTTTTAGGAGTTCTTGAAGATGTGCAATTTTTCCCTCTATGTATAAGTGCTTTAATTTCAAAAGAACAGCTTTTTCTCTATTCATTTTCATGATGCAGATGTCAGTTGCTTCACTGCATTTGCTATTTAGCCGGCTCATATAAAAAATTTTTTCAATTAGGTTTTTTCTGGCTTCAATGATGCTAGGACTTGCCTCTGTAAGTACTTCTGAGTTTAAATCCCCACTGAGTGACCCAAAACGAAATTCCATCTGTTTGTTATATTATATATAAAGAAATCGAATTTCTGGAAATATGGCAAGTATAAAAAAAATGCATGGATCAGGGAGAAATAAAGTCAAATACCTTGGCAGAAGGGTAGATATTGTTTCATAGTAGCTAAATTGACTGCATAAGTCAAATGAAATAGTTTTACGACTATAAATCATAAAAATATAAAAATAAAATTAAAATTATTACTACTTTCATTGACCTAAATTTGAATTACCTTACTCCCCCCCTTCGTGAGTGAACACAAAAAATTTTTTTCACTCACGGGGGGGGGTTATTTTTTTTAAAAAAATTCATATATAAATTTTATAGAAAATTTTTTTTTTTTCGAAGTTTAAAAAAATATTAATTCGCAAAAATTGGAAAGCAAATATTAATTTAATTTATAAAATTTATATTTTAAAAAGCAATTTGTTTAAAATTAAACAGAATTAGCTCTAGATTTCATTATAATAATTATCACTTATATATCAAAAATTTTTTTCTATAAAAAATTTTTCTATTAAAAAAATTTTTGGTCGCTAACGGAGGGTAGGTTTTTTGGGCAAAAAATAGGGATTTTTCTAATGGTTTTGTTCACTCAGGAGGGGGAGTTAGCTATAAAATAGTCTTAATATGCACATGTTTATCTTTCTATTTTATAGTCTGAGCTATCAATTTCGGCATACCAAAAATTGCCCATTTTTACTAGAATATTCGTTTTATTATAAACTGCTAAAATTATCGATTAAGACATTTTTCAGCGGAATTATCAGATCACTTTCTGCTTCATGTCCCATGTATTTCCTTATCTTCCTCTCATCAATCCGAGACAGACCTTCCAATTTTTCTAACAACCCAAACGATACTCCAATTCTCGCTTCATCCTGCACCCACATGATTAATTTTCTGCAGCATTTTCTAATAATTTCAATATTTTCGTCATTTTCTAGCTCACTGGGATCTTTTGAGTTATTTTCATGCACATAATCAATGGTAAAAGCTCTTAACCAATGATAAACATGTAAGCAATTTTCACTGAAAAAGTCAATTAATTCTTCTGATAACTCAGTATTAATTTCTACAACGTGCGCAATGCACAAAATTGATTCCTGCTTAAATTCAAACTGGTACTGAAGAGTTTTTGAGTCTGAATGCTTTGATCTCCCATCAATTTCTAAGCACCAAACCAAGGACTGTAAAAGCTCAGCTGAATACCCAAGCAGCTGTGACCTGAATTTTCTTAAAATTTGGCATGAGTTGATTTTGGTTTTAAAATTATTTTGCATTTTAATCGCTTGGATCAGATTTGGTATCAGCCTATCCGCAATCTCATAATGGGGCATGCTTTCATTTTCAAAAAACGCGAAAAATGCTTTGCATGAGTCCCAGCCTACTTTGGCAGTTTTATGTGAAAGGCCTTTTACACAAATTTCAAAAAGCTCATCAAAATACTGTTGGATTTGGTGGTAATTAAACATTTCAAAGAGATTAGAGATGGAAACAATTGCGTTCGAAACCACTTTTTCTCTTCGATTTTCGCTGCTGTCTTTAATAATATCCACAATTGTCTCAATTCTGCTTAAACTGATCGGATTCAAGCAGAAATAAGAAAGGGCTAGAGATGCGTTAATGGCGACACTTAAGTTGCTTGTATCTCGGTGGGCAGAAATAATGCTGATCCCTAAGTCAAAAAAATCTTCAGGGACAAGCTGAGCTTTAGCTAAAGTCCCAAATAATTTCATGACAATGCTTTTTAATAGTGATGGAGAATTTCCAGAAAAATCGAAATTTTCTAGAAAATAAATCAGGTCTTGGACTTGTTGAGGGTTAAGTACTGCTATGTCTGGGATCACTGCAAGAGTGCTGAGGCAAGGAGTCAAAGTATCGATAGGCTGTTTTTTAATCAAAATTAATGCTGTTTTTATGGCTGTATCAATAGCACAGCAATTAGGTTTGACACGGATGTACTCGTCAGTAATTTCATAAGCCTTTTTTTGAAGGGATAAGTTTTCAGAAAGCATAATGCTGCTTAATTTTTCTTGAATTCAGTCCTTGAATGCGTCCATCTCTTCTGGGTAATTTTTTATTAATCTTTCGAAGAGCTCAAGTCTTTCTTCGATAAAATCTTGGCTGCCAAGAACATGATAGACAAAATCATAAGTCAAAATGTGCTTTATTTTTTCAATCCTTTCTTTGAAAGCTGCAATAAGGCATTTCACGACTCCAAATCTGATGTCTGGAATGAAAGCGCCCAGATGAATCATAATTGATTCAGTGATTTTCAATAAATGGGATGGGGAAAATGCCTGGTAACGGGTTTTTGAAATCAATGCAGCTGTGGTTTTTAATACAGCAATCAGCACTTCAGGAGCTAATTGGGACCTAGTTCTCTTGAATAAAAACAAAATTTTTAACTTGATTATTAAAGGTTTATTATTAAAATTATTTTATAAAAAATAAAAAATTTTCTATTAATTTCTTAAAAAAATAATTTTCACTTATCTCGTTTATTCTTGCTGAAGAGTAAGCATAAAATTGATGATTTCATGCAAATTGTCCATAATCCCTACAAGTTCATGGAACTTTGAATTTAAAACTCTGCCGGTAATATCCAAAGATTCCATAGTCTCGATTTCAGGAAACTCCTCTATAAGTGAGGCAAGAGACGAAGCTGCTGATGCACGAATTTCATTACTCGAGTCATTTAGCATCATATAGATCAACGGTGTTTGTGCAGAAACGCTTTCATGCACATTTCCCCTCACATCAGAAGGTAAAGCTGCACTGATAAATTCGAAAAGAATTTTCCCATGTTTCTTACAAATAATTTGGATGCAGCTGATTAGGCCTGATCTGATCCTGACATGCATAGGGTTTTTGAGTTTTTTGGCGCTTTGGCTTTTTTTCTCTATAGCTACAGCCCGATGTACCAGAGCTTGAATTGCCGATCATAAGGCAACAATTTTTTCAGGGTCGTCAGCAGTGGCTTGCTTATTCTTTGATTTTTGGATTTCTTTATGCAAACAGTTCTTTTTTAGTAGCTCCTGCTCAGATCCACTCAGGCTAATTTGGAACATTTTTTTGATGAGATCTTGATAATCCTGAAAGAGCTGCTGGTCTTCTGGGTCCAAATTTTGTGGAAGCCAAGGGATTTTATTATATTTTCTTGGGTTTATTTTTTGCTTTGGACCGTTTTCGGGTTTTGCCTTGGGATTATTTGGTTTAATAGATGCCATAAATGTATTATTTAAATCAAGAATGAGAAATTGATAGGGACATTGGAATCGAGATAGAGTAAAAATTATGAGTTCACAGCTGTGACTTGTAAATGCAAGATAGAAAGCTAAGCTAGGTTATTTAAGAAAAATTAATAACAGAATTTGTATTTTTGCCAGTTTCAATTATTACTGGGTTTATAAATGGAGGCTGCTGTATTCCATTCATTAAAATTAAACTAATTATGCAAGTAAAAACTATTTCTTTACCTTAATCAGGAATTTGAGCTCAATACAAATTTAATTATTTATGCATAACCCAGGCATGACATTAGATCGATCTGAGGATGAAATTGCAGGATAACTCCCCGAGTTGGCTCTCCAACTTGTGTTTACGAACCAGCTCGGGGAGTTGATTATGCATCTGATATGATGAGTTTGCCAACTCCCCGAGTTGGTTCTTCAACATGAGTTGTCCTGCAATTTCATAGCCCAGGACGATCTAATGTAAGCCTGGGCTACATATACTGATACTGTGAACACAGAATAGCCATTTTCGTATTTTTAAGTGACAGAAAGCTAAAGTAAATTTTTATTATTTTAAAAAAAATACTTAAATTTTATTTTTGTATGCAAAAAGTCTATTTCCAGTTTAATTTACTGTCAATCGCACTATTAATAAAGCTATACTCATTTTATTAATAAAATATTATCTAAATTTTAAATTATCCATTTGTCTCCTACAAAATATCACCCTACCTTTTCAAATCATCATCAGAATTTTTTAATTCTTTAAAATAATCAGTGAGCTCCTCCATTTTCCCATAAAACTAACAGAATTTCTTATGGTTTTCCAATACAGTAATAAATATGAGCAGTCCTTCCATAGTCAACATATATGACGGCTCAGATGGCCATGCTGCTGAGACAGTTTTCAGCTCAGGAGTGTATGCATACACCTATGACGACATCATTTTGATGCCAGACCATATAAGTTTTCCAGTTGGCAGTGTCGATCTTTCCACTCGTGTATCAAAAAACATCAGATTAAATCTTCCGTTTTTGTCATCTCCTATGGATACTGTTACTGAAAGTCGTATGGCTCTAGGAATGGCTCTTCAAGGTGGTATGGGATTTATCCACTATAATAACTCCATTGAAGAACAAGCCTGGAAAATTGGAAATGTCAAGAGGTTTAGAAGTGGCTTCATTGCTAGGCCTTACTGTTTAGGCCCAGAGGCAACTTTAGAGGACGTTGACAGAGTTTTTGCAGAGAGAGGCTTTTCAGGGTTTCCTATTACATCTACTGGTAGCGTAGGTGGGACTCTTTTAGGACTGATTACTACAAGAGACCACGATTTTATCCAAAATAGACAAAAAAAGATCACTGAGGTGATGACCCCTGCCAAAGACTTAATTACTGCTGACAGCAAACTTTCTCTTGAGCTTGCCCAAGAGATTATGAAATCCAATAAAAAAGGAAAACTGCCTATTGTAGACGAAGAATTCAATCTAGTTTCTTTAATTTCTAGAAGTGACTTAAAGAAAGCCAAAAGTTTCCCTCTGTCCACTAAAAACGCCAACAATAAACTTATGGTCGGTGCAGCTGTCGGGACAAGAGAGTCAGACAGACAAAGACTGGAAGCCCTTTACGCTGAAGGTGTAGACGCCATTGTGATTGATTCTTCACAAGGCGACTCAGATTTCCAAATTGAAATGCTTAATCACATCAAAAGGACTTTCCCATCTTTAGACGTTATCTGTGGAAACATCGTCACAGTTAGACAAGCAAGGCGGCTTATAGAAGCTGGCTGTGATGGTCTCAGAGTTGGCATGGGCGCAGGCTCAATTTGTACTACACAAGAAGTCTGTGCTGTCGGAAGAGCCCAAGCAACCGCAGTTTACCATGTATCGAAATTTGCCAAACAATTCGGAATCCCTGTGATTGCTGATGGAGGAGTTTCTAACTCAGGGCACATCATAAAGGCCATCACTTTAGGAGCTAGCTGCGTCATGATGGGCAGCATGCTTGCTGGTACTGAAGAAGCCCCTGGAGATTTCTTTTTCCAAGACGGCGTCAGAGTCAAAAGATATAGAGGAATGGGCTCATCGGAGGCTATGCAGAAAGGCTCGAAAACCCGATACTTCGGAGATACTGCAAATATTCAGGTACCACAAGGTGTCAGTGGAACAGTTATTGATAGAGGTACAATAAAGACCTTGATTCCTTATTTAACTCAATCTGTAAGACATGGTCTGCAAGACGCAGGGGTCCAAAGTATTAGGCAGGCTCATGAATTTTTGTATGAAGGAAGACTTAGATTTGAAGTCAGAAGTGGCGCTGCACAAAGAGAAGGAGGCGTCCACAATCTTTTTTCATATGAAGGGAAATTAGGAAATAAAAACAATTAATAGAGTCTTTTAGTTAATTAGATTTGGAAAGCAAATACTCAGTTAAAAGGGTTATTTCGGGAAGAATTTCTTGAGAAGAGTAAGAATAAATAAAGCTAAGGCATTCTGTTATTGGTAAAGAAAAATTTGGGAATGATAAAGTGCATAATATTGTTTTTAGCATTTTATCGGTAACTTTGGCTTGTATGCAGCTGCAATCTTGTGTTTTCGCATAAAAGTCTAAGGAGTTATCAGTCAGGTTTTCGTCTATATTTGAAGGTGGATTTTTAACACCTGACACAATTTCTTTCACAAAATTGATAAAAACGCTTTTGGAGATACTTGAAGCATCTTCAATATTTTTCCAATAAACCATCAAATAAAATAGCATTAAATCGTCTTTTTCTTCCAAAGTGATAGGCTGATGTGTAAATTTCACGAAATGTTTCCCAAAAGGAACTTTTTTCAGTCTTCCTCTTCACTCCCCTCTCAGCACCTCATAATTCCTCACCAGCAAAGGCTCCACAAATCTTTTGCTTTTCTGCGAATCCATCATCCACAGCATTATAGGTATCAAATTAAAAAACAACCTCGACCCTGCAGCTGCATATTTTTCAAATAACCCTTTAATTTCTATATCTGCCCTCGCTATACAACAATACAAGAAATTTTCCAAGCCATCACTATTTTCCAGGTTTTTTGCCTCCTCAATAACTTTTGCATAGGCTTTAAACGTCTGTGAATCGACATCATAAAAATTGCTTTTTAGCATCCCTTCAAAAAACAATGGAAATTCCTCTGTTGTCCTAGGCTCTCTATAAGGAAAATCTTGGCTTTTTTGCGTCTGAACTCTGCCTGTGTCTACCTCATCTTCGCTAGAACTTTCCATTTATATAAAATTCAAAATGATTGAAGAAAGACTTGCCGCAGAGCTTCAACGTCGTCAGCTTGACCGTGAGCGAGAAAAGCGCGAAGTCCAGCGCATCTGTGCAGAGAGTGAAGAACTGCGAGATCTTCGCCAAAAGCTCAGTGCGGCTTATGTTAATAAAGAAAGAACAGCGCAGTTACAAGAACTTCACGCAAGACGTGAAGAGGAGGTCTTGAGAGACGCCTATATTGAAAAAGCGATGCTGAAAAATGCAGAAAATCAGCTTAAACTTCAAGCTCAGATGGAAGAAGAAAAGAAGCGTGAAAGGCTGAAGTCAAAAGAGGTGTTACAGCAGCAAATGATTGAGAGAGAGCAGTTACGCCAAGAAGCTTATAATGAATACCTTAATCTGCTTGCTAGTGAGAGAAAGTTTTTTTTTTTATTAAAATTCTTATGAAAATTTTAAATTTAAATTAAATATAATTTACTTATAAAATTAAATTTAGGATTAAATAAATGGCTTTAAATTTAATAGAGATCTCATTTATTGTGGCCATTAATTATTAATCAAAATATTTTAAAAATAGGTATTTTCTTATTATTTTGCTTTCAAGCCAAAGGCGAAATTAGAGAAAAGGCCCAGGTTGATGCTTTGGTGCAAAAATTGATTGATGAAGACCAAGACTCCTTAAGAAGGATGGAAGAAAAAAAGCAGCAAGCAATCAGAGATATGGAAGAAAGCGTCAGACTAAGACGAAACCAAATTCAAGCTGCAAGAGAGCGAGAAATGAGAGAAGCAGAAGCCCTGAGACAGTACCAGCTCGAAAAAGAAAGACGAGAAGAAGAAATCGCCTTACTCCGAGCTAAAAAAGAAGAAGCCAGAAACGAAATTTTTGACAGGCTGCAAGCTGAAGAAGAGCGCCGCCGTGCAGAACAAGACTACATAGAAAAGTTGCGAAACGACTTATACTATGAAGAATTCGAATACAATGAAAGAATGCGTGACCAAGAAAGAGCTGAAAAAATGAACAAGATAAAAGAAGAACTTATGATTGCCAACGAGTACCAAAAGAAGCTCAAAGAAGAACAGAAAAAAGAAGACATCAGGCTTGAAAAAGAATTCAAAGAACAAATGATGAGAAAATTCGCTGAAGATGACAGAATTGAGCAAATGAACGCCCAGAAAAGGAGAATGAAAGAGCTGGAGCACAAAAGACAAGCTGACGCCTTGTGGCAGCAGAAGCTAGAAATGCTGCAAAGAGAAAGGGAAAGAGAAGCAGAAGAGGAAAGAAAGACAAAAGAAGAAGAAATGAGAAAGAAAGAAATTGTGGAAAGAGAAAGGCAAAGACTGCTTCAGGAGTACGCTCCTCATGTGGCTGAGTTTTTGCCGAAAGGTACTTTGAGAACGCAAGACGAAAGAGTTTACTTAAGAAGATAATAATTTTAGTAAAATTATCCACGGAGTCTGATAAGCTCGGTGACGAGCTGCTCTTCATAATGAAATATAGAGGTGTCCTTCAAGGAGGGTTCCCATCCTTGGGATCAGTGAAGGGGAACTTCGGCTCTTCTAAGAGTTTTGCATATAGAGACACGATCCACTGACACTGGATAGTGGAAGAAGAGTGTCCTTTGAAGCTTGAGGCGAGTGAAGTTCTAGCGGTCGTGCAACTGCCGAGAAGTCGTAACTCACGTAAAAGACTTCAGAAAACAGAAGATAAGCTATTTTAGAGTTATCTTGCTAACTAACTAACTAGTTATATCGGAAAGGTTTATCCAACTCAAAAATGGGCAGCAATGCTAAGTAAGCAAATCCAACAGTGCTTGGAGCTTAACCCAAGTCAGCTTTCAGAATGGATTTTACCGCAAAGGAACGGGAGAGATTGGGTTGGAAAGAAGATTTAGACTAATCGGGTAAATCCCTAACTCCCCCCCTCCGTAAGTGAACAAAAAAATTTTGTTCACTCACGGAGGGGGGTTAATTTTTTTTGAAATTTAAAAAATTTATATAATCCCTTGCATAAATTTCATTTTGCTTATTTATGGTAAATTGATTTTAAAATGCCAAAAAAATTTTAACATACCATAGACTCAGTTTTATATATAATGGCATGTCAAAATTTTTGACATTTTAAAATCAATTTACCATAAATAAGCAAAATAAAATATTGCCAATACATTATATATAAATTTTATAAAAAATACTTTTTTTTTGAAATTTAAAAAAATCTTACTTCTATAAAAATTGAAGGTAAATATTAATTTAATTTATAAAATTTATGTTTTAAGCAATTTGTTTAAAATTGAACAGAATTAGCTCTAGATTTCATTATAATAATTATCATCTATATATCAAAAATTTTTTTCCATCAAAGCATTTTTCTATTAAAAAAAATTTTTGTTCACGGAGGGTGGGCTTTTTGGGCAAAAAATAGCGATTTTTCTAATGGTTTTGTTCACTCACGGAGGGGGGGGAGTAAAGATAAATCAGGAGCTATGTCCTGGGCTTCGAACTTTTCCCTTTTGCCGAAATCGACCAGAAATTTCCTTTTTTTGATATTTTTGTGAGGACAACCTTCATGCAACTCAAGCAGCAGCCGCAGAAAGCCCATAGTCCGCACTTAGCTATGGGTTGTAAAAGAAAGGAGAAGACGCAGGAGTAAGAGGGCTTCGGATATCCCATGGCATTAGGAGCCGAAGTAGAAGCAAGTTGTGCAGATCCTTTTCTCGCTAGGGTAGACATCTTACTCAAGCCCAGCTTGGCTGACTGCATAGCAAAGCGGATGAACTCTTCAGGGAGTCCTTGGTGACTGCGTTACCAATAGGCAGCAGTGAGCCTGCAATTAAGCTTAAGATTAAGATAAAGACGAGCTGCTCTTCTAAATCACCGTCAGCAATAGTGAAAGGCGCGGAGTGGTCTTGGGAAACTAGAATAAGCTCTTGGTTTCTCATATCTAGTACATTGCCGACGACATAGTCAACTTCATATTTGGAAAGAGCATTATGGCAGGATTTGAGAAGCTCTTTAGGATCAGTTTCCAGCTTGAAAGAAACGACTAAAGCTTTGCTGCAGATCTTCTTGATTAAGCCAAGCTTCTTTGGGGTAGGAACTAATGATAAATCTAGCTTAGGTAGGTCACTTTTGATTTTGTGGGTAGAAGGAGGCCCTGAAAGCATAAAGTCGCTTACAGCAGCTGACAGCACAAAAATGGTATTTTCTTGGTATTTTTTAGCCTCAATTGTAATTTCTTCTAATCTTGCAAGGTAATTATCTACAGTGATAAATTCCTGGATCAGCAGCTTTCCTCCATCTTTATAGCTCTGGAATTTATTTATTAAGCTTTGAATATCTGCAGCAATTTCTGGTGTTTTCAGCACATCATGCTGATTTATAAGTCTTAAAAATGGCAATTTTCCTGTATTTCTCGTCAAAAATAGCACAGTGTAGCCTTTCTCCAAAAACTGCTCACTCCTCCCCCTCCGTGAGTGAACAAAACCATTATAAAAATCGCTATTTTTTGCCTAAAAACCCACCCTCCTGAACAAAAATTTTTTATGGAAAAATTTTGATATATATAAGTGATAATTAGTATAATGAAATCTCGAGCTAATTCTGTTTAATTTTAATAAAATTGCGTTTTTAAAACATAAATTTTTACATTAAACTAATATTTAATTTTCAATTTTTATAGAAGTGAGATTTTTTTAAATTTCGAAAAAAAAAATTTATATATAAATTTTTTGAAAAAAAAAATAACCCCCCTCCGTGAGTGAACAAAATTTTTTTGTTCACTCACGGAGGGGGGGAGTCAGCGATTTTTGACCCTCTTTGCCCAGTGGAGAAATTTTCAATCGACCTAACAGTATGCTGTTCAAGAGGAACTGAGGTTCCACCTGACGTAACCACTGCCACTTTTCCTTTGGCTTGCTCAAAGAATAGTTTTACTTCTTTTCTAAATGAAGAGTTCCCTGTGTATTCTTCATCAGAATTGAAAATTAATTGCAAACAGTGTCTGGTAACAGCATTCATAGCAGATATTCCTTCATCCCAAGAGACATTTCCTTCTTCTTGAGCCAAGTTGCTATTAGGGTCTAATGGCAAATCAGATACATAGTAAAGATACCTGCTCGGGACATCTTTTTTAATAAATCCTGCATCTATACCTTGCTGGACGCCTTGGGCGAAGTAGCAGCCTTCCATTTCTAAGCCAATGCAGCCTTGTAAATATAAATAGTATTTAAGCAAAAATGAATTTTGAAGCACCGTTCCGCCAACTGTAAGCATTGGCCCGACATGGACATCACACTCAGCCATTTTGCTGAGCCTTTCTGGGTTGAGCCCTGAAGGATTAGCTCTTGTAACAGTCTGTGAGGTTTCGTCAAAAAACTTGGTAGCTATCAAGATATCAGTTCTTTCTCCTACAAGTCCTCCTGCTTTTCCAATTATGTTAAAAGAATTTATAGAATTCCCAAACAGCAACGTTAAACATTTGACTATATCCAGGCACTGTTTCCCAAACGTATAGCCAATATTCACAACAAGGTGTAACAGTCCTCTAGGCTTAGGCACGAAATGGGGATCTACAAAGTTCGGGTCAATTTTGCTGACATTAATAAGGAGTACTCTGACACCTGTCATCTCGGTTTCTTCAATTTTATGAATTCCTGCTGCTTTTTCTCTTTCTGCCTTTTTCACTTCTTCTTCTGGGAATTCTTTAAAGTAGTAATAAGCCATCGCACAAAGCTCGTCAATCGCGTTAGGGAATTCTTTGGTTTTCAATACTTTTCCAGACTTGCTGAACCATTCTTTGATATCATTTTGCTTTTCAAACACATAAGGACTTAGCGTGTTAAGCAGAGTTCTGGTGCTTCCTTGAATTACGTCGACAGTAAGTCCTAAGTTTATAGCTTCTCCAATAGAAACTGAGCCTACTTCTAAGCAGACCTGACACTCGTTCCACAGTCTAGCAGCCCATCTTTCACCTGGATCAGCTGTAAGATGCATTCTGGGGATATAAATAAACATATTGAAGTCTTCATGGTGGAGAATAATTTCTGCACATCTTTTATAGCAGTCTGTAGGCCAAATTTCTTTTAGCCCTTCCAGAGTTCCTTCTGGTAAGGCTAAGGAGTCCAATTGGTCATTATTTAAAAGCATTTGGATAATATCTGGAGTCCTTAAGAAGTCGCGCAGTTTTCTGCTTTCTAGGATATGAATGCACAAATTTGACAGAAAATCGAGTAAATCAGTTTCTAGCTCTCTAAATACAACGATATTTTTTCCTCTCATTTGAGTAAAAATTGTTCTGGCCCTTGCGCTGCTTTTTACTGGAATATTGAACTCTGGGTGGTTTAATATTAGTGGCAGCCTTGTGGTCCCATAAAACACAAAAGTACTTGTAATGTCTTCAGGGAGCCTTCTAATTGCATATTTTCAAGCTGAAATGTCAATTTCTGAATTATTCATCCCAGGGTGCAATGAAGAATTGATTTCTTTATAAATTTCCACGAGCCTGATTAAGTCAATTTCTCCTCTTTGCGCTCCTTCTGAAACAAAGCTTCTGAATTTTTGTAAAGGCAAAAATATATGCTGCTTCTCTACGAGTGACCTTGCGATTAGTAAAGTAAACTGCTTTTCAGGGACGATGAGCTTCATTAAACTTAGCTTAACTTAATTATTCGGTATTTAAGGTGCCTAGTGCCGCACCCTAGTAAATAGGGATTTAGCTAACTAGTGACGTCACGGAGCCATCGTGGAATCGCGGTAGTCAGCTCAACTGGTCAAGCCTTCTATCGACGCTTCGTCTCCAGCCGCCGCACATCTCATCCGGCGCGTTACCATCGCTCTGCCCTGATTTAGCTCCTGTGCGTGTTTTGCCTAAGGGTCATCATCCTCGGGGATGTGCTGAGGGGTAAACTCTGAGCCTCTTAAATGCACTGAGGAGCTGCTCCTTTGGTTATCCCCAAAGTTAAACAGTGCAGAAGTTCTCAAGAGAAAACCCAGCCCCATAAATAAAATTCCATGAGGGAGAGAAAATTAGCGGAGCTGATTTCTCTCGAACCGAATGCCATTATGATAAGCTTCATTAAGCAGTCTTTTGGACAGATCATGACGATAGAGTCATCACTGGCTGTTTTTATTGTATAAGCTGTTTTTCCAAGTATGCAGCCTTCAATTCCAAAACTGTCTCCTGGGAATAGATATTCAGAAAAGCTGGAATTAGTGTCAGATGTCGCACAAGCTTGTCCTTCAATCATGATACCAAATTCACTTGTATCTCCAGAAATAACATAATTAAATATGGCGTCTCAACTTGGGTCTGGCCTCTCGGCCAGACAGTTTCGAGCCCTATTTAAATTATATCCGGCAAGGTTTTGCCTAGCTAGAGATGGACAGCCACATCAGGTAAGCAATTCTGGCAGTGTACAGAGCCTGATCCCAGTCCATTCTCGGGTTAGGATTTTACCTCGAGGGAAGAGGAGGCTTGGAGTTGGAAAGGAGAAGCCCAGCAGCGCCTACAGGTAATCCCTAGGCCATTCGGGAAAATCTCTAGCGAGAAACCGGGAGTTTCGCCCCGGGCTACAAGTTTTCCTGTTTTGCCGAAAGTCGGCCAGAAATTCCATTTTTTGGAATTTCCCCAGCAGACAACCCTCGTTACAGAGAAAGTAGCTCAATCATGAGCCGTCGAAGCCGGAACATCGCGCAGGAGGCGCGCGTTGGAGATCAAAGCTAGCTGTCCCAGCAACTAGTGGGCCCCGAGCGACGAGAGCGTGGTGGTAGACCTGGAAGAGCAACCCCGTAGGAGACGTTAAACGTGATGGTTAATAAGATAAGGTATCTCCAGAAATAAGGATTGGGAAATTTGATGCCCTGAAGTTTATGAATCTTGAAGAGCTGATCAATAGGTCTCTTTCTTCGAGATTGAGGTAGAGGAATGGTGGCGAAACTGACAGGAGTTTTTTGATTTTTTCATAGTCGTAAGTGATTTCTTCTTTAAGGCCAACGTGGGTTGAAAAAATTTTATTCTCACTTAAGGCTCTTTTGAGGCGAAGGGAGATGTGCTCTTGACTGAAAAGCTCGTCGACAAAGGACTTACCTGATGGGCTTGACATATTTATGCCAATGGTTGAATCCTATTAATTTCCGTAAATTTTGGGAATTTACGAACTGGTGACAAAGAAAATGAATAAAAAATATTTTTATGTTATATTTCTGATTTTTTAGAAATTGATTTATATCAAAAATATAATTTAAAATGACTAATTATGCTTGGGTATCTAATAAAATATAAAAGAAATAAAATGAACATTTGCTAGGACTATTGGGTTGGGTATGCATGCCTTGATATTTTTCTTTCTACTCTTGCTTACTTTAAAAGTTTTCTCCTATTATCTTATCAGGACTCTCTATCAGCTTTCCAGAGGGCGATTCTATACAAAAGTAAGGTAATCTGGTCGGGAAAACAAAATGGCAGGTTTCCATTTTTCCTTATATGCAACCAGAAGTCTGCGTTAGAGCCAATCAAAGATGATAATCAGTGGCTTTGTAAGGCTAACACTTAGTCATTAATAAAATATAAATTTTAAAAAATTATTATAATCTTCAATCTATATAAATACACATTATTATTTGTGGAGATTGATAAAATCGAGTCTTATTGTCTATACAATAGATTATTTTTTTTATATCTAAACTGACACTATTCTTTTATTAAAGTAAAATATGATAGACTCCAAAAATAAAATATATAAAGTTCATGAATTAGTAGCAATTTTATACCGACAATTCTTACCTATTTTGAAGCTCTCGCTCTAGATTTTCAAACTGTTTATAGCAAAAATCAATATCAGGTCTCTCATAAGGATTGTTTCTTACTCCCCCTATCCGTGAGCTAACAAAAAAATTTTGTTTGCTCATGTGGGGATTAATTTTGTTTTAAAAAGATTTTAATTTGTAAAAATGAGAAGTAAAAATTAATTAAGTTGTGAAATTTATATTAAAATTCAAGTTGTTTAAAATTAAACAGAATTAGCTGGGGGAAGTTAGCATAACCTTGACGATATCTTGAAATTTTTCAGGGATGTCATCCAGTCCTATATACTCTGAGTATGGCCCTTGAGTCAAAATATAGTAAACCATTAACCCATAAGAATACACATCACAATAAAACCCTCTATTCCCATTTAAAGCTTCTGGAGATGCAAAATCCTGCTCTTTGTACGTCATTTCGCTCTGAGTCTCCATGTTTAAATTGCTGCAGCAGTCCAAATCAAATATCACAGCTTTTCCTTCAGGACTTATAAAGACGCTCCAAGGGCTCAAATTCATTAGCACAGTATTTTTCATATGCATAAAGCATAAGCCTCGTCCTATGTCTAAAATTAGTCCAAGTCTTTGTTTTAAATCTAAAGTATCATCTAAATATTCGTACAAAGTTTTAGGCAGATATTCAAGTACGATGTATTTCTGATTATTAATTTTCGTATACCCACAAGTCTTTACAATATTTTCATGCCGTAATCTTGAGTTGCAATAAACAAGAAGCGGAACTTTAAATATTTTTTTATCAGAATAAATAGCTTTAAGAAAATAATATTCGTCAGCAAGTTTGCAATAAAATAAGTCAGAATACATCTGATCTTTTTTAGGTTTAAATCAATTTTGAAAATTAATTGATTGAAATTGGCTTTTCTTTATTCTGAGTGAATTTTTTATTAAATTCCTATTATCCTGGAGTTTTTGCAGCTTTTCTCGTATTTTTAGTTTCAAAAAATTTAATAAATCAGAGTCTTCAATTCTAGAACTTTCTGAATTTGTTTTGTAAGACTCAGCGTTGTAAAAATCAAGGTTTGAAGTGCTAGCCGACATATCTGAGTGATTGTCCAATCAATCAGGATCAATTGGCAAATTGGCTTCTCTTACATATTTTTGCCTTTTTGCAGTTAAACTATTACTCGGCTTCATTTTTATGATTCTACAAATGTTAAAAATCTGAGATAGAGTGATAGAAAATATCACCGATGTAATTCTAGGCTTGCATGCAGCAAATGTTATCGATAGTAGAGTCATGGCCATTTAGCTAAAAAGCTAAAGTATTGAGATCATCATGGGTTTATGCATTTCAAGTTAGCAAAGGTTATCATCAAAGAACAATAATTCAAAGACCTCTCACTATGCTTCCATATTATTACAAGAAACAGCGATAACTTTTATCACCAAATAGAGTATGAATTGGCAAAGAGGGAAATTAAAAAGTCAATTTATGTTTGCGAATGAATAATGCCTATCAGCATTATAGGCTTAAGAGAAGAATTCGCTCTTAGGATTGATTAATATTTAATATCGATGAGGGAAAATTCCGAGAAACTATAGAACTGCTTTGCAGAGAATCTTTTCGAAAAGTGAGAAGGAATAATTTAGATAAATACAGGTGAACTTCAAGCAATTCTATCACATAATTATAAAGCAAATTCAATTCTACATAAGTTTAAAAAGTGTATTTAGAATTATAAGGGCAATATGGTTAAATTTCATAAAGTAATTTTTAGACAGTCCTCGGAATATAGTCTAAGATTGCAAATAAGCTGATTTAAATTATACAGAGAGTACAGTATATCTTAAACTTAAAATTTATTCCAAATTGACACTTTCTTAGAATTATTATTAAAATCTAGAAATTTTATTGGACGAACGAGAAGAGAGCTGCTCATCAACTATATTGCGATTGTGTAGATGATAAATCTCACATAGCTAAATATATATCTAATAAAATGATTTATTATTAAAATTATAATGGAATATCGAATCGAAAAATTAGATGAATTTCTTCCTGAGTGATTATTTTTAATATTTAAGATTCATAATTGTTTGGTTCTTACTTCCCCTCTCCGTGAGTGAACAAAAAAATCTTGTAGCTCACAGAGGGGGTTAATTAATTTTTTTTTTCGAAATCAAAAAGAACCCACTTCGCAAAAATTGAAAAGCAAATATTAATTTAATTTGCAAAATTTATATTTTAAAACGCAATTTGTTTAAAATTAAACAGAATTAATTCGAGATTTCATTATACTAATAATCACTTATATATCAAAATTTTATTTTCCATAAAAAAATTTTTGTTCGCTCGCGGAGGTGGATTTTTGGGCAAAAAACAGGGATTTTTCTAATGGTTTTGTTCGCTCACGGAGGGGGAGTTAAAAATCTATAATTCTATAGCCATTAGATAATTTTTAAATAAATAATAAAAATATGACTATAGACAACTAAAATGTTATTAATTCTTATTATAATTAACACGCTCTAATTAGATTTTTAGCATCTCATCTCCTTCAAGAAATCATTTCCTACAGTATCCTTCAAGATATCCGTTATTGGCATATAAAGCCATTTTAAGCGATTTCAAAGTTTAAATGTTATAAAATTATGTCCCAAAAGCTAATTGAAGAAAATATCCCAGACTGCTTTTTATGCCCCATAACTCAAGAATTAATGCAAGATCCAGTTATAGCAGCTGATGGCCATACTTATGAGCGTAAAGCAATTAAGAGATGGCTAAAAACCGGCAATAGACGAAGTCCTTTAACTAATGAAAGTTTAACGAACATGACTTTTATCGAAAATTATCTTGCAAGATCTTTAATTCATGAATTTATAGAAAATCAAACCAAGACAACTCAAAGCTGCGATTTAATAAGGAATAAAGAAGTTGAGTTCAAATCTAAAGAAAAATGCTTAAAAGATGAAATTAATAAAAAGAGCCAAGAAATTAATTCCTTGTTAAGCAGACTAGAAACTCAAAGAAAAACGAAAAAAAGACACACAATTTTTGATTATACTGCATTTATCGTTATTCTTGGGATGTTATTTTATAACTCAGCTGATAGGTTTGTTAAAAGCAGCGAAATATATTCAAGCAAATTCAATACAATTGAATTTGAGAGCTCAAAGTTGGTTTTAGCTCAGCCTGTTGAATACCAATCATCGAAAATATCAGCCACTTCAAAAGATGGGAGCCATTATGCATATGCTGATTCTAATTACATTTTTGTAATTAATACAGCTACTAATGAAAATGAAATTTCATTAAGGCATAATTCTTCCGAAATTACCTTTATCCAATTTTCCAATAGCGGGAAGCTTTTAGCTTCTGGAAATAGAGATAATGAAGTCACTTTATGGAGCTTAGAATCCAAAAAGAAAATAAAAGACTTCATGGGGCACAAAAAGGCTATCTCCGCTATTGATATCTCAGCTGATGAAAAATTGGTAGTTTCTGGGGGTTGGGATGGAAAAGTAATTCTTTGGGATATCGAATCTCAGCACCAAAATGGAATTTTTGGCAAAATGAATGATAAAACAAGCTGGGTTACAGCAATAAAATTTTCCCCTGATGGAAAATTAATTGCGTCAAGCCATGGAGATTTTGCTATTAATATTTGGAATATTGCAGACAAAAAAATTATAAAGCAAATAAAAGGGCATCAAAATTGGATACAGTCTGTTGCCTTTTCAGATTGTGGAAAATTTTTGAACTCAAAAAGCATTGATGGAACTATTATAATAACTAAAATATTTAATTAAATGTTTGCAAATTATAGCATGAATGACGAATATGATAAGGCCTTGATTTTATTAAAGCGGCCATAATGCAAATTTTTAATGCGTGGATCATAATTTGATTTAAAATAGTACTAGAATTATTTTTCACAGCTAGTTTTAGAAGATATTTCTCATTCCTTTTTATATAAAAATATATTTTTTAAGAAAAATTTTTTATTTTGTTTGAGATTTTAGTATATTTTAATGAATGAGATTTCTAATCAATAAATTAAATTAATGAATCAATTAAATTTATTCTTCTTCGGTTATCTTCACAACTGTCAAATTTAGTGGCAAAAAATATATCTACAATTTCTTCTGCAACCCAATACGACATTGTTCTTTCCCCTAATGCAATTACATTGCAGTTATATTTTTTTCTCGATGTTTCGGCAGTTCAGTAATCATGACATAAAGCACATCTAATTCCAAGGAATTTATTGGCAGCCATTGAACTTGCCATACCTCCTCCACATACTTAAGCTAACTTAATTACTCAGATTTTTAAAGTCATATTCTTTTCTACAGGGAGTAATATAGAGCCTCCCTTTCAACTTTTAACTGATTATGTCAACCGCTATCTTGTCGCCTAGCATTCCAGAGGACCCATTAATGGGCTAGAAAGTCTTCACTGGTCGCGATGACTCGCTTCTCTAATTTGGCTCCATTTCACATGAGTGTCGTCCTTCTCGGGTGTGCCAATAAAACTATATGCCTGCTTTTCCCTTGGGCCAGCTGAATCATCTATACGTTAATCCATGTTTGGCATTGTGGATATAGCCCAGGAGCCGTATTGATCGGTTTGAATTGGTTAGTTGCCTTGAGTTGAAACCAACTCGAGGAGTTGCTAGGCATTCTCCCAGTCCAAGCCGATCAATATCGGTTTCCCTGGGTTAAAAATGTTCACCTTAAAAACTGACCCTAAATAAAATTCATGGAGGTGTAATTCTTCTTTTAGATAATTAATTCCATGCTTAGCCATTTTATTATTCCCCTTCTCCAAATACAATTAATCCATATTGGGCTTGATTTTGATTAATCTTATCACATACAGCTTTTGCATATATTGGATAGTCAACAACCTCTCCAGGGAAGCAGCCAACATCAATTATCGTTGCATCTTTGCTTTGCATATGCTGTATAAGCTGCTGCTTAAAGTTAATTCCTGCATGGTCACACCCAGCAGCAATAACAAGAGATTCCATTGATAGTTTTATGGCGTTTTTAGTCGATAATAACTATTTTATTTATAATTATAGCTGTTTATCAGAAATAGTTTATTTATTAGTAAAATTAGGCTTTCTTTTATTCAAAAGTGCAGATATTCCTTCTTCTTTATCTTGCAATGAAAACCCTGAGTTAAACAGTGCCAGCTCATGCGAAAGTCCAGCTGACAATCCTACTTCTAATGCAAAATTAATCGACTTTTTAGCAATTCCTACAACTGGGACAGAATAGCTTGCTATTTTCTTTGCAATTACAATAGCTTCTTCTAGAGCATTTTCTACAACCTTATTAACAAGCCCCATTTCTTTAGCTTCATCAGCAGAAATCATATCTCCAGTTAATATCAATTCCATAGCTTTATACTTTCCCACAACTCTCGTAAGCCTTTGCGTTCCCCCTGCTCCAGGTATTAGCCCAAGCTTAATTTCAGGCTGCCCAAATTTTGCAGTTTTACTAGCAATAATAATATCACACATCATTGCCACTTCGCAGCCACCTCCTAGTGCAAGTCCATTTACAGCAGCAATTACAGGCTTTTTCATTCTAGGCAAAACAGTGAACCAATTTTCTATTGGGTTTGTAATGATAACTGAAGATGTTGATTTATTTTGAAATTCAGAAACATCAGCACCTGCTGCAAAAGATTTTCCGACCCCTGTCAAAATTACTACATGGACATTTGGGTCATCTTCTGCTTGTCGGAATAGAGGATTTAGGTCATTTCAGACGGCAGTGCTAAAAGCGTTTAGTTTTGATGGACGAGTAATTGTGATAATCGCAATTTTGTCTGCAGTTGTTTGATAAGTCGCTAGCTTTGGTTCCGTATTCAGATGATTAGCAAGAAGACTGAGCCTTTTTAGAGCCATTTTTCGGGAGATTAATTATATAGAGGATTTAGCTATTTATTTATAATAAATTTAAGTGAATCTCAAGTTTGTGAAAAATGGCTTAAGCAATGGATGAGCACATTGTATATGCAAGTGCGCATAACACCTTTGTGCAAATTTAAGCCCACATAATAAGCATCGTCTTTCTTGGGTGTTCCTTCCTTTTAGTAATTTATTCTTAATAATAATTTCTTCTATGTGCTTCAATAAATTATGCAAATAATATTCATCTCGACGATGAAATCTTTGTGAGCATTCTGAGCATCTGGGATGATCTGTCCGAATGTGGTATGAAAGCCTATTTCTTGTTTTTTCAGTTTTAGAACAAATTGGACATATTGGGGAGCAAGTGTGATTTCTAGACATGTGCGCTCGTGCTTGCTTTAAGGTCTCGAAATGGTAGCCGCATTCAGGGCAGTTGCCTTCGTAGTCATCATCAATTGATTTTGATTTAATTTCCATAAATATAGCCCCTATTTAGATAATTTTTTTTAAATTCGGGTTTTTAATTAAGATTAATACATCATTAAAAGTATAAGGATAATTTAATAGTTTGATATAATATAAATGAAAAAAAATTATGTAGCTTTCGTTTAAAAGATCTTTGGATTTTTATAGCATGATATTTTATGCACTTGCCAGGGCTTAAGGATCTAAAAATCCATTTGCACCTTTTCATGTCCAAGCATATGACGCAATTTTTGATTTTTTTCAAGCCTTTTTAGCTTTTTCTTCTCTCTGCTTCTTCTTGTCGATTATTATACTTTCATCAGAATTTTCAGTCTTTTTAACTTTTTCAATTGATTTTTGAGAGTTTTGGGAGTCCTTACGAATTAGGGTTTTACTGTTCGACCTCATTATAGATTTTTCTTTCGGCAAAATCTCATCGAATTTCTTTGAAGGCAATTTTTGAACTGAATGCGATTTTCTCTTTTGCTGGCCCGTTTCGTCCAAATCTTCATTTAAAGGGGAATTTTCTTCTTTTCTGATTTCTTTTATAGATGTATATTTTAATAGTCTTAATAGCGCAATATTTTTTCATACCTATTGAGAAATACACTAATAAATTTAAGTTTTTTAAATATTAAAAATCAGCCCTGGTTAGTATATCTAATAATTTTTGATGTAAATTTCTTTTCGATAATCGGGCTTGACCTTCTTCAATGGACGGAGAAAAATCATTTCTCGGTCTTACGAATGAAGTCGTCAACTCTTTTGAGTTCGACCTTGATCTTTCAGCTAAAGTATTGATTCTTTCATTAACCTTTTTTTGCCCTTTTGTTAAGTCTTTAACACCTATTATGCCTGCTTCATTTGAGATCTTCAAATTTTTAACTATCCCTCTTGATTTTCCCTTCTTAAAAATAATTTCATTGCTTTCTTCACTTATGATTAAAATATGGCATCTCAGCCTAGCCATGGCCGGGAGGCCATGGCGCTTCAAGCGCATATTTTAATTATATCCAGCAAGGTTTTGCCATTCTGGAAATGAGCAACAATGTCAGGTAAGCAAATCCGCAGGGCAGAGCCTGACCCATGCTCAACGACTGGGATGGATTTTACCTCATGGGGAAGGAAGGCTCACCGGTTCGAAAAGGAAAGCCCAGCAGAGTCCTCTGTACCATTCGCGCAAATTTCTAGCATGAAACTGGGCGTTACGTCCCAGGCCCCGTGTTTTCCCTTTTGCCGAGAGTCGGTAGAAAATTCATTTTTTGAATTTTTTGTGCAGGTAACTCATGTATCAAGAGAAGTCGCTCACTCATGAGCCGTTGAAGTCGATGACGTCATCTGGAGGTGCTTGGTATACGTTAAGGTCGTACGGAGGCTGTGTATCGTCTCTACATGCCAAGAGATGGCGGTGTGCCCGGGAATGCCTACCCCTTGGGGGACGTTTAGCGTGATATTAATTTAAGTAAGTAAGCTTTCTTCACTTATTTTCCTTTGATGATTTACGTGCTTTTCTTGTTGATCCTCTCTTTCTGAACTTAGTTTTTCCTCACTATTTTTAATTGGAGACGGCCTATTAAGTTTAAGTTTTGTATTCCTAAACAGCGGATTTGACGGTGAACTCGTCTCATTCATGCTAATATTTTGATTTTTTTCATAAAAAGTGACTTGTAAAGTAAAAGAATTGAAATTATGAGTGACTGATGTATTTGGGGTGATGATTTTTGACCTACTTTCAGGAGTGGCACATTTTGAAATCGGATTTGATTTCAAGGAATTATAGAGCTGCTTTCTGATGTTTATTTTTGAAGAAATTTTGATATTATTGATATTATCAGGCGGGATAATTTCGATTTTAGGCTTTGGTTTTGGGAGTTTTTTCCAGCTCAAGCTATTTGTGAGGCATAAAGTTTCATTAAGTCTTGGGTCGCGCTGAAGGTTATAAGATCTTGACACGTCTAATGAAGTGCTGCTTTTTCTTGTTTTGATTTTAATCGAAGATCGATTTAATCTACTCTTTGCGGGGCTTTGAGAACTAGACTCATTTCCCTTTAACTTTACAGGTGTTGTTTGTTTTAATATTTTTTAAAAAAATTCTTCTAATTAATATTCTCATAAAAATTCTGTAATAATGATTAAAAACCCAAGCTAAGAGAAATTTAAATTATTAAAATGGAACGTACAACAGAAAAGTCTTGCAAATATATTTACAAAATTGTTATTGCAGGAGATCAAAAATCAGGAAAAAGTACGTTATTTTCAAGATTCACTAACTCCCCCACTCTGTGAGCGAACAAAAAACCATTAGAAAAATCCCTAATTTTTGCCCAAAAACCTACCATTTGTGAGCGAACAAAAATTTTTTTTATGGGAAAAAATTTTGATATATAAGTGGTAAATATTATCTTGAAAATTCGAGCTAATTCTGTTTAATTTTAAACAAATTGCGTTTTAAAACATAAATTTTACAAATTAAATTAATATTTGCCTTCCTATTTTTGAGAAGTGGATTTTTTTAAATTTCAAAAAAATTGTTTCTTAAAAAAAATTAACCCCCCTCCATGAGCGAAAAAAATTTTTTTATTCGCTCACTGACGGGGGATTAAGCACAAATCGAAATTTAAAGAGCCTCAAAGTGGAGTAAAATTTGAAAATTGCAACTTTCACATGTCATCAGGCGAAAACATCAAATTTCAGCTTTGAGATATTATTGGATTTAAGCAGTACCGGTCCATAATAAAGTCTCATTTCCGAAGAGCTGTTGGCGCTTTCATAGTTTACGATATAACCAGCGAGAATTCTTTTAACAGCGCAAAATCATGGCTAGAAGATCTCAGAATCGCAGAACCAGATATCATTATATGCCTGTTTGCCAAGAATAGCCCACTAAGGAGCAAATTTTGGTCATTCTAAAATTTGGTTTAGCCAGAAAATATGGCATGCCAACGAATTTGGAAAGCCAGCTATTGTCTGACCAACCAAAAAAAATGCTCCTTAGTGGGCTATTCTTGGTAAATAAGTATATCAATTATTGGAAATAAAATCGATAAAGACCCTTCATTAAGAAAAATAAGTTTTGAGCAAGGACGAACTTTTGCTCAAGAAAATGATGCTATTTTTGCAGAAACTTCTGCAAGGGATAACTTAGGCGTAAATGAGGCATTTGAAAGGTTATTTAAAAGAGTTTATGATGTGAAAGTAGAAATTATAAAAAATGATGTCGAGATGAGTGACCAAAGCTCTTTAATTAGTGAGCAGATAAAAATCGAGAAAAATACAATAACCAAAAATTTTTGTTGTCATTAAATTTTCTTCAATTAAATAGGAACGCAGGCATACATTTTTACCTTATAAAGATCTTCTGGAAAATTTGGCTGCAGCTGCTCATGGATAATCCTAAGTCCTGCATTTCTGAATGCAATTTTGTATATTTTATCTGATCTTGTCACACTGAAATCTTCCTTATGCACCATAAAGCCATTCTTCTTTATATTTTCTTTAATGCAAATGATCCCTCCTTCTCTCAGCCCATTTTGAATTCTTCTCAAAAAACTGACCAAATCTTCATCTGTTAGCTGTGCAAGTACCCATTGAATTCATATACAATCATAAGCTCGTGGCTCTGGGTTGAAATTTTGTAGTCCTTGTACATAAAAATTAACAGCTCTTGAGTCATCCACAAAAGTTCTTGCATGGTCTACATATTTTTGGCATTGGTCAACTAAGTCTACTGTTTCAAATTCATTTAATAAAAGAAATTTTGTAACTCTTCCAATTCCACAGCCACAATCAAGAGCTCTTCTCCCAGCCATAGCGTGGCTTGTTTTCAAAAATGCCACAAATTCTCTAGAGGTATTGATATCTGGCTGATTAATTATTTCATAGCCACCTAAAACTCCATTTAAAGATGACTCTTGAGAAGACCAGTAGCTGTTTCCTAAATGGTACCAAGTTTCTTTATCTCTTATGAATTTTGAGTGCAGCTCTCTCCGCCACATTTCTTCTGGCGAAGCATATGCTTCTCCAAAGGTGTCTGTCCCAGATTTCTCGTGTGGAAAAAGCTCTTTTGTGTCCATTTAGATTATCAATTTATTAGGGTAATTTTATACTAAGCTAGCTTCCATAATTTGAAGGTTTTATCAAAAGACGTAGTTACTAGGATGTCTCCTTTAGGACTGAGATTTATATCAGTCACTTTATTTTCATTTGAAAATGTTTTAAGCAGCGAAAAATCTTTAGGAGACCATAACTTGGTGGTTCCATCATAGGAGCATGAGCCAATAAATTTTTCTGTTGCGGTTGTTGAAGAAACCAGTTTGGAGTGTGCAGGAATCGTAAAAACAAGCCCACGCTTTCGAATGTCCCAGATTTTGACGGTATTATCATCGCTGCCTGTAGAAATTGTGTGTCCATTTGGAGAAATGCTCATGCAGAGGAGCTGCTTGACATGCCCTCTGAGGGTAAGAATATGACCGCCTGTTCTGAGATCTCATAGAGCGCCGGTTCCAGAAAGGTCACCAGTCCCGAGGATACTGCCATCTGGGTGAAGGCTTAAACAGTGGATGCCTCTGCCATGCCCATGCTGTGTGAGAATGCAATCATTTCGGCTTATGTCTCAAAGCTTCCAAGTTTTATCATATGAACAGCTTAAAAGCAAGTTGCCAATAGGATGGAATTTAACTTTATTGACCCTAGATTCATGTCCTCTAGCTTCCTTTTTAAAACATATGTTTTTTAAAATAATATAGAGAGGACAGCCCCTTAAAATGTTTTTTCTTCATTTTGAAAATAAATTAAATTTTCATGGCAATTCTTTGAATGTAAGCTAAATAAATTATTATGATAGTTCTCAAATCGTCAATATAAAAATAAAAGCTATACCCGAATGATAGAAAATATTGTTTTTTAAAGAGAGTAAGTCATCTAGCCTGACTATTTTCTCATATTCCTATATTCATATCAAATGATCCTGTTGCAACAATATTATTGCAAATATCTATTGTCTGCACTCTATCTGAATGCCCTTCAAGGCTAGAAATTAGAGTTCCACTTGGAATAGAATAAAGAGATGCAATTCCAGATCATCCTGCTATTCCTAAAACGGTCCCTGTTTCATCAAATGAAGTACTAATTGGAACTCTTTCATCACATATTTGGCTTCCTAAGACTTCAAATTCTAAAGGATCTGAACGGACATTGTAAATTCTTTCAGCTTCTAGTCTGATTGAAGCTTTCATTAAGCTAATGCTTGCAATTTCTTCTCTTGTTGCTCTTAAGAAAGGATGGGATGCTGGCTGATCTTCAGGAGGCCTGTCTTCAACTTGGAGCATTCTTTATATTTATTTAATTTTCATAGAGCTCAATAGTCATTTTAAATGATGCGTGTATTAAAAATTATTTTTGTCTTGGCACTAACTCCCCCCCCCCCTCGAAGTTCGACCAAGATTGTTTTGGTCGAACTTCGAGGGGGTTAAGAAGAATTTTTTAAAAAAACTTATATAGAATTTTTTTTTATATAATTTAGTAGTAAAAAAAAAAAATTTATCATATTCTTCTGTATGGTTGAGAGGGTGTAAGGGTTAGAAAAAATAGTGCAAGATGGTTTTGTAACGCTTTTTTAGAACTTGAATACAAAAATCGCAAGCTCACCCCCACATAGTTTAAAAATTTTTGAAAAATTGCTATTTTCCTAGTAAATTTATATAGGTCTTGGTCGAACTTTGTGGGGGGTTAATTTTCCAAAAAATAGGAATTTTCCCTATATCTTGGTCGAACTTCGAGGGGGGGGGAGTAAGCCTAAAAAGGATTTTGCACTATTATACTTATCATTGATAAATATCATATTTATATTAAGCTATAAAGCCAAGTAAATCCTTGATGCTGTTTACTCATCGAGATCTTCATCCACAAAATATCCTTTTAGACGAAAATAGAGATAGGGTAGGGCGTAAATAAAATTTTTTCTATCTTCTTGATGCTGTTTTATCTCAAAGGGTATACCAGCTGCTGAAAATAGAATTAATTAGTTATTCAATATTTTATAAGAAAGAAATGATTAATATATGGAAGCTCGCATTGAAGCATTGGAGCTATCAGTTGCACATCTTCAAAACAATATAAATAGCGAAACCATAAAGCAGGCTGTTTTAGAAACTATAAAATCAGAAATCGATGACTTGCTTGCAGGAACTCTTACTGTTAGTTGCATCAAAGGGGAGCTAGAAAGGCGAAATAAACGAGAAAAGCTTGACATTGAGGAAATCATGAAAGGAAATAAATCAACTCAGCTAGGAATTCAAAAACTTTCTGAAAAGCTCATAAGCTTTAATGACGATTTAAAAGATTTAAAAATAGAAGTCAATGATATTTCTCATGAACTCAAACACAAAGCTCTGGATATTGATCTACAAAGAATTGAGAGCTCAATACAGTCACTATGTCCAATGTCCTATGCTTATTTATTGGATGCTGAAATCAGGACATTGGCAAAGCAAGAAGAATTAAATTTGACACTGCAAGCTTTGAACGACCTTAAAAAAACTGTCGAATTTGATTGTTTTAGCAAGGCAGGTGCTAATGAAGAATTTTTGAGAATAGAAAAAGCATTCGAGATTGAATTTTCTCAATATGCGACTGTAAAAAATTTGAATGAAGCTTTTGGAAGCTTGAAAAATGGGTATGAAGAAGTGGCCAGATTAAATAAAGAAACCAAAGAAATGCTTATAAAGAAGAAAAATGTTTACTTAGACCCTACCCTAACTTAATTTTGAAATGTTTTAGCTTCGTTGTTCGCCATCTTGCTTTGCTAGCTAACAAATATTTTAATTTCATATTTTTTTTTCGGAAAAATCGTGCTGAGAAAAATTGCTAGAAGTGCTGGAGCGGAGCAAGCACTGTTTTTGCACATCATTCTCAAATGCCTACAATATGTGAAGTGCTCAGTTTAATCACACTGCTGTAAGTTCTGGGAGAAGTCAAAAACCTTGAAAAAAAATGCCCTATTTTTTCGGAAAAATCGTGCTGAGGAAAATTGCTAGAAGTGCTGGAGCGGAGCAAACACTGTTTTTGCACATCACTCTAAGGTGGCTGCAATATTTAGGGAAATTATAAGTGAGAGAGAGTGCTTTATTTTGCGCTCTCTGGACTTGAGCACAAATTTATAATTTTGAGATAGCAGTTTTCATCGGGCAGCAGCCCTTCCTACAGAGGCAACCTTCCTCACGGCGGAAGCAACCCTCCTGCGGCTGAGGCAATCCTCCCCGCGGCGAAAGCAACCCTCCTCTCGGCGGAAGGAACCCTCCCCTCGGCGGAAGGAACCCTCCCCTCGGCGGAAGCTACCCTCCCCGCGGCGGAAGCAACCCTCCCCGCGGCGGAACTAACTCTCCCCCGGCGGAAGCAGCCCTCCCCACGGCGACTTTTAGGCTGGCCGCCACATAGGGGGATCAGCTGACCCTTTAGCAGCCGGAAGACTCAATGACCATCGCTGTCGTGCGTCAGGATGCTTATAAAGGAAACTGAGCATTTAAGAGAAGTAATAAATTACAATAAAAAAGATACACAAGAAAAAATTACGAAGTTAAATGTAGAGATAGTTCGTGAGCTAGATAACAAAAGCAGCAGAAGCGAGCTGAAAAGTTTTGAAATAGAAATCACACAAAACATCCAAAGTTTCAGAGAAGAAATCAAAGGGTTTGCAAGGAGTTTAAAAGCATATGAAGCGGAATTAAGACGATTTGATGAAGTTTTATTGCAGAAAGCCTCAAAAGTCGGCTATATTTTATTCGATCGACGTTTTGATAGTGTGACATTTCAGGGAATTTGTCACAGTACGACATTTGTTTTAAATTTTGACCAAACGTCTTATGAGTAAAAAATCGACCAAAATTTTCTGAGGAAATAGCCATACTATAAAAAATGTTCTAACCAAAAAGCATGCTTACAAAAGTCGACATAAAAGACTTATTAAAAAAAGTGAGTTTTTTATCTCAGTATCCAAATGTTGAATTAACATTAAATGACTTAACCCAGAACGTCGAAATACTTTTCCAGCACAAAGAAAGTCTATTAATTACGATCCATCAACTTGAAGAAGAGCTTGAAAATCTTAAAAAAGGCATAGAAAAAAAAATCAGTAATAATCATGAAATGAAGCTATTTAAACAAGCTCTATATGACCTCCAATTTACTCTGACAGATAAAGCTGACACAATAGATGTTCTAAAATACTTGGATGAGAAGGCAACAATAGCTGATCTAAACAATTCAAATGCTTCTATTGATGCCCTACACAAGCAGTTAAAGCTAATTGCTGTCCATTTAACAGCGCTGCAAAGGATACTATCAGACCCCTACAAGCTCAAAGGACCAGAAAGATCAAAAAAAGAATATTTCTATAAAATGACGCAGAGATTAGTAGACTATATTGTAGCCTCAAAAGTTATAACTAATAACAGCGCTCCCATCCCAGAAGATCTCAAAGCTTTTTTTAAGCTTAATGAGAGTATCAAGTTAAGCGAGAGCGTAAAGGTAAACGACAGCATTAAGCTCAACGAAACTGTGAGGCCGCCCGAACCAACTCAAACAGCCCCAACTCCAAAGCGAAAGTTCAGCTTCCACAGAAGATTCAGCTCATTAGATACATTTTAGTAGCTTTAAGGTATTTTTATTTATATCTCCACTTGTTTTCATTATAAATGGACTCTCTCCCAGACGAAATCGCAACTGAAATCTTCGGGTTTTTAGCAGCAAATGACCTATGCACAGTTTCACTTATAAATAAAAGATTCCACAGCCTGGCTCAGTCAAACTTCATATGGAAAAACGTATTCTCCAGAAGATGGAATATGGTGCCATCTTCTGAAGGAAACTTAAAAGAATTCTATGCCAACTTAAACTGTAGAGTCACAGGAATCATCAGTCAATACCAATCTGAAAACCACAGACTGCAAGAACTTTTGGCGTTTGAAAAGAAAAGGCAGCTTGAAAGCTTGAACCAAAGAATTCAAGAAAAAAAGAACAAGCGGTTTATCAAAGAACTGGAAATGTCATTATAGTCAATCTTAAGTTAACTAACATAGTTTTTCTAAATAACCAGGATAAACCAGCCTAAAAAGAGGTAGAAAAGGATCACTGGGTACTCTGCTAACACTTTTCTGCTTTCTGGTACAAGCTGAGTCATGAATCCTATTGAGGAGAGAGTTGACCATGCAAATCCTGCCAGGACTATAGGTATCTTTATATATGGCACAAATCCTAGGATAATTACGAGCAGAGATGCCACGTTCATAGGAAAGATGCAGTAGCCAAGCAGACAAACACTTTGGAAAAATGACACGGTGCCTCCTAGAAGCTGTGCATTGATTGTAACGACTGCTGCTCCTACCCAGACCACGACGAAAACTATTCCGAATACCAAGCTTGCAGTGTCTTCCTGAGAGCTTCCTGTTGTACTTGAAATTGATAAAGTAAGCGCTAATAATAAGCAAAGGAGAAGAGGACCCCATAAATCCCAGTCACGGAGCTGTTTTGCTTTTTCTTGCTCAGCGGACTTGGGGATGAGAACGTATTTAAGCTTGAAAGCGATTCGTTTTAAATCACGGAGCTATATAAAAATTACAATTGTTTCTGAAACAGGCTCTTCTAAAGTGTTTACTTCTTGATCTGCTGCCATATGGCCAAGCTGGTCACTTTTAGGACCTTGTTGAAGAGTGATGTTGCCACTTAGTCCAGCCATTATAATATAAAATTCTAAAAATCGATATTAAAAAGATTTTGTAGGCAGTGTAATCTTGATCTTAAATTATTTATGACGTTTAAAGTCCACTACGGGGTAGCCTTGTCCAGAGCTGCCACTATATTTATCCACGTGTCGGGCCCATGGACCTCTGGATTGATCCACTTTGATTCGCCAAGGCACGGGTAAGTGCAGCGTTCCGGCTTCGACGGGCTTCGTTGCTGCCACAGCTTTATACGACTCAGCTCCAGCGTGTGTTCCGCCTAAGGGCCACCCTTTATCGGGTGTGCTGAGGGGTAAAGATCTGAGCCTTTTGAGAGCAGTTCCTCTAGTTATCCCCATAGTTAAATCGCTGTTGCTGTGCATAAGTTCTCGAGATAAACCCAACCCCATAAATAAAATTGCTTAAGGGAGAGAAAATTAGCGGAGTTAATTTCACTCGAACCGAATGCCTTTTATTTATGTAGGCAGTGCAATCAATTTTGATTTTTTCAAGCCTAAAAACAAAAATTTATAAAACTTTAAAAATGCCAGGCCAAGATGTGATAATGCCACCTGATGATATATTAAAGCTTATTGAAAAAACTGCAGAGTTTGTTGCAGCCAATGGTAGTGCCGTCGAAATGAAGGTCTGAGAAGCCCAAAAAACAAACCCAAAATTCAGTTTCCTCAGACCTGGAGATCCATTCAGGAAATTTTACGAACAAAAAATTTACGAATATGCAGAAAAATTAGAGCAAGATGAGGAATTCGAAGAAATTGAAGAGCAGTTTGAAGAAGCCCCGACAACTGAAATCAAAGCTCCTGAAGTTAACCCATTTTATGTCAAGCATCCAACAATAGCCAAAGTTGATATGGACATCATTAAACTAGCAGCACAATTTGTAGCTCGAAATGGGAGAAATTTCTGGATGGGCTTAACAGAAAGGGAGAGTAAAAATCCTCACTCCCCTCCTCTTTGGGGGAGCAAAAAAAGCATGCTCACTTACTTACTCCCCTATATGAAAGAACAAAATCATTGGAAAAATCCTTGCTTTTGCACAAAAATCCCATCCTCAGTGAGCGAAACAAAAATTTTGATATATAAGTGATAATTAGTATAATGAAATCTCTAGCTAATTCTGTTTATTTTTAAACAGCTTGTATTTAAAAAATATAAATTTTACAAATTACATTAATATTGCTTTCCAACCTTTGCTGACTGGGATTTTTTAAAAAAATTTTCTATTAAAATTCAAATCTAAATCTTTTAAAAAAAAATTAGCCCCCTTTATAAGAGAACAAATTTTTTCGTTTACTCACGGGGGGCATTTAGGGTTTTTATATTTATATAATAAAGTTATAAAAATCTTGATTAGCAAAAATTGAAAATAAAAAATTAATTTGATTCATAAAAATTATTTTTAAAACACAAATTGTTTAAAATTCAATTGAATTAGAGAGAGACTTTATTTTTTATAAAATTGCTTATTCACAAAAGATTTTTGCTTACTTGGTATTTGTCTAAAAAAGGGATTTTTCAACATTTTTGCTCGCTTATGAGGGGGATTCAATTTGATTTCCTAAAGCCGAACCATGCGCTCTTCAATTACTTTACTTCTTTAATTGAAGCCTATTCCAGATGCATACTACCAAGGCTTGACGATATAAAATCCTTACAAAAGAACGTTGCAGACAGAGGATCAATTCTTCAAAGATGCATGGACAGATTCCAATTTGAAAGAAACCAGATAAAAAGTCAAAAATCCAAGGAGGAAATGGAAGAAGAGGAACGCCAGCAAATGGCAATGATTGACTGGCATGATTTTGTAGTAGTAGAAACAATAGAACTAAGAGAAGAAGAAGAGCTCCCAGCACCAATAGACCTAAATATTGTCCACACTTTGGGTTCAAGGCCTTTTATGCAAGATATTGAACAAAATGTTAGAAAACAAATCACAGAATCACTAGAAGAATCTGCCAAAAGAGCTAAAGAAGCACTAGGGGCAGGGAGAGAAAGGGCGAAAAAATCTGAAATTGATACTGGAGCAGCCACTGATATATCGAATTACACGCAGAAATGCGAAAAATGCGGAGAAATGATTCCAATTGATTTGTATGATGAGCATATTAAGCTGGAGCTGCTTGATCCCAAATACAAAAAAGAAAGAGAAGCTGCAAGGATTAAAGAAAAAGACCATGTTTTTGCTGCAAATTCAGAAATATATCAGAATCTTAAAAACATGATGAAGAATAGAGCTGAAGCGATGGGAGATTTTGAAGAAAATAAAGAAGAGCCAGGAGAAATAAGCGCTGCAAAGCAGCGCAATGAGCTGACTGCTATGAGTTCAGCTAATATTTCACAGTTAATTCAAGAACTTAAAAAATCACAGCCTGCAATGCCTGCAGCTAAAGAAGTTCCAAAGTTTGTGCCCCCGCCACCTCCACCTCCAAGTGGTCAGATGATAAATCCACTAGAAGGCTATGTACCTCCTCCTTCAATGGTGCAGCCTCTTGCAGGTCCAAGCTATCAGGCTGCTGCTGTAATGGAACGAACTCCTTATAGACTCCACGAAGAAACTCGAAGCAGCCTAGTTCCAGAGCAGCAATGGGCAAAAATGCATCCAGGGACTTCTTCAATACACATAAGAGTCCCTGACGACGGTGGAGACAACCAATGGGGCTTTAAAGGCCAGATAATCCAGCTTAGCGTTGATTTGTTGCAGTCAATCCAAAGCATCAAACAAATGCTATCAGGGATTCTTGGAGGCATGCCTCCTCAAAAAATGAAATTTAAAACTCATGTGCACAGCGTATTAAAAGATCAAGACACCTTAGCTAAATACAACATTTCAAACGGCGCTATGATTGAATTAGCATTAAAAGAAAGAGGAGGTCGTAAAAGAGGTTAATACACAAATTAATACTAAAATGGAAACTCTAATAATTCTGCTCTTGCTAAACTAATATGATAATTAATTATTAATCATCTCTTGCATCGATTTTTTGTTCCACAATTCGATGCATGAACTCATAAAAATCTCTTTTCTCATTCATTTTTTCTTCATATATGCTTCCTTGGAAATTCAATATCTTATTTCTCAAAGTGTCCATAAGATAATACATTATATGCTTCGTCCCAAAATTGATCAGTCACCTTGGCAAGAGAAACTATGTAAGGGTTACGATATTGGCGTTGGCTTGGGCAATAAAAATAATCTTTGTTTGTGTTGGAGAAATAACTTGGGCATAGAGACAGCCTATGTTCATAAACATCCTTTTCTTCCCTTCTGCTGCTGGAGGAGGGATATCGTCAGGTTAGGCTAGATTAGTCGATTTTAAAGTGGAACTCTGTTAGCAGGAATTAATATCAAAACCTCCCTTTTAAGTCCCAATTGATAACGTTGGTAGCCATCTTGCCAGCAAGCATTCCAGAAGACCAACCAAAAGGGCCAGAAAGCTTCCACTGGTCACGTTGACCTCGCTCCAGACTTGGCTTCTAGGAGTGTTCCGCTTTAGGGTCGCCCTCCTCAGGTGTGCCAAACGGTAAAACTCCTATACGTCCTAAAATCCTGGGCAAGTGACTAACCCTAACGAGAAAGGTTTTACTGACTCCCCCCCTCCGTGAGTGAACAAAACTATTAGGAAAATCGCTATTTTTTGAACCAAACTTTTTTTATGGAAAAAAAAAAATTGATATATAAATGCTAATTAGTATAATGAAATCTAGAGCTAATTCTGTTTAATTTTGAACGAATAGCTTTTTAAAACATAAATTTTATAAATTAAATAAATATTTGCTTTCCAATTTTGCGAATTAGGATTTTTTTTTAAATCTCGACAAAAAAATATTTTTTATAAAATTTATATATAAATTTTTTGTTAAAAAAAAAAAATTACCCCCTCCGTGAGTGAACAAAATTTTTTTGTTCACTCACGGAGGGGGGGAGTGAGTAAACCATTCCATAAGTAGCCATTTTATTATCATAGAGGAGGGATATCAAAGTTCATATAATTGTCAGACTTAGGCGATCTCATCACTATGCAAATCGCTTTTTCTGACACAATAGGGAACGCTGCAAACTCCAGCATGCACTCTCTGTCAGAAAGCGGCCATGGGAACCAGAAATTGTACCTGGCAAACTTCCTTGTTCGTGAAGGGGACTCGAATACAGTTACTTGTTTAAGAACATCAACCCTATATATAAGTTACCATGTGGGGACAAGCTCGATCTCCGAAAGAAACGGAAGGACTTGAATCAGAGGGGCGTCAACCAGCAACGTACACCGTGTTAAAAAATCATTCCCAGACCCTTTACTTTCAGTCTTGATGTTGCGCTTATTGGTGACTTGTTTTCAGTCGTCTCCTCTGATATCACTGATACACATTTCTAGTGCACCCATGTCTTCAGTGAATTTTGTGAACTCCATACACTTAGACAGAGGCTCTCGGAAGCTTGGATCTTCGCTGCAGCATTTTTCTAGCTTACTGTGATATTTTAAGAGAGATTCCACATTATCCTGGTAAAACGCTTCCTTGAAGTTCAAAAGTGTCTTTTCAAATTTTGGCATGGAAGCAAATAAATGGCGAGTTATGAATTGATAACCCATCGCGCATTTTATTTGAAATTAACTCATAAAATGGTAAATAAAACTCACAAATTAATAGGAAATTATTCTGATTTAGGTTTATTTGCTTCCTCCTCTTCATTATTTTGATTTTTTTGGTCTCCTTGATTATCTTGTTTTTTCTTTTGCTCTTTATTCTTCCTATTTTCTTCATGCTGCTTTAAAAGTTCCTCATGGGCTTTCTGCTTGATAAGTTTATTTTCTTCCACAGCTTTTAGCCTTTGCTCTTCTCTTTCGGCTTCTTTTTGTTTCTTAAGCAATGCCTTGGCCTCTCTTCTTGGCTGTTTTAATGCTCTGCGTGTTGGAGGGACTGTAAACCAAGGCTTTTCTTTGAATGATAATGAGCCAGACTCAATCACGTATTGAACGTGTGTAGGGGCTGGACCTTCTGGATGGAAATGGCCTAAATGACTTCCACAGCCTGAACACTGGACTTCTTGGTCTTTTGGGTTATCTCCAGACAGCCTGGTAGCTCCATCCTCGCTGGCAAAAAAATGACATCTGCCTGTGTCAGGGAAAAATTTGTAATGAGAAGGGAATAATTTTTGCTCACAAACAATGCAATAGTAAGTTCCAGTGTCTTTGACCCACCAATGATCTCCCATGAAGGGTCTTTCAGTTCCTTTGCCTTGAGTAATATAGAGCTGATGAGGGCTTAACTTGAGCTTAAGGTCAGAAAACCTTCGTAGGGATTTTAGTATAATCATAGTGCTTATATAAATATAAAAAGATATGGAAGATTGACGTCGAAATAAGCTTTGATTGATACTTAATATCAATAATTACAGTGATATGAGCATTTCTAGTGATTGCTAAAAATAAAATGGCGGGGAAAATTGGACTCTGAGGTGTAATCTATGGAGCAGGACCAATCATGATAAAGTTGAAACGGGGCCTAAATCGCCTATCAGGTTTGGGGAAGCCTTGCCTACAAGAAAGTTTTATTTCTCCCGAAGGCTTTCCTGTTCCTGCCAGATTGGCTTGGCAGGTTTTGCCAACTGTATGGTCTTCTCTCATCAGAACTATGTGGGTATTCTGCAGGTGGCTCTGCACTGAAAGCTGATCCTTGGGCAGGGGTTCAGTTCAGAAATCCAAAAGGGCAACAGCTTGTGGGTTTACCCGCTTATGGCTAGCATAACCACTTAACTATTTAATAATAGTGATTACTGTTATACTAATTGATATTTTAAATAGGAAAACTGCTATTCTGTCGGAATGCTTTATTCATTGTAATTAGGTATATATAAATTCAAAGCTTGAAATAATTATTCTGCCCCCTCAATAAAAAATATGAGTTTAGACAAAATCGAGCAAGAAATAAATTATTTGAAACGAGAAATCTATCCTTATTTCACATCATGCTTAGCACTTCTGAGGAGGAAAAAAACAAATCAATTGTCGCAGAAAAATCAAATTTCTTTTGATTTACCAAATTTGGATGCCTTCACCCCTCACTAGAGCAAACAAGATTTTTATGCTTCCTCTTAAAGGAGATAATTTATTATTGTATTAAAAATTTTTTTTTAATATAAATCCGTTTTGTAATCTAATTTACCTTATAAAATTTACGCTTATAAGCATTCAAGCTGCTTAAATTTAATATAATTTGCTAGAGATCTCGTTATAACATTATTAGTACTTTATAAAAATAATTTATATTAAAATATTTTTTTCACAATTAAATAGGTTAATTATTCCGAAATAGGGACTTTTCCAATGGTTTTAATAGGTGGAAAGTTAATATCTGAACTTAGTGAAGACCAAAATTTAATCCAGCAACTTGAAGAAAGACACAAACTGTCACAGATTTCATGTTCTAATTCTCTTAATTTGCTTATAAAAGCTAAAGAGTCACTAGAAGCTAAATTAAAAGCCTCAACAGTCCAGCAGAAGCATGTTGAAAGTTCGTGTTTAATGCTTCAAGAAGATTACTTCTCAAGTCTAGCTAGATATATAGAACTAGGGCACAGCATCAATAAAACAACAAATTCAATCAATTCTCTTAAAAAGAAAATAAAGAAAGCTGTCCATGAAAAGAATAAGGAAAAGCAGAATATAGAAAACAGCATGATGGAAAGGCTTGATTTGGAGTCTTCTCTGCGAGAAAAAATAAAATCACTAGAAAAAAAATCCCTTGTGCTACAAAAGGTTGAGACAAGCCATGAAACAAAGGCATCAAAGCTGTCACAAGAAATTTCTATTGAAAATTGCAAAATCGGAGAACAGGAAATTCTCAAAAAGCAATATGAAAAAGAAATTTCTCAGCTTAATGAACAAATTTCAAATAAAAACTCCGAAAACGGCACAGCAAAAAAAGAATATAGTGACGTTTTCTTATTAAATGAAAAAACAAGCCGATTTTTATTTGAGCTTTCTATTCAATTTGCTATCGACAAAGAATCTTTTGAAAAAGTCCTAAAGCAAAAAAGTGACCAGCGAGACTACATCTCAGTTCAAGAAAAAAAGATTGGAAACCTCAAATCTGAAATAAACACCCTGCTAACAGATAAAAAAAAATTCAATTTAAATAAAGTGTGAATTCACAGATCATCACGAGCATTTAGTCAGTTTAAATTTGCTGTAAAGATCTCAACAATCAAATATGACATAAAAAAGCTTGCATCTGAAGAACTGTCTGACTTCTCTCGACAAATTGACGCTGAGAATTCCAAAGAACTTGAAGACTTCAAAGCTATCTGTATCGACCAAAACGAAAACCCTCCAAATAAAAAGCGAGGAAGAAAGCAAAAACCAAAGAAAAAAGGCTCCGAGCAAGTAGCAGTCGCAACTGAAAATCTAGTCCAAAGGAAAAAGAAAAGCAGCGAGCCATCTTTAGCTGGGCTATTTAGCACAATCACCTCAATAAAAAACCTCCCAAAAGACAGCTCTTTAAGCTACGCTTCCAAAAAGAAAAGTTCGTCAATTTTTGAAGACCTTTCCGACTCCTTTTTCCACTAGTGTAATTAATCTAATTAAATTTTAATAGTAGTTGAAAATGGACATCAAGCCTGATGGCTATGTGGAGCTCCAAGATTCCCCACAGATTGAGGTCAAAGAGTTCTTAGAGAACGTCATAAAAGATTTCGACAAGAGGGTGGAAACAATCAGCGTAAACTCAGTGATTACAAGCATGCTGGTTTCCAAGTCTAGCAAATTCTTACTTGTAGGAACTAGAAAAGGACTGGTCCAAGTCTATAAGTTAAATAGCAAAGAAAATTATCCTTTTCAAGGCCATGTCGGAAAAATCAACTGCTTATGCAACCTAAGTGACAGTATGGTCGCCAGTGGTGGAGAGGACAATAAAATCATTTTGTGGAACTTCGAGACAAGAAGGAGGGTCAAAATCATCGCTGCTGATGATAAAGTATTTGCAATTGCAGCAGACGAAGACAAGAAAATAGTGATTTCGGGAGGAGGAGCTGTGAGAATTTGGAGCAGCGAAACTGGAGAACTTGTAAAAGAAATTAAAGATCATAAAGGACATATTAAAGGGATTTCCTTTGCGAAGAAAGGAGATATTTTTGTGACTGCAGCTTCTGATAACAAAATTTTTATTTATTCTGCAAATAGCCCATATGATAAAGTTTCTGAAATCGTCCAAGATTCAAGCTTAGGAAGTTTTGCCTACTGTCCTTCAAATGAGCTTAATAACAGAGAAGAAAAGCCTATACTTGCGTCTACTGGAGAAGACCGAATTATTCGACTGTGGAATCTTTCTGATGGAAGCCATAATAGACTTGAAAAAATGAAAAGCAGCATAATTGCTATCTGCAATATAGAAAATTCCAATTATATGGCAACTGCATGCGAAGAAGACGGGATAGGAATGCTTTATATTTGGGATTCGAACACAGGGAACTGTGAGACTTACCTAAAACTGAATTCTGTTCCAAAGGTTTTGTGCTCTTCTAGCGACGGAAAGTACATTTACTCAGGAAGTATCGACAAAACGATCGAAAGAATCAGACTTGTTGAAGACCCTAAAAGAAAAGATGGGATTGTCACTCATGACGACACAATCAATGGCCTGCTCATTACACCAGATAATTCAAGTATTTTTACTATTGGAGAAGACAATTCTCTAAAAATGCACAGTCTCCAGTCAAACATCACAATTGAGCTACGTAGATATGAAGGGAGGCCTAAATGTATTGCAATTAATAAGCTAGGCACTCTAATGGCAGTTGGAAATGAATATTCTACTATCAAGATTTGGAACACCCAAACTCAAAAAGAAGTCAGAAGTCTAGCCATGCACCACTGGGCGGTCACTTCTGTTGATTTTTCAAGAGATAACACCAAACTTGCGTCAGTTGCGAATGATGCGACTAAATCAGAAGGAGAACTTCTGATATGGGATCTGGCAAGTTTTACACCAATAAAATACGCAACTTCTACAAAAGAAATCCGCTGTGTTTCTTTTGCAAATTCCAATTTTGTAGTCCAAGCGACTGCAGACACTCTTCATGTGGTAAGCTGCACTGCAGCAGAGCATAAGGAGCTTAAAGGATTTACTCAGAATATCAGCCACCTGGTATTAAGCCACAATCAGAAATTATTAATTTCGTTAGGAGGAAATGGGATGATTGATATCTGGGATCTTGAATTTTTCACGCTTATTGCCTCTTTGACTGCTTTGGAAGAGACTCAAGAAATTGGAGAGATGGGGAATCAAATGATTGCAGGGCTTAGAGACTCAATCAGACCGAAGCAGAAAAGAAATATCCAGAGAGTGCCTCTTCTGGTGAGTGGGTGTCTAACTGACTCTGATGAATATTTGATTGTAGGGACTAGATATGAGGAACTGCAGTTTTGGTCAATGAGAGATAAAGCAATGCTGGGGACTGTAAAGCTAGGTAATAATAATTTTAATGTAGGTTCTTTCTTCAGCAAGATGATTTAGGTATGATGGGCTTTTAATTGGTGACGTCAGCAGCATCTATTCTAGTAAGAATTCTAGAAGAGGCAACAAAAAGGGCCAAGAATTATTCACGGGCCGCGTTTGGACTCACCCGAACCTGAATCCAGTGCATGCTTCGCCTATGTGCGTGAGGCAGTGAAAATTACACGTATCCCTCTTCCTCAGGCCATCGAATTTACCCTATACGGTAATTCCATATTGTCATTATGGATAAAGACCCACACGTGAAAACTTAACCCCATAATAATCAATATCAAGAGGAGGAAGGGTTGTCAGAGACAACCACTTCCGTATAGCCATTTTATTATGCAAAGCTAGGTACAGCAATAAAGCATGTAGCATTGGATCCTATCAGTGAATATATATACGTTACAAGCGAAAACCAAGTGATCAGCTTAAAAAACCCTGCTACCACAAAAGGAAATGATGTAAGTGTCTTTGGGCCAAACATCTATTCAGTCTTCTATGTAGCTTTCTTTAAAAGGGTTTGGTCTGGCGATTTCCAAGGCAGCTACCCAACCCACTTGAACGATTGGATAATTCTTCCATGGTGCGTCAATATCATGCATCTTTTTGCTTATATAGTCGATATACAGCTGGTCAACTTATCATTCAAAGGGAAATGCAAGTTTTTAACAACTACAAGCGGAATAAGTCCTCTCAGCATTGCTTTGGAAACTCAAAACAAAGAACTTGTCGATTTGATTATCAAGAAAATCGCAAAAATAATCCCAAGGGACTCGTTTGTACTGACTCGTCTAGAAAATGATCTCCCTAGTCTCATAAATATGACATCTCGCCCAGGTATCTATACTGGCAATGCAGCCTCGAGCACTTATTTATTTATATCCGGCAAGGTTCTGCCAGCTAGGTAAGCAATTCTGGTAATGCATAGAGCCTAGCCGTAGTTCGCTTTTAGGATTGGATTTTACCTCGAGATTGAGGTCCAGAGTTGGAAGGGAAAGCCCAGCATCATCTTCAGGTGATACCTAGACCATCTGAGTAACTTCCTAGCGTGAACGCCTCGGGCTTTGAATTTCCTTTTTGCAGAGAGTCCACCAGAAATTCCTTTTTTGGTGGATAACCTTCGATCAACCCAAGCAGAAAGCCGCAGAAGTATATAGCTTTCCCACTAAATACTAGAGCCGACTAGGCAAGAGGAATCAGAGACTGATACTACTTCATTGGTATCATAGCATCAAGCCATGAAGAAGAGAAAAGGTGGTGTTCAAGCTAACTTGCTAAGCAAATTCATCATCCCAACTCAAAAAAGTTCTCCTGGAGAATTCGCAAAGAGTGTGAATCCCTATTGTGATCCTTGGTAACAGCGCTACATTAAGGCAAACCGCCAAACCTATAATAAGTTTATATCTCCCTAGTCTCAATGAGCTATCAACCCCAAGTCTTTCAAATCTTTATAAATACGCCTTTCTGAGGTCTAAGCAGCCTGGACTGAAGTACTTTGGAATTTTGAAGTCAGACGAAAGCCACGTCTATCCATCTGTCAGCTACAATATAGACTGCAACAACTTTTTAGACAAGACCAATGCTAAGAAAAGCGAAGAGTTCCTCATATACAGAGTCAGCTCTTTCAGAGTTAACCTGACTATGGGAAACGTAGAAGGGATCCGATTTTTAAGCAGCCTCATCGCATGCACAGATCCAAGTGTTTTTGAAGCGCCAATCATCCATACTTATATCATTACAAAGTGGCAGCAAATTCAGTCCTTAATGCTAGGTCACGCAACTTTGTATCTGATTTTCCTCATGATATTGATATATTACACGCTGATTGCGGCTGATAAGTCAACCGAAACTTGGAGTCTGATTTTATTAGGCCTCATTAATACTGTTTTTTTGCTAATAGAAGGAATTGAGATGTCTATGGGGTTCCAACACTTTATTAATGACATGTGGAATTGGTCAGATCTTGCAAGGATATTTTTAGTATTTATTTATCTTATTGAAGCACCTCTTTGGGGAGGGGAATTTTCTAGAATCTTGCTGGCTCTAATTCTAGTTTTTTCATTCCAAAGAGGACTGGGATTTTTCAGGGTATTTAAGCAGACACGTTATATGATTAGTATGATTTCAGAAATCGTCTCAGATATGGTGCCATTCGGGATTGTCCTGCTATTTTCAATCCTTGCATTCACCTTTATGTTTATTGTACTCAGCGGAATTTCTGAAGCGAAAGGTTTTGAAGAGTCATTGATGAATTCTTATTTGTTAGTTTTCAATGCATTTAACACTGATGGGTACTCAGATATCGAATGGATAAGCTTTTATGTGGCAACTATTGTGAACCCACTTATGATGTTCAATCTCCTTGTCGCAATCATGGGTGATACTTATGAAAGAGTCAACGACGAAATGGTTGTCGCTGATATTCAAGCTATGGTCTCAATGATCATTGAATATGAAACTATGGTCTTCTGGAGAAGGAACTCAGGCCAAAGAATGTACCTCCAGCTTTGCACAAATGTAGACCAAGACGAATTTGCCTTGGACTTAGGCCTTGAAAAGAAAGTGCAAACCTTTATAAAAGAACTTACTTCTGTGAACACAAAATTGACATCTATAAATGAAAGCAGCAAGACAACGCAAGATTTACTTGGAAAAAAAATCGCTGATATCAGCAATGAAGGGGTCGAAACATTAAGTGGGATTGAAATTGAAATTAAAAGCTTCAAAGAAAAGTTTGCAGACAAACTTAAAGCTTTAGAAGAAAAGGTAAAAAATAAATAAAAATGATTAGAGAAATAGTTAACGTTAAATTATTGACTACCTGACATGCAATTCTCAACAGCATCATGAAGTTTTTTTCTTACTCCCCCTCCCTAAAAATTATTATTCGCTCACAGAGGGGACTAATTTTTTTTCTTCGAAATTTAAAAAAATGCTTCGCAAAAATTGGAAATCAAATATTAATTTAATTTGTAACATTTATGTTTTAAAACGCAAATAGTTTAAATTAAGCAGAAATAGCTCGAGATTTCATTATAATACTTATCACTTATATATCAAAAATTTTTTCCATTAAAAATTTTTCTATTATAAAAATTTTTGTTCCTCACTGATGGGGGAGTTAGAGGCTCCCATTCTCCATCAGTCTCAAATTTAAACTCAGACATTGCAGCTGATATCTCGTTCTCATCATACCCAAAAATTTTCATCAGTTCATCTCCTTCTCTAAAATGCAACAAAATTACATCAGCTGGGAATCTGGGAGGGTTTCGCTGTAAAAAGTTCTCGAGGAATTGGGACTGATATTCCATTATTTGGTGGAATACTTCCTTTGTAAGGGATTCTGGCTTTTGGACATTTACCTGTATAAGCTTAGTGGTCATTCTTTCAAGAGAATCGCGGACCTCTTGATCTGTTTCATTAGCTCTACAAGAAGTATTGAATATCAATGGGTTTATTCCAGCCTGCTTGCAAACATCGCCTAGAACTCCAGCCAAGAGAGTTTCTTGGAACTGCAGATGCTCAAAAGCTGCTAATTGCCATTTCCCTTCATCAATTGAATAAAATTCTTGCCTTTTATTTAAAAAACTTTTATAGGTTTCTGCGACTCTTTTTTGGGCTGCATTCCCGATTTCTTCGATTAGGGCAAGCAAGTCTGCCTTGCTGATGACACCATTTGAGACGATAAGCTTTTTAGGCTGTCTCAAGCTTTGGGATACATTTTGTATAGAGCTTCCTATGTAGCTTGGCATAGATAGTTCTTCTTCTATAACAAACTCAAGGGTGGGCTCTTTATTTTCTAAATAAGCTGTGAGTAATTGCTCAGTATTGGAAATTATTGCATCTCTGTATTTTACCTTGAAATGTATAGCTCCAGTTGATTTGTAAATTAAGTTGCATAATTCTTCAATATTCAACGGGACAGCAGGAAGTTCTTGGGGTTCTTCATCTTCGAGTCTGACTAAAATGTGAACTTGAGCTTCCATATTAATATAAAAAGTTATTAATATAATTAGAGTGAATAAGTTTTGCTATATTGGCATTTTATATTTATAATCAGACAGTTATTTTAGCATTATTTTTTCAAATTTTTTTTATAAAAATTAAATTCTATAAATATGCTCCTTTAATTATAATTATAAACAAAATTAATAACTGAAGGAGCCAAAAATAACTTTTCTTATAAAAAAAATTTGAAGTAAAAATAAAAAACTTACTCCCCTTTGATAAGTGAACAAAAAATTTGTTCACTCTCGGAGGGTTAATTTTTTTTTTAAAAAAAAATTATATATAGATTTTGAAGAAAATTTTTTTTTTTTCGAAATTTTAAAAAATTCTAATTTGCAAAAATTTGGAAGCAAATATGAATTTAATTTATAAAATTTATGCTTTAAAACGCAGTTTGTTTAAAATTAAACAGAATTAGCTCGAGATTTCATTTTACTAATTATCACTTATATATCAATTTATTTTTCGTAATTAATTTTTGTTCACTCATGGAGGGTGGGTTTTTGGGCAAAAAAATAGGGATTTTTCCAATGGTTTTGTTCAATCACGGAGGGGGGAGTTAGATAAGTTGCTTATTAAAATTCAGAAAAATGAAGTCGAGTACATTGTAAGTTTTATATAGCCTTGAAATCCGTACAGTAACATGGTCAAGAGACACCCATGGGTTATTTGATTACGAGTCTCGCTCAATCACTAAATCGTTTCTAAAAACCGTCACTTCTTGTTCAATTTTCCGTGCCAATCAAACTTGTTATACAGTTGCCGATGACACCAAAGATATTCATGAAGGTACAGAGCCGCTTCTCAGCATTCGAAAAAATCCAGGAAGCTTTACAGCCCATCAATTCAGTGAGTCACTTACTCCCCCCTCCGTGAGTGAACAAAAAAAATTTTGTTCACTCACGGAGGGGGGTTAATTTGTTTTTTTTAAAAAAAATTTTATAAAAAATATTTTTTTCGAAATTTTAAAAAAAATCCTAGTTCGCAAAAATTGGAAAACAAATATTAATTTTAATTTATAAAATTTATGTTTTAAAAAGCAATTCGTTTAAAATTAAACAGAATTAGCTCTAGATTTCATTATACTAATTATCATTTATATATCAAATTTTTTGTTCCATAAAAAATTTTTCTATTAAAAAAAATTTTTGTTTACTCAGCAAAAAATAGCGAAAAACTCTGACTTGTGGTGAAATATATGAAAACAAAAGGCATAAAAGGCCATCTCATGCATGAAGGCGACTGATTAAAGCTTGGAAGGGTCCGCTTTAGAGTCAAAAAAATATCGATAAATAAAGACTCAGTCGACATCCCAGGGTTTCTCGGTTCAATCCCATCCGATGTCGAAAATGTCAAGCAGGAAGACTCAAACCAAGGAAATAACCAGTGCAGAATTTGCCTCTATGATACAAATACAAAATCAGACCCTCTAATTAACCCATGCAAGTGCTCAGGGACAATGAAATATGTCCACATAAATTGCCTGAAAGAGTGACTAAAAAATAAGGTGGCAACAAGGCAGTCAGAAAGGGCAATCTCGTATTATTGGAAAGACCTATCATGTGAGCTCTGCAAGACAAAACTACCATCAGTCATGAACTTCGAAGGCCAAAAAATAGAGCTAATCAGCATGAGCTACCCTACAAAATCCTATATATTAATTGAAGATTATCGCCCAGACAACAGACAAAGCCACGGTTTGCATGTAGTTTCTCTAGACGAAGGTCAATTTTCCTTAATAGGAAGAGGTCATGAGTGTGATTTAAAGCTATCAGATATCTCTGTAAGTCGGCACCATGCTCGAATAAAGCTTGTAAATAATCAATTCATTATTGAAGACCAAAATAGCAAATTTGGAACTTTGCTGCAGTCTAAGAAAACAGTCCCAATTTCGTCTCATCAGGATGTGACAATTCAAGTCAACCGAACTGTCCTGCACTTGTCCTTAAAGGAGCCTTGGAGCTGTCAGAATTTCTGCAGGATGTGCTTTAGCAAACAAGTGATGCCGACTGAAGAAGTGTCGTATTTAACTCAAGAAGGAGGGAACTATGATGAGGACCAAGAAGAAGACCAAGAAGATTCAAGGGAATTAGATGAAGGGGAGTCTCAGCTGTTAGAAGCTGGCTCTTCGCTTTTAATTCATGGAGAGTCTGACTCTGCTGTGATAGAAGTGATAGAGCAGGTTGAAAGAGAAAGAGAAAATGGACAAATTGTAGATGAAGAGAGAAAAGTGGAAGAGGGAAAAGAAGAAGAGAAAAGAGAAGAAGAGAGAAAGGATGAGGACAAAAAAGAAGAGGAAAAGCAAGAAGAAGGAAAAGAAGGGTTAATATTTGTTCTATAAAGAAAAATCTCCTAGAGCATTTCACTTCCCCTCTACTTCTCCCTTGCGATTTCAATTTGGATGAAACTGTTTAAAATCAATTTGATATGTTTGATCCATAGTATTTTCTTTCTCCTCTTTCATTTAAAATGAATTTGTCAGTGGTGAAGAGGTCGAACTATATGCTCTAAAAGTATATAAATGTTTTTTAGCATGATTGGATTTTTTATTATTAGAAAAATTATTCAGGTAAAATATGTCAAAATAAATTTTATGGCTTGGAAAAGAAGATTTCATTGAACAAATGAGGCTAAATGAGCCCAAAGAGCAGGAAAATGAAGAAATGGGGCCTCTTTGAAATATATCTTAATTTTAATTATGAAATTATTATTGTATAGTATTATTTATGATATAGCATCACCTCAGCCCAGATAAAAATATAAATCATTCCGCAACTTACCAAAATTCCATTCTTGAGAATATTAATCTTTAATTCTCTCTATAAATGAAAAAATACGGAGTCATCCTTTTATCACCTTTTCTTATCAGCTTATGACTCTCAATATACTATCTTCCTCAAGACAAAATAACAAGATATCATGGGTCCTCCTCCCTCACAGAAATCCCTCTAGAATCCAAATCTAATCCCTACGGATTTTCACTAAACTATATTGATATTTATACAGGAAGATCCAAAACATCTCAATATCCACCTTTTCTCTTTATTCACGGACACAAAGGAAATGCCACTCAAGCTATAGAAATGGCTCAATATTTTGGATTCCATGACCTGGATCTTGATTTTTATTCAATTGACTTTAAAGGAGGCGCAGTTGCCTTTTCACACAATCTTATGAACGCTGAGGCTCAATTCGTCGTTGACTGTTTAAATGAGCTCTCAATTATGTACGAAAAGAAAATCACAATAATTGCTCACTCTATGGGCGGAATAGTAACATCTTTAGCTTTGTCGCTACCAAATGCCCCAGTTGGAAGAATTTCTACAATAATTGCTTTGAGCACGCCTTTTGAAGCACATCCAACCAATTTTTATTTACTCCTCCCTTTAAATTGGAGCAAAAAATACTGTTTCAGTTTAAAGGGAGTTTAGTTTTATAAGGATTAATTCAAAAAATTAATCGATTCAGGTAAAATTGTTTAAAAAAATATTCTACATGAACTTTTTCAGTTAAATTAGGTCAAAATTATTCCTATTGCAATTTAAAGGACCAAAAAAATAGAAATTTTACCTATGTTTTATTCCAATTTAAGGGGCTGTTAGCTTTTCCTGCAGCCTATGCAAAGGTACATAATTTTTGGCTTGACCCAAAGCATGAAGAGATTTTTATCCTTTCTGCGACTGGAGGTGTAAAAGATTGAATGATTCCTTCTAGGCTTACAAATATAGAAGAATTAAATGATAAGAATTCGCTTCATGCTTACACGACTCAGATTGAAGACCTTCATTTACAAATGAATCATAATGAGCTAGTTTATGGGTCTAAATTTTTAGGAAAATTGAATCAGGCAATTAAAGCAATATTAGATAGTGAGCCAAGTGAAATAAAAGAAAACGTCAATAAGATATGGCAAAATAAAGTTAATAAGCTGCTGAACTATATAGGACCAAAAACAAAAATAGAAAAAGTTATAGAAATTGGCTCCATATCAAATGACTGTAGATTTTGATAGTTTGACATCTCATAGGGGAAAATTTGTTCGATCCTTTTTGATAGTAAGACATTTGACCGGAAAAACCTTTAAATTTCGGCTAAATGTGTACACTATTTAAAAATTTTCGACAAAGGTACTTCGGTGGAATGCACACTATCAAAAAGGCACTATCATTGGACCTGCATCCATAGAAATTATAAAGGTTCCTGATTTAAAGGAAAAGGTCACAAGGGTGATTTCAGGGAAGATTTATTCATTGATTGATGATAACACAGAAGGAATTTTTTTAATAAGAAGCTCTGAAGAGGTTGATCTATTTATTGATTTTGATGGAATTTACCAATTAGAAGCTGAAGCTTTTAAACTGAATAATCAATACTATTACAAAATAAATAGCCCTCCAGACTCCACGTCAATGATCCAATCAAGAGAAAATGCATGGATTTCCTATGAGTTTTACAGCAAGAATCCAGAAGAACTGAGCTTTTCTGAGGCCTTCCTATTTGGAATTGACTACAAAATAAAAGGCTCAGACTCTGTAGCTACTCACATTACCCCAGGTCTTGATTTTTCTCAAGGGAGATATCCAATAAGGATCAAAAGTAAAAATGATGAAAAATTCTCAGTTATTTATGGTAAATGCGGAATTGAAGAAATTGTGAAATACAACGAAAACGATTTTACCTTCTATTTTAATGAATATTGTGCTGATGGGCCTGATATCTGAATTCTTGGCTATGATCCTGAAAAAGTTTATGAATTCGAAATTAGCATTGATTTTATAGGAATGTTTATCATGCTTTCGAAAGAGTTCCGACTGACTGTTGTTAGTATGGCTGCTAGTATTGGCATTATATTAACATTTCCCTCAAAATTAAGATGGATTCTTCTAGCAAGTATTGCAGGATTATTGTATTTGGCTAGCTGCACTTTAAGAGTTTATGGATTTTTAGGGTGGGATCACGTGCACAATCCACATCAGCATTTAGGAATAATTGATGTTGCTTTCATTATGGCAACTGGATATGGAATAGCAATAATTATGGCATTCAACTATGTCACTTTAATTGATTTTTCTTATTTTGTCTGCAAAAAAGTGCCTCAGAAACATCTCTTAAAGTCCTATTATCTTGCAGTACTCATCCTTATTTTCCCTTGAATTACAGTTTTAATCTTGACAGTTATATGTTTTGCTTTAAATAAATCAAAGTCTGTAACTAACTATCCCACTCAGTGAGTGAACAAAAATATTGGTAAAATACCTTTTTTTTGCTAAAAGCCCACCCTCCGTGAGCAAACAAAAATTTTTTTGATATAAAAATTTTGATAAAATAATGATAATTATATATAATGAAATATTTAGCTAATTCTGCTTAATTTTGAACAAATTGCATTTTTAAATATAAATTTTACAAATTAAAAAAATATTTGCTTTCCAATTTTTATGAATATATTTTTTTTTTTATCTTTTATAAAATTTATATATAATATTTTTTTAAAAAAAAAATAAATCCTCTGTGAGTGAACAAAATGTTTTTGTTCACTCACGGAGGGGGAATAAAGGAATTCTTTTCCCAAGCTTCTTATTATTATTCCTTACTATTTCTCAGCAAATCAGCTGATACCTAAACCTTGTGACTTTTTCTTACGTAGAAATTTTAAACCTATATGATGGATTCAATATCCTTTGCTATTTATCTCTACTTTTTGCTATAACTTACACAAATAAAACAATTAAGCCACATAAGGCAGACGTTTTAATAGCGTTTTATATGGCGTGCTGTGGACAAGATCTATTATACAGAACAAACTTCTCCTTAAGTCTGCACTGTTTAGGACTTGGCTTAAGAATTTACCTGTCGAAGACAAAAGAAAGAGAGGAAGATTAATTTAATTTAAATGAAATTAAATCAATAAATAAGTAATAAAAATTAGCTGTTAGCACGAGAGCTTCCATGGCAGTCCCACCCAATTACTAGCCCCATGGCAGTCCCACCAAATTACTAGCCCCATGGCAGTCCCACCCAATTACTAGCCTCACTTTATACCGTTTAATCTCAGAGTTCAGATGGGATCTGGCACTTTAGATTTTAATCCATTTTTTATAAATACTATCTAATTAAATATTTAATTAACACTTAATTTAATCATATACATTACTAACTAAATTAGGTAGGTCTGGTTTCTTTCAATGCTAATGAAGAAGCACTTGCTAGCACAAATCCAACAAGCGACAGCCAAAGTGCTCCAATTGGCCCTGTTGAGTTAATAAGATAGCCTATCACAATAGGGGCAATAATCCCTGCCACCTTTGAAGTGCCCATAAGCCATCCTGTCGATAAGCACCTTATGTGCGTATTAAAACTCTCAGGAGTTGCTGCACTTAACGTCGCGAAACCGACGTTGCTCATCATATTGTTGATCCCTGACATAATCAAAATGATCCAAAACCCTGAGGAATACATGATTGGGAATAAAGTGATAGCTGTAAATAAAAATCCCAAAGCTATTGTGTAAACTCTTCCGAAAACTGTGTCCATCAGTTCATATGAAATGACCATCCCTGGCATACTGCAGCAACTTTGGAACAAAATTACGATATATATTTGATGCTCAGAAATGTTTGGCAGCAATTCTGGCATAAAATATGTGAGACTGGTAGTTGCAATTGAAGAAAAAATGTAAATTGCTGACTCCTAGTTTGGCTAGCAACAAATTGTCTGCTCATTAAGTAAGGTTTAACTCTTTTTTAAATGTTTTTACATTAGAATTATATATAAAAACAATTTTTTTCTGAAATTTAAATGATTATATTTAAAGTGAAATATATATTATATATAAAAGTTTTGTTTTAAAGAATGCAAGCTATAAAAATTATTTATTAATTATATATAAATTATTATTTATAAAATATTTTTTGCTACCTCAAAAATAAGGATTTTTCTAATTGTTAGGCCAAAGAGGGAGTGAGAGAAAAATGGTTGCTCTTTTGTTGTGATGATTGAATAGCTCTTTTAAAGTAGGAGGCTTGTCAGTGACTTCTTCTGAGCTAATTGAATTCTCAAGCATTGGAGTGTCCATCACATTATCGCAATCTGACTTCCCATTGATCTGGGCGATGTGAAATAATACAGTGGCCAGTTTTTTATCCTCGTAATGATCACAGAGATACATTGGAGTCTCCATGAGATAGATCCTCATGATCATAAGAATTAGAGCGATAATCAAACTGTATGACAAAACAATACCTAAAGATTAGACTAGATTAAAATAATTATAGCGGGTCATCAGCAATTATTTCAGTCCCCCTCTGTCCTGGCCAGCTTCAGGCTCGAGGTCGCCCAAAGCACTAGAGTCACACATTAGGCCATTTTCCCCCAAAAATGGCGACGTAACCTAGTTTTTTTGGGGAGACTAGCCCGACAGACTTTGGTCTAACTCTACGATACGGACATCCTTAACCGTGGTCGTGATCAGAGCATGGGAGAAGTACGCAACATGTCTTCTCCTGGACGACCTTACCTTTAGAAAGTGTATTGCTTCCCAGGAGTGGAGTTGACTTTGCGCCTTCGGTCTCATCGTCTCTGGCCGAGATAGAACGCCTGCCATGGTGTCCTGGCCAGGCAAAACTCCGCCCGGATACCTAAAGATGGAATATCAAAAATTGATATTTGTGTAGTTAGAAGGCCAATTCCAAAAGTCGTAATTGAGCCTATGCTGCAAGCACAGTTCATAATCCCTAGCTTGCATCTCTTACTGGGAGGAAAGCTTTCAAAAGCTATAGAATTAGCTAACTCGATTTTACTAATTGAGGTCAAAGCCTATATTTTATTATTAAATCCGTATTAATCTCTATTATGCTTAGAGTTTGTATATAAAATAGTTATATAATTTTTTATTATTTATATCTAAAAGTAAAAACATAAATTTTTTAATTTAAAAAACAATTTTTTCAGTCAAATATAATAAAAAAATTGCCTGCAGTTAATAGAGGGTTAAGACCATGTCTGATCCAGTTCCTACTCCAACTAAGAAAAGTCCAATCTTAAGTAGCATCCATTCTGTGTCTACAATGGTCAAAGTAATCCCAATTATGGTAATAATATCTCCATACAGGAACAGCCACTTCCTTCCAAACCGATTTGAAAAATATCCAAACCCATAGCACCCTATCACATTTCCGAGCTGCATTATGCTTGGGAGGATCCCGATGTTCCTGTCTGGGTGGTTTTCTTTGCTGTCCATCATAATGACAGCGACTGAGGCTCTGGTGCTCGTTTGAAGAATTAATGTCTATATAAATCCTACCACAAAGCAAGTCCAAAATACATAGATTTGATATTTGCCCCATCCCATGCTTTCCAGAATCCTGTTGATTTTGTTCCTCTTACCCATCAGATAATCAAATTTATGTCGGTAAATTACCAGCTATATTAAAAAATCCATTGAAATATAAAAATAAGCTCTATTTTATTGCTTAATCTTAATAAATAAAGAAGTGCCTACTCCTCCCCTTTAAATTGGATCAAAATTTTAGTCAAATCACTATTTTTTGGTACTTTAACCCCCTTTAATTAAGGAATAGTATTTTAATAGAAAATTTTTATAGGTGAAAATACTAAATTTTATAAAAATTAGTTTTGATTTTAATTTAATGTAAAAAGTGGGATTAGAACATATGTTTAAATAGTTTTATCACTGAATCGATTAAATTATTAAATTAATTCTTCATAAAAATGAATTAAAATCTAAAGTATTGTTCTCAATTTTTTAAAAATTTTAACCCTCTTTAAATTGGGACAGGATTTTTTGTCCAATATGAAAGGGGAAGTAAGATAATTTTAAGAGTGGGGAATTTTTAAATTTTCTTTATTTAGGAAAATGAAATTTTTGGTATAGAGATATTTCATAGTCTGTCTCGAGCTTTTTTGAAGGCCTCAATTTGTGTGTGAATACTTTTGTTGGAGTGTCCAATAATTATTTCTGACTACCTGAATTGTTTTTTTAGTAGTTGGCTAATATTTCATAAGCTTTTATTTCTAAATGTGTATAACAAAAACATGAGGTTATATTGTATTTTGTGCATTAAACAAGAAAGCTAATATCTATTTAATGATAATATTAAGACTATTTCATTTAAAAAGCTATATTTAATAGATGCTATTTCAAATTCATCCAACAACTATATGAAATTTGTAAAGTAGCCAACTATGTAAGCCTTCAGCTGTCTTTAGCCAGCCTATGAGTTACCAATTCAAATTGTAGGCTTGCTCAGATAAGAAGGTCAGGCGTATCCCATACTTTTTTCTTGTTAGCTCCATGATATGGGCGAAAAGCTTACCACCAGGTGAACTAAATTGAGCCCATGTTATAATCGCTTAGCCAACAAAGAAACAATTTCCACTCTAATTATATAACAAGTCGATTATTCAGGAAATTATATTATTTTCCTCATATGAATTTTTATTTTATTTTCTTTAATAAGAATCCGCAACATTTTAAAATCCTGCTCATTTAAAGCTACTTTGAAAAATTAAATTTAAATATTTTTATAATTACCTCAAGGTATTTAGATAGCCTTATTCTTTTCTTGATGAGCTAGAGAGTGCAAAACCTTAAACAATGAGTGGATAAAATAAATGGAGTACTCAGTCAAAAAGGGCAATATCTTTTCTCTTCTCGATGATGACACAGAAGAGACCCCTAAAGCAAAGCTAGGGGCAAAAAAAGGACCCTCTAACTCTGAAAAGCAGACTAGTCAAGCTTCAAAGTCAGAAACCCAATCAAAGTAGGCTAAGGATACCAAGAAAAGCCCATCCCAGCCAAAACCACAACAGCCGATAGCTCCAATTCCAGCTTCCAAAGATCCAAAATCCAAGAAAAGGGTAAGCGAGAAGCACCTAGTGACGAAAAAACAAAGACAATCCTACCGAGGCAAAGATGCCAAAAAGGGAGGCATAGCCTCCTAATTTCGCAGACGCAAAAGCTTTCCTGCTTTAGCTTAAAATTGGAATGTCTCAAAAATGATTTGAGTGCTAACGATAAAACCATTGAATAGGCATTTTAAAAGGGACTGTTAGATTCAAGCCCTGCTATAATTAAAATCTAAATGGGTGCAAAAATCTCGAATTTATGATGGCTATAAAAAATATGTTTTGGGGTACTGTATTAACCGAGACCAAACCTCTATTAAGAGGTAATATCTTTGCTCTTCTCGATAATGAAGATACAGAAGAGGCTCCTAAAGCAAAGCCTGAGGCAAAAAAGGGAGCTTCTAACTCTGAAAAGCAGACTGGCCAAGCTTCAAAGTCAGAAACCCAATCAAAGCAGGCTAAGGATACCAAGAAAGTCTCATCCCAGCCAAAACCACAACAGCCGATAGCTCCAATTCCAGCTTCCAAAGAGTCCAAAACCATAGAAAAGGGCAGGCGAGAAGCACCTAGTGACGACAGAAAACAAAAACAAGCCTACCGAGGCAAAGATGCCAAAAAGGGAGGCGCAGGTGGACATAATTGGGGAAAGCCTACAGATTTACCACAAGAAGAGCCTAAAGAAGAAGTTGAAGCCAAGCCAGAAGATGAAGGCAAAAAGGAAGAAGCCACAGTAGAAGAAGCTGTTGAAGAGAAGCCAAAAGAAAACTTCATCACTTTAGATGAGTATTTTGGCACTGCAAAGCCAGAGGACGAAGAAAAAACTGAGGAAGCCCCAAAGGACGAGTATTTGCGCTTTAGAATTAACAAAGGAATCCGGCGCAAGCAAGGCGGGTATAATAAAAAAGGCGAAGGAGAGCAAGAACAAGGAAAAGGAGAAAGAGGAGAGAGAAAAGAGAGACAAGAAAGAGGAGAGAGAAAAGAAAGAGGAGAAAGGGGAGAAAGAGCTGAAAGAGGAGAAAAAAGGGAATATAAAGGACAAAGAAAGAATGCCCCACAGCCTCCTAATTTCTCAGACGCAAATGCTTTTCCTGCTTTGGCTTAAAACGGGAATTTCTCAAATAATTTAAATATTGTTGAGATGATTAAAATGATTTGTAATGCTAAGGATAAAACAATTGAATAGGCCTGTTAAATTGGAGTATTAGATTCAAGCCATGATATGACAAAATCTAAATGGTGCAAGATACAAGAATTTATGATGGCTATAAAAAATATGTTTTGGGGTATAGCTCATACCCCTATATAGATTTCTATATCAAACAAAATATAACGGACTGTTTAACGAGTAATACAGACTCTCTCAAAGAGATAAGCTCAATCTCTATATCAGAAAGTGCTAAAAAGTGACATGTCAAAATGGTGACAAGTGTGAAAAAAATGTTGGCAAGTAAACGCTTCAATTTCTAAAATGGCTTTATTATTAAATTAATTTAAAACTTAAGATACCCAATTAGAATGGATTTGATTAATAACTAAAAATTTTATTTTAAAGTTCTTATAAATTAATGATAATTATAATAATAAAATATATAAATAATAAATGCTACATATAAATTATAATAGATTTAATGATTTTTGATTATTTGTTTTATGTATGGGAAAATTGATTTTAAATACTAAACTCCCCCCCCCCCCTCCGTGAGCGAACAAAACCATTAGAAAAATCGCCATTTTTTGACCAAAAACCCACCCTCCGTGAGTGAACAAAAATTTTTTTAATAGAAAAAATTTTAATGGAAAAAAATTTTGATATATAAGTGATAATTAGTATAATGAAATCTAGAGCTAATTCTGTTTAATTTAAACAAATTGCGTTTTAAAAACATAAATTTTGCAAATTAAATTAATATTTGCTTCCCAATTTTTGCAAATTAGGATTTTTTTAAATTTCGAAAAAAAAATATTTTTTATAAAATTTATATATAAATTTTTTTAAAAAAAAAAATTAACCCCCCTCCGTGAGCGAACAAAATTTTTTTGTTCGCTCACGGAGGGGGGGGGGGAGTAAAAGAAAAATTCAAAAGTGAAACTCCCCATTCAACTATCAAATGAGCTCAAAGAGTCATTACTTTTAGTTGAGACATCTCTTATAATCTCCAATAATTTTTGGATTTATGCTCGATTCAAGATGACGTCCAGTAATGGAGAAATAGATTTGAAATAATACTTCGAGAAAAATTCAAAAGTGGAACTCCCAATTAAACCATCAAAGAGTCTCCAAGAGTAATTGCTTCAGCTGAGACATCTCTCAAAATCTGCAATAATTTTTGGACTTGTGGTTGATTCAAGATGGGGTCCAGTATTTATTATATTCAGTCTAATTAGGTATCTAAAATTTAATAATAAAGCCATTTTAAAAATTGGCGGGTTTACTTGTCAACATTTTTTTCACACTTGTCACCATTTTTTGACATGTAACTTTTTAGTACTTCCTGATATAGAGATTGAGCTCATCTCTTTGAGGGAGTCTGCTTTGCTCATTCAAGAGTTCAGTATATTTTACTCGATAAAGAAATCTATAAAAGGGTAAGAGCTATACTGTTATAACCGAGCACAAGGTTAGAAGTGGTAATATCTTTTCTCTTCTCGATGATGATACAGAAGAAGCTTCTAAAACAAAGCCTGAGGCAAAAAAAGGAACTTTTAACTCTGAAAAGCAGACTGGCCAAGCTTCAAAGTCAGAAATCCATTCAAAGCAAGCTAAGGATACCAAGAAAACCCCATCCCAGCCAAAACCACAACAGCCGATAGCTCCAATTCCAGATTCCAAAGAGTCCAAAACCATAGAAAAGAGCAGGCGAGAAGCACCTAGTGATGACAGAAAACAAAGACAAGCCTACCGAGGCAAAGATGCCAAAAAGGAAGGCGCAGGTGGGCATAATTGGGGAAAGCCTACAGATTTACCACAAGAAGAGCCTAAAGAAGAAGTTGAAGCCAAGCCTGAAGATGATGATTAATTAATAATTAAGGGTCTCTGAGGGTTTAGTTAAGCCCTCTTTCCGCGTTTACCGACTTCAGGCTAGCGCCCTAGGCATCAGGTTGCACTCACGCCCTTTTTTGTCGACGTCACCAGCTCTCGGGAGACGCACCTAGGTACTTCCTTGGATAATCTCTAGTGGGCTGGACCTGGCCAAAACCCGGAGATGGGAGGTGGCTGGATACTTCTTTACCCTCCTTCTGGTCTCCATTATCTTTCGCTTCCAGAAGTGTGAGGTTGCCATATCGACTCTGGTCTCCTTGTCTCTGAGTCGGGGTAAAAAAAACCCTATCTGGAGTCTGATAGGGGTAAAAAAAAAACACAAATTCCGAACTCCGTCACTCTGAGAACGTGCCAGGAGGTAGTGGGAGAAGGAAGGGCTAGATAGTCAACCATTTTATTTGTTTTAAGCCAGAAGATGAAGGCAAAAAGGAAGAAGTCACAGCAGAAGAAGCTGTTGAAGAGAAGCCAAAAGAAAACTTCATCACTTTAGATGAGTATTTTGGCACTGCAAAGCAAGAGGAAGAAGAAAAAACTGAGGAAGCCCCAAAGGACGAGTATTTGCGCTTTAGAATTAACAAAGGAATCCGGCGCAAGCAAGGCGGGTATAATAAAAAAGGCGAAGGAGAGCAAGAACAAGGAAAAGGAGAAAGAGGAGAGAGAAAAGAAAGAGGAGAAAGGGGAGAAAGGGGAGAAAGAGCTGAAAGAGGAGAAAAAAGGGAATATAAAGGACAAAGAAAAAATGCTCCACCTCCTCCTAACTTCGCAGACGCAAATGCTTTTCCTGCTTTGGCTTAAAACGGGAATTTCTCAAATAATTTAAATATTGTTGAGATGATTAAAAGGATTTACAATGCTAACTCCCCTCTCCGTGAACAAAAAAAATTTTGTTCACTTACGGGGGGAGCTAATTTTTATTTTAAAAAAATTTATAGAAATTATTTTTTTTCAAAATTTAAAAAATCCTAATTAGCAAAATTGGAAAGTAAATATTAATTTAATTTATAAAATTATTTTTTAAAAGGCAATTTGTTTTAAAATTAAACAGAATTAGCTCTAGATTTCATTATACTAATTATCACTTATATATCAAAATTTTTGTTCACTCAAGGAGGGTTGGTTTTTTGGGCCAAAAATAGCGATTTTTCAAATGGTTTTGCTCGCTCACGGAGAGGGGGGAGTAAGGACAAAATGATTGAATATGCTTTTTCAAAAGGACTGTTAGATTCAAGCCCTCCTTAACTAAAATCTAAATGGGGGCAAAAATCAAGAATTTATGATGGCTATAAAAAATATGTTTTGGGCTACTTCTTTAAAGCAAGGCAGCAACTATACCCTAAAGCCAAAAGTAGTAAAAAGTAATCTTCTTCACATTTCCCAATGTATTCTTCATCCAAATGGGCCTGAAGGACTTAACACAATCTTTGTTACTATTGAAGATAAAAAATATCCAGTTGCAAATCTAGATAAGAAATCATCAGACTCTACCCAACTCAATCTGTATTTTGAGGCTGAGTCTTCACCTGTTTTTTCTCTTCAAGGACCTGGCGAAGTCTCTCTATTAGGTTATTTCGAGCCAGAAAGCAGCCAAAAAAGTAATGAAGAATCTGATGAGGAAGAAGAAGTAAGTGAGGAAGAGAGTGAAAGTGAAAGCGAAAAAGAAAAGCCTAAACCAAATGATGGTCAAAAGAAAGATAAAATTCAAGAAAAGCCTCAAAATCAAGCAAAACCTAAAGCTCAAGCTAAGGTTGAGTCTTCTAGTGAAGAAAGTGAGAGCGAGGAGAGTGAAGAAGAAAAAGAAAGTGATGAGGAAAAGGATAGTGATAAAGAAAAAGATAGCGATGAGGAAAGCAGTGAAACTGAACAAGAGCTGCCAAAAAAGAGAGAAGGAGGCCCAACATCTGCAGGAAAACCGCAAAAGCAAGCGAAAGGGCAAGAAGTAAAGGCTCAGCCTCAAAAGCAGCAGCAAAAGACACCTCAAAAGCAAGAAAACCAACAAAAACAGCAAACTCCTCAGCAAAAGCAGCAAAAGCAGCAAACTCCTAATCAAAAGCAGACTCCTCAACAAAAACAAGCTCCTCAGCAAAAACAGCAAACTCCTCAGCAAAAGCAGCAAACGCCTAAACAGTCAACTCCTGCTGCTAAATCAGTAGAAAAAAGCGGTCAAAAAACAAATGAAAAATCTGGGAAAAAATAAAAATAAGCTGATTTTCGTTAATTATCCTTTCATTTTTAAATTAAACTATAATATTATTCATATTTTAGATAAATATATCTATTTAAATAAAGTTTTAATAATTACTGCATTTACCTATAGGATGCTAAATACTTAATATGCCACTTTTAATGAATTGTTTTCAAAGATTTCAATATAAATCTAGGATGATAACAATGACTATTTATTTTTAGTTGAATAATTGTAGAAACACCACTAAGTCCTACAGATAATGCTGAATCTTGCCATTCTTTACTACTTGGGCAGAAATTCTCAAGAATTTCTTTTTTAGTTCGATGGCTTAAATAATAATCGGTATTAATGCCTTGAATTTCTTTTCTTGAAAAATCTTCTATCCATAGCTGTTGATTATGCCAAATAGCTTCATTTCTTACAGCTAAATAAGATTTATAAATAGGTGTTGTTCCAATTTCAAAAGTCAACGCAAGCCATTTTGCCTCAGTTTTTTGCGCAAGCTTCAAGCCTGATATCAGCGCTCCGTCAACTTCTCCTCCTAAAATCGTATTAAAACTGACCCTTTTTTTCCCAAAAATTTCTATAGCAGCTTTATTAGACTCTTCATCAGCTACCACAAATGTTTCTTTTCCTTTTTCGCCTAGTCCTGTATGTAGATCTATATGATAAACCAATTCAGAATCCTTTGGTAAAAGTTTGTCTATTTCAGCTTTAAAAGATCTATGTTCAAGATCCATAGATTTCCCAGCGAATTGGGCACCTCTCTGTTTAAATCTTTGTCCAGATAGCATTGCGAAGTTAAATTTGCTTTTTCCGTATTTCCAAAAATAATACCCAATTCTAAGCAAATCAGCTGCACCTAATAGAGGGAAAGATTGAGGGTTAATAATTTCATCAATATCTCGATAAATTTTTTGGGCCTCAATATGCCTAGGATCAGTTTTATATTTTTCCAAAATTTCTGGGAAGTTTGAGATGAAGTTTCTGCCCAAGTCAACATTGTTGATATTGACTCTTCTAAGTCAAGCTGATCCTCATGGATTTAGGGCATGAGCCATTATAATTCCTACATCAGTTGGAAGAATATATTTTTCGTCAGAAATCCCCTGTAATAGATGCGATTGGACTGCGCTGCCAAAGAAGAGCTCAAGCCCATGCACTCCACTTGTGAGGAGAAGTCATTTTTTTGGGGGTGAATTTTTATAAATTTTGATAAAATCAGTGCTTACAGGTTTGCCAGAAGGATCACTGTAAGGGAGTTCATAGCTTGATCTTTGAATAGTCAAAGGAAGTTTGCTAGAGGAATTTAGGAAGAGTTCTCTGCATTTTTGATAGGAACGATTCATTGAATTTATTAGATATCATCTTTCGTAATAAATTCAACATAAAATAATATCAATAAATGGCTACTAGCTTTAAATGCGCATTTTTGATATTAAGAGTGAATTTATAAGTTAATTAATTTATTAGCTATGATATTTCTAGAACTATAAAAATCCTAATCAAAGTGCCTATATGCTAAAGAAACCAGAAATTCTTCAAGTTCTATCAAGGCTTGCCTCTATTCCATCTATTTAAGCTTCATAAGCTAATTAAAATAAGATTCATTTGACTGCTGAGATATATTTTCAAATAAAGAATTTATAATACCCACACTCACTATATTAACCAAAATTTTATAATATCTTGCACCGATTAAATAGCTAAATAAAGAGCATCAATAAATAATTACTTTAAATGTTTAAGGATCTGGAGCATAAAAGATTTTTCTTTATGTGTATCTAGCATGGCGAATCTAAAAAGTCTTCGTACTGATCACCTTCCAGATCAGGCAAATCTGGGACGTTGACTGAAAGCTGTTTATTAGTTCGCATTTTGAAAGAATTTTTAAGAAATATTTCTCTAAATCTCATATATTCGGGCAGTACAGCTGTACTTTCTTCTGGCTCATCATTGCTTTCTTCTTGGATTAAGTCTAATTGTGAGGTATTTCCATTAAAATCTTTTTCAATATACAATTTTTCTGCTTTCTCTCTGATTGACTCTCTTTTGAATTTCGGCTCACTCTTTCCACTTATATTTTGAAGTGAGAAATCCTGCAATATATTTGCACTTTTTCGTTTTCTTTCTATCTTTCTCCTAATTTTATCATTTAAATTTACAAATTTTCCTCATTTGTGTTTTTCTTTGTTAGCCATAAACACAACAATGTCACGGTCAATCTGAAATCGATATAGCTCACAATCTCTAGCTATGTGTCCTGACTTTGAGCATAAATAGCATTTTATTCCTAGAGCTGAGAGGTCTTCTTCGCATTCTTTTACTAACTCCCCCTTCCGTAAGCGAACAAAAAATCTTGTTCTCTCACAGAGGGGGGCAATTTTTTTTTAAAAAAAAATATATATAAATTTTATAGAAAAAAAAATTTTCGAAATTTAAAAAATTAGTAAAAAATTAATTTATTTTTAAAATTTTTCTATTAAAAAAGTTTGTGTTCACTCACGGATGGCGGGAGTAAGAGCTCCGTAATTTCTTTTTCATTGGGCCGCGATATGAACATTCTTATCATTGATAATCGGCTTAAGCTTAGTAGCTCACTATATGCCAAGCATCTTGCTGAAGCACTTCTTGTAGAATCCAAAAAAAAAGAAATTTCTCCAAAATATTTGCCTTTTTTTAACTGTTTAAAAGCTGTCATAGTGGCTTCATGGTAGATTTCAACAATTCCACTCTGAATGAAATAGACATCATTGCTCATTTCTCCTTCTTTAATAATTAAATCGCTAGGAGCATGAACCTTAATCGTTAGATTTCTTCCTAAAGTCCTTAAAAATGATGGAGGATATATTCCAAATGGTGGACAGTCAGTCAAAGATTGGCCACGGGTTTGAATATAAACTTCATCACGCAGCTGAGAGCTGAGGCAGCTAAGAATCTGATCGTCATTAAAATTATTTTTGCTGCTTTTTCTTAAATAGATGATATATTGGGTTATTTTGCTTCTGAGTAGCTTTGGAATATCTTTTTTGTACATAAATTTTCGCAGTTGATTGTCTATTCTTTCCCAATATTTGTATTCAGCAGTTTGTTTTCCGATTACTGTTTGAATGCTTCCTATTAAAAAGCCGAACAAAAAGCATTCAAAAAACATTGTTGTCATTGCGTTTACCATTTGTAAATCAGAGATTATGAAATAGCTTCCAAAGCCGCAAGAAGTCATCGTTAAAGCTGCATAATAAAGCATGAATAAATATCTGGTTAATTAAGTAACACCTTTTTTAATTCTAATTTCATATTTGAAAACATATAGAAATATCGCGGAATGAAAGTTCAATCAAATTCTAACTCCCCCCCCCCCCCTCCGTGAGCGAACAAAAAAATTTTGTTCGCTCACGGAGGGGGGTTTAATTTTTTTTTTTTAAAAAAAAATTTATATATAAATTTTATAAAAAATATTTTTTTCGAAATTTAAAAAAATCCTAATTTGCAAAAATTGGGAAGCAAATATTAATTTAATTTTGCAAAATTTATGTTTTAAAACGCAATTTGTTTAAAATTAAACAGAATTAGCTCTAGATTTCATTATACTAATTATCACTTATATATCAAAATTTTTTTCCATTAAATTTTTTCTATTAAAAAAAATTTTTGTTCACTCACGGAGGGTGGGTTTTTGGGTCAAAAAATGGCGATTTTTCTAATGGTTTTGTTCGCTCACGGAGGGGGGGGGGGAGTAAGGTGATTTTGTGCATTTTTTACGAAGGTTATAAATGCTTAATTTTATTTCTAGAATATACCATAATTTTAATAAATAAAATGTAATTAAGAATCTTGGCTTATGTTTTTGTGTTAAATTTAAATGAGATATAGGTCTAATTAGATTGGCTGAGTCCATACTTGAGGAAATAAAGGCATATTTCTTTATTAATTCACTTACTTATTATCCATGATATCTCATAAAATTTGCCTACGATCACCAAGTATCTATTCTATTCGTAAATAAGCTAAAAAGCTTATGCAGAAGCTAATATACTCCAATATATTTATTGTTTGTTATAAATAGTTAGGCTTGAAGGAGGTGTATTTCCTATAACCACATATCTATCCCCAACATTAACTTTATACATAGAATACAGATCTCCATAACGTAACAGCGCATCTTCGTAAAAAATATTTGTTATGCAACTTATTCAATGAGCCCATAATATCGCTACCAATAAAAACTTAAGAATCTGTATAATAGCCACAAACCGCGGGCTTGATAAAGAGTCCTCAACCAAATATATTATCTTCTTCATCTTCGCAAGTCTCACAAGTTTAAGCAACCATATATAATTTAAAACATCATATCTTGTAATATCCTTTAAATGAACCCCTTCAATAGGCATATAAGACAGCTTATATAAGTACATAAAATTAGGGGAAAAAGTAATAACATCCAAAATAAATCAGCTCTTCACATAATTCCATATTATGGATTTTCTGTCAATAATGTACGCTCCATAAATATAGTAAGCTGTGTTGATTTGAACTAAAATATCCAAAAAATATAAAATTTCTGTTGCTAGCACAGTGCTGAGCACAGCACTGCTGGGTGTTGGATTGAATGACAAAATAAAAGGAATTATTATGCATTGATAAGCTGTAATTGCCAGTATTAAAACGTCCCAAAAAACTCTTAATCCCCCCATCCTTGATCGAACGATTCACTGTAAAAATTCCTAAAAATTGGGAAAAATAACCTCATCCTTGATCGAACGTTTTTCATATCATGCAAATTTTTATAAATATATAAATATATTAGTTATCAAAAGCTTAGGGGAAGTGCCTAATGAAGTTGCTACCAGAGGCTTTGAGACGACAGAAAGCTACGGAATCAGCCATCCGAAGTGCTTTAGCCATCAACCTTGGCTTAAAAACTCAATAATCTAAAATAGAGATTCTTTAAAATTTAAAATTTTTAATTCAATAAGGAACAAATTAAAATTTATACAGTTTGAAAGGGTAACCAAAAAATCAAAATAATAAAAATTGGTATTTTTATGAAATAATTTCAATTTTTTACTGTAAAATAATTATTAAATACTCTTTAACCCTCTTATTTAAAAGTATATAAAAAAAAACATATATTTTTTATTTTATATATAAATTGTTTTCCCCCAAAAACATTTTTTTTAACCCCCATCCTTGATCGAAAGATTGCGAGCCGTTCGATCAAGGATGGTGAAAGTTAAAAAGTTGTCAGGGTCGAACGCTTTGATTAGCTGTCCTTTCTTCGCAGCTTTCCTTGCCTCTTTAAGGTGAAAAAAATTCTCAAGTTTTCTTTTTCTTTCCCGTTTGGTGATTTTCACAGACTTTCTCTCATATTGTTTGATTAGTTTCAAGTGATTTAAAATGGAAAGCATAGGTCATGATCTAGTAACATTTGGGCTTGTTTCTCTTGTGTAATTATTTTCTTTCATTTATTACATTTAAATTATGTCAAGGACAAGTTTTGAGTCTATACGTATGGAGCATAAATAAATGAGAGGGCAGAATATAATATATATAATTTATTAATAGTGTTATAAGGTTAGATTTTGAAAAAATTAGGGGAGAAAAATGTCTATAGAAAAGGCAGTAATCTGGTACTGATAATTATTGTGCGAATTATGAGAATTTTAGCAGGTAAATTTATTTTTTATATCGGTTTAATAATAGCTGGGATTTCTCGTGGGAATTCGGAATCGGTCGTGATGAGAGGGGAGGCTTACGGGCTTTAAGGGTGTTTAACTCATTTAAGAAATTTTCAACTTCTGGCCTGAGAATATTATTATAGTTGGAAGCTCTTGGAGATTGGTCAGAAATTGTGACGTGCTTCTGAGTTGGAGTTGAAGGTTTAGAAAAAAACTGTGGTTTTATTTCATAGTTATCATTATTTTCAGTCAAACAGTGAGAAGGGGTCCCAGAGCTTGAATTAGAAACACCTTTTCCTAAGGCTCTTAATATGCGATTTCTTGGGCCTATTGGAATTTTCATATCAGCTAAGTCTTCTCTAGTTAAAAATTTTAAGTCATGAAAAGTGACCATTTGCTTCTGAAAGACTTCTTGGAATTTTTCTAAATCAAGCGATTTCAAAAATTGTGTCATCTTATCTCCATCGCCTGCTTTATTTTTTTTCTCAGTCCTACAGATGAATTTTTCGTTGTACTCGGTATCATTATTTTTTTTCCTGTTTACTGATGGATTATTTGTGTTAGGTTTTAAAATAGATAAAAGAGTTGAGTCTGTTGAAGGGCATCTACTAATTTCGTCTTCTTTAATTGCAATATCTGATATATCAGCTTTAAATGGAGCATTATATTGCTTAAATACACTCAGCTTTTCTTGTACTGATTTTAGTCTTGCCCTGATAGCTATTGAATTGCTTTGAAATTCCTCTTTTAAAATTGATCGTTTTTCCATTTAAATTATCATGAAAGTAGGCAAATTCATAATTAATTTCTAAAAGTACGTAAAATTGCCACAAGCTGTATTATATTAAAAATAAAATAATATTAAAACCGTATAAAGCCTTTATTACTATATATTTCCAAGAAAACCATTTCTAATAATTGTAAAAAATGACTTTCCTTTTATTACTTCAGCTGTTTTGAAGTAATGCTCTTGGAAGCGATACAACATTCTTGGAAAGGAGCTATAATTCCTCAACAGAATTGCTTGGCAATGAAAAAGAGAAAATAATCAACGATAATTCTCCATCTAATTCATCTCACTTGATGCTGCAGCAAACTGATATTATTGAGCTAGTAGATGGGGAGCCTTATCATGGGACTACTGATCACGACACATATGTTTATTATAGTTTCGAAAATCCCAAAGAAAGCACTGACTTATTATTTGTCTTGACCACCTTTTCTGGAGATGCCGACTTATTTGTATCAAAAGGCAAAAATAAAATAACGAAAAAAGAAGATTGGGACTGGAAATCAGAAACTCCTCAAGGTGAAGTTATTTTGATCAAGGCTGATGATACCTATTTCTTAAATAATCATGTCAATATGAAAGGGAAATATATAGTTGGAGTATATGGATTTTCTCCAACATCTTTTACTATAAGAGCTACAAGCAACCCTGAAGTTGTCACAAAATTAACCCCAGGCAAAGCCCAGACTGGCTATTTAAATGCGACATCAGTGAACTTTTATTACTATTATGTGGAAAAGAAAGCTGATATCATTATTTCTCTGACTCCTATCTCTATAGTTGTTAACGCATGCGTCAAGCCTGTCCCGAAAGATGAAGACATCCATGAATATCTGCCATCTCCAAAGGATTATTTATGGTCAACCTACCAAAGCTCTAACCCAAGTGAAATTATAATAAGCAAGGACGACCCAAGCTTCTGCACTGATTGCAATATTACAATTGCAGTAAGACAAGAGACAACTAATGGAACTATAACAAGAAATGGAACACATTCATATAACATTGTCATAAGAAGCGATTTTAATTATATAACTCTGCTGAATGGAGTTCCGTTTAAAAGCCACCTAGGCCAAGCGAAATGGGATTATTTTGAGTTTGAAGTTGGAGAAAAAGTGGATTTAGACATCTCCATTTTTTCATACAGCGGAGATCCAGATATTTATGTAGGAACAAATAAAACCATCAATAGAGAAAATTGCAATTGGTTTAGCTTAGCTAGATATCAAGTAGACCATATCAAAATTTGGTCTTCTGATGTAAAGTTCATTATAGGGACTTATTATATAGGGGTCTATGCTTTTGATGAAACTTCTTATTCAATTGTAGTGCAATACAGAAATCGCTACATAAAGCTAGTAGACGGATGACCACAAACATATAGCATTTCTAATATAAAGTCTTATCCTTTATATTTCGAATATAAAACTTCATCATTTGATTCTTTTTATTGCCAATTGACTTCACTATCTCCTGATTTTTATCCAGATGTATATGCTGATTTTAATGAAGGAAGAAACACAGATTTCCCTGATAATACAAACTCCGAGTTTAAGTTCAGTGAAACTGACTATGATAAAGTTTATAACAAATTGTACATGGCCTTCGCACCAACCAGTCAAAAATGGGAGGTCCATATTGCCATTTTAGGAAATAATACAATAAAAGAGAATGAAACTATGGGAGATTTTGAGCTTTTTTGTGCGTCTAGTTCTCAGTTTACTCACATCAAGCCTGGCCAGACACACTTTGATATCCTAAAATTTCCAGTAAGTCACCACAAATATTCAATAGAAACCTACGAAAAATCAAGATTAGACGTCTTTGTCGCTCCTTGTGAAGGGAGTTTTCAACTCGATATCTCATCCAACTGAACAGTAAATTACGACCGAAACCCTGATATTTCTGTATTACGACTTACTGATGGAATAATGAGAGGCTCTATAACCAATGCAAAAGGAGTTTATTACATCACAGTTACATCTTTAAACGCGTCTGCATGGTTTAATGGTATTAGCTATCAGCTAACTTCTAAGATAACCAAAGCAGGAGATATAGAAAAAAAGCTCCTGAAGCCAGGAGGTGACGGGATTATTAAATGGACAAGAAAAAAGCATCATGTTATAGTAAAATGGGACGAAATTTTATATGACGATGATAATGAAAAACCATATGAGTATCCTAGTAATGTACTTTATCAGATTTATGCGACTGAGGATGAAACAGTTCAAATGCAGACAGCATGCGGAATCCATACCGCAGAAATGATGGGAAAAGCAGAACTGGTAAGCCGAGGTGGAGCTGATAAAGGTGGAACTGTGGTCAGGCTAAGAGGGCTTAAGTCTTATGTGAATGTTGTAGCTTCTATTGGGGGAGAAAATAATATGCTACTGAGATATGTTCCTTATAACCCGACACTAATTGTAGTAACTTCACATGAGCCACAGTGGAAAAGAAGAGTTATTATTTGGGGATTGATCTTAGCAATACTATTTGCAGGAGGAATTGGGATATATTTTTATATGAAGTACAGAAGAACCAAGAGAGTTTTGCAGTATGAAATGGGAGAAGTCAGAGACTCAGCAAGTGAATTAGCAACCATAAACCGTAGCCCGAGCTCCTCACAAAAACCCTAATTGCTAAGTCTTTTATCCTAATTAATTCAAATTTAAATCAAAATTTAAATTTTATTGTATCTAATTATTAAAAATATGAAAATTCTTAAGGATAATTACTTGAAAGGTTTTTATTTTCCTTGTTTTCATAGTTTGAATATTTTTAAAAAATTTCATTGAACTTCCCTCACATTTATAAAACTTTTAATAAAATATGCTTTCCAGTCAAACCAGATACACTTTTAGTGAAAAGGTAGAAAAAGTTGAACTTGAAAGAAGTTTTCGTATCAAATCTCGAGGCTCAGAATCTCGTGAAACTCGTCATCACAAAAAATTGAAAAGAAGATCCGCAGCTCTTGCAAATTCTCCAAGCATGTCAACCAATGCAAGCTTATTGTATAATATTCAAAATCAAAGCACAGAATCTATTTCAAGCCAAATTCTCCGCTCTAAGCCACCTCGTGTTCCACCTCTTTTAACTAAAAATATTTTGCTGCATAAATGCAAAGAAAAAAGCGAGCGCAGCTGCTTAACTCAGGCAGATGATTTGTTTTTCCTGAACGAATATAAGTAGGTTTTATATAGAAAAATTGAAATAATAAAAACTCGACAAGTACCTTGCTCGAAAACTCCATTTTGGTTTCAAGACATGGTCTTGCTAGACATTTCGTCTAAGAGGCTGAGAGATTCAAATAGGTGTTTGCAGTTAGAAGATCTAGTGCCTAATGACATCAAAAGATCAGATTTTACTAAATGGGTGAGCCGAATGAATGGAAATAGGAACTAACTCCTATATGATATCGCATAAATTTTGAAAATAAATTTATAAAGTATTGCAATTTCTGCTGATCTTTGAAAATTAACCCTAAATATAATTTAAAGATCTTTCCCTGAAACTACAGATTTCACAATTTTTCTTAAAATAAAGATCATCTATCATCAATGCAATAAAAAACCCCTGAAACCTCGCTTTCATTTTTAAAAATCCTTAAAATAATCAAAATTGTCAAAAAATCCATATTTATATCTAACGATGCAAGCTAACCGCTTTATTTACAGCTCAAAACACATCTTCTCACCAGGCTTCGATTTAGCGATTCCAAAAGCCTCAGACCTCTTCCAATCATCTCATAGAGATGAAGCTCTTTCTCGAAACCTCCCCACACAAGCAGAAAGAATTTTGGATGCGCCTGATCTTTTAGACGATTATTACCTAAATCTATTAGACTGGAGCTCATTAGACAGTTTAGGTGTTGCATTAGACAACACAATCTACGCATGAACAAATGGAGAAGTGCGAGAAGTCGTCAGTTCGCCCATAACAATTACCTCACTAGCATGGATGCCAGGAACCCACTGCTTAGCAGTTGGAGACACTGAAGCTGATTTGACGCTTTATGACATACAGGCTGGGAAGAAAATAAGAGTCATCCATGCTCATACAGACAGGATTTCCAGCTTGTCCTGGAAAGGTAGTATCCTATCTTCTGGGAGCAGGGATTCGACTATTGTCCATCACGATATGCGAGCAAAGCACTTTCAGATGCAAAGTAAAGGTCATTTCCAAGAAGTGTGTGGACTTAAATGGAGTGACAGATACCTTGCTTCAGGAGGAAATGACAATCATTTGAATATCTGGGAAATTGGGTATTCAACACCTACTTATAGTTTTCATGATCATACTGCGGCTGTTAAAGCTTTGGCTTGGTGCCCTTATACAGCTGGAGTTTTGGCTTCTGGAGGTGGATCAGCAGACCAAACTATCAGACTTTGGGATGTAGCAAAAGGAAACTGTATCAAGACAATCAATACTGGAAGTCAGGTCTGTGCACTGGAGTGGAGCAAGCATGATACAGAGCTTTTAAGCGCTCATGGATTCGCTGATAACCAGCTGACTGTATGAAAATATCCTTGCATGCAGAAACTTGGAGATATAAAAGGTCACACTGCAAGGGTTTTATATTTAGCGCAAAATCCTGAAGGGGATCAAGTGGTTTCAGCTGGGGCTGACGAAACCATACGATTTTGGAAAATTTTCGAAAAGCGAGGGAAAAATCGAAGCATGGATCTGAAATTCTCATGTAGATAGCTAGGTTATAAATTTTTTATTTAAAATGCTTTATTTGAGAAAATAAATAGATATTATGTAATTACTTGGGGCTTAAAGGCTATTGGATTTGTAACTATATCAATACTTGAATAATTATTTAATTGAATTTTATAATATGAATCCTGGTTTTACAATAAAATAAATGGGAATTCCTACTATCCCATTGATAGTTGTATTCACAGGGACACTCTTAATTGGCTTTGGGTATTGGAAATCCGTTTTGTATGGATTTTTCTATCCTGAAAAGAAGGCAGAAACATTAAGAAAACTAGCCTTGAGAGAGTTTAAATCAAATAATGGAAATTATTATGCTTTTCCCAAAAGTGAGCTCCCTGAAAATTGCATTCATTATCTTAACCAGCTAAATCAATGCCTTAAGCTATCTAAAAGCGAGTCCTCTATGTGCCAAATTTACGTTGATGATCTATTTGAGTGTCGAGAAAGATTCTTATAATCAAGTAAACTAATTTATTTTTAAATAGTAAATATTTTGTATTCTCTTAAATCTGCAAGGATCATTAAGGTAAGAGAATATAATTATAAAGAAAAAAGAAGGATTTAAAAATATAAATAATTATCTTAAGCAGTTTATTATGATAAAGCTCTTACTAAGCAATTTAATTTAAATACGATAAATTATAGGGTTTTTTACCAAATTTAAAGATAAGAAAAACTTAAAAATAAAAATATTACAATAATTTTCCATTTACTAATGATTTTATTAAATTCCAGATGAAAAGATCAGCCTTGACTCAAAAGCTTACCCTCATTTTGCATATCTGAAACTTTAGCTGAAGAAGCTAAAATAGGTGACTGCAAAATAGGTATTTACACCATCACAGAAAATTTTGAAAATTGTAACTATCTTTTTGCCAAATTCGATCAATTAAAATCCGCAGTAAAAACACTCCGGCTTAAAGGAATATGAAATAAAGTTCTGCCTTTAGAATCTTTTCAGCAATTCGGAGAAGCAATTATAAGTCTCTCCCACACTTTTGATTTATCATTGATTCAAAGAATGAAAGAAAGTCAAGAATCTAATGCCCAAGCTAGCCTAGGTGCAAGAGCTTACCATGCTCTGCAAAATATTGTTGGTGAGAATAGAGCAAAGCAGTTATCAGCAAGATACAACAACTTTGCTGAATTGGCTGATGTTGGTGTGTTTGACTAATAATAAAAATGAATTATAAAAGGACTTCTTAATTTTTATTAGAGGAACTAAATCGCTAGATTTATTAAGCTAATTAGTTTAGCTTGGTTTATATCTACTTTTTTCTCTTCTTATTAGATAAAAAGTGAATTTTCTTATATTAATATAATTTTTTATCAATAATTATTTAAGTAGCTTGAATCCTTAATCAATTTTTATTAAAAAATAATGATTATTTTTACAAGAAATAAATTGAATTCTATTGGAGCTCTTAATTAAATTTTACATTAATCAAGCCCATTTATCAATTTTTAATTCTCTGGTTCCATATTGCATATAAAAATTTACATGACGAAATCCGCACTGGGTTCTTAACCTTGATGATACCCGCTGTTCTGATTCATTCACAATAAAATGATGACTACTACGTCGATCCTAACCCATGAAGGTTGTTCTGCAATTCTGATTCAATACTTCATAAACTTTGCATGATGATTAATCACATGTATGACTCATGCTTATCATAAAGGCTTTTATCTGAAAATCAACTTATCCATGATGATAGTCAAAATACTCACCTCTGAATCGTGGTGACAAATTTTGCCCCTATCTGATATATTTATATTTTATGATGAAAACTCATCTGACACCTCTAGAACGAGCGTTGCTATGATCACAAACCTTTTCTGACTTTCATACAATAAAATTTAGTTTCATAGCTATTAAACCTTTAATAATTATGCATAGAATTTCTTTGATTTTAAAAAGCTAAATTTATGCCTCTGAAATCCATTACATTATACAATTAGTTTTGCAAAATAATTGTTTGGGAAAGCGAGGAGATTATATAATCTAGCATTATTATAATGATTTAAGTATATAAAAGAAAGTGTGCAAGCATCGATATCAATTTTAATTTTTTTGTTTAGTATTAGAGAATTATTAAAAGTGTTGAATCTAATTTAATATTTAAAAATCCGCTTATAAAATTTAGGATTAAATTTTTTTGGTATAGATGAAAATAGCTAACACTCCTAATTACCTTACCTATAGTTTTTATAAATGCAGAATAGAGGAAATAACGAAGGATTAATGAGCTTGCTTACTAAAGAGATACTCTTTAAACAATTGATAGGGTTTTTACCTATAAGTAAAATGTCAATAGTATTGAAACCAAAAAGCTCATGAATTGCAGCATGAATTAGTAGCTAATACAAAAGATTTTGTTAATCCTAGTCTAATGAAATCATAATGGCAAATGATTCGCATTTTAAGAAAGTTATTGATTAAGAATTGCAATTTAAAAATGGGCATAACATTAAGCCAGCAAACACAATTAGATCTTAATAAGCTCGCAACAATCAACGTCATGAAGCTATGGAACGAGAATTCTCAATCTGGATCCATGAGCGAAGCTATTTTTCAAAAATTTTTATCTTCTTTAAGCCAGACTTTATCAATGCCTCTAACACCTACACAAGTATCTAATGCTTTCAATAAACTCCAAAATAAAGGTGAAGTCTCTTTTTCTTCTTTTGAAACAGAGTTCACAAGCTGATGCAACGACAAAGTTAAAGAAGATTTTGGGACTGAGGTTTTACAACCTATGGCTCCACAGCATGTAATTAACAAAGAATATCAGCTCTTCTTGGAAACAAATTCTATTGTCTATAAGAAGTTTTATTTGAATAATCCAGACAGTTTTGATAAAGATTTAACAGTGAAATCAGAAAATGATGTAGTTATGAAAGTAAGGACTCCAAGGATTATAGTGAAGAGAAACTCGGGAGAACATGTGAGACTAAAAATTATTGCTCCTACACTGGAAGGAAAGTTTCAATGTAATTTGGTTCTTCAGCATGCTTCAAGCTTGATGATTGAAGAAGTACTAAGATTTAATCTGGAATTTAAAAGAAAAGAAGAAAGGATATCTTTTGGGTCATCAGGACAGAGGCCGCCTAGCTCTAGTGGGAGTATAAAAAAGACAAACTCGTGGAGCTTCCTGGGGAGGTCGCCATCTCCAAGTAGAAACTTAAACGATTCTTAATAGATTATTACGATAAACCTTTTTCTCTTCTCATTTCTTTAACGTTGTCGTACAGTAGGCTTTTTTGGTCTAAATAAAGAACCCAGTCACCCTCTGGGAACTTTTGGACATACCCGTTTCTTTCAAGCTCTAAAAGAGAATCAAGATCTCCATGAAGATATATTTGAGCAGATTCTCCAGATTCAAGCTGCTTTTCTTTTCGAATGTAGTGATTAGGCACTCCTTCAAAATCGTCTAGTGCTGGAATGTCTTCTGATTTCAATAGATAAAGCTCACCTTTAACTCTTCCTTCACCTTCGATAGCAAAAGGATAACAGCCGTCAGTTCTTGGATATAAATCGAGCCCGCTAGCATAGTCTTCTCTAACGAAAACTGGATCTTTGAGAACATGATAATTAGATAATGCATATCTAAGAGTGCCGTATACGAAAACCTTTACCCTTCCTGAATGTTCTATTGACATCTTTGTATCATCCTATGTATTCAATTTTTTTAATTCACGATTTCGGAATATTACCGTTGGCTCAATATGGATTCAAATATACTTCCTATAGATTACGATATAAATAGTTTTAATTGAAAATTGATATTATAAATAAATCTGTTTTGTTGTGTATGTATTCTTATATCCATTCTACTTTTTAAGACTATTTTTTTTTTTGGTATTAATTAAATTACTTTGATTTCTTAATTTTTATAATTTCAATTCCAGAGCTTCTTATTTATCTCCTTAAATGCTCTTCTTAAATTTTTCTCTAATAATTTAATTAATTCTTCCACTTATTCTGAGTGGCATTTTATGCGTTTCAGCCGATCCTACTAAAATTGAAAATTTTCCTTTATTTCTTCTTTTCTTTCTCCAATGCACTTACCAATTATTTCTTAGTATTTTTAGAAAATTTAGAAAATTACAAAAAGGGTCCTCACTAATACGTCATGTCAACTATTATAATAAAAATAATGAGCGGAAACTGGCAAGTTGCCTTGTATGAAAAAGCCAAAAAATCTAAAACTCTAGCAATTCTCAGTGAAGAATATCAACGAGGAAAAGGGCTTACACAAGACTGGATTAAAAAATCACGTGAAATTGCTGACCGGTCAACTTTCCTTATACTAGCCGGTGCTGATGAGCTGTGCATTTGGACATTGACGAATTTCGATAAACAAATACATATTATCTATGGGATGATGGATTGGCGAAATATTTTCTTATGGGCTTCAAAGAACAGGATCCTTGAAGATTTTCAAAGCCAGGTCAGAAAACAATATGACGGTACAGTCAACAAGTATATCAAGCATACCAAGCTTTATGAAAATTTTACTTTAAGGCTTGTGGAGCTCTCTAATTTCTACCAAAAGAATTATGAAGAATGCAAAGAAATATTCAATTTTTTATTAAAAATTATAAAAATCTATCCAAATTATAATATTAATATATAAAATATAGCATTATCACAGTTATTTAAGAGGTAGTATTAATTTATTATAAAATAATTTCGACCAAAACTCACAATGCAAAAGAAAAAATAGACAATTTAATATTTTCAATAAAAAACATCAATGCTCAAGATATCCTTGAAAAAGAGTGGCCACAAAATTTCCTTGACCAAGTCGACTCTCTTTTGACATATTTTGGAGGCCAAAAATTTGCAAAGAAACTCCATGATGGAATATTAGATAAGCTTGACCATGATGAAGATGGTGTTCTTACCATTGGAGACATATATGAGTCTACTAATGCAAATAAAATTGCAGAATGGAGTAGACAACAAGCGAATTATTTTTCAAAATTATTTATTGTTAACGGGCAATTTAACTAAGTTTTTATAAATGATAAATGTTAAGAATTTCTAGAAATTAATTGTAAATTATGATAATATAAGTTTTAGCAATTTTTTCAGTAAATAATGTGATATTTATTATAATATAGCAATAATCGTATTAATTCTACATAAATTACAGCTTAAAATAGCATAGACTTGATGCCTTCAAAAATTCGATGCTCATCTGGATAATACATCTTTTCAAATACCAAAGGAAATGGAGTATCCCATCCACAAACCCTATGAATCGGCGCTTCTAAGTGCAAGAAGCAGTTCTCATTGATAATCGTCGCTATTTCTCCAGCAAACCCTCCAAATTTAGGTGCTTCATGAGCAATCAGAACTCTACCAGTCTTCTTTACGCTATCTATAATAGTTTCTCTGTCAAGAGGGCTAATAGTCCTTAAATCAATCAATTCGCAAGAAATTTTTAGCTCTTTCTCAGCCCTTATCATAGCTTTTTCCATATGAACAAGCTGCAGCCCATAGCCAATCAAGGTAATGTCTTTCCCTTCCTTTAAAATTTCAGCCTTACCTAAAGGAATTTCATAGTCTTCATTAGGGACATCAGCAACTGCAGACCTATACAACATTTTCGGCTCGAAAAAGAGGACTGGGTTTTGGTCCCTAATGCTGGCTAATAAAAGTCCTTTCGCTTGGATTGGTCCTCTCGGAATCACAACTTTCAGTCCTGGAGTGTGAGCAAAATATGCTTCAGGGCTTTGTGAGTGATAAAGGGCACCATGGTCTACTGCACCATAAGGAGCTCTTATAAGCAAAGAGCCCACGTTAAATTGCCCACCTGATCTGTATCTATATTTTGCAGCCTCATTTACAATTTGGTCAAATGCTGGGAATATATAATCAGCGAATTGGATTTCAGCGATCGTCGTAATGCCGATTGCTGATAATCCTATAGCAAAGCCAGCGATTCCTTGTTCACAGAGCGGGGTGTTAAATACACGATTTTCGCCATGCTTTTGACGTAGGCCTTCAGCGACACGGAAAACGCCACCAAATGCAATGTCTTCACCAAATAAGCAAGCTCTATGTAAAATTTACGTTTTGTCTTTTGTGAGGGTGATGTCAATAGCGTTGCTGATTGATTGAAGCATGGTGCGGCGAGTTGCAGGGACACCAGAAGGAGCTTCAGGAGAGGTGCCAAAAAGAAGAGATGAGAATTTCCTTGTGGCTGCTCTCTGCATTTTTATTTGTATTTGTGAAGTTAGAAGAGAGTTAATTTAAAATCATAAAATGTAAATTTTGAGATTCTTTTGATGTTGAATTTTTTGTTAAAAATATTATAAATTTTAGTAAAATTATATTAAATATGCACCTAATTATGATGAAAAAAATTCATATAGGTTAGCTGTTATCTTATTTTATAATGAAAATATGAAAAAAGTTGCCATTAGGTGTATTTATATTCATTGTAATTAGGTATATAGCCCTTGCTTATGCTTGATTACATTACGCTGCAAGAGCTACTGCAAATGATTTTGGTGCACTCTGTGGCAAAGGACTCATTATGCTGCTCGATTTCTTCATAGAGTTTTCCAAGGATCCTTACCCTATATCCATATTTATGAATTCCAATATTTTCAAGCTCATTGTGTCCCAGAGGATGCTCAGATCTCATCTGTTTGATAAGAAACCTATAATCATCATAGCCAGCTCTCTCAAAATTTTCTATTAAACAAGCAAGTTTGATTCTGCTCAATCACTCCTCCATACTCACATATTCTCCTTGGCTCAATTCTTTATCTTGAATATTACCATTTGTATTTTCTTCGAAAGCCATCAGCAATCTCATTCTATGCCCCGGTTTCTCAATTCCTATGCATTCCAAAAACTCCTCATTTATCTGTGATTTTTGCATTTTTTCAAAAATCACATCTAAGTTATGCAGTCCTGATATTTCAAGAATTTCAAAATACATTTGAAGATCATATCTACTTACTCCCCCCTCCGTGAGTGAACAAAAAAATTTTGTTCACTCACGGAGGGGGGTTAATTTTTTTTTTTAAAAAATTATATATAAATTTTATAAAAAATTTTTTTTTTCGAAATTTAAAAAATCCTAATTCGCAAAAATTTGAAAGCAAATATTAATTTAATTTATAAAATTTATGTTTTTAAAAAGCAATTCGTTTGAAATTAAACAGAATTAGCTTTAGATTTCATTATACTAATTATCACTTATATATCAAAAATTTTTTCCATAAAAAAATTTTTCTATTAAAAAAATTTTTGTTCACTCACGGAGGGGGTTTTTGGGCAAAAAATAGGGATTTTTCTAATGGTTTTGTTCACTCACTGAGGGGGGGTTTAGGAGTTCATACACTTTATTTGCAGAAATTGATCCTTCTGCTTCAGAATCTAGCTCATTTTCAAGCTTCGGCTCAAAAAGGCAAGGCGAGTCTTTTAAAATTGACGAAAAATCGGTCTCAGTTATTGAATTTATTTTTACATGGTGTGATTGCAATTTCAATAACTCTTTTGCCTCAGGCTCCGAAGCTAAGTCATAAGCTAGATTTCCATCATTATCTCTGATGCATTTATCAGCAAAGTATTTTAATAGCAAACTTATGCAGTCAATAGAATTGTATTCAGCTGCATAATGGAGAGGAGTTCTACCAAGAAAATTATTTTTTTTATTGGGCTCAGAATTATTTGACAGCAATAATTCGACCATGTATTTATCTCCTCGAAATGCAGCATTATGCAAAGGGATTTCGCCTTCAATAGTTACACTATTTGGATTGGCGCCATAACGTATCAGAAGACTTGCAATTTCCAGTAATGAATTATCTGCAGCATGATGCAAAGGAGTTTCTCCAATTTTATTTGTAATATTTGGATTTACACCTTTGGACAGCAAAAATTCAACGAATTTTTTATTATCTTCTAAAATCGCATGGAATAACATTGAAGCGTTTGCCTAAATAGTGTTTTACTTTTTCTTCTGATTTATCAAATAAATCAGGATTTTCGTTTATGATTCTGCTTAAAACGGAAGGACTTGAAGAATTATAAAGTTGAGTTTGATTTATATTAGATAAATCGGGTAAATTTCTGCTATGATCAGTCTCCATATTTAGATTTTATTAGCTATCATTAACGATTTTAATTCAACTTTGGTTGAACTTCTAATCAGAATTTGAGCTCAATAAAAGCAGAATTAAAATCTGCTTAAAATAAAAACGCTAGCTTCTTAAGGTCTCTATCTTATAGAAGTTGCAAATTAGCAGTCTAACAGATTCTGTTAGCTCTAAGGTAGTTTAAAAATAAATTGGTATTCAAATAATTCTGTTTAAATAATAGATTAGAGCGTTTTCTAAAGCTTAAAGATAATAAAAAATATGTGAGATTTAATATAGAATTGAAAAAAACATATATGACTAGCTTAAATAAGGTTCATCATTGTTATTCTTACCTTATGCATTTTTAATAATTTTTATTAAAAAATCAATTTTATTTTATTTATATTTATTTTATAAATAAAATTTTTTATAAAAGAATTTAGCAATCAAACTTCCTAGAATTTTAAGAATTTCCAACATTTGACTTCTGCTAAGCCTTGGATCACACAATGTTTTGTATTTTTTATTTAAGCTTTCTTCAGTAATTCCTGCATTACCTCCTACACACTCTGTAACTTCTTCATATGAAGCTTCAAAATGGAATCCTCCCAAGCTCTCACGATTTTCTCTCAAAATTTTTATACTTTCAATACATTCATTTAGAATTGAGCTGACACTTCTTGTCTTCAGCCCTTGATTTGTTTTATATGTATTCCCATGCATAGGGTCAATCACCCATATATGTGGAATCCCAGTTCTTTTTACAGCTTGAACCACACTTGGAAACTGCATCCTAATTATATTGTTGCCAAGCCTTGGTATCAAGATAAGTTTACCATATTCATTTTCATAGTTTAAGAATCTCATGATGCTTTGCAATTCTTCTAAATCAGCGTTTGGGCCGATTTTTATACCTACGGGGTTAGAAATTTGTGATAAAAACTCTACATGTGCTTGTCCTAATTTTCGGCATCTTTCTCCAATTCATAAAAAATGTGCCGATGTGTCAAAATATTCATTTTCAATTGATCTTGTCAAAGCATCTTCATAAGGCAATAACAAAGCCTCATGGCCGGTTCAGAATTTTTGATGGCTATTTCGATGAAAATTTCTTATAAATCCAATTGTGTCTAATGACTTTGTATGACCCTCTATCATCCTATATGGATCTGGTTGCCTGAAATTTGGGTCAAATCCATTAATCATGTCTCCTCTATAAGTAGGAATTTGAATTCCTCCATGATTCTCATATAAATCGGACCTAGGCTTTGAAAATTGTCCAGCTATTCTTCCGATCATTACAATTTCCTTTTTTGATTTAATCGAAAAAGCTCTCCTATATTTTTCATATGTGTCGAGCTTTGCTTGTAAAATTGATGGTTTACAGTCTGAAAAAGCTTCTGCGCAGTCTCCTATGATTAAAATTAATTTTTTACCGAAATGACAATTTGATAGTTCATTTTTTAAAGCTTGGATTTCTGGATATGATACTATTGGTTGACTATTTGCTAACTGATTTAAATGCTTACGTGGGAAATAACAGCTTTTAACTCATCGAAATCATATACAGGCTGCTGACTCGCAGGAAGTAAAGACCAATGAGCTATATTGGTGTCCATAATTTTTATTATTATATTATAATCATAAGACAAATTCATCTTAGATTCTCAAAATATAGCAGCACCATTACTTATTAAGATCCATTTTTAGGCTACAAAATCGGAATAAAAAAACTCTTCATTGATAAAAAGAAATTATAAGAAAATTTTTACTTTAATATAAAATCTATAGATACGCCCACATCAAGCATTCCATCTCCTCTCTAATTTATTATCAGTTACAAATAAATGGTAGAAATTACAGAGCTTTAACACCTTATTAGTTAAAAATGTCTTGAAAACCTTTAAAGGGAAATCTAATTTATTTAAATTTTTGTAATTTATCATAATGTTATTATTAATCAATTCAAAACTTTTTAAATTTATTTTTTTGACTTTAATTCTTGATACAGATTTTAATAAATCCTATTAAAAAAGTGATAAAATTTTGTAATTTTCACATTATTCAAACTAAATCTATACAAAACCTTTAAAATTTATTATTTGAATTTAATTCACTTTAGAGATTTAATGAAAACATACTAAATAATTTATGAATTATTATAATTTAATCACATTAAAAAAATGACCAGCATGCAAGATCCCAAATATTTGCGAACCCAAATAACAGTTAAGCCTGATCCTAACAAATTAACGCAACAACAGCCAAATCCTTACTTATCCAAAATTTCTAGATCCTCAACATCACTGCTTTCAAAAACTCCTTTAAATTCCCGATATATTTCTACACAAAATAACCCAATAATCCAGACAAACAGTCAGATCAATAAATCTCTTACAATTCTTCGTCAAAATTCAACATTTCTAGAGCAGTTTCCTGATGCAGCTCAAAGACGGCAATCAACATTCTTAAAAAAAGATTCTCTTCATCCAAGTGTTAGAAATAGCAATAAATCGCGCACAATAATCCAACATTCAAATTCATCATTTTTAGCAGCAATTCCTGACGAGTATAAACGAAAGCAATCAACTATTTTAAAAAAAGACACATTAAAGCCTAATTTGCGTAACCCTACCAAATCTCGGACAATAATAAAACACTCAGATTCTGTATATTTAGAGCCGATTCCTAATAATCAAAAAAGAAGAACGTCAACTTTAATGAAAGTTGATACAATGAAAGGAATTAATAATGAAAATCAATATTCTGATAATTTCGATCAGATTTATCAAGCTCTTCATGATAAAATAAATAAGGATCATGATGAAATAAATTATCATGAGCTAGTCTCTTGAACTCTTAACGAAATTGCAACCAGGATTCCCTATATTGATTTATTTAAATTATTAAGAGACTGCTTTTTTTGTATTTCTCTATCCTCTGAGAATAATCCTTTAGTTTTACATCTGAAAGATGAAATCCAAACCTTGGAGTCCGAAGCTCTCAGATTGAAAAATATTAACATTACAATAGAAAATAAGCTAAAAGCATTATCTGAAGAAAACGTAAAATACGCGAATCAAGTCGACGAGCTTAACAGAGAAGTAAGAAACTGGAGAATTGTAAAAGAAAAAGGTCTAGATTTCTCCAAAGGAAGTGTAGAGGCAAAGCTGATTTTAGACGAAAATTCCAAAAAAGGAGAAATTATAAGAGAGCTGAAAGAAGAAATTCAGGATTTAAAACTAAAAATAGCAAAATTGACTAGTGCGCTCTGCTTGATAGAGCAACAAGGAGGCTTAACTACAAAATTTTTACAAGATCTGAAGGAACAAGTTAAACTAGATGCAAATGGACGAAGACAGTCGGCGATATTTGCTCCATCTGCATTGATGTCTACTGGGCTGATAATAGAGGAAAGCAAAGAACTGGATTGTTTGAGGAATATTGACATGATTTTATCTGATGATATGTTTTTACAAAAAAGAGTAAGCCCTGTTCCTGCATTAAAATTAAGTGAATTAAAACAGGAAAATGAGGAATAATTTGTTATTTCCTATGAAATAAAATGTATAATAAAATCGAATACAAAATCTTCCTTTCTTAAAGAAAGCGATAAATTCCTCATACCTTTTTAAAATTCCATATAAATAAAAATATATTATAAATATTTTAGCTTTGATTATTTATGATTAAATTCTGAATATTATTCAGTTGATTTATTTTCCAATCCTAAATCTTTTAAAAGAGACTGCTCCTCCTCTTTCTTCTAGCGTTACCGTCTCTGGATGATTTATCAGTTTTTCTCACTCACTCCCCCCTTTAATTGGAACAAAATATAGGTAAAATTTCCATTTTTTGGTAAATTAGCCCCTTTAAATTGGAATAAAATTGTTTGTTCCAATTTAAAGGGGGGGAGTCAGTAATCAACGACTCCTTCCCTCAGCCTCATAACATCACCTCTTCCATCCATCGAAGCAACTGACCCATCCTTATTTAAAACTACTAATAAAGGAATCCCAGTGACTTGAAATTTTCTGCATAAATATTCAATTCTTTTTTTGTCTGAAAACGGCAATGCCATAAATGGGCAGCTTTCTAAGTACTCAAGCATTTCTTCTTGGTCTCTGTCCAGGCTCACAAAAATTACTTCAAGCCTTCTTTTTTCTTCATTATTTACAGCATTAAAAACTTGGCTATATTTAGGTGTAAATGATTTACAAGGTGGACACCAATGGGCAGAAAAATAAAGCGTGATAACAGCATCTTTGCTGAGGTCTTGAAATGTTTTTTCTGAGTCTCTAGTAATAAATTTGTTTCCAAGTAATTTATCCATTTATAACTGCAATGTTTATAAAAAACATCAGTTTATGCCTAAGGCAATTTAATTGAGATATAAATGTGTGCTTTTTATGAGAAAAGGCTTTTTATTAAGATTTAAATATGAAGCTTTCTTTTCAGCCAGATGACCCATACTCTACATATAGAGAATTTGAAATTGTTAGGGAAAAAGAAGAATTATTTGGAAAACCTGCTAGAAAGCCTCAGGATCCTTCGATAAAATCTTTATTGGCATTTGAAGAAGAGTTACCGTCTTTTAAGGAAGCTGAAAAGCAAAAATGACTCAGTGAGGCAAGAGACGCATATCGCGGCTATTTTTATAGCACATCTGACAGTAATTATTATAGGCTGAAAGTAGAATCTCCAAGCCCTTATATAAAAAATCCAAGTATTGAACAAAAATCAGAGGAAAATCATATAGAAATTAATGATAGAGTAGAGAAGCCAATAGAAGTCCAAAAAGTAAATAATCCAGAAACAAAAATAGAGATGAAGTCTATTAAGAAAAAAGAAGAAGAAAAGGAGAAGCCAAACACGAAAATAAATAAACCGAAACCTTCACAGCAACAAATAAAAAAAGAAAACCCAAGGCCTTTAAGCTCATCAAAATCTGTAAGTGCTATCCAAAAACCTTCAGAAAAATCCAAAAATGATGATGGGAGAATCGAAAGACAAGAGGCAAGAATTAAAAAACTAAACCAAACGACACGTTGGCTGCCTAATTCTGCTTTTACTACTTATTTTGGGAAGCCTGCTTTTGCGAACTATGGTCAAGGAAATGTAAACCCTGTAAGAGGAGGCTATTTATACGGCGACTATATGAAGAGTCATAATATTGCCCCTCATGAAGGAAAAAATGATCCAGAATATGCCCAAGTTTATAAAAACGCTGAGACTCATGGGCTACAACAAAAGCCAAGATCCCCTGAGCCTCCAAGGAAATGTAAAGACGAAGATAGATTATCACCTGACCAAGTAGAAGAATTAAAGAGAAGATCCCAAATCATTGCAGAAAAAAAATCTACACCATCGAAGAAAATAATTAAGCCAAATTTATATGAAGTTAAGACATTTAAAAGTGTCCATAGCACTCCTAATACTTCATTTGAAGGAGAAGCTGAAGAAGAGGAAGACTTAGAGAAAAATAATCAAAAAAATCAAAAACTCAAAAACAATTTTGTAAAAAATGAGACTGCTAATACTGATAGATGTTTGACCAAAACTGAGAAAAAATCAGTAAAGACTCTAACGAAGAATCATACACAAAGCAAGCAGGCAACAGCAGTGAATCAGTCAAGTGAAGTTCCAGAAATAAATTATGATGAAAATAGGCAGAATCTGCTATTACCTGCTCCAAAGCAGCCACCGACTCAGCAGTCCCCATCATTTCGCTCTCAAGAAAGTCTAGTGCCACAAGTCCAAATCTCCAACACTCAGCAGCCTATTCAACTCAAAATAACCCCAGATCAAACTGCTACCGGCAATATAAGCCCTTCTCCAGGCCTCAAATCCGAACCTCCAAGCCTAGCAGAGCCCAATCAGCAATTCCCTAACCCCAATTTCTTTACTACAACCTACAAAGAAATGGCTTCAAAAATTCATTACTCTCCAAAATTCACCTCAGTTTTACCCCTTTCTCTCTGTGAAAAATGCCATGAGCCTATTACTTCAGAATTAGAAATTAAGCCAGAAGATTTGTGCCCACCTAACTCTTTATCTGATATGCCATTTAAAGAGCTAAATCCAAAGAATTATAAACAACTTCCTGCCACGTTTACTAAAAGGATTCCAGCAGCTGGAAAACTGAGCTATAAATCTCTCTCAGCTTATAGCGTTATCTTTCCAGAATATTAAGTTAAATTAATTATTAAAAAATGACAGAGAGCTAATGAGGATTAATTCAAGGTCTTGACGTCACATAAGGATAAGCTATTTCAGAGGAGTACTGATATTGCGATAATTGGTTTTGATAGCTAGAATAGTCCTGTGGGAAATCAAATGGATTTTTAGATGTTTTGTGAGTATGGGCTTCTTCATAAGGAAAGTTCTGACTTTTTTCAAAGATACTATGCTCAGATGTAGAGTTGTATTTTTGTGACTCTGTGAAGCTTTGAGATTCTTGGATACGAGGATAAATAGAATTGGACTCAAAAGGATTGGAACTCATTGAAAATGTACCAAGTTGCATTTCTGAAGTGGGATTTGTAAATAAATCTGAGGGCATGAAAGAAATTGTCGTAGAAGGTGTATTCATTATATCAAGAGGCTCATTTTCTTTAGGCTGCTCTAATGTTTTGTGACTTGAATGGTCAATTATTTTGCTGGGATTCGTCGATGTTTGAAATTCATTGGATGGCTGCTTTTTTGATTTTTTAATTCCTGATAAATTTGTTTTCCATTTATTTTTTTCATGCCTATTGCTATGCTCTTCATCATATAGGTATGCCATATTTTTAATAGATAAAGCATCGTACTTATCAAATAAATCAGAATTAGAAAAATCATTATCTCGAGTTGATTTATATTTGATTTTTCTCATGGTCTCATCGAACGACAAATTATCGCATCTTAAATCATAAACATTTGCTTCTTTTTCATAAACAATAATTGAATGCTTTCCAATTTTCAAAGGATAGGTTGCATAAGCGCCTAGCTTTCTTGCATCAATTTTAATATCTCCGTTTATAAGTATCCTATATATTGAATATAATAACATAGAGCAGTTATATGAATAAGCATTTTTTATTTACTGCCTTTATGGCTCTATTAGTGCAAATTGCATATTTTTCTTTTACCTGTGAACTTGCTTATGTTAAATTTCATTGATTATGCTTAAGATTAAATATTGTTTGGAATATTTATAGGATTATCTATTTCATGATGTATGGTTTATATACAAATCAACTATATTTTCTTTCCCGTCAAGTTCAAATTTTCATATATACCGCTTCTTAGACCCTTTGATGTGCCTTCCTACATTGATGCTATCAAACACCAATGGGGAAAAATTCGTTGCCATATTATTAATGGCTAAGAAAATAAAGAGCTTAAGAAATATGATAATTAAAGTGATTTATTCATTAATAAAACTTTTTAATTAATTATTTTTCAAATAAATAATCATTTTTTATTTATAATTCCCTAACAGTCATAATTTTCAAAATTTAATTATATAAATATCCTAGACCAGATTTGTATATATAGCCCGTTCCCGGCCTTAGATCGGGCTTAGCCCGATCTTTGCGGGAAACTCGGGGGTTGTCCACGTCGCCTTGAGGTGACGAGTCAACTCCCCGACTTGGCAAATAGCCGCTATATGGTGATTTGCCAACTCGGGGAGTTGACTCGTCACCTCGAAGTGACGTGGACAAGCCCCAGTTTCCCAGAAAAGATCGGGCTAAGCCCGATCTATAGCCGGGAACGGGCTATACAAAATTCCAAAAATTCTTAATTAAATATAGAAATTGCCCGAGGATGGCGCTATTTTGCGGCATCCTCGGGCAATTCAAAAAACAGGTCCCACACGGGAATTGAACCCACGTGTGAGGTGATTTTTGGTATGTGGAGAATATTGACTTCCACGTACCAAAAATGGCCCCACACGTGGGTTCAATTCCCGTGTGGGGCCATTTTTTGAATTGCCCGAGGATGCCGCAAAATAGCGCCATCCTCGGGCAATTTCTATATCTTTTTTATTCAAATTAAAAAATCTGACAGGCTATTTAAGATTATAACTAAAAACTCTAAATGCAGCCAATTATTTGCATTCCTAAATTGTCTTATATCCATGAAATTTCAAATATCCTTTACCTGATCTCGCCATTTTTAGCACAATTCCTTTAAAATTCAAATTTTAATTTCCGGTATAAAATCCTCATAGAGATATCCAATATGTCTATTAAAATAAATAAATTATAAATAGACTCTTATGCCTCCAGTTAGTGAAAACGCAAGACTCAGTACGATTTCTGAAGTTTCCGAATATAGTGAATCCAACGAATTATTTCCTCCAGCACATTCCTTTAGCTTCATTAAATACCTTAATTTAAATTACTTATAGAGAAGTGCCCTGGCCACTAATTGCTTCCGCAAACACTCAACAGCTTGATTGCCAGTCCGAAAACTATCTTAAACTGTGTTACTTCTCAGGAAGAGGGCTTTCTCTCGCTACCTGAGAGTCAGAGATCTGGGCCGTCATGCCAAATGCCGAGCTCGCTTTCCAGAATATTCGAAAAACCAATTTTCTGGTCGATCTAACAGTCAAGATAGAATCCTGATCCCAAGACCCAACGCCTGGTATTGTGCTATGAATTTTGCCCGATCAACCAGTGACCAATTTTGGCCTTGTTGAGCTTTCCCTTTCCGTCTCTCAACGAGGTAAAATCTTGATCTGAATGAGAGCATGCGGCCGGCTAACCCGAAATTGTGCTCAAACCAAACCAAGCGAAACCCTGGCTGGATGCACATTTCCGAAAGGTCCCAGTTTCCCAGCTTTAAAAGCTTTAGGGCAAGTTGGCTCGCCATGTCATTTTAATACATGCTTCATCAAAATACCAAAGGGAAGCTAAAAGCTGTGCTTCTATCGTGGAATGAGAAGAATATAGCGATGGAAGCACAACATGCAGTTCAAAGCTTGACTTAATAAAAGACACATTAATGAGCAACAAATTCAATGACGAATTTTTAGGGTGTACATTTGATATGCTAAAATCATCATTAATATTACAAGATAATGAATGTAGATGCAACTGTACGCTATTTTAACAAATTGTTCGAGTGTATATTTTTAAATTAAATAACTTCAACAATTAAAAATTGCTCTTTAAGTCCTCAATAATAATGGTTAAAGAAGTCATGATTAGTCCATTCTTATAATAAACTTATTTGTAGGATGGCGTAGATAGATTACTTTATAACAAAAAATGCTATAAGGCTTTAAGTGTTTTACATAAATTAAATTATGATGGTTTTTGTCCTTGTTTTGAAGAGATCTTTTTAAGATAATCAATCCAATCGAGCCTCCCTTTTTCTAACGCTAAGACTATTGCAGACTTTCCTTCATAGGTGGCTTCATAATCTATTCCGTTTTCTACTAAAAATTGAAAGAGGACTTTATCTGCAGGGTTTGAAGCTAAAATTTTTACTAAATTCAACCGATTAATATTAGACCCATAATCAAGGTATTTTTTAGCTAGTTTCAAATCATTTAATGCAAAGAATAAAGGGATAGTATCTCCTAAGCTTGGATCTGCAAAAGTTGAGTCATTGAGAGCGCTGGCAATAATTTCAAATTCTGGCTCAGATCGATGAGCCATTAATAAATCAAAAATTTCAGACCCTTGATTTTGTGCGATCCTGTGGAACATATTTTTACCGTTTTGTCTGTATGATTGAGTATTCTTTTTATAAAAAACTATTAATAAGACAATTGAAAACTAGTATGGTATTCTATAACAAAATTAAGAGTATTGCATACTCTCCCCTTTTAATTGAAGCAAATAGCCCCAATTTTTGGTAAAAATTAATCCTTTAAATCAGAAAAAAATTTTAATTTTTTCATTGGAAAATTGTGTAGGTGAAAATAGTAATTTCTGTATAAATAACTTTGACCAAATTAATGGAAGGAGTGCAAATAGAATGCTATTTTTAAACAGTTTTTCTCTTAATCGATTAATTTTATGAATAATTCTTTATAAAAATAATTACAATACAAAATATATGCCTTTAATTTTAAATTTGATATAAAATTTTTTATTTGCTTTTTAAAAAAAAATAACTCTCCATTAAATTTGAACAATTTTTTCAGTATAATTTAAAGGGCAAGGGTTAGTTAAAAATACCTAGTTCTTTCTTAAAGTATATATTAATTAATTCAGTCTTTGCTTTTTATAAATTTAATTTTCACTCTTATAAAAAATATCAATTAAATATAATCCAATATACTTTCAATCAATATTTAACTCAGGCCATCCCAATATTATTCTACACATATTTATATTATTTGCTGATATCGCTACTTGTAGAGCGCTTGGAGATGTTTCTGACCCATTAATCAACGCTCCAGCTGTCCTTAAAAATTTTACAATATTCGTATGTTTTGTACTAATTGCAATATATAATGGTCTACACGTAGGTGGATCCACCAAAGCTCCACCTTCAACCAAAGCTTGTGCTGCTGAAACATTATCATATTTTTCACATAAAACGTATATACATTTTTCCATTAATCTCCAATAAAAAAATTTTAAATGTCTAATATGCTATATATAGAAAATCACCATAAAGGTGTATGACCTTTTTCATTTATTCTATTAGGGTCAGCTCCTGCCTTCACCAAAATTTTCAGCACATTTGCATCATTTATTGCTGCAAAAATAGGAGTCGGCATAACAGGGCTTCCTATCTCAATATTTGGATTGGCAGAAGCTTCTAATAAAAGCCTTAAGCATTCGCAATAATCACAGTCCCCATCTTCTGATTTATTTCCATAAGTAAGGCCTTCTATAGTCAAATTCGAGTTATGAAACTTAATATTGGCACATATCAAAATTGGTGGGGCGCCCATATCAATGCTTTTAGTGCAATTTCCGATTTTTGACTGAAAAGTCCCACTTAGGTGTGGAGAACTTCCATAGTCTAATAATATTTTCAGAATTTTATGAAGCCCTCTTGCACACGCTAGTTGAAGCGGGCTTATTTTTCTAGTGAATTTGTTGCCGAGCTCGAAGCCTTCGTGGGAGTACCCTCGATCCATTTCAGATTTAGGGATTCTTTCAACAAGAGTTTTTACCATTGGTAGATAGCAGGTACTCACAGCTACCGCTAGTAGGCTTATATAGAATTATGCTGAATATATTTATTTTTTTAAAAAAAAAATAAATATTTAATAGGAAATGGGATACTCTTTCTGCACCATGAATTCAGTCAGATCTTGGGTCTTCTAAAAAGGTAATAGAATGAGGCATGCTTAATAAGCTTTGTAGCTCTGATATATTGCAATTTTTTACAGAATTTCAGATGCTTTCTTTATAACTATCAAAATCATTTGGGTCTGGATCAATTGGGGTAGGAATTCTTGAATGTGTCAAAAATTCAAGGTTTTGTTTGGCTTTTGGAGGCACAAAAGTAGCAGATTCTCTTGGTATATACTCTGGCGGCAATTTTTCGTTCGGCTCTTCTGAAATGGGAGGGAGAAACATCCCTTTTACACTATTTGCTGGCAAAAAAGTATCCAGAGAGTTCACTTTTACAGGATCATTCGGAACTGCTGATAAATTGCTTTGTGTTTCTCTTTTAAAATCGCTACTAACCCGATTTGCATCATTTGGAGATAAAAATCCAGGAGTGTGTCCTGAGTCAAAGCTATCATAAATCACAAGTTCAGGCTTTGTTTTAGTATTCTGGCATTCAGTAATAGTATCCATTCTTCAATTTTTCCCAAAACTCTTAAATTTGTTGATCACATTTGGGTGGGCAGTTTGTTCATGAAAAATTTTACAAACAGATGAAATCTTCAATAAATCTTCAAATTCTAAAAAATCAAAAATTTGGTACCAATATTCGAAACGATTTAAACTTTTTGGATTGGGGACTCTTGTGTCTTTGATATTTAATTGGTTTCTTTTACATGGAGCACAGCCCATATTTTAATAAATTATGTACAGCACAGAAGAAGTTGCCCAGCATATGCAAACTCTTCTGAGCAGTGCTAATGAAAATGAAAGGAACGCTTCTCATCAGTTTTTATTAAATTTCCAAGCAGCACCTGAAGCTTGAGGAATCTGCAGGGAGCTCATGGCTCCGAATATTCCTTATATCCCACTATTTGTCTCTGCGCAAATTTTTTACAAAAAAGTGCAAACAGAGTGGCATTTATTAGACACAATACAAAAACAAGAGCTAAAAAATTACTTACTTGACTTAGTTCAATTAAACTTCAACTGTCCTCAAGCTTTTAAAAAGCTTTGCCAATCTTTAGCCCTTGTAGGAATTCTTTCAATGAACTTATTTTGGGATACTTTTATAGTAGACATCCTCAAGCTTAGAAAGCTTGAAGTTGTCCTCGAAGTAATTGACTGTATTCCATTCTGTTTAGAAGAATTCAACCTTGCCAAGAAAACAGCGGAATTCATCAAAACCAAAGTAAGAGAGCAAGTCCAGGATATTTTAGAATTTTTATATATTGTATTGTGTGAGAAAGGGTATTTAATCCAAATTCTTGAAGTCCTTAAAAATTGGAGAACCATAACTCTACCCATATTTAAACATCCAGAATTTTTCAAAAGGCTAGTTAACGCTATGAGTGACGTCGAAGATGAGAATTTTACTAACCTTTGTGAGACTTTTTGCAATGCTTTAAACTGCTCAGAGTCTGCAATGTTGCTACAAAAAAATAAGTATACAGGGAATACCCAGGATTTTTTAAAAAAAATCCCACAAGAGGAATTAAAAAGTTTGGTGGAACTTATAGAGGTTGTTTTGACAATTAAGCCGAAGTTTATGAATCATGAAGAATCGACAGTGAGAAGAAGAGGCTGTGACTTAATTTTAGCAATTTGTACAGATTTTATGTTTATGCTGATAGACTCACCGTATACTGAAGCTTTATGGGTTTCTTTAGCTGAGATTACGAGCCATAGCGATTTATCTATTTGTATGACAGGGATTGAGTTCTATTACGAGCTGAAAGAAATTTTTATTAAAAAGGTAGATGATTTACAAAATAGGCCTTATATTTTCCAATATCTCTTAAAATGTGCAGAGTCCTTAGCATTACGCTGCCGCTTTCTTTCTCAAGACCATTTTCTCCATGCAGTTGCTGAAAAGGTTGAAGAAGTCCCATTTTTAGATTTCAGGATTTCAGCTGAAGACGTATTTTATTCCATTTTCATGATATTCGAGAAGCATCACGAAAATAAAGGTAGAGGATTTTTATTACCATTAGGCTCATTATTGCACCCTCCTATAGCAGAAAATAATGCTGAAGTCTTTGTTTTTATAATGAGAAGCTTGCTATTAGGATTAACCGAGACTGAAAATTTCAAAACTCTTGAAGAGGTAAGTGATTCTATATAGGATTTTAGGAATTGTCCTGAGGTTGCCAGCTGAGCCACTTATAGTAAAATCTGTTATTTTTCTAATCAGCGACATAGGTAGCCATTTTAAAGAGATCGAAAAGTCATTCCCAGCCGCTTTAGAATACTTAATGACAAAAGGTATAAATGATGGCCTAAATTCTCCATTTTTCATTGATTCCAATGCAGTTGAGTGCTTTTCAAATACTTCAGCTGAGTGCTATGATTTATTTACCAGAGAATTAATTTTACCAACATTGCAGATCTGCGACAATATTTTACCAAAAATTAAATCAAATTTAGTGGATAAGCTTATTGAAGCTTTATTAAATATCATCAATAAATTGCCAAAAGAGGAAATGGGAGCTGCTATAAAAAGAGTCCTTTCTTATGTAGACAATGAATTAAAAAACTTGAATATTGATGATACTGCAGAATCTAGACAAAAATACTCAAAATGTGTTATTATTTGGGCGTCTGCATTGAATTCGTTGAGCAGGCAACTTAGATTATTATAGAGTAGCTCCTGGCCGCCATGTCGGTTTTCACCCTTTGCTCTGCTCCACCCTCTTGCTTGCCAATCTGAGAGCACGGCCTAAAGGTATGTGTTATTCCTTTCGCAACTCGAGAATTAGGAAGCTGAATTACCGTGCTATACGCCAATAAGACTACCTATAAGAAAATTTGGAAAGCGAATTTTCTGGTCAAGCTATCGATTGAGATAAAGCTTGTAGCCTACGGCACAACTCCCAGTATCGTATGGGTTTTTGCCAGGTTGGCCAAGCGAATGCCCTCTGGCCATTGGGCTATCCTTTCAACATCCTAGTCCCAATCCCCTCGAGGTAAAGCCTTGCCCTGGATATAAGACTGCAGTGGGGCAGCCCGACATTGCCCTCCACTAAATCAAGTAAAGCCCAGCCGAGCACTCTAGCCGACCGCTGCTCCCCTTCATAAGGTCCCCAGACTCCCGTCTAGCTTTATATATTAAGAGGACATTATTTCTCCATGCCATTTTAAGTGTGCCAATTCTTGAGCTCAATAGACAGTGGATTTTTAAACGAAGTTTTAGGAGAAATGGTAACCCAAGCTTTAGATATTATTTGTAGAGGACTTCTGTTATATAGAAGCCAAGATGGTGTAATTGTAGCTGTATCATTATTTTTCAAAAGAATTATTAAAGCCTTCACATGTTTCAGTGACCCTTATTTCCCAATCATAGCAAATTGTATTTTACAGTGCTATTCCCCAGGTCATGAAGACTGTCTTGGTGTGATTTCTAATGCAATTTCGATAATAGGAAATGAAGCAAATACTCGTGCATGGCTAGAACAAAATTACATAAACTTGTTTGGACTGCTTATAAGTTATTTGGAAGCCAAGCCAGAGCCTGGGATCATCGTAGGGCTTTTTGAAATCCAAACAAAACTATATGAAAGTGGAAATCCTGCTTTAAACAATATTCAAGTGGTTAATAAAACTTTAGAGACTGTCTGCAGACTTTTACCTATCATGACTGACAGAAATCCTTGTAAGGCTGTGCTACAATTTACACAACTTTTATTTCAGCAGGAAGGTGAAGAATGGAAACAAATTTTGTTTCCATATGCAAGACTTATGACCAAAGCAATTTTATTTGGACTTGGAAATATATGGTTTTGTTAATTAAATTTAGAAAAATAAGATTATATAAAGTATATTCAGCTTAGAAGAGAATAAACTCCAACACTTTTCTAATTTTAGCTCTACTGGTAGACGCATTGAAGGGAAAATATTTCCAGGAGTATTATAATGGGGTAGTCGAAGGATTGCAGTCTCCTCTATATGCGAACTTCAGTGAAAAAGAAAAAGAAAGGCTTTTATACTGCTTTTTAAATGCAGAATCCTCACCCGCCATCATGATGATCAAGCAGTTTTTCTTCAACCTTGCCAATATCTTGAAAGGAGTTGGGACCTTTGAAAGCGTCATAATGACAGAAATTGCTATAGCATCCAGTAAAAGAGCCGCAAAAGTAATAGATATTGCTTAGTTTAATTTCTTATAATTTCTAATGAATGAAAGTACAAAAATAGTTACACCAGGTCTCACAGGGCTTGCAAATCTCGGCAACACCTGCTATATTAACTCAGCAATCCAGTGTTTAAGTCATCTGCCCCCAATACGAAGTTATTTTACTAGTGTTTTTAAAATGATGACGAAGTCAGAAAAGCCAGATTCATTGTAAAAACTATATAGTGTATTAATGCCTTTTCAAGAACTTATTCTAGACTTATGAGATGGACAAGAAAATATACGTCCTGAAACCTTTGTAATGAATTCTTATATGCTAAGCGGAGATTACCGGCCAAACCTGCAGCAAGATGCGCAAGAATTTTTGAGGAAATTGTTGGATAGCTTGGACACAGGTATAAAATCTGTGATTCCAGGACCGAATACAATAGTTACAGATACTTTTCAAGGAAAAATCGAGACAAAAATTGTTTGTAAAGAATGCAATGGGGAAACAATAAAAAGGGATGATTTTCTTGATATTCCGTTATCGTTGCCTGATAGAAAAGAACTGAAAAATCTGCACAAAAAATCAGCTTCGATGATGTGTGAAGCAGATCAGGTGAAATATAAGAAAAAATCAGATAAATTATGGACGAAATTTAAAGAGTAAGGTTTATTTACTCCTTCCTTTTATATTTAATCAGCAATTAAATTAATAAAAAAAAATATTTAAAAATATTTAATAGAAAAGTTAGATTTTGCAAAAAAGGATCCTCAATTATTGTTTCTTTATATGACTGCATTATCAATTATTTTAAGAGCCAAGAAATAAATGATATTGGCAATTTATATTATTGTGAAACTTGCCAAAAGAAATGCCCAATAGAAATGGTATATAAGATAGCGGAATTTCCAAATATTTTGGTATTTAGTGTAAAAAGATTCAAATATTCAAATGGCAGCTCAAAGATTGGTATTCATGTACAACTTCCTACTATAATAAACTTAAAAGAATTCGGAATAAACGACGAAGATGCCGAATACACGTTAATCGGGCTTATTCAGCATAATGGAGGCACAGGAGCAGGACATTATAAAGCATATTGTAAAAATGAAGAAGATGGGAAATGGTACAATTTCAATGATAAAACCGTTTCTGAATGCACTATTGAAGAAGTTTTAATCCGTTTATATTTAATTTATTTATTTATAATAAATATAATATAATCCATCATTATTATTTTTACTTTTATAAAAAGAGTTAGAAGCCCAAGCTTACATTGCATTTTACCAAAAAAACTTTATTAGCAGACCAAAGTTAAAGAAATGTGAAGAGGAGGACAGAATTTTTATTCCTTTGAACTGATTAAACAACTATGAAATTCTTGCAAACCCCAAAAAAATTGATTTTCGAACACTAACTTGTAAGCATGACAGTTTTTCTCCATATCTCAAAGATTCTTCTTTATTCCCAATCAGTAGAGCCCAATACCAATCTTTAGAATATGAATTTGGGCTTGAAGGATCTCCATTTACGTCTCTGGATACATGCAGTATTTGTATAAAAGAAACAGCAGATATTAAACAGAAAATAATTACAGAAATAAAAATTGCTAAAAGCTATAAAGATGATCCAGATTGCGAAGGTCCTTGATATATCGTATCAAACTTATGAGTACAAAAATGAATAAATTTCACAAATTGAATCCCAAGATATACCCTAAATCCTGATATTCCTGGACTTATTGACAATTTTGATCTTTATGAAAATGGGGAAATAAAGAAAAACCTTGAATATAAAAAAGATTATCGAGTTTTCAATAAATTTTTATGAAGGGAATTCTATAAGATTTATGGCTGTACGCAAATAATCCTCAAAAAGAAAAGAGATATTTATTCAGAGGATGCTCAAGACGATACAGAAATTCCAGTAGAAACTGAGATTGTTAGCGATAATCCAATGAGGGCTATTATAAATAACATTATTTAGCAAAAGTAACTATTTCAAATTAAGCTAGTACCATTAGGATGACTAAAACCAACTAATAATATTTTTATTTAAAATAATTTCTTTTAAAAATCACTACTTTTTTTGTTGTAATTCTCTATATAACTATTTTCTATAAATTTATTTTTATTTAATATGAGATGCATAATAATATTGCTATTCTGCTTTCCGTGGCTTAAAATTATAATCATTTTTATTCAATCCCAAAATAACGTTCTCTCAAACATTTATTTTAAATATATTTAGGAAAATATTACTTTAGTATTCTCGAATTTACTAAAAAGATATTATCTATTTTAATGTTGCATTGCAAAAAAGTCTTTCTTGAAAACCTTTTAATTTATATAGAAAATAATAAAGTTAACCTTCTGGAATGTGTGCAGTTAGCTAAAGATTCTATTTCCCTTTTAAAAATTTAATTTTATAGAGATTGTTAGATTATAAGTTTATTTCTATGTGCAAGTTATTAAAGTGGCCACTCAGTATAATGCTTAATGGAATGATTATTTCCATTACTAGTGTAATGTTTTTTTCTAATAAGCTTGATCTGTTTTGTGACCTTTTGAAAACAATTAGAGACGCTCAGAGCCATCACAAGTCCAAGGACATCTGTATTGGCAATATGCTCTGATTTTACATAAATAGTCAATATTTTAAAAGTGCTTCAGTAACACCACAGCTTCCCAGCATTGACCTAAAATTTGAAGTAGAATTAGATTACGACCATACTGACAATGACTCTTATGTAGATACCCTCATCAGTGGCTATGAAAAAGATTTGAAGCAATGCCAAGATGATACCTCACAATTATTTCCTCAACCAAAAAAAGGGTATGAAAACTACCCAAAGCATTTAAGCGAGAACGATATGATTTTATCAGAACTGAAAAATCTGGAATATCAAGAAGCCCTGAAAAGTTACTTGCTCCCTCGCCAAGAATGAGAATGGCTCTTTGGCTCATTTAATAATACTTTTTATTTTTTTTTTATTTTGAAAATTTTTCTATTTAATAGAAAATTGCTAATTTTGTTTTGTATCAAACTGTAAAAATTTAATAGAATTTATTTAAAATAGAATATTTTATTTATAGAATTTATCGAAAAATCTCTGGTTTTTATTTTAATTTTTAAGTCTTACTTTGGCTCCATGTCAAATGATCGTGCACTTTTTATAATGCGACATTTCCTCGTGGAAATTGGTCGAAGGTATTTGGTGGTGAAATATTTGATAATAAACTGTTAAAATTTGACCAAATTGCACACTATTAAAAATTTCAGCCAAATTCTCTTCGATGAATAATCAAAAGTGCAGATCATTGGACCTGCACCCCTTACTTTAGGGGTAATTAGATTATATAGAAGAAAAATCAAAGACAGAAATAGTTGAAAAGCCACCAACACCTCCTCTCCATGATGACGAATTTTTATGCGACATTTGTGGAGATGGGGATTACGAAGACGATGACTTAATAGTCATCTGTTCAATGTGTAATACCGGCGTCCATATGAAATGCTATGGAATTTTAATTGTCCCCGATACTGATTGGTATTGTATAGCATGCCAAGAGCGTCCATCCAGCAGAAATGAAATCCGATGTGCATTGTGCCCAAATAAAGGCGGAGTGATAAAGCCCACGCTCCTCTATACTTCTCCTCAGTCTTCATACCCAAACTACCCCTGAACAGGAGATTCAGAGCAGATTTGGGCTCATATTTTCTGCATTATTCACCTAGAAATCTCCTGCATACAAGATCAAGACTTAATGTCAGAAATCGATCTTTCAAAAATTGATAAGAACCGATTTCAGCTTAGATGCCAAAAATGCAATATAGCCCAATGCTGCTTTAGCTCACCTGAGTTTTTTTAGTCAGCTATAAAAAATGTCAAACAAGCTAGAAAGGCATTATATAGTCAGAGTTAGCTAAAAATTGTACTAGGCTATACCAAAAATGGGGCCTGTGTACAATGTCATCATGGTAGATGCACGTTAGGGTTCCATCCTTATTGTGCCAAAAGCAATTTTATTAGTACAAGAGATAAGACTGGATTTGATGATATGAACTGTTATTGTGTTAAACACAGGCCACTGAAGCTAAGAAAACATTTGGAAAGCTTAGAAAAGAAGACTGTGGAAGACATATTATATTTGGCAAGAGTTTTTGAGAAATTTGAAGCTAGAAAAAATAGGCAGCTGTCTGTGAAGAGGAAGAGAGTTGGAGGAGAGTTTTCTTATGATGAAAAAAGTGAGCTTATAAAAATTGTTGAAGAGAGGCTGAAGAAAGAAGAGAAATCGGGGTTTAAATTTAGCTTTAATATGTCAAATACTCAGAAAAACCTAATCTTCCCATTTAAGAGCGAGGAAAACTGTCTAATAGATTTGTTTATATGAAATATTTTTATATATAATTAATAGTTGCTAAACAAGATCTCTAGATAATTTAATTGATATAGACAGTAAGCATCCTAAAACATAAATTTTAAATTAGATTTTCAAATATTTGCAAATTGGGTTTTTAAATCAAAAAATAACCCTTTATGAGCAAGAAAAAACTGTTTTTACTCTTAAAGGGGCGAGTAAGAGGGCAAGTTAAAGTGGTTAGGCCTTTATTATACACAGCTTTACACCCCCAAATCATTTTATTAGAAAAAATTATGCAAGACTCTATTGCATTTGCTGTAAAATTAGCAAAGCCTATCCATAAATATCTAGTATATTAGCAAGAATCCTTGCTAAATTCAATCAAGCATAGCATACTTTGCCTGGCAGGAAATTCCAAGATTGCTATAAATGCTATAACGACTCTATCTTCCCAGTCCTTAAAGAAGAAATTCAGCTGTTGGGTAAACCCCTAGTAATTTATGAGCCTAATTTAAAAGGAAAAAATAAACTGAAAAAATTCATGAAACCAATAGGAGGAGCCAAAAGAGGGAGAAAACCGAAACAGGTCGAAATCGGAGACCTCGTTAGCCAAGAGCTTCATTGTGTATGTAGGAAGCCATTTGTTGAGGCTACACCGAAGAAAAAAAGCGAAACAGATGAAGAATACGAAGAAAGGATAAAAGAGAGCCAAATGATTGCTTGTGACGAGTGTGGAAGTTGATTTCATAGTGAATGTGTAGGACTGAAGAAGTATGAGGTTCCAGAAACTTTTTATTGTGTGGAGTGCTTGCCGAAAAAAGCGAAAATAGAGAATTAGGGATGTAACTAGTAATATCTTTTTCGAATAATATGCATTAAGCTGAATTTGGATGTAAAATCTCTGCCGATTTTTTATATAAATAATAGGTAAAATTATATAATTCATTTATTTTAGCATAAATAATGTAATTTCTTTATTATCAATAAAAAATCGCCTATTTGATTAACATTCTTCAGTTTTGCTAATAAATATCATTTCAATATAGATAAATCTGCTGTAAATCCATTGAAATAATGATTTTGTCATTTTCAATCCTCAACACTTCATTATAAAACGTATAATGAAGGACGAAAAATTAGTATGAAATGAAAACTCAAATCAGCATTGGCTGATTGGTTATGCTATCACAATTAATTCAGTAATTGGTGCAGGATTATTAAGCATTCCTTGAGGATACTATGAAGCAGGATGGTCGCTTGGCATTTTTTCACAAATTTTATCAAGTGCAATTTGTGCTGTGCTAATTTTTCAGCTGCTTCAAGCAATAAGTAGAACTGAAGTTTTATGGAATATGAAGGCTAACGGGTACACAATTAACCCAATGTCCATAAGTTCGCTATTTAGAAATCAGAGTAGGGATGATTATTTATTCAAACCAGAAATGGGGCCATTCATTTTAGCCAAAAATATTTATATAAAAATAATGATTAATTAAATATTTTGTGCATTATTTTGCTTATAACTAAATGGTGTCTCGATCTGTGCTGACCTTTGGCTAGCCTTTAGGAAGATTTTATTATATTCGAATAGATTTTCGCACATTTTAAAAAAAAACTATCAGCACTCGCTAAGCAATTTGGTGGTGGTTAGAGGCTAGTCAAAACTTTTATTACCCCATGTGAAAGGTGCCACACATCAGTGCCTAGGACGCTCAGTAGGTATATTAGGCAATTCTCTACTGCGATACTAGACGTTGCTTCCTGGGCTTGGTGTATCTATCTTCTTCGAAAGTTGATGAGAAGATTTGATCTGAAGTCTGATATTAGATTCCCCATATTTTGGTGCATGGCATAGTAGCCCAAGACTCTCCACTATTGGCAGCAAGTGCAATCCTTTGCTTGAATGGAGCAAGTCCTGTCAAGTTATGCAATAGCTTGTAGCCAGTAGGATGAGCATAACAAGTAGAGAATAAGGTTTGGACCCCAACTACAACTTATCAATAATCCTAACTAATTAGCATTATTTTACTTAACTCTTTATTATTACTATTTATTTAAAATAGCTTACCAATATTTATAAAAAACGATTTAAGGACCAGAAAAGATCGACACAGAAAATAACTCTTTTATCGAAGATATCGATATGGAGCCAAAATTAAACGATAGAAAATTTGATTTATGTGAAATGACTCAAGTTTTACTAGGAAACTTCCATGCCAAACTATTTATGGGAATTTTACTTGTGCAATGCATTGCTATATTAACTGGGTATTGCACTATCTTTGCTTCATCATCAGCATCAATTATTCCATTATGGGGAGGCACTTGCAATATCTACGATGACTCAGATCTGAACGAATCATGTAGGTTTAAATATTGGGCATTTTTAGCAATTTTTGCCTGCTGTGTGATTTTTTTGACAATAATTGGCATAGTGGAGCAGCTAGCATTTCAAATCACTATGTGTGCTGTGAGAATATTAGTCATCGTGACAATACACTGCCTTATTAATTTTTTTATAAAAATAATTTTTATATTAATTTTTAATTAAAAAATATTTTGAGTGTAGTTGGAACTTCAATCTATGCCATAGCTTCAGATACAAAACTTGACGACACAGGAAGCAATGATGCAGATCCAGATATTGTAAACCCTTGAAGGCTAGGTCTCTGCTTTCCAATTATTGTTATGGCTTTATTTTTCCATAATACAATACCTACAACTACACAGCATGTCAGAGATAAGCCAAAAAGCATCCCATTAATTGCTTGAACTGTTTTGATAACAACTAGTCTCTTTTATTTATCAATTGGCTTAATTGTGCCTTTTGCAGCAGATGAAGTAGAAAAAATGGTCAGTTTAAATTGGACAGATTATTCTGCAGGCGAAGATCCTGATAAGCGATCATGGTGGGCTTATGTTATGTACTACTTTCATATATAAACCCCCTATTTATTTTCTTCCTATATTAGATTTTTATTTTAAAATATTCTGGCTATTAATAAATTAAAATTTTCCCAGGTAAATTTCTATATCTTATTTTGTCCTTTTACTACCTGCTTTTGATGTTATGTCAATTTTTCCAATTATTGCAATTAATTGCTCAGATAACCTTATGTCATTAAAGTATGGCCATTTTGGTGATGAAGAAATTAGTAAGAAACATTGAGTTTTGTATAGATTGGCTGTTGCAATTCCACCTATATTAATTGCACTTTTTGTGTATGATTTAAGCTATATTTCAGAGATTACTGGATCATTAATGTTTTTAAGCTTAGGGGTATATATTCCACTATTTTGTTTAGTTACAAAAAGATTAGTAGATAGACCGAGCCCATATGATGGCTGGTTCTCTTCTGATAGAAGTGCATGGGCGATGATTTTGTTTACACTTTATTTATTTATAGCTATTTGGGTGCTGATTTTAATTTATGTTATTACGGAATAGATGAAAATATCTAAATTAATGAGCTTTAGGTTTTTTAATGATTATAAAAATTGAGGATATTATTATGATAATTGAAATAATTATAATTAGTTGTAAGCAGCATAATTTATAGGAGGAAATTTATTTTCTCTTTAGTTGATAAAGTGCTGCATATTAATGACGTATAAATCATATCATTTATAGGATTTCTCAGATGTTTAGAATTTTCCAAAAATTCCTTTTGGTCTTCAATATTAAGAAAAAATTTCTTGAATATATATTTGAATAAGACAATTAATTTTAGTTGTCTTTTATCAATTTTTTCTTTCAGCTGCTTTTTCTCTTTCAGAAAGTTCTGCTTTGAGCAAAATTTTATCTCATCTCATGTGACTCTTACCTTATTCATAAAACAAATTTTTGTATGTAGCTCATTTATGTTCTAAATAAAGTCTATTTTAGAACACATTATCCATATTTAAGATTGGCTAAGTCTTATATCAGTAATTAGCCCAGCCAAAAAAATTTCCTCGTTTTTTTAAAGTTTTTGAACAGCTTTTTAAAATAATGATTAATCTTTATAAATTTAAATCTTTGATTTATAAATAAATTATCTACAACTAAATTGAATTTTTTAGTGAAAGTTTCTCTATCGATTAAAATCGTCAAATAAAATATGTATTTATTAAGTAACACCCCTTATGAGCTACCTTAAAAATTCTCCAACCAATAGTAAAAATTTTAATTCTTAAAAATTTTTTGGTTTTCTATTCCTAGCCTAAATTTGAGCTCTCCTTACTAATTTTAGCTTAAAATCCTTAAAAGTCATACTTCGTAACGACAATTTTATATTTTTTATCTCTATATTCCATATTCAGCTATCCGCCCAGCAAAATCAAATATGACAAATGGGTTTCAAAATATTTACATAATAATATCTAATGCAAAAATTCATAGTGATTTTAAGCACAATTATTAGCCCAATACTCAGTTTTATTTATCAATCACTAGATGATTATATGACATTAGGTTGGGAAATCAACGGAAACTACATAACTTTTAATTTTCTCTGCACTGGAAGCTGATGTGGACTAGGATTGGCCAATACCATGTTTGGGTGTGACATGTACATAGCAATTGGTGGCGGAAATGTTACTGTCCCTATTACTATTTTGGACATGTGGTCGGAAAATCATGATACTCCAAAATATGACACAGATTTCTGAACTGGAGAATATAATATCATTAATTCCACAGGCTATTTCTATCCTAACGTTATTTTAAAGGATACTGGCAAGACAGTGAATTTTATAAATGCCATAATCATAAAATGGTGACATTCCCAAAGGGAATTTGAAAGCCTGCGGTTTCGGCTTACATCCTGCGTCAGCAATGGATCCTTTAGTCGCTGTAGGCTTCAAATAAGGCACATCTCGCTCATTCGTGAGCCTTCCAAGCTGGCAACACCATTCAAGGCGTCCCTTCGTGCAATTTTATCAGCAAAATAGGTTGAATTAGCGACCTGTCGGCTTGGAACGTGTAAAAATGGTGGAAGCTTAGGTTGCCAACTCATATTTGACTCTAAGTGGAACTCGCTGTGTTTAAATCTTCTAATGTCAATTATAAATGCCACTTTTACAAGACTTTTAGACACAGGCGATATATGGGACACTGTAATTATCCCAGGCCGAAGTATAAATATCAATTGGGCCTATAGAACTAAAAACAGTGGCAAATTTGATGAGCATAATGGCTATTCCCAAGGAAAAATTAATTTTGCAAAAAATATTGAGGACGAAACCTTCACATCCTTAAGCAGCGAAAAAACAGGCCTTTCGCTCCATGCATTAGCTATGACGGCGTTTTGGCTTATTGTAGCTCCTATATCAATTATGGTCGCAAGATATTGCAAGCACCTTCGATGTTGGTATTTCTGCCACCTTATTGGTTTTAGTATAGTAATTTTGGGTACTATAATCAGTGCTTCACTTACATATAAAATCCATACAGTTTCTTATATCCAAACAACATCAAAGCCAAGGTACCATTCAAGACTGGGTCTTATTTTGACGTGTTTAGTTATGGGACAAGGCATTTTAGGCCTCCTCTGTAAAATTCTGCAGATTAAATTTTCTGTTTATGGGATGATTGCTCATGCAAGAAGAGCTCACAAAGCAGTAGGATATGGAATGCTTATTGTCGGGCTTATAAACTGTGCGTTTGGGTTTGATATTTATAGCAGTTCTGGCGTTTACTTTGCAGGGCTTGCTATTATGCTAGTGATTATGCTGATATTTGAGCTCAGGCATCAGCTTGCATTTTGGAAGCCTTCATTTTTGTGCTTAAAAACGCTTCCAGATATGACGCATCAAGAAGCGATGGAAAAAATCAATAATGAAGGGCTAAAAATAATGTTTTATGAGGATCTTGTAATGAATGTCGGAAAATTTATTACTTCGCATCCTGGAGGAGCATTTATGCTTAGAGATACTATAGGCGAAGATGCAGGAAAATATATGATAGGCTGCAGTAATATAAATGGAGACTTAATGCCATATTCTCACTCACTCCCTGCTTTTGACTATACAAGAAAGCTTGCAATTGGCAAAATCCCATATCCAGAAGGATATTTACAGATAATCGACGAAGAAGAATCACAGGATTGTATGTTTTGGAATGTTTCTTTTCAAGAAAAATTATCTGAAAAAATCAAGCTCATTTCTTTATATTCTCAGCATTTTCGGCTTAGTCAGAGAGCCCACAATCCAGCCTGGCTTGGAAAACATTTTAAAATTACTGCAACAATTAATTGCATAGTGATATCACGATACTACAGCGCATTTTTCGCAAATCTCCACAGCTGGGCTCAGGAACTTGACAACAGTGGGAAATTGGCTAAAAAATACCCTGCTTGTAATGAAGGAAATTTGCAGTTTATTTATAAAACTTATGAGAATGGCCAGATGTCACAGTTTCTAGATAAAATAGAAGATACTGAAGCTCTCGAAATAAAAGGACCAGTTGGCCCTGGTTTATTATTAAATTCATTTTCTGGCAATTTTGTCGGTTTCGCTGGCGGCACAGGTCTAGTCCCTTTTTTAGATGTAGCTTACCATCTGTGATTAAACAGAAAAAACCCTCCTGCGATGAAATTCACATTGTTTGCGTCTTTTCGTAATTTTGATGATTCGTTTTGCATGGATCTACTGGATGCAACTTCAAATGCTTTAGGAGAGAATCGATTTAAGCTAATTCAGGTTATTGATAGAAAAGCTAAAGAAATGAACTTGACCGAGCTAGTTAAAAAATATGCAGGAACTAAGCCTGATGCTGCTTGGGTGTGTGGCCCTTCAGGCTACAATAATTTTATCAAAAACCTTCTAATTGAAGGAGGCTTAGAAAGAAACAAAATAATAGTGATGTAAATGGTTTTTAATTCGATTTTTAATAATAATATAAATTACAAGATTTTTGGCCAGTACTTTGGCAAGCAATCTTAAAAATTTGGCAATCCGTTGCATAATTTAAAAAATGGCTTTAAAACCTTTTGTGTTGCTCATTTTCATCGCTGTTACTGTTAGTGAGTGGATATCTCAAGTCCTTGATGACCAAATGACTTTGAAATGGGAAGTAAGCGGCAATAAAATCACTTTCAACTTCTATGTAACCTTTACTTAGTGTCCAAACGCCCAATGGTGTGGGATCGGATTTGCCAATACTATGTTCGGGTGTGATATGTTAATCGCAGTTGGAGGTGGAACTGCACAAGTTCCTATACAGGTATGAGATATGTGGTCAGAAAACCATGATACCCCTTCAATCGACACAGATTTCTGGAGTGGTGTAACCAGTGTGTTCGATGTCACAGGAACTTTTACGCCGAATAGCCAAAGTTCGCCAAGCAATGGCAGAAATCAAAACTCAGGGACAATAGATGCTACTTTTTCGAGGCTTCTTTATACAGGAGATATATGGGATGCTTATATTGACCCAACAAAAAAAATGAATATTAATTGGGCTTATAAAGGTGGTGGCAGTTATGGAAATTTCGATAAGCATAATGACTACTCACAAGGGAAAATTAAGTTAGCGGCTTCATCTGCTGATGCTTATTTCAGTTCAGAGTCAAGTGACAAGTCAGAATTTGACACTCATCAAGGTCTAATGACAATCGCTTGGATTATTACTGCACCAATCGGCATTGTTATTGCAAGGTATCTCAAACAAAAAACAGATGCAGGTCCAATAACCGTTTTACTTTTGATAGTGTCCATTTTATCGAAGAAAATTTTTGTCGAAAATGTTAATAGTGCGAAATTTTACGGGTTTTTGATCTAATCTCTAATCATTTGACATAGAACCATCTCAAACATTTCCGCTTCTGGTATTTATTCCACTTACTCTTGCTTAGCTACTCAGTTCTGTCCACAATTATCAGTGTTTCATTGGTCTACAAAACCCATGAAACATCTTATCTTTCAGCTACAAAAAAAGTCAGATACCATTCAAGACTAGGATTCGTTCTGACTTGCTTCGTGATCGGGCAGCTATTTATAGGCTTCATCTGCAAGATGCTGCAAATGTTTTCTCATCAATTCGGGATGATTGCTCAAATTAGAAGGGCCCATAAAGTACTTGGCTACGCAATGCTGACTGTAGGGTTAATGAATAATTCTTATGGGTATGAGATATTTGGCTCTGCTTCATCTTATTATGTTGGCTTAGCAATCCTATTAGGTGGCTGGCTACTTCTTGAAATAAGACATCAGTTTACTTATAAATGGACATGGCTTTTACTCCAGAGAAAGCCTAAAGAAATGACCCATAAAGAAGCCATGGAGAAGAAAAAAATGAAAATTATGTTTTATGACGACTTAGTGCTAAATGTCACCCATTTTATTGATTCTCATCCTGGAGGAGCATATATGCTGAAAGATTCTATAGGTGAGGATGCTGGGAAATATATGGTAGGTTGTAGCAGTAGTGGTGGAGAGCTAGCTCCTTATGAGCACTCTAAGCCAGCATTTGACCTTGCGAAGAAACTGGCTATTGGAAGAGTTCCTTATCCTGAAGGGTATTTACAAAAAAAAAATCAAGATGTTTCTCAGGATGAAATGGTTTGGAATATCAGCCTTCAGAAAAATCTAAACCCAAGCACAAAATTCATATCTTTGCTCTCTTCTCAATTTATCATGTCCCAAGTTCCAGAGCACTCCTGGTGGCTTGGGAAGCATTTCAAAGTGTCAGCCAAAATCAAAGGAAATACTGTGTCTAGGTATTATAGTGCGTTTTTCGCTAACCTCCACAACTGGGCAGATGAACTTGACGGATCAGGAAATCTTTCCAAAAAATATCCAGAGTCCAAAACAGGCAGCTTGAATTTTATTTTTAAAGTTTACGATAAAGGAGCTGTAACCCAATATATGCATAATTTAGGAGAAAGCGGAGAACTTCACCTAAAAGGACCCTTAGGGCCTGGCTTGATGCTAACTCCCCGTGAGCGAACAAAGCCATATTTAAAATCACTATTTTTATTTGGGTACAAGCCTACCCTCCATGAGCGAACAAAAAATTTTTATGAAAAAATATTAGATATATAAGTGATAATTAGTATATATATCTCTAGTTAATTCTCTTTAAGTTAAAACAACTTGTATTTAAAAATATAAATTTTGCAATATTTGTTTAAAATTATTTCGAATAGTTTTTTTTTTTTTTTTGTTGAAAAAGTTAACCCCTTAAAAATATTTTTTTTTGTTGCTCACGTATAGCCCCTGAAATTATTTAGATCATTATTGGCATCCATTTTAATTTCAAAAATTAATTTGTACTTGTCAGCTTTTTTGAAAAGTAAAAACGAAAATGACAAGTCTCCGTTTATGTTTTAAGGTACCTAATCAGACTTATACTGTATAAGGCAGGTGCCCTGTACCATATTTTTTCTGGTCAGTATTCTGCTGGGTATAGAGATCTATTAAGGTGCATGAGCTATAGTGGGAGTAAATGAATTTTCTGGAGACTATCTCGGGTTTGCGGGAGGCACTGGCCTGGTTCCATTTTTGGATGTAGCGAATTACATGTGAATAAATAGGGCCAGCCAGCTACCTTTTACCTTTACTTTGTTTGTGTCATTCAGGACTAATGATGACGCTTTTTGTGTTGATTTGCTTGAAGGAACTTCACAAGCGTTGGGTGAAAATAAATTCAAGCTAATTAAACTCATTGATAAACAAGCCCAGGAGATTAAGCTATCTGATGTAGTTGCGAAATACGTTGGGATGAATCCTGCTGGAGCTTGGGTGTGTGGACCTTCTGGGTATAATAAATATATCAAAGATCTGTTGACTGGAGCAGGGATGGAAAGAAATAAAGTTATAGTGATGTAAGCTCCAATAGTTATTAGGTAATCGAAACTTTTTATATAAATAAATTGCCTTGTTCATCATTTATTATAATTAAATAAATTTTAATGTCAATAATCCATTATAAATATCTGACTTCTTCAATTTTTCATTATTTATATCTTTATATATAAATGGGACCTTATTTATCAACCCCTCGTACAGAAAAGCACACCCAGTTTGCTGAAAACTCTCGCCTGCGGTTTGCTTCATCAGATATGCAGGGCTGGCGTATGACAATGGAAGATGCCAAAATTGTAAACTTAACCTTTGACACCTCTTCAGAAATATTTGGAGTTTACGATGGTCATGGCGGCTCAGAAGTTGCTGAATTTGTAACTCGTCACTTATGCCAAGAACTTCTCAATAATCCCAATTACCACCAAGGAAATATAGATATAGCCTTACAAGAAACCTATTTAAGGCTCGATGAGCTTCAAAACACCCAAGATGGTATAAAAGAGCTTATAAGGATTTCCAAAAAATTGCCTGAAGGCTCCCCAGTCAATCCTGATGAACTTATAGTTCAAGCAGGCTGCACTGCAGTAACTGCATTAATTAAAGGTAACCAATTATACGTGGCAAATGCTGGAGATTCCCGATGTGTCCTATGCAGAGATGGAGTCGCAGTTGATCTTTCTATAGATCATAAGCCTGACCTCCCTGAAGAAAAAAATAGAATTTATAGAGCAGATGGCATGGTGGAGGATGGCAGAGTTATGGGAAATTTAAATTTATCTCGGTCAATTGGTGATTTAGAATATAAAACAAATTTAAGTATCCCACAAAGAGAACAGATGATATCAGCTTTTCCTGATGTAAGAAAAGAAACGTTAGGACCCCGTGATGAGTTTATTGTGCTTGCCTGTGATGGGGTATGGGACATGCTGACTTCTCAACAGTGTGTTAATTTTATTAGGGAAAGAATTAATGCTAAGCCGCTACAACAGATCATTGAAGAATTATTGGACAGATGCCTTTCACCAAGCGTCGGGGCTAATGCAGGACTAGGATGTGATAACATGACTGCAATTATTGTCCAATTTAAACATCCATTAAGTATCAACACAAATAAAAAGGTGAATTATCCGACCCAGCCTTCTCCCTTAATCTCGGGATTTTTTGGTTTAAGAGGCCCGGGCCCTGAAACTTTGTTTCAGGCGTAGGCTTTTTCTCTGTGGTCAAGACACCACGACAGGGTTTTTACCCCGTACCATAGACAAGGAAAACAGAGTCCATAAAACAGCTCAAAACTTATGGGGACCAGAAGGAGAATTCGAGGGCGCGTTTTCTATCTCCCATCCCCAAATAGATTATGCCAGCAGCTAGAAGCTGTCCAAGGAAATATCTGGATTCGCCCCCTAGAGAGATGGCGGCATAAGCACTTTTTGGTAACTTTGACAGAAAAGGACTTTAGTGCTGACTGATGCCTAGGACGAGGAGTTCAAGTCGAAGAAGGCAGAGAGGTGCTGAAATAAACCCCGAAAACCTATTCTAATTTAAACTAATCTAATTAAGTAATCAATAATTAAAAAATGCTTATATTGCTCCTAAATTTATTTTTCTGCAAAGCCCAAATAGAAATCCCGCTCACCCGCATCCCTTCTTCCATAAAGCTATCTCAGCCTTCAAGTTTCACTATGCTAGCAACCAATATCTCAATTGAGCTTTCTAACATTAGAAATGTAACCTTAATTTAGTTTCAATATTTAGGACCAATTTATATAGGAACTCCTCCTCAGGAATTTAAAATGATTTTTGACACAGGCTCTTCAGTGATTTTTATATAGTGACTATGAGTCCCAGATGTCTCATTAAAAAATACTAGTGAACGTCAAACTTTTGATCCTGAAAGTTCGTCAACCTTTAAGTCAGGCTCAAAAGTGTATAAACTTGCTTATGGCAAAGGGGAAGCGCTTGGGAATTTATGCCAAGATACTGTGTCCTTTTCTGATGACTATTCTGTGTCAGCTCTAGACCAATATTTTGTCCTTGTAGAAAACGATACTATGTATGAGAATTTTGTCGCAGATGGAATTTTGGTAAAAATTATATAGGGACTCGCCTTTAAAAGGCTTAGTGATTGGTATGATCCAGTTGTACTGAGCTTAAAAAAGCAGAAAAAAATAGAAAAAGCAGTTTTTGGGGTTTATCTTGGAGATGAAAATGGAGACCAGAAAATAAGCTCGAATATTATATTGGGAGGGTACGATTTGGCTAAATATGCAAGGGATGAATATATAACGTGAACTAAAGTTTATTCAGACTCAGGATTTTGGACAGTTAGGCTTACATCTGTAAGTGTAGGAAATGATGAAATAAGCATACGTACATCAGTCTTAGCAATTGTGGATACAGGAACCAGCTTAATTATTGCCCCTGGTGGAGAAATTACACAGATTAACCGCTTGATTTCTCTCAATAAATATTGTGAAGAGTATGAAGGATATACTGTTTGTGACTGTGGAGATAAGCATAATATTGATGAATATCCTGATTTAATTTTAGGCATTGGAGAAATTTATTTATCAATATCTCCCAGAACTTATTTTAAGAAATTTGGAAGTTTTTGCAAATCATTGTTAGTAAGCAATGGAAATAAAAATTTCTGGGTACTAGGAGATGTGTTTTTAAGAAACTATTACACAATATTTGATATGGATAATGAAAGAATTGGATTTGTGACGTCTATTAATATGCAGATCAAAGAAAAGAAAACGTATTATTTCTTGTTTATTATTGCTGGGATTTTAGTTTTAATAGCGTTGAGTATAGGAGTTTGGCTGAAAAAGAGGCTTGAAATTAGAAGAAATACAGTTCAAGATGTGATTGATATGCATTTGATATAACAATCAATAATTTAAAAATTATATTATGAGAAATATAAATTTTCTAATTAAACAGCAACTGCTTCGACTACCCAGTCAGTTTTAGCAGGTCTAATATTTATAACTCTAAGTCCATTTTTTTCGAAAAATGGTGCTAATTCTTCTCTTGATCTAACTTTACCATCAGTTATAGCCCACCACCATATGTCAAGGTACCTTTCAAACTTATACTGCTGATGAGCTCTATCCATCATGAGGTCTACAAAATATAATTTGTTCCCTTTTTCTAAAGCCCGTCTACAATTTCTTAAAATTGAGTCTAAGGAATGATCATTATATTCTCCAGATATGCATTTCATGACAATAGCATCATACCCTTCTGGCACATAATCAATATAATTTCCTGCAGTTACTTTAATTCTATTCGTTAATTTCTTTTCATGAATTTTTTTTCTCACTCCTCTTGTAAAGAAAGCGAACAAAAAAAATTCGCTCGATCAAATCGATCAAAGAGGAGATTTTTTATTTTTTTTGAGAAAATGCTATTAATAGGATAGTTTTTTTTTTAATTTAAAGTCCGTAAAAATTTGCATATAATAATTATCTAAGATATATCAAAATATTTTTCAGATTAAAATTTTTTGCGAACTCAGTGCTATTTCCAATAGTTCTGCTCGCTCACGGAAAGGAAGAGCTCAGTAATTTGCCGATACAAGGTTTGGTCATAAATAGTCCCTTGGAAATTCCTATATGTCTCTGCTAAAGAAATAATCAAAGCACCTCCATGAGCCCCTATTTCCAAAACCTTCCTGGCATTTCTTAAATCAATAGCTTGGCCTACTTCCTCTGATACCTGTAAAACTTTACTAGAAATTCCACTCACAAATTGCTTTAAATATTGTGGCTTTTGGCTTAAAAAATCTGTAAAAGTTGCATTATAATACACTTCAGGAGCGGTTTGGTCCGACATTAAGCATTGAGAAACAACACTTAAAAAGTCATATTGCCAAGGTGCTAAGCTTAATCTGACAAAGTCTGCATAAGTATCATCAATAAATCTCTCTGAAATCACATTATTAGAGAATCTTCTTGATTGCTCATCATATTCAAAAATCCCTGCAGATTCTAGTGCAAGTAAAACACGTTCAAGCTTATCGCTGATCACTTGAGTTTCCTGGGAAAGATCTTCAGCTGTTTTTGGGCCTAGTGAAAGTAATTTTGGTATATTAAAATCTAATGCAGAATATAAAAGAGCACCTAATTGAGGACCAAAAAGGATTTTTTGAACTTTTCTATCTACGTCAGAATGTTGCAGCATATATATTAATTAATATATGCCATTAAATATGGCGATTTTAAACTTTAATATTTAATATATTATGTATTGCATAAATTTTGGATTATGCTTCACATATGGGAATTTTTTAGCATGTGGAGAATTTCTCCACTTGTCATGCGTAATCCAAAATTTATGCGATAGACTACACTAGTTTTAAGCTTTTTAAATCAGAAATATTATGCATAAAAGACGCTGGTAATGAATAAATATATGAAGTAATATTTATTTTTCAAATAACTAAATTTAATAATTTTCACTTTAATATTTGAGAATTTTAATTAAACAGCTGCTGCTTCAATAACTATATCAGTTTTCGCAGGAGTTATATTTAGAATTCTAAACCCAGTCCTATTCAAAAACGCTTCAATTTCTACTCTTGTTCTCACTCTCCCATCAGTTAAGCTCATTGCCACAATATCATTAAATCTTTCGAATCTATAATTTGTATGAGTCTTATCAATAGCAATATCAACTAAGAATATTTTTGCCCCCACGTTTAAAGCATTTCTCATATTAACCAGTATTTTTTCAAAATTGGCATCATTATTTTCTTTCGAAATGCATTTCGCCACAATTGTGTCATAGCCTATTGGTATTGATTCAAGATAATTTCCTGAAACAAATTTTAATTTTTCTTGAAAATTATTTTCTTGGATTTTTTTCTCTGTTATATCTTTAAATAAATCAATATCGTAAACAGTGCCTTGAATATGCTGATAAAGCCTGGCTAATTCTATTAATAAAGCACCACCTTGTCCACTGATTTCTAAAACTTTGGTGGAGTCACTTAAATTTATCCCTAAGCCAATTTCATTGACTGTCCAAAGAATGTGGCTTGTGATACCATTAACAAATTGTTCTAGATAAATAGGCTTCTGGCCAAGAAAATCAATGAAATTTGTATTGTAGTATTCTTCTGGAGCTGTTTTATCCGATTTTAAGCTTTTTGGGATTACGCTAACTCCCCCAATCTTGAAAGATCCATTGAAATTTCGAAAAAAAGGGGAAATTAATTAAATCCTTAATGAGCAATTTTCAAATTTTCAAAAATTAACATCACTTAAAATCTAACTACCTATCTTTGATAATAATTAATTTTAAAAGATATTATAGTATAATCGCTCTTACACAATTCTAATATAGTTTATAGCATATTTACTAATATAATGCAAACTCTATCTCTTGTGAATAAGATATTTTATATGGAAAACAATTTAATATGAAAATTTTCATGTTTGAAAGTTTTTTTTCCAGAAAAGTTTTACCCCGTCCTTGATTGGACAGTGGCAATCGGCTCGGTGAAGAAGGAAATCCATCTGCCAAGGAGCTAAATAGAATTTAATATAGTCAAGATAAGCTTCTTTCAAAAAATGAACAGAAATAGAATTCAATGCAAATTGCTTTGTTACAGGGTTATAATTAAAGAGCTTTTTTGTTTCAAGTGTCAGTAAAACACGCTCAAGCTTATCGCTGCGCGTTGAAGTTGCAAGACCCAACTCTTCTGCTGTCTTTGGACCAGTTTCTAAAAGCTGTGGGATTTTTAGATCAACTACAATGTAAAGAAGTGAGCCAAGCTGAGGCAAAAGAAGCATTTTTTCGATTTCTTTGTCAACTACTTCTGTTGGTTTTCCGAAAAGTTTTTCAACTTGTTTTTGAATGACATCAGAAACTTGATGCATTTTGTAATAATAATTGGCTAATAAATATGGAGGAATTCCATGGTTCTCAATTAAAGCAAATTTGATATTTGAATTAAATATGGAAAATCTTGTGTGGTATTTATGAGAACTTTTAATTCTGTTTTAGGAATCGGTATTTATTTTAAAACAAATTTTAAAATTATAGATTAATGAATACTGTTTAAAGATTAGAGGCTTTGTGATAAATAATGTATATGATAAATGAATTTACAATTAAATATAGTTGAAAATCTGTATAAATATTTATATAATTTATGATTTTTTTGCAGAATTGAGCAATCATTTATATCTTGTATGTTACTTCAATATAGATAAATAATGCACGCCATTTTAGCTATTATCGTAGATTTACAACCATCTTTAACAAATAAATACATAAAAGTTATAAGATGAAACTGCATATTAATCAGAAATCCGATTTCAATTTATTAAAGCAAGAAATCTTAAGAAGTCAATGTTTAAATAAAAATTGTATATTTAATTTATCAAGCAATTGGCTCTATAGATCATAATTAAATGCACAGTGCTGCATAAATTTTTCCTTTGCTTCTTCACATTTGATTCAACATTCATGAAACGATTTATATATTCTAAGTATATTTATGACATCATTTTGTTGAAATCATAAATAAATAATGGCATTTGGATTTGAAGAAAGCACGCTCATTTTCAGTTCCATTTCTTTAGTATCAAGTTTTTGAGTGACATTAATCTACATAAGAAACAAAGAACTCCATCAGCATCCAGCAGAAATTTTAGCTTGGATCTCTGTATTTGAAATTGCTATGTGCCATCACAGCATTGCACTTGCATTGGATTCAAATTTTACACTGTATGGCCATGGCCCTCATGAGATTTTTATTGCCCTTAGTTTTGGAACTCTTGATATAGAAGAGTCTAGAGCTATATCCTGTGCAATAAACCAAGCTTTATTTTCAGCTGCTGTAACGCTGGTGTTGGCTTACAATATGTTTGTTTGTGTTGATCTCATCATTACATTAAGAAGTCCGCTTATTAGAGGAAAATCACGTATGAAGTATTATCATATTTGTTCACTGATTTTTGTTATTGTGCAGATCACATATAATTTATTTCAAAATTCAAGATATTCAGAGTGCTTGATTAATGGGAAAATTTATTACCAAGAACTGTGAAATTTTGGGCTACTAACTGCTGTATTTGGAATGTTTTTTATATTTGCATTTATTTCTTTGGTGTATTCTTGAGTAAAGCTTACTAATTCTCCATTACTAGATAATATAAAAATATAAAAAAAAATAATTAAAAAAAATAAATATTTATTTTTGTGAAGTAAAGACTACACTAAAGTTTGTCCTGCTACTCGAAGCTATTTTCAAAGACACATCATTTACATAATAGTTTTCAGTATCGTTTGATGCTGGGCACTTATCGATTATTGGGTGTGAAACTCAGGATGGCTAAACAAAGCAGGAATTATCATGATGTGCGCATCAGGATTTATATTAGCTTTAATAAGAAACTGTGAGCCTTTATTTTATGAAAAATCAAAAGAATCCCTCTTATTCTGAAAGAAAGCAAAGAAAATAATTAACACAAAAACTTATATTGAAATGCATACAGATATGTGAACAATTCCGATTTCACATATAATGCAAAAATGTTTTAGGTCCCAAACGACTATTTCAATTCTTACAGGACTGTATGAAGCTATAAGGCTTTCTTCATTAAATTCTAGGTCGATGAATTTAAACGATTTTACGATATCTGACTATAATGAAATAGCTCAGCACAAAATTAGTGATAAAAATTTGACTTTAGATTTAAATGGAATTAAATCATCAAGATTCCCTTATTATATAATTGCTGAATATGCTCCAAAAGTTTTTCACCACCTGCGAGTAATTGATAATATAAATACTGAAATTTCTCTTTCTGCTTTAGCTCCTAAAAACAACAAATCAACTTTATTTTCAGTCCATAAAGGCCAAGGCGGCTCTGGGAGCTTATTCATTTTTACTGAAGATGATACTTTTGTAATAAAAACAATAACAAAAACAGAGCGAAAAACTTTAGCTAAAAGGCTGCTCCAGGCATATCACAGGCATATTCTGCATCATTCTGATTCTTTATTATGCAGAATTTATGGAGTTTATACCTTAAAAATTTCTGGTCTAGCTCCGCTTGAGCTACTTTTATGTCAAAATTTGAAAAAGGATCACGTCGTCAAATTTTATGATCTAAAAGGTTCAACACACAACAGGCATGCAAATTCTATCAGAAAAGATTTTATTGGTCCTTATAAAGATTCGGATTTTCTGAGAGAATCTAAGACAATTTCTATGAATCCCAGCATAAGAAATCAAATTTTACGAGCAATTTATAATGATGCTTTGCTACTTATGAGGCATGATATTATGGATTACTCAATTTTTATGCAGGTATTAAGGAAAAGTCAGCGGAAGTCATATCCAGATTTTTATCAAATGGAATGGTATTCTTTTTCTATCATAGATTTTTTAAGTGAGTATAATTACAAAAAAAAATTTGAATATTACTTACTCCACCCCCCATCCTTGATCAAACGACTCGCCATCGTTCGATCAAGGATGGGGGTTAAAAAAAAATTTTTTCGGAAAAAAAATTTATATATAAAAAAAAAAAAATATATATTATATTTTTTTTATTTACTTTTAAATAAGAGGGTTAAGAGTATTTAATAATTATTTTTACAGCAAAAATTGAATTAATTTTATAAAAATACCAATTTTTAATATTTTGATTTATTAGTTACCTTTTTAAAAACTATATATTTTTTAATTTATTCCTTGCTGAATTAAAATTTTTTTTTTTTTAAATTTTAAAAAATCTCTATTTTTTAGATTATTAAGTTTTTAAGCCTAGATTGCTGACTAAATCACTTCGGATGGTTGATTCCGCAGCTTTCTGTCGTCTCAAAGCTCTGAAAACAACTTCATTAGGTACATCTTCCCAAGCTTTTGATAACTAATATATATAAAAAATTTGCATGATATGAAAATCGTTCGATCAAGGATGGGGGGGTTAATTTTCCCAATTTTTAGGAATTTTTACAGTCAATCGTTCGATCAAGGATGGGGGGGGGGAGTTAAAACTTGTACAGCTTGGGAAAAAAATTAAATCTGCGTCTGTAATGGACCCGAAAAAATATTTCAATCGGTTTTTCAATTTTGCGAGCGAGAAATTATTAAATCAAAATACTAGCTTTTTAGCTCAGATGTTATAATTATGTAAGCTGATCATCCATTAATTTTGCCTTCGCTATAAGACTTTCTAAATTGCTTTGTATATCAGAAACTAACACTTTAATTTTAATGAAATCGTCAATAACCTCATGAGAACGTTTTCCACTATGCAAAAGAGCAATGCTTCCTGCAATTTGTGGGCTAATTATGTTTTTTGTGGATTTTTCTAGGTCTTTGCATTTTTCTAATAGTGAAATTTGGTTTTTTTGGATAGTGGCGAGTCGAAATTCATGCTTTTCTTTGACGAGTGTTCACATTTTTTCTAAGTCTCCAGAAATTCCTTTGATATGTGTAGCAATTGGAGGTCTTACTTTTATTTTGTTGATTTCTTCGACTTCAAAATTGATAGGCTTCTCTTGGTTTCCTTCAGATACTGTAACAATTTGATTAGGAATCAAATTTTGATTGCCCATATTACAAGAAAATTATATTTTACATGCAAATTATTTAGTTTTTGCTTTGTGCAAGCTTAACCATAATTTTTCTTCCATTGAACTCTGCGTTGTTCATAGACTCAATTGCTCTTTGTGCTTGCTCATCAGTCTGAAACGTAATAAATCCATACCCTTTGCTTCTTTTATTTGTGTCAATTGGGATATCTACCCTCACAATTTCTCCAAAATTATTAAAAACCTCTTTTAGCTGCTGCCAGGTTACAAAATAAGGTAAATTTTTGATATAAATTTGATTTTTTTTCCTTGGAGATCTTGATCTTCTAGCTACTTGATCTTCTCTTACTTTTATGCTAGTTCCATTAAATAATGTGTTATCTAATTGTTGGAGAGCTCTCTGAGCTTCCAATGCAGATGCATAGGCAACTATTGCACATCCCTTGCTTTTCCCGTCATTTGATTTTATTATATCAACACGTGTGACTTCGCCTGCACTTTCCATGTGCCTTTTTAAGTCTTTCCATTCCACTTTTTCATCAAAATTGCCTACAAATACTCTTTTATTGTCTATTCTGCGAGATCGATCATGAGGCATATTTATTTATAAACTATCTCCAAATAAATCCCAAAATTTACCTAAAAAAACTCTTTTATAAAGCTTATTTAATCACTAAAATTCCTAATAGGATTATGTTTATTCTTTAACTATATTTGTTCTTTCGCTAACATAGATCCCATCAAGGAACTTTCTGACATCCTTATTCTTGACTGAGCAAGATTGTTGGATGAGTGCAGCAGACATCGATACAAGTTCCAAGTCATTTCCTTTCAAGATTAGCTCGTCCTTCATGGCGTCGCTCTTTTCAATAAGCACTCCTTGCAACATAGCGATTCTTCTCACCTGTCTTTCTCCAATGTAGTTTCTGATTTCAATGGATTTGTGGTCATTAGGGATGTGGACATTAATAGGGAAGTGAGCATAGACCAATCTCATGTGGTATTCGAAGCCCTTTACAACTCCAATCATAAGGTTTTCTATTGCGGATATATTTATATGTAGTGAATTAGTCTTTTTATTAGAATATTTATTGTGATTTTTGGCTTTTTTTGATAGGGATAATACACTTCTCACACAAGCTGCTTGCTTGCGATCGGCGAACCAGCAATCTACCTTGACAAGCTTTCCATCATCTAAAACTTGGATATCTAAGGCGAGGTGTTTAAAGTCTCTTGAGAGAGTTCCTCTTGGACCTTCTACAGTAACTTTGCGGGCTTTTACTGTGATTTTGACGCCGTCGATAACTTTAAGTTTTTCTGTCTTGATGATCTGCTTCATGGCTATTGATTATTAAATGGCATCGTCTAAGCCATAAAGTTAACACTTTAATGCTATAAGCAGTTTTGTTAAATTATCCAGAAAAAACAGGAAAAATATTTCTATGGGGAATTCAAGGTAAAGGCTTATATATTACATTGGATTGAAATAAATAAGTTATTAGCCAATCTTTTTATAGCATCTGAATTAAATATATTGAGAATTAATTAATTTGAATCATTATAAATCAAAACTTACAAGTTTAAAATATTTAAAACATTTTCATTGACTTTTTTGTAGTGAAATTACCTAATTAAGCAGGAGAAATATATGCTGAGATAAATTTAGAAAATTTATTGTAGTTTCCGGCTTTTAAATCAAAAAATTCCTTACTCCCCTTTTAAATTAGGACAAAAACATCGGTAAAATTTCCAATTTTTAGGTGCTTAAACATCCATTTAAATTGTAACACATTAATATAAGGATTCCCCCCTCATTTGTACAATTTTCTAGTCTTTTTTTCTAACTCCCCCCCCCTCCGTGAGTGAACAAAAAAAATTTTGTTCACTCACGGAGGGGGGTTAATTTTTTTTTTTTAAAAAAATTTTGTTTTCGAAATTTAAAAAAATCCTAATTCGCGAAAATTGGAAAGCAAATATTAATTTAATTTATAAAAATTTATGTTTTAAAAAAGCAATTCGTTTAAAATTAAACAGAATTATAGATTTCATTATACTAATTATCACTTATATATCAAAATTTTTTTCCATAAAAAATTTTTCTATTAAAAAAATTTTTGTTCACTCACGGAGGGTGGGTTTTTGGGCAAAAAATGGCGATTTTTCTAATGGTTTTGTTCACTCACGGAGGGGGGGGGAGTAAGAAAAAAAAAATTTTCAGGACCTCATTTGTCCAAAAATCTAGTCTTTTTGAGATTTTTCGAATGTCCTAAATTTTAGTTTTTTACTTTAAAAAACTAGAAAATGAGACAATTGAGGTCCTGAAAAATTTTTTTTACTATCAAAATTTTGACTAGAAAATTGGACAAATGAGGTTTTATAAAAAAAACTAGAAAAGTGGACAAATGATAAAAGATTAGAAAATTGGACAATGAAGGGGGGGATCCTTATAAATTTTTTAAAGAAAAAAAATTTATTATAAAATATTTTTGGAACATTTTACAGCTAATTTTTAAAAATTAACCTTCCTTTAAATTGGAACAGGATTTGTTATTCCAATTTAAAGAGGTAAGTTAAGAGAATTATGATCTGATTACTATCAGTTAAATAACTGAATCTTCCCTTGTTAGCAATGCAATCATTGAAAAAAATCTATATTTTTGGAAAATAAACCCTTTTGGAAATAAACAAAAAGATTTTTATCAAAAGCTCAATATATCTAAAAATTTTAATGATAATTAATGATTTTTTGATGAAATACCAAGCATTCTATTAAATTTTAGGCAGTTTGAATAAGATAAATATTATAAATTAAATAAATTTTTCCTTTCAAATATAGAAATTGGGGATTTTCAAAAATTTTTAATATGGAATTTTTGATCTCAGTTAAAAAAAGCTTTGTCATTAACCAAAATGGAGTTAAGTGGAATTGTATTTTTTACACTGTCTTTATATATTGAAATAATTGTTATAATATTGACTGCTATTTTACTACGAAAAATATTTAGAAAAAGAAATAAAAGTTTATATATTGAATTTCCTTATAAGCTGTTTTTCTCTACTTATATTTAGACTTATTTAGTATAAAATAACTCTTGAATTAAATTAAGAATAAATAAATTAGCCATCCTAATTCTATGAGCAAGCTATCTAATCTAAAATTTCATTAATTATTTTAATCTATTCTCAAGACATTTTAAGCTTTTTCTATCACTTATGATTTGGCTCAAATAAAAAATAAAATTATTTCTCCTCAAAAAGTGGTGCCATTCCAACTTTATTTATGTCTTAATTATTTGCTGCACAAGCCTAGCAGCAGAACTTCTCCCATGAATAATAAATAGCTCAAATTATCTAATAATTAATCAGTAATTAATTCAGTAACTTTAAATATTAATTATATAAGCTGTTTAATGCCTTTTATAAGTTAACAGTGCATTTGATGGTAATAGCAGCCTTAAGGCCCTAGCACGGTAAGCTTTGGCTCGACTATAAAAGGGTTTTTACAACCTTTAAATGTAAAGATTAAGGTTAAGGCTTGAGCGATCTATAAAGACGCCAAGCTGTATATATCTAAATATAAAATCATTAAATTAAGCCTAAAATCCCAGTAACTTTTATCAATTTTGAGATACTTGGAGTTTAATAAATTATATCAACTGCAACTTGGTGAAAAATGGGGTCAGCTTGCTGTACAAAACAATCAATTGAAGTATCACCTAATCATGAAGGAAATCCGCTAAATAATTCAGCATCTACACACTCTCTTAATAACTCAGCTCGCATAAACATAAGTCAGTTCTTTCAAAACGAAGGCTCTGATTCTACTTTTATTGAAGCAAATACTACGAGAAATGGAAAAATAATGAAATGAAGACGTGGAGATCTAATAGGCGAAGGAGCTTACGCAAAGGTGTATCAAGGAATGAACTTAGACACAGGAGAACTAATGGCAGTTAAACACCTTGAGGTAAAAGCTTAATCAGATAACTGAAGACATTAAGAAAATTGAAAAAGAGTATACCAAATATAATAAATATTTATAATTTTAATAGAAATATTATTATATTAAATATTCAAATAAAATAGCTTATCTCCACTTGAAAAAAGAAATTTTGCTGTTAAGATTGCTTGATCACCCTAACATTGTAAAATATTATCAGACAGATTTATCAGAGGATATGACTCAGCTTGATATTATTTTGGAATATGTGTCTGGAGGGTCTTTGAAGAAAATTTTGCAAAGGTTTGGAGGACTTAGTGAAGAAATTATAAAGCATTATGGAAGACAACTGCTTGATGGCTTAGCTTATCTCCACGATCATCTCATTATTCACCGTGACTTAAAATCTGCAAATGTCTTAATAACTTCTAATGGCCATGTAAAATTATCTGACTTCGGATCATCACGCCAATTTGAAGAATTAGGAACAAAACTTTCAAAAAGCCTAAAAGGCAGTCCATACTGGATGGCCCCAGAAATCGTTATGAGGGAAGGGCATTCTTATAGCGCTGATATTTGGTCTTTTGGATGTTTACTAATAGAAATGGTGACTGGCCGTCCTCCGTGATCAAATTTTTCAAGGGATGCTAAAGAAGTTTTGAAGCTAATCTCAGTCCCTGATAATCTACCAACTATGCCAAAGGTTACAAATTCGTTAAGAGATGCGATTTTAAAGTGTTTAAATAGAGATCCTCAATTAAGACCAACAGCAAGAGAATTACTGGGACATGATTTTTTTAAAATAGTTGAAGAAGAGACCATTTCAACTGTCGCGCTTAGTAAACCTGGAAGTTTTGATACCTCCAAAAAAGAAGGCTTGATTCTTGATTAAATTCGTGTATTAATATTATTTAATACATGATTATAATATTTATGATTATTTTTGGTATTGCGATTATTTGAATTTTGTATTACTAAATATCCCATTTATAAAGAATTAGCAGTAATAATTATTAAAATTGCAAAAGAAGAGCTTTTTTTAAAGATAGATGATATAAAAAATTTAATGCTTTGCAAGCATCTAAAACATATTTTATGCATAAAATTGTTTTGACATTTTTAATAGCATATTAAGTCAAATTAGGAATTTATCTAAATCAAATATTTAACTTTGGGATATAAATATTAGCTTTAAATCTCAAATTGTTAAATCATACTTAAGTTCTTGTATAAAAACTCATTTATATATTCCTAGATTGCTGAGTCAAAAACCCATTAAATATGCAAGAATAAAATGACTTATTTTATGATTTTATTTATAAAACCACAAGAAATAAATTTGTGGAGATATCATGCTTTTATGCTCTTTATATATTTGGCTTCAGCCATAAAATATTTATAAACTTTTGGAAAAACTTTCTCTAAAATTTTATTTATTATCAATTTGATAAAAGATTATCGTTTTATAGGATGATATCTTTATTATATTTGATATTTATGCTTATAAAGACAAGAAATACCTCAAAGAATACTCAAAACCATTGGAAAACGGCTTCTAATGTCCATTTTTTTAACAAATTTTAGATACTTAATATACATTTTATGTTGAAAAACGCATTCATTGTTTTACTTTTAGTGAACTTTGGTCTTGGTTTACGAACTAATACAGCTCAAATAGTTGCAGAAGATGATCAAGTTGAAATTACTCTTACTGTTGATGAAGAAACCGGAACAGTTTGTGCAAGTTGCATTAGCATTGAAGATGCAGAATCTTTAATGACTGGAGAATCTACCCCTGTAATTACAGTTGTGGAACCAGAAGAACCAAGTGAACCTTCAACTGAAGAGCCTAGCGAGCCTTCAACTGAAGAACCTAGCGAACCTTCAACTGAAGAACCAACCACTGAGGAACCAACTGAACCCTCAACTGAAGAGCCTGAAGAGCCAACCACTGAGGAACCAACTGAACCTTCAACTGAAGAACCAACTGAACCAACAACTGAAGAGCCTTCAGAACCAACCACAGAAGAGCCTACTGAGCCTTCAACTGAGGAACCAACAACTGGAGAACCAGAAGAACCAACCACTGAGGAACCTGCAGAACCTACTGAACCAACCACTGAGGAACCTACTGAACCAACCACTGAGGAACCTACTGAGCCAACCACTGAGGAACCTGCAGAGCCTACTGAACCTACAACTGAAGAGCCAGCAGAGCCAGAAGAGCCAGCTGAGCCAGAAGAGCCTACAACTGAAGAACCTACTGGAGAAACCGGCGAAGGGGAAGGCACTGTATCATGCCCTACCACTAATCCAACTGAAGCTTTAGCAACAATTTCTTGGAACAAGAAAAATGTAAGAGTTTACCATGCTCATGATGGAGTAGTAGATGAATGGTGTTATGACGGCGGTAGTTGGTATGTTGGTTCATTCTACGCTGTTGGAAAAACAGTATCAGCAGTTGCTTGGAACACCGTAAATATTAGAGTTTACGTTGGCGATGGACTCAATATTGTTGAATACTGCTGGGACGGAAATGGATGGTATGTAGGTTCATTCACAGCTGAAGGAGTTGTTACTGGATCTACCTCATGGCTAAATGGATCAAGCATCATAATCAAAGTTTACGTTAAAACACATGCTGGACATATTGAAGAGCATACTTACAGCAATGGATGGTCTGTCACATCAACTATTGTTTAGGTTTTACTTTTTAAAAATAATAATTAATTGAAATCAATTTATAAAATGTGTCAAATTAAGTTATATTATTTAATTATATGAAATAATATTATTTGTTAAATCTAAATTTTAATATCCTTTGAGTCTTCCAGCCTAATTCTTTATTAATTTTATATGCAGAAATGGCTAAATTTATATGGTTTCATTTTTGCAAAATTGAAACGCAGAGTTTAAAAATATTATACTTCATACCTATTATTCTAAATCTTTATAGAATTAACAAATATACTAAGTCATAAACCCATTAAATATGAAAGATAAAAATGACTAATATTATGATTTTATTTATAAAACCAAAGAAATAAATTTGTGGAGATATCACACTTTTATGCTCTTTTATATTTGGTTTCAGCCATAAAATATTTATAAACTTTTGAAAACTATTTCTTTAAATTTTATTCATTATCGATTTGATAAAAGATTACCGTTTTATAGGATGATATCTTTATTATATTTGATATTAATGCTTATAAAGACAAGAAATACCTCAAAAAATACACAAAGCCATTGGAAAATGGCTCCTAATATCCATTTTTGAAACAAATTTTAGATATTCAATATATATTATGTTGAAAAACGTATTCGTTTTTTACTTTTAGTGAACTTTGGCCTTGTTTACGAACTAATACAGCTCAAATAGTTGCAGAAGATGATCAAGTTGAAATTACTCTTACTGTTGATGAAGAAACCGGAACAGTTTGTGCAAATTGCATTAGCATTGAAGATGCAGAATCTTTAATGACTGGAGAATCTACCCCTGTAATTACAGTTGTGGAACCAGAAGAACCTAGTGAACCGTCTACTGGAGAACCAAGTGAACCTTCAACTGAAGAACCTACCGAACCTTCAACTGAAGAGCCAACTGAACCAACAACTGAAGAGCCTGGTGAGCCAACAACTGAAGAACCTAGTGAACCAACCACTGAGGAACCTGCTGAACCTACTGAGCCAACCACTGAAGAACCTGCAGAGCCTGCTGAGCCAACCACCGAAGAATCTACAGAGCCTACTTAACCAACTACTGAGGATCCTGCAGAGCCTACTGAGCCTACAACTGAAGAGCCAGCTGAGCCTTCAGAGCCAACAACTGAAGAGCCTATAGACCGCTTCCAGCTACAGATCGGGCTATGCCCGATCTTTGCCGGGAAATTCGGGGGGTTGTCTGCGTCACTTCAAGATGATGAATTAACTCCCCGAGCTGGCAAATAGCTACTATTAAGTGATTTGCTAACTCGGGGAGTTGACTCGTCACCTTGAAGTGACGCATACAACCCCTCGAGTTTCCCGCAAAGATCGGGCATAACCCGATCTATAGCCGGGAACGAGCTATACTGGAGAAACCGGTGAAGGGGAAGGCACTGTATCATATCCTACCAAGAATACAACTGAAGCTTTGGCAACAATTTCTTGGAATAATAAACACGTTAGAGTTTACCATGCTCATGATGGAGTTGTCGCCGAATGGTGCTACGATGGTGGTGAATGGTATGTTGGTTCATTCTACGCTGTTGGAAAATCCGTATCAGCAGTCGTCTGGAACAACTTAAATATTAGAGTTTACGTTGGAGATGGAGTCAATATGGCTGAATACTGCTGGGACGGAAATGGATGGTTTGTAGGTGAATTCAAAGCTGAAGGAGTTGTTACTGGAGCAACCTCATGGCTAAATGAATCAGGCGTCATAATCAAAGTTTACGTTAGAATACATGCTGGATATATTGAAGAACATACATGTGAAAATGGATGGTCTGTCACATCAACTTTTGCTTTAGGTTACTTTTTAAAGTAATAATTAATTGAAATCAATTTATAAAATGTGTCAAATTAAGTTTATATTATTTAATTATATGAAATAATATTATTTGTTAAATCTAAATTTTAATATTCTTTAAGTCTTCCAGCCTATTTCTCCATTAATTGTATATTGCAGAAATGGCTAAATTTATATAGATTTATTTTTACGAAATTGAAACGCAGAGTTTAAAAATATTATACCTAATACCTATTTTTCTAAAACTTTATAGAAGTAATACAATTTTTGTTCAAAATTAATTATTTTTAAATAAAGGGTGCTTGCACTGAATAGAATTTGATGAGAAATATTTTAAAACCTAGAAATAATTGCTTAAATTACAAATTAGCTCTGTTAGAAAAAGCTTCTAACTCTGCTTTAATTTTTTTCTTTTAAAAATATCTAAAATCCTCTCTGCAATACTCAAAATCATTGAAAAACGGCTCTTGACGTCCATTTATACTAAAGAATTGATATCAATAAACATTATGCTAAAAAACTTATTTATTGTATTGGCTCTAGTAAACATTGGACTAAGTACAGAAACAAGTACCGAAGATACTTCAGTTTCATGTCCTACCACAACCCCTACAGAAACTCTAGCTGTAATTTCTTGGAACAAAAAAAATGTAAGAGTTTACCATGCTCATGATGGAGTAGTAGATGAATGGTGTTATGACGGCGGCAGCTGGTATGTTGGATCATTTTCTGCTACTGGAAAAACAGTATCTGCAGTAGCCTGGAACACCGTAAATATTAGAGTTTATGTTGGGGATGGAACTAATATAGTTGAATATTGCTGGGATGGAAAAGGATGGTATGTCGGCTCATTCACAGCTGAAGGAGTTGTTACTGGATCAACTTCTTGACTAAGTGGTTCAAATATCATTATTAAAGTCTATGTGAAAACACATCTTGGAAATATAGAAGAGCATACTTATAATAAAGGATGGTCTGTTACGTCAACTTTTGGATAGATTTTTAATTTTATAATAATTAACTCGAAATAAAAATTTGCAGAAATTTAAAAGGGAGTATGAAAAAGGACTTTTGATGCTGAATTTTATTTAACAATAAATATGAGTTGCTTTTCAAATAATCTTAGGCTTTCTTTTAAGAAGTGAAAATTCTTTTTCTTAATGCTATTATATGTTATTCATTATAATTGATTGTCTTTTGAAAAATTGCATCTCCTTATTTCAATTATTTAGCAAACTTATTTTCTTCAATAATTTTTTCTTCATATTTGATTAGAAATAGCAATTGAGCTGATCATGATTTTATTATATTATTAGTAAACTTTCTCTTAATAATGATTAGCTGAATTGTTTCACAATCTTGCCGATATATATATTCTTGTGATTTATTACTGATTTCTTACTAATAATTATGAACAACTCAGCAGAAGATAAAAATTCTGTGCAGGACGGCAAGCAGGAGCAGCCCAGCGATGGGCTATCTTATACAGAATCACTTGTATCGTTCTGAAAAGAAGGATCATCCATTTCTGAGCACATTTCAAAACTCCAGTCAGAAAGATCTGGCTCATTTGATGTTCTTGAAGAAGGCAGAAGCTCTATTGAAGAAATTACCTCGAAATTCAAAGCAATTATCAAAAAAGTTACAGATCCTAAAGAAAAGGCTTCACTACTTTTAGATATGAACAAAATTATCACCAAAGTTAAGGCCAAGGCTTATGACTCTGAATTCATTAGAAAAAGGGATAAATTAGCTTACGTTTTTTTTACTCTTAGGCTTATCCTTGGGACTTATTTATTAGGAAGATGGCCTTGCTATTATCCATGGTTCCATGTGATTTCTGCGTTAATTATGATACCAGCCAGATTTTTTTATTTCAGAAGCTTAAGGTATCATTACTTCTTACTCGATTTTTGTTATTGGGCTAATTTGATTATTGTGCTTTATTTATCAGTATACAGAGATAATCAAATTTTATATAATGTAGCCCTTGCTTTTTCTACTGGCCCATTATTGGCATCAGTGCCAATATTCAATAATGCAATTGTTTTTCATTCCCTTGACAAAATTACCAGCAATTTCATACATTTAAGCCCTTCTATTGCTTTATGGTCTTTGAGAACAGATAGCTGCTCAGCAAACATAGAGCCTTTGCCGTTTTTGGATTACTATTTTTATGCAGTAGCATTTTATTCAACTTGGGTTATTCCATATACCCTTATTGTGTTTAAATTTACCTTTGAAAGGTGTAAAAGAAAGGATAATCTGACACTATATTCATGGATGATGGAGGACAAAGAAAGTAATTATTATAATTATGGAGGCAAATTTGGAGAAAAATACAGACCTTTAATGTTTGTCAGTCATCATGCTATTATAAATATACTGTTATTGGGAGTTGCATATTTGGCTTTGACACATTTTTATATTCATACAGCGTTTATTGGAGTAATTTTATTGAGTTCTCTGTGGAATGCAGCAAATTATTATATTGAATTTTTCTCGAGAAAATATGTGTCGGATTTAGAAAAGCTTGAGGCATTAAAAGCTAAATTAGAGTAATTTCTGTTTTTAAAAAATAAGAATTTGTATTAGTTTTTTGTCTTTTGGAGTTTTTTGTTAGTTTTATTATTGAAAGCCAATTAACTATTTCAAAAGAAGCCTTAATTTCAATTAAATAATATTAATTTAAAAATCTTAGTTAAAATTAAAATGAAAATAAATTTAACTAAAAATAAAAAATAAGAATAAAAGCTTAATTGAAGAATAAATGATAGTTAAAATGCAATATTACTTATCATAATAATTATAATAGCTTATATTATTTTTAAAAATGCGCTATATGAATTAAATGGTCAATATAAAAATATGAAAACTTTCAAGTGCTTTTATGAAAGCTGCTCTCGTATATATTCTACCAAATTTAACCTTGGAAGACATATAAACGTTTTCCATAAAAATAATCGCTTTCCTTGCTCGATATGTGGAGAAAGGCTATCATCAGCTCAAAACTTAAAAGACCATAGCTATTGTCACACAGGTCAAAAGCCTTATGCCTGCAAGCACTCAGGTTGCACAAAACGATATAGGCAAGCAAGCCAACTTTCGGTGCACAAGAAAAAACACCGAAATAATAATACTAGCACAGCCAATTTTTTTACAGAATTAAACGTATTTTTTATTCAGGCAAAAATTTTATTAAATCTTGATAAAATAATAGTATTTGACATCCCTGATGGTCCTTATAAGAAGAATGATGCAAAACTGCCGCCAATTCTCTAGGGAATTATAAAGAGAGGTAGTGACAGTTTTGATAAGTAATGATTTTTTTTCTTTAATTTCATATATACATAATTAGATACCTATAAAGATATGAATAATTCAACTTTTTTACCAATACTAGCATATATTATCCTTAAATAAGCCATAAAAAGCAATATTTAGGTAATTATTCAACTATGGTTTCCAAGAATTTATTATGAGCTTAGAAGGAAAAGGTAAGTATGATATAAATTGTTCTATTTTCTTTTTGCAATTTTATCCAATATAAACGATATTGATAAAATTCATCACTAAATATAATTTTAGGACTAATTTTATATGTTATTATATTCTGTTGGTATCTCTTATTATTTGAAGTATAACAAATTTACTCATATTGATTTAAATTTTGTCAAATTAATCATGCTTCTAATAATTAAACTATTTTATCCTTTTAAATCTACTTCTTATTTCAATTATTATTTAAAGGAATTAGTGATTTTTTATTGTTATCCCTTTAAGCGACATTAATGAATTTCTCAACATTAATATAGCCCTAATTTAACCTAATAATTAGATTTATTGTAAAATTAATTCTATCAATAATCTTAAAGAGCTATTTAGATCAAATTAATCTATTTTTCAATCAAAATTATATAAAATATTGATATTCATCCTTTCCTGATATGCAATTCTACAAATTCTTCAACTTTTGACCTTGAAATTATAATGAACTCTAATTTGAATCGGCTTCATTTAAAAAAATCCTGGAAAATTTTCTAAAATCGTGAGTTTATTTTTTTACAAAATCTAAAATAGTGAATATTTAAAAGAAGCTTTATTAATTTAATCTGCCACATCTCTAATTACACTAGCACCTAAGTTTAAGACAAAGTGAAGTGTAGAAAGTTATAATGAATTTATGGAATAACTAAGAAATAAAGTTAGAATGAGCTAACATACAATTTTTTAATTATTGGCATATCAGAAATAGTAAAAAATTTGAAATATTTGTATATTATATCTATGAATATTCCCTATTTAAGAATATTCTGTCAACACCAAAAAAGCAATTTATTGAACCCCTTAAATAATAAAGATCTAGGATCTCAGGTTTCGGTGTCACTTCAGAGCTTTATTTTAAGATTTAAATTGAATGATAATACTTTAAGGGATTAGAAAGGCAGCTGTATTTGGAATAAGAGGTTTATCAATTATTTGATAAAAAGAACTCATATTGCAAGATGATATATTAGGAATTTGCTATAAGGATTATTTTAACTAATCATTAACTTGCTTAATTGCTGCTATTCATTTTATTCCTAGTTTATTAACTAATGATCTATATTTATCCTCAATCATAATTATTATAATTTTTAAAATTTTACATAAAAAGCTCTGCAAAAGCTTGATTACGATTCATTCGGCGATAGGAACGCTTGGGGTAAGTTTATGTCCAACTTTATAATCGGACAATAAAAATCGCTCTGAATAAATTTTTCTCAATACTATTTGGCCATTATTGAATATTAATTTTTCATATTCTGAGGCAAAAATTATTAAAATAATAATTGTAAAATAATGTGTAAATTCAATCAAGACTGCCCTATTCTTGATGAAAATTGTGAATACTGCAAGAACATGCAGCATCAGTCCACGTCCGAATTTTCGTTAAATCCATATAGTATATCGGATATCCAAAGTTTAATGATTCAAGCTATATGCCAACAAAATGAGGTTATAGCCTTAATTTCCAATCAGTCAAGCGAGTTGACGGATAAGGTTTATAAAATCACTGAAAATATTAAACAAATTCAGTACAATTCCTCCAAATTATATGACTGCTCGTCAGAATTTATGAATAATGTTTTTAATCAACCAGAAGGAAATTCAACACCTAAGCTTTTACTGCAGATTTTGTGTGGAGGAAATACTAATTTTAAATATAAAATTGCATTAATCAATGAAATCCCCAATCCTATTTACAAAGAAAGATCATTTAAAATTCTGGCAAAAATCGTAGATTTTAATGGAAATTTAGTAACTTTATCACAGCAAGTGCATTTTAAAATAATGCTGTTCACGACTGAAGATCCACCTAAAAATTTAAAGGTGAATGTTTCTGGTCAAAAAATCATGAGAGGAACAACTGAGACAAGTTCAGATAGCATAATTTCTTTTTCAAAAGTAGTATTTAAAGAAGTTACGTCGCACTTTAAGAACGGATGCTTTTACCTGGTGATTTTGCCGACAGAATGCAAAGAAATTGAGCCTCTTATTATTGAAAATGTAGCCATTAAAGCAAGAAAAATTGTTTTTAAGGGAAAAAAAATAAAAGAGATGATTAAGGATAGACTAAAAAATCTTTAAATCATTAGAAATTTTAATTAATTTTAATTTGATAAAAGTTAAACTTATTTTATAATACAATATTGCTATCATTGACTTTTTATGGCGCAACTCGACTTAGATAAATATATTTAATTTCAATTACCTAGAGCTATCATAAATTAAATAGGAATTTGCTTCTTATAAGCTTTTAATTGATAATTACTTTTACCTTTATAGCTCTAATAAACAAGTCATATACAACTTAAGTTTATTTTGTAACACTTATATGGACTTATAAAATGTCAAAAAATTTCAAACCGCTGCTACACGATTCTTACAATGTTGGAAAACATATAAAATCATCTAAAAAGCGCTTTACTTGGAAATTTGAGCTTGATGGCCAAGAGCATGTCGTCGATCTTTACGTTTCAAAAATTTCAGGCAAACGAAAAGTACTTGTTGACGGCGATATCAAAATCCAAGCCAAAAAATCAGCTATTTATGGCAGCTATCCCTTAAAAATCGGCCGCCATAACCTTTTAATTAACGAGCAAATCGACAGCGTTTTTGATTTGCAAGTAGACAACTGTTCATTTGAAGCAGGGAATCAGAGAACTCGGGCTCAAAGTGATTTTAGATACAATGATCAGTACCAATATGAAGCTGAGCCAAATTTACAGCAGGTTTTAGAAGCCAGGGATCCTTACCAGCCAAGAAAATCTGCTGATCCCTTTGCAGAAAAAAATGAGCCTTATAAAAGCGACTTTAGTTACAATGATCCATTTCAAAATAAAAGCTCCCAAAGACGGTCATTAATAGCTGAAACAAGAGACCCGTTTGAGAATAGAAAGCTTAATGGCTTATCGGGCGAAAGAAGAGATCCTTTTGAGAATAGAAGGGTTGGATTATCAGGAGAAAGAAGAGACCCATTTGAGAACAGAAGAACTGGTAGCTTAGCAGGTGAGAAAAGAGATCCATTTGAAAATAGAAGGGTTGACTCATTCAGAAAGCGTCCAGAAAATAACGAAGAATGGGAAAGATATGAAGACTTTTTTGACCCAGAAAAATACCCATATGCTGAAAAAGAATTTGGAGTTGAAAGCCAAAGAAGAGAGTCAAGAGTTATTGAGAGAAGCACAATGCCTGCACAGCCTAGCTCAGCTCCAAAGCCTGTAGAAGAGAAGCCTAAAGAAGCTGCCAAGCCGCAAGATCAAACTAATTTACTTGATGCTCCATATCAAGCTTCTACATTGCCACATGATATTTTTGTAAGCAATACAAATACAACATCAACCAAGCCAACCAATAATCCTTTCAATGGTCAAGCTGCCTTACTCTTCCCTATAATAGGAGAAAAAATATGTCCCAGTTTAGAAGGGGTTATTTTTTTAGGAAAACTTTATATTTTTAATAAAAATATCAATTTATATATTTTAGCTAAATATTATTTTATTTGCACTCCTCCATTCATATAGAACAACTTATAGGAAAAATATATATTTAGCGACATTAAATTTGCATTCAAAGCTATTTGCATATAAATTATTATTTACCTATTTTTTTATATTTAAAGAGAATTAATTTAAAAATAGAAAATTTACCGATACTTTGCTCCATTTAAAAAGGGGGGCAGTTAGCAAATAATTTTGACTGAAATTCTGTAGCGCCGAAGCCAGAAGAAAATAAAACCCAACCTCCCCAAACTAATTTTCCACCAAATGCATTTCCAATGGGGATGCCTCCACAGATGGGAGCACAAGGCATGCAGCAAGGCCAAATGAACCCTATGGCTGCTATGATGGCTTATAACCAATTTATGACAGGAATGATGATGGGACAATACATGAATCCTCAGCAGCCATTTAGATAATTAAATATAATTAACTAATTCCTTTTAATGCGGATTATCATTTAAAACATATTATTTCTTCATTGTATTTCCAGATCCTAAAGTGTCCCAATAACTTGTCTTGGCGTTTCCAGTTGTTTTCTTAACTCCGTTTACTAGTCGATGTTTCCTTGGATCATACTCATTTGATGCTTTATCTGTACTTTCCTTTCTAGGCATATTTGTGACAGGTTTCCCATCAAGCCTATTTCCGCTACCTTGCCAAGTGGCAGTTTTTGATTGCTGCTTACCTTCTTCTTGTTCATATGTTAGTGAAGCCTCTTTTTTCAGCTGAGGCGCCTCTTCACGATAATCCTTAGGTGGTGCAAAATCAACCTCCAGATCTGTTTGAATTGTCATAATAGCAGGTCCAGGCCTAGTCTCAATAATGTCAATTTCAAAACTTCTCCCTGCAAACTGTACTGATATACTATCGCCTTGGCTTAAACATGCATAGCTTCTAAGTGCATTTTCTAATACTGCTTTGGGGTTTGGCAAGTCAATAAATGCAGTGGTATGTGGCTGGATTTTAACGAAAGTCCCTCTAGGTAACCTAATACTTTCTACACTTACATCGCCGCCTTCAGAAATTCCTAGATGATTCATTAGCTATATAAAAGATACTCAATAAGGAAGCAGACAAGTCCCTTCTTCAGCCGTAAATTCTAGAACACCACAGTGTGTAAATAAGCCAAGCTGGGTATTTGTAAGCTTGAATAGCATTGGATAGTCAATTCTGAGATTCACCAATCTTTGAGCTGCTGAAGTTGGCAAAATTACTGCATAAAAAATACTGAAATTTCCTTTCTCGACTTCTGTTTTCCCAAAGAAACTAGCAGGGAATGCTTTATAGAGCTCAAAATAAGCGCTATGACGAGACTGATGCTGAAATGATTGAAAAAACATTTAACTTTATAAATGGCTAAGCAATCAGACTTGCTTGGTAGCTGATTTCTGATTTTGTTATCTTCCTCAATATATAAACTATTCTTATTTTAGGAAGCTATTATTCCTAAATAAATAAATTCAAATAATTTTTACATTATTTTTTAAATAAATAAAAATTAATGATAATAGACATATAAATATATGGGAAATTGCATAGCCGGAAAGAGAGGCAAAAACAATGGAAACCAAATGCTACAAAGATTCAAAACAGCTGACGATGGACTCTACTACAAGCCAAAAATAAATTCTTCAACTTTAATTTGTTATAGACCCACAGATCGTGCTTTTTGGGACGTGAAAATTGATACAAACCTCATGTTCCAAGCAGGAGCTTTATTTGGAAAAATAAGAGTTGGAAAATATATATGTATTGGAGGTGTAGAAAACGGAGATGTTGCTTTTATTATTGATACCACAGAGAAAAAAACAATCCAAATTAATAAGCCGCCAATGAGTTTGGCATATGGGAGATGCCATGCTTTTCAAAACAAAGTTTATGTGGTAGGATCACTTTGTATAGAAGCTGATGGGTTAGAAAAGCCAGCAGTGCCACTTGTTTATGATATTAGGACTAATTTGTGAACTGAATTACCAAAAATGCCAGTAAATGTATCATTATGTGGAAGCTTCATTGTAGGTAAAGGTTTGAATTTAATCGGCGGATTTTTAAATTACCCAAGCCATCCTACATTGTTCAGATCAATGCTGCAGCTTGATCTTAACACTTTAGAATGGGCTCAAAGTAGCGTCACAACTCCTGTGCTCCATGGTCTTCCTTCTTGTGTTGTTTTAACTGAAAATGCGATTATGATTATAGGAGGCCATGACCCCTGCGAGCATTACTCTTCAGATGAGTCTAAAAGTACATATATATTTAATGGGAGAGAATTCCAAGCGTTGTCTGATTTACCATCAGTTGGACAATTAAGGTTTTCTGACTCCCCTTTATACGCTAAGCAAGAAGTCTTATTATATTCTGATGACGAAACTTTGTTCACTTATGACTTAAACAGTGGCTCTTGAAGCTATTTTGATATAGAAGAAAAAATGGTAGGAAAAGACCCACCAATTCAGACTTTTCTTGAAAAAGGGAAATTTGTGTATCATTTTTGTCAAATGGAATGCGAAATAATTGAGTATAATATGGACAATAAAACATCGAAAAAAACTGGCCCAGCCAGTTTTCATAATTTTTACAAATACACAGGGCTTTGTATCCTTGGAGATGGAAGATTAATGTTTGCTGGAGGGCTAAAAGAGGATCATTCTGAAGGAACAGTCTCCTGCTGGACTTTGGATCCTCAGTCAAGACATTCAGAAAATATCGCAGAGCTAAAGTATAAACAATATGGGCTTAGACTTGTAGTAATAGATAGAGTGGTATATGCAGTTGCAGGAGTAGAGTCTTCAGAAAATTTATACCCAAGCCCATCAAGAAGCCATTGTCAGAAATATTCTTTAGACTTAAACCAATGGGTTGATATAGAGCCATTATCATCTACAACTTTTTTACCTGGCGCTTGCCATATGGCAGGAAGAATTTTTTGTATAGGCGGATATGTAGAGGTAATAGACTCAGCTGTGAATTTGAATTTAATTCAAGTATAGGGGTTTCCCCTAGATAGCCCTTACAAGGCTTTGGATTCTGTCCGGAATCCTTTGTTTGGCCGAACCAACAAGTGTGAGTTGGTCCGACCAATGCAGTGAGTTGGCTCGACCAACAGAAGGATTCCGGACAGAATCCAAAGCCCTGTAAGGGCTATATAGCGGAAACCCCTATATATTCTATAGCCCAAAACCATTGAGATATTCTTACTATTGAATACCCATTTGGAGTTTCTAGCGGTTCCTTTACACAACGCCTATTTCATAACGACTTTTTTTTAGCCTATTATTTTTAGCCTATATTTTTTGCCTTTTTACTTGGTCTATTGCTTTAATGCTAAATAAAATGATTGAAAATCACCTCGAAATAGTCTATATGGAACTATTTCTAAAGCAAAGTACAAAAAAATATCAAAAATAATTTAGGAAAAATAGGCCAAAAAAAAAAATAACCAAAAAAAATAGTCATTGAAATAATTGTCATGTGAAGACATGACTTCTAGCTTAGGAGTGGCTCCGCTTCCTGGGAATAAACTATTATGCTTTGGAGGGCAATGCCAAAATGGCATCAAAATCCCTAATACCTATATTTTTGACGGATACAATTTCCAATACATCAGTGATCTCCCAATTCCTGAAGAAGGTGCAGACTCTACAGTGTTTTCTGACCCAACCGTAATTGTTGGCAACAAAATTTATGCATTTTCAGAAAATAGATATCTTTATTGTTTTGATTTTGGGAGCCAAAGCTGGCATACTGAAATGCCTAATATAAGTGTTAGGTGTTAGAATTTAAAAGGTTTAATGCAAGTTTATATATTATCTTTCTTTAAAAATACATTAAAATGACGACACGTGTCAACCTACCCTCTTGGCGCAACAGTCCAGACCTTATGGCTACGGCAATTGGGACGGACTCAGAGCTGAGAATCAAGTGCAGGTTCAAGAGGTCTTTGGTGACTGCGTCACCAATATGGCTAAGCCTGACTTTAATAATCCTAATCCTAATCTTTCTTTAAAAAGGTATAAAGATTTAGCCATTATTTATTAGCAATATTAAACATAGTCTGGGTTCATCGCTTTCCATATCCTAAACTTATAAATAATACTGTCTAATTTGTGTAGGAACTTAAGCTCAAAGCCTTTCCATTTGATGAGTGATAAAATAAATGCTAAAATTGGCTGGTAGATTAGAAAATCAATAAATAGTGATAAAATAAAGACCCAGAGAGCTGATTTCTTGCATGGATTTCCTGAAAACCCTGAAAACAGAATAAAATAGCTGGCAGAAACCAAAAATATTACCCCACATAAAAAAAATATAATAAATCATCGGATTTTCATGCGGCTTTCTATATTTCTTGTCACTTTTACGAACTGTTCTGTGCTTTTAGCTGATTTTAGTCCTTTTCTGCTTACTCTGTTTAAGTTTCCTATAATAGTTATTGTTCCTTCAGACACAGCAACTACCCAAAATGCAAGGACTATTAGATAAGCTACTTCATTGATTGATTTTTCCCATAAAGAGACTGCAAGGCATGATAAGGATGCTTGAAGATATAATAAAGTAAATAAAATCGTGCTTCTAAGGAATCTTGGGAATGTTCTTAATGTTTCATTATAGATTGATAAAATGATGTGGCACTCAAAGAGGAATAACGAGTAAATTGATAAAAAAGGAGGCTGTGGAAGAGATATAGGAACTGGAAGAGTTTCGAAATCTCGAGTTGTGATGTTTAGAGATGTAAATTCTCTTCTACTTGTTGTACTCATTATAAAGGTAATGGCTTTTAAATTGTTTTCTGATAGAAAATGAAAACTTGTTCATGCTCTAGCTACTGGTTTAAGCTGGATTTAAGGCAAATAACGAAAAGAAGTATCTATACTAATTGACCAAGAATAGCCCACTATGGAGCCATTCTTGGTCTGCCAGAAAAAATTCTGACAAAAAGATCCTAATCTGCCATTACCACTGAGTTTTGGTGTTTCCAAATTTTTTGGGCAAGCCAAATGCAATAAAAAAAAATTGCTCTTTTGCGATGATGCATTTGGCTTGTCAAAAAAATTTGGAAGCACCAAAACTCAGTGGTAATGGCAGATTAGGATCTTTTCTGCCATTACCACTGAGTTTTGATGTTGCCGAATTTTTTTGACAAGCCAAATGCATCATCGCAAAACAACAATTTTTTTTATTGCATTTGGGCTTGCCCAAAAAATTTGGAAACACCAAAACTCAGTGGTAATGGCAGATTAGGATCTTTTGTCAAAATTTTTTCTGGCAGACCAAGAATGGCTCCTTAGTGGGCTATTCTTGGTCAATTAGTATATTTATTATTCTTTACGATTTTACTTTATCAATCTTTAATTGAACTCTTATCAATTTTTAATCTTTTATTTATCCTAATATTTGTATTTTTTAAATTTAATTTAGTTTTTCTTTATGATTAAATTTCAGTTTCGCCAGTGTTACGTGGCGAATCAAGCAATAAATTAGATGAAATCGGTCTCTTGTTCAGAATCACTATTCTTGGTTCTTTTCTATCAAATGAAAGCTTCCTTATGCAGACTGGCGACTCTATAATATTGTGGGCTGCTTTGACAACTTTTGGGGATGAAAACCCTCGATGGGAAAATAAGCTGTCTTCTTGGGAGTTTTTAGAGGGAGGTGTAAGAGGGATATTATAAGAAGAGTTATCATTTGAATAAGCCAATGAGGGAGATTCAAATAATGATAAATTTTGTTGCTTCTGTTTCGGATTTATGGTTTTTGTGTTATCAGTGTTCATATTTTTAATTTATGTTTGGAAAATTTATGGAATAATATGGATTTCTGATAGAAATGAAAATAAATTAATTAATTATAGTCATAAGACCGTTTAGTTATTCCTTTAGTTCTTTAAGGCTATGCTGTGGAGTTTCCTCATAGATCTCATCTAAGAAGCTGTCAGCCTGTGCTTGTATTTGCTTAGATAGATAAAATAAAGGAAGGGAAGGAAATTAGTTAGAGGTCGTAAGACCATTTTATGGCAGAGCCAAAGCTCACCGCGCTAGGCATTAAGGCCGCTATTACCCGATGAGCTGCAGACTTGCTTCATCTTGCCTTAGACGATCATGCAGAGACTTGTTAAGCCTGCACTGCCCAGTCTTTATCCTATACGCCTTGACGCCAGTCCATCTCCCCAGCCATCTTATCCCGGACCCAAGGTCCATTGATCGGTGATAGAGTTTTGCCTGAGAAAAGCTCTCTGTCAGCTTAACACAAACCTTACCTGGGGAAGAAACTTAATAAAAGGTAGGTCAATCGAGCTATATTTTCACGGTGCATATATTTTCTAGATAAAATGAAAGGAATTTCAGAAATTCTGATATAAAATAAAATTAAATATTCATAAAATTGGCATCTGATAAGATCATTATTGAGCATGATGAATTTATGCAGCCATTGGTTTCTAAAAGGGATCAAATATAATATTGCTTTTAAATGATGTTTGATTGTAATTAGATTAGAAAGTTTAATGAATTATTTATTATGACTAAATCTTTTTAAGCTCTTATGTTTATATATCAATTCGCTGTTTTATAGCATGTAGATTTTCCTGATTGAAAAAAATTCCTTATCTAAAACGCATCGCTTTATTCTTTTACTAATAAAATGGCATTATTTAAATTATCTTTTCTGTACTGCTGCAACTCTTTTTTTATTACCATGCATGATCACCGTCTGACTTTTCTTTTGCTTTCTGTTACCTAATGTATCTATCAAAGACAGGTTTATCAAAGGAACTTTCCTTTCAATATTACTCGAAGTCCTAGCTTGCTTCCTTAAGCCTTCGTTGCCAAGTGTCTGTGATCTTACATCTTCTACTATATTTTTCCCACCTTTGTGTCTGTACTCCACAAGTGACCCTTTTCTTTGAATTTTTCTCATATTGCTTATCTCTATATTTTCAGCTGAATAAGTGGTTAATCTGCTTTCAGCTCTTTCCAATAATTCTTCAATTGGTATGGAGCCTGACTTCTTATTGATTTCTGAGGAAAAATATCTTTTAAGAAAATTCTTTTAGCATTTCAAAATATCTTGAAAGCAAAATAAAAATTGGAGATATAAGATAAAATATTATATTTAACTTTGACTGTTCAGAATTTTAAATCAGTTTTCTTTTAAAAGTAATTTTTCTTAAAGATCTATAACGAGGTACGCACTATATAATAGAAAATTCTCCTGGATATGAAAATTTAGTGTCAGAGTCATAGCATTTTCATGTAATGCTGCTTGTTTCTAGATCAGAAGCTGTAAGCTTGCCTTTAAGAATTTGATTAATTTCTTGAGAAAATAAATCAGGCTCATAAGCAGAATCTGAAAGTGGCTTTGCTTCTTTTTCTATTGGACGAATTCTTTGGGTGGAAGGCTCAGGTGTTTCTTCTTCTGATAACGGTGGCAGCGGGAGCTCAGGGAAGTGAAGTTCTCCCTCACTTTCAGAATTCCCAAACACTTCATTTAGGTCAAATTGACTATTCGATGCCATAGAAGCTGCAAATAGAGTCTGTGAAGCTGACTGGGGGAACTGGCTTGCACTTGAGTTTAACGATAATTTTGAAGGGCTTTGTCAATCACAGCCCATACAAGAAAAAGGTTTTGATCCCATTTACTGAGATGAAAAATTAAATTCAAAAAAATTACAATTTTCTTTAATTAATAATTAAATTTTTTTATTATTTATTATATAGAATGATTGAAGTTAAATAAATAGAAATTAGAATAAACTGATAACAAATGCTAAAAAGAAATTAATAGATTAAAATAAAGATATATTTAAACCATTATTATATTTTATTCGAATATTGATGATTTTTTATAGCCCATGCCTTTATATATTGGTCTCTGAGGGGAGGCTGGGAAGTTTCTTGGTAGCTCAGATTTACCAATTTTGAAAATATCTCCTGTGCTTGCATTTGAAGTCAAATCTGGCTGACTAAGAGAGCCTCTGAGTTTTCTGTCTGTAACAATAGCAAAAGCTTTAGAATTCAGTTCACTCCTATCAATTTCTATTACTTCTCCAGTTAAAGGATTAGAAATTTTATTTCTTGGCACTTTTTTTCCAAATTGTGGGAATTCATATGTGGCATCGAGCTGGACATCATTGATTTTGTCTGAAACTTCTTCTGGTTTTGGATTTCCCAATGGATACAGCTTCTTTCGTTCGACTTTATAATTTCTGACTTCCTTTAATAGAAAATATTTTTAAATAAAATTTTTTTTTTATATGGAATTGCCCATATTTAAAAGAAATTTAAGTGAGAGAAAAGTAAGTGACCCTGTAATTGGGTCATGAGATACTGACTTTATATTCGTCTTTGCATTTACCACAGGTGAAAGCTCTGGCTCATTTCTTTTGACGTCCACTCCATAAAAAACGGCAGCAGCTTTATCAAGCTCATTCTCCTCATCTTCAATTCCGAAAAATTTCTTTACATTTATATCAAATTCTAGCTGATCTCCTTTTAAGTCATATTTTCTATTTTTTTCTTTAATCTTTTTATCTTGCAAGCCCACCATTCTTTCTTGTTTCATTTCTTCGAGCTCTGCAAGTCTTTTCTTCAAAGCTTCAGTCTCTTGCCTTGCTTTTTCTATTTCTAAGTCTTCTTTGGCTTGAACCTGCTGGCTTATCGCTGAAATAAATTTTTCTTTTTCTTCTTTTGCTCTCATCACGTCTAAAATTTCTTTTTGTCTTGCTAAAATTTGGCTCTCTTGAAACCTGCTACTTATAGCTTCATCAATTTGTTGGAATTTTTGGTTCATCGGTTCTAAATATTTCTGCTGAAATATCTGCTGCCTTGCAGCCTGCCTTTTTTCAATTTTCGAGTATTTCTCTCTATAAGCTCTTTCTTTATCCTCTACCTCTTTAGCATATTTTTCTTGAAGATTTACAACATCATTTTTCCAAGCTTGATTACTTGTATCTACCAAATCTTTCCTATAGCCAGCATTAGTTAAGTTTTCTTTAGCGATATTATTTTGCTGTTCCCTTAGCTCATTTTTAAGCTGTTGTTCTCTATCCATAGCCAATTTGGCAAGCATTAAAATTTCTTCATCTCTTATTCTTTTTTCTTTCTTTTCTGCTTCTTTTACATGGCTTTTATAGTTTACATCATTGGCATAGCTATTAGCCAAGTCCTCACTTCCCTTCTCAGTTAGCGAACAAAATCATTGGAAAAATCCCTATTTTTAGCCAAAAACCCGCCCTCCTTGAGCGAAAAATTGTTTTATATGGAAAAAAATTTATATAAATGATAATATTATAACGAAATCTCAAGCTGATTTTGTTGAAATTCCCATTCTAAAACATAAATTTTACAAATCAAATTAATATTTGCTTTCCAATTTTTGCGAATTGGGATTTTTTAAATTTTATATATCCCCTCTAAGTCAAAAATTGTTTTGTTTGCTCACATGGTGAGAATCAGTTAATTTTTTCTTTTGATTAATTTCATTCATTCTGTCTTCCTGAAACCGCTGGATTTTTTGTTCAATTTCATAGGCTTCTCTAAGCCTATTTTCATCTCTGACTTTATTAATAATTTCATTCTGCTTCTTTACATACTCAAAATAGGCTTTTTCTTTATTCCTCAGCTCAATAGGATCCAAAGGCTTAACCCCTTGTACATAATTAGAGGGTGCAGATGGGCTATTCGGGTACTGATGGATTGTGGCATATTCTTGGTTTTTCGCTGGGACTTGTGAAGTGGCACTGTCAAACTTCTTATAATTGTTCAGGATATATGATGACACCTCACGAGGAGGTGACCTATAGACATCTTTGCTAATCATATAAATCTCAAATTTACTTTAATTATACCTAAATATGTCTAAAATGGCTTCTTATGGTAATGAGCTTATAATAAGCTTTATAAATGGTGAAAGTCAAGGCCTACGAACTCAGAAAGAAAGAGCCAGAAGCCCTTCAAAAACAGCTCGAGGAGCTTAAAACTGAGCTTTCTCATCTAAGAGTCGCAAAAGTCGCTGGAGGCGCCCCATCCAAGCTATCCAAAATCAGAGTTTTCAGAAAAGACGTCGCCAAGGTCTTAACCATTATTCACGAGAAGAAAAGAGACCAAATCAAAGCTGCAAACAAAGGAAAGAAATACCTAGCTTTCGACATCAGGCCAAAACTCACTAGAGCTCTCAGATTAAGATTGACAAAAGAACAAGCTAAGAAGCTACCACTCCGCGTTTTGAAAAAGAAATTAAACTTCCCACAAAGAAAATTCGCAGTGGCCAACTAAATTTAGCATTTTAGAGATAATTCTTTTTAAGTCTAACGCCATATAAAATACAAAATGTCATCAACGCAGTGTAAGGAGTGCAGGGCAGAGAATTTATTTGTGGTGGATGAAAAGGAGGGGAATATAGTGTGCACAGGCTGTGGGCTGGTGCAAGTATTGATATTAAAATTAATTACTTATAGAGATGATTCTGTAGGTCAGTGGGATACTGCTCACTGCTATTAACGCTTCGCTGCTTACTCACAAGTTCAGCACGGCTTGAACTGTGTGCTCCTTCACTTGCTACCTGAAGTGAGAGATGCTGGATCATTATGCCACGCGCCAATGCAGGTTTACCTTCGGAAAAATCGATTTTTCGAATTTGCTGGTCGCCTTCAACCAAGGTAAAAACTTGAAGCCTAGAACATAATGCCTACTATACTGCTAAGCAGGCCTAATGGATGTCCCAGACAGTCCTGGACTCCATTTTCCACCTTTCCGCAAAGAAGAAAAATGGGGATAATTCCGCAACACCAATAAATTGACAAAACCCCACCGGATTACCATCTTTTACATCTTTCTCCTTTTCGCAAGGTCCCTGGGCTCTAATTCAGAAATAGAAGGAATTGTGGACTCACCACACCATTTTAATGTATATGAGCTGGTGCAAGCACTGAGAATTATTGATGATACTTCAGAATGAAGAAATCTTACAGAAGAAGATGGGAGTAAAGGAAGTGATCCTAGAAGAGTAGGAATGCCTAATAATGAACTTTTAGTAGGAAAAGGACTTTGCACAGTCATTTCCGGTGACCCCTCAAGAGTAGGGCTTTCTATGTGAAACCAACGAGCTATCTTGACAGGGATCGACCGTACCTTATCTACCGGTTTTCACGAAATTGATGATATTTGCCACACTTTAAACCTCAGTGACACTGTCGCCGAAGACGCCAAAAAGACTTTCAAAATTGTGACGACTAAAAAAACCTCCCCTTGCAAATCCCATATGGGCTTAATAGCTTCATGTGTATTTTTATCTTGCCGAAAATATGGAAACCCTATTCCTATAAAAGAAATTGCGTCCCTTTATAGCCTAAATAAGAAGGATATTCAAAGGTCGTATTGTATGATCAAGCAAATTATCCCTGATATTGTCAGTACTCAAACAGAAATCGCGTATGTCAAAAAAATTGCCAACGATTTGAATTTGCCACAAATGTTGGTGAATAAATGCGCGGTTGTGGCACAAAGGATTAAGGACAGCGGGATTATGGAGGGAAAAAACCCACTGAGCTTGGCAAGTGTGGTAGTTTATATGATGAGCATTTTGGAAGGAGAAGATGCGTTCAGCTTTTCTGAAATAAGTAAAAGCTCGGGTGTGACCACAAATACAATAAGAAACTGTTATAAGCAAATCTACCCAGATAGAGTAAAATTACTCATAGGAGTAATAAATGACTGGGAAATACAGAAACTTCCCAAATTGTTAGTTAGTTATTTAGAATTATAAAGAAGTTCGCTATAATTCCATATGGACTCACCCCTAACGCTTCCCCGCTTGCTCGCCAATTGCTTCCACAGCATCGCTAAGGTTGCTCCTGCAAGACGAAAACCTGCACCCGCTACCCGGTAGTCGGGTGGTGAGTTGCGTTACCTTGCCGTACGTCAAAAGGGTTATCCACCATTGAAAACCCAAAGGATTTAATTTTCTTGTCGACTCTTGGCCAAAATGGAAATCCGTAGCCCAGGGGGTAACTTCTAATTTCAGGCAGACGCATAGTCGCTTGGCAAGACGAGCGCCATTGGCTCTGCTGGAGACCCCTTTCCAACTTCCGGACCCATTTCCCACTGAGGCAAAAATTTGGCTTTGGAGGAAAGCATGCGATTAGCAAACCCGACATTGGGCTTCGCCAAACCAAAAAAAAATCGGCCGAATGCTCATTCCGAAAGCCATGCTCCTTTCCTCAAGGTCCCTACAGGAGTTAAGAGGGGGCGGGCTTGTTTCCACTCCATTTTAATTTATGATACTTCCCAAATTGTAATTAATTAATTTTCCTAATTAAATATAAACTCGACTCCTTTCGTTTTATAACTTTTCACCAATTTTTATTTACATTTTATTTTAACACATTTGCCACTGAAATGATGCCATATCTCTTTTGGATTTGTTGCCATAATTATTATCCACTACTTTAAAAAAATTTTTTAATCTAAGAGCGTCTCTTTGTTTTAAAATTTGCAGATTATTTTAAAGCATAGTCCCTCTTTAAATTGGAACAAAATATATTGGTAAAATTTCTTTTTTGGCTATTAACCTTTAAAATTGGAGCACAATTTGGGAAAAATTTTATAGGTAAAAATATAATTTCTATATAAGTAGCTTTAAACTAATTTAATGGAGTGAGAGCAATGAAATGTTATCTAAACAATTGCGCTCTGAATATTTTTTTTAAATTAATCCTTTATAAAAATAAATTAAATCTCGAAAAATATATTTAATTTATACTTTTTTATGTATTTTTAACCAAAAAGATTAGCCACTCTTTAATTGGAATAGAACTTTTTATTAAACGCGGTGATTTAGAAATTTTATAAGCCATATTGTTTAGATATAAATCCCATGTTAGACAGTAATATAACTTACTTCGCCTTTGATTCGAACTCTCCAGATTATTCTGAAGGATTCAAGGCTTATAAATGTGCAGGCGAAGTATACTGTATTAAGTGCTCTGACCTGTCAAGTCCGCAGACTTCTCCTAAACCTAAAGAATTAATTCATCTTTTCACTCCAATTGACAAAGAAAAGGAAATGAAATATTGCTTTAGTTATTGAATAATTAATAGTAAATTAAGCTTTTTGTCTATCAGACAATTTAAGGGAAAAGTGCATATCAAGCTCTCAATAGAGACCTCTTGAACCTTTTGAATTCTTTAGAAGAGTCAATGGAATCAGTTAATTTAGAAGATCATACACCGATTATACCGCATGAAATTTCTCTTAAAATGCCAGCTTCATCATCTCTCCAAAGAAGAAGAGCGAAATCAGCACATTCATAATTTAATTCGATTGTAATAAAAGATTCTTTGAAAAGCTTTATGTTTAACGATAACTCTTTTGTCTTCTTGCTCTTGCGCCTGGACCACCGTATTTCTTAGGCTCTTTTCTTCTAGGATCAGCAACAAGCAAGGATCTATCATAAGCCAAAATCATTTCTTTTATTTGCCTCTTTGAAGCTTCATCCACATATTTTTGATAGAATGCAATAATTCCTTTAGCGATAGCTTGTCTAACTGCATAAATCTGGCTGACATAGCCACCTCCGTGGACTCTAATTTTGAAGTCAACCTTGCTGAAGCGAGATTCCCCAAGGAGAAGAATAGGTTCTAATACTTTTACTCTCAGTGTTTGTGGCTCTACCAAATGAAGAGGGACACCATTGACTCTGATCATTCCTTTTCCTTTAGTAATAAGAGCTACAGCTTGTGCGTGTTTCTTTTTACCATAGGTTTGGACACTTTCCACTCTTGGAAGGTGGGTATGAGCTGGCTGAGCCATATTAATTTATTATCTCATAATTTTATGAGGGAAATCAATAGGTTTCTTTTACAATCTTTATTAGAAAAATATAGTCAAAATTGGCGTACTTCAATATTTTTGCTTGTATATTAAATTACATATACTATTTTCTACTAGATCGCCTATGGCAGTTTTAAGGTTTTAATTTGAATGATTTAAATAAAAGCTGTATATTTAAGTTTGATATAAAATGTTGCCGCCAGACTGCCGACTCCCTTTTCTTGTAGCGAGATTTCTACAATTGAAGCATCTGAATATGAAAGCCTCACCCCTGCCGTTTAAAACAGAAACAAATCCTCTGATAGGCTTAACCCTAGCTGAAGATGACCCATGCACAATCGTGTTTACAGGCTTTTACTCACTCCCTCTCCGTGAATAAGGAAAAGCACTATTATTAATATTCTGAGCAAAAATGTTTTAGAATCAAAAATTTTGTATAAAAAAATTATTTTGATTTATAAATGATAGTTTTATAATCAAATCACTAGCTAGTTTATAATGAATATATCGAAAAAGAAATTTCATTAAATTTCTCGTGAGCAGTCAAAATTTATTTCGCTTCCTCACGGAAGGGGGAGCCAGGGAACTCCATAACAGATGGCTATTACTCCATCCAAGTCTACTTAGACCCAGCCCTCGAAATCCCTCAGAAATGTCTACTTTCCATTATGCACTGGACAATTGATTTCGAAAACCAAGCCCCAATGCTGACAATAATTAAAGCTTCCGTGATTTCCACTATTTATTCCCCTCCCAAAGCTATCTCAGTCCCAGTTGAAAATAACCCAAGAGTTTTTGACTTATTACAGAAATTAAGACATCAAAGAATATTGCTCAGATACGAAATTTTCCCAGAAGCCAGCCAGCAAGAATTTATAGAGAAAAAAGAAAACATTGCGCTTTATAGCGACACGTTAATGTCAGATGCCCCTGATACCTTGCCACAAATGAGGGCCGTTAATACTCCTTTGAAGGAAAATAAACCGATTTCTTTGGGTTTTGGGTCTAAAAGTAAAGAGAAAACAGCTGAATTAAAAGCAAAAAGAGAGGTGAGGTATATAAACTCACAGGAAGATTTAATGGAAGAGTTGCAGCCTTCTTTTAGAGATGAAGTTATGAATGAAGACTATGGAGAGGATGAGCTATTTAGAGAGATAAAAGAAGATGAAGGAATTGAATTAAATAAGGTTGATATGGATGTTGGAATTGAAGAATTCCCACCTTGGGCACTGGACTATTTGAAGTTCTTTTATAAAGTTGCCTAACTAAAACACTCTTATCATTGAATTTATATTACCATTAAGATTAATAAAATCGTAGCATTTAATGAATGGGTATATTTTTTGTTGAAAAATTCAAGTAATTTTATTAGAAACTTCCAATTTTAATACTTCCCTCCATTTTTTTGTATTAAATTAATCTCAATTATTTTATCTTAAAGCTCCTGCTGTGGCTCTTCTTTTGTGCCTGCTGGAAGTAAAGCTTGATGTATAAATGGAACCGCTCCTCCACAAGAAATTATCGCATTAGCCATCAGTCTGTTTAGCTCTTCGTCATTTCTTACAGCAAGCTGGATATGTCTTGGTAAAATCCTGTTCTTTTTGAAGTCTTTTGCTGCGTTTCCAGCGAGTTCAAGCAATTCTGCTGCGAGATACTCAAGAACTGATGAAAGATAGACTGGAGCTCCAGCACCGATTCTTTCGGCGTATTTTCCATGACGCATAAATCTTGAAATACGCCCTACTGGGAATTGTAGTCCTGCTTTTTGAGATCTTGAAGTTTTGCCTGGAGTTGTAACCTTTCCTCGGCTGCCTTTTGCTTTTGCGAACGTTGACATTTTAAATTTATAAGAAGGGGGTGTTTGAGGATTTTTTATTTTCTATAGCGTGGGGTATTTTAGAGGGAGTTTTATAAGAAAATTAATGAAGAAAATACCTTTTGGGAAATTAAATTAGCAATATGCATAAAATTTAATAAGTTAATTATTTATATTTTCTCTTGTTTATTATATCTAGCCTAGGCTATTTATTTGAATAAAATATAGACTATCAGCTGAAAAGTTGCAAAATTAGCTATAAAAAATGGAAACGATGATATCATTATTAGGGACTGTTGGATCAATTATTTCAGTCAGTGTTAGCTTATCCCCAGCCAGTAGAATGATGAAAGTACAAAAAACCAAAAAGTTAGATGAAGTTCCTTATTTGTTTTTGTTACTAAATCATCTTTGTTCATTATCATGGGCTACTTATGGGTTTATAGGTGGATATGGTGCAATTATGATTAACAATGGTATATCTACTGTAATTGGGCATTGTTTTATAGGTTGGTATCATCAAATTAAAGGCGATCTCGCTAGCTACATGCTAGTCTACACCACAGCAATTTTTGCATCAGCATTGATACTTATTTCTTTTATTCCTATTGACATTATCGGATGGATTTGCCTAATTTCAAATTTCGCATTATATTTAGGGCCTTTAGAAACATCAAGCAAAGCCTTAATCCCTTCCCTGATAAAATAAAAACATAATAAATAGTCTGCAAAATGCAAAAAAAATTATTGGTTTTTATAGTATTTTTATAAATAATTGCTTAATTAGATTACCCAGATAATTTTGTTAAATTTAAAACAATTTGCGCCTCAAGTCATAAATTTATATTTATTTTCAAACTATTGCTTTTCAATATCAAAAAACCTCAGCATGCAATTTTTTGAAATTTTAATAGCTCATTAAAAGAAAATGATTCTAGCTGAGTACGAGAGTTAGCAGAAAAAAATCCAAATTATATAGATATTTTTATCATAGGAATTTGCCAAGTGAATTCACTGATCTGGATGAGTTATGGGATCCTAGTCCAAAACAATTTTATAGTAGCTCCATGCCTATTTGGAGCATTTCTCTGCGCTTTTCAAATAACAATTTATGTTTGGGCAAATAATTGGTTTCCTATGCCAATTTATGAGAAATTATCTAAACTCTTAGCCAATAAAAAATAATTAAATTATTCTTTCAATAGCATTTCTTCTTTTCAAATAAAATTATCACTTAATTAATCAGCATTTGCCACTTTTTCACTTGTCCCAGGAGCATAATATCCACTCATTCCAATTTCTGTGCCTTCCAAGGTTTCCTTTTGCATTACGTCATCTAAAATCAGCATCCCAATAACCCTTAATAGCAAAAACACAATAATAGCCCAAAACATTGCCCAGCCCATTATAGTAAAAACTCCCACAACTTGTGCAGCAAGATTATGGCCAGATGATTCTTGCCAAAAAATTCCATAAGTATCTGTTATAAAGCCTGGCAAAAATCCTCCCAAAAATGCAGGGGCTCCAAAAGTTGCAGATACGTTCATAGTATCATCAATTCTCATCCATCTAAATATCGTATAAAAAAGCGTAAACCAAACTCCAGACATAACTCCTACGATACCTGCCTGCCATACCGCTGAATTAAATGCTGATGAGGCTATCATTACTTGTCCTGCTATAAATCCTTGGTAAATAGCTATATAATGGGTATGTAAATCATGCTTGCTCATAGTCATTAACATATAAGCAGTTATAGCTGATAATGAGCCACAAATTCAACTATTGATGGCTCCTATGCCTCGATGAGTATTTGTTGGTGCTAATGAAATGGTCAAGCCAAAAATTCCGAGCATAGTTAAAGTTGCACCTAATACGTAAATAACATGGCTCTCCATGTAGAAATAATGCTCTGTGCGCTGATCGAATCTTCCTAGTCTTTTTCCTGTAAGTATTGCAGCTACATACGCAATAGACCCAGCAAATAAAAATACTGTGATTGTGCCTCCTAAATCAATCATTGGGACATCTTTAATTTCTGAATAAAGCCACCCTCCACCCCAATTCCAAGCTACTACAACAGGCCAGATCCATGCCATAATTGCGAACGCTATAAAAGGGTATACCAAATATTTGACTTTTTCTGCTATTGCACAATTCACTATAAAAATTGTAAAAATCCCAGCCAATCCAAAAAAGGAAGCACAAGATCCATGATGTTTATCTCGCTGCTTTAGCCAATCGTCACCACCAAAGAAGCGTCTTCCTATAAATTCATTATGATATGGGTCGCCGAATGCAAAGCCATATCCTACAAGCCATCATGCTGCAAAACCAATAGAGAACTGTAGCCAATTTTTAACTATGATATGATTCCCAAAGCCTTTTCGGCATATTCCGTATTCCATCATAGTTAGACCAATCTAAGTAAATGTTACAAGTCCGAGATAGACATGTATATCTCCTATTGATACCCATGTCAATGGGCAGTTTATGTTAGCAATTTCTGTCTGTGAATTCATTATTGTTGGATGTGATGGAACTTGAAAAGTACTTGACATTGTTTTATTTATTATTTTTATCAGAAAATAACTAAAGCCATAATAAATTATTTTTTAAGAGGATATGGTGTCGGGAATTTAAAAAAATGTGTACCATTAAATATGGAATTTTTTCTGTAAACAGCTAACTCCCCCCCTCCGTGAGTGAACAAAAAAATTTTGTTCACTCACGGAGGGGGGCTAATTTTTTTTTTTTAAAAAAAATTTATATATTATAAATTTTATAAAAAATATTTTTTTTTCGAAATTTAAAAAAATCCTAATTCGCAAAAATTGGAAAGCAAATATTAATTTAATTTGTAAAATTTATGTTTTAAAAAGCAATTCGTTTAAAATTAAACAGAATTAGCTCTAGATTTCATTATACTAATTATCATTTATATATCAAAATTTTTTTCCATAAAAAATTTGTTCTATTAAAAAATTTTTGTTTACTCACGGAGGGTGGGTTTTTGGGCAAAAAAATAGGGATTTTTCTAATGGTTTTGTTCACTCACGGAGAGGGGGGAGTAAGGAATAGTGAAATTACAAAAAATGATGAGTGAGAATTATTGTGGAAAGTGAAAAAAGCAGTCTTAATAAAAAACAGAAAAAGAAATATCTTGTAAAATAATGTTTAAGAAGGGTTTGATAATTAAAAAATTATTTTAAATTTATAACATGACAAATAATTATTAAATTGCTAAATTTTCATCTTTAAGCTTGTTTTCTTCATTTTCAAGAATTTTAACCTGTAGTTTGTTGTCTAATTTTAAAAGCCCAAAAAGCTTTAGAAATCCAAATATAATGGCTCCTCACGCTAATGCTCATGGAAAAACTGTTAAAGCAGCTGCTGTTTGGGCTGCAAGAAAATAGCCTTTGCTGTCTTGCCAAAAACAACCATAAGAATCTGTTATAAACCCAGGGAGAAATGTTCCAAAGCCTGCCGGCATCATAAAAGTCGCAGCAATGTTAATTGGATCATCAATTTTCAGCCAATTTCCTACTGAATACCACAAAATAAATCAAATTCCTGTAATAATCCCAACAATTCCTGCTTGTCATGGCGTCGTATTAAATGCAGAAGATGCTATAGCAACTTGGCCAGCAATGAATCCTTGATAAATTGATATATAATGTGTATTTAAATCGTGCCTGAACATAAGAATAATCATATAACTTGTTATCGCTGAAAGCGATCCACAAATTCAGCTATTAACAGCTCCTAATCCTCTGGAAGAGTCAGTTGGAGCAAGTGATACAGTCAAGCTAATAATGCCAAGCATTGTTAAAGCTGCTCCCAATGCATATATGACGTAATTCCCAATATTAAAAAACTTCTCAGTCTTATCTTATCTTATAGAATTTATATCGTTTAACGTCCACTACGAGGTGACAAACCCCAGGTACTATCACTCGCCTTCGTCGCATCGGGCCCACAGGTCGCTGGGATGGCCTGCTTCGATCACCAGGGTGCTTCTTGGGAAAGTGTTCCGGCTTCGACGGCTCATGGATGAGCTACTTGCTTGATACATGGGTTGCTTTTCCGAAAAACCCCCCAAAAAATGGGATTTTTCTGGTCAGCTGTCGGCAAAAAAGGAAAATACGTAGCCTGGGACGTAACGCCCAGTTTCATGCTAGGGAGTTGCCCGATTGGTCCTAACGGATTCTGCTGAGCTTCCACTTTCCAACTCCGTGCCCTCCTTCCCCACGAGGAAAAATCCACCCCCGAGATTAGACTAGGACTAGGCTCTGAACACCACCAGAATTGCTTACCTAGTATTGCCGTCCATCTCTAGAATGGTAAAACCTTGCCGGATAAAATTAAAATATGAATCGAGGCTGCATGGCCGGGAGGCCATGCCCAGACGAAGACGCTATATTTTAATAAAAAAAAAAAAAACTTCTCAGTCAGTTTTTCATATTTTCCAGCCCTTCTTCCTGAAATAACAGCTCCCATAAGCCCAAAACCACCAGCTACTAAAAATATTTGTATAGTTCCCCCAAAATCTACCATAGCAGCTTCAAATTCTTGAAATTCAATCATAAGCCATCCTCCTCCTCCTCAATCTCAAGCTACAACAACTGGCCATATAAAAGCCATAATGCAAAAGGAAATAATTGGGTATACAACAAATCTTACTTTTTCCACTATTGCACCATTTATAATAAAAACTACAAAAATTCCAGATAATCCAAAATAAGAAGCACAGGAGCCATGATATTTTTCTTTTTGTGTTAGTCATTCGTCTCCACCAAAGAATCGTCGGCCTATAAATTCATTGTGGTAAGCGTCGCCAAATGCAAATGCATAACCAACCAGCCATCATGCTGTAATGCCTACAGAAAACTGAAGCCAATTTTTTAATATTATGTGCTTTCCGAAGCCTCGACGGCAGATTCCATATTCCAGCATTGTTAAGCCAATCTATTTAGCAGATACCAAGCCTAGATATAATGGGATATCTCCGACGGATAGCCATCTTAAAGGGCAATTTATATTGGGTAAATTAGATGGAGGTTTATAAGGTTCTGCAGGCTCGTAAGGCTCATCATAAGGCATTTATATTTTCTGAATAATTATAACTATAAACCATAAGAAAGAAGAATTTCAATAATAAATGATGATTTTTTTATTGCATCGAAATATCTGATATGGAATTTTTAAAGAATTTATACCATTAAAAATGGAATTTTTTCTGATAAGTAATGAAGAAGCTAACTTCACCCTTCGCTGGCGTGCAGAAATAATGAAAAATCCCTATTTTGAGGAAAAAACTCACTCTCTGTGAGCAAGAAAAAAAGTGTTTGTAGTATAAAAATTTTTGATAAAAAATATTTTATACATTTTAGAATACCTAATTATTTAAATAAAAGCATACTTACTGGTAACCGCTGTCCTACTTTTATATATAATATAGGATAGTGGCTAATACTATAAATGATTTTAGTTATTATAATTAGGTATTCTAATTTTTGTTTTCATCTTTCTAAAAAAAATATAATCTAAAAGTGACAATATTTATTAAACTTCTAGTTTATTCTATGCTATCATAAACAGGCTGCATTTAAAACATAAATTCAAATTAATTATCCCTTTTCAATATTTTCGAAAAAAATTTTTTTTTTTGCTCGCTTAAGAAGGGAAAAGCGAATAATTAGCTTTTACTGAAAATTTATTATTTCATTAAAAACTTGATTAAGCACTCAAAGAACTTTAACTTTGAATATCCGCTATTCAACAACTAACAGTATATAATCTGAAATGCCATTGCAGAAATTCAGAACTTCAAACCTAACCTTATAATATCTGGTGTTATTGTATAATTTCATATAAATGCAGTTAAATCATTATGAAATAAACTCGGAAAGTTTCTTTAAGAAAGTATAATTAGCCTTTCTAATTTAAAAGTAACATAAAAATGCAAATTAATAGGTTGCTGTGTGCACAAAAATTGACTAATTGAGTTCTAAATAGAAAAAGAGATAAAATATTCCGTTGTGCAATTAGAATATGTGCTGAGTAACTCTAAATCTCGTATAATAAATTCAGTTTTCTAATCCTTATTGCAGAATTGAAATGAATGCTATTTATAAATATATGGAAAGTCAGAATAAACCCGTAGCTGAAGAATCAAAAGAAATTGCCCAAGAAACAGAAACTAAAGCTCAAGAAGACCAAGGACCTCAAAAGTCAGGCTTGGTTTGGTCTTCAATGAATGGAGAATTAATCATTTCCAATTGCGATTTTACAGGTGCAATCCTCAGTCCTGAAAATAAGAAGCTCATAGATTACCTACAAAGCCTTAACTAAGATAATTTTAAATCAAACTAAGTCAATTCTTCACAGATGTACTTTATTTTTATATGTAAGTTTATAAGGGTTTCTATTTAAAGTATTACTCATATCAAAAATTTAATTATTCATAGATTTTATTAAAGCATATACTAATAGCTCAAGCAATCGATATTTATGTCAATTCTCTCATGCTAAAAGAATCTAATGATGAAGCTCTTTTTTTATACGTCAAAATAAAGATTATCATCATTGCAATCGAACTAGGAATCGAAATAAGGGCCAATAGAGGGCCAGTTGCACTGCAGATTTCTGGAGTTGTAGAAAAGCTTGCAGCAGCTTTATCACACTCATTGCTAAACCAAGCACCTGATTCTCCGAATCACGAAATTGTTGCTATAACATTAAGTATAGGAATTATTGCAGCATAAGCCTAAATATTATTTACATAATTTGCATAAGGAAACCCATAATTCTTCCCAAAAATTATCATCAGTAATGAATATCCAAATAAAAATGATACCGCCAAAGCTAGTGACTGAAAAATGATATAAGCATTCGAAGCCGCATACAATGAGCTATACATTTTGCAGGTTCCTAGATCTTTGTCTATTAAGCACTCATAGCTTGCCAGGCATCCTCAAGGCAAGTCATTGAAGTTGTCGTTACATTTATTGCAATGTGTGATTGATCCAATTCAGCTTTTATTGACTGCTGCTCGAATGGTTCATTTATCGTTTAAAAATGAAAATAAAATTAAAACCGCATTTGCTATCATTATGAAAAGCACTATTAAATACCAATAAAATTCTTTCAATCCAAAAATAATTCGATGTTGCGTTAAATCTGAGTATTGATATAAGTCATCATCTCTATGATAGTAAGTTAAATAAATTGAAAACAAAGCGAGTAAAATAAAAAAACTCTCAAAAATCGCAAGTTTTGGGCCACTTCGGGCACACACACTCGTTCCAAGAGGATTTTCTGATACTTCGCTGCATCTTATATCATAACTTGCTTCGCTTAAATAAAATCATAGCGAAACTCCTAAAGTGTGGAAAAACAGCATCAAAGCACCAATCATTGTTAAATAAGCTTCAGAACCAAAATATTTCCCTGCTAAAAGCATTATCAATTTTTCAAGTAAAATCATTCCCATTACCCCGGATAAAATTTCTAACTCCCCCCCTTTAAATTGGAACTAAAAATTTTGTTCCAATTTAAAGGGGGGATAATTTTTTTTTTAAAAAAAATATCAGTATAAAATTTTTTATAAAAAAAAATTTATATATAAAAAATTTAAAAAAAAAATTCAAAAACTTATTGCGTTAGATTAATAAATTTGTTTAATAAAATGCTATTTACTCTTTATCCTTTGAAATAAAGAAAGATATAACTAAAATTTCATTATTAGTTAATACGCCACTATTAATTGGCATCAAAATTATTTGCACAAAAATTATTATTTTTATTGATAAAAAAAAAATTAAAAAAAAAAAATTTAGAAAATTTATCATCAAAGTGCTAATTTTGTTTAAATAAGATGTTATTTATACTCTATTCTTTAAAATAAAGCAAGAAATAAGTAAATTTTGAAATTTTATAAAGAATTCCTATTGAATTTATATCAAAACTATTTAAAAATAAAAAATATTATTTTTATCAAAAATTTTTTTGAAAATTTTTAAAAAAAAAAAATTAAATTTTTTTTTAAAATTTAACAATTAAGGATAATAAATTTATTTAAATAAGATTCTCTTTATACTTTCATCTTTAAACAAGAGCAATATATGACTAAATTTTTAATTTTAGTTAAGAAGAAACATTGAACTTATATCAAAACTTTTTAGATAAAAATTATATATATAATTTTTTTTATTATAAAATTAAATTTTGTTCCAATTTAAAGGGGGCTAATTTACCAAAAAAGTGGAAATTTTACCTATATTTTGTTCCAATTTAAAGGGAGGGGAGTAAGCTAATGAACCCTGAAGAAGCTTTATAAATATCATCAAATGACTTGCAAAACCCTATCGAATTTTCAGCTTGGCAGGCAAATTTCGCAAAACATTCCATCCCTCATGATTCATAAGCTTCGGGGCAGTCTTTACATTTAATCAAGCCTAATTCAATAGTATTTTCTCCATAAGCAAGCCCAACCCAATTAGTGCTTGAAATATTAATGATAAATAAAATCAGACAAGTCATTATTAGTCCAATAGGAATTCAAAACGTTCACCTTGGCCAAATTGATTTTTCTTCCATATTATAAAGAAACCAATCTCTAATTAATTTTAATTTATTAATTAAGTGCCTCAAAGACCTGCTTTCCTCCATTAAAGCCTCTTTTTTGACTTCCCATTTTAATTAAAACCAATCTAAAAAATGATTCTGATATTCTTATCATTATTTTTCTTATGCTTTGGGGGCGTAATCTATCCTAAAACTCCTCGTCCCATAATCGCCTCTCGCAATAACATGAACGCAGCTTCTGATTATACGTTTTATTTTCAAATTTCCAGCTATGCTCCAAGCAGCTCAATTTTGACGATTACTTTTCCTTATCCTTATCCCTCAGGCTTAGGAATTACTACCTGCTCAGCTCTAAACTGAAACCAAGCATCTATTTCTTGCTCAGTCAGTGGAAAATCAGCAATTTTAAACGTCGGAGAACTGAGCAACGCAAATGCGAATAACACTTATTCTGTTACAATTTATGGGGTAAAAAATCCAAGCATGATGGGAGGAACTGGGATGTTTTCTCTGCAAACCAGCACTGGGATTAATATTATTGACTACTGTGACTGATTTGGGGAGCTTGGAATTACATCTAATATAAAAACAATCAGTTCAGCTTCAGTGTCCTGCACTACTAATTGTAAAGCAGGACAGTCAGGGACTTATGATATTTCTTTTACAAATGCAGAAGTCTACGAAGTTGGAGCAAGACTTTACATTTTGTTCCCAACAAGTTTAACGCTATCATCGACTCCATCATGTACGTCGACTCAAATAACAGGAATTACATGTAAATCAGCAAATAATTTAGTGACCATTTCCGCTTTAACTTCAGCTTTAAATAAAGGGGCGAACACTATTACATTTACTAGTGTAGGAAATCCAGCTGTCAGTGGAAATGTAGGGACTTTTGATATTTATAGCTTTCAGCCTGTTGTAAATACGATGTATGACGCTGTATATGGAGTAACTGGGCCAACATTGACAAGCAATTTTATTACTTCTATAACAGCCTGCCCGACAACTGGTGGAAGCTGCACAGGAAGCTACCCAAATGTAGGGCTCGGGTATACCCAATATTACTATATTAATTTTGTAACAACAAATCCTATTCCTTACGGTGGAGCGATTCTGCTTACTTTTGTGTCAGGATTCACATTGAGGACTGACTCTTGCAATATTTATTATGGGCTTTCTAACCAAGGCTACACTGAGGATGACCAAATTTTGTGTAATGTCGACACTGCAGCTGGAACCTTAACAATAACGAAATTCGCTATGTTTTTAGGAGGGACAATAAGCTTAAAAGTCATTGCTACAAATCCTACAACTTCAGGGACATATTCATCTTTTTCTGTTTCCACTTATTATGATACTGGGATGACTCAATTAATTGACACTGGAACTATGGGCTCTATAGTAGTAGCAAATTTCCCACAGCCGAATAAATGGGACATTACATGAAGTGGTGCATTAACTGTAGGCAATGGGGTGACAGCATCTATCATTTTTCAGCCAAAAACATCGTCACTTTCAGCTCCTTCAGTTTCTTTTCAGTTCAATTTCCCCACTGGGTTTTCCTTCAATGGAACTCCATCTGGGTTATGGCTTCCAAACAACGTGTTTCCTGACTATTCAGCAACTGTAACAGCTTCAGGGAGTCCTTTAGTCATTACTTTTGCTACAGCTGGCACTGACAGCATTCCTACTAATAAAGATAACAGACTCCAAATTTTAAGCTCTGGGACTGGAATTGTGCTGCCTTCTATGCCTGGGCATTATTTTATTGAAATGATAACTCTTAATGGTGGAAGCCAAATAGAGGGATTTTTGTATGAAATGATTGTATTGCCTGCATCTATGAGTGGTAGTGCAATGACTTATAGTATTGATACTGACGTTATGAGCTTATATGAAATTAAATTTACACCTCTAATTGACATCCCGTCTGGATCTGTCCCTGATTTGCCTCAGCAAAGCTGGGGAACTATAGATGTCCAGTTTCCAACCATGAATTCTAATTGGCAAAATTTATGGCCAATTGATCTAGGGACTGGTGGAAGTGATGGGACATTGATAGCTTGTAAAGGAATTTCAAACATTGAGCCGTTTTATGGAAGCAGGATCACTTGCAAACTTTTAACGGCAGCTTCTGTAAGCACTTCTACATATGTTACAGTCAGAATTACAAATTTCAAAATAATTTATGCATATGTGCCTGTCACAGTCCATATATCAAATATAATTAATCCAGCAACTGCTGATATTTATCCCTATTTAACGGTTGTGAGCTATTCTATTACTCAGAGAGTTTACCAAACTTTAAATTCAGCTACTTATACACATCCCTTGACAAGCTATAGTGATAATAACCCATCGTTGCCAATAGTAAACGGGAGGTCGCAAGATCCATATGGAGACGGAACTGCATTGATTTCATTTGCGCCTAATACTGTCAATATGGACACAATAATGTCGTTTATCCTATGAACAGAAGGAGACATTCAAACTGGTGGGACCTTATTGATAAAGTTCCCAAGCACTTATCCATTACCTGACTCTGCAATTAGCTGTTATATAAATTATAAAACAGCCCATACTTGTTATACATATCCAGTTTCTGGCTGAATTTCTATATTAAACACACAGTTTACCATTTATAATCATGTGGAATATACAGTGACAGTTCATGGGCTAACAAATCCAGTAGAAGTTGTAGACCCAGCTATGCCTTCAATGGTAGTTATCACAGGATATGTTGAAGAAGAGTATGTGTATTTTCATGATTTTAATTATTTTGACCCAGGAGCTATTGATCCTGTTCATGTATTTCCAAGCTCTTATAATGCTTTAGCTACAGATATAACATATACATGACTGTTTACATGTGCAGATGATATTCCTGCTGGAGGTAAAATTGTGTTGACTTTCCCTAAGACAAATTATGTTTTAAACACCTATCCGACCCCTACCTGCTTATTCTCAGGGCTTGATGACGAAAGTTCAACATCTGCAGTCACTTGTACAGTTATTGGAAATACAATAGAAGTAACAAATTTTGCTACCTATACAGCCGGCAACGAAATACAGATCTTAGTATTTAATGTGCTGAATCCAGCGACTACTGGGTATACTGATTATTTCCAAGTCGCCACATATTCTACTTCCGATCTCTTAATGGACGCAGAATATTATATCCCTAAAATTTTGATTACTGCACAAGCATCAGTCGGGCTGCTTACTTTTATAGATTTTTATGCCAATCCTAATAATGGTGGGGCGTTAGGGGATTATACAGTTTCTATTCTTCCCTCTGTGACTGTCCCTAATGGGTCTTATATAATCATCACTTTTCCTTCAACAGAGTTTTCTAACATGGCAACTAGTCAAACCTGCACATTATCTGGAGGGTTAACAACTTTATCAACCTGCTACAGTGATGGGAATAATATTGTCACTGTAATAACAGACGACGACTATGTAAAAAATGCTCTTTCAGCACCTATAAATATAACTGTTCATGATATTACGAATTTTGCAGCAGGGCTAACTAGTGGTGTGGTTGATGTTGAAATTTATTCATCAGGAGTCTTAATTAATACCAGCCCTGAAAATGAATCAAATAGGAAAGTAACGACAGGGCAGGCGCCAGGGAAAATTTACTTAAAAGGGATAACTTCTTCTCCTGATAACCCTGATGAGCTTGCTATTTTTAATTTAACGTTTTCTCCTGCCACCAGCTTCAATTCTTCATGCTATATTATCGTTGATTTTCCTAGTGTTTTTGCAAGAGACCTCAGTGAAAAAATGGTTTGCTCGTCTCCTGAGCTAAGCAATTCTACAGGTACAGGGATTATTTGTGCAGCTAGTGGCTACCAGATGAAAGTTTATAATACAAAAGGCTTTGATGTCAAGAAATTAGAAACTTTTACTATTAGCCTAAACCATTTAAGAAACCCCAAACAAGGAAGTGGACAGTATAATTTTATTTTTTATACAGCCTGTGGCTATGAAATGCAGGATTATGGGACTTATTCTTACACTAGAGCTTATCAGTCAACCCCAGCTAATATGTATTTAAGCACTGCGACTACAACTGGGACAAGCATTTTATATGCTTCTGAACAAGTTTATTTGGTTTCTACAATAGCTTCTTATTTCCAGAGCACAAGTAATGATTTGGTCTTTATTGATTTTCCTCTTGGATATGATGAAGATTTTGTAGGGGATTCTATAGTCTGTAAATCTGACGTTGAGTCCTCACAAAATACCGTCCCATGCACTTATGAATCTAATCGTGTAAAAGTTTCTGCTTTTTCTGATAGTGTAAATACACTTTATTTTACTGAATATGGGGTTTCTGTTATTGGAATAGAAAACCCAGACTCTATTGGCCAAGCACGATTTTTAAAAATGAGTTTATATATGAGCTCACAAGACCTTATATTTGCAAAGACTTTTGACAATCTAAATAGAGCAGACCCATTTTATTATAACCAGCAAGGCATTTTGGTGACTATGAACAGTGGAAGTGGGTTTTCATTAAATGCTGGGACAAGGACATGGGCGATGAATGCTAATATAGACACTGGGTCTCCACAAAGTGTCTCCATAACCCCAACCTTAACATCGTCTACTTGCTATGTGGTACCTTCAAATATAACATTTTCAGCAGGAGATTTTATTAAGACTTTCCAAGTATCATGTGACATTAGCTCTGTATTAGGCTATTTTTATATAGAATGAAACTATGATGGGACTTGGCCAAGAAACTATTGGTCACCAATCCCGAGAACTAAATTCCAAGTAACTGATAATAGAGATGAAACAATTACAATTGGCAGTATAGGAGTTGTACCTCAAGGAGGGGAAAGCTTCCCAATTCCTATAGCACTATCACACCCTGTTGACAAACAAATGGTATCGTTATTTGCCTATTTTTGAACTTTACCACTTAAGTGTGGAAATTTTTTTCCGTGTGTGAAAAGAGGATTCCACATATAGCCCTTTTGATTTCACATGTGGAATCCTCTTTTCACACGCGGAAAAAAATCCACACTTAGGTGGTAAAGTTCAAAAATAGGCAAATAGCGATAGTTGCACTAGGAAAAATTGGGATTATGCCAACTGGATCAAGTATTTCTCCGAATTATTTTATTTTTGAAGGAGGAGATTATGAGAAGACTTTTGTGGTGGGAATTGATAAAACGTCATATGGGCTGACAGGACAGATTTTGGTGGAAAAGTCAGGGGTGGATGAAGTTCAATACAGCTTGACTGCAAGTGGGCTTACTTATGCTGTAGGGTCTGAAGAGACTACGCCACCTATTATAGCTGATTATCAAATGACATCTGTAAGCAAAACTACTGCTGGACTTACTATTACTGTGGATACTGCCAGCAATGTATATTGGATGCTGTCAAGATATGGGACTCGAGATCCAACTGCGAGTGAAGCTAAAGCAGGTGCTCTGCCTTTCCCTACGTGAAATACAAAAATTTTTAAAAAAAAGATATTTTGATATTTAAGTGATAATTATTATAATAAAATCTCTAGCCAATTCTATTGAAATTTAAACTGCATGTATTTTACAAATTAAATTAATTTTTACTTCCAATTTTTGCAATTTTTGAAAATCAAATTACTATAAAATTTATATATTATGCATTGCCTAAATTACTTATCTAGGCTTACATTTTCACACATGAAAATATAGAGAATTGACAATGTTAAATTTTCTCCAACACTTGAATAAAATTTCCATATGTGAATTCTCTATATTTTAACATGTCAGCCTAGATAAGCAATTTAGGCAATTGATTAATAAATTAAAAAAAAAATTAACCTCTTAGGTAAGCGAAACAAAATTTTTTGTTTGATTTACTGAGATGAAGAGTAAGCAATGCAGGAGATTTGCATGATACTCCTGTATTTGGACATATCTACGAATATACCACTGTTGCTACAAACAGGCTGCTATACAATATAACAGTATCAGGTCTTAAAGCTCAAACAAACTATACCATGCATTTCGTAGTCATAAACCTTGGTGGAGTTGCTGCTACAAAAGTCCCAAACATCGTTTTCACAACGACTGAAAGATACAGAATTGCTACTTTTCCTATAAAGTTCAACCAAACTGTTACCCAAACCACAATAGATTTTTGCTTAACTGTGATTGCTTTACAATTAAGAATTGATTCGAGCAGACTTGGAATAAGAGCAGATTATTCAGGCAGCACTGGAACCCCAGCATCTGATAATAACTATACAAGTGGGAACTATACGACCTCATCAGGGATTTCTACAAGGCTCCTTGCAGATCCTGTGACAAGCCTCGATGTTTTGATATACCCAGACCCTTATAGTACCAGCACAACTTCTCCTCTGGATTATGCAAATATGGTGCAGGACAAAAAATCATCGATCCAGGCCAGTATTCAAGAGTTCGACACTAGCCTTTTTATATCTGGGAAAGAAATTTATGGAATAAAGCCTGTTTTTATGACAAATCCGAAGTTCGGGTCAGCTGTGTCAGGAGTCTTGAAGGTTTTAGATATTTCTTTATATGAAAAAGGGATTGTGTTTGTATGTGTGACTGACTCCCCCCCCCCTTTAAATTGGAACAAAATATAGGTAAAATTTCCACTTTTTTGGTAAATTAACCCCCCTTTAAATTGGAACAAAATTTAATTTTATAATAAAAAATTATATATAATTTTTATCTAAAAAGTTTTGATATAAGTTCAATGTTTCTTCTTAACTAAAATTAAAAATTTATTTATATCTTGCTCTTTTTTAAAGAAAAAAGTATAAAGAGCATCTTATTTATATAAATTTATTATCCTTAATTGTTAAATTTTAAAAAAAAATTAATTTTTTTTTTTTTTAAAAAATTTTCAAAAAAACATTTTTGTTTTTTTTTGATAAAATGATATTTTTTATTTGGATAGTTTTGATATAAATTCAATCGGAATTCTTTATAAAATTTCAAAATTTACTTATTTCTTGCTTTATTTTAAAGAATAGAGTATAAATAACATCTTATTTAAACAAAATTAGCACTTTGATCGATAAATTTTCCAAAATTTTTTTTTTTTATTTTTTTTATCAATAAAAATAAAAATTTTTGTGTAAATAATTTTGATACCAATTAATAGTGGCGTATTAACTAATAATGAAAATTTAGTTATATCTTGCTTTTTTTTGAAGGATAAAGAGTAAATAGCATTTTATTAAACAAATTTATTGATCTAATTCGATAAGTTTTTGAAATTTTTTTTTTTAAATTTTTATATTTTTTACAAAAAATTTTATATTGATATTTTTTTTTAAAAAACAAATTAACCCGGGGGAGTGAGTATAATTCAAGCGAAACTATACCTGATCCAATTCCATGGCAAGTTGTGAATGGACTAAATTCGACGAATTATCCATGCGAATTTGCTGCGAATTTAACTGTTGAAGATGTCCCTGAACAGGTAAGCTTTAGTGGGCTGCAGAAAGATAAGACTTACAAAATTTATTTGTCGGGGCAAAATACTGTGCAGGAGTATCCAGACTTGATGGATGTAGTCAAAATTATTCCGTTTACTACAAATGGGATGTCTACTCAAACAACATCATCAGGATTTTTGATTGGTATTGAAGTTGCTGGGCTTATCTTATTAATAAATTAAAGGTTTTAGTTATTCATGATAATTGCATTTAATTTTTACTAATTAATACTTTTAGAATTTAAATTTTCATATTTCTGGTATATATCTTGAGCCTCAATTTGGTTTGGGATATACCAATGCCTTTAACATCAAACAGAGTTGGCTTTACGAATATTTTTTAGTTAAAACAACCCCAGATGGTAAATCTCTAGCAACAAATGGATACAATTTGTGGATTTAGCTTTATCAATGAATGCTAGTAAAACTAACTCCCTGTTGACGTCAGAAACCATCGATATAGCCCGATCAAAAAGGAGACTCAGACAATACTGATCATTTTAATTTAAAGCATTATTTGTTTTTATAATAAATTAGACAAGTCTAAATGATGAAATTATCATTATTCTGTATCATAATTTCCTTTATTTTTCCACTTCTCGTTAATGTCAATCAAAATTTACGATTTCTAATTTTCTACAGCTTTGCTGTTTGGAAATTTAAATATTTTCATTAAGCCATAATGAGTTGAAGTTCTGATAAAAATTAAATTAATTATTATCAATATATCATTTAAAACACACATGATTTATCGTAGGGGTGAAATTTGCTGACTGCTCCACTTGGCTAGTGAACAAATTAATGCAGGACTTTTGGGAGAGTCAAGAAATTTTTTAATATAATTTTTTTACAAATAATTGATATGTAATAAATGGTGATTATGGAAAAATCTCTAGCCAATATTATAGGCTGTTTGCATTCAAACATAATTTTTTATGAATTAAATCAGACATTTTATTTAAATATTTACAAATCTAGGCTATTTAAAATCAAAATTGTTTTATTAAAAATTTACAAATAAAAATGAAATATCCTCATGGGTCAGCAAGTTTTTGCATATGAGTCAAGGGGAAGTGAGTGATCTCTTCACAAACTGCGACTTTTCTAGGATCAAAAGCAAAGCCTTCAAACAGATCTTGTAAAGATGAATTAAAAGTTTTGCTATCTACGTCGTCATTTCAATCAATTTGAGCCCATCTGTCAAAGTTGTCTTCTTTTTTTCTTGGTTTGAAAGGAGCTGGTAATTTTTTGGAAAATAAATCTTTTCAGTTGCAGTCTCGGAGCCATTGATGATTTTTTACTTCTTGTGGACCATTAAAGCCTAGACGTTCTTCTGGCTTTCTTTGGAGAAGCTTATTTATGAAATCTGCTGCTTCTAAAGACCAACCTTCTGGTATATCTTTTCTCTTTATTTGAGCTTGATGGCTTAGAACCATATTCAATTTAGCATACACTAAACCAACCTTCCGTTAGCGATCAAAGCCATTGGAAAAATATCAACCTTTTAATCAAGCAAAAATATTTTCACTCCCCCCCCTTTAAATTGGAACAAAATATAGGTAAAATTTCCACTTTTTTGGTAAATTAACCCCCTTTAAAATGGAACAAAATTTAATTTTATAATAAAAAATTATATATAATTTTTATCTAAAAAGTTTTGATATAAGTTCAATGTTTCTTCTTAACTAAAATTAAAAATTTATTTATATCTTGCTCTTTTTTAAAGAAAAAAGTATAAAGAGCATCTTATTAAATAAATTTATTATCCTTAATTGTTAAATTTTAAAAAAAAAATTAATTTTTTTTTTTAAAAATTTTCAAAAAAATTTTTGTTTTTTTTGATAAAATGATATTTTTTATTTGGATAGTTTTGATATAAATTCAATCGGAATTCTTTATAAAATTTCAAAATTTACTTATTTCTTGCTTTATTTTAAAGAATAGAGTATAAATAACATCTTATTTAAACAAAAATTAGCACTTTGATCGATAAATTTTCCAAAATTTTTTTTTTTTATTTTTTTTATCAATAAAAATAAAAATTTTTGTGTAAATAATTTTGATACCAATTAATAGTGGCGTATTAACTAATAATGAAAATTTAGTTATATCTTGCTTTTTTTTAAAGGATAAAGAGTAAATAGCATTTTATTAAACAAATTTATTGATCTAATTCGATAAGTTTTTGAAATTTTTTTTTATAAAAAATTTTATAATGATTTTTTTTTTAAAAAAATTTTCTTAACCCCCCCCCCTTTATATTGGAACTAAATTTTTAGTTCCAATTTAAAGGGGGGGGAGTCAGAATTATTTCTGTATAAATAATAATTATTATAAAGAAACTAAAGCTAATCCTATTAAATTTTAAATGGTTTGCACTCTTATTATAAATTAAATTAATTTTTCCTTTTCCACATTTGCTAATTAAGAACCTTTTTTAATTTCGAAAAAAATTAAGAAATTAAAAATACACCCACTATAGAAAGAGGAGTAAGATCTTTAAATATTATTGGCTATTGAGGATAAATAAAATTAAATGCGCTTTCATTATTATTAATAATCAATAGTCTATCTCACATATAAAGTAGGCATCACTAAAAATTACTCTAAGCATTGCCATTATTTCAAAAATCAATGTTTCCAATCAAAATCTATAAGAATATCTTTTAATTCTCTCCTATTTCGTCCCCAATAAGGTCTGTATCCCATCATAAACTCATAAGCAATCACTCCTAAAGCAAAAAAATCTACCCCAGGCCCATGCATTTTTTTACACATAACTTCTGGCGCCATATATCCCGGTGTTCCTGACGATTCCTTTTCCAGCCCAGGGCTAATTATTTTTGCAATACCGAAATCTGTTATCCTAATGTACCCTTTTGAATCAAGCACTAAATTTTCTGGCTTAATGTCCCTGTGTATAATCCCATGCAAATGAATGTACTCTAGCCCAGTTACTATGCATGCCACAAAAAATTTGGTTTGTGCCTCAGTGAACTTTTCAGTTCTCATTAAATGATACCTTAAGTCTCCACCTGATACATAGTCCATTGCTAGGTACAAGTTGTTGGTGTCTTGCCAAGCATATTCCATATTAACGATAAAAGGGTGCTTTATGATAGAAAGGAATATACATCAAAATGGCGACGAAGTGCCACCTCGACCCTATTTCCTCAAAGCCTAAGGCAACGGCCCAGTGGTGGGGATTTAGGTGGAAAGGTTTCGGAAAGCCTGTATGTATGTAGGTTAAGTTTTTACTTAGGCCTTATGTAGCAAATCCATGGGACTCAGGATTTTACCTCCAGAACAACCATTGGAAAAGGACAAGATCGGCGACAGTCGCTAGTAGATGCTAAATCCCTCTAAAATAACTCAAGAGATGGCATTTGTCAAACGAGAAACTGGGAGTTTTAATCCAGGTGGTCAGCTCTTAAGCTCAAGAAGCCATGGAAGTCAAGACTGGTCAGTGCGAATCCCTTGTTTACGGCTGCAAGGAGGTATCTGCCGGGGCTTTTCGGAAGCGATGAGCGTGCAGGGGTGGAAATCCCTGGCCCTGCTAGGCAAACAGCTAATTCTAATTCTAATGATAGAAAGGGAGTTTTCTTTCATTTAGCACTGAGTGGACGCTTTTCTTGTTTATAATCCTAGATTTCATCATTTCTTTGATTGCATAGATTTGCCTTGTGTTTTTTAACTCTCCTTTCCAGACCCTTCCAAATCCACCCTTTCCAACGATATAAAGGAAAGTAAAATCAGTCACTTTCACTTTTCTTGAGGTATTTTCTCCATTGAGATTTGCATTGAAGTTGTTGCCCATTAGTTTAGTTCCTCAAAGAGTAAATTTTATAAAATGTTTATAATTTTAATGGCTTCAAAAATAATGTCAGAACAATTTTGGATAAAATTGAAATTCAACAGAAATTGAACATAAAAATTAAATTGAGCATTAATTTGAAAAGAGAAGGCAATGTGACGTACGGAGAAAGAATGAAGACAGATTTCAATAGAGCCTGACTATTTTGTGAAAGAATGCTTACAGATAAAATTTTATAAAAATTGTAAGATGGATTCTTATTGAAGGATTCAAAGCACAGATAAAATCTGTTATGAAAGAATTTGCAGATGGATTCGAGGAGGCAGCTTTTCCATATTTTAAATACGATGTTTATAAGATGAACTTTTTGATTGCTTTAAAAAGTATTTGATATGAAGTATTTAAGCTTGCGCATATAAATGATTAGTTTTAGCTACAAACGAGAAGCTGGGGAATATATTATTTGTTTGTTCAAAAATAACTTAAAATTATGAAAATTTATTATTTGATCGTTGATTGATCGATAATTTCTTAATTTCTACTAGATGTGTTTTTTTTTTTAATCTAGAATGCTATAAATCTATATTTTCACAGAATCTAATTCAAAATTTATAATTTCTGTTGCCATTTACTTTTTTGAGTCTGATTAAATTCACATCGGTAAACTTTTTTTAATTTTATTAATAACTCAATTTACAATAACATATATTTTAATAATTATAAATAATACCTTATTGAAATATTAAAATCATTTATTTCAAAAGATTAAGTAGTTTTAAAATTAAAAAATTTAGTTTTATCAAAACAATTATTATATTCAATTATACCGAAAATTAATATTAAGATAATTAAAATTAGTTAAGGTGATAGAAAAGGATGAGAAAAGCTATGAGGTTTTTGTGGAGAAGTAGGAACTGTTGGTGAAGAATTAACTAAATATGCAGTCAAAGGATTTCTAAGAAAATCATCTGCAATTTTTAATGTACTTGATTCTTCAAATGTGTTTTTTCGCTGCTCGCTTTTTCCTCTAGCCATATATTTCGAGTATTTTTGAAGCTGCTCAAGTGAGCATGTGTTAGGCTCCTTAACTTCTTGTGTAAAACTTAATGATAAGGTTGAGTCATTTCTTATGTGTTTTGATGTTTCCTGAAGTTCTGGTTTTTTGTTTTTATTTTCTATTGGTTTTTGTCTATCTTACTTAATGATTTAGTTTTTAATGTGCCAGGTTCTCCAGCAGAATGATTTAGACATTCTTTGGCCCAATCCAAAGTAATTTCAATGCCGCCAAGTACCGGCTTCACCAAATAGCTAGGCATATTAAATCCCAACTACTTCATTAGTTGGCCAGAAACCTCACACAGGATGTACAGCCTTGCTCTATGCTTGGCTCCTGCACGTGCTCTGCCTAAGAGTCTATCTCCTTGGGCTATTCTGCCTTACCTACGCGAAAAGTATATTTGAAATTGTTCATAAAGGCACACCAGATAAACTGAACCTTATAGTGATAAAATCGCGAGGTGGAAGAATTTTTATAAAAAAGTCATGGCCTGCACAGTCATTTTATTATTATATGGTTTTTGTCTTTCAGTATGTGATCCTTTAAGCTCACTTTTATAATTATATAGCGCAACATCTTTTCTTACTTCATTTTTGATTTTACTTTTAACTTGTTGCAAATATCGTGGGACTTTATTTGATTTTTTATAATCAAAATCACTTAACTTGACAGGAGGTGGCCTATGGTGAAATAACTTTGAATTTCTATTATTGGATAAGCCTTTAGCTGAGTGAGAAGCCGCCATTTCATGTGTAGGGCTTTGAAAAAATTCCAGGTCTTCAGATGTTTCAAAATATTCACTGGAATATTTTAATTCACGATGCCTGTTAGCTAGAATTTTATCGGTTCCTATTTGGGGGTTAGTTTCATATCTGTCTTCAAAAACTGGATTTTTTGACGACTTTTTAATTGTTTTAATTCCTGATATTTTAATCAAAGTTTCATAGTTAAGATTTGATTTAAATCTGACTATGGTAGTAAGCCTTGTCTAGTCTGAGCAGCCTTCGCGATGTCGTGAAACACGAACTAATTCACAACCGGAAATCGTTAGGCAAAAAGGTAGTTACAGTGAGTTTTTTCTCAAAGTTTAATTAAGATTAGCATTTGATTTAAATCTTTTATGAATCCTTTTAATTCCATATACACAAGCAGCTTCAATGCACTCTTTTCAGTAAGGTTTTGGATAGAAGTCTAAAAAATTTGCAATGTCTGGGTTTTCATATAATACTTCTATCATTTTTATATTTATGCTTAATATGTGCGCTTTAATTTCTTTATTTATTATTGTTAGCGGGATAAGCAGCTTTGAGTTTAGTTTTAATTTTTACATTTATTTGAATATGACTAACTATGTTATACAAAATTCTAAATACATATCATTTCTGTGATATTTTTAAACGTATCCACTTATAACACTATAATACTTTTGCAGCTATATAATATAGCAATTTTACTGAAATTTTGTTTTAAATCAATTTTATAATTAGTATTGCACTAAATCTTAACTCGCTGAGTGATAAAATTACTAAAAATCATTTTTAGCCCGTGAACGAACAAAAAATTTTTTGACCTGATTTCTCGTTTGGCTGCATTATAATCTGATGATATTCAAACTGATTTTATTCAAGAGTTTCTGATACTAAATTTTATATAGCTAACGCTCCTTAATAGATTTCTATATAGGTGATTTGATATAGATAATTGAACTGTTTTGCCATTCATTGCTAAATAAGTAATCTAGATAGCCCTGATCAGTGAGGATTATGGTAAAGTAATTTAAATTTTAACTAAAACTAAGTTAAAATTGATTGAACGCTTAAAAAAGTAAATTATTTAGAAGTGCATAACAGTGCCTTTATCATCGTTTCGAAACTTGATAAAATAATATTTTACTATTTATTACCTCATGAGCAACAAAGATTTTGTTGTGTTTGTTCCATTTTTTACATCAGTCGCAAACCAAATAAAAAAATTGATAGGAGAGCTTTAGGCTAAATCCTACGAATATATCTCTTTTAATAAGATCCATAAATTAAATCGCAGTTAATGCAAATTCTTATTTGACATAAGATTATTATCTCAATGGTTATCTTTATTTGTTTTTAAATGGTTAAAAACAGTTTTTTATAGAAGTTCTTTATGAAATTTGAATTATAAAGATAATTTGCAAGTACCTAAATAGTCCTTACACTTTTGATTTTTATTTCTTGTCTCAAGTTTGCGTAAACCTTGATAAAGGCATTGTTATGCACTTCTAATTAAATTTATTTCTTTAAGAGATCCATCAGTTTTAACTTAGTTTTAGTTAAATTTAAACTGCTTTACTATAATCATCACTGATCAGGGTTATCTAGATCAGTTATTTAACAATTAATGACAAAGCAATTCAATTATTATCTTAAATTGCCTCTATAGAAATCTATTAAGTTGCGTTAACTTTATATATAAACAGCATTAATTTTAATATTACAAAATATTTTGAAAATTAAAACTAATGGATATTATATTGAAAAAGAAGAAGAATAAGAAAAGAGGCAGGTGGCTCCAAGAAAAGAGTAAAATTAATAAGAATATAATATGGAAGAAAATTATAAGTTCTGCCCATATCATGGAAAGCCATTGACTGAAGATGGAAAAATGTACACTTAATTACAATGAATAAAAAATTTATAATCGATCGCCATTAATCTATTTTATATATTAAAATAGGGTAGCAGTTGTCAGTAACTTACTAATTAATTAAATTATGGCCATTAGACTTTAAAGTCTGGCCTTTTCGGTTGCCAGTAGGTATGTTTCTATTCATTATAATTATGTGTATAAATTGTGGAACTTTCATTAAAAAACCCAAATGAAAGAAAAATCTATATGAAAAGCAGCCATTTGAAGATTCTTTTGTTGATGAAAGCTTTTTAGCAAGCTTAATTACACAAGGAGAAGGTAAAAAGTACGAGTTTTGAAATTTAGTTGAAAATACAACAGAAATTACACATGCTATAAATGCAATGGTTCTATTTTTTGGGTTTTTCGGATTGGCATATTCAAAAGCACTCTCAGAAGAAGTTCTATTAGGATTTGAATATTTATTTCTATTTTGTGGGTATGCTACTTATACCTACTTAACTCAAAATTTTTCTCTTAAGCCTGCAAAGACAGGGCTTTTGCTTTTGGGAACCTTATTTACTTTGTGCCCTGTATTAGAAACTATTAATAAAAATTATGCAGATGACACAATTTTTTTAATGACTTTTATATTTTCGTTATTTCACTTGATTTTTTATGATTATGGGTTTATATCAACTTATTTTACAGGAGAAGCGTCAACTGTGCCAGGTGTAACTTCAATGAATTGTGCTTTGATTTCTACTCTGCTTCTAAGCTCAAGATTATCTTCACTTAATTATGTATTTTTTATGCTTTCGCTTGCTTTCATTATTTTTGGATTTTTGCCTTATTTGAGGTGCGCAATTAAACTTAAATCAGAAACTGCATATAGAAGGCTCGGATTTTTTTTGACGTTTTTGAATGCAATTTTAATGATGAGGTTTTCATGGCTGCTGAGCGTTTTAGTGTTAGGTTCTTTTTATTTTATTAGGTATATAGGGCCAATGTGACTTATTTCAGTCTATCATTATAAGAATGAAGTTAAAGGACCTTGGGATTTGCCAAATATTAAGTCAAGTAATAAAGATGATTAAATAATTAATATCATTAATATGGAGCTACATAAGCATCCTCGGAATTCTCTTACTCCCTTCGAGGGCGAAACATAAAATTTTGTTCGCTAACGGAGGGGGAGTAATTTTTTTTCAAATTTTAAAAATTCCAATTCGCAAAAAATTAGAAACAAATATTAATTTAATTTAATAAATTTATGTTTTAAAATGCAAATTGTTTAAAATTAAACAGAATTAGCTAGAGATGTCATATAATAATTATCACTTATATATCAAATTTTTTCACATAAAATTTTTATATTAAAAAATTTTTGTCGCTCACGGATGATAGGTTTTTGGGAAAAAACGGATTTTCCAATGGTCTTGTTTGCTAATGGAGGGGGAGTCAGCATAGGCGAAACTGTTACCTTGGAAAAAATTACTATGAGATATCCATTTGTGGCGACCCCAACTACGACGACAAGATCACATTCATATCTAAAAATTTACACAACAGCACATAAATCAAGAGAAAACTCTGCAAATCGCCTCAAAACAAGAACTCAAAAATGTGTTACCAGAAGAAATTCTCTTGTTGATTTGATTCAAGGGAACATTGAAGAAAAAAAGCCAGACAAAGTAAAAATCATTGAGGAAAACAAATTTAATGCGGCAAGACGGAACTTGCTGCAGGCCAGAAGTGATTTTCTTGAACTTAAGCGAGATTTGTCAACTTATGAATATAATATGACTGAACAAATCAGCGTAACCACAAAATTAGCAAGATTAAACAAAAAATCATCAAATTTCCCAAAAATTACTTATAAATTGCAAGATTTTTATAAAGATTGCGATATTCATGTAAAAAAATTTCAAATTGACTTAGAAAAAATTTTTTATGAAAAAAAAAATTTGATATATAAGTGATAATTAGATAATGAAATCTATAGCTAATTCTGGTTAATTTTAAACAAATTGTGTTTTTAAAACATAAATTTTATAAATTAAATTAAGATTTGCTTCCCAATTTTTGCAAATTAGGATTTTTTTAAAATTTCGAAAAAATTTTTTTTCTATAAAATTTATATATAATTTTTTAAAATAAAAAATTAACCCCCTCCGTGAGTGAACAAAGTTTTTTTGTTCACTCACGGAGGGGGGGGAGTTAGAAAAATAAAAAAAAATTGCCTATTAGTTTTGATGCAAAAAATGATAGAAATTACATAAAGGAAAAATTAGAGGTAAGGGATTATATTAACTTCAGGAAAATGCATTTAAAATACCAGTCTTGTGCATGTATATCTGGAATTCATTGTATTGTTCAAGTTCTATGCAATTCGCTTTATTCAAGTGTCACAGCTGTTGCCCTGCTGCCAAGTGGCCAAATTTTGAGCACATTTGTGGATAATAAAGTAGTAGTTTCGACATATGGTGATTTAAAAGCTGCTTTTAAATCCAAAATAATCCCAAAACACAATATTAAAAATGTCAGTTAGGAATAGGTCCTAACTTCTGCTACGCAGATCTGGGTCCTATCATCCGAGTTAGTGAGATAAGTCAAGCTTCTTGAGAGTCTCGGCTTGAAGAGAAGAGGTCGGTGCTGAGGCTGGCACTGACTAGAGAAGTCCCTAACGGGCTTATTAGCTTTAACGGGTTGACGGTTAGGCCGGTCTACCTACCGTTACCCAGAGCTATTAATGTAGCTTGGACCCTCAACTAAAAGAAGGCTGGACGCAATTAGCCAGAGTAATTCGTTAAACTTAAACTTAAACTTAAAAATCCCAAAACTATATTTTACAATTACAAAAAATGACATGAATCTTCATTGAGACCCAAACTATGGGGTTACATTTTATACATTAATTTTAAAAATCAAAGGAGAAAGCCTTCCATATTCTATGATAAAGCTCTCAGATTTTGAAAAGAAAGAAATTACAATTTGTCATGGAATTTCAGCTATAGAAATCCCATTTTCCAATCTAAAAGTTAAATCCCTAGAGCGAACGAATTACTTGAAATTGAAATCGATCCTTTCTAAGCATTTAATGTATGACGAAGAAAACGAAGTTATTCAATGAAACTCTAGCTTTCCCCCGTGATCGGAAAAAAAATTTGTGGGAATTAATTTTTTTTTTTGAAATTTAAAAAAAAATTCTAACTGGAAAGGAAATATTAATTTAATAAATTTTATATTTTAAAATGCAAGCTGTTTAAAATTAAACAGAATCATTTCATTATGACAATTATCACTTATATAAAAATTTTTGTTCACTCACAGAGGGTAGTAGGTTTGGGCAAAAAATCGGGATTTTTCCAATGGTTAATTCTCTCATGGAGGGTGGAGGGTAGAGGGTGGAGTAAGCAGTTTTCGATTTTTGAAAACAAAGAAAAGGATTCAATGTATATGAATATTGATTATATTTATGAAGTATTAGGGATAAGAATGTTTCAGTTTCATTCATCGTATTTCATGGATGACAGAAGCATAAAAATTGAAATTTGGACTTATAAAGAGCATTATCTAGTCAAAATTTACAAAAATTTAGAATTGGAACTTGAGGTAGAGTCTGGGTCAGACGACTATAAATTTTTGCACAGTCTTCAGCAAATGGATTTTGTGAGGAATCCAATCACTTTTTCGAAGTCATTAGAGCTTACGACATTTTTAAAGAAAATTGATAGTAAATAAAATTAAATGTATAATATGAAAAAGCTTATTCTGTTTGCTATTTTTTGGGCTGCTTTTGGCCGTTTTGAGGTCAATAAACTTTTTAGTGATGATTCTGGGGAGCTTTATTCAATACAAGCAATTTCTGACCGAGAAAAGCCCTTCATGGAAGCTATTGAAGGATGCAGCATGAAATGTGGAGAAATTTGCAGCAGATTTACATCAGGCTCAGCTCTAATTGAGTGCATGAATCTGTGTGGATGCAAAGCTCTTGTCCGAAAAGTTGAGAAATCTCAAAATGATAATATATATGATAATGAATATCAAAATAGGAGATTATTTTAATCCAATCATTCTTATGATTATATTTATGCTCATGAATAATTTATAATAATTAATTAATTTTTTCTGAAGTTATGTTCAATATAAATTTCAATCAAAGATATTAAAAGTTATTAATATTGAAGACTTAATTAAATCCTATTTAATAAGATTGCTAGAAGCCAGCTAAATCTAGTCCCATAACTGAGATTAATTAAACTTCTTTAATAAACTGTGCATTGTCAATTTCTAGTCCTCTAACTCCCTCCTCCCTCCGTGAGAGAACAAAGCAATTTTGTTCGTGCATATAAAATTTTATAGTAATTTTTTTTCCGAAAAATAAATAAATCCCAATTTGTAAAAATGGAAAGCTAAATTAATTTAATTTGTTAGTTTATGTTTAAAATTTAGCAGAATTAGCTAGATATCTCATAATAATTATATATCAATTTCTTTATAAAAAAATTTTTATGATACAAAAATTTTTTATTCACTCACAGAGGGAGAGTAAGCACAGCTGATAGTAATTCTTCCTGAAAAATTATTCCACTCCTCTCTAAAATATATTGATACTTATTATGTTTGATATAAAACTGTGAAACTCCTTTACTCCCTACAATTTCAGAAATAGGTATAGTTAATGTTTGATATTGCTTTCTAAAGCCATATGTTTTAATTTCAATAGTTTTCCCATCTATCAAAAGATTGAGCTCTTCAATCATAAGATAAGCGCTTTCTCAAGCTTTTTGAGAAAATAATAAGCTGAATCCAAATAAAGCTAGTGAAGCATATGATGGGTAGATTAATTGATAATAAGATATGCTTCCAACTGATCCCATCATTCCTCCAATAAAAAAATACTTAAAGCTAGATCCAAGATTACTTGAATAAATGAGTAATTTTCCATCATCAGCGAAATAAGAAGCCTGCTTGGGTACAAAGGTGCCTGCACTTCTAATAATGCATTGAGATATCCTCATCATTTTTACCTAATAATTATCCTAGCAAAAATGCTTACTCTCCCCCTCCGTAAGTGAACAAAAAACTTTGTTCACTCATGAGTGGGTTAATTTTTTTTTTTAAAAAATATTTTTTTTCGAAATTTAAAAAATCCTAATTCGCAAAATTTTGAAAGCAAATATTAATTTAATTTATAAAATTTATATTTTAAAAAGTAATCCGTTTAAAATTAAACAGAATTAGCTTTAGATTTCATTATAATAATTATCATTTATATATCAATTTTTTTTTCCATAAAAAATTTTTCTATTAAAAAATTTTTGTTCACTCACGGAGGGTGGCTTGTTTTGGTAAAAAATAAGGATTTTTCTAATGGTTTTTGTTCACTCACAGAGGGGGAGGAGTTAGCTATTTAATTAAATTAACATATTAAGGAGCTTGAAATTAAATACTTATAGCTCGGCATTAAAAAATAAACGTAAATTGATATTACTTATTTTGAAAATAAAAATATTCTAATTAAATATTCAAATAAAGCTTAAATATGTTTTTAATTATTTTGAACTTAAATTTTTCGATGCTTAAGCTAATTTCATTCATATTGTATTAATTTTTAATCATCCTAAATGGTAACTTTTAATTCAGCCTCCAAAACAAAAGAAAAAGAAATCCAAGAAGCAGCTTCTAGAAGAGCAGGCCAAACTTCAAGAAGAACTCAGAATTCAAGAAGAGCTCGAAAGAATCAGAAAAGCTGAAGAAGAAAAGAAACGGCTGGAAGAAGAAGAAATCAAAAGGCAAGAAGATGAAAAACTCCGTCAAGAAGAAGAAGCCAGGCTCTCCCAAGAACGTGAACTTCTTCATCCATGGCTTGAAAAAGTGACCCGCGAGCTCATAAAAATCAAAGAAATTAACAAAGCTCAAGAAGAATGAAAAAAGTACATTGAGTGTGATCCAATGCCAGATCCCACTATAGAAAAACAAATGACTGCTTATATCACTCTTCTCTCTGAACAAAAAATCGAAGACTTAGAAGAAGCACTCAATAAGTTCCAGCAAACCGAAAAAATCGTGAAAAATATTTACTACTCATTAGGAGATGCACTAGAAGAATATAATTCAGTCAAAAAAATGTGGTGCTATAATTATATTACGACACTAAGGTCGTTAGCAAAAAGAAAAATTGATGAAGCCATTTCAGAAATTCTGATGCACGCTGATGAGCATTTATTAAAACCTCCAGAGCCTGTTTCGTCAACACTTACAGCAACTTCGAAACATATGAAAGGAGCACTAGATCCAGTACAAGTAAAAGAAACTTATATAAAATCACAAAGGGAAGAGATTAGAGTAGGACTGTGGCTGAATTATCAAAATACTGGGCATAAGTTTAAACCGATAGATTTTGATGAGCTTACTATGTATGCAGATATGCCTAGACAGTACGCTGATGACCCATGTGTGATGAGAGCGATGTGGACAAATTCTAACTTAATTTCAACTATGATTGAAACCCCAGAGCTTGTAGTTGGAGGTGTCTATGAAGTGCATATATACAGGTTCCCAGAATTGCCTAAAAATGTAAGAGAATGGAGACTGAGACCTGTAAAAACTCTAGAAAATATGCTAGTTCAAAGACCATACCCACCAAGCGACTTGATTTCAGGGATGTCACTCTCCAACATTAACCCATTAAAAATGATGTATCAGCTTCCTAGTAATGTCTACTTGCCAGATCCTAATGGCTACAAAGTCTGTTGGTGGGATTCTACTACATTAAGCTGGAGCAACAATGAAATATCTGATCTGAATTTTGATGCTGTCTCAAAAACCATTGCATTTAAAATAAAAAAACTCGCACCTTTAGCCGTTGTGATCCCTAGAATCACTGATTACCCTTATTCCTATTTCTATTTAAGAGCAGTTTCTGATGACCAAGTTTTGCTTGACATCACTGGAAAAAGGATGCCGTTTTCATTTATTATTACGCCTGGAAACTTAGAGTTCGTAAACACTCAAAATATCATTGAGCTTAGGTACTTAGAAGGGGTAAAAATGCCGCCTGGAGCGTTATTGTTTGAGCTTTCTACATGTGGAGTTCATTTAATACCTGAACCCAGAGATTGTGAAGCTTCAGGGATAAAAAATAAAAGCCTTGATGCAGAAGAGCTGGCTATTATGGATTTATCGATGAATATAGCTTATATCCCTTTATAGATTTCTTTATCGAGCAAAATGTACTGGATTATTGAACGACCAAGAGAGACTCTATTAAAGGAACGGGCTGGATATCTATATCAGGAAGTGCTAAAAAGTGACATGTCAAAAAATGATGACAAGTCTGAAAAAAGTTGACAAGTAAACGCGCCAATTTTTAAAATGGATTTATTATTAAAATAATTTAAAACTTAAGATACTCAATTATATAGAAGATATAATTACACATTATATATTGGCTTTAAATATTTGATTTATATATATTTAAATTTAATAATAGCTGTGAAAATCAAAAACTTGCAACTCAATGTGCATTTTTTCCGGCTCGATAGAATTTCTTTATTTTATGCTAATTTATTTATGAAGACTAGAGCTATAATTTGCAAAGTGCATGGCTTGTGTATCTCAATATATAAGAAGTTCTTATCGACTCATATGAGAAGTAATTAGCAAAAATCAATATGGCTTATACGTGAAAATCAAAAATTTGCAACTCAATGTGCATTTTTCCGGCTCGATAGACTTTCTTTATTTTATGCTAATTTATTTATGAAGACTAGAGCTATAATTTGCAAAGTGCGTGGCTTGTGTATCTCAATATATGCAAAGTTCTTATCGACTCATATGAGAAGTATTTAGCAAAAATCAATATGGCTCGTAAGTGAAAATCAAAAATTTGCAACTCAATGTGCATTTTTCCGGCTCGATAGAATTCTTTATTTTATGCTAATTTTTATTTATGAAGTCTAGATCTATAATTTGCAAAGTGCGTGGCTTGCGATTCTCAATATACAAGAAGTTCTTATCGACTCATATGAGAAGTACTTACTACTCCCCCCCCCTCCGTGAGCGAAACAAAACCATTAGAAAAATCGCCATTTTTTGATCAAAAACCCACCCTCCGTGAGTGAACAAAAATTTTTTTAATAGAAAAAATTTTAATGGAAAAAAATTTTGATATATAAGTGATAATTAGTATAATGAAATCTAGAGCTAATTCTGTTTAATTTTAAACAAATTGCGTTTTAAAAACATAAAATTTTGCAAATTGAATTAATATTTGCTTCCCAATTTTTGCAAATTAGGATTTTTTTAAATTTCGAAAAAAATATTTTTTATAAAATTTATATATATATTTTTTTTAAAAAAAAAAATTAACCCCCCTCCGTGAGCGAACAAAATTTTTTTGTTCGCTCACGGAGGGGGGGGGGGAGTTAGCAAAAAATTTAATATGGCTTATAAGTGAAAATCTAAAACTTGCAACTCAATATGTGCATTTTTCCGGCTCGATAGAATTTTTTTATTTTATGCTAATTTATTTATGAAGACTAGATCTATAATTTGCAAAGTGCGTGGCTTGCGATTCTCAATATATAAGAAGTTCTATCGACTCATATGAGAAGTACTTAGCAAAAATCAATATGGCTTATAAGTGAAAATCAAAAATCTGCAACTCGATGTGCATTTTTCCGGTTCGATGGAATATCTTTATTTTATGCTAATTTATTTATGAAGACAAGAGCTATAATTTGCAAAGTGCGTGGCTTGTGATTATCAATATATAAGAAGTTCTTATCGACTCATATGAGAAGTACTTACTCCCCCCCCCCCCCTCCGTGAGCGAACAAAACCATTAGAAAAATCGCCATTTTTTGACCAAAAAACCCACCCTCCGTGAGTGAACAAAAATTTTTTTAATAGAAAAAATTTTAATGGAAAAAAATTTTGATATATAAGTGATAATTAGTATAATGAAATCTAGAGCTAATTCTGTTTAATTTTAAACAAATTGCGTTTTAAAACATAAATTTTGCAAATTAAATTAATATTTGCTTCCCAATTTTTGCAAATTAGGATTTTTTTAAATTTCGAAAAAAATATTTTTTATAAAATTTATATATAAATTGTTTTTAAAAAAAAAAATTAACCCCCCTCCGTGAGCGAACAAAATTTTTTTTGTTCGCTCACGGAGGGGGTGGGGGGAGTTAGCAAAATTTAAATATGGCTTATAAGTGAAAATCAAAAACTTTCAACTCAATGTGCATTTTTCCGGCTCGATAGAATTTCTTTATTTTATGCTAATTTATTTATGAAGACTAAAACTATAATTTGCGAAGTGCGTGTCTTGTGATTTTAAATATATGCAAAGTTCTTATCGACTCATATGAGAAATACTTACTTCCCTCCCCCCCCCCCCTCCGTGAGCGAACAAAAAAATTTTGTTCGCTCACGGAGGGGGGTTAATTTTTTTTTTTTAAAAAAAATTTATATATAAATTTTATAAAAATATTTTTTTCGAAATTTAAAAAAATCCTAATTTGCAAAAATTGGGAAGCAAATATTAATTTAATTGCAAAATTTATGTTTTAAAACGCAATTTGTTTAAAATTAAACAGAATTAGCTCTAGATTTCATTATACTAATTATCACTTATATATCAAAATTTTTTTCCATTAAAATTTTTTCTATTAAAAAATTTTTGTTCACTCACGGAGGGTGGGTTTTTGGTCAAAAAATGGCGATTTTTCTAATGGTTTTGTTCGCTCACGGAGGGGGGGGGGGGGAGTTAGCATAATTAAATATTGATTAAAATTAAAATATCTTAAGTTTTAAATTATTTTAATAATAAATCCATTTTAAAAATTGGCGCGTTTACTTGTCAACTTTTTTCAGACTTGTCACCATTTTTTGGCATGTCACTTTTTAGCACTTCCTGATATAGATATCAAGCCCGTTCCTTTAATAGAGTCTCTCTTGGTCGTTCAATAATCCAGTACATTTTGCTCGATAAAGAAATCTATAAAGGGGTATGGGCTATATAAGGACCTTTGCTTTTAGAAGCTCAAAGTGGAATAAAGATGCAAGTGAAGAAATGGTGCTGGTAAGGGTGAGAGAAAACTTGGAATATGACAGTTTCTTTGCAGAAGATGAAGAGCATGATTGGAGAACTGTGGCTTGGCATGCTAATAAGTGCCACTTTGTTAATGCGAGAGAAAATGCCAGTGAAATGAATTTGAATATCCCTCAAGGGCATGAAACGCACTTTATGCTGCAAATTGCGATGAATGGGAATTGCACAGAGCTAGCTGAAAATAGGATGAATGAACTTAAAAGTGTTGATTTATCAGATACTGTGAAAAAGACGTTAAGACTATTGAAGATCCTAAGCTTTACTTAACTCACCTTGGTGAGTTATGTATAAAAACTATGCTTTAGAATCCAAGCTGATATAATTTAATAGCTTTTATTAATGCAATCATTAGCTAAAATAAAAATGCTTGATACAAGCAAACATTTATATAAAAAATTTTGGTTCGCTCAAGAAGGATACTAATTTTCAAAAGAAGGTTTTTGTTTTTATAAGAGAGTAAGATAAAAAATTATTAAAAATATAACTTATTGGTAATAAATAATTTTTTGCTTGAACTTGGTTTTATTTTAAGTATTGCATTTATATAAATTAAATGCAAAGAAGAAAATATTCAGAAAACATACAAGTTTTCAATCAAATTTTGGAAGAAAAGCGCAGCTTGGTCGCACTTCAAAGAAAAATTGAGTCTTTGCAATCCAAAAGAAGAAAAATCAAGATTTTAGTCCAAATTTCAAATGTAAAATTTGACAAAAAAAGCGTAGAGGCGAATGAAATTGAATATACTCCTAATATTGAAAGGAAGTGTATCAAGCCAAATTTTGCATCTTTCTTTGATTTAATGAAGTTCGGCAAGGAAAGAAAAGAGCGACTTCTAAGACACAGAAAATCTGAGACTCCAGCTATAAAATCTATTAAAAATGAGAGCTTAAGCGAGATTCCTCCATTTATTGGGAGTAAAAATATTCCAAGTAAAGAATATTTCAGCCCGCTAAGACCTTAACCTTAAATATTTATAAAGAAGTTCCTAATAGCGCCTGAGGGTGCGGAACTCCACCTTGCTTCGCTGAGCCGCCTTCGCCCGCCCCAGCAAGGGATTAACTCCTCTCCATCTGAGGCTCGCATCTAACGGAGAGTGGAGTGGGCTGGGTCACCATGCCGTACATCAGAAGAGGTTTACTGCATAATAATTAGCCGACTGTCAGCAAAAGCGAGAACTTGCAGCCTAGGGCATAACTCCTGGTTTTACATTAGTGAGTTGCCCGATAAACCTAAAAGGCTTTGCTGAGCTTCCCCTTTACAAGTCTAAGCCCCACTTTCCCTCGATGTAAAATCCAGCTCTGAAAACGGACTAAAGCTAGCCCTAATCGGATTAGGATTAGTTACCTAGCATTAACTGTCTATTTCTGGGCTGGCAAAACCTTGCCGGGTATAATTAAAATATATGCTTGAAACTGCATGATTGAACTACATGCCCGAACTAAGATGCTATATTTTTAATTATGCCCACTAAGACCAAAGACACCAACTGAAGCTTATAAACCTTTAATAAACAGCAGGGTAAGATCAGTCCGTTGAGTGAAAAGAAAAAATATGCCTAATAGTGATTTTTCATATTCTCAATCTCCTGTGCAGGAAAAATCCAACTCCATATTTGAAGATGGGCAACTGGGTTTCTTGCAAGTTAATAGGAGCAATAAAGTTTGTAAGATAAAAAATATATAAGGAATTCAAATTTTATTAATTATTTTTGAGTTTGCTAAAGGCAAATTTGAAATATATTTACACTTTGTTGTAGTCTCAAAAGGCAAATTATAGCTTGAATATACTACTGTTAATATCTAAATAATTTGAATTCAAATAAATATATAATTTACTTACTTTCCTTTAAATTGGGTTCCACTTTAATTTTTTTTAAAAAAAATTATAGTAAACTTTTTAAAAATTTAAAAATAGTATTAATTCAAAAAATAATGATTTAGTGTAAAATGCTTAAATTAATTAAACTTGTACTTCTTCTATTAAAATAGGTCAAAACTAAATTAGAAAATTAGTATTTTTACCTATAAATTTACGTTAAAGCACCCAAAAATAGTATTTTTATATATATTTTTTCCAATTAAAAAGGGGAATTTAACTAATAATTTTATTAGATTAATATAAGATCCCTCTATCGATATCATGCAGGCAATACCAGCAAAAGGAATTTCTAAATAAATTTAAGATTATCAAATATTACAAAACGGATATGAAGCTAATTCTTTTCTTAATTCCTTTCGCATTTGCTGCTGATTATGTCATAACTACTGCGAAAGGGGCCACCGAAGTAAATTGTACATACCCTTTATGCTCTCTGTGCAACTCTACCACAGCTTATCAAATAGATGACTTCAGCTCTTTCCAAATCCCCGACTACTTGGCTTCCACATCTGAGCTTTTGCAAGAAATGATCGAAGAGCTTTCCAGCTATTTAAACGCTTCAACCTACTTAGTTTCAGTAGGAAAAACTGGGCTCTGTGTAGAAGCTAATGATATTGAAGAAGGGGCAAATCTAGATGACATGTACCTAGACCTTATAGATGTGGAATATAAAGAAATTGTTCTTATTGAAATATTCGATGCAGACGTAGAAATTGGAAAAGCTATTGGAAGAGCTGAAAGAGGAGCCGGCAATGGGTATGATTGGACCAATCTACAAGTACAGTTTTCGGCTTTTGATAATGCAATTATCAGCAGCTCTGTAACTTTTGAGCTTGAAGAAATTTGGCATATTTTCGACTCAGGACACCAAGAAACCCAATATTTAGGACTTTCCTATCTTGGAGCTAGCATGGAGTATGAAAATGAATTCAGAATTTTCACAGAGTATGACAGAGAAGAAAACCAAGATTTTAATGTCACCATATTCAATGAAGTTGTATTACTAGGAGACTTCGCAGATGCTTTAGACTATGATTTAAAATGCTCTGAAGTCGAAAGTCCAAGAGGCTTGGATTATGTGTCTTTATTGCTGCCAAATTATGCATTAATGGTGTTCACGACAAATTTCACTGAAAGTTTTGTCCAAGTTTTATCTATAATTGAAGCTGATTCCCCTGATTTTAGTATTGCTCAAGGAATTTTAATAGAAAACCCAATAGCTTATTTGAATATTTACCACAACACCTCATACTGCCAACTTGATATTAAAGGAGAATGAAATGTTCCAGATACCCCTCAGTTTACAATAGATGTCCTAAGCAGCAAAAATGAGCCTTATTATGCTTTGGCCCATATAACTGATCCTATTGCAGAAATTTCTTTTACCCAGCTTGAAAACTTATTTAGTCAGCTTAATCTTAATCTTATGTTATTGAGTAGCTCCCGGCCAGGACCGTAGGTCCTTTTCTTCCTCCTTTTGGTCACCTCGCTTGCTTTCCTTGCCCTGCTCCCAGTGTACACCTAAGTGCCACAGGCTACCACTCGGCTCCTTCCGGTCATGGGGTTTGGCCATGAAATTCTGGAAGTAGGCGGACTGGGTCGCCATGCTTCACGTCGTCGACTAGGGTTAGAGCTAGGGATTAACTCCCTAGCTCTTATCGGCATCTGCTGTGCCGTCCGATTTGGGCACCAGCAGTCCCTAGAGGAAAACCCTTTTTTTGTCCCATGCCCTGTCGGGACGATCCGAAAATCGTCATTGCTGGACCGGGAGGGAAACCTAGCCGGACACAAATACCAGTACCCATACCAGACCTTTCCCTGACTCCCCCCCCTTTAAATTGGAACAAAATATAGGTAAAATTTCCACTTTTTGGTAAATTAACCCCCCTTTAAATTGGAACAAATTTTAATTTTATAATAAAAAATAAAAAATTTTATATATATAAATCATAATTTTTTATGTAAAATGTTTTGATATAATTTAAATGTTTCTTCTTAACTAAAATTAAAAATTTAGTTATATCCTGCTCTTGTTTAAAGAATAGAGTATAAAGAGCATCTTATTTAAATAAATTTATTATCCTTAATTGTTAATTTTTAAAAAAATTTATTTTTTATTTTTTTTGATAAAAATGATATTTTTTATATAAATAGCTTTGATATAAAAATCCAATACGATTTCTTTATAAAATTCAAAATTTACTTATTTCTTGCTTTATTTTAAAGAATATAGTATAAATAACATCTTATTTAAACAAAATTAGCACTTTGATCGATAAATTTTTCTAAAATTTTTTTTTTTTAATTTTTTTTTATCAATAAAAATAATAATTTTTGTGTAAATAGTTTTGATACCAATTAATAGTGGCGTATTAAAAAATAATGAAATTTTAGTTATATCTTGCTTTTTTTTTAAGGATATAAGAGTAAATAGCATTTTATTAAACAAATTTATTAATCTAATTCGATAAATTTTTGAAATTTTTTTTTTTCTTCAAATTTTATATAAATTTTTTTTTTATAAAAAATTTTATAATGATTTTTTTTTAAAAAAAATTTTCTTAACCCCCCCCCTTTATATTGGAACTAAAAATTTTTAGTTCCAATTTAAAGGGGGGGGGAGAGTGGATTGGCTTCAGGCCGCAGCAAGGTCCCCAATCACACTACAGGTTCGGGAGAGGACAGATCGTGTGTCGTCGCCATTTTATTTGTATTTATTTAGTCAGCTATCAGCTGATTTTTCTTCAATTTTTCCTATTTACCAAACACAAACTGAACTGATAAACAGACTTTATGAAATTAAATGCATAAATACCAAGCTTGAGCTCGATTTCGCCCCAGAAACTTATGTGACTCTTGATTGTGATGGGAAAATTGTCCAGGAATACGACTCTAAAGTAAATGGCTATTTCGGAAGATTCAATACAACAGTTGAAGATTCATTTAGCTTTAGCGACATTTTACGAGAGTCTCTTGGGTATTTATTAGGGGAAGGGTTTCCTGAGTACTCTAGCATTACAAATATGAACTTTAATTCAAGCACTTCTGATGTGAATTTAGAGGAGTCTTATTTATCAGCTCCATACATATTTCCTGCAGGGATTCAATTTGCTTATGATATAAACCAAATTAGTAACTGTACCTCTGATACTAAATGCGAAAATATCGTGGTTTATAACCTAACAGACCCAGTCAATATGATAGGAGAGTATTTTCCTAATGACTTCTTCATGTCTGGAGGCATGGATGTGGTGTATGTAGCACATGAAGTATATCTTTATGACACTTTAATGGTGAAATATTTTGAGCCACTGTCTCCAGTCTATATTTCAGGGCTGCTTGACATTCTTCTAGACTCAGACTCCTTCAGCACTTTTACTGCAAATGTCACCTTAGACGAAGATGGCTCTGACATTTATTATTTAGCTGGCCGCCTTCAAGAAGAATGAACTACTGTATTTGGCGTCCCAGGGTTGCTTATTTCTTCATTAGATCTCAATTATGAAGTCAAAAATAGAGAAATTTTAACTGAATACAACCCAGGACAAGCATCATTTTCATGTGGGGAAAATAAATACTGCTGGAATGGAGAAGCTTATGTAGAGATTGATCATGATAACTATAATTATAATCAGCTGGATTTAGTTATGCAAGCTGCTGATGCTGACACGTTCTTTAGAAGTGTTGCAGGGATACAGGCAACGAATTTGGCAAAGACTTTTAATTTTACTGGCGGGGCAAATATTGATATACAGCTGCTGGAATCGGTAAACACAGAGCAAGGGGTTATAATTGAAGGCCAAGCTGAATTTTTGGGACTTCCATGCAATTTTTATATAAAAACTGAAATTAATTCAAGCTCATTTATTGCTGATGTAGATGTGGTGCCATTTATTATGGGGTATGGGAATATTTTTGTTATGAATGTGACTGGGGAGGATATGCATGTAGATCTAGATATAAGCGAAAATTCCACGTATGGGACTATGGATGTTAATGCAAGCTTATGGTCAATAACAGGCAAAACTGAATTGGAGATGGATGACACTTTAATTTCATTCAAAACTACCGGGTATCCTTTTAAAGGAAATTACCTAATGAATTTAACAGTAGAAACCGAACCCTCAAGTGATATTACAAAAAGCACTGCTTTTGTATACGGAGATCTCTCTTCAGATGACATTGAACAACTGAACTCTGATATGACAAAACTGATAGAAGAATGAATCGAACAAGGAACAACTGCCCTTCAAATGTGTGAAAACAGCTTAGACGACCAAGAAACAGTTGTTTCCCAGTCAGAGTCCAAACAATGCACAGAGCCATGCCCAACTGAAGAGATTTGTACATCTCCAGTGACATCTTCATGTGTAGACTATTCTTACGCTATGGACTGTCTCCAAAACTCCACTGCCTGTGACTCAGTCTCAGTTTTATGTTATTCCTACACAGTTTATTGTCTTGAAGAATCTACTTATTGTGTCAGTTACGAAAAAAATATGCCAAATGTTTGCAAAGAATACAAAACTGAATGTGTAAGCACAGTCGACACTTGTGATGAATATTACTTAGACTGTGTAGGAGAGCAGACAGGGAATTGTGAAGTCATTGATTTTATATCAACTGGAGAATGTGCTGAGACTGCTTTTAGATGTGAAATGAAAGAAGTTCCTGAAATGCAGTGCGAGTCTAGTTGTGAGTATGAGAAATTAGTACTAAAAGATGAATATCAGCGATTGGAGTATTATCAGAATGTTAGTGTAGAAACAGAAAGCGAGCTGGGTGGGTTTAGGAATCTCAGCGATTTTGAGAATCTGATTGATATTAAAAGAGGAAACTTCGAGCTTGAGCTTTATGAATCAGGTATAGGACCTGGAGATATACAAATTACTTTTGATTTATCAGTCCCTGATATATCAACTTATACAATGGCTGATATAAGTGTCACTATCATATGGAACTTTTTTAATTCTGACGAAAACCTCGACTCTTTAATGTACGAAGTAAAAAAAGCGATCATTGATATGAGCAACAGCACGCTCACATACGATTTATTAGAAAAATCTCCATTAGAAGTTTATTTAGAGCATTAACCATAATTAACCCAATTTCATTAAATTTTGTTTGATAAGGCTGATTTGTTCTTGGCTCCATTCTAATCTTCCGTCTAAATGCATAATTAATTCTTCATCGGTCAGCAATATTAAATTACTCACACTTGCTGGCTGCGTTAAGTCAAATCTTACTGCTTCAATTGATTTCTTAGAGTTGCTATAAGCTGACCTCAAATTCCATAAAGTCCTTACCACCTGTTCGATTTCTTCAATGTCCATCTCTAGTTCTGAATGAAAATGATTTTTTTCTAATAGCTCTAGATGGCGAACAAGTCGCAAAAATGAAGTTTTTCGGTAGTTGTCTCTAATAAAAGGCTCAAAACTAACTCCTCCAAGCTTGGATAAGACATAAGAAGCTACAGAATTTCCAGTGATAGAAGTTAGTGTTCAATTGCAGGAATGGCATACATTAAAATGGCATGGTGAAGAAGCCCATTTTCTTAACTCCTGTATCTGGTGCGCAGGGACTTTGAGGAAGGGAGGACTGCATTCGGGTGCATGTATCCGGCCAGGTTTGGAGAAGCGCAATGTCGGATTGCCGAATTCATGCTTTACTCCAATGCTAAGTTTTTTTTTCCTACTAATTAAATAAGGGGTACCTGCGCCAGCAGATCTGGTTGGATAACTACCAGTGTTCGAAAGCGAAAGCTAAGTTTTTTTTCCTCAGGGGATTGGGCCTAGTAAGGTTGTATACGAACTGGCGAGCAGGCGAAAGAGACATTACAGGTGGAGGTTTCCCTTCAGGAATTACATTAAACTTCTCTATAAGTCTAATAAATGTGTTCAATTGCAGGAATGGGCATTTGTTTTATTGGGTTTTGTGGATCTAAAAGTAAATACCGAGGTGTTTCTGCTAAATAAACTACTTGTACTCCTTCAGCTATTCCACGCTTCTTTAGGGTTTTACGAAGCTTGCGGACTGTGTCACAATTTTTGGTGTTAGAGATATCAGCAACTTCAACACGAGTAGGATCAATTTTTCCAGCAGCTGAAGCGGTAGTAATAATATTTATTTGATTTTGCAAACAATATTGTATTAAATCTGCTTTACAGCTGACGTTCCCTATACAGTCAACTACATAATCAGGGTTCCCAGCAAGTAAGCTACTAGCATTTTCTAATGAGAAATAAGCTTTTTGAATTTCAATTTCACATTGTGGGATTATTTTTCCTATGTGAGCTTTTAGCACATCAGTTTTATGTTTCCCAATATCCCTTGTTTTCGCTACTCCATGGCCATTTAAGGCTCCTGCTGTAAGCACGCTGTTATCAATGATTCTCACTTTTTTTACACCAGAGCGTGCCAAAGTTATCACACAGTGGCTTCCAATGCCTCCTAGTCCTAAGACAACCACAAAGCTTGACTGGATTTTGTCTTGGCCTTCTTTGAAAAATTGATGATTTCTTACCAGCTGGTCTTTTAATGGGAAACTTTTCTGCTTTTTTTTCTTCATCAATAGCAGCTTTACTACATAGGAGCCCATGCCGATTCCTATAAGAAACATTATGATCTCTTTCAATAGTCCCATAATCTATATAAAAAATTAATTATAATTAAATTAGGCAACTCTGTTATGTTATTTATTCGTAAAGAAATACTGGAGTTTTGCTTGCCTTCTCAAGGTTCCATCCAAAGAGTAAGTCAATTGAGTTTCCTAACTCCCCCCCCCCTCCGTGAGTGAAAAAAAAAATTTTGTTCACTCACGGAGGGGGGTTAATTTTTTTTTTCGAAAATTAAAAAAATCCTAATTCGCAAAAATTGGAAAGCAAATATTAATTTAATTTATGAAATTTATGTTTTAAAAAGCAATTCGTAAAAATTAAACAGAATTAGCTCTAGATTTCATTATACTAATTATCATTTATATATTAATTTTTTTTCCATAAAAAATTTTTCTATTAAAAAATTTTTGTTCACTCATGGATGGTGGGTTTTTTGGGCAAAAAATAGGGATTTTTCTAATGGTTTTGTTCACTCACGGAGGGGGGGGGGGAGTAAGCTCTTTCCACAGACGTATAAGTCGCTTGAGCAATTAAGGACGTTTTCAATATCAGCGTCAATAGTAACAAGAGAGTTGTAATAGTTGGCATATAAAGTTTTAAGTCCTGCCTCACTGACAAAGCTTTTCTTAATTGTGGCAAACAAAGTTTCGAATGGGCATTGGCTTGAAATAAGCTGAAGCTGAGGTTCAATTTCTTTGAATTCTGCAATTAAAGTATCAATGGCTGCAATATCCCAGGTCAAAATTTTTTCAATTGTAGCATACCCATTGGTGAAAATTTGGGCAAATTTGGTAATATCTGTATAGCAGGCGCCTGGAGTTGAGACTTGACCTTCAAAACCATCAAGTAAGCCTTTTCCGAATTGGGTGAATTCGTTGATGACGCTTGATTCGCTTGATAGCAAAGCTTTCCCAGTGTATGGTGGCACCATGTACCTCATAGCAGTTCCGAAGTTCTTGCCTGCTTTTTGGAAGTTAAAACCAAGGAGGTCGAGTGTGGATGCAGCAAGATATGATTCAATGACGTTTCTTTGCATTAAGAGGTTTCCTACCACATACCAGCTTCCTTTGTTCTTTAACTCAGCATTCAAGTTTGTGATAATTTGGTTCATTCCACAGCCTGAGGCCATTTTTTCGAGGTCTTTTCCGAAGGTCTTGATGCTGCTATAAGCATCGAATGGGTGGAATTTGAGGACGCTGGCAATGATATTGACCATGTCGGAGTCAAGCTTTCCTTGTGAGGCTTGATCTAACCCGCTTTTAAGAGCGAGCAAAAATTTTATTTTATAGAATATTTTAACGAGATTTCTGGTTAAATTTTATTAAGTTTGCATAAACATAAAGTTCATAAATTAAATTGAATTTTTCTTTTTTAAATAGTTTATATTGGAATCTGGAAAAATTAACCTTTAAGAGCTAGCAGAAAACCCTTGCTTACTATTAAAGGGAGAGTAAGCAGGTTGCTGGAAGAGTGTAAGTTGCACCGGTATAACTGCTCATGAAAGCTCCCACGAAGGTCTTAAAGTCATCGTAGTTTCCTTGGAAGAGTGATGCTGGGACGGAGGTTTCAGCGCTGGAGAGAGCCACGAAAGCTACGAAAAGGAATAAAATCTTTGACATTTTATTATTATCGCAGCCCATTTTTGTCATCAGAATATGTTCAACAGGTTTGAATAGAATTATAAAATTATGCTTTTTATTCTACTCCCCCCCCCCCTCCGTGAGTGAATAAAAAAATTTTGTTCACTCACGGAGGGGGGTTAATTTTTTTTCGAAAATTAAAAAAATCCTAATTCGCAAAAATTGGAAAGCAAATATTAATTTAATTTATGAAATTTATGTTTTAAAAAGCAATTCGTAAAAATTAAACAGAATTAGCTCTAGATTTCATTGTACTAATTATCATTTATATATTAAATTTTTTTCCATAAAAAATTTTTCTATTAAAAAATTTTTCTATTAAAAAATTTTTGTTCACTCATGGATGGTGGGTTTTTTTTGGCAAAAAAAATAGGGATTTTTCTAATGGTTTTGTTCACTCACGGAGGGGGGGGGAGTAAGAGAAGAAAATTAGGAGAAGTTAGATGTAAAAATAAGCTTAAATATGCTGGAGAGGGTCATGGAAAAAGGCTTAAAGGAGATGATTTGTAACGTTGAGATGAGGAAACTTCAGTGATAGTTCAATTTTTTAAGACTTAGCTTTAAAGTAAAGGATATGGATGGCGATGATGGAATACTTTAAGTACAGCTTAAATAATCGATTTTTTAATATAAATTTGTTAGACGGTAAAGATTTTATAGAGATTAACTGGGAAGGACCGTTAATTGCAAGAAAATAAACAACAGTTTAAAAAGCATTCTAATGCATTTTTATTTTGGAAAAGAACCCTAACTCCCCCCTCCCTGAGCGAACAAAACCATTAGAAAAATCCCTATTTTTGCCCAAAAAACCCACCCTTTTAATTGAAAAACTTTTTATTGAAAAAAAATTGATATATAAGTGATAACTATTATAATGAAATCTCAAGCTAATTCTTTTTAATTTTGAACAATTGCGTTTTTAAAGCATAAATTTTATAAATTAAATTAATATTTGCTTTCCAATTTTTACGAGTTAGGATTTTTTTAAATTTCGAAAAAAAAAATTAACCCTCCTTCATGAGTGAATAAGATTTTTTTGTTCGCTCACAGAGGGGGAGTGGGATTAAGTTTATTCGGAGAGATTGTAAAAACAGCGTCAACAAAATTTGAGCTAAAAAATTAATTTTTAAATAATTTCCATCTTAAAATACTAGGCGGTGCATAAACTATGGACAACCAAACCGCCTATAAACTAGCAACCCCTGAAAGATGCAAAAAGCTTATGAATCTTTCCCGCCAAGTGCTAGAAAAAGTAAAAACTAGTGGAGTTACCTCAGGCAACCAGATAGCAAAAGAAATCCTCAACGATTTATCTGAGAATTCTTATGGGGCCGAATTCAAAAATATCCAGCGGCGGGTCTACGATGCACTTAACGTGCTCCATGCCCTAAATGTTATTTCAAAATTCCGAAATGAAATCTCCTACCAAGGCTTCTCAAACGACAAAGAAGAAAAGATCATTCGCGGAACTTTAGATGCTAAAAAATCTGTTATTGAAGAAAAAAGAAAAGCTTTAAACGAAAATTTAATGCATTATACAGCTTTGAGAAAGCTTTTAAATAGAAATATGAGCCAAGAATTAAAACCAAATGTTCAGCTCCCTTGTGTTGTAATTAAGGGAAAAGAGATGAAAATTGATATCCAAGAGAATAATGTAATAATAGTGTCAAAAAATCCAATGGCAATTTACAATGATGCTCATTTGATGGCAAATATGAAGTTTCATCATATTAATAACGAGGAATTATTAGAGAATTTCCCAAAAGAGTTGATTGATACAATAAATAATGAGGAAGAAGATGTGAAGGAAAAGGATTATAGAAAACTCTGTATTGAAATGTTTAGGAAAGGTCAATGTAATAATTAAAAATTAATACTTTTATTGAAACTTCGAATGGCGAGAGGCTGAGCTTAAGGAATATCAGGATTTTTTATTACTATTAAAAGAATTAATTAAGAATATCTCGCTCAATTTGCTTATTCTGAGCGATAAGAAACTCTAATTCTTTTATACTTGAGCTCGTAAATGTTTTCAAAACAATTTCATACATGTGCTGTTTTCCTTCTTTAAATTTAGGGATAACGCCATTCAATAAAGTTCCCGTCACAATATTTACTATCTTTTCAACACATTTTAGCTCTTCTTCAAGATTCGTTATTTCTCTTGAAGTCTTTTCTATATACTGTTCTTTGTTCTTCTGCAACAAAATCTGTACAAAGTTCTTTTTCCCTGACTGTATTTTTATCAAATTTTCTCTTTCTTCATCAATTCTGTCTGCAATTTTCAGTTTTATAGCTTCCAGCATGAATCTTCCCTGAATTGCTTCATTCAGTCCTTCTAAATCCAGAATCTCAGTCCTTACTCAGCCCAATAAAACTGAATATGGGTTTGTTGTCAAATTTCTGGTTTCCAAGTTAATATTTTTTTCTTCAGCATAGACCTGATTGACGCTTTTTAAATCAATAAATAAGTTCTGGACTTCTTTTTGATAATACTCAAAGTAATCTGTTGTATATTTGCATCAGCCTTCAAATACTTGAAGTTGAGCTAAACAGCCGGAAAAATGCTTTTGGGCATCTTCCATTTCTTTGTGGCTTTCTGAATTTGAAACGAAGCTTGTGAATTCTGAAAAAACTTCTTTGTAGAGAGGGGCGAGCTTTTGGAATGGCAGACGACCATAATGCCCTACGCATTTGTGAAACTCTTGAGGACCTCGAACGAATTGCTGGACTATTTCTGAGTGGTATATGTAAGGGATTTTGGCTATTTTCATGAGAAAAGCTTCAAGAAGCACTTTTCGCTTGTCAATAAAATCTTTTCCGAGGTTTCCCTATATGATTTTTACAGTCATTTGTTTTGGAGGAATTTGAGGCATGTAGCAGCCTGGCCATTGCCTTGATATGCTTTTAAATAAGAATGGGTTATTCATTTAAAATGGCTAACTCGTGATTATTTTATAAGCTTAAAATCTTATTGATGTAAATAAAAGCCATTCTTCTGTAAGGCTATAGAATATCTCTAAGCGCTTTAAAATCTTTATATCGACGACTCGTTTGAATGTTTCCTGTGGAATCAGATCCACTAATAGGATATGTCACAAAATTCCTTATTCCCCAGCCAGTCCGAGTAAAAAATATTTTGTAATTATTTTTCCCAAAATTTAAATATGAAATTAAAAATTAGCCTAAATTTAAAACATTATCTTTAAAAACATTTTTAATTAAAAAATTTTTTTTTCTGCTAACGGAGGGGAGCTAGTGAGCCATTATTCACAGTTGGAGTTCCGAGAGAAATTGTAACGTTTTCTCTTGAATTTTTTGAGGAATTCAGCTTATCTATATTCACATACGAGAAATCTGATTCGATCAAATTATTATAGTTTTCCTCTGTTTCGCTTGATGGGTCAGACTCCATTTTAATTAATTTGTCAACTTATAGTGTTTGAATTGCTTTTAATATTCAAAAAATCATTTGTTGCAATTTAAAAGAAATTAGATTTTGACAATTATCAATAACTGAAGTTAAATTTGATTATACTTGAGAAAAATATATAAAATTAGAGTCAATTTAATTTAGACGCTCTTTTCATGCTATAAATTTAAGAAAATGCTTGCCATGCTAATAAATTTATCATAATTAGCTCATTATTATCTATTTAAAGCTCTGAAGCTATGCATTATATATTCAATATTGATTACGCAGTTATTAATTCCATTTTTAAAGAAATTATTAGATTTTTGGTATTTTATGCAATTATAAACTGATCCAAAATAGTTCAAATATTTTTACATTATTATATAAGTATAAAAATTATAATATATTTATGCCATTTTTATATTGTAATAGGTGTCCATTTTATGTAAAGAAAAATTTAAATGAATCTCGACTATAACTGCATAAAAAAAGATAAAGACCAACATCATGCAGATTTTTTTCACTCAAATCCATCTAAGGATGATAAAACAAGCGAACTCTTTAAAGAAAACTTCAAAAACTCACTAGGATATCGAAATTCTGTCAAAATTAAAACTGATTTATCAATATTTTTCAGCAAAAATCGCAAATCTTCTTCTCCTTTTGAAGTTGATAGCATAAATCTTAAAGAAATCGAATTATTAAGAAAAGCAGGCTTTAATGACTTCTCCAATTTAGACAGAACTTGGATAAATGATTCAAGCCACTTAAACTATAGAGAAAACTCTCATAAATACTTTAAAAAAATTAATCCTCAATCTGAATATTTAGAGCCCTATCCCACTTATAGATCGCTCTGGGTTACCAGCTGCCGGTCAAGCTCATGATTTAATTTTGTATCGTAACTCAGTTTAGATATGGGCTTGAGCCGAAAATCCTATCCCGGGGCGAGTTATAAGTGTCATTAGCTTATATCAAATTTTCCGAAAGAGGGTAAAATTAGAAAATATGAGAGTTCACAAAATTTTGGAGATGAAATATAAAGATTACTGAAGACTGAGTGGTAAAATTTTAGAGCAGGAAAATTCTACTAATATTAATTAATATAAATTTAAACCAGCATAAAAATGCTTTACTAAAAATTAAAGTGACCCATCCATAATATATAGGGATTAAATTATCTCAAAAATGCTGCTAATCATATGATTTTTACTCCTTTCTTAATTTTATGAAAATAATAATGAAAACACTAATTTCTTTATAAATATATTGTTCTTTATCTGATTTAATGCTTGGTGATAATAACTTTCACAAAAATCTCCTAGTTCCTTGCAAGCACGAACCAACTGTAGATAACCGATATGGAGTTCACTTTGAATTCAACGATTTATGTAATCGATTGCTTGAAGTTCAAGCTAATCAGCTTAGCCAAGATCTTCAGCCCAAGATTAAAAGAAAACCAATTCGTTTTCCATCGCTATCTCAAATTCCAAAAAACTATCAAAAACCTCAAGAGGCCGTTCAAACTAAGCCAAAGCGCTTGCACCCTCTTGCTAAAAATATCTTATTTTCAACTTTTGATGAATCCAACAACCGAACTACGACAAGTATAATGAGGAAGTCAAATTCAATTTCTCCAGCAAAGCAGCGATTTTCCTTACTCCTCTAAAATATTTATTTTTCTGGGGCTTATAGTTTGCATTTTTCTTAACTCCCCCCTGCATGAGCTGACAAAATATTTTGTTCTCTAATAGAGGGGTTAATTTTTTTTTTTAAATTTATATATAAATTTTATAATAAATTTTTTTTTGAGTTGCTGGAGATTTCATTATAATAATTTTTATAAAAAATTTTTATATATTAAAAATATTTTTTGCTCGCTCATGGAGGAGGGTTTCGGGCAAAAATTAGGATTTTACCAATGGTTTTGTTCGCTCACGGAGGGGGGAGTAAATAAATACTTTTATTAGTAAAGAAAAAAATATTTCAAAAATAAAAAGAGTTAGAAAATTCAAAGAGCAACAAAAAGCTGCACTCTAAACTTCTAACTGAGAAGCCAATAAAAAGGAAGAGAGCAAGCACTCACATTAGTCTAAAATGCTAATTACATAAATCGTTATATCAACATAATTTTCATAATTTAAGAGAAACATGCGAATGCTTACTTCAAAATCAACCATTTAAAATAACAAAATCAGGAAATTTATGATCTGAAATACAATAACTATACTAATTCTATAGTAAAATTATAAAATTATATAATCATCACCTTCATTTTGAGCAGGGTGTTGATAATTTTCTCTACAATAGTCAGGAGTGTGCGTTTTCAATGTAATCAGCCCATTGATCTGATCCTTTCCAGCCTCCATCAGTTTTTCAAATAGAACATAGTCTTCTTTATTCCTTATATAAAATCCTAAAGACATTGAGCTCTCTGCTTCACATATAGGCAATATCTTTGGCGAAGAGCAGCTATAACTGGCCTGGTTTTCTCTCAAACTCTCATTAGACTTGCACACCTTCTGTACTAAATGAGGATCAAGAAAAATGAAGCTTTCTTCTTGGTACCCAACAAAATACAAGGCAGAGCGAGGTTTTCCACCTACAATTCCAACAGTCTGAGGCATAGATAAAAAATACTTAACAGCAGAATGAAACTCAGGCTGAATTGTTTTTAAGCCTAGCATAACAGGAAGCATAATTAAAATGCTTGCGTCTCAATCATAGGCCAAGAATTTTTCAAAACAATCATTGCATTCTTCACTGCTTTCTTCACAATCAAAAGTTTCAAAAGGAATATCTACAAGGGCTGATATAAGCTGATCTCTGTAAATGACTGAGTCCATGAATACTTTGGCTTTAAAATTGGGAATTGGGTTTTTGCTGATTAGTCTTTCAATTGTGTGGCAAATTGTAGAAGGAGAGTACCAATCTCCAGGGAGTTTATCGAACTCTACTCCAAGCTCTGTTATTTTATGTACAGAAAACGGTGCTGTCATGAGGTTTTCTTGGATTGTTTCTAATAAGGAAAAATTATCTTCATAATTAAAGTGTCTCTTTAAAGTGTTTAGAAGCATCATTTGTCCTGCACGAATTGTGCATCCTCACCCAGCATCAGTAGTGAGGACTTTTAAATGTTGCTTTTCACTGCCCTTAAGTCTATTTATTGGTCTAAAGCCTTAGTCTTAGTCTTAGTTAAATTTATAGAGTAGCTCCCGGCCAGGACCGAAGGTCCTTTTCTTCCGCCTTTTGGACGCCTCGCTTGCTTTCCTTGCCCTGCTCCCAGTGTGCACCTAAGTGCCACAGGCTGCCACTCAGCTCCTTCCGGTCATGGGGCTTGGGCTTGGTCATGCTATCCCGGAAGTAGGCGAACTGGGTCACCGTGCTTCACGTCGCCAGACTAGGATTAGAGCTAAGGATTAACTCCTTAGCTCTTGTCGGCTCCTGCCATGCTCTCCAAATTGGCACTAGCGGTCCCTAGAGGAAAAACCCTTTTTGCCCCGTGTCCTATCAGGACGACCCTAGGATCGTCGTTGCTGGACTGGGAGGGAAACCTAGCCGGACACAAAACTACCAGTACCCATTCCAGACCTTTCCCTGGGCGGATTGGCTTCAGGCCGCAGCAAGGTCCCCAATCTCGCCACAGTTCCGGGAGAGGACGGGTCGGTGTCGTCGCCATTTTATTTGTGTCTATTGGTCTAAAGCCACTCCTATACGTTACTCAAATTATTTGACTGAAGTCCCTAATAAACTCTTTATACCCTAGTTCTCCATCTGTTTTATTAATCGGCTGATTAGTCTCAATGATTCTTGGATAATATGTTTTTCCCATCAAAATTGCTGGAGAATCTTCAAAGTCCAACGTCACCTTATGGGAGACAATATGATGCATATTATACCTTGCGTTTGCACTTGCCTTCGAAAATCAATTAGATTTCAATAATTCTACAGGAAAATAATAATCAGGAGTATTTGTCATATAGGGTGGATCACTGTTCTGTTGAAATAATGAAATAGTGATTTCATCTAATGTTGGCTTAGGCTCGCTTTTTGGTCTTATTGTTTCTTTGCTTTTCGTTTTATGTGAGATATTGCCACCACTTGAGTACATTTGGTTGCCTTCTGTCATATACGGAGTAAAAAATTCAGGATCTACCATATTACTGTGAGTTAATAAATTTTAAATATTCTGAGTAATAAAATTTGCATACTTTATAAATGTCAAAAAGAGAAAAAGAGCATTTAGTTAGAGTCTGTGTTCTAGGCTCGACATTTACTGGAAAATCGTGTCTATGTAATCGATTTGTTTGTAATAATTTTGAATGGGTTTATGAGCCGACTACTGAAGTAAGACCCTATAGAAAACTTGTGAATATTACAGAGGACGAAGAAAATAAACAATATTGTATGATGCTAATTGAAGACTTATTTCCAATTAACCACCCCTATTTGCAAAACCCTGAACAAAGCGAAGAAGCCAAGAATATGAGCAATCAATATGATCTTATCTTAGAAAACCGCAGAGAAAGCAAGAAAAAAAGCAGCGAAAAAGCCTTATATAAAGAACACCCTATACACGCTTATGTATACGTTTTTGACCTGACCGAAAAAACCTCTTTTGATGAAGTCGAAAGAGTAATCGAATACATCCACACTCGAGAAGAAAAAGAAGCTGGCAAAAAGAAATCTGGTATTGCTGTCAAAATCCTTGTAGGCACCAAAAAAGATTTGCAGAGAAATGCTGTGCCTTCACAAAAAATAGAACAAGTTAAAAAGAAGTACAATTTGATGTATAGAAAAGTGAGTGCTTTAGAAAACAGTGATGTAAAAGACGTATTTTTAGACGTCGCAAGAATTGTAATGGATAGCATGTCATCTGGAATGAATGAAGATGAGGACGAAGACATGTTTTTTGGAACAGGCTTTTGAAATTGGCTTGGATGTGGAGGAAGGGATGAAAAGAATAAAGATGAAGATGAGGACGAAGAAGAAACTAAAAAATGCAGAATTTTTTAAAATTTATATTAATTATTTTAAGGCATTTTCAACAGTAAAAGTTAAAATCTTATGATTTATTCTGTATTAAGCACAAAATAAGGGTCAAGCCTGAATTTTTGATCAAACCTAATCAGCCATTTATCAAGCACATCTGCAGGCAAAACTAGCATTCCTTGGTTCATATCAGTATTTTTATTAAAACTTTCCATAAATCTATATAGATTTAAAGCCACTTTTTTGGCGTACTGTTGTCTGATATCGGAATTCGCTTTGTTTTCGACAAGACCTGCAATATTCGAAATCAATTCTACAGATATAAGCAGTTTAATCAAAGAAGAGGAGTTTATTGAAGGGTTAAAGCTTCATGCTGTATGAATTATATCACTTGGCCTCTCATTTGCGATTGCTCCTAAAAACTCTATTGTCGCAAATGGAGGGATGCTGTAAGATAATGCAGCTGCATAACCTTCAGGAAGGGGAGAAGCCAAGAAAAATGTCAAATTGTTGATAAGGCCTGGTGACGGTAAATCTATAGTCCATTGTGTTTCGCTAATTTGTGTGAAATTATAAATTACAGGCTGACCTGGAATTATAATCCCAAACATATTTTTATAATTCTGGAATTTTGATTTTTGAAATTTGATACTAAATTCCCTCTATGACGAACAAAAAATTTTGTTCGCTCATGGAGGGGTTAAATTCTATAATAATTTTTTTTTAAAAATCGTGAAATTAGACAGCAAATATTAATTTAATTTGTAAAATTATGATGTTTAAAAATTAAACAGAATTTTATAGAGATTTCATTATAATTATCACTTATATATCAGAATATTTTTCATAAAAATTTTTTTGTTCGCTTTCTGAGGGTAGGATTTTACCAAAAAATAGGTTTTGTTCACTCACGGAAAGGGAAGTAAGGAACAACATTATCAAAAAATTGCAATTAATTCAGAAAGTAGTGCTAGATAAATTATTTCATATTATTGTGGCTTAGTCTGAGTTATGTGGTTTTATTAGCAACTAATGAAATTTATTTTTATTAAAGCAACATGTGATTTATTTTCTCATTATTAATGTTCGAGCTCTTTCATGCCATAAAAATAATATTTTATCGGTCTTAATAATGCACAGAAAGAGAGATTTTATTCACTATTCAGTAATCATCGAAAAAATATCTTTATCCAAAAAATATTTTTCACATGATGGCATCAATCTGGAAAATTTAAAGGTATCTTAAATAACGTATATATAACTGAATAGTAAAATAAATGGACACGAAACAGATCGAAGAGACCAATCATTTGAAAGAAGACGTGTACACCTTAGCCATGTCACCTTTAATCGCGACGGCTCTTAATTCAATGCTTAGTTTTGACGTCCCCAAGCTTTTAGAAACCCCTAAATCAATTGATGAATTGGCTCAAGCCACCCTCTCAGTCAAGCACAAATTAGAGCGAACTTTACTGGCTCTTGAAGCTTTTGGCTACTTCTCTTATGACGAGCATTCCAAAACTTGGTCAAACTCTCCTAAGACCTCACTATTTTTAGACAAAAATTTTCGTGATGCGATTTATTTTTGTTGTGTCCCTTTTCAATACGAAATTTTGCTGAAGTTCAGTGATGCCCTACGATGTGACCAGTCTTCTTGCTATCTCCAATTTGGTAGAAATATTTATGAGGAGCTAAGCCAACGGAGTTTAGACAAAAACTATTTTCATACAGGTCTCGGAGCTTATACCAAAATGTCAGGAGATGCTTTATTTGATACTATAACATTGACTGGCTTAAATAAAGTTTTAGACGCAGGAGGTGGAGATGGTACTTTATTATGTGAATTGGCAAAGAGAAATCCAAATATAGAATGCACCGTTCTTGATATTCCTTCATTAAGTGAGCTAGCAACGAAGATTATAGAAAGTTATGGGCTTCAAGATAGAGTCAAATTTGTACCAGGAGATTTCAGACAAGAAATACCAAGCGGATTTGACTGCATTTTATTCAAGCAGGCGCTTAATAGCTGAAGTGATGAAGTCGTTATAAAAATTTTGGAAAACTGCTATAAAGCTTTAGAAAATGGAAAAAAGCTAATTATTATCGAGCACGCAGTGGTAAAAAGTGATGAAAACTATCGAGAAGTTAGGTACTTAGATTTGATGGGAATATCAGAAATCGAGTCAAGGACGAGAAACCCGGAAGAATTCAAAATGGTTATTGAATATGCAGGATTTACAATTGAAAATATCAAGAGGCTTCAAGGTCAATATATGTTTGAAGCCGTAAAATCTGCTTAATATATTCGCTTAATTCTTATTATTTCTTTATAAATAGATCTCTAACTTTTGCAGCATGCTTTTTCTTTTGCACTTTTTTTCTATAATGCATATCTGCCCAACTCACCAAATATTTTTCAAACATAAAGGCACATATTCCATAGCCTAAGCAAATTGCTGTTAAAATGTATCTAAAATTTCATGGCAAGTAAGTCAGCTAAATATCCCTTACATCATATATATCTCGTATAATTTCTGCAGGATATAAAATTGAGTACAAAGTAAATGAAATAAGGGCAAGTAGCACAAGAGTAAACCAAAAATTCGTGTACATTGCTTTTTTTCAAGGTTTTCCAATATTAAAATTGAAGCAGACTACTTCATATTCAAACCAGCTCACAAGAAATAGAACAGTGTTCGGATCACAATGGAAAAAATCAGTAATTGGCTCTCCTGGCTTATAGTCATTTGGTTTAAAAAATGCCATTTCATTTGCTATAAAATATGTGAGGATCTGAGTAATAGTTTCCAATGCAGTTTGCCCTATAACTGACGTTAAAACTGCGACTGACATAAGTGAAGCTGTAGGGTGTCTTTTTGATAGTTTATGATATGGCCCTGTTTTACTCATAGTAATAGCTAATGGAAGCATGGTAACCATGTCAAAAGTTACGAATTGGTTGTTAGTAAGGCAAGACCCCATAGAATAAAGCATGCTCACTGTGATAAATTGGATTGTGGAGTAGAGGAACATAAATTTGAAGCATTGGGTAGACGTTGTTAAGGCACATCTGCCTTCTTTTAGAACTGTAATTACACAAGAAATATCAGAAATCTGAGAAGTAAATGGTGCAGCAATAGAAGCTTCTTTTTCGCTTACTCCCCCCCCCCCCTCCGTGAGCGAACAAAAAAATTTTGTTCGCTCACGGAGGGGGGTTAATTTTTTTTTTTAAAAAAAATTTATATATAAATTTTATAAAAAAAATATTTTTTTCGAAATTTAAAAAAATCTTAATTTGCAAAAATTGGGAAGCAAATATTAATTTAATTTGCAAAATTTATGTTTTAAAACGCAATTTGTTTAAAATTAAACAGAATTAGCTCTAGATTTCATTATACTAATTATCACTTATATATCAAAATTTTTTTCCATTAAAATTTTTTCTATTAAAAAAAATTTTTGTTCACTCACGGAGGGTGGGTTTTTGGTCAAAAAATGGCGATTTTTCTAATGGTTTTGTTCGCTCACGGAGGGGGGGGGGGAGTTAATGAAATTCCTATGTCAGCTGACTTTAAGGCTCCACAGTCATTAGCGCCATCCCCACACATGCCTATAAGATAGCCTAGTTTTTGAATTCTTTCTACTAGAAGAGTTTTGTGTTCAGGCGACATCCTTGCAAAAACTCTGCATTTTTCCAATACAATTTTAAATCCAATTACTGAGTCAGGATCTCCTTGATCTGACAGTTTTGCCATGTGAGCTAAAGAAGCCCCAGTAAGTGCTAGTGCATAGTTTGCTTCAAATCCCTGATTCCTTCAAGGGGGCTCAGCTTTTAATTCATGCTCCTCTGAGTCTCCTTCATGATAAGTTGACCTAAAAACCTGCCATAATAGCCTTTCTCCATGCATTTCTCCTAAATATACAGTAAACTCAGGGTCAATCATCGTGCATTCTCTAGCTACAGAAATTCCGGTCAGCACAGCATCTCCTGTAGACATGATTGTTTTTATTCCAACTTTATGTAAATTTCTAATTACTGGCATTGTTTGTGGCTTTAACTCTTTAAACCTATTAACATTTATCGAGAAGGCTTCTGTAATTCCTGAAGGACTTTCTCCGCTCGTAACGCCCCCTTCATCTGCTCGCCAGTTCGCATGCAACCTTATAAGGGAAGCTCCTATCGGACGAAAGCCTTCACTCGTCATCCGTAGCTTGATGAGTTGTACTGTCATGCAGCAAATTTCAAAATGGTTGAATTTTCTGGTCAGATCTGGCCAAAATGGAATTCCGAGGCCCAGAGCATAACTCCTGATTTTATGCTCCGGATTTGCAGGACAAATACCATTGGTCTGCTGAAAACCCTTTCAAACTCTCTGGCCCATTTCCCTCAAAGGCAAAAAATATGGATTTGGAGTAAAGCTTGCGGTCAGCTAGCCCGACATTGCGCTTTACCCAAACTTCCTTAAGGTCCTCGCGCACCTGTGGATGCCAGCTATATTAGTTAAAAGAGTGCCCTGGCTCGCCCATTTTAATATATAAGCTTGTTGCTTTAGCTTGTTCTGTAAAATAATTAGCCCAAGGAAAGTCAAATTGGTTTCTAATTCTTCTAACTTTTGTGACTTTAAGTCAGAATATTTGATAGGAGGAAGTTCTTTATAAGCACAAGCAAGCACTCTGTATCCTGCACATGTATAATTTCCTAATATAATTTTTATATCACTTGATATTGAGCTCGGCAAGCATTTTTCTATAACAACTTCAGGAGCACCTTTCATATAAAACTGGAAAGAACTTTCTTTCAAATTTTTTGTTATCACACCCATTCGTTTTAGCTTAGACGTAAAATGAAAAGTATGCAAAATTCCAAGCTCATAAGGAGCTTCAATCATGCTTATCACATTTCCTTCTTCATCAAAAACAGGAGGGCTTTCAGATTCTTCTTTAGGCTTCACTACAGCTTTGACAGCAGGCTCATAAATTTCTTCGTCAGGCTCTTCAAATATCCATCTGGTGCTGTTAAATATTTGTAAATCTTGAGTGTCACCTACAAGTTTTTGGTCTATTGTTGTTAATGAGTGGCAAGAAGCCATGCATTCTACCAAATTTTTTGAATTTTTTTCGATCAATTGTGGATTATCACATAAAGCGTCCATTTTATTATCATTGCAAGGCTGAATGCCTACTAAAATCATACCATCTTCAGTCAAGGTTCCTGTCTTATCAAAGCAATAAATATCAATTTTCCCAGCCACATTTACACGAGGAGGGGCAATGCAGAAAATATGGCTTTTTCGCAAGCGACTAATAGCAAAAGCTGTTCCTACATTCATACATGCTGGGAGAGATGGAGGAACTGTGATAGTTATTAAATCCAAGCATCGAACCCATACTTGGTCTAATGGAATTCCTATATAAATCATAATAGTTAGTTAGTTAGTTTTAAAAGGCCATACGTGGGCGAATCAGCGGACCTCAACACCTCAGCTCGAAAGACGACTCCAGGTCGGGTTCTGATGTGGCCATACTCCCAGGCCCGACGCCATCTTGATTTCTGGTCAAAACCACCTGTCCAAGGGATCAGCTCCTTTGGACAGAGCCACTTCTGTCTGAGTGCCCCGATGGTCCCGATGAAGGAAGACCATGTGATAGGAAAAACCTGTCTAGCCCATCTGGCAGGGACAGGGAAAACCTTCGGGGGAGAAATAAAACTTCCTCTTCGGCACGGCTTCCCCACAACTGAAGGCCTACTTAGGACAGGAATGAGACCTGTATCTTCAGCTTCATCAGCAATGGGTCCTACCAGCTCCATAGGAGGTGCGCCTCGGAGTCCAATTTCCGTCAACGTCACCATTTTATTTCTAAATCATAATAGGCATGCATATTAAAAACCCAGTGATCGCGATAATGGAAAGAACCCCAACAAAAAGCATTGAGTCTCTATAGAATTTAAATTTATTTGGCTTTGGGAATAGGATTGATCTTACCATTTTTCCTTTCATAGTGGAGAAACCAATACGAGTAACAATGCCAAGAACATTGGCTCCCCCATAGTTGCGTGTTTGAATTACCTTGGTGCCTTCATATAAGCTATGTCGCTTATCATATTCTATGCTATAAATTGGCTCGTCCAGATAAGGCAATGGATCTTTGATGACTGGTACTGACTCGCCAGTAAGAGTGCCTTCGTCAATTATACAGCCGCCAGATATAAGCACCACATCGCAAGGAATTTCACAGCCTTGAGGGATTTGAATTAGATCGCCAGGCACTAGTTCTGGGCTTTCGACGTTTTTTCAGCTTCCTTCTCTAACTTCTTCTCCAGTAAATTTTATAAATTTTCAATATTTTTTTTTTTTTTAAAATTGCTCTTTAATAATAATTATAAAAATTATCTGACAGCATGCAGTTCATTTTATTGATTATTACAATAATAAGAAAGCTTTTAAGGTTTCGACTATTAAATTAATAAGAGTAAGTACATTTATATTAATGCTGCGCTTGGCAAGGCTATGAATTGCACTCATCGATTTTCTTGTTTGATATACACTTGTTCCTAATGAAATTAACGTAATACAAATAATAGCCCCCGAGAAATAAAAATATTGTTCAAAGTACCACACTCCTACGCTGAAAACCTGAAAAATATAAAACGGATGCAGCACTTCTTCTCATATAAGTTTTGGAATTGTCTTCAGCGGGACAATAATTTGGCATGACCCAAAAAGGGATTTTAATTCAACAATTTCTTCATTTTCGATATACCCATGGCTATATTTATCAATTATTTTTTTATATCCCAAGCTTATATCAAAATAAAGTGGCTGGAATTCTTTTCCATCAAAATAATACTGCAAATAATGATGCTGAAAGGTCTGAATGGTCCCTAATATTTTAGAATGCTTTATTGCTGTCGGAATAAACTCTAAAAAATACTGAGATTTTACTAGGAGGTGTGTGGCCTCTGCCGGGCCAGATCTAGAAAATCGGAATGCGATATGAAAATTTAGAAATCAGCGATCAATTAAAAAGAGTATCCCACATGTTAGAATGACCAGAATCCAAAATAGTAGACCACGAATTTTACTGTATCGGTAAGGCTCTATATATTGGATTATTGAGTCTTCATCAGCATCTCTATTATTGATTGATAATATTTTTAAATAATTAAAATCTCCTCGTCCTTGCAACATGTTAATTGAGAACTACCTTGGCTTTGAGCAGCAAGTCGGCAGTTACACGATCCTTAGAACTTCCTTCGCCTCCAGCCCCGTAGAACTCTTTTTCCCACTACCCCGCGCCACTGAATAGTGTCTCTGTTGCGCAAGCCCTCAGAGGATCATAAATTTCCATTCACTGAGCCCATGCAAGAAATAACCCCTTTACTAGGACTCGCCGTTTTAAATTGTTCACCTCTATGGATTTTGCATATAACTCGTTGTGGATAAGGATTAATAAGTGGAGAGTTTAAACTGGAATTCTTTTCATTGGTGATATCCATTATAATGCGCCAGAAACGTGATTAATTCAAAGAATAAAGATGCATTCTATAAATCGGATTTTTGGCTGTGAAACTGTATCAGAAATCAAGCAATTAAGAGTTATAAGGATTATCTATAACAGCTTCAGCTAAGAAAGTATAATTATACTAAAAATGGAGCTATAAATTTGGCTTATTTGTTTTGCGACTATTTTCTTTAAAATTTCTTTCAAAATGCTAGATTCCACCTCTTTTAGTATTTCCCATAATAATTCGAACTAATATGGTTTGGTTGTTTCTTTCCTTTCTCCTCTCCATTTCAGCTAAAGATATCAGAGCTGATACATATAGCGCGTACCTCTTTATAGATATTTAAGGACAATTACTTTTAAAAAGAAAAAATTTGATTTAAAATTAAAAAATTATCTTATATCTCCAGTTTTAAATTTGACTTTTCAGAATATTTTAAAATGCCAAAATGAATGCTTCTTTTAATGTATTTTTCCCCCCCGAAACCAATATTAAGCAAGGAGCTATATCTAGTAAACCTAGACGACGCTCCAGAAGCTCGTTGGAGAAATGTAATTGAAGGCAAACTTCTTCAAATGAAATCTTTTATCAAGTATATTGAAGATGAAGTTGGCTCAGGCGAAATCATGACCGCTGCAGCACTCCTTAAACTTGCCCACCTTGAAGAGAGCCAGAAAAAAGAACTAGAAGGAATCTCCAAGCTTTCAGGTTTCAGCTACAACACCATTTTGGTGCTTAATTTCATGTATGAGTTTTACTCATCATGCACATCAATAGTAGTAAATACACCAGACCACCATGTATTATTTGGCAGAAATCTAGACTATGACTACGCAAAATACATAAACAAGCTAGTTGTGGAGGTTGATTTTATTAAAAATGGGAAGCTTGCTTTCAAGGCTGTAACTATGGCTGGATTCATTGGAATCCTTACTGGGGTGAAGCCAAATGGGTTTGCAATTTCACTTAACCAAAGGACTATGCATGACAGTGCTAAATTTTGGGAGTCACTTTCTATTGTGTCTGGGCATACAGCTTCAGCTTTTGCTATAAGGACCGCATTTGAAGCCAAAAACACTTATCAGGAAGCCAAAAACTACTTAAAAAATGTCCCATTAATTGCAGGGAGCTATTTTACTATTGGAGGAGTCAACGAAAATGAAGGTGCTGTAATCACCAGAAGCAGAAATTATGCTGCTGATGTGTGGGAGATGAATGAGAAAAGATGGTTTTTAGTGCAAACTAATTATGATCATTGGCTTGTCCATCCAAAAAGTGATGATAGATACCATCCAGCTGTTGATATTATTGAAAAAGCTGGGGAAGGAAACGTGGATAAAGGAGTCTTATTTAAAGTCCTCGGAACTCCTCCAGTGCTGGAAATTGATAATTCTACTATCCATTCTACTGTGATGAATCCTTATACAGGAGAGCTTGACAACTGGGTAAGAATTTATGAGTAATAAAATTAATTAGACCAAAAATATATAAATAATCCAATCTGATCCTATTTTCTTAATATTTCAGCAAATTCAGTTTAACATCTCCTAACTCCCTCCCCCGTGAGCGAACAAAACCGTTGGAAAAATCCCTATTTTTTGACCAAAAGCCCACACTCAGTGAGCGAAAAAAAATTTTGATATATAAATGATAATTATTATAATGAATCTCTAGCTAATTCCGTTTAATTTTAAACGCCTTGCAGTTTAAAACATAAATTTTATAAATTAAATTACATTTTTACTTTTCAATTTTTACAAATTCGAAATTTTGAGAAAAAAATTAACCCTCCTCGGCGAGCGAACAAGATTTTTTTGTTCGCTCACAGAGGGGGAGAGTAAGCTTAATAGACTTCTGTTTTAAATCATTTTTCTTCTTTCAAACAACCTCCATTTAAATTCCTTTTCTTTTTTTATAATTCCCCATAGCATTTCCTTATTTGAAATCATGAAAGCTTTATCAGAAGACGAACAACTTGAAGCCATCGATAGGGTAAATTCTGCATCAAGCAGTGCTGACCAACAAGAGCTTGAGCAAATAATTACTCAAGTTCTCCCAGATCCTGTAACCCCAAAGCTGCAAGTTTGAAAATTCATCTCAAATTTGTGTTCTTGCTTTGCTCCAGTCTACAAGCCAAACCCTGAAAGAACCAAGGAATGCTGGCTCGCTCCACAAACTCCGAAACAGTTTGGCAAGAAAACGCTGGTTTTGGATTTAGATGAAACTTTGGTGCACAGCAGCTTTAATCCGAATCCGACCAGTGATATTATAATACAGGTAGACATAAACGGTATGAATCACTTTGTGTATATTCTCAAAAGACCTGGGGTTAATCAATTTTTGGAAGCCCTTGCTGATGATTATGAAATAATATTTTTTATTGGCTAAGGCTGATGGATAGAATATAAATAATTTTTTATAATTTGTGCAAGAAATAGGGTCACTTATTTCCTATTTTAAGTGCTGTTTAGTGGTAAAGCATAATTTACACAGCTAGTTTATCAAAATATGCAAGTCCTTTGCTAGATTTAATTGATAAAAAGAAAGTTATCAGCGGAAGACTATATAGACAGCACTGTACCTTTTTTAATGGAACCTATGTTAAAGATTTATCTTTACTAGGAAGAGACTTAGAAAGCGTCGTAATTGTTGATAACTCTCCAATAGCTTATAGCTTTAATCCAGATAACGCAATTCCGATCTCTTCATGGTTTGAGGATCCAAATGATAGAGAATTATTTGATTTAATTCCAATTCTAAAAGCTTTGCTCCCTCCTTAAAATTGAACAAAATATTGATTGAATCTCCAAATTAACCCACCTTTTAAATTGAAAAAAAATTGCAAAGTAATATTTATTATTTAAATAGCTTTGATAAAAATATAATGTCACCAAAAATTTACCATGAATTATTATATTTTAAATGAGAGAGTGTAATTAGAAATCAATTAAACAGAGGAAATATAAATATTTAAAATAAAATCAATTCCCCTAAAATTGGAAAATAACTTTTTTGTTAAAATTTAAAGGAGAGAGAAGTTAGCAAAAGAAAGCAGCATTCCTAACACCTTGAGAGAATTGAAACAGAGAAAACTTGAAATTACTTTGAATAACCTGATGGAGTTGTGTGGTGGGAAAAATCTTCAGCAGCAAGTCAATGATGAACCAAAACGAAGTGAGCACAATTCTGCGCAAGATCGCAACAGGGCATATTTCAATTCTCCTATGGGCTCTCAAGCAGAGAAAATCCATTTTAATTTTGAGTAAAATTTTTTCAATATAAAAATAATAGTTTATTTTATTTTATTTTTACTTGAAATTTTATTATAGTTATCGCTATTTATCTTAATCATCAACCTCTTCTATTTTTCCTTCTTGGCTTTCTTTTGATGCTGGCTTTGCTAGCGTTCCTAATTTACTAATATCAAAAGGCTGTCCAGCATAAGGTGAGCTATCCCACATTTTCTTTAGTGCTTCTTGTGCTTTCTCTTCATCACTAGTAGGCAGTCCTTTTAATTTTCTATCATGCTCATACATGACCTTTCTAATTCCCATTTGTGTTTCTTCATCATATTCATCAACTCTTCTACTTGTATCCACTGTTTTTGGGTCAATTTCACTATCACCCAGAATGACACATTTCCATACAGAATCTTTAGCTTTTTCTAGAGTAATTACTAGAGCTCCATCGTCAATGGTCCAATAGCACCTTTCTTTATGAACGTAGTCGTATAGCTCACCATTTAATACTGGATCTTGTCCTTTAATTTGAATGAATATTTTTTTGGCATCGAATTTTACATTTATATCTCTAGCTTTGGCTCCTTTAGGCAAGTCTATTTGTATAGGGGTTTTCCTTATATGCCCGATAAGGGCCGTGGGTTCTCCGTGGAATCCCTCTGTTGCTTTGACCAATTCACTGGTTGGTTCAGCCAGCAGAGGGATTCCACGGAGAACCCACGGCCCTTATCGGGCTATATAGGGAAAACACCTATAGAGTGATATCGTTTAAATCTTGGCTTCATTTGTATTTTTCTGTAGCTGCACCATTATATGTGCTGATACTGGAGTCAACTATGACAGGCTTGGGAACAGATTTTTCTTCGATTTTCTTTTCTTCAGTCTGCTTAGGCTCTTCTTTGATTTCTTCAACTTTTTCTTCAGTTTTTGGCTCTGGTTTTGGAGCTGGAGGTTTTGGAACAAATGGATGCTCTCTATTGTAATCTTCTCTGTGATGTTTGTAAATGCTTCATATCAATTGTTCTGCATGACCTGGTAAAAATCCAACAGGGTCTCCAGGGTTGGCTAGCACAAAAAAGTCAGTCCTTCGCTTGAGAAACCCAAAGAATTCGTTAAGAATAGCTTGGATTCCGCCCATATCTTGTGCCATCATGAAAAGCATGTCATCGTATTTTCCAGACATTTTTAATTATTTATTGCGAACAACTATTTAGTGCAAGCTAAGACTAATTTTTAACTTCCCCCTCTCCCTCTGAGCGAACAAAAAATGTTTGTTCGCTCACGGATGAAGATTAATTTTTATTTTAATAAATTTTTATAGTAATTTTATTTTCCGAAACTAAAAAAAAAATCCCAATTTGTAAAAATTGGAAAGTTAAATTAATTTAAAATTTATGTTTTAAATGCAAGCCAACAGAATTAGCTACATTAATTATCACTTATATCAAAAAAAATTCTTGCTCTCGTAAAGTGGTTTTTTGACCAAAAAATAGGGATTTTTCCAATAGTTTTGTTAGCTCATGTAAGGAGGGGTAATAATAAAATTTATTTATAGTTTACTTTCTTAATTACATTATTAAGCAGCCTGCACAAATATTCGCTGATCTTCCTGGCTCAATCTTTTTATTGGAATTAGGAAGATTCATTGAGTAATGATTATTTTGCTCACTTGTAAAAGATCTTGGCGCTCCTCTTATTGAGGAACTAAGGCTTCCACTATTGACAGACCTAGTTTTCTTTGTTTGAAGAGTCGGTATAAGAGCGTTGATATCATCCACAGCTACTGAAACAGTTTTTGCTCCTAAGTAGACTAGCAAAAGTCCTAATAAACTGCCAAATTTTCCATGAGTAATTGTTGGCTTATGGATAACAAATAGAACCCCTTTATCAATAAGAAATTTTGATATTTGAGATTGGTTTTGCAATTGGCCATTTTCATTAATGATTTCAAATAGGGTTTCATCCATACTGATAATTTGTTGATACCAGCTATCTCGTCTAGAAAAATCAAACTTAGTTAGAACCACAGAGCTGTTAAAAGGCAAATAAGGATATATCCCTATTCAATTTAGTATTAATATTAGCAATTTATATTAATAAATAGTATAAATTAATTGAAATGGCTTATAGACTTCGTAATAAAAGATGGGCACCCTTCAGCCATTTCTAACTCCTAGGCAAATAATTTTTAATTAATTTTCTTAAAATATAAATAGTAATCCATATTGAAAAAAAAATTATTTATATTAGGCAAGAATTAAGTGATTTTCTTTCCAAGTCTTAATTCCGCCTAATAAAACTCGAACATCTTCAAATCCTGAAGCTCGAAAGCCTCAATATGCTTTGGAAGCATATTGATGATCACCCAGGTCATAACAAATTAAAGTTTTGTCATCATCTATTTCGATTGATCTCGCTTGCTTTATGAATTGCTCGCCATCCTCTTCAAGGCTATATAATACTGAGTTTGGGATGTGCTCGCTTGGAAGTTTCAAGCCAGGAACGCAATATATAAGCATATATGTATCTGGGCATTTGTATTTGTATTCTTCGAGATCAATAAAGGGGTTCATCTTTTAAAGTATAATTAAAGAAAATTGTGAAATTTTCAGTTATTAATAGATTTAATTATAAATTATTTTTTTCGTAGTTTCCAATTTTGTTCTCTTTTTAGCTAGAGTTGTTAAAGAAATATAAGGCCGTCGAAGCCGGAACATCGCGCAGGAGGCGCACGTTGGAGATCAAAGCTAGCTGTCCCAGCAACTAGTGGGCCCCGAGCGACGAGAGCGTGGTGGTAGTCCTGGAAGAGCAACCCCGTAGGAGACGTTAAACGTGATGGTTAATAAGTTAAGTTAAGTTAAGAAATATAAGATGGAGGCGAGCTGGCTATGCTAAAGTCTTACTCACCCGTGAGCGAATAAAAAATTTTGTTTGCTCTGGGAGGGGGATTATTTTTATTTTTTGAATTTTTATATGAATTTAATTCGAAATAGCTTTGAAGCATATTGCAATTTAGTTATAAAATTTATGCTTTAAAGTGCAATTTGTTTAAAAGTGAACAGAATTAGTTAGAGATTTCATTATAGTAATTATCAATTATATATCAAAATATTTTTAATCAAAAACTTTTGTTCACTCATAGAGGGTGGGTTTTTACTCAAAAAATAGGGATGTTCCAATGTTTTGATTACTTAGGTAGGGAGGAGTTAGCAAAAAGACTCTGATAGTCACTTTTAGCATGTGATAATTTTCTAATATATGATACATTTATTATTCAAAATGCTACCAAAAAATTTGCCTCCGCCATTCATCTATAGCTCTTGAGAGGTTCCTTGCACGACTCTATTTCATAATGAATAATTTTTTTTGGCCCAATTTTGGACTATTTTTTTTGGCCTAATTTTTTGGCCTATTTTTTTTTTGCATATTGTTTTTCACCTGTATTTTTTTAGCATATTTTTTTGGCCTTTTTTTTAATGCTAAAAATTCTATAATATAAGACTAAAATTTATTGAAAATCACCTCGAAATAGTCAATATGGAATTATTTCCAAAGCAATGGAAAAAAAATTTAAGGAAAAAATAGGACCACAAAAAAGTCATTAAGAAATAGTCGTTGTGTAAAGACGCGCTCTTCAGAAATGGTGTATCCTTGAAAAGGTACATTTTATAAATATGTTTAGAGCGCTCACGTCAAGACGTCTTTTTAGCACAATCCGTGATCTCAGAGCCCGTGAAATCCTTGACTCTCGTGGAAATCCCACCATAGAAGTAGAATTATTTACAGAAACAAGCATGTTCAGATCTTCAGTCCCAAGTGGAGCATCCACAGGAGTATACGAAGCAGTAGAGCTCCGTGATAAAGATTTTTCAAGATATCTTGGCAAAGGAGTACTAAAAGCTGTTGATAACGTGAAATCTATTATAAAACCAGCAATTTTAGGCAGAAATGTCACAGATCAGCAAAATATTGATAAGTTCATGGTCGAAACTTTAGATGGGACCTCCAATGAATGGGGCTGGATCAAAAATAAGCTTGGGGCAAATGCTATTTTAGGTGTTTCTCTCTGCTTAGCAAGAGCAGGTGCTGCAGATGCCGGATTGCCTTTATATGCATATATCGCCCATCTTGCAGGCAAGCCAATTGATAAATTTATTCTCCCAGTCCCATCCCTTAATGTCATCAACGGTGGTTCTCACGCTGGAAATAATCTCTCAATGCAAGAATTCATGATTCTTCCAACTGGAGCCCCTAGTTTCCGAGAAGCTCTTAGAATCGGTGCAGAAGTTTACCATTCCCTCAAAAAAGTAATTAAAAAGAAATACGGCCTTGATGCCACTAATGTAGGAGATGAAGGTGGATTTGCCCCAAACATCCAAGAAAACGTTGAAGCTTTCATTCTTCTATTAGAAGCCATCGAAAGCTCAGGCCACGCAGGAAAAGTCAATCTCGGAATGGATGTGGCTGCTTCTGAATTTTTTGTAGCTGATCAGCTTAAATATGATTTAGATTTCAAAAACCCTAAAAATGATGGAAGATATGTCATAAAAGGCTTTGATCTTGCTGATATGTATCTTAAATTTGCTGAAAGATTCCCATTAGTCTCAATTGAAGACCCATTCCATGAAGACGATTGGAGCAATACTAAGCTTCTGACTGATAAAATTGGAGAAAAAGTCCAAATTGTAGGGGACGATTTATTGACAACCAATCCTGTCAGAGTAAGAAAAGCAATTCAGGAAAAAACATGCAACGCTTTACTATTAAAATTAAACCAAATAGGAACCTTAACTGAATCAATTGAAGCTTGCACGCTAGCTCAACAAGCAGGATGGGGAGTTATGGTAAGCCACAGAAGTGGAGAGACTGATGACTACTTTATTGCTGACCTGTGTGTAGGGCTTGGGACTGGACAAATCAAGACTGGCGCTCCTTGTAGATCAGAAAGACTTGCTAAGTACAACGAATTGCTGAGAATAGAAGAAGAGCTAGGGGACAGAAGCAAGTATGCTGGCGATAACTTTAGGAACCCTCAGCTTTAATTTAATAATATAGGAGAACTGGAGACATTTTAAATAGTGATTTATCTATAGATTAATGCTGCTCTTCCTCCAAAAGTTTGTCGTATTGGACTCTGTCTAGTAATTTGTCTAATTCTCCAGGCTGATCGAGTCTAATTTTTGCAATCCACCCATCAGATTCTGCCTGCTGGTTAACGAGCTCAGGCGTTTTAGCTAAGCCGGAATTCACTTCAACAACCTTTCCAGATATAGGAGAATATACATCAGCGACTGTTTTGACACTCTCAACGACTCCAATAATATCGCCTTGCTTGAAATGGGCACCAATTGTAGGGAGATCTAAATGGACAACGTCTCCAAGCTGAGACTGGGCGTGATCAGTGATTCCCACTGTGCCTATTCTGTCGGTTTTGTTGTAGGCAACCCATTCGTGGTCTTTTGTGAAATAAGTGGAGAATCTTCGAATTGGGAAGGATGAAAGCTTTAGTCTTGACAGCCACATTTAATAAAGTTAATATACGAGAGGCTTAAATTAAAGGAAAGCTAAAATTTAATGAAATTTAGGGCTAAGACAATCAAAAATGATATTTTATTAATTGAAAGATTGCTTAAATTATGGAATAAATGCAGACTTTCATATATATAAGCAGCATGTCATCAAGAATTAAATTTTGAAAATATTTTAAAATGAGCTCTTTTTCCAGTTAGCTATTATAATAATCAAAACAATTGATGATCTACTATAAGAATGCTATAATATTTGCATTTGTAAAACCAATAATTTGGAATATAAAAATGGCATTTCCTATAGACATATTAATTATAATTTAATATTAATAATCTGATGTGAATTTATAAATTCTATTATAAAGTTGAACTATTTCCAATCATTTTCTGAGTACAAATAAATAAAAACCTATTACAGTTCCTCTTTGGTATGGTGGTATAGCTGATACAGTAAAAAATAATTAAAAAAAATAGCTTACTCACCCCCCTCCGTGAGTGAACAAAACCATTGGAAAAATCGATATTTTTTGCCCAAAAAACCCACCCTCCGTGAGTGAATCAAAATTTTTTATGAAAAAAAAAATTGATATATAAGTGATAATTAGTATAATGAAATCTCGAGCTAATTCTGTTTAATTTTTAACAAATTGCGTTTTAAAACATAAATTTTATAATTAAATTAATATTTGCTTCCCAATTTTTTACAGGTTAGGATTTTTTTTAAAATTTCGAAAAAAAATATTTTTCTATAAAATTTATTTTAAAAATTAAACCCCCTCCGTGAGCGAACAAAATTTTTTTGTTCACTCACGGAGGGGGGAGCTAGGTAAATAGCTTTCATAAATGATTTTATAATAATATATATGCAAAATTAAATTTGAATAATAATTCCTGAAAATCAATGCCTATTTTTAAATTGTAATAGCAATAATTGCGCACAACTATGTTTAAATATAATTTAATTTAGCATATAAACAATCAAATGTAATTTTTATTCAGGATGAACACATCACTGATTTTCTCTCCTAAACCTAAACGAGCATCAATAGGGCCTATAAGGAGCCCTATTCTTCTCTCATATAAGATGCATGAAAAGCCAGCTCAAAATGAAAATATTGTAAACGAGCTGAATTTTATACTCACAAATTCAGAAAATTCTGGAATTCGTGTTCATGAAAAAACACCAGTTCATGTATTGAAGACTTCACAAAGACCGTTCTCTCGTCATATATGCAATCCAATTGCAAGTGATGACCTTTTCCAAGAGTTGAACTCATGCGGCAATCCATAAGTTCAATGTGTTTAATATTTATTAATTAATTTAAAGCAGATTTGAGTAGATGGATAGATATCAGTCTAGTAATTTATTATATCTTTAATTTATATATACATAAAATGGTCATTATGTATATCCAGACATCGTTTTTGGAGCAGAGAGCTGCCAATGGTTGGAATAGCCTTGAAGTGAGAGGCCTAGTATTTTTCCCGCTGATTAGTGGCCTGACTTTAACGACAGTTTTTGCATCTTTTAGCTAGTAGCGTCCAGACCTAGAATGAATTCGCGATAGAGGTGGACTTATCTGCTCAGGCTGCTTCGTGGCCTGTCCCGAACTAACGCAATTATGCTAAGCTTTCTTACGGAGTTGATTCGGGAAAAGGAGAAGACAGTCTAGACAAGATTTCAATGGCGAGTCTCTTAGTCTAAAAGGATCCCATGACAGGGGCGATATGGCCAGAGCCAATAGGATTGGCTAATGATATTTCAAAATTAGAATCTGTTTTGCCCGGCAAACCCGTTACCTGATTCAAAGGGTGGGCACTACTGAGAAATCGGGAGTTTCGCCCGGGCTCTGGGGACTTTCGACAGCCACCCTCGACGTCCACTATGGAACGCATGGTAGTTACTACTGGAAGTGGGCACTTAAAATCGCTATCCTAATCTAGTCTTTAATTTATCTTTATTATCCCTAAATTTTAACTATACTGATATCTTTTCCAAAAATCTAATTATTTTGGTTTTTTTAACGAGAGAATAAAAAGGTTTTTATAATTTTTATTATCGATTAGTTATATGATACTCTCACTGCTTGTCTTTCTCCAAGTTGCACACTAGACGAGTCAGCCAAAGCAAAATATTGTGTAACTGCAGTGTTTACTTGTCGTCTCATTTCACCTTTCATTTCTCTCCTTATCCACATTCTATAGAAAACTAAAATAGCTCCAACCAGCACCACACATAAGAGTAGAATCAAAATAATTGACCAAGCCCCAATCCCTTCATTTTCTGGCTCCGTCACAGTTGGCTCTTCTTTGCAAAATGATGGGTCTTGTCCATAACTATACCCAGCGCACAGTCCTCTTCTAACTGGATCAACTTCCCAATCTCCTCTATAAGTTTGATTATTGATAACTAGAGCTGGATAATAAGAAACTGCAATGTTACCCCAGAAGTCTTTTGCATCTTTCAGCAGCTGGTTATCATCAATTAAATGGTTTTTTCCACTGAAACTTTCTTCTATGCACTGATTCACTTTTTTAACATTCACATTTGCTTTTGTCATTGCGGAGTTTACACAGGTTTCTACTATTCCTCCACTGCAGAATTCGTGGAAATGTTTTATATAGTTGAACCATAAGGCATAGTTATCTTTTGAGTCTGTTTGCCTGTATATGCAAATTTCTCTAAGGTTTTCATATACATAGTCTCTTCCTGAGCTAGTTTCTGTAGGAGGATCTATACAGTACCTGCCTCCGCTTAAGCAGTTAGCTTCTTCCTGCTTAAAATTATTGGAACTGCAAGGAATGCAAGTCTTCGTCACATAATGAGGCTGAAAAGCGGCTTCTGTTTTTGCGATTTCGCTGCCGAGAGAAGCAAAATCTTTTAGGAAGTCATAGAAAACTGCATTTTCTGAGGACATATAAAGACCATAACTTATTTTGTTTCCATTGTGTGGCATCGTAAATGTAAGTGATATAGCAACATGCCGAGCGTATACGTTGTTATTGATATACTTTAAGAGGAGCTCTCCATCAGATTTTGAAATCAAAAAAGTTGGTATAAAAATATTGCCAGCAGATCCATTGTCGATCATAATAATACTTTCAGGGTTCTCGTCTTTGTTGTCGATTACAATAAGAGCTCTTGCTCCAATATCTTGAGCATGCCTTGCTTTCATTACAAAAGGACAGGATCCGCGCCTTACAAGAAGAATCGGGGTATTTATTTGATCAGGATCATCTGTCCAGTCAAACATCTGCATAGCTTGGCATGCGTCAGATTGGGAATCACGGTAAAAAACTCTTCCAATAATGACGGATCCGTATGGAGGATTTCCAAAGTTTGCCAATGAGTTTCTGATCTCTCCATGCTGGTATCGGCTTTGCATTTCCTGTCTGAGGGCATCAGGAGAATAAACATACATTTTTCCAACAACTAGACCAAGAAGGCACACAATGAGAAATTTGGACATGAAATTATAATATAAAAGGATAATGAGTTTATAGGGATGCAAAATTTACGTTTAAAAACTAGTCTTTATTTTAATTGAAAAAGCCAAGATACTTCAGTGCTTATTTAAAGGTTTTAAAATATGCATTGATGTGATAACTTAAAATGCAAGGAAAAAATAAAGGTCGAGAATATTACAAAAATCTTAAATTTAACCATTTTTGTATAAACTATGCTTTGCTAAAAAGAACAAGGCAAGACAATTCAAGAATTATGATTTTAGTTTATTTTCCAGAGATGGAATACAAAAGATCATTAGATAACTTTAGATTAATTTAAGAAAATAATTATAACTTAAGAGTTTTTAATTAAATCTATTCCAACTTCAAAAACTTGTCGACCTCAACTTTTTCTCTGTTTGCAGACGGTTCAAAGTTCAGCTGCCTAATTTCGCGTTCTTTATCAACATCAGAATATTTCCCATATAATTTTTCATTCATAACTCTATTGCTCCATATAACTCCTTTTTTAACTACCTCAGGCACATCTGGAATGTAGGCCGAAATCAAGAACTTTAAAGCAAATAGTGAATGCTCCACCACAATAAAAGCAATTCATTGGTCTGCTGCACTATGAAAATCAAATACATCGGTTGTGAAAATAATAAGCGCAATATTAGTCGCACATCCGATATAAGATAAAATTTGAATAATTGGCATCCAAACACCAATAGAGTTATCTTGAGCTGGAAAAACTCTTTGAGTGACCTTGCACAATTTTCATGCATCAACTCTAAATTCCAGCACACAAAGTATAATGGCTAACAATGGACTAAATGGAAAAGCCACAGCGAAAAGTGCAACATATCCATACCCTATAATCATTTCCATATAGTCTTCTAAAGGAGTTTCATATGTAGACAGATTAGCTTCTTTTTCAAAAATAGTCAAATTTAATAAATCGCCTCTTTCTTCAGCTGCTTTTTGAGTTCTATAAGTTTTATATTTATTTTTCAAAAAGGGGATGCCAAGTTCCATAAGGTTTAGCAGCAAATTAATTACATAAATCATTCCTAACTGAAGCTCAAGCTCATTCATACAGTCGTTATCATCACATCCTTCTACCCTTCCTTTTACAAATCCCATATAAAACAATGATGCATATGAGTTCACAAATTGGAAGGAAAATAGTTTTATTGTCAAAGCATTTTGGAACTCTGAAGCAGTTTCGTAATTTTCCCACTCTGTTAAGGATCTTGCGACATATCTGTAAATGAAGTTCAAAATTTTAATCTGAAAAGCGTTAAAAGCACCAGCAAGCCTAGGTCCCCAAGACCCTTTCTTCTGAGAAGCTCTATAAATGAAAATTGCAACCAAAGTAGCTATCACAATTCCAACGAAAAAAAGCATCGTCACAAATCCAAGCATATTTTTAAATATACCATTCTTGGATTTATCAACCACTTTTTTCATTTTTCCTGAAACAATGTCTTTTTTGTATTTCCCTTTATACTCAGGTCTTTGCTCTTCTTTAGTTTCAAACTCACTGAGTCCCCATTTCCATGCAAAAATATTCTGTTTTCTTACCCAGATTTGATCTAGAAATGTGCTGCCTAAGCTTAAAATGATAGCAAATAGAAAATAGCTGACTTCTCCAGCTGTCATTGTACTAGAGGAGGTATCATTAGGGTCATCTGCATATATAATGATCCCAAAAATAATCCCAAAAAATGCAGGAATTACAAGCCATTGTGTATACATTTCAAGCCACGCAAAATACATAGCGATTTTTTCCCCAAAGTAATTTCTAATTTTTTCAATATCTTGAGGCTTTCAGAAACCTCTTAATGTAATCCAAGTCTTATCAAACTCATCAAGAACTTTATAATTATGCTGTGGAAATTGTCCATATAAAATAGAATGATTTGCAAGCTCTCCCAGCTCGATTACGCTGACAATCATGCTATGGACGAGCCTAACTTTATCTACATATTTAAATAGATGCCCGCTTTCAGATTCCCTTTCATAAGTATCATATCTTTGGTATAAATCTTCAGGGTTCGCTTTCATCATCGCAAAGACACTTTTATGTGGCATCTGCTTTTCAAAAGCTCCATATGGCAATACAGCTTGAAAATCCAAAGGATGTTCTTGGTCTTTGAAGAAGTCCTTGTCAGCTTTAAACTGCAGCTTATAATCAATTAAATCAGCTTGGACTTTTAAGTTATTCTCACTACTGCGAAGCTTAATAAAAATCTGGTCTCCTAATTGAGAGTAATGAAGGTTGATTTCAAGCTGCAATTTATCTTGGAGAAGCTTTATAATTGTCCTCACTACAACTTGGGCAACCACCTTGAATTTTACCTTGGTTTGGCCTTCAAGTTTGCGATCAAGCAGACGCTGGCCTTCTTTGTAGAATGGGTCTTCTTCGTCTGATTTGAAGTAAAAACGAAATCGGAGTTTGGCATCTTCAACGCGAAGATCATTAAGAAAGGCATGACAAATATAGTTCTTTTCGGGGACATCGAAAGGATTATTAATGGCAAGAATATAATCGTAAATTTCAGAGTTTTCTATTTCGTGCGATTCTTTTATGGGATATTCAACTTCAGCTGAGTGACTTAAAAGCGATTCTTTGGATAAGAAATTGGTCGCCATTTATGACTATGGAAATCTGGCAGAGTTTGGTTAGAGCGTAACGTGTGATATCGCTTAATTATTGAAGCTTTTTGAAATGATTTCTATAAGAGTTTCAGCTGTTATGAATTAATGTGAAGGATGAAATAAGAAGAAGGAAGTAGCTTGATTTTTAATTCTCAAAATTAAACAATATTTATATACTAATTTTTTTGAAAATAAAGAAGATTATTTAAAATAAAGAAGATTTCGCTATTTAACACTATTAATATCAATCAAAAAAGAGCAAATTAATTGAAAAAATGAAATGACTAGACTTTGGCTAATATATAATTAATTTTGAAACTTAAAACTTAAACGATTAAACTGCCCATAAGCGGACGACGAGCCCACTAGGCTTTGCCTCATTTTGGCTCCAAAATACCAAACTCCATCGCCCTGTGAGAAAAGAAAGGTCGCCATTTTGAATTTTCGATCTAAAACACCTGTCAAAGGATCAGCTTCCTAGGGCAGAGACACCTGTAGAGTGCCCAGGTAACCTCCACAAGGAAAGACCATGTTGTAGGCAAAATCTGTCTAGCCCATTTGAAATAAAACTTCCCTCTTCGGCAAGGCATCTCAATGTTGAATGCCGACTTCAAAAGGAACAGAGCCCCTGTTTTCAACTGTCCTACCTGTTCTATAGAGAGTGTGCCTTGAAGACCAATTTCCGTCAACGCCATCATTTTATTTCTTAATTCTGAAAGGCATGCGAAAACTGAAATCTAATTGAATATTATTCTATATAGAGAAGAGATTTATAATTATGAATATAATTAATACTAATAATCCATTTATTTGGTTTAGTCTATTTTAATTATTTTCTTTACTATTAAAATTGTATATTTCGCGCGATATTGCATGAAAAATGAACTTTTTTGACCCTATATTGATTAAAATAATAAATATATTATCAAAATCATATACTAGTGTTTCAGCTATACTAAAGAATTGCAATTTGTTGCAACAACATTGAAAATATAAAGCATTTTTTAAATTCAGCTTTCAATCTCATAAGGCAATCATCAGCCAAACTTTTGGCCCGCCATTAATAATGGATGGACAGTTCCATACAAATAGAAAGAAATTACCAAATTTTTTCTCAGCTATTATCAAGAGATTTAAATCAAAAAGAAAACAAAGGCCAAATTCACTAAAACTATCAAAAAAGGAGCAAGAGCTCTACACTTTAAGCAAATACACGATGCTTCCAGAAACTGAAGACCCAACAAATGAATCACCAAACAAAAACATTAAAGATCTTTTATATTTAGGCCTGATCCAAGAAATGACATTTTACAGTTCGAGTTTCAGCGTAAAAGAAGACGCATTCGAGAGCTATCGGGAAGCATTTCTAAATTTCCCATCAAATGGCAAATTAATTCTCCCACACACAAGAAGTGCAAATCGACCAGAAAAATCTTAAATTCCTCCTAATATTTCTACCTATAGAGCTGATGGTATCATAATTATTTATTTCATTATGCATCATTATAGCAATAAATAGATCGAGTTTGCCGTTAAGTTAATATTAAAAAATGAAGTTAGTAATTGTAACAATTTATTTACTATTTTGCTGTATTTCAGCTTACTCAGACACACAATCAGTTGGAATTGATTTAATCTCGCAATTCTTATTGGAAGACAACTCAGTTATAAAAGAGAACGGAGGAATAATCGATAAAACAGGATTTGATGGACTCCCAGCAGGCGAAGTTATAGCTCAGCAAGGCACAATCCAGCGACTTAAACAGAGGGCCCGTTCAGCAGCAGGCTTATTTGCAAGAAGCCAAGGGTTATCATCATTTCAATCAATGGGAGCAATAGAAAATAATGAAAATCTAAAAGGTTGGAAATCTTTTAACGTGATGCTTATGGGGACGAATGATTATCAAGTTGTTCAAGTTTGCTTGCCTGAAATTGAACAAAAAATTGTGTTAGTTATACCACAGAATGATAGATGTGGCCCGAAAATTCAAAATGTGGAGGCTTCTTTGGGGACTCAAACTAAATCATTATTTGAAGGAAATTTTGGGGGACTGGCGTTTCCTGGAGAAATTTTTAAAAATAGCCAGGTCGAGAATAGGGCTTTGAATAAGCTAAATCCTGCTGATGAAATAGCAGAGGCTGCACAAAATCTAAAGAGCTTGTTTTCAAAACTTGCTTTGGAAGCACAAAGCTCAATTGGTAAAATAGAAGAAGCCATGAAACGAGTTGATGAGCAAAATATTTTTAAGTTTAAGTAATGTTGATTTATAAAACTGTGTAAAAGAGAAAGTTTGGGGATTAAAAGTCCCTTAACAAAAAATTAAATATGGCTATTTAAAAATAAAGATTGAATCCAATATCATACCTTCTCGGCCCCAAAGGCTAAGATCAAGTGTAGTATCTGTTCTTATCAGTGTGAAAACTGGTATCCACTCATCAAGTGGCGATTTTCACAAAAATTTTTATTGGGAGCAAGATATCTTCAGCTTGCTGCAGATTCTTGCAAAGGGTTGCCCTTGTGCTGCACTTTCTGCAAGGAGCAGTCCACCCCTTTTCATTACTTAACTGAAATTAAATCTTAAGATTTTATATTAGGATATAATTCAAAAATTCCTAAATTTCATTTCTATTCTGCAAAATAAGTAGCACATTTTGGTAATAAGAAATAAGCAAAATTTTAAAGAATTTACACAGTTTAATGACTCACCAGTTGCAGGAAAAGAGCTAACGTGAGAGTATGCAAGCCCTATAAATTAAATATTATTATAAAATTTTTTATATTAAAAAAACATTTTGTCCATTCATAGAGGCTTTTATTTAAAAATAGAAGCTTCCTATTTTTTTAGCTTAGTCAGGATAGGGGAGTAAGAAATAATTCCACTGAATTATCTCTCATATAAAGATACCATTATTATCAAGTGCAGGCACTTTCGGTTATCCCTTCTTTCATTTATCAAAGTGTTGCAGGAGCATTTTCTCTATGATTTTGGTTGAATTTTATATGATTAAATTTTAACTGTTTTTTCCGAGCAAATGTCTCACGAAGAAAAGATTTGAGAGGAAATGCTCGCTAAGAAAATGTTCATCTCAAATGAATTGCGCTGCTATCAAAGATTTCTAATTTCTCCTGATAGTTCCAGATTTAAATAACTTCTTTAGGTGATAATAGAAATTTTAAAATGGCAGGAAATCTAGAGGAAGAAGAATACGACTATTTGTTCAAAATCGTACTAGTAGGAGAAAGTGGTGTTGGTAAATCTAATATCCTGTCACGTTTCACTAAGAATGAATTCAACCTTGAGAGCAAAGCTACAATTGGAGTGGAATTCGCTGCAAAATGCATCCAACATGAAGGCAAAGCAATAAAAGCGCAAATATGAGACACAGCAGGCCAAGAGCGGTTCAGAGCAATTACTTCTTCATACTACAAAGGTGCAATGGGCGCGCTCCTGGCTAGATTAAGTTATTAAAGTCAGGCGTTAGTCATAGTGGTGACATGGCCTCCAAAGACCGCCTGTACTAGAGATTATTTCTCCTGAAGGTGGATGCCAATTCCGTACCTACTGTCTCCTCCTTGACTTATAATTAAAATATGGCGTCTTCGTCTGGGCATGGCCTCCCGGCCATGCATACTCGACTCATATTTTAATTATATCCGGCAAGGTTTTGCCATTCTGAAGTGAGCGGCAATGCTAGGTAAGCAATTCTGGTTGTGTACAGAGCCTAGCCCAAGCTCGTCTTCGGGATGGATTTTACCTCGTAGGTAAAGGTGACAAGTGGCTGGAAAGGGGAAGCCCAGCAGAGTCCACACGACTCATCGGGCAACTCCCTAGCGTGAAACCGGGCGTTACGTCCCGGGCTACTTGTTTCTCTTTTTTGCCGACAGCCTACCAGAAAATCCATTTTTTGGGTTTTCGGAATGGCAACTACGTAATGGCGTGGCCCGTAACTCACTCATGAGTCGTCGAAGTCGGGTAACCCCTCCAAGCCTGTATTAGCGAACAAAGCAGGCTGGGACCGGCAGCCTGTGGCCTGGCAGGTGGAAGAGAAGGTGATAGGTCCGGTTCTTGCTGACCTCCGTGGTGGACGTTAAGCGTGATAATTCTAATGTAATGTAATGTCTCCTCCTTGACTTGAACCTTGAATTGGCTGTTTATGATTTCTACAGCCCTGCTACGGGTGATCGGAGTAGATTCCAAGGATTCTTGGAGTCTATCGGTGTTGAAGTGCCTTACTTCAACAGCTGCAGGAAAAAGACTTTCCCCTGTGGCCTGGCCGAAATCCCAGTTTCTCGTCAGAGGAATGTACATGGGTCCTAGATTCCAAAGGACGTTGCTGGATACCTTCATTTCCAACCACTGGAAATCATCCAAAACTAACCCGTATGCACATCTCTTGAGCCTGGACTTGATTCTCGGCTCGGAGTTCGTCCCAATTCACCGTAATTGCGAGGTCTAGACTGCTGCGCCAATAGGTAGGCTCTCTCATGTCTCCATTTTAATATATATGATATTTCCAAGCACGCCACGTTTGAAAACTTAGATAGATGGGTCAATGAAGTGCGATCATTTACTCAGCCAGATCTATCAATCATATTAGTGGGAAATAAATGTGATATGGCATATGCTAGAGAAGTTACTCAGGATGAGGCAATCAGATATGCTCAACAGCAAAAAATCCCTTTTTTTGAAACGAGTGCTTTAGATTGTACAAATGTCGAGCTAGTTTTTAGAGAATTACTTGTGGCTATTGCAAGGCGAACTGATGCAGGATTTGATACTAAAGGTGCAGAAAAAGTGGATATTTCTAAAATCAACACTATCAAGCTTGGAACTGCAGAGAAAAAGAAGAAATCTTGCTGTAAGGGTCATTAATTAAATCAATATTTTATTGAAACTTTAATTTTCATTTATAACTGAGAAAAGCCAAATCTTTTATTTTTTAAATTGTATATTCAGTGCTCAAAGTAAATGCAGCAATTTTAAAAAGAATGAATTTATTAAATTTAAAATACGATATTCAAATGTCTTATAATGAAAGAATTAGCTATAGTTATCAAATAATAAGCTATTGTCAATAAAAACATTTGCTGCGCACCCAAAGTTTAATTTCCAAAAATTAGCTTTGACCTATATAACTTTGCCCCTTGGGGAAGGAATGCAAGATAAAATAAGCAAGAATTTACTTTCTAACTATTTTATGGCTTAGACTTAGTCGCTATGATTTTTTTCTTCAAATCTTCAATAATTCCTGCCAAATGAGCAGACAAATCTTCATAATTCTTTGGAATGCTGTCTAACTTGGGGTTGACGTTTGATCTATATAAAAAATTACTGCATAAATTTGCCTAGTCTTAAGAAATAGTTAGACCTGAAATTAGCTGCCATTTGAAGATTGCCATTATTATCAAAAGTGAGTTCTTTTCCATCTTGGCCTTCTTTTACCTTTCCATAAAACTCTTTATATTTATCAAAGACTGCTTGTTTTCTTGCAGCTTGCTCTAAGCAATGATGGGCATCTTTATAGACCTGGAGGAAACTTTTAGCTTCAAAGAATTGGTCTTCAGATAGCATATTTATTATAAAGGTCGCTATTATAATTGTTGGCTTATGGAAATTTTTCGAATATTATGGATATGCATCAAAAATTTCTTTATTTTTTGATTTAAGGATAAGTAAATGATTTTAATATTCTCTCTGAAAGTAATTTAGAGGACTATAGTAAATTATTGTGGTTAATTAAGGAAATTATTATACAATGATAAAGTTTAGCTTCATTTACTAAAGAAAAGCAATATTTTTGGCTGATTAGCAAATAAATAATTTAAATTGTATACTTTTAATGTTAAATTTCAAAAATTTCATTACAAGTAGTATAGATGATTAAGAAAATGATGAACAGATATTGATTTTATATTAATGGTAGGTTGGAAATTTGAACTGTTTGACTGTCAAGAGAACTACTTTATGTTTTTCTGGGCACTTTGTGTTCCTTGTGGATATCCCTGCATGCAAATGTTTTCAGCCAAATATGCAGAGCCAAATAACAGACATGCATCTCTAAGGGCTTACTCATTAGCTTTATTTTTAGGGTGTTTTGGAGGTTCTATAAATCGTCATATGCTTATTCCCCTCTATGAATGGGCAAAAGATTTTTTTTTAGCTCATGAAGCGGTTATTTTTATATAATATATTTTTCCAGATTTAAAGAAATCCCAATTCGAAATAATTTTAAAGCAAATTTTAATTTAATTTGTAGAATTTATATTTTAAAATGCAAGCTGTTTAAAAATTATCAAGAGATTTCATAAACTAATTATCACTTAATATCGAAATATAACTTTTTCATAAAACAATTTTCGTTTGCTTATGGAGGATGGATTTTACCCAAAAATAGGGATTTTTCCAATGATTCTGCTGGCTAAATAAGAAGGGGGGTTAGGAATTCAATGAAGATTGAAGACAAACCAATTTGGGATTTTATACACTGCTTAGTTCCCTGTTGTGCTGCGACACAAGAATGAATGCACGTTATGAGCATTCAAAAAGGTAATCCAAGGCTAAAGATCACTGAGCTTAAAGTCAATCGCATATAAAATATTTAACTAACCTAATTAAGAAAAATTATTTGATCACTCTCTTTCAAAAAGCAATTTACTTACTCCCCCCCCCCTCCGTGAGCGAACAAAAAAAATTTTGTTCGCTCACGGAGGGGGGTTAATTTTTTTTTTTAAAAAAAATTTATATATAAATTTTATAAAAAATATTTTTTTCGAAATTTAAAAAAATCCTAATTTGCAAAAATTGGGAAGCAAATATTAATTTAATTTGCAAAATTTATGTTTTAAAACGCAATTTGTTTAAAATTAAACAGAATTAGCTCTAGATTTCATTATACTAATTATCACTTATATATCAAAATTTTTTTCCATTAAAATTTTTTCTATTAAAAAAAAATTTTTGTTCACTCACGGAGGGTGGGTTTTTGGTCAAAAAATGGCGATTTTTCTAATGGTTTTGTTCGCTCACGGAGGGGGGGGGGGGGAGTTAGCTTAGTTCAAGTACAATAACAAAAATTTTATTATTAAAAAGAGAAAAATTGGCATTGAGAGAAGATCATTTGGGATTTATAAAAAAATTAACAGTAAGACATTTCTATTTAATATTTATTTATAGCAAATAATTGTTTTAGATTTTACAAGTACAATTGTGTAACTTAGAAATAAATCATCTATAAATTTTACTGAATAGCAGATGGGATAAAAAATTGATTTAAATTATGATTTAAATAAAGTTTTTGAACTTTTTGAGAAGGGAAACTACAATTTTAAACCAAAATGATAATAATTAATTTTATTAAAATTTCTGGATTGGCTTAGAGTGAAAAAAATTATAAGATTTATATCTTTAATTAACTTCATTCGGTGTTTATAGTGTCTACTTCTACTCCCAAGGGAGGATTCGGCCTAAAACTAGTAACGTCACCGATAATTTGTCACTTAATTTTAGCAGAATATGGGCATGCATTCCAAACCAAAACTATAATAGCTTAACATCTTAGCCGTTTCTGTTGCGTGCTAATCTGCTCCAGTACGTGCTCCACCTAAAGTTCACCTTCTTGGATGTGATGAGTAGGCAATCTATAAGCCTCCCAAGCGCCCAAATTACAGGCCAGAGGGCTGCTCAGCCTCTTCGTTGTTAGCAGATATATCTTGATAAGGAATCTTTGGAAAGCCAAACCACACAATAATAAAAATGAGAGAGAAAATTTCTCTAGCAAAATTTTACATACGTCGTCATTTTATAATCATGCAAGATTTTATATCAAATTTGGTATTTTTTGTGCTCTATTTAAGCAAGATATTTAATTAAATCCAACAGCGACGATATCCTTATCTTCCTATAATAAATTGAATCTATAGTAATTGTTCTATCATGATAGAGCTTTTAAAAACAAATCTATATTTTATCAACCTAAAATTTTTTTATTTAAATTTTTTCATATAAATTATTTTATCCACAAGAAATAGATATCCAATTTATAAGCAATTATGCTAAAAATCATATTAAAATTGCTTGAAAGCGATAATGCGATATAATAATATTTATTTTTGCAAAGATAGATAATTAAATTATAGGCATCATAAGTGAATGGTTCCATGCTTGATCATATGAAAATTATTAGATCAAGGATGGGCTTAATTTTTCCTAATTTTTAAAAAATTTTCAATGGCGATTTTCGATGAAGGATGGGTGGTGTTAATCAAGTTGGGCTTTTTGATCAAGCTATTACTATCTCATTAGTTTGTAAAAGATGGAAAGGAATAATATTTAATCAAAACCATAGGTCATTCTTCTATTTCATAGTATCTAAAATTGAGCCATTGATATCAACTGAAGCCTTTTTCAAATGAAAATACAATAGCAAGCACTTATTCATAGTATATACGGCATAGAAGCTAGATATTTATAGGGAATACAGCGCTTTGATATATTGCTAAGTATGAGAATATTGATAGCTTGAAATATTTAATTGAAAAAGAGCAAATGCAAATAATGCAAGAAATAAAAATTCAAAATGAATAGCAATTTTATTAAAAATGGCTATAGAAGGAGGAAAACAGATTCTGCTATTGAATTAATTGATTTAGGCGTGGAATTGCAAGCATTTGGTAAAAGTTGTCTCATACCTTTAGAATGTGAGAAGCCTGACTCCCCCCCATCCTTGATCGAACGACTCGCCATCGTTCGATCAAGGATGGGGGGTTTAAAAAAAATTTTTTTTGGAAAAAAAAAAATTATATATAAAATAAAAAATATATATATATATATTTGTTTTATTTATTCTTAAATAAGAGGGTTAAGAGTATTTAATAATTATTTTTACAGCAAAAAATTGAATTAATTTCATAAAATAACAATTTTTAATATTTTGATTTATTAGTTACCCTTGTAAACTCTATAAATTTTAATTTGTTTCTTATTGAATTAAATTTGTTTTTTTAAATTTTAAAGAATCTCTATTTTATTAGATTATTGAGTTTTTAAGCCTAGGTTGATGACTATATCACTTTGGATGGTTGATTCCAAAGCTTTCTGTCGTCTCAAAGCTCTGAAAACAACTTCATTAGGTACATATTCCCAAACTTTTTATAACTAATATATTTTTTATATATAAAAATTGTCATGATATGAAAATCGTTCGATCAAAGATGGGGGTTAATTTCCCCAATTTTTAGGAATTTTTACAGTCAATCGTTCGATCAAGGATGGGGGGGGAGTGAGGAAATATTGAGAGAAAAGCTATAGTATATAAAAGTTTTGTATTAAAAAAATCATTAATTTTAGTTTATCGGAGAAGAACCAAGCGTTGGAGAAAGTTGGGAAGGAAAAAGTTTGTTAACCATAAAGTAATAGTTAGCAATAGTAATTTTAGTTTATCAATATGGAAATTATTTTAAGCCAAAACCCTCTAGCTCACAGCCTTCAGAAGAAAGCTCACCCTTTGAGTTATTAGGGACTGCTATCCCTTCTCTAGTATTAATTTCAGCAGTTTTCCGATTTTTGATTTTTCTAATTAATTTCAATATCAAGAGATAGTAACTATATAGTAGAAATATTAAAGTTGCTGAAGTCGCAATGATTTGGCAAGTCTCTCTTGCAGAGACAGATAATTTTGTATCTATAAATGGTATTACTACTATAAAAAGTATAGTAACTAACGGCCCCTTCACTCATTTTCACTAATAAAAGAATTATGTTTAAGATCTAAAAATAATATTTAACTATAAAATAGGTTAAATTATAATTATTTTAAAATTGTTTCGAAATCAAAATTATATTTTTTAGAAAGAAGAGTAAAACTTCTGATGAGATTTCAGCCTTATTATCAAAATTATCTTTATAAGGTCTGAATTTGATCAAAAAGATTAGCGTCAGCAATGAGCAACAAGCATTAAAAATTGATTGGATCAAAGGCCAGTCATACAAGTTGTAAAGAGATATAACATAAACTGTTCTTCTAATAAAGAATATAGGAAAATAGCACATACTCAAAATCCCTTTCTCACAATGAAAGACTTCCACCAGTGTCGAAAATTTTTTGTAGAATTTTTCATTTTTCAGTACAATATTTTCTTTATTATTCCTTAAAATCAAAAATATAAGTGCATTCATAGCTAAACTCAAAATAAATAAAATCCATGCAATAATAAAATCTAGCACAAAATCTGGGTCGTTTCCATTATAATTATTCATTCCAATAACAATCCCGCAGAAAGCTAGAATATAAATTTCAACCAATAGTCTAATTAGTCAGTTGTACTTGAAATTCACTAGCACTTTATCACTGACTCTAATCTGGCTAATTTTATTTTTTAAAATTTATATTTTGAATCCTTATCGCAAAAATTTGAAAGGAAAATCAATTTAATTAATAAAATTTAGTTTTATAATGCAAATTTAAATAGTGTTAGAGATTTCATTTAATAATTATTACTATATATTAAACAATTTTTTATAAAAAAATTATGTTAAAAGCATTTTGGTTGCTAATGGAGGGGATGTGAGCAATATTTTGACTTTTTGATTAGGAATAAATTCATGTACAATTCAAATTATATTCCATATCGTTAAAAATACAAGAGACAAAAATATCATACCTCCTGCAGATATAAAAAATAATCCTGACTTGTAGCCATAAGTGCTAAACCTTGAAAGCGGCATATTTCCTACTTCAGATCTCCCATAAATCATAGCTCCTAAATTTGGAATCCAAGTATATGAAATAAATCCTTTAAACATATTATATAAATCTGTTGGGATTTGTATATTTTGTAAAGGGATAAAAGCAATAATCTGAACAGTGTTGACATATGTTCATAATGTAGTGGATTTCCTAAACATAATATAAGACACTCCACCATAAAGTAGTAATAAAGAAGTTAATATGGTTTGAAAAGTCCTCGGAAATATAGTGAACTACACTGACTGGCACGGGGTGCTTTTTGGCTCAGTTTCGAGCCAAAATCACCCCTTGCCAGTCAGTGTAGTTTAACTATATATTTGCTACAAAATTTTCTGCAGTTTTGCTATCATCATTTGAACTTGAAATATTATGGGTAAAAAGACGCTGCTGTATAGCTGATCCAGAAATTCCATATTTTGGGGACGTAATATAAACTTGAAGTGTTCCTTTATCCAAATTTGAAGGATTAAAGCTAACAGAAATCTGATATGAAGAAAGAGAAATAAACTCTAATTCGAAAAATGTGGCCGCTTGGTAGTTGTCAACTATTGTAAGATTTAAATCTGATTCAGTTAGAACTTCTGATAAGTTTTCGCTGAAAGTGAGATATACAACTTTGTTTGAATATTTTTCATCGACTGATATATCACTTGAAATACATGCGCCGTATAATTCTTTCATTCCTAAAGGACATACGCAAATGTTTCCTTGAAGAATTTTTGGGGGAAAGCAAGATATACAATTTTCAGGAGTGCTTAGGCATGCCTGGCAGCTTGGGTCGCTGCAGTCAGTGCATTGGAAATTCTCTAAAGCAGCAAATCCACAGCTACAGTGTCCATCTTCATTCAATATTAACCCTGAATCGCATGATGTACAAGAATACATTCCAGGGCCTGAGCAGGTCAAGCATGAAGGGTCACAGTCTTCGCACTCTATTGGACTTTTTTGTGCTAAATATTGGTTAGATTGGCACTCGCAGTATCCATGATACTCATTAATTGTAATCTCTTCATTTGCACAAAGCAAACAGTCATCATAATTTGGACCGATGCAGCTGGCACAGCTAGAATGACAATTTTCACAAGTAGTTAGTTAATGCTAAATAGTAAAGGTCTCTATTTCCATGAGTGACATTCTGCACAGCTTTGTTAGAGGTTGTGTGGCAGCCCAAGTTAATTGGGTGGACTTTCACCTCTGGTACTTCTGAACCCAGGCTGAAACCTGTGATTTCTTGGTAGTGGGTTGCTCTGTTGGTCCGCAGACCACTGCAGAGAATCATCATTCCAGCCAGTCCCTTTGCCCTTAATATGCCATCTTCTGCTTCCTAATTCTGGTCAGATCACACTATTTAAGGGACCCTTTGCTAGAGGGACTACCTTAAAATCATCTAATTTGCCTCCTCTTTTTTCAGGTTATCCCTGAAAAAAAAACTCAACCGCTTCTGCGATTTGGTGCAAGCCACAGCAGCTTGGGCAGATGATTCATTTTGCTCAATTCTGGTGCCCACTGGATTAGATGCTCTGGCAAAAATAATTTCAAGGAAGTGCCCATTGGATTGCACTACAAAAAGCTTAAGCCTATCTCTTCGGGAAGCCAGATATGCTGGCCAACTCTTTGTTCCAAAAACCATGGCCCAGATATGCATAGGTACCTTCTCTCAGAGGGCGGACCAGACATCGCTCGCCATTTTATGTATATAATTGACAAGTAAATGGATCTTCATATTTAACGTACTGATTGGTAGCAGTGCATACGCAAGATCCGTAAGAAGAACCTAAAATTCTTGATCCATCCGCACATAGCACACATTCTGAAGATGAAGGGCCAACACAAGTTAAGCAGCTTGGATCACATCATATAAGACAGCCAGTTCAGTCATCACATAAAAAGCATGACTGGGATTCGCATAGGTTGCAAACAGTATCATCTCTGACGCATCCAATATTCGAGCATTCTGATTTACAGTTTACCCATCCGCTACCATCCCAGTACTTGCTTATACCTTGATTTGGCAGGCAGCCAACAGTTGTAGATGGGCATATTCCACAGCTACAGTATGATACATCAATCGTAGTTGGATTATTTGCGATATTCCAAGATTTTAAGCTATAAAGATAGCCATTAAAAAAATTGAAAAAATTTGACATACTTCTTTGTGCCCCAATTGTTATCGAATAGTCAGAAATTAGGTCTATGAATGCCCCACGAGTAAGCTTAGTGGAGGAAGCTACACCATTTTTATAGAATGTGACAGAAGAATACGGGGTGCTATATGATACTGAAAATGCCAAGTTGTATCATTGAGTGCCATCTATTGGGGAATCAGAAATTATAGGAGAAGTTGTTGTAGTTTCTGCTCCAAGAGTTAGATATAAAATTAGCTGTGGCTTTTTATCACTATTTATTTCAAATTTCATAATTACATCAGGATCTAATACTTGTTTAGACACAATTACTCCTGTTTGAGTATTCGGTGCATACAGTCAGCTTGATAAGGAAAAATCAGAATTAAACATGACTGATACACCTAAAGGAAATTGCATAAGAGATTGGCCATTGAAATAATAACCACGATTTTTGACTGCTTTAGGAGAATCATCGCTATAATTTGGATAAAAAGAATTAGAAGTTCCAGCCATAACATTTGTTCCATGAACTCCATCAGAAACTAGCCCTTTTATTTGGTCAAATGTGAATGAAAAAATATAGCCAGAGTTGCTATCAAATACACATTGAGATGATCCATTATCTGAAGAACCTGCAGGGCATTGTTTCAAACATGAGGTTGAGGTAGGCCCTAATAAATACCCAGTTTTGCATGTACTGCAAATTGAGAAAGAGCTGCAGCTTAAACAATTATCTAGCTCCCTGTCTCTTTTAAATTGGAACAAATTGGTACTTTAACCCCTTTAAATTGTAGCAAAATTTATTTTTCTATAGGAGAATTTTATATTTGAAAATCTATTTTTTTATAAATTTTAACCTAATTTAATTGAAAAGTTCAACTAGAATATTATTTAAATAGGTTTCATTCTATCAATTATATATTTAAACTAATTTCTATAAAATAAATTAAAATCCAAAACTATTACGATTAATATTTAGTATTTAAAAAATTTCTTTATAGGGGAGTATGCAAAGAATACAATCAGTGCCACGAACACATGCTTCGGTGCATGATGCAAAAAAGCAAGAGTGGCATGTTTCTGATATAGTTATATATGATACATAAAAATGACGTATTAAGCGGATCCGATCTCTGAAGCATTTTTCTCAACCTTATGGCCAAGGTGATGTGGGCGAGAAGTCAGTCGAGATTCAGGCCTGATATGGCCCTATAATATCCGGTAGGTTTTTTCACTTGGCTCCTATGGCTGAAAAAGAGGTAAACTGACAGTTTTCTTCAGGACCCTTAAGACGGGCCTTCATCGAGACACGAGGGGTTGCAGCCTGTGCCTAGGAACTGAGCCTTTTTGCCTATAGCTGCTGATGTTGGTATCAAGCACCCGCTAGTCTCAGGTTTTTTTTCTGGATAAAGCTACTGTAGTCTAACCACTCAAAACTGGTGCCCTAATCGGAAAATAGAAGGCGTACTCCCTCGTGCACACTTAAGCCGTCCTGGCGATGAGGCGAAATCAAGAGAAGAAGATGGTTTAAGCACCTCGCCGGTTATTATCTCGATCGATCATGCCTAGGCGTAGAAGTCGCTAAGCGGATGAATTTCTTGGGGTCCTCGGTGACTGCATAAAATAAGGCACTCTGCCAATTTGCTAATTAAGATAAAGATTAAGATATAGCTCTATATTGATTACACAAATAAAATGGCGACGACACCGACCCGTCCTCTCCCGGAACTGGGGCGAGATTGGGGACCTTGCTGCGGCCTGAAGCCAATCCGCCCAGGGAAAGGTCTGGAATGGGTACTGGTAGTTTGTGTCCGGCTAGGCTTCCCTCCCGGTCAAGCAATGACGATCCTAGGGTCGTCCCGATAGGACATGGGGCAAAATGGGTTTTTCCTCTAGGGACCGCTAGTGCCAATTTGGAGGGCATAGCAAGAGCCGACAAGAGCTAAGGAGTTAATCCCTAGCTCTACCCTAGTCTGGCGACGTGAAGCACGGTGACCCAGTCCGCCTACTTCCGGGATAGCATGACTAAGCCCCATGACCGGAAGGAGCTGAGTGGTAGCCTGTGGCACTTAGGTGCACACTGGGAGCAGGGCAAGGAAAGCAAGCGAGGCGTCCAAAAGGCAGAAGAAAAGGACCTTCAGTCCCGGCCGGGAACTACTCTATAAATTTAACTAACTCCCCCCCTCTGTGAGTGAACAAAACCATTAGAAAAATCGCCATTTTTTGCCCAAAAAACCCAAAACCCACCCTCCGTGAGTGAACAAAAATTTTTTTAATAGAAAATTTTTTATGGAAAAAATTTTTGATATATAAATGATAATTAGTATAATGACTAATTCTATTTAATTTTAAACGAATTGCTCTTTAAAACATAAATTTTATAAATTAAATTAATATTTGCTTTCCAATTTTTGCGTATTAGGATTTTTTTAAATTTCGAAAAAAAAATATATTTTTTATAAATTTATATATAAATTTTTTTTAAAAAAAAAAATTAACCCCCCTCCGTGAGTGAACAAAATTTTTTTGTTCACTCACGGAGGGGGGGGAGTAAAACTAAGACTAAGCTCTATATTGATTATAATTTATCCCACAATCAACGCTAGGACATACATTTCCGCTGGGGCATGCTGAGCAATCCCCTTTGCAGCCACTTGTCTTATAATCAGCTTTTAAGTAGCTTGCCGAATAGCCACTTCAGATAATAAAATCATACAAAAACCCTCTAAACCCTTCATATATGCCTCCAAGAGAACTTGGGAAACGGCCAATAAACAAATCAAAACTATCGTAGACATAATAACCACTCACATCATAAACTGGTAAAACAGTTGTAAAGGCAGCTTCATTATTTATAGTAACTGTGAAGTAAGCTAAAAAGTTATCTGTAGACTGCGAGGCATATATATAAACTCATTCATCCCACTGGACCAAAATATTATTATTTTCAGCTGTTTGATACACAGGATACTGAAAATCTAGGTTTAAAAGAAAATAATTACCGCCATTCTGTATACTAAAAATATACCACGGTGAGCTCAAAATATCAAAGTAAAATCACCCAGAAATAACAGTTCAGACCGGAAGTTGCACATTTGCTTCCATGTAGGAGTAAATGTCAAAAAAGTATCCTTTATTTAGAACAGGAGTTGGAGGCTTTGAGCTTGAATCGTCAGTCGCTAGATTTCACCCATATGGAGAAGTGCTCATAGTTTCAGACATTGGCAAATACACTGCATAGGAGCTTGTTTTCGTGCAAACCTTTAGTGTCGAGTCCTCCGATGTTCCTGATGGGCACATTGAATAGCACATTCCTTGGTATAAGAACTTGCTTCCCGTGCAGCTAGTACACCCAAATCATTTATTATTATCTTGGTTTTCACAGTATTCACAATTTAGATTGCCGCACCCATATCCTGTAAGGCAATTCCCTTGAGCTGGACAAGCTGAGCAACTTGAGTCGCATCATGTTGTTCAATCCATATTTAAATATGAATCATCATACCCAGATGTTACAACAAAATCATACATAAACCCAGTAAACCCTTCTTTATTTTCTGATGAAGGTGGAGTACCAAGATAGAGTGTGCTTGTTGAATCATGCAAATAATAATCGCTGCCCCATGAGGTTGTTGCTGAAATCGGATTATTTGCATTCATAGAGACTGAAAAGGTAAGATAGGTCCCATCAAATTTCTTTGAGACTCAAAAATAGGTCCACGCTATAGTAGGAAATGAAGTTGTTTCTGTAACTAATTGATTGAATCCAAGATAATTGTCTTTTATATAGACAGACTCAGAATTTCAAGAAAAAATCTGAAGTCAAGAGGAATTTATACGATTCAAATAAATTCAAGCAGAAATAACGTAGTAATAAGGTAGGAGAGTGTCATATTTCATGCGTGAGCATTTTTGAAAATAAAAACTAGCATACTCACTATCATAAGATGGCCCGTTAGCACAAGGCGAGTCTCAGTCGAGCACTAATCCTCAACTGTCTGGCGTATTTGAATTATCGAAGTCAAATCATATAGGATTAAAGTTTCCAATGTTGCAAACGCCATTTGTTGCATCTTGGCTTGTTCCAACCGGGCAAGCGTTTCAACACAAATCTTCATATAAATACAAACCTGACGGACAACCAGTGCATCCAAACCAAGTATTTGAAGAAGAGCTCATACAAGTTGTACAAACTGCAGATGCTGGGCAAGTAACTTGGAGATCTCGACTGATTGAAGAGCTTTCAGATATCACGATAGACAAGATGAATAAACTTAGTGGCATTATTTAATTATATGAATAGCTAAATGAATATTATTTTATATAATTAATGGAAAGAATACCAAGGCCAGTTCTTTCTGAAATTTTGAGCCAAGTTGGTGCAATTGATCAAATTATTATTCTCTCTATGGTTTGCAAAAAATGAAACGAAATAATTTCTAGCTGAAATCATGAGATATCTTTCCAAAATATCCCCTATGATAAAGCTCAACCTTGGATAAATCGTTCACATATAACATATGTGCTAACATATAAATTCTTGAAAGCGAAATGAAAATTAGTATCGCTTGACCTTAAAAATGTGAATGTGGATGTAAGATCCTATAATTAAAATAGCCAGTTCAAGAGAAATTAGCTCTCTCTCTCCTTTATTGTTTTATTTATGGGGTTCGTTTTCCTTGGAAAGCTTCTGTGCAGAAACAAAAGTATAACTATAGAGACATAGACCTAGAGGGACTATTCAGAGTTCTAACTGCTTGCTTCCTAGGGAGTATGCCTCAGAGTCCATCCTATACTAATGCTACCAATTTATTTCTTTTGAATGTAATAATTCTAGCAAACTTAATCATCGCGCAGCCAAATCTTAGAAAATTGGATTTATGCAACTCCAGAACAGATTTTAAAAAGCTTTCTCATTTGCTAACTCCCCTCCCTCCATAAGCGAAAAAGAAATTGTTTGCTAACGGAGGGGGGTAATTTTATATTTAAAAAAAATTATATATAAATTAAGAAAAATTATTTTCGAATTTTTTAAAAAATATACTAATTCGCAAATATTGGAAAGCAAATATTAATTTAATTTATAAATTTTATGTTTTTAAAAACCAATTTGTTTAAAAATTAAAGAAAATTAGCTCTAGATTTCGTAATACTAATTATCAGTTATATATCAAATTTTTTTCCATAAAAAAAATTTTTCTATTAAAAAGCATTTTGTTCGCTCACGGACGATGGGCCTTTGGGCTAAAAATAGGATATTTTTCTAATGGTTTTGTTCACTTACGGAGGAGGGTGAGCAAGTCTCAAAAAGTCTGAATGCTTAAAATTAAACAAAATTGAAATTTTCTTTCAACTTGAAGAGCTAATATGTACTAATCTGATTTCATTTGGACAATACCTGCTTGATTTTCTAAAAATGTTTCCAAAATTAAAAAAACTGAAAATCGGAAATTGCAGTATAACAATAGATTTATTTATATTTATATTACAAAATTTCAAAAATATAGAGTTTCTAGAGGTTTCTTTAACAAGCCAAATAAATTCATCTAAATTAGAAGTTTTAAAAGGTGCTCTCCAAAATTCAAATTTAAAATTTTGACTTGTAAATGCTCCCAGTGAATCAATATTTTTGTTTAAAGATATTAAAACTTGCGTATACAATTATGATGTTTGATTGAAGAAAGAGCTCGATTTGGAAGAAATACAGAAATGATTAAAACTTGGAGGAGATATAAACTCATGCTACAAATTTATAAACAATCTGATTGAAAAATATGATGATGATTTCTTTATTCAAGCTTTCCAAGTATTTAATAAAAACGGACTTGATAAATGATTTCATCAGTATAGTCAGTTCTCTCCAATTAACTATTGTAATTATATTGCTAATGCTGCGTTAAAAAGAAAAATAAAATTATTTTGATATCTTTTTGATATGGGCTTCCATATTTTTGATTGCGGATGCTTTGATATTCTGATTTCTTGCCCAGAAATTATCAATGAATTAATAATTAATCAAAAAAGTAAAATAAAGTTTTCAGGCGAAAAAATTTATAAAGCTGCACAGTTTTTTATGATAAAACAGGACGAAAAATATTTAATGCCTTTAATTGATCTCATGACTCCTATAAAGCTTGGCTACATAGAAGAAAAAATTATTAAAAAAAATAGATTTCCTCCATCCAAAAAAAAATTTGAAATACCTAACTACTATAAAGAAATCTCTGGACTTTTCCATATTCCAGATATTGAGCCATTAATATCTGTTGCAGCCATTCTTGGATTGAAAAATATAATTGCAGCACTAATTCATGCTGGATTTAATATAGATGCTAGAGATTCGATGGGCAATACAGCTCTTTGTCATGTTGCTAAATATGGGAGTATTGATATTTTGAAATATTTAATTGAAAACGGAGCAGATATAAATAATGCTATAAATATAAAAAAAAGTAAGTCACCAATAAAAATGGCTATTGAGAATGGAAGAGTAGATTCTGTTATTGAATTGATTAATTTAGGTGCTGATTTTTTAAACAAAGATAATGATGGTCTCACAGCTTTAGAATATGCCAGTAATTTGAATATGCTTGATATAGTGGAGATATTAAAAGAAGCTGCAGAAAAGATAGAAAATAATTAAAATTAAAATAAAAATAAAACTTCGAGAAATATTTCAAATACATTTGACTTCCATAAAGATTTACCCTCTTATAAATTTAAGCTATATTTGTATTTCCCGTTGTTCCAACCGGGCAAGCGTCTCAACACAAATCTTCATATAAATACAAACCTGACGGACAACCAGTGCATCCAAACCAAGTATTTGAAGAAGAGCTCATACTAGTTGTACACACTGCAGATGCTGGGCAAGTAACTTGGAGATCTCGACTGATTGAAGAGCTTTCAGATATCATGAATACAATTAAGACATTATTTAATTATATGAATAGCTAAATAAATATTATTTTATATAATTAATGGATAGAATACCAAGACCAGTTCTTTCTGAAATTTTGAGTCAAGTTGGTGCAATTGATCAAATTATTACTCTCTCTATGGTTTGCAAAAAATGAAACAAAATAATTTCTAACTGAAATCATGAAATATCTTTCCAAAATATCCCCTATTATAAAGCTGAACCTTGGATAATTCGTTCATATATAACATATGTGCTAACAGATAAATTCTTGAAAGATAAGTGAAAATTAGTATCGCTTGACCTTAAAAGTGTGAATGTGAATGTAAGATTCTATAATTAAATCAGCCTTTCGAGAGAAGTTAACTTTACTCATTTTCTCCCTCATAGAATTTTATTTATGGGGTTTGCTTTTGTTGGGAGAACTGTGCAGCAGCAATTTAACTTTAATTGTAAAAGTTTGAGGAATTTTCAGCTTGATCAGAATGAGCTCTACCTGCTTCCTAGGTGGTGTGTCTCAGTATCCATCTTCTACCAACGCTAAGATTTTATTTCTATTAAGAATGCAAGAATTCTAGCAAATTTAATCATCGCGCAGCCAAATCTTAGAAAATTGAATTTATGCAACTCCAGAACAGATTTTAAAAAGCTTTATCATTTGCTAAGTCTCAAAAAGTCTGAATGCTTAAAATTAAACAAAATTGAAATTTTCTTTCAACTTGAAGAGCTAATATGTACTAATCTGATTTCATTTGGACAATACCTGCTTGATTTTCTAAAAATGTTTCCAAAATTAAAAAAACTGAAAATCGGAAATTGCAGTATAACAATAGATTTATTTATATTTATATTACAAAATTTCAAAAATATAGAGTTCATAGAAGCTTCTTTAACAAGCCAAATAAATTCATCTAAATTAGAAGTTTTAAAAGGTGCTCTCCAAAATTCAAATTTAAAATTTTGACTTGTAAATGCTCCCAGTGAATCAATATTTTTGTTTAAAGATATTAAAACTTGCGTATACAATTATGATGTTTGATTGAAGAAAGAGCTCGATTTGGAAGAAATACAGAAATGATTAAAACTTGGAGGAGATATAAACTCATGCTACAAATTTATAAACAATCTGATTGAAAAATATGATGATGATTTCCTTATTCAAGCTTTCCAAGTATTTAATAAAAACGGACTTGATAAATGATTTCATCAGTATAGTCAGTTCTCTCCAATTAACTATTGTAATTATATTGCTAATGCTGCGTTAAAAAGAAAAATAAAATTATTTTGATATCTTTTTGATATGGGCTTCCATTTTTTTGATTGCGAATGCTTTAATATTCTGATTTCTTGCCCAGAAATTATCAATGAATTAAAAATTAATCAAAAAAGTAAAATAAAGTTTTCAGGCGAAAAAATTTATAAAGCTGCACAGTTTTTTATGATAAAGCATAACGAAAAATATTTAATGCCTTTAATTGATCTCATGACTCCTATAAAGCTTGGTTATATAGAAGAAAAAATTATTAAAAAAAATAGATTTCCTCCATCCAAAAAAAAATTTGAAATACCTAACTACTATAAAGAAATCTCTGGACTTTTCCATATTCCAGATATTGAGCCATTAATATCTGTTGCAGCCATTCTTGGGTTGAAAAATATAATTGCAGCACTAATTCATGCTGGATTTAATATAGATGCTAGAGATTCGATGGGCAATACAGCTCTTTGTCATGTTGCTAAGTATGGGAGTATTGATATTTTGAAATATTTAATCGAAAACGGAGCAGATATAAATAATGCTATAAATATAAAAAAAAGTAAGTCACCAATAAAAATGGCTATTGAGAAAGGAAGAGCAGATTCTGTTATTGAATTGATTAATTCAGGTGCTGATCTTTTAAGCAAAGATAATAATGGTCTCACAGCTTTAGAATATGCTAGTAATTTGAATATGCTTGATATAGTGGAGATATTAAAAGAAGCTGCAGAAAATAGAGAAAATAATTAAAAATTATGCTAGTTAAAATAAAAATTCGATAAATATTTCAAATACATTTGACTTCCATAAAACTTTACCCTTTTATAAATTTAAGCCATATTTGCATTTCCCGTTAAAATATGTATAATCTTTTCAAAATATTTATAATGGAAAAAATTCCAAGACCAGTGCTTTCTGATATCCTCAGTCAAGTTGGTCCAATTGATCAAGTTATTAATTTATCATTCGTTTGCAAATACTGAAAGGGAATAATTGCTAGCTGAAACCATGAGCTAACTTTCCAAAATATTGCCTACGATAAAGTAAAGTATTGATTGCGTCGATCATATATAAAAAGAGTGTTAACAAATCAATTTTTGAAGGCAAAATGAAAATTAGCTTCTCTTGACCTTAGAAGTGTGAAGATAGATGAGAGGACTTTAGTTAATTTAATCATAGCTCAACCAAATCTTAGAAAACTTAATTTGACAAATTCTCTTATCAATTTGAAAAAGCTTTTCTGCTTGCTTAAACGTAAAAAATCTAAATACTATAAAACCCATCAAATAGAAATTTATATCAAGCTTGAAGAACTAATTTGAATAAACTTAAATGGCAGCTGTGTGAACCTTTATAAAGTATTAAACTGTTTCCCGGGTCTAAAGAAATTAAATATTGCAAACTCCAACTTATCATTACCATTTTTCCATTTAATAATTGAAAACTTTAGAAATCTAAGGTTTCTAGAAGCTTCACCTGATAATCTAGTGATCAATAAATACAGTTTAGAAAAAACCAAAATTTACTTAGAACGCTCTAGCTTAAAATTTTGGCTGACAAATACTCTTGAAGGTTGATCTCAATCGTATAAATAAAATGGCGTGATTAATCAGCGCTTTTTCTTCTAATCCTAGCAGATGGCTTAAAAGCACTGGGGACCTTCAGAAAGATAAAATGTCCTTGATAATGTTATCTGGCCAGATTTTGGCTAATGTGGGTCAACCCAGGGCACATCCAGATTAGTCCTTTTCTTCTCATAGAGGCAGAAAGAGCCTAGCAATACCTAAAGCAGCCATAAACCAATCGGACTATTCTCTTGCGCAATACTATGCTTTGCATCCTGGGTTATGATTTACACCAATGACAAGAAAATTCGATTTTTCTAATTTCTTGAAACTAATCCAAGTTGACGCCAAGAATGATGGCTAATTCCGCCAGATGAGTTAACTTCTGAATCAGCATCAGAGGGCCTAAAATGAAGTAAAGATAAATACCCTTCAAGATTTACAGGGAGCTTTTCGATAATCTAATTAAGTTAAGTTAAAGGCTGATCTCATAATCCATTTTCAGGCAATAAAATATCCATCTATAATTATGATGCTTTCTCTGTAGGACAAATTGATTTGGAAACAGTGCAAAATTGATTAAAACTTGGAGGAGACATAAATTCATGCTATAAACTCATTTATAAGCTGATAGAATATTACGATGATGATTTTCTTATTGAAATCTTCCAAATATTTATAAACAATGGACTGGATAAATGATACCATAAATGCTTTGATAATTGCAATTTTTTTTATTATGCAGCAATAAGCAAAAAATCAAAGTTTTTCTGGTATCTTATGGATAACAATTTTAATTTAGCTTGCTGCAAAAAATGTAATATCTTTAGGTTCCCAGAAATTATTGAAGAACTTTTAATTTACCCTACCAAAAATATACCCAATCTTCCGGATGAAAAATTATATGAAGCTGCACAATATTTTATGATAAATAATAAAGAAAACAATTTATTAACTCTAATTGAACTTATGAGTTACAAGAGCGCTGGCTCGAAGGAGGAAAATTTAATTCAAAGATTAAAGCAACATTCCCTAAAGCGGAGCCTATTTTTAGTGCCGAATTATTGAACATATATTTTTGAACTTTTCAAAGTATCAGAAATTGAGCCACTCATATCTCTCGCAGCTATGCATGAAAATAAAAATTTAATAAAACGGCTAATCCAGGCTGGGTTCAATATTAATGCTAGAGATAGTGCTGGAAACATTGCCCTTTACTATGCTGCTAAGCATGGGAAATTTGATATTGCGGAATATTTATTAAAAAAAGGTGCAGACATAAATTATGACTTATCAACTAGTGAGCTTTATGGTTCTCAACTAAAATTAACTATTGATGGAGGAAAAGTGGAGTCTATTTATTATCTAATTAACTCAATATCTGATCTATAAATAATAAAAACCCATTCAAAATACAATCTCAAAAGATAAGATTGCTTAAAAAAGCATAAAATTGTGCTAGCATATTTAACTAGTTAATAAAGCTAAAATTTTAAAGAATTTCGCAATATTCATAAGATCGTTTGTATTAGATCATTAAATAAATGAAATATGCTAACTTGGAGAACTCGAATGATTGAAGAATTTTTAGATATCACGATAGAACTAATTAATATAATTAGTGACATTATTTAATTATATTAATATCTAAATGAAAATTATTTTAATTATAAATGGATAGAATACCAAGACCAGTTCTTTCTGAAATTTTGAGTCAAGTTGGCTCAATTGATCAAATTATTATTCTCTCTATGGTTTGCAAAAAATGAAACGAAATAATTTCTAACTGAAATCATGAGATATCTTTTCAAAATATCCCTTATGATAAAGCTAAACCTTGGATAATTCGCTCATATATAACAAAAGCGCTAACAAACAAATTCTTGAAAGCGAAATGAAAATTAGCATCACTTGATCTTAAAAGTGTGAATGTGAATGTAAGAATTCTAGCGAATTTAATTATCGCGCAGCCAAATCTAAGAAAATTGGATTTATCTAACTCTGAAACAGATTTTGAAAAGCTTTATCATTTGCTAAGTCTAAAAAAATCTAAATACTTTAAATTAAACAAAATTGAAATTTTGCTTCAACTTGAAGAGCTAATTTGTACTAATCTGAAGGCATTTGAGAAATACCTGCTTAATTTTCTAAAAATATTTCCAAAATTAAAAAAACTAAAAATTGGAAATTGCAGTATACCAATAGATTGATTTATATATATATTACAAAATTTCAAAAATATAGAGTTCCTAGAAGCGTCTTTAACAAGCCAAATAAATTCATCTAAATTAGAAGATCTAACCAATACTCTCCAAAATTCAAATTTAAAATTTTGACTTGTAAATGCTCCCAGTGAATGAATATTTTTGTTTAAAAACATTAAGACCTACATATTCAATTATGATGTTTGATCGAAGGAAGATTTCGATTTGGAAGAAATACAGAAATGATTAAAGCTTGGAGGAGATGTAAACTCATGCTGCAAATGTATTAGCAATCTGATTGAAAATTATGATGATGATTTCCTTATTCAAGCTTTTACAATATTTATTAAAAGTGGGTTCGATAAATGATTTCATCAGTGCAGTAAGTATCCTTATATTTACTGTTGTAATTATATTGCTAATGCTGTATTAAAAGGGAAACTAAAATTATTTCGGCATCTTATTGATATGGGCTTTCATCTTTTTGATTGCGAAAACTTTAATATTCTGATATCTTGCCCAGAAACTATCAATGAATTAGAAATTAATCAAAAAAGCAAAATAAAGCTTTCAGGCGAAAAAATTTATAAAGCTGCACAGTTTTTTATGTTAAAGAAGGACGAAAACTATTTAATGCCTCTAATTGATCTCATGACTCCTATGAAGCTTGGCTGAATAGAAGAAAAAATAATTAAAAAAATAGTCTTCCAAAATGGAATGCATTTGAAATATTTAACTACCGTCAAGAAATCTCTCAGCTTTTCAATGTTTCAGATATTGAGCCATTACAGCTCATGCACTTAAACTGATACCATTTGAATAATTTAGTCACTTTTATAGGTTTCAGAAAATAGATCCCTAAGTAAATATGGGAGCATTGATACTTTGAAATATTTAATTGAAAACGGAGCAGATTTAAATAATGCTATAAATATAAAAAGAAGTAAGTCACCAATAAAAATGGCTATTGAGAATGGAAGAGCAGATTCTGTTATTGAATTGATTAATTCAGGTGCTGATCTTTTAAGCAAAGATAATAATGGTCTCTCAGCTTTAGAATATGCTAGTAATTTGAATATGCTTGATATAGTGGCGATATTAAAAGAAGCTGTAGAAAATAGAGAAAATAATTAAAATTAAGCTAGTTAAAATAAATATTCAAGGAATATTTCAAATTCTTTCGACTTCCATAAAACTTTACCCTTTTATAAATTTAAGTTATATTTGCATTTTATGTTAAAATATTTATAATGAAAAACATTCCAAGACCAGTGCTTTCTGATATCCTCAGTCAAGTTGGCCCAATTGATCAAGTTATAATTTATCATTCGTTTGCAAATACTGAAAGGGAATAATTGCTAGCTGAAATCATGAGCTAACTTTCCAAAATATTGCCTACGATAAAGTAAAGTATTGATTGCGTCGATCATATATAAAAAGAGTGTTAACAAATCAATTTTTAAAGGCAAAATGAAAATTAGCTTCTCTTGATCTTAGGAGTGTAAAAATAGATGAGAGGACTTTAGCTAATTTAATCATAGCTCAACCAAATCTTAGAAAACTAAATTTGACAAATTCTCATATCAATTTGAAAAAGCTTCTCTGCTTGCTTAAACGCAAAAATCTAAATACTATAAAACCCATCAAATAGAAATTTATATCAAGCTTGAAGAACTAATTTGAACAAACTTAGATGGCAGCTATGTAAACCTTTATAAAGTATTAAACTTTTTCCCGGGTCTAAAGAAATTAAATATTGCGAACTCCAACTTATCATTACCATTTTTCCATTTAATAATTGAAAACTTTAGATATCTAAGGTTTCTAGAAGCTTCACCTGATAATCTAACGATCAGGACATCCAGTTTAGAAAAAACCAAAATTTATTTAGAACGCTCTAACTTAAAATTTTGGCTTACAAATTCGCTTGATGGCTGATCTCACCCTTTTAAAGGCGATAAAATATTCATCTATAATTACGATGCTTTCTTCTTAGGTGATTTGGAAGAAGTGCAAAATTGATTAAAACTTGGAGGAGACATAAATTCATGCTATAAACTCATTTATAAGCTGATAGAAAGATACGATAATGATTTTCTTATTGAAATCTTCCAAATATTTATAAACAATGGACTGGATAAACGATACCACAAATGCTGATATGTTTCCAATTATTTTTATTACGCAGCACTAAATAAAAAATCAAAGTTTTTCTGATATCTTATAGATAACAATTTTAATTTAGCTTGGTGCAAAAAATGTAATATCTTTTTGTGACCAGAAATTATTAGAGAACTTTCTGGTTACCCTGCCAAAAATATGCTAGATCTTTCAGATGAAAAATTATATGAAGCTGCCCAATATTTATGATAAATAATGAAGAAAACAATTTATTAACTCTAATTAAGGTTATGAGTTGCATAAGGACTGGCTCAAAGGAGGAAAATTTAATTCAAAAATTAAAGCAGCATTCCCTAAAGACGAGCCTATTTTTAGTGCCGAATTATTAAGCAAGAAAAAAAAAATAGTGACGATAACGGAAGATAGACTATGAAGCACACTCCCTATAGCAGGCAGAAAATTCCCGATGAAGTTGAAAATAATGCCACTTTTTGAAGCAGGCTTCCAGGTTTAGGATGCCTGCAGAAGAGGAAGTTTTGCTTTTCCCTGAATGTTTTTCCCTGCTTACCAATGGGCGAGGCAGGTTGCCTACCGCTTAGCATTTGCTTATCGGGACTAAAGGGTATTCGCAATAGGTGGCTCTAAGCAATTGAGCTAATTCTATGCCGGATAGGTAGCCTAGTAGTCTATCCGCTTATCGCCTTATAATATTTAACTTACCTAATTATTGAACATATATTTTTGAACTTTTCAAAGTATCAGAAATTGAGCCACTCATATCTCTCGCAGCTATGCATGAAAATAAAAATTTAATAAAACGGCTAATCCAAGCTGGGTTCAATATTAATGCTAGAGATAGTGCTGGAAACATTGCACTTTACTATGCTGCTAAGCATGGAAAAATTGATATTGTGGAGTATTTATTAAAAAAAGGTGCAGACATAAATTATGACTTATCAACTCGTGAGCTTTATGGTTCTCAACTAAAATTAACTATTGATGGAGGAAAAGTGGAGTCTATTTATCATCTAATTAGCTCAATCACTGATTTATAAATAAAAAAACTCATTCAAAATGCAATCTCAAAAGATTGATTGTTTAAAAATATAATAAAAGTATTTACATAAACTTGTGCTAGCATATTAAATTAGCTAATAAAGCTAAAAATATAAGAATTTGACAATATTCATAAGACTATTTCATATTATATCATTAATTAAATGAAATATGCTGAGCTGTTTCAGATCTTTCCCTAGATTTATTTAAAAAATCCATCAGCATATCTTTTCTATGCTGAATGACATCTTCTACAACTGTAGTTTCTTTAGCTCCTCTTTTTGGGAAAACAGATAAAGGACTTACTCTATTAAGATGCAAATCTTTTTTCTCATCTCTTCTTGATCTGTCTGTTAGCTGAGTTCTCAAAACTTGCAGATGACCTCTTAAAGGTGATTTTGACCTTGATTTTAGCTTTGACGTGCTAGCAATTTGGGTTATTTTTTCTATTTTTTTAATTAACTTTTCGTTTTCCCTTTCAAGTTTGTCCTTTTTTGGCAAAGTTCTATTTAACAATTTTGGCACCACAAACTTAGCAGGCGTCATTGGACGAATTAAATCAGGCAGCTTAAGATTTTGATTTAAAATCTGGTGTTCTTTAAAAATCCTAATCATCCATCCACTATATCCAGTTCTTGGTGACTCACTTAAATGAAGCTTGCTATAAAGATTTAATGCAGTAAACCACGAAGCCTGAGACATGTCTGTATAAATTGATTTTACAAGCCTCAAATATTCATTAATAAGCCCACTTTTCGTAACTGTATCTAAGCACTCAAACAAGCCATCATAAAACTCACAAAAAGTTATTCCAAGCCTGTCTTGAAAATCAATATTTGTATCATTTAAAGCATAGTCTCTTGCAAATTCACTTTTTGGGGATCCTAAAAATGCTTGATAAAGATTTTCAAATAATGATAAATAAACTACACGAGATATAGCTCGTAAATTGAGTGGGTTAATAAGCTGCCATAATGTGAAAGTGCTTCAAAGAAGCTGCTCGTTTTGCTTTATGGCAAATCGCTTACCTAGCTGAGAAAAAGAGTAGGAGTCTGCAGCTTCTACATTAGGCCTGTGAATTGTTAAGAAATTTTCACCATAAAGAAATTCATGCTCGATTTTTCATTCTGTTGAAGATGAAGGGACTCTTGATGTTCGCCATTTTGATGAGGAGCGAAGAGGCGAATAAGGTCGAGAAATAATCACAATTTCTTTTGATAGTGTTGGATCAAGTTCGAATTCCATCATTTAGGTAGTCAAATTATACAGATAAAATCACGGTCTTTAAAGCTAAAATTTTGATTTATTCTAATAATTATTTGGATTTTGACACATAACCATTAATCTTGGTATGCAAGCTGTAATTTAAACTAAATATACCAATTTAATTAATTTCTCAACACTACTAAAATATAACTAGATAAAAACTTAAGATTCATAGGGAGTTTAATTTTCTTCTTAATTCAAGCTTAGTTAATTCAAAATATTCTTTAAATAATAAATATTTTTGAATTATTGCTATATGAATAAATTCCAAATAATAGATGATGCTATTAATATTCCAAAATGGGGAATAGTGACAGTAGAGCAACTTTTAGGGCATGAGTTCAAATAAATCTTTCGCACAATCACCTATTTTTATTCTTTTATTTTTTAATCTATTTTGAATTAATTTTTAAGGAAATAATTCATATTAATTATTTCAAGGTAAGTTGAGATTGAATAATACCATAAAATTTTTACATTAAAAATAGTCCCAAAATTATACTAAAAAACACCCAAAAATTTTTATGGTGCCGGCGTCATGCAGGGGAACCCTTTTAGAGACACAATTGATGGTTTACTAAAGAACAACATCAGCGAACTAGACGGGAGCTACTGAATTGAAATTTTTAAAGTCCCTGAAAACGTTGAAGATATTTTTTTCGTGTTTACCCCAACTCTTATAAAAGAATTACTCAATAAGCAGCCATCAAACCTAGAAAGAATGCTTAGAATCGCTACCAATATAATTCATAGTGTCTCAAAACAAGAAGCAGAATTCGAAAGAATTGTTACGCTAAATTCATTAAGAATCATTTCAAGAATCCTCCCCATTCTTTTGGAAATTGAAGAAGGCAGAAAAATGTTATGGGAAAATAGCACAAGCTTTGATATCGTTGATGGATTATTAGGCTTGCTTTTTACTTACAAATTTGGGACTAGTTGTTCTAGTTTTCTAAGCCCTTATGAGTTTGACATAAATAGATTGTGAAATCCTGGCTTATATGCTCAAGAAACTTCTTATTCAACGATGCAAATAAACGAAAATCGAATAGAGATTTTAAGAGGAATTTTGGCTTGCTGCTCTCAAACTTTATATAATGATATCAATGAGGCTGGGATTTATGCAAATCCTTGGTCATGGATGATGACTTCTAATGAGATGAGATTTGGGAAAGACTTTTTTTTTAGCCTAATAAACACAATATTTGCATATCCGGCAGAGAAATTTAATTCTACCATCTCTGATCCATTTGGAATGATTGAAAAAGAAGCCTCACTGTCTTGCCAAGTTCTTATAGCACTTTTGGACTCAAAAACGCCAAATCAGCAGCAAATACAAGAAAATCCGGAATTAAGAGCAGCCCATGAAATCCTGCAAAAATTACATTCTGAGCTTCAAGGACTCTCAGCTGAGCTTTCTCCTTTGAAGCTGGAGAACGCCTTTATGACTTATCTAAAAGAAATCAATGATCCATCACATTTTAAATTTCTTGCAAAAAGCTTCAGTGCGCAGCTTAATACAGTTGTTGCTTATAATTCTGCTTATTTATTTAGCTCGATTAATGAAATCCCTTTTTATCAAGAATTATTGGTACTGCTCTGGCAATTTATTGATAATACAATTTTCTATTTAAATTTGTATATATTCTAAAAAAGATATGCTTTATTTTTTATGTAAATAAAAAATTGGCTTCTGAATGCTACGATTTTCTAAATCCAAAATTGAATAATCCAAATTTCGAAGAATATTTAATAAAAAAGAAATGCATTTTTAAGATTATTGACATGCTTATTTTTTCTATATGGAATTTAAAGGAAAATCCAGGGAAGGTAGGAGTTGTGCAGCTTTGCATTTTTATTCTGCTGCACTTGTCAAGCCATAGAGAATACTCAATTAAGCTGGCTGAGCCATATGATGGGCACCTCAGCTTAAACATTCAAGGGGCAGAATATTATTATGACTTACTTATTGGAGTTTTCCATAATATCATTCTGAATCACAGCTATTTAATTGAAGCAGTTTCTACGATAATGATCATTATTCTTAATCATTCAGCATATGTAAAAAATATAAGCAGTTCATCAGCTATAAAACTTTTTGCTATTTTTGAATATTTCTCATCAAAAAAATTTTTACATAAAGAGCCAGGAAATTATGGATATTTATATCAAATTTTAGAAGTTTTTAACCATAGGCTTCAATACCAATGAGACGGGAGTTTACATTTGATATATTTACTCCCCCATCCCTCCTTTAAATTGGAACAAAATATAGCAAAAATTTTCATATTTTCGGTGCTTTAACCTCTTTTATTGGAACAATTTTTTTAACAGGACAATTTATAGGCTAGCATGTGACCTAATTTAATGGAAAAAGTGCAAGTAGAATATTATTTAATATCTTTCACACTGAATCAATTAATTTGTTAAATTAATTCTTTTAAAATAAATTAAATCCAAATATTGAGCTCAATTTATATTTTTTATTAATTTTATAAAAGTTTTTTATAGGAGAAAAATTAATATAGAAAAACTAACCTCTTTTAAATTAGAGAAGGATTTTTGCTCCAATTTAAAAAGGGAAGGAGTTAATTATTAGCAAAAGAAATGTTTTTGACAGACTTATCAATATGAAATTTGATCATCATATTGAGTGTACATGAGAAGCGAATGAGGACTGGTTTGGGAAATGAAATACATAAAATGCCGTGGTAAATTAACCTCCCTCTTAACTCCTTTTGACAACATCTGAAAGGGTTACGGAACCTCGAGGATGGGAGGGTGGTGTTCGATATGTATATCCGATTAGGTTTGGTGAAGCACAATGCTGATCGACCGTAAGCTTTACTCCAATGCCAAGTTTTTACCTCAGAGGGAGATGGTCCGTAAGTTGGAAAGGGGTTTCCCAGAGTGTCACTGGCGTTCATCTTGACCAATTAGGACTATTCCCAAGCGTGAAAACAGGTTTACGCTCTGAGCTGCAGATTTTCATCTTAACCGTGAGTTGACCAGAAAATTCAACCCTTTTGAATTTTCAATGGTGAGCAACACTGCTGGCCTACAGCATGGTGACCCAAACTTTTCGACTACCAGATAACATGCGCAGACCCATGTCTGGTAAGAGCAAGACTTTGAAGGTCGTGCAACAATTGTCGGCGAAGCAGGTGAGTAGAGCGTTATGGAAGGGAATAAGGATCTTCGAATCCTGACAGGGAGCTTTTCTATAATCTAATTAAGGTTTAGAAAATGGAAAAATGATTTACCTGTTGGCCTGATTTTCCCTTTGCTTCAAGATATGTCACCGAGGATAGAAAAACTTTGTGCTCAAAACAGTCAAATTACAGATGCAGAAATCATTGAGTTTTTAAATGGAAGCACGATGGTTGGAGTTTTTCCAGTCCCTCATGCATTATTTTTTAGGAAATTTCACGCAACCAAGCAGATTCTAGCATGGCTTACATCTTTGTTATGGGGAATTATTTATATTAGAGGGCAAGTCCTTCCCATGTTTGATTTCCGCTCAATAAAATTGTTCACAGTTTCTATAAACTAAATTATAGCTAAATTAGATTATATGCACTGATTTTAATTAAACACGTCTGGTGAATATTTGTGCTATATTATATTAGCCATATTGAGTCTGCACTTTAGTTCTAGCATTCTTTCTCACACATAAAATTGAGAAATTATCAAGAAAGCTTATAGATTCCATTTAAGGGCAAAGAATTAGAATTATTTTCTATTAAAAGCCTCATAATGTCAAAATATTACCTGTGAAATCTCTTTTTTAAGTTCTATGCTGACAGTTTTTTTAGTAACTTTGCTATAATAATTATAAAATGGAAGAGACTAAAGACATGAACAGCATCAAGCAAAATGCTGCTGAGGTTGAAGAAAATATCAAGGAGCTTCAAGCAAATTTAAGAGATTACAAGCATTTTGTGGAGATTACAAGAGCTGAGCTTGTGTCAATGGAAACAAATATCACCCTTTTAACCGATGATACTCCAAAATCTATTTTCCCACAAATTGATGAATTATTTACTGATTTAAAGCATGAAATTCAGAATCAGAAAGACCTTACTCCCCCCCCCCCCCTCCGTGAGCGAACAAAAACCATTAGAAAAATCGCCATTTTTTGACCAAAAACCCACCCTCCGTGAGTGAACAAAAATTTTTTTAATAGAAAAAATTTTTAATGAAAAAAAAATTTTGATATATAAGTGATAATTAGTATAATGAAATCTAGAGCTAATTCTGTTTAATTTTTAAACAAATTGCGTTTTAAAACATAAATTTTGCAAATTAAATTAATATTTGCTTCCCAATTTTTGCAAATTAGGATTTTTTTAAATTTCGAAAAAAATATTTTTTATAAAATTTATATATAAATTTTTTTAAAAAAAAAAATTAACCCCCCTCCGTGAGCGAACAAAAATTTTTTTTGTTCGCTCACGGAGGGGGGGGGGGGGAGTTAATGATTATGTGCAGAAGCAAATTACAGGTCTCAAAAAAGAAAAGTCAGTTTTACTCCAAAATGTAATTGCAAGCAATACAAGATGCCAAATTCTTGATGAAAATGTGGGATATCGATAAAAATGAGTGTTTAGAATTAGTTAAGAAAAGTAAATTTATTATTTATTGATTGCGTTTATAAAGAGCAAGAAAGCTATGTAAAATATTTCATTGATTCTATTTCATGATATCCTATACCAAAATCTATTTAAGAAATAGTGCTAATTATTTAGAATTTAATAACTCATTATCAATCCTTACTATTACAAAGAAATAAAATAGTGACGTTGACGGAAGATGGACTCTAAGACAAAAAATTAATCATGTTTTGAAGTAGGCCTTCATGTTTAAGGATGCCTGCCGAAGAGGGAAGCTTCGTTTTATGCCCGAAGGTTTTCCTGTTCCTGCAAGATCGACTATGCAGTTTTGCCTATTACTTAGTCTTTGCTTATCATGATTAAAGGGGCATCTGCATGAGGTAGCTCTAACCTAGGGAAATAATCCTTAGGCTAGGCGAATTTAAGCCAGATAGGCAGGCTAGTGGTCTATTCACTTATGGCCTTATAGTTTTGACTGACTTTTACTATTACAAGTTATAATAAGTTAGCCATTAACTCTTTCCCTCTTCGAGAGAGAAAACCATTGAAGAAATCCCTATTTTTTTGGTAAAATAACCACCCTCTAATGAAAAAAATTCTCGATAAAATTGTAATCAAAATAGACTTTTCTATATTATAATGAAAAATCGCTAATTTTAACAGCTAGCATTCTAAAAATTAATTTATGCCCCACAATATTTGCGAATTGGGATTTTTTAAATTTCGAAAAAAATTTAAAATGAATTTATTATAAATAAAATAGCCCCCGCCCCTTTCATGAGTCATGAGTGATTAAAATTTTTATTGTTCGCTCAAGGGTAGTAAGAATAGTTTATATTAAACTTACCATTTTAAATAATGTCAGACCAACTGATTACATTAGTTACTAAAGAAGGAACTAAAATCACAACTAGTCATAATTTCAAAAATCTCAGCAACCTTATCCAGAACGTCTTAGAAGACTCAGGCCCAAATGAAGAAATTCCAATTGAATATGTCTCTGAAGACACTCTTCGAAGAATTTTAGAATTCGCCGAGCATCATCAATTCATCGCTCCCGCTCCTCCAAAAAAACCGATCCCAAGCCGTGATATTTCAAAAGCAATCGAAGATCAATGAGACGTTTCTTTCATAAAATCATTCGACGACAATAAATTGACAGAACTAATTCTCTCTGTAAATTATCTTGATATGAAGTCATTATTGGATATTTGTTGTGCATGCATTGCTGCAAGGTTTAAAGAAAGAAGTGTGGAAGAGCTGAGAGAAGAATATCATGTTCAAGAGGAATTTACTTTAGAAGTTGAGCAAGCTTTAAAAGCTGAGCACCCATGGGTACTGGAAGCTGATTATAGAAATAATTATGATAAAAGTTAATAGACTTGATATAAAAACTTGTTTCTGAAAGCATCATAATTAATAAAAATTGTTAATGGAGACTTTAAAAGTGAAAAAGTTATAGATACTTCTCTACAAAATTATTATAGAGGGGGCTTATAATCAGAATGAGAGAAGTAGCTCTTTTAGCATTAATGAGAGGAGTTCCACATACAGCTAAAGTTTTGGGATTAGAGGAAAGGCAAATCCAAGAATGAATGAAAGAGCTCAAATATGATGACCCATTTTTTGACTCTTTAAGAAGTTTGGTTTGGGAAAATATCAAGCAGCACGGAATTGAAGAAACAGCAAAACAATGAAAAGTCTCAACCTTTTCCCTCGAGAAGCTTAAAAGCTATTATGAGTCCCACCCTGATCATAAACCAATTATCACTCCAGATTGCACCAAACCTTACCATTTTAACGCTGACGGGAGTTTACCAGTAGAAATCCCTGAAAGCCAAATTACCTACAAACCCAGCCAAACTGAAAAAAATCCAGAAGAAAACAAAAATTTCTGATTTGACAAAGAAGACATGGAACTTGATGACCCTCCAGAATCCTCAACCTCTCAAAGCAACGCTATTAGCTTTGCTAATAGCAATAGCTATGAATATATTAAAACAGAAATAAACAATTATAGCAGTTTGCCAGAGATAAATGACATGTTTGAAGAGTGATATGAAGAAGATGACTATGAAGTATATGTAGAAAAATTTAAAGTTTTGGAAGAAGAGGAAGAAGGAAAAGTAAAAAAAGGTTCAGCCCCAGAAAACGAAGTTGTAGGAGCATTTGATTTTATTGGAGGAATCGCAACAGTTGCTCAGCCTGAAAAAGACCATATTGATGCTGCTACAAAATTGATGATTGTTGGGGAAGCTTTGAAAGAAGGAGGTGGAAAATTTGCAGCGACGGCTAATAAGTATGGAATTAATAGAAAACAGCTGAGAAAGTGGGTGTTGAAATTCCAAACTAGTGGAAATGTATTCCCAACAACGCTAACTGGAAAGGCACCATCAGAAACTCTGCAGGCAGTGGCTAAAGAGTTTTTAGACTCAGAAGATGAATTGACTGTTTTATAAATTAAGAGTTTTATTTATAAAGACTACTTTCTTCATTGTATAAATCCTAAAGTTTGAGGTTATAAATCATTATTCCATTCGACTTCTTCGTATTCATAAATTTCGCAATTGTTAAGCCATCTGAAAGTAGACCCATTCTCATTATGTTTCATTGTGAAAAATTTGAAAAAATTAGAATGTGAAACTAAGGCCACGTTTCCGTTTAAAGTACTCTTTTTCCAAACTTCTTTGGATTCTTGTGCTCTCTTATACATGTCTTCCGCAGACTCGATTTTTTCTGGAATCATTGAAACCATTTCTTCTAATTTTCTCTATTTTATTAATAATTTTATTTTTGATTACTCCCCCTATCCTTGATCGAACGGCTCGCCATTGTTCGACCAAGGATGGGGGTTAAAAAAAATTTATATATAAAATAAAAAAATATATTTTTTTTTTATATATTTTTAATAGGAGGGTCAAGATATTTAATAATTATTTTTACAGCAAAAAATTGAATTAATTTCATAAGAATACCAATTTTTAATATTTTGATTTTTGGTTACCCCTTTAAACTGTATAAATTTTAATTTGTTTCTTATTGAATTAAAAATTTTAAATTTTAAAGAATCTCTATTTTTTAGATTATTGAGTTTTTAAGCCCAGATTGATGACTAAAGCGCTTCAGATGGTTGATTCCGTAGCTTTTTGTAATCTCAAAACCTCTGACAGCAACTTCATTAGGCACATCTCCCAAGCTTTTGATAAATAATATATTTTTTATATATATAAAAATTTGCATGATATGAAAATCGTTCGATCAAGAATGGGGGTTAATTTTCCAATTTTTAGGAATTTTTACAGTCAATCGTTCGATCAAGGATGGAGGGGAGTTAGAATAAAGGACTTAAAAATATAAAAAATTCCTGTATGAATGGACAAGATAGCATATAAATATTTTTATTTAACTTCAATTATAATAATTATAGCCCAAGCCTTCTTTTGACTTGGCTATCTTGATGTCTCCAGCTCAAATTGGCCAGTTGGGTTTCCGACTTTTTTTGTAAAGCAAACTCGTTAGATGGAAAATCCATATTGAAGATTTTTCATCTGGGGAGTTGTAGACCCAGTGCCCTATTTCTATCGGAAAGACAGAAAGTCCAAGCCAAAAGGAGGCTCAGGCTATACTCAATAGTAACTTTTAAAAGTATAAATTAATAAAATTGCGTTAAAGCTTTATTTAAGGTGAAGTATTAAGAGCTTTCTAGGAATGTCATCAATTGGGAGTGTTTTAAGTTTAGCTGTGTGTGCATTTATTACAAGATCAAATAAAAAATAGTGATTTGGCATTAAGCTTCAATCAAAATTTGGAAATTGAGGGTATGGAGATCCTTGCCAAACGGAAACATCAGGTACGTTTTTTAATTTTTCGGCTAAAAGAGGATGGACGATTATATTAGGATGATCAGGGTGGTTTTCAAATAAAATTTGTGCAGTGCGGAGAGCTCGGCGGAAAGGAGACACGAATACTGTTTGAACTCGAAGGGCATGAACTCCTGGGATTGCATTAAGAGCTTGATCTTCTCCATATGAGGAAAGCTCTGCATCCATATACTCAATGTTTCATTTGAGTTCATGCATTTGTGACTTTTTATTTTGGTTTTCATATTCAAGTGCTGCTTGGTTATATGTACTTTGTGCGTGACGGATACAATATAAATGCTTTCTCTCCATTTAATATGCTCTCTGTAGATTATTATTTGATTAAATCATTATAACATCATATATGTTGAAATATCACTCTTGAAGGCTTTTTTGCAATAAAATTGATGAGATCATAAAACTGTTTGAGTTTCACTTGGAAAAATTTATTTATATTTTAATCAAATGCTTTCAAAATTTATTAGCCACAGTTAGGAATATATTTAGATTTATTCTCCGTCATTATTAAATCTACAATCTCATGTCTGATGAGCATAATATTTTATGAATTTGTTTTGGCTATGTTCATTTTATTCATGTTACTATAAAGCAATCGTCAATTTAAAGCACTAAAAATTGAACTTGATAATATTTCTCTGCTATATTTTCAAAAGTTCTAAGTAACCTCAATAATTAGTAAAATTTATTCTATCCTTCACGAACTCAGGCCTTTGAGACAATTAACTAAATTTATAAGAGATAAATGCATAAAACTATAGCTTCTTTCGCATTAAAAAAATCTACGACTGACTTCTTCTTAACGAGCGAAATATTTTAACGAATAAACAATTTAAGGCAAACTGAATTTCAAGAAGCTAATCTGGGCTAAAAGCACACATAGATTTTCTTTGTCCTGTAAGCCAAATTCTTGAAAAAGAAAGACCTTATAATCGCTAATACTGGGAAATGTGATAGAGTTAATCCTTTATATAGGTGTCTTACAGCTACTTTAAAATATGAGAAAGTCCAAAATTAGAAAAATAAAAATATGCGAAAACTCTCTATGATTCAGGAAGGGCATATCAATAGTTTGTTTCTCTAAGTGAGATCTTGATTGCTCATTATAAACACATAAATAAGCCAATTATAATTGCAGCTTACATAATTTTGTTTGAAATGCTAAGTGAAATAAAACAAAAGATTTCCATTTTATTAATAAAAATAGTTTTTTCTCCTATAATTAATAAAGTGCGCAAATTAATGCAAAGCTCATGCATCCCAGAATTCTTAATGCAAAGGGAAATTGAAGGCTACTCTCATATTCCATCATTTTCTAGGATTGGGAAACGGTCCTGAACCATGGCTGTAAAGATTAATTTAGGATACAATATCAAATCATGACCAACACGAATTCAAGCCAAATTCATCAATAGTTCTTACCATTAGCAAAGCTAATCACCTGATTATCATCGATAAGTATGGTCGATGCAATTATCGCTCAATTTTTCCATTTACTAATCCGTTACAAATAACTAAATCTTGAGAATTATGCGTTAAAGCGCTTTTTTGGGAGAATGACCTTATCATTCTTTTAAAGCAAAAAAACTCAGAAATAATAAAATTCTACAAGATTAGATTAAGCTGCTTGGAAGAAAATGCAATATTTCGAAAGGAAATATTATTTGACAAGAAACTGTTATTTAGCCAAATAGATAAAATAGATTATAAAAGAGGAGTCTTTACCTATAGAGGGAATTTACTCTTATAGATTACAATAGAGTCGTTTCTGCCAATATCGAGTAAGATCTGATATATTTATCTTGTATGACTTGCCAAATAAGCTTTGGCAAATCTCCCAAAAAAAAGCATAGGCTGTGAGCTCTACTTAAGAGGCTAACAGCTTAAAGATGCCAAATTTGGCCTCATATAAATAGAATCGACTTATGAGGACTAGTTGCATTATGTAGCTATAATACTATTGCAGAATTTCAAGTATGAGATATAGTTGGAGGAGCTATAATGGTAACTTTTGCAAAATCTCAAGAATGGCAGCTGAAATATTCAAATTGCTACATTTTAAGGTACAAAAATATTATTGAAGGGGTTCTAATGGAATTGCATAAGATTGATAAAAATTTCAAAAGAAAATTGCAGATTATGGGCTTGAAGACACCATTTGATGTTGAAGTAATAAATGAGTCAATTATTTGCTTTGTAGGTGCCCTAATTTTTGCAGTGAATTTTATAACCTCAGATATGAAAATTATCAATGAAGGAGCAATAAATAAATGCTATGAACTAGAAGGCGACAATATGATAGTCAATTTTTGAAATGGAAAGATCCTACTTTTGCCAAATTTTGAAAAACTAATTGAACTTAATGTCTTTCATTTATTGGTCTGCGATAATGAGCATCTTGCAGTTGTTTTTGATAAAACAGCAAGCATTGTTTATATAATAAATAAAAGTGACTGTATGTTGATAAACACAGTCAGCATTCCAAGAGAATTAAATTTAAGCACTATTGGAATAAATGAAGATACGTACCAAATATTTTTGGGCACGAAGAGAGGTCAGATATGCATTTTGAATTAGTTTTCTTAAAGAAAATTATCTTAATTTAAGAAAATAGTTCATTAAATTATAAATGACACTAAAAATAAAGGGTGTATTGTTTCGATTTTATTTAGTTTAATTTGTATACACAATTATTAAATTTATTAAAATTTTATTGAAGGAAATTCATTATGTTTATTTAAAATTTAGTCTTTATCATTTATTTTACGACAAAATTACTATGAGTCACTCTCGAGCTCGAAGTACAAGCTGTCGAAGATCTTTCGACATAGATCCTACTTATCTCAAGCTTCAAATCGCTTTAAAAGAATGCGAAGAGTTAAAAGAAACAGTCACCTTTGTCGAATACTATTTAGCCAAATCTAAATCTGATTCAAAAAATCTCACAATCTCTCTTCAGTCCTCAGAAGCTTTTTCCAAAGAACTCAAAGAAAAACTTAAGTCCCAAATTCTCTTAAACACAAATTTAAACAGAGAAAACAGCACACTCCACTCAGAAATCGAAAAATTGAAATCTCAAATAGTCCTTGAGAAAGAAAATCTGAGTTCAAATTCCAATAAATGAGAAGTCGAAAAGCAAGTGTTAAATGAAAAAATCAGAAGTCTTCAAGAAACCTTGACTATGGCAAGAGAAGAAATCGATATGTACAGAAGGAAAAAATTCTTAAATAAAACCAAATTAATTACGTTAATGCAAAAAGTAACTGGCGATTGGACAATTATGCCTGTTGCTGAAATAGAAGACACAGAAAGGAATTGTGACTCTTCAATAGAGTTTTGTTCAAAGGTGCCAAGGCTCAAAAAGGAAATAACGCGCTTGGCGAATGATAACGACAAATTAGCAAAAATTATCCAAAAATCTCCAGGGCTTGAATATTTTGCTGACTCCCCCCATCCTTGATCAAACGGCCCGCCATCGTTCGATCAAGGATGGGTTAAAAACAATTTTAGAAAATAAATTTTATATATATAAAAATTTGCATGATATGAAAATCGTTCGATCAAGGATGGGGGGCTAATTTTCCCAGTTTTTAGGAAATTTTACAGTCAATCGTTCGATCAAGGATGGGGGGAAGTGAGCTTCAAATTGATTCAGGAAATGTGACATATAACAATGAAAAAGCCAAATGCAGGAAAAAGAGCTGTGGCGCTAACTCAGGGACTTTTATAGGGGATGATTGAATTCCTCTTCCTGTTTATAATGCAGTTAGAGATTTTAATTCAGCCTATGATGACCCAATACTGAATGCTGCTCTAAATCAGCTTTTGGTGAAGCTTAATTTAATCTGGCAAAAAAGAGAAACGATAAAAGTGGAAAGAGAAAAAGAAAAAGCTACAAAATTCATCAAAAAAATGAAAAGCAAGGCTTTTTCGCTGAGCCAAACTCCTAGTTCTTTGAGAAAAACATTAAAGCCTACAAATAAAAAATGCTGTTATTGTCAAAGCAATGATACATATACGGATAAAACAGAAATTTCCAGGAAAATAAAAGACAGATATGAAGATGTGTCAAAAGCATTGGAAGTGATGATAAAAGAGTATTTCGATATTAAAACCAAAAATATTTAATTATAGCTGATAAGGTTTTTCAGTTCAGAAATATTCCCCGATGCAGAGCCTGAATTTCAGTAATACAGAGCTAGCCCTAATCCGCTTTCAAGGTTGGATTTTTTAATCCTGGAAAGCGGAGTTTGGAGTTGGAAATGGATTTCCCAGCAAAGCCTGAGGCCATTTGCCGATGGCAGGAAATGCCAAGACCAATCGGACAATTTTCCAATGAGGAACCAAGAGTTACGCCTTGGACTTCAAGTTTCCACTTTTGCCGAGCGTCGACCTGAATTTCAATTTTTTTTGAATTTCTGTGAGAGACATGCATTCAGCTTAACTTAACTTATTAACCATCACGTTTAACGTCTCCTACGGGGTTGCTCTTCCAGGACTACCACCACGCTCTCGTCGCTCGGGGCCCACTAGTTGCTGGGACAACTAGCTTTGATCTCCAACGTGGGCCTCCTGCGCAATGTTCCGGCTTCGACGACTCATGAATGAGCTACTTTCTCTGTAACGAGGGTTGTCTGCTGGGAAATTCCAAAAAATGGGATTTCTGGCTGACTTTCGGCAAAAAGGGGAAAACTTGTAGCCCGGGGGGCGAAACTCCCGGTTTCTCGCTAGAGATTTGCCCGAATGGCCTAGGGATTACCTGTAGGCGCTGCTGGGCTTCTCCTTTCCAACTCCAAGCCTCCTCTTCCCTCGAGGTAAAATCCTAACCCGAGAACGGACTGGGATCAGGCTCTGTACACTGCCAGAATTGCTTACCTGATATTGCTGTCCATCTCTAGCTAGGCAAAACCTTGCCGGATATAATTAAATAGGGCTTGAAACTGTCTGGCCGAGAGGCCAGACCCAAGTTGAGACGCCATATTTAATTATGACATGCATTCAGCACTCAGAAATTGGAGCTGGAGGTGTCCTCATCAAGCCACAATTTCGGATGTCCATGGCATCAGGGTTTGAAAGAGGAGCAAGTCAATTTTCAGACTCGCTGCTTGAAACGAAGAGTTGCTTGCTGACAGGGATATCGAAAAGCAGATAAATCCATAGGAATTTTTGGTGAGCGCGAAATCAAAAAAGCCTAGCCTACCTGCTAATTAAGGCTAAGATTAAGATATTAAAGACAGGAGCCCAACATCTGCTAGAAGGGATGAAGAATGTTTGATAGTCTCAATCTTAGGTGTCTTAGGAGAGTTCACTGATAATTTAATATCTATACTTTAAATAAATTATTATAAGTTAGGTAAAACAACTCCTCCATCAATTCTTAAAGTTTGCCCTGTGATGTATTGGTTTTCAATAATGAATTTCGCTGCAAGTGCAAATTCTGAGGCTTCTCCAAAGCGCCTTAAAGGAATTGCTTTTAATAATTTTTCTGATACTTGTGGAGCTATCAAGCTTCCCATCTTGGTTTCAAAAGGTCCTGGTGCAAGAGCAGCCACCCTTATTTTATAATAAGCAAGGTCCCTTGCAAGAGGAAGGGTCATTCCAATAACTGCGCCTTTGCTGCTAGCATAAGCTACAGTGCCTTGTTGACCTTCAAATCCAGCAACACTTGCAACGTTAACTATGACTCCTCTGTCCTTTCCAAACATAGGCTGTGAAATCATTTGTTTTGCAACCAATCGAGTCACATTAAAAGTGCCAATGACGTTTATCCTGAATACTTCCTCAAAAGAATCTAAAGGATGGGCTTCTCCTCTATATAGAGTTCAAGCGGCTAAAGGAACCCCAGCACAGTTAACAAGAACATTTATTTGGCTGAATTTGGAAAGTGTTTCTTTTATCGCGTCTTCGATGCTTTGGGTATCTCCGATATTTACTTTGCAAAAAATTGAGTTAGGTGATAACTCTGATTCTAAAGATTTGCCTTCTTGCTCGTTCATGTCCCAGATAGCAACTTTTGCACCACTTTGAGAGAGGAGTCGTGCTGTTGCAGCACCAAGGCCGGAAGCTCCGCCTGTAATGACACAAACTGAGTTCACCAACCTCATTTTTATTTAATCCAACTCAATACAATTTGCAATGAAAAACACAAATCATGAGGCTTATTATATTGATGTTTTTGTTTGCTTTAGTTATGCAGCTATTTATTTATCGTATTTCAGCAATACACATGAATAATATTAAAGCGTTTTAAATCAAAATATGCATTAAATACAATTAATTTTTTCATAAAAATACCAAATAATATAATAATTATTTTTATAAAGACTCACGAAAGATAATGGTCATATATTATGAATGTTTAGCAATACAGTACATTTTGAAAAAGAAACAGGCCTAGACTCTATTTAAAAGAAAGAGATTTTATAATAGTGCTATTTATCTATCTAATCTAATCCCTAGTAATTTGGCCTTCATAGATTATGATGCATGCAATCTTGTTCATTCTGAAGCAATTCTATTGAATTGGACTATATCGCTTTTATATAATCTGCCAGCTTCAGGTTCTGCGCAGTTCTTAATATCAGGAGTCTCTACTAGTTTCTGAAGTGAGTCCAATATGCTATTTAAAGAATTCGTTGGGCTATAATTTTTCATTAAACTTATATAGCACATCGTCCCTCCTCTGGCTCTTATATTTGGATGATAAATTTTTGTCAGAAATTTAATATCTGGTGACTGAAAAGGATACGTCGAAGGAAATGAAATTTTTATGTAAAATATACCTCCCTTATAAGGAGAATTATCAGGGCCAACTATTGCTCCAGTTCAGCTGTGTATATTTTCAGAGTTTGTAGGTCATGCTGAATGGAGTGCTGGTGGGCTGTTTTGTATATTTTTCAGTTCTTTTGTAATTCTAGTCTTATTGGAGTCTCTAGACCTCATTTTATTATAAGAATCAATATTAATCTATTCATTCTTTATTAGAAGAATCAATATTAATTTATTCATTCTACAATTACACTTTTTTTTTAAAACCAAAATTATGGATATTGAGTACTTTTTACTTATAGTGCCATTATGTGGTAGCTTTTAAGTAAATTTCTTTACCCCTAACTCTGCTCGCCATTATATTACCGCGCACTCAAATGCAAGTTCGAATAATTTTAATTAATTGCTTACTCCCTATTTATTCGAATTAGATGACTCTAAACCAACCTCTGCTCACCTTAGGTCGAAAAGCCTAGATTTTATGAAGAACAAAGATTGGCGCATGCATAGCTTATTTAATGCTATAAATTTAGTTAGCTCCCCCATTTAATAACGAACAAAATTTACTATAAAATTTATATTTATATAAGCTAATTTAGTCTTTACAATTTACTAATTTTAAGTAGGTAGTGTAAGATAAGGACAAGCATAATCGAAAAAGAATAATAAATAAGAGCTAATAAGTTGCTAGTGACTTAATCTTAAGCTGGTGCTTTAGCAATAGCTACCTTGTCGCCTGCATTTAGGCGCTTTCTCTTTCTGTTACCATCATTTGACTCCATTCTATCATTTAGACTTATTCCTTAACCCTTTGATTGAAATTTTTATAAAAAACAATTATAGATATTTAATATAAATTTTATATATGCCTTTTTCCCAAAAATTTTATAAGTTAGACCCCATTTAATAAAGTGTTCGTTATAAATAAGGGAGGGAATAAGAGAGAATATCATGCATCTTTCTCTAATTTAATTTACTATTTCCTCTAAAACACCATGACTTTAAATATCTTATATTGTAATTTAGGTAATTATATATTTATATCCTTCTAAAATGAACAGGAAATTGCTCAGCTGGCACTATTACAAGAAGCTAAAGCTCAAAAATAAGCCAAAAATGATAATTTTCCATCTTGTAGAAACCTTATTAACTTAATACTTATGATTTTAAAGATTCATAAACAGTAAATTACTTATGCTGCATACCTTCTTGTCCACTCTCTTGCAGTTGCATCATATCTTGCTCTGTCATTTTTATAGAGATGTGCTATTTCAGGCACTAATGGGTCATTTGGATTTGCATCTGTTAGCAAAGAGCTGATTGAGAGTAAGACTTTGCTGATTGTCAAGGCAGGGCTCCATTGGTCTTTTAATATATCCAAACATATCCCTCCATTAGCGTTAATGTTGGGGTGATAAATACGAGTTGTGAACGTCACTTTTGGTGGTTTGAATGGGTAGTCAGTAGGGAATTGGATATTCAAGAAAAATACTCCTCCCTGATATGGGCAGTCATCTGGGCCTATTAAAGTGGCGGTCCAGTTATAAAGGTCATTATCATCAGTTGGACCTGCACTACAGTTTGTAGGAGGATCGCGCTGAAGATCTGCGAGTTCTTTTTGGATTCTTTTAAGTGCCATTTATTATAATAGAGTTCTAACTTAAATTAAATTTATCAACATCTTTTGTATAAAATGCTATCCCTATTTCTTCTGACCAAAGTTGCATAGAAAAAATTTCTAAGTTGCGAAATGGAGAGGGAAAAGCGGCGAGCATGTTAGGATTATTTAAATCAGCTGCTAGCCATATTGTGGCACAGTCACCAAATAACTCCTACACGGGATTTCAACCACATTTTGAGAGGGTCTACCCAAAGGTGTCTGCTACTTTCGGTTCCTTTGCCTCCTCCTTTCCTTGCAGCTTCAATCTTGAGTGAGAGGCTTATGAATTTCTGTGGTCCTGCTATGGATGATTGGAGTATCTTGATTTCTAGATTAGCTCCTTTGAAGTCTGCCCAATAGCTACAGGAAAAAGACTACTCCCCTACAACCTAGCTGAAACCCCAGTTTTTCGGTAGAGCAAAGCCCATGGGTCCTTGGATCCAAAGGACGTTTTCGGGCACCTCTCACTTTTCAAGCAGAGTAAGGTACCAAAATTTATCCTGATACAGATCTTCTGGCTGTGTTTGATTCTCGGAACGGAGTCGATCCCACTTCGCAGGATCCATAAGGTCTGGACTGTTGCGCCAAGAGGGGAGGTTGATACGCGTCGCCATTTTAATGTATATAAAAGCGGCAAGGAAGAAGGAAAATTTATTTGAATCTAAACTTGAACCTCTAAAAATTTTATTGGAAAAGTTATAAGGTTCTTGCAAAGAGAAGACTCTGGAACCTTTAAAACTCCATTATTTCGATGAAGATAATGATATTTTATTTTTAACTCTTAAGGGATTAGAAATGAAATTTCTTTCCAAATCAATAAAATCAGGTTCTATTAGGATAATAATAATTAATTATATTTGCTTAATTGTAAAATCATATGAATTACAGCACCAGCAGTAAGATTGTAGTCGCTTAGCCTACTTTCGTCATTCAGCTGTCGTCTTTCAAAAATTAAGCGAAACTGTTCGACACTGATTCCTTCCTTCTCTTGCAACGCTTGTTTCACTTGAATAACAATGTTATCGAGCTCAAAGTTCATGGGTTTCTCCTTCCCAGTCAGAGTTTTTATAATTATTTGCATGATTCCTTAATTATACAAAAATTAAAAAATAAGACCGCGATATCTTCTAAATAAACAATTGCATCATGGCAAGCTGCTCTATTTTACCGTTTTTCAATTAAAATTTTTCAGCATAATTTAATTTGAATAATAATTGAAATGATTTAATTTTATTATTTATGGCCCTCATGCTTTTTCTTTTTCTTTTCTTCATCAGAAGAGCTTGAAGAAGATGATGACTTTTTATGTTTCTTTTCGTGATTCTTCTCTCCTTCTTTCTTCTCCTCAACTTCTACTTTATCTTTAATTGGCTCAGCCTTTTTCTGGGCTAAAAGTCCAGCGAATTTTGAGCTTGTAGCTGCTGATGGCTTTTGCTTTAAAACAAAGCTTCTAATTCCTGTTGGCGTTAAAAGTTTAGCTGTTTCTATATCTTCAAAAGTCTTTAAAAAATTCGCCAATGAAACATTTTCATCAGAAGTCTTTGTAAGCCCAATAAATCTATTCGCTAAAGGTGGTTTTGCTTTATCTTTTAATTGGATCAGGGATAAAGCATATTTTTTAATATCATCTTCAGTCATCTGAAAGTGCGGATTTTCATTGAACAAGCGGGGAAGCCGATTTACTGAAATTTCGATCATATCTTCAACTAATCCAAATATCTCCACTTTTGCAATAGCTTTGGCGTTTATGTGGTCACGGGTTTGGAATAAAAGCTTGGCTTTTTCTTTGGAATTAGATTGACTTACTCTGCCCTTTAAGAGAAGCAAACTATTGGAAAATGCCTAATTTTTGGAAACAATTTTAACGTATTATTTTTTATTTAAAATATTTTTATGTATAATTAATAATGTTTATAACGATCTCTAGCTGGTTGTATTAAATTTTAAAAATTCTAAATATAAATATTATATATTAAATTTAATTTTCTTTCCATATATTTCAATTGGATTTTTATATCTAAAATAGCTTATTACACTAATATTGGATTGAATCCTATGCGTGGAAAAATTATTCCACATGTGGAGTTCTAAATTAGAATGCCACCACATTTAGAATTAGTTCTACTCATAGAATAATTCTCCAACTGTGGAGACCCTATAAATGCATTTTATAAAATTTAATATAATTTTTTTTCAACTTCATTTCGACTGAGTAGAGAAATCTTGATTGTATTTAAAAGAGGAGTTAGCATAATCCCAAGAACTAAGAGATGGCGCATATGAAATTTGCCTTCAGGGCCTTTGAAAAGATTGAAGAATTCAACAACCTTTTTATTTTGGGCGGTGTTGTCGGCTTTGAGATTTAAAGTTGAGACAATATCTCGCCATTGTTCGGCATTAATTTCATTGTTTGAAGAGTATTTCCTATGGCAATAGTCTACCATTTGGCTGCTGCATTTATTATATTGAAGGATATTTTCTGCATTAACAAGGCATTGCTCTTCTGGTGTGAGTTCTGATCGACTGTCAGCGCAGCCCATATTTATGGAAAACGACTACTAGTGATATCAGCGATTAGTTATTGGGTGTTTTTAAACCAAAAGCTTTGATATAAAATACTTAAAAGTCAATCAATGATATATTATGAAGCATACCCACAGAACATTAATTAATTTAAAATTATCAATAAATGAGAATTGTAGATGGTGGTCTTAAAAATGTTAAAATATCTTTTAAATTTTATTCAGAGATCCTTATATAAGGTTCTAAAAATCTAAATGAAGTTTTTTTGCCTGTCTGATAAATAAGCTTGCGCCATTTATTACCATCTTCATAGATTTACTAATTAATTATGATAAATAATTTATGAGAGTTTAACAGAAAGCCAAACCTTTAAAGGTAGTAAAATTGGTGCAAGTGCAATATTGGATGGAATAAGTTCTAAGATAGAAATGGCTAGCCTTCCTCTTTCTTGTGGATTTAAGTTTTTTGGATATTTCATGTTGCTTGCTCTCTTTTCCAAAGCACTGTATCCATTTTTTAAGAATGATATTGGGAGTACGGCAACTAATCTTTTTGTTGGGGAAAATGCATAGATAAGGTACCATAGCCCTAGCATTGAAATTGCACTTATGCCAAGCATATATCGTGCTGATTTAGTGATTTTTTCTTTTGGAACATGTCTTTTTTCAAGCATCTGCTCCATGCGATGATACATACCAGACATCTTTAAATATTTAATGGTTATCCATTTAATTTATTCTTAAGCAGATAGCAGTAATTGCTGAAAATTAATGCGCTTAGCTTAAAGCACATTCAACTCCAACAAGTAGGTTTATATTAACAAAATATGAGTTTTATTTTACCGATCAGAAGGAAAATTGATTGTGTATTAAAAAACTTATTTCAATGGAACATTTCTATCCAATCTATATTTTAAAATAGCAGCTAAGAATTAATTTATTTAATTGAATCGTAAGATTTTTAGCAGTTTGCTGCAATACATATATCAATGATGAGACATATTTTATATTGATCTCAGATCTTTTAATAAAATAATGGAACAAAAAACAATTTTTGAATAAACTAGCAGTGAAGAAAATGAACTTAAAAATTATAGAAAATCGTTAAAATTTAAGAGAAAATTTTAAAAGCTTTTATTTGCAAACAATTAAAATAAAGAAAGATTAGAAAAAATCAGTTATGAATTGTAAACAAATAAATAATGTTTAGAATTAAAATATATTAATTCTCATTGAATAAAAGACTCATCACCCTTCTAAAACATCTCAGGTTTGATCACAAATAAATGGAGCCTTCGCAGGAATTTAAAATTGTCACTCTTGGAGAAGGAAGGGTTGGCAAGACCTCCCTCACTCTCAAGGCTGCCCGTGGACAGTTTCACGAAGATGAAAGATCTACAGTCAATGCAAACTTTCTTCAAAAAGACATCAATTTACAAGGCACCTCGGTCAGACTTCACTTATGGGACACAGCAGGCCAAGAACGTTTTCGCGCTTTAGCGCCGAATTATTATAGAGGTGCCAAAGGAGCAATAGTTGTCTATGACATCACTGACAGATCTTCTTTTGACCGTGTAGTTTCATGGGTGAAAGAACTCTCCATGCAGGCTGATAAAGATATCTGTATAGTCATAGCAGGCAATAAATGTGATAAAGAAAAAGAACGGCAAATATCCAAAGCAGAAGCCATGGAATATGCCAGAAGAGTCGGCGTTTTGCATTTTGATACGAGTGCAAAAACTGGCTTAGGAGTTGAAGAAATATTCCAAGAACTTGCAAAGCTTGTTTATCAGGCACAAAGCCAAAAAACACAAAATTCTGGGGTAGGAGGACATAAAAGTAGAAAGGGGAAGAAAATAGTGATTCAGAAAGAAAATCAAACGGAGAAGAAAAAAGACTGCTGCTAATTAAGGTTATTGTATAACATAATTTACATGCGCTTTTTGAGACTGAAATAGCCGATTAGTGCTGCTGCTGCCAACGGGAAGATAGCTGCTTTTCCTATTCTGCTTGCTAGTTTTTGTTGCTTAGCACTTTCTTTCTTTTGCTTTTTTAATTGGCTTTGCTCCAAAAATACACGGTCAGACAAAATCTTGGTGCTTTTTATTGCTGACTGCAGAAAATAGCCAATTAAAAATCTATTGAACAATAAATAGTCACAGTGTCTGGGGTTGTTCATATCTGCGATTCCTCAAGGATATTGTCGTCCGTAAATACATCTTTCATTCAACTCTACTAAGGTTATCCCAGAAATGATTGCAAATGGCGGAGATAATCCTAGCGGCCCAGAAAACAGTTCATCTTTCAAAGATCCTAAGCAGCTTACACAATCAAAAAAAACTATATCTTCATATTGAGCCTGCTTGATAATGTTTTTCTTAAATCTTTTTATTTCTTCAATAGTGCAAATGTCTGCTTTTGCTAGAATAGGTATAACGTTTACGTATTTTTGCAAGATTTTTAATGCATAAATATCATTTTCCTTCAATTTTGGACCCTCAACAAAATACATGCAAAGATGAATCCTTGTGTCGTCTTTAATTGTTTCTGGGTTTGAAGAATTTCGCTTGTAAAATAACTTGATTTGTGTGATCAGGAATCTCTCGATGTAATTGATCCACGCTTTTATGTCTTTGAAATCACCACCATAGCCAGGGGTGTCAACCATATCAACTAGCAAAGTCAGATTATCCAATGTTTTTACAGCTTGATTATGGGTAATATCTTTTGTGGCTGGATAAATTCCTTTGTCTTCATGAAAAATAGAGCTGGAGATGTCAAAAAATTTGAGTGCAAGGTAGGTCTGAATAAAAGTAGATTTCCCTAAGCCAGAATCTCCAGCCAGCATTATATTAAAATGAACTCTGCCTTCTAATCCGAGACTAAGTAAAATGTTCATATCATGATCTAAAGTATCACTTGAAAGGCTTGAGGGCGAGGAGTTTGTGTTGCTTGAATCAAAATAGACTGATTTTACTGTGGAGGTAGATGATATTTTACGAAAGAGATAAGGCTCACTTTGTTCTTCTTGGTTATAATACATCATGGCTAAAGGCATGTTTTCTTGGATTTCTTGTAGTTCCGCAATATTATGAATTTGGTTGTCTCTCAAGAATTTCGCCATGATAGATTCCTCTTCAGGTAAGTTTAAGACTTGCTCTAAATTTTCACGAGTCAGATTTCTTTTTCCAGACATCATTGTTATCAATTTTAGATGCAAAAAGAAAAATATAAATTAATGCCGGTTTATTATAAAATTTAATAATTATTGGCATTGATTGTAAGAATTTAATAATTAAATTGCTTTTTTGTATATAAATCTTAAAAGGTATAGGAGACTCAAATTTTAAAAAATACTGATTATTAAATGGATGATTTGAAATGTTAGTCTAAATCATATAACCCATCAGAATGTATATCAAAAGTAAGGAGATCTTCAGTAAGACCCCCTTTTATCATTGTCGCACATCTTTGGCTGCTATTTTCTGCAATTCCTAAATAAAGACTGCTACTTAAAACTGAGCTTCAAGACTCACCAAATTGAGGTTTTTGTCCTCTGCCTTCATGAAAAGTAATTTTATTTGCCACAACGACAGCAAGTTTTCTGCTGCATGCAAGCTCTTGCATCTTAAGTCCAATTCTTGTCATAATTTTTGCTTTTTGAACATTGCTTGCAGTTTGCATTTCTTTAAGCAAAAATCCAATTGAATCAATGACAATCAGTTTGCAATTTAATTTTAAATATTGGGCGATATTATCTAAAAGCAGCAATAGCTGCTGCTCCGAAGTAACTCTTACATAGTCAATATTTTCTCATGTTTTTCTTTTATTTATTTCAATCCCTCAATTTTTAAGGAAATAGCTTGCATACCCTTCTGTAATTTGTCTCAACCTTGATTGTGAAAAATTTCCATCTGTGTCAATATATAAGCTGCAGCCATTTAATCCTCCAAGTTCTTCAGGGATTTGCACTGTATGGCAAATTTGCATAAGAATTTGTGTTTTTCCCATTCCTGGGCATCCAACAATTTCATGAACCCCGCCTAATCTAATTCCGTTTCCTAATACTTTATCAATATTTTTGCAAAGAGTAACGATCCTATCATTGATGACTCTCTGGTCTCTTAAGTAGGAATCTATTTTATTTTCATATATATGAGCCTGCTTAATTAGATCTTCAATTTGAACTTCAGAAATTTTGGTTTCTTTTGATATTTGAGCAGAATTTGATTTTAAAAGGTCAGATAGACTTATAAAGCCATGCTTTAGAAGCTTTGTCTTTATAAATGCAGTTGTATCAAGCAATGAAATTTCCCCATACATAAATAAATTTATAAATGAGAAAATTATAAGTAACTTAAAGTGCCAGATTTCTTCATTCACATAGAGCTATTATGTGTTACAATAAATGCTTATTGGGCTCAATCAAACTATATAAGACCAAAGATATGAAAAAAAGAAAACTATCAATTTAATTTTGGCTCATATTAATATAAATTTAAAGAATTAGTGTGTAGATGTGTATTCGGATTAAATGATTTATCTTGGTGCATAAATCTTTTGAATTTGTAATATGGGCAAAAGGTGGATGAACTACTGCAGCAATTTTGGGGAACTGATTGGGAGCAGCAGCAGCATGGAATGAGTCTTATATAAAATCTCCTTTGTAAGCAAATATCTTTGATAGCTTAGTTTTTTAAATAATGGAAAATATCACATGTGAAGAATATATAGTTTGTCAGAATAATTATGAATTCTAATTTTTAAATTATTAGTGATATTTTTATAAATCACTTGCTGTTGGAAAAGCTATGTGAAGTATTCAAATATACAAAGTGCAGCGATTTGCAATGGCTATTGATAGATGACGAACAATAGAATTCAATAGAACTTATTGCTAAGATTTTAATGAAGAATTAATTCAAAAATTATCTATTTAGTATGAATCTATTTCGAGATAGATCAAGGATAAGGAAGCTTATTATTACAATTTATCAAAAGTCGTCTATAAAAAATTTGTCTTTTAGATTCTTATTAAATATGTATAATAATTTAAATTTTGCCAGAAAACCAAAAATATAAATAATGATTCTTTATATTACTTTGGAATAATTTTAATTAGAAAAACCATAAGAAAAATAGAAATGGAAGCTTAAAAGTTGTAGTCTTATTAAAATTCCAGTTTTCTAGAGCCAATTATTAATAAATTTCTTCTTTTCTTCAATAATATATCTCTCAAAAAATAGTTTTCCATACTTTATGTTAAAAAAACAGTTTAATGCATCTTAAAAATAAATCTCTAGAAGTATAGCTCATCCATACTAATTGATCCCATCATTTCGATATCTTCCGAAAGATCAGGCTAATACAACAATTTATCTCGACAAATCCAATCCTTGATTAAAAATCCAAACCTATTTAAGACTTTGTCTCACAAACCCAACATAGTATTTCATTAGCCTGAATACCCTATATCAAAGCTATTTTTGGTGAACTATTAATAAACCAGTTAATAATGGACGAATCAGACAAAGCTTATCTTCGCAAGCTGAACTCCATGGACAGCTTCACCAGCCTAAGCAGCTTTTCAACATCTCAAACTTCCTCATCAAGCTTTATGAGCAAATCCTTATCATTAAAGCCTGATGGGAGCCCAGATTTAAAAAACGACAACAAGTGTCACATTTGTGACAAAAAGTTTTCTCTTACCAACAGGCGCCACCACTGTCGCTATTGTGGAAATTCCATATGTGAAGATCACAGCATCAAGCGTCGGGTTAATGGCGAAGCTAAAAAAATAAGGATGTGTGACAATTGCGACAGAGAAATAATTTCTGGAGAGATCAAGGACGAAATAGAAAACGAAATCAGCAGGCTACAAAATGAAGTTCAACTAGTAAGAGAGCTGAACGAAAGACTAGCTAAAGAACACAGCGAAAAGTTCTCAAAGGTGAATAATCTGGAAGCAGAACTAACTAACGCAGAAAAAGCACAAAAACAAAAAGAACAGACTTTGCAAGACAAGCTAAATCTAGAGCTAGAAAGAGGTGAAAAAGCAAGAGCAGAAGTCGACGAACTGAGAAGAGCTTTAGAGCAGTCCCACACATGTGAAAGAGAAATCGGCGACAAGTGCACAGCATATGAAGCAAGACTTGCCAACCTAAAATCAGAGTCAGAAACCTTAAGAGAAAGAAAAGAAGAATTGATCAACCAGGTCGAGCACTTGACAAATAAATTGAAAGGAAGCTTGCCTCTTGACCAAATCAAGATGGTCCTATGCCCCAGGTGCCAGCAAAAGCTGAACCAGACTTATCGTCCATTTTCTATGAACGGCTCAGTGCTCGAAGATGAAGGGGAGTCCTAAATGCTAAAGCTAAAGACATGACCGAGTTTTATGTCTGATTAAAATAGATTTGCTTTAATATGAAATGGATATAAAAAGTAATGGTGAAGCTTGAAAATTACACTGGTCTCACTAAGAAGCAAGAGGACTTATTGAAGAAAGGCTACTGCCATGGCAGTCTTGCACTCCTGAATTTCAATCTTGCCCAAACTGACTTCACCTGGCACACCCGTGCTTCATACAGCAAAAACGGGACAAAGGAGCCAATAATTTCTTCATGGATTCAGTTCAAGCAAGGTCTGGCTTCTTGGAAAGCTAAAAAACGCACAGACGGACTTTCTCACTTCGTTTTTGACTGGACCCCTAAGGACTATGTTGCGAATCTTAAATTGAAGACTGAGTGCAAGACTCAGAAGGTAGGCTCAACTCCTCAAACTGAGCCAAGCTTCGCTGTTGAGTACACTCATCCAAAAGCTATTGGAAAACTCGTCTTTTTGGGAGCTCCATTGGTTGTTAAAGGAAGCTTGACATTGGGAACTCCTGCTTATGGGCTGGGACTTGATGGGAAATTCTCGACCCAATCACAGAAGTTGACTGCTTATAACCTTGCTGCCTGGTGGTTCAGAAAGCACTCAAGGTTGGTTGTAAAGCATGTAGGAACTAACACTGAAGAAATCGCTTTGGGCAATTTGGAGCTATCTTATTATCATAAATTGAGCCCTAAGGTACACGTGGCTACCAAGGTTACCAATGAACTCAAAGGAAAAGCAACCAACTTCGAAATTGGAGGTGACTACAAACTTGATGACAAAACCTTAGTGAAGGCAAAAGCTGGAACTTGCGGAAGCTTTGCTCTTGGATTGGCAAGACAGCTCAGTGACAACTTAAAGCTCACCCTTTCCACAGGCCTAGATTCTAAAGCAATCACTGCCTGCGACTTGCATGACTTCAAGTTTGGATTTAGATTCGATTATTCTCAATAATCTTAAAGAAAATATTTCCAATTTTATTATGTATAATATTAAATCTAATCTGCCATAATAGACAGATTTATCTGCATATTTAATAGTGAATTGAGAATTGATAAATAAAAAATGTAGAAAATAAATCATAATATTTACCTTGTTTATTCTAGTAAATTGCATCTTAATTTAATATTAAAATACAATTTTTTAATAAATGGTTCAGCAAACAGTATTTTTCGATATTTCAAATTTAAATTATTCCGCTTTTGAGAAACCACACAATATTAAACAATTTTTTTAATTTTATATTAAATCAATGTTCTATTTTGAAGGGTTTTAATAAGGGAATTACTTACATCACAATAATTTTCTTTCTCCCAAGGCCGCCTTCGATCAAAAGACTCTTTATAAAATTGTTATAGCCTGAAGGGCCACAAACCCAAGCTCTGTCAGGATTAGATCCTGCATATTTCTTAATGATTTCTGGGAAGTTCATGTCTTTAGCTTGCTTGTCTACCATCACAACAAATTTGAACTTATCTTCACCCAGAATTCTAGAAGTCTCTTCGAGCAGGTCTATGCAAAATGCATCTTCAACGGTTCTGAATGATGCAAATAATGTAAGTTTCAAGGAAGAAGGATTATCTTTTGACAACCACAAATAGTGAACAACATCTAAAAATGGAATTATTCCAGTGCCTCCTGCAAATCCTAAGTAATTCCCTGACTCCCCCCCCATTTAAATTGAAACAAAATATAGGTAAAATTCCTACTTTTTTGGGAAATTACCCCCCCTTTAAATTGAAAAAAAATTTTATTATAATAGAAAATTTTATAGGTAAAAATCATTTTTTATATGTAAATACGTTAATACCCTATTTAATATGCTTCAAACATATAAGATTTAGAAATTAAACTCTATTTTGTCCAATTGTTATCGGGAGAGTTAGAAGAATACCATTTCAGCAAGTTTACACTTTGAGATTGAGAAATTTATGAATTAATTTTTCATGAAATTCTTTAAATTTTTATATAATTTATTTTCTATAAAATTTTATCTCTGAAAAAATTTTTTTATATATAAATATTTTTTATAAAAAATTTTCTTAACCCCCCTTTAAATTGAAACAAAATTTTTTGTTTCAATTTAAAGGGGGGGGGGGAGTGAGTAATTGTTTAATAATAATCCAGGCCCAAGAGGACCTTTTAATTCTACAATGTTTTCAGCTGATAAATTGCTAAGATATTGGGTTATTTTTCCAAGACCATATACTCTGTATATCAACTGCAAATTTCCTTCGCTGCAAGCTGGATAATTATTGGATAACTTTCCACTATTATCTAATTCTTGTGCCCAACTATGGAGATCGGCAAAAAAGGCACTGTAATATCTTGAAATCGCAGTGCCGCCAATTTTTGCTGTAACTTTAAAGTGCTTTCCAATATAAGATGGTTGTAATTGCTCTTGACTAAGTCGAAAATGAGGCGAACTCAATGAAATGAGCCTTGTGGTTTCATTTAAAGCATGCTGGAAACTGACTGCCCAGTGCATCAAATTGTTGGTCTCGCTTTCATCAAGCTTTTCTAGGTATCCTTCAGGATATGGAACTTTCGCAATTGCAAGTTTTTTAGTGTAATCAAATGCAGGCCGAGAGTGCGCATATGGCATTAGCTCCCCATTAATGCTACTGCAACCCACCATATACTTTCCTGCATCTTCTCCAATAGTATCTCGTAGCATATATCCACCACCAGGATGAGAAGTGATAAAGGGACCGATATTCATCACAAGCTCATCACAAAACATCAATTTTGCTCCCTCTTTCTCTATCATTTCCATTGCTTCTTGATGACTCATTTCAGGCAGTTTTTTTAAACACAAAAATCCCGGTTTTCAGAAAGACAATTGATGCCTTAACTCAAATAGAAACATAATAGCCAAACAAATGGCCAGCATTATATCGTGCACTATCTCCATTGACATGATAGCAAAACCATAAGTATTGTTCATTAGGGCTAAAATAAGTAGTCCATAGCCAATTGCTTTGTGAGCTCTCCTTACTTGTGAAATAATGCTGAAGACTGAAGATTTAGTTTGGAGGAATTTGCAGATTAAGCCTATGAAGCCCTGGCCTAATATTAGACAAGTGATTATAAACCCGAGTCTTGAATGGTATCTAGGCTTTTTAGTAGTCTGAACTGTTGGTGTGTGATGGATTTGGTAAGCATATGAGACACTTATGATGGTACCAATAATAACGATGGCAAAAGAAATAAGGTGACACCAGTACCAGCATTTAAGGTGTTTGCCATATCTTGCGACCATAATTGCGATTGGAGCCATTATAGTTCAGAAAATCGTCATAAGAACTAAATGAATCGCCAGTCCAAAGTATTTACTGTCTTCTTTTGAAAATGATTCATTATCTGCACTTCTGGCGAACTTAATCCTTCCTTGAGAATATGAATCATGCTCATCGAAGCCAAATTTTTTCCCTTTTTTATACCCTCAGTTAATGTCGATGTGCTTGTCGGCTTCTATGATTGTGTCTCATATATCTCCAGTATTTAAAAGCCTTGAGAAAGTCGCATTGATAAATGTTGTTGTTTCTCCTGTTGCAGGATCTAGATAACTTGGGTCATATAATCTATGCACTCGTATAGATTTCTCTTTAGGACTTTTACAATGGACGGCTGAAGAGCTGGAATATTCAATACCAGAAATGGGCTCGATAACAATTTATAATAGTTATTAGTATAGGATGATATATAAGTAATAATTGTTTCTAAGTCAAAAAGAAAGACATTTGTTTATGAAACAAGTTGAATTCGGGATCTTATGGGAAGAGTTTGGGTTGCTATGTAAGCGGACACTAAAAATGGAACTGGGCAAAGAGTGATCTCAGGAGAAAGTAGCCGATATGTGAAAGAAGTGCATAAAGACTGCCTTTATCGTGGTTCCCAGCAGCTTGGGACAGTGTAATCTGAACTAATCCTTGTTCCTGAGTCGCGGGATTTTGTTGTGTTCGATCCATTTTTATTGCCGACTTTGACAAGCCAAGGTAGCTTGGCGAGCCTAATTATAAATGAAAATGGAAATAAGCAACGCTACAATACATACAAAATATAACAGTGCACCAGACAATAGACCCTTGAAATTTAATAGGCAAGCAGCAATGCTTTTAATAATGAAAAAACAAAATGAAAATATCAACTTATATAGGCATCTTTCGATAAACATTGTTTTTAATTCGCCCTATACACCTCAATTTGCATTTGCCGAAAGAGTATAGGGATGATAAAAAAATAAGTTTAACAGAGTTGAAGGAAATGAGATCCTTAAAAAGTTGAATACTGTGCGAGAGTTAGAAATGCAAGTTTTAAATATTTTAGACAAGATTTTTGATTACAATACACATATAAGTTTCTCTTAGTGAGTTATTTTTGCTGCCGAATCCGCTCGAATCCGCTTCAAGTAATATCTGTTAAATGTTGACGGCAATAAGTATCACCCTTTACATATACCAGAATTGAACATGTAGATTGAAATATTTTGTACAAGATTTTCAACGATAATGCACGCTTAAGCTTTATTCAATAATTACCTTTTGCTGCCTAATCCGCTCGAATCCGCTTGCAGTAATAGCTGTTATATGCTACCGGCAATAAGTATCACCCTTTGCATATACCAGAATTAAAGTGGAAGTTTGAAAGTATTTTGTACAAGATTTCTAATTCTAATGCACGCTTAAGCTTGATTTAATAATTAACTTTTACTGCCTAATCCACTCGAATCCGCTTTAAGTAATATCTGTTAAATTCTAACGGTAATAAAGCATCACCCTTTACATATATCAGAATTGAACATGCAGATTAGAATATTTTATACAAGATTTTCAACGATAATCCACACTTAAGCTTTATTCAATAATTACTTTTTGCTGCCTAATCCGCTCGAATCCGCTTCAAGTAATAGCTGTTAAATGTTGACGGCAATAAGTATCGCCCTTTACATATACCAGAATTTGAACATGTAGATTGTAATATTCTATACAAGATTTTTAACGATAATGCATGCATGAGCTTTATTCAATAATTACCTTTTGCTGCCTAATCCGCTCGAATCCACTTGCAGTAATAGCTGTTATATGCTACCGGCAATAAGTATCACCCTTTGCATATACCATATTAAAAATGCAAATTTGAAAGTATTTTGTGCAAGATTTCTAATTCTAATGCACGCTTAAGCTTCTCTTAGTGAGTACTTTTTGCAGCCTAAACCGCACAAATCCGTTTCAAGTAATATCTGTCAAACGCTAACGGCAATAAGTATCACCCTTTACATATACTAGATTAAAGTGTAAATTTGAAATTATTTTGTACAAAGTGTTTAATTATAATATATCTATAAGCTTCTCTTAGTGAGTACTTTTTGCTTCCTAATCCGCATCAAGTAATATCTGTTAAACGTTAACGGCAATAAGTATCACCCTTTACATATACCAGAATTAAGCATGTAGATTAAAATATTTTATACAAGATGCTCAACGATAATCAAAAATCTTTTATAAAATATTGTAGCGTTGCTTATTTCCATTTTCATTTATAATTAGGCTCGCCAAGCTACCTTGGCTTGTCAAAGTCGGCAATAAAAATGGATCGAACACAACAAAATCCCGCGACTCAGGAACAAGGATTAGTTCAGATTACACTGTCCCAAGCTGCTGGGAACCACGATAAAGGCAGTCTTTATGCACTTCTTTCACATATCGGCTACTTTCTCCTGAGATCACTCTTTGCCCAGTTCCATTTTTAGTGTCCGCTTACATAGCAACCCAAACTCTTCCCATAAGATCCCGAATTCAACTTGTTTCATAAACAAATGTCTTTCTTTTTGACTTACTCCCCCCCTTTAAATTGAAACAAAATATAGGTAAAATTCCTACTTTTTTGGGAAATTACCCCCCCTTTAAATTGAAACAAAATTTTATAGGTAAAAATCATTATTTTATATGTAAATACGTTAATACCCTATTTAATACGCTTCAAACATATAAGATTTAGAAATTAAACTCTATTTTGTCCAATTGTTATGGGGAGAGTTAGAAGAATACCATTTCAGCAAGTTTACACTTTGAGATTGAGAAATTTATGAATTAATTTTTTCATGAAATTAAAATTAAAAATCAAACACTTTCCATTTTTTAAAACTATTAAATGCAAATTTTATAAGTTTAACGTGAAAATTCAAAACTTTCTAAAATAGTATTTCTAAATTTTAAAGAGCGATTTTTAAGAAAATAGAACTTGCTAACTTACCGACTAGGCATTGTCATAAAATTATAATGTTATTAAATATAATTTACTCAATTTATTGTCTCTTTAAATTTATATAATTTATTTTCTATAAAATTTTATCTCTGAAAAAATTTTTATATATAAATTGTTTTATAAAAAAAATTTTCTTAACCCCCCTTTAAATTGAAACAAAAAAATTTTGTTTCAAATTTAAAGGGGGGGGGGAGTTAGAAACAATTATTACTTATATATCATCCTATACTAATAACTATTATAAATTGTTATCGAGCCCATTTCCCTGGTATTGAATATTCCAGCTCTTCAGCCGTCCATTGTAAAAGTCCTAAAGAGAAATCTATACGAGTGCATAGATTATAGTATCCTGTAACGTCTATTACATCTTCTGTCCCACTCCAGTAATCAGTGTCTTCAGATGGCTCATCATGATTTTCTGACCATAAATCAATTACTCCCCCCCCCCCCCCTCCGTGAGCGAACAAAACCATTAGAAAAATCGCCATTTTTTTGACCAAAAACCCACCCTCCGTGAGTGAACAAAAATTTTTTTAATAGAAAAAATTTTAATGGAAAAAAATTTTGATATATAAGTGATAATTAGTATAATGAAATCTAGAGCTAATTCTGTTTAATTTTTAAACAAATTGCGTTTTTTAAAACATAAATTTTGCAAATTTAAATTAATATTTGCTTCCCAATTTTTGCAAATTAGGATTTTTTTAAATTTCGAAAAAAATATTTTTTATAAAATTTATATATAAATTTTTTTTAAAAAAAAAAATTAACCTCCCTCCGTGAGCGAACAAAATTTTTTTGTTCGCTCACGGAGGGGGGGGGGGGGAGTTTAGAAAAATTGGTGATACTGTGTCTCCTCCACCTATTGCAACATACATATCACATCCGAACATGGTATTGGCCAGTCCAATTCCGCACCATTGTGCTTTACACTAAATATAGAGGTTTCCTCTATATACCGCTGAAAGCGCAGGCATTTTCCCAGGAGCTTTCCAAGTTCGTCGGACCAAATCGCTTTTTGTTCCGACCAAGGCATTGATTTGGTGCAACCAACCGATAAATTCCGATCAGAATTTATCGGCCTTACAGCGCCAAACATAGGAAACTTCTATAGTTCTTACGAGAAAATTGAAGGTAATGATATCCCCATTGATTTGGTAACCCATAGTCATATGGCTGTCAAAGGTCTCGTAGATGAATCCCATGCTTGCGCTTAAGAGAACATTGAATAATGCTATCATTTTCCACATTGAATATATTATAATGCCTTCAATTATCTGGCTTAATTATCATATTTGAGTGCTGGACAAGACACTGGAAATGGCCAAAACTAGCATAAAAAGCCAAACTTCGTTACAAGCACGGATAAAAAAACTGTTTTAAAGAGAATTTAAGAAATTGGCTACAAAATAAAAGGAAGTTTTTATTATAAACAGAAAAATTTGTATAAATTTTCAAACGATCTATGCAATCATAATCAGAGCGAACATAATATTAGGGTGAGGAAAATATTTTTTAACCCTTTGTAAGATTTATTCAAGTAAAGATTAGGACCTAAACGATGAAAAGTGAGTTTTAAGACATTCTAAATAATTAAATTTTCTTATAACTTCATTAGCCAATCTTGGAGTGATGCCAGCTTGAAGAAATTGTATAATAAAGCATTATTGGCAATATTTTAAAATTTTGAAAATATTTCGTAAATAGCTTATAAAATCTCAGCAATCATCATATAAGTGACAATTCATTACCAAAGTCTATTGAGAGTGAGTAAAAGCCTCTTTACAAAAATATCAATTCAAAATTTCTCTATGCTGGATCATTCACTGACTATTTATTTGATTGATCATAAATGGAGAAGTTTTTTACTAACTCCCCCCCCCCCTCCGTGAGTGAACAAAACCATTAGAAAAATCGCTATTTTTTGCCCAAAAACCCACCCTCCGTGAGTGAACAAAAAAATTTTTTTTAATAGAAAAAATTTTTTATGGAAAAATTTTGATATATAAATGATAATTAGTATAATGAAATCTAGAGCTAATTCTGTCTAATTTTAAACAAATTGCTTTTTTAAAACATAAATTTTATAAATAAATTAATATTTGTTTTTCAATTTTTGCGAATTAGGATTTTTTTAAATTTCGAAAAAAAATATTTTTTATAAAATTTATATATAAATTTTTTTTAAAAAAAAAAAATTAACCCCCCCTCCGTGAGTGAACCAAATTTTTTTGTTCACTCACGGAGGGGGGGAGTAAAGATAATCTATTGCCAATTTTTGAGAGATTTAAGAGTAAATTAAATATAAAATTATATTTTATTTACTCCCTCTCCTTTTGATTTTATTTATTTTTTTATTTTATTGCAAATATAAAAGATTTACTATCGTTATTTGCAGATTTTTGAACTTTACCACCTAAGTGTGGATTTTTTTCAGCGTGCGAAAAGGTGATTTCACGTGTGGAGCCCTTTTGATTTCACATGTGGAATCCTCTTTTAGCACGCGGAAAAATTCCACACTTAGGTGGTAAAGTTCAAAAATCTGCAAATAACGATATCAAAAAACAGAATTTTTTGTGTGAATGGCGTTAGAATAAATTAGAATAGAGGTCTTAAGCTTTCCAAATACCGAAAATGTAAAAAATTTAACAGTTTTTCAAAAAATGAAACCTATGAAACATAGGTCATCTTTTTAATACTTCTAAATACAATAGTATCAAAAATTGCTGAATAATATTAATTTTATCAAGATATCTTACCCTTCAGCCTTCAATCCCTTTCCAAAACTATCAAATAAAATTTTATTTTTTATTTGACACTTATTCCGAATTACTTTTTATTTATTTCAATTTATATTTTGCATTTCATAAAATATATTTTGAGATTTAGATTTAATATTATAACAAGTATATTTTGGCTTATTTTAATTAGAAGATAAAGGGTAAATCCTAGTATAGGCCATAACTAAGAGTGTTTGAAAATTATGAAGTATTATAAAATTGCGATGGCAACAAAATTGTATAATATGCAATGAGGAATTCGAATTGTTTTATTCCATTAGCCTTTTGTTGCATTAACAGCTAAAGCTTTATTTTGGTTAAAAACCGTTTTAATTTTATTTTATGCCTAAAATCAGAATATTCACTCAAAAGCAGCCAAATTTTTGAATGCTCGAGGCTCAAGAACCATTCAGACCAAAACAAGCAGTTCCCAATACTGGTAAATAAAGTAATAAGAGGCAAAGAAACAGACTGAGACTGTAACGTAGATAGAACTTTAAACTAAAAAAATTTAAAAATACTTTTATTTCTCGCTGTTTTTCATTGCAATTTCTTCTTCAACCTCAATTAACTGCCTTTCAATCATTTTTACTTGATTATTCTTTTGTGACATAGAACGTCCTAGCATTTTCTTAGACTTTATCAAATATGTTCTTGCTGACTCATGATTTCCATGGTCTCGTTCCCAATTAGACTTTGCATTAAAGATATAGGCGATAAGAGGACTTTTTGCAGATTCAGGAGATCTAGAAACTGCGTAATCAAGAATTTTTTCTAATAAAATATTCCTATCCCATCCTTTAATATTTAAAAGTGAGATGAACATTTTACCTATTGGGTGGCAGTAAGGATTTTCATCTTGCTTCAATCTCTTAATTATCATCTTCTTAGAGAGTTCTTCGAATTCTTTATCAATTTTTTCAGATTTTATCTTAAAAATAGCTTTTAATATTAATTCGAATTGAAAAAAATAAAATTCAAGTGTGGATGAAAGATGTGCATATTTCTTTTTAAAAATGTCTAGGACCTCTTCAACTTCTTTTGTTTCAAATTGTATGAATAATATATCATCGCTGACACTGCGATAGCTATGAAGCTAATCACATCAGATGATTTTAGTGTTGTGAGTTTGACTTTATCAAAATATAAAGGATCCCCCCCTCATTTGTCCAATTTTCTAGTCTTTTTTCTCATTTGTCCATTTTTCTAGTTTTTTTTTATAGGAAAAAAAATTTGTTTACTCCCCCCCCCCCCTCCGTGAGCGAACAAAACCATTAGAAAAATCGCCATTTTTTGACCAAAAACCCACCCTCCGTGAGTGAACAAAAATTTTTTTAATAGAAAAAATTTTAATGGAAAAAAATTTTGATATATAAGTGATAATTAGTATAATGAAATCTAGAGCTAATTCTGTTTAATTTTAAACAAATTGCGTTTTTAAAACATAAATTTTGCAAATTAAATTAATATTTGCTTCCCAATTTTTGCAAATTAGGATTTTTTTTAAATTTCGAAAAAAATATTTTTTATAAAATTTATATATAAATTTTTTTTAAAAAAAAAAAAATTAACCCCCCTCCGTGAGCGAACAAAATTTTTTTGTTCGCTCACGGAGGGGGGGGGGGGGAGTTAGGACCTCATTTGTCCAATTTTCTAGTCAAAAATTTTGATAGTAAAAAAAAAATTTTCAGGATCTCAATTGTCTCATTTTCTAGTTTTTTAAAGTAAAAAACTAAAATTTAGGACATTCGAAAAAATCCAAAAAAGACTAGAAAATAGGACAAATCATTTTTGACTAGATTTTTGGACAAATGAGGTCCTGAAAATTTTTTTTTTCTTACTCCCCCCCCCCCTCCGTGAGCGAACAAAAAAATTTTGTTCGCTCACGGAGGGGGGTTAATTTTTTTTTTAAAAAAAATTTATATATAAAATTTTATAAAAAATATTTTTTTCGAAATTTAAAAAAATCCTAATTTGCAAAAATTGGGAAGCAAATATTAATTTAATTTGCAAAATTTATGTTTTAAAACGCAATTTGTTTAAAATTAAACAGAATTAGCTCTAGATTTCATTATACTAATTATCACTTATATATCAAAATTTTTTTCCATTATATTAAAAAAATTTTTGTTCACTCACGGAGGGTGGGTTTTTGGTCAAAAAATGGCGATTTTTCTAATGGTTTTGTTCGCTCACGGAGGGGGGGGGGGAGTTAGAAAAAAAAGACTAGAAAATTGGACAAATGAGGGGGGGATCCTTATCTTAGCCTGATTGAAAGATCCCAGAAAAAAGTATATGCATCCCATTTCTGCATACAGTCATCCTAGTAATCGATTTTGAACAGGGAAAATATCCAAACCTCCTTTAATTTTTTCAACATAATCAAATGGACTTACCAAATTACCTTTTCAAATATCTAGCTTTAAGAGAGCAATATCATAATGCTTTCCAGATCCTTTTGATATCAGTTTGCCCTTTTTCAAATATTTTCCTGCAATGTCAAAAACGAATTGAAACATAGCGACATACCCAAGAATAAAATAAATTTTATCCAGTAAAGATCAAATTCCTAGGTCTTTACATATTTTCTTGCTTTTTTTTAAATAAGAACGGCCTTTTTCAGTTTTTATTTTTACCATTTGCAAATATCCTAATAGATACTCAGAAAGAGCTAAATATGATAATTGATCAGTATTTTGAAAATAAATTTCGCTAGATTTTAGAAATGGCAGTGATTTTTTTAAACTCATCCTATAGAGATACGATATTCCTCTTCAAAATGCCATCCAATTAATATAATCATAATTTATGGGAAAAGCTTGCTTAGAAATTGATTTTGTTTTTCTGAGAAACCTTCTTGGCTCGTATTTTTCATTTCAATCTAAATATATGCGTGAAATAAATTCCAAAAATTCCACAAAATATGGACTAATAAAATCCTCTGGTCTTGGGACAGGCTGTGAATTCATTGGGTAGTGCTTAATTTTGTGATTAATCATAAATATGTAATAATCAATAAAAAACAAGTCGATGTTTTTATGGTATTTAATTTTCTCAAATATTCTTCTGCATTCCTTATATAAGTATTTAGCTTGGTAGTACTCATCATCATAAAGTAAGCTTCCAGCAAGATTAAAAAGCTCTGTTAGAAGTTGGTCTTCATTTATAATTTCTCCGCCATGGAAATCCTCTACATCCGCTAAATAATTATAGTTGTAAAGATGATTCTGAACTTTTTCCAAATGTTCTATTACTTTTAAAAACGAAACATCAAAAAGTCAAGATCTAGAGACTTTAAATAAACTTTTGTCTTATCCAAAGGCTGAGTCAAAAAATATTCAATAGGATTATAGCAAATTTTTTTAGGAACTTCAAAAGTATATATAACCTTTAATTCTATTTCTCGACAACTCATCATAACATCAGTGATTTTTTTGATAAGAAAATAGCCTGGATAACCTTTCTTAATTTTTTTGATTCATTTAATTGCAATCTTTGATTTCAATCCTAATAATACACGTTTTACTTCGTAAAGCCAGCTTAATATTTCATTTTTAGATTCTACATTAACTGCATGATAAAGTTTTTTGCCTTGATGGCTTTGTGGGTCTCCTGAAGAGTGCTCTATATAATGCCGCTTGCATCACCCTTGACCGCAGCACTCTATAGTTGGTTCAAAAAGGCATTTTGCGAGCTTGCAAATAACCATGGCTGAAAATATTTATAAACTAAAGGTTAGTCCTTAATTTAGTTATTATTTTTTATGAGTAGCTATGAAGCTAGGGTGATATTTGATACCAAAAGATCAATCAAAACGTAATTTGTTTTGCCAAGCTTATTATTATCTTACGCATGCACATTTATTGTGAATCTAAACTTAAGATATTTTGAGGATAGATTAAAAACAGAACTGTAGGATTTTTATCCTATAAAATTCACTTATCTCTTGAATTTCAGCTTCTTTATTATTTATTTAATTATTTGTGACTTACATAAACTTCTATCACACAATCATAGATATTCTGCAATACAGATTTGGCAAGTTTCCTTGCTGATTGCTCTTGGCTCAATGATAATTGGGTAGTTTCTTCTCTTTGCTCCATATATTTACCTTTTCCAATAGGCTTATTTTGTTCCTCTTTTATCCTCATCTCTAAATCTGCAATAACTTTTTCTTCATGCGCTATTAGCTTGCTTGTATTTTCTTCAGTTTTTAATCTCCTCTTTTGTTCAGAGCTTAGCTCCTTACATAGGGCTGTCTTCATTAAGCTTCACTCTTCTTGCTGCAAGTCAATATTTTTATACCACTTATTGACAGCTTCATCAACTCTAACTGAATATTTCCCATTACTCGATATCTTTATAGACGATGATATATCCTGCACAAGCTCTCCATACCTCTGCTTTATTTCCAATTTCGCTTCTTTTTCAATTTTCCCAATCGCAGTTTTACTATCATTTCTCATAGGCGACCCTCCATTCATTCTTCTCAACTGTCTATTTTCTTCCTGGGCATCAAGCAATTTTTTGTCCATAACTTTCACTTCTTCTTCAATCGCCTGCAAGAATTTTTCAGTTTTCTTTTCATACATGTCTTTAATTAGCGTAGTTTCTGGGTCCAATTTAGCTTTATTTCTTTCACGTTCAATGAAATTTTTTAATAAAGCTAATGTATGAATCTCATTTTGTTTTTTATTTTCTATTTGTTTTTCTAATACTCTTCTTGACTTCAGAAACTCATTTGTAAGCCTTTCTATCTCTTTAGGAGCGTCATGATTTTTCGACATAACTCTCGATGGCTTCATCCCGTCATTGGGACGAAACTTAGGCGGAGTCTTTATAAGTGACGAATAATCTGAAGCTTTTCTGGATTTGCTGCTTAATTCTGGTGAGTAGCTTTGTGTTTCTGAAGTTGGCGTGCTGGTCCTAAAATCATTTGATTCGCTCACAATAGATTCGTCTACTTTGGGAGATTTTGATACAGGCTGGGTTATTGCTCTTGCATAGTGTCTTCCTAAGTCCTGCTTGTGTGAATAAGCTGGAGGTGCAGGTGTCTGCGAAACGTTCTTGACTCGATCCAAAAAAGCATTTACCCTTAAAGAGGTAGACATAATTTAATATGGATCCATCATTTAATAAGGGTTTAAATTTATTTATGCTGCAGCTTCTTCTTCTTCGTCGAATTCTCCTTCTTCCTCAGCAGTGGCGTCTTGGTATTGTTGGTATTCGCTGACTAAGTCGTTCATGTTGCTTTCAGCTTCAGTGAATTCCATCTCATCCATACCTTCACCAGTGTACCAATGCAAGAAAGCTTTTCTTCTGAACATATGCCCTTACTATTATATTATCAAAAATATAAAAACTAACCAATAGAAATTCCAGTCACTATAAATGGCATAGCAGTGAATTGTTCAGCGACTCTCTTGAACATTTCTTGGATTGCAGTGGAGTTTCCAATGAAAGTGACTGCCATCTTAAGTCCTTTAGGTGGGATATCACAGACTGAAGACTTCATGTTGTTTGGAATCCATTCTACGAAGTAGCTGGAGTTCTTGTTTTGGACGTTCAACATTTGTTCGTCGACTTCCTTGGTTGACATTCTTCCTCTGAAAATGGCGGCTGCTGTGAGGTATCTGCCGTGTCTTGGGTCAGAAGCGCACATCATGTTCTTGGCGTCGAACATCTGTTGGGTGAGTTCTGGGACGGTCAAAGCTCTATATTGTTGGGAGCCTCTTGAGGTGAGAGGGGCAAAACCAATCATGAAGAAGTGGAGTCTAGGGAAAGGAATCAGGTTGACAGCCAATTTTCTTAAATCAGCGTTAAGTTGGCCTGGGAATCTGATTGAGCAGGTAACTCCTGACATTGAAGCACTGACAAGGTGGTTAAGATCTCCGTAGGTTGGGGTGGTCAGTTTGAGGGTTCTGAAGCAGATATCATAAAGGGCCTCGTTATCGATGACCATGACCTCATCAGAGTTTTCGACAAGCTGGTGGACTGAGAGAGTTGCGTTATATGGTTCAACGACGGTATCAGAGACCTTAGGGCTTGGGAAGACTGAGAATGTTTCCATAATTCTGTCTGGGTATTCTTCTCTGACCTTGGAAATCAAAAGGGTTCCCATACCAGATCCAGTACCACCTCCTAATGAGTGGGTGATTTGGAAGCCTTGCAAGCAGTCGCAGCCTTCAGCTTCTTTCCTAACAACGTCTAAGACGGTATCAATGAGCTCAGCACCTTCAGTGTAATGGCCTTTAGCCCAGTTGTTTCCAGCTCCGGATTGGCCGAAAACGAAGTTGTCTGGTCTGAACAACTGGCCGAATGGGCCAGCTCTTACAGAGTCCATGGTGCCTGGCTCGAGATCCATTAGAACAGCTCTTGGGACATAACGCCCGCCAGTGGCTTCATTGTAGTAGACGTTGATTCTTTCCAACTGAAGGTCTGAGTCTCCGTGATAGGTCCCAGTAGGGTCAATTCCGTGCTCGTCAGAGATGACTTCCCAGAATTTGGCGCCGATTTGGTTACCGCATTGACCTCCTTGAACGTGAACGATTTCTCTCATATTTGTTTATATCCACAATTAAAATGGTTTGAAATATGAAAACAAATCAAAGGGAATTGGGTAAATAGGGAATTAGGGAAGATAATGAAAGACAGAGGTAAAGAAGAGAGGACTAAGGTAAATATGGGATTTTGTGGTAAAGGAGAATATAAATAGGGATAGGGTTAAATTAATTAATTTTAGAATACAGAACTAGGATTACACGAGCGGGTGACTAAAGTTTTAGGTTTGTGCAAAAGGAAATATTGATTATAAATAATAATTATAAGCAAGATAAAAAATGGACAGTCGAGAATAAAATTTTTAGATTACGTAGAAAGTCAATAAGTGTAATTAATTAGTTGGAATAGAGAATACAATGATCATTTATAAGCAAGATAGGCTCTGGCCATGAAATACAAGCTTAAAAGAATTTTTTATAAAAACAGCTATATAAACAGTGCATAAAGCCTTATGAAGCCAATTGAAATGATTGATATTAGATAAAAGAATTAGCTCGCCTCAAGAATTTTTATTTACAGTAAAAATGTCTAAATCATATAGTCATAAACAATGGAAGTAGACGCTATCGTTAAATGCCTTTCTTTTGCTGCTATGGCTGCAATTGCCTATATGCTATATTATCACCACCAAGCCATGAAAAAGTTTGAAGAGCAGTTAGAGAATGAAGGCGAAGAAGTATTCTCATCTTCCATTCCTCAGCCATCCAAGCGGCAAAAAACTGAAAAGTTTCACAATGAAACCGAAAATTTTGGAGCCCAAAGTCATGATTTATTATTTGGAGCTTCAATTCAAGAAGAATACTCATCCTACCAGCCATTGATAACAATTCCTACACGCCATGAAGTGTGTGTTGGAACAGAAGATGATATAGAAATCATTGAAAACGGAAAACCAGAGAAAAGACCAAGAAACTCTGAAAGATCAGCAAATCTAAAGAAAGTACAGAGAAAACCCATCCCATTTGTGCAAAATGGTGTTAAGGAAAAGAATGTTCATTGTGATGTCAATTTTCACAAAGATAGAAGAGAAGCGTTTTATGCAAAACTAAACTCCCCCCCTCCGTGAGTGAACAAAAAACTTTTGCCACGGGGTAATTTTTTTTTTAAAAAACATTTATATATAAAAATTTTTTTTTTCCAAATTTAAAAAAATCCTAATTCGTAAAAATTGGAAAGCAAAAATATTATTTAATTTATAAAATTTATATTTTAAAAAGCAATTCGTTTAAAATTAGACAGAATTACCTCTAGATTTCATTATACTAATTATCATTAATATATCAAAATTGTTTTTCATAAAAAAATTTTCTATTAAAAAAAATTTTTGTTCACTTACGGAGGGTGGGTTTTTTGGGCAAAAAATAGGGATTTTTCTAATGGTTTTGTTCACTTACGGAGGGGGGAGTAAGAGAAAGGCCTAATAGCCCAGTAAAGAGATTTGTCGTAGAAGAAACAAAGAAAAAGGCAAATGAAATTGTGCACATAATTGATCAAAAGCCACAAGCAGCTTTTTCACTAGAATTAAGTGGAGAAAAAGTCGCAAAAATGAGGGAAGAATTTAAACGTTCATATAAAGAAGCTCAAGCCGCTCCAAAAATTGCAGAGCCTGTTAAGAAAGTTGAGGAAAGAAATGTTAATTTGGTAGGAAACATTAGAGAAGCTCCAAAGCCTGATTCAGGTTTAATTAAAAGTAAAGAGGAAGCCAAAATAGCACCCCTATCTCAAGAATTTTCGCAAAAATCGTCACCACTAAATCTATCTAACTATTCTCTTTCAATAGCAATATTTTATTTGCTCACCATACTTCAGATATAGACTTTTTGTTATAAAAGAAGTTAAAAAATTTGTAACTTAAAATAGATAGCAAATGGATTAAAAACATTAAATTTATTTTTGATTTTAAAGTAAAAGCATTTAAAAGGTGAAAAAAATTAGTGTTGTTTGATTTCAAAGGAGGGAATAAACAATTCCCAGAAATAACTCAAAAATCCCAAACATTATCTCACTCCTCCCCTTAGTGAACAAGCAAAACTATTAGAAAAATCTTATTTTTTTTGAAAAAAATTCTAGCAAACTATTTTTAACATAAAAAATTTTTTTATAAAAATAATTAATATAAAAGTGGTAATAATTATAGCTAACTCTGTTCTATATATTTAGCACCTTGCATTTTAAATTAAGTTATTTTTGATATTTTTTAAAATTCGAAAATTAACTATAAATATATCTGCATAATTAAAAAATAATTAACACCATCAGTAAGTGAAATAAATATTTTTGTTTTTTTCAAAGAGGCTGTTAGGATACTCAAAAGTATCCATTTGGTGGAGAAACTCTTCAAAAGACTTCTCAGCTCATAGAAAAATCTGTAACTTCTGAAGCATCCCAAAAGTCATCACTATTTGGAGGAGAAACTGCTAAAGTCTCAACATCAGCTCCAGCATACTCTTTCTTTGCTTCACAATCTCAAGCAGCATTATTCTCAGCACCATCAACTCAAAAATCAGAGTCCGATCTTTCTAAAGAAACTGAACAAAAATCCAAATCTTCTTTAGAACCCTCAAAGGTTTCAGATACTGGCCTTAAGTTTTTATTTAGTTCCAGTGCCATTGCCTCTATTCAGATGCCGAAGCCGCCTGCAGAACTCATAAAAAAGCAAGAAGAAAATAAAAGTTCGGCATCATCAAACAGCACTCAACCAATTCTTGCTGAAACAGTTAAATCTGAGGAGTCCAAAAAAAGCGAAAATACGCCTGCTTTAGCTAAATCTGAGGAGTCCAACAAAAGCGAAAATAAGCCTGCTTTTCCATCCCCATTTGGGAGTTTTACAAATCCCTTTACAAAAAATGAAAACCAGCCTGCTTCCTCTTTATTTGGAGGATCAACAATTTTTAGTGGAAAAACAGAATCTCTTGCTGACACACAAAAGTCGGCTGGGTCTTTATTTGGAGCCAAAATAGGTGAAGCTAAAAATTTTCCAACTACTGCAACTCAGAGCCAGCCTCCTTTATTTCCAACTAATCTGTTAGCCTCTTCCTCAACTCAGCCTTCATCTTTCTCAGATCCTTTTAAATTAGCATCTGAAGCGAAAACTTCTTTATTCCCTGCTGCAAGCCAAAATAAAGATGCAGACGGGAAGCAAGAAACACAAATTAAATATCCAGAGTTACCAAAACCTCCAACAACAACTCCACAAAATCTATTTCCAGGATTGCCTACAAATTCGTTATTTAATGCCAAGTCTTCAGATAAATCATTATTTCAGTCAGTTAGTTCACAAGGTAGCTTTTTTGGCACTCCCAATCTAACTCCCTTCCCAGATTCAGCTAAATCACAAACTCCTCCAACTTCTGCTGACCAGAAACCTCAAACTCCTCCTACAAGTTCTCTGTTTGGCTCTAAATTTCCTTTCTCAAACCCATCAGCGTTCAACCCAAATTCTTCAATGAATAGCAAATAGCATATAAATCATACCTTTTAATCTTTATTCATAATAAATATTATTGCTGGTAAAAATTCAGTAAAAAATTTACATAATAGAAGTCAGGCATAGCTTAGCTTAGCTTAACTTAATTTATATTTATTGGAAGTAAATCCCTAAGCAGCATAAGCAAATCATATCTTGACGAATAAATTCTGGCTAAAGAGCGCTTGCAAGATAACCTATTGATAGCATCATCTTTTTACTATATAAAAGTCACATTGGCAATGCAGATTGTTTATAAAAATGGGAAACCAGTGTTGCACAAAGAGATTTAAGCAAAATTTTTTCGATGCAAGCAAAGATATCTCAACAGATTGCGATGTTGACATTGGGGAGAAAGGGAGTAACAGAGAAAAAGCATTGCATATGAAGCTAAGCATGAAAAACAGCTCATTATATAAAAAACGAACGTCTAAACTTGGATTAAAAAAACAAAAAACTGCAGCTTAGTAATAAATGTAATATTCTCTTTACTTATTTGGAATAATTCTACTAGCAGTTACCAAAATGTATAGCAATCTTCATGCTTCTTCAGTCGAACTCCAAGTTTTAATCCTAGAACCTTATAAAAACTAAGCTATAGCTTATCTATTTCTAATTATTTATACAAAAAATAAAATATTTTTTCTGTGTTTCTCTTGTTCTTCTAATAATTATCAATATGTATCTTCTTCTCAATATGTCTAATTCTAAATAAAAACATATCAGAACACTCTGTCAAAATGGAAGAAACAAGCGAATCCCTAATCACATTCCACATTGACACTTTAGACGGCATTTCAATACCAATCACGACTTTAAATTCAATTTCCATACTAGCACTTAAGCAAAAAATCCTTGACATCACAGGAATCCCAATCGAAAAATTACGGCTTATTTATAAAGGAAGACATTTAAAAGACAATGAAATAATAAATTATTTTGATATCACTACCAAGCTCCAGCTTGTAGCCAATCTTAATGAGGAAGAAGATATTCCTTCTATGGTCTCCCATTACAACTTTCTGCGAACTTTGAGAGTTTATAGAAGATTAAGCCGATTTTCTCGGCCAGAACTGTCAACTCCTTATTTATATGAAGCTTTACGTCAAAATTCTCTGACAATTGATGACTTGATCAGGATAAATAGCTTTTCTTTAGAAGGAAGAGCTCTCCAGGAAGGGCAATGGGTTGATGTCAAAGACACTGTAGGGCAATGGCTTGAGGCTCAAGTAATGAGGAAGCAGCAAAATGCTCGAGGGGTTTTTGTGTATATTCATTATAATGGATGGCCTAATAGATGAGATGAGTGGATTGATATGAAATCGAAAAGGATTAGACCTTTCAGGTCAAAAACTCTGCAGACTTTAAATATGGCATCGAGATCTCCATTTCCAAGATATCCACCAGAAATAACTATCAATGAGGAAAATTTGATGGAAAAACTAAATTTAAAAGCATGCTTGTATATGGAGTTTATCGAGGAAATGGTAAAAAATGCAAAGATTTTGGCAAGAATCGGGAAAGATGGGTGTGAGGAAGCTAAAGAAAGAATTGAGGAAATTACTTTGCAGAGTGCACCAGTGATTGATAGGATTGGGAGGTTTATGTGTGATTTTAGCCTTGCTATTAGCAGAAGTGAATTTAATCCAAGCAGTTTTCAGTTGTAATAAATAAAATAAAATTTTTTAATAAAGAGGAATTTCAAATAATTAACAGAAATTGGTTGAGGTATATTTATACAATTGAGTTTAATCGCGAGCTGTCTGGAAGAATTCTTTGATATAGTTAGCTTTTTTCTGTTGCTCTTGATTAGAATTTCTTGTAATAATCTACTGTTCATGCAAATTTATAAAGATGAAATGTCAAAACAGAATTCAAATCTTTCTAAAATCAGTGAAATAGCAGCAAACTAAATAATCTGTATTAAGTCAAAGAGGAAAAGATTTAGTATCAATCTAATTGCACATGCGTTCAAAACTCTTTGAAAAGCTGCTGCAAGCTAAAAGGATCTTCCATAAATAAATTTCTTTCCAAGCCAGCAGTCACCTTTTCATTCAAAAAATTTTGTTTATAAAACATCAATTCACTTGAACAGCTTGCCACTATTTATTTATCTAATGAGAGGCCTATAAACCATATTTTATTGAGATGGTAAGACTTACTTAGCCAAAAGAAGTTAAAGATATCCGAATGTTCGTGCAAATGTGCAGACCAGGAACAAACCAAAAAGCACAAGCTAAATCAGTCACTATCAAAAAGGTAGGAAAAGTGACAAAATTCAAGCTTCGTTGCAATAAATATCTTTACACTTTGGTCGTCGATGATGTGCAAAAGGCAGACAAGCTCAAGCAGTCGTTGCCTCCAAGCCTGAACAAAAAAGAAATTAACTAAACTGGTTTCTTAAATTATTTGCAAAATCCTAAAGATTTCCAAAGCCAATATGCTGGAAGTCCTATTGATAGATTTTATATACACTTTTTATTATGTTTATTACGAATTTTTGGATTTAATATTTGGTCCATCTCTTTCTTTATTCGCTGAGTTTTGCTGCTAAATCTCCCTAGTCGAGTTTTAGTCTTTGAGTGCCAATTATCGATTTTTTCTTTTTGCATTGTACAGTCGCTGATGATATTATCTAGCCTGAAAAATAGCTCTTGTCTAGGCTGTGATAAAGACACTTCTCTACTATTTGTTGGAGAGTTCTTTGGGGAGTTTGCTAGAGAGCCAGGCTGAGATTTAAAGTCTCTTATATATTGGGCCTGTTTTATATCGAAAATTTTCGCAACGTATTGGGTTGGAGTGAATTTTAGCTCAGACTTTAGTTCAGCAGGCATGTTTCTTATAAAGTTTAGTGGGCAAGTTGTACGTGATTTTAGGAGTTTTTCACTTTTATGCTTTGGCTTTTCTAGATTATGCTTACCACCATCCTTGAGCAAGTTTTTTTGGTTCTATATATGGGGGATTCATTTTTTATTTTGAAATTCATTTTAAATTTCTGATTTAATTATAACTTAATATTATTATAAATACGAGAGACAGTTTATACTAAAACATTTCTATACTCTCTCTAGGGTTAATATTCCAATAAATAGGAATATTCATTAGATTTACTCACTAGACTGAGAAAGGAGGAGTTAGGAGTTGAATCTCCAGCTGGCTGAATTAAGATACTTGGGGATGTATGCTTGTGAGAATGGTTTATTTTTATATCAAGCTCTCCCATTGTGTGCGGTGTTCGGTTAAGAAAATCCTGAGGTGAAGGGTTCCAACGGACTCGTAACTTAACTTCAGATGTTGCTGGTCTTTGCCTCATTTTTAAATAGATTTATTATTAAGGATTTCCCACGGAATTTCTTGGTATGGCAGCTTTCAGAATTATTTCACTCAATATGATTTATTTATTTAAGACTATATAAAATTAATTACTATTAGGAAAAACAGAGTAATTGCTTCAGAATGGAGGAAATTATAAGTACCATAATAAACTTATAAATAAAAAAAAGCAAGATAAAATTCTCCTATAAAATATTATGATGATTCTTCATTTTTTATTGCTTTTCCCAACAATTTCTGCTTCTTTGAATTTTACTCGTCTTCCATATACGAATCCTCCTCCCCCAGCAAGATGCTATAATGCTATGGATTATGACCCAGTCACTAACTCCCTCATCATTTTTGGAGGTATTAAAAGCAACACAGAGCTTTATAGAGACATATGGCAATTTGAATTAAATACAAAGTTATGAAATATGCTTGAGACAACGTCGTCTTACTATCTAGGTATGTTTTAATGAAGACGGAAGAAGTGGTCCAGCTGTCTTTATAGATGATGCTACACAAATGTTTTATACTTTTGGTGGACGATCCTTAAAAGGTGCTCAAAACGATCTATGAGGGTTTAATTTAAACACAATGCAAGTAATTTTTATGAAGTGAAATGAAATTAGTGTGAGTGGAGATATTCCGGCACCTAGAACTCTGCCAGCTTTTACAAAATATAAACAAAATGGAAAATTAAAATTTGCTATATACGGTGGAATTGGGCTAGATGGAGATGAAGATAGCTTACTTTATCATTTAAAAACAAAGAAAAATTATTTTAAATAATAAACTTTTTTTTTCATTATTTTAAAATTGGATTACTATACTGTAAGCGATTTTTATTTCTAAAATTATCTACATGTTTTAAAAAGTTAACACTAAAGCTAAAAAGGATTTAGTAATTTTGGATGTTGCTAATATGGAGTGAACACTTATGCCTGCGAGTGGAAATACTCCTGGCCGCCTTACCTCTGCATCTTTGCAATATTTCGATGGAATGCTGTATTTAGCTGGAGGAGTTGATGACTCTATTCCTATTAACTTTCGCTACAATGATGAATTTTATCAATATGATTTGACAAAAAAATATTGGAAAAAAATTGGCAATCCTAGCCATACTTACACACATAGAAGTTTAGCAGGGAGCATTGTATATGATGAAAATTTTTATTTATTTTTCGGCTGAAGTGATAAATTAGGGAGAGACGTTTCTGAAATCAGTAAGGTAAATTTAAATGACATAAATTATGAGTGAATTTCAGTTCCAGTTTTGGATAATTCCTATTCAGTTACTTTATTAAGAGATTCGTACAGTTTTATATCAGTAAATTCTTCACTTTTTATTTTTGCAGGGTATAATATGACATCAGGAAATTTAAACGATTTAGCTCAGTTTAGTGTATCAGGATTTCCAATTACATATGATTGTTTATCAGAGCTTTACACTGGACCTTCTGCAAGGTCTCATCATGTAATGCTTACTTACTTACTTACTTAGTTACTTAGGTTTTTAAAGTGTCTTCCCTCTTCCGCAGGATGATTAGGCATGCATAAGCCCATCCTTTTAAATCCCAACTAGTGATGTCAGCAGCGTTCCTCCCTATATGTAGGCATTCCAGAAGACTCCACTTGTCAGGCCAGAAGGTCCGCACTGGCCTCGTTGGCCTCGCCCGAACTTGACTCCTGCGCGTGTTCCGCCTAAGGGTCACCCTCCTCGGGTGTGTCAAGCAGAAAAACCAGGTACTCCTAGTATCCTGGACCAAAGAAATACCCTATGCGGTATTCCATATTGGTGTTGCGGATAAAGGTCCACGTGGAAAACTGAACCCTATAATAATAAAAGCGAAGGAAGGAATAGTTCTCGGAGAGAGAATTAATTCCGCACTGAGCATTTTATTATTATCCTCATCATGTAATGCAAGTTATCGAAGGGAATATTTACATTTTTGGTGGAGACGCAAAAGGATCCAAACTCAATGATTTATGAGTTTTTGACCCAGAAACTGAAGTTTGGGAAATTCTTTTCCCTGATGGGGATGTACCAACGCCGAGATCACATCATTCATCAGGAGCACAAGGAAATGTTATGTATATTTTTGGCGGTATTGATCAAAGTGGCGTTTTGCTAAATGACTTATATCAATTTGATGCAACTTCAAACGTTTGAAAAGTTATTAAATCTTCAAACTTGAACTTGCCATCAGCTCGATATTCTACTTGTGCAGTTTATTCTATTCCAATATTGTATATTTTCGGCGGAATGACGACAGCAGGAGTTTCAAATGAACTTTGAAGCTATAATTGTGGGTTGAATACTTTCTCCTTAATATCATCTGATGCTCCTTATAGACTTTATTATCCTCGATGTGCTGTTGATACGTCAGCTACCACATTTTTTGTATTAAATGGAGACGCGGAAAGACAAGAATCAATTGGTGTTTTATTTTCGTTTAATTTTTCCAGTAAAAACTGGAAAATACTAAAACAACCAGAAACACCAAAAAGAAATAAGTCTGACGGCGTTGCAATATTAATTGGAGATTTTGGAGTTTTAAAAAACTACTAAAATTTATTTTTATATTAAAAAATTTATCAAATGAATTTGATTAATTTTAAATAGAAAGTGGAAAAATTTTTTTAATCAGATTTTGTAATGTATATTGGAGGACATCAATGAGGTACAGATCCAATTTCCTCGGTATATGCAATTGATTTATCGAATAGTTTTCAGTATATTGATTATCCTTCAACTCCTATGCACTTTATTGGGTCAGCTTTTGCGTATTATAAAACAGATCTCTATGTTCATGGAGGGGTTTCATCAACTAAATCATTTATAAGAATTTCGATCCCTGTAGTAAATTTCTATAAAATTAGCCTAAAACAATTTTGCACTAATGAATCATGCCCTGCTCCTTGCAGTCCGGGCACATATGAATCAATGAATGGTTGCAAGGGGTCGAGAGGAATTTCTCGCTTGGTAAATTCCTCACATTTTTAAGGTTGTTTTTTTGCAAGATGGCAAATTCTGCTGACTCACTTTTACAGCCATTTTTTTAAATTTTTTCCACTATTGAAAATATATGGCGTAATTTACTCCGAGAACAGTAAAAATTACGGTGAAATTAATCCAAGGATGTTAAATTCCTATCGACCTTTTGCAAGCCATGTGAAAAAGGAACTTATAATCATGAGTTTGGCAAGCCAGTTTGCTATGATTGTAATCCAGGAACTTATAATCCAAATATAGGAAGTAATACAGTAAGAGAGTGTTTTCCATGCAAGGAAGGGAAATTTAATAATTTAGTTGGGCAATCTAACTTCTACAGTTCAGAAAGATAGAGGTTCGATATTAAATGAAATGGCTACAGATTTTTATTTTACGTTTTCTTAATTTTGTTTTATTATATTTAAGAATATATAACGCATATATTTTTTTGGATCGCCCTGAAACAATGCCTAAAGGGGTAAAGTAGCGATATGAAAATCAGACTGAAAATGGCAAATGCTATTTTGAGAGTAGGCTCATGCTTGACTTGCCAAAAAGAACCTATAGATAATTTTTTGTCAAATTTTGCCTGCACGGTAGTTGTCATTTCCATTTTGACTTATTAAATTACTACTTTACCTCTTAAAACGTTGCTTCTCACTCCCTCGCCCTTTAAATTGGAACAAAACATCAGCAACATTTGCATTTTTTTGGTGCTTTAGCCCGGCTTTAAATTGGAGCAAATTTTTGTTTTTCAATAGGAAAATTTTAGCAATGAAAATGCTAATTTTTATAAAATTAGCTTTGACCTAATTTAATAGACGATATGAAAGTAGAATGATGTTTAAACAGTTTTTAAGCTGAATCAATTAATTTTTTTATTTAATTCTTCATAAAAATAAATTAAAATTCAAAGTACGTGTCCGATTTATATTTTTAAAATTGTTATAGAGAAAAAAAATAAATGATTTTTTTTTAAACGAAAATTAATCATTTTTTAAATTGAAACAGGAATTTTTGTTCCAATTTAAAGGGGGAGTCAGCGATCTAAATGGGTTTCAAGCATACTAAAATTAATTTATTATTAAAAAATCATATTTTAAGAGAAATAATGGCTTACTTTCTATTAACTTGGAGGAGTAAGTGCAAAAAATGTTCTTTAAATGACTACTGCCCAAGTGGGAGTTCAAGTCCTCAAGAATTATCAGATATTTTATCATATACTTGGCAGCAGCCCATCAACTATAAAGAGCATTCTAAAGAAGCCTCAGATATGAATAAAAAATATGTATACACATGCATTGCTTTATTTTCAATCTTCACAGCTTTAACTGTCCTTTTACGAGGGTTTAGAAATAAACTAAAGGTCATTGATTTTTATTCAAAATACCACAATATCGAGCATAATAGCATCTTAAAGAGCACTAAAAATAGGCTTGGAGGATACTTTACAGTAGCATTTTTTATTGGTGCTTCGTGATTTATTTATGGTAATATTTCAACATATGTTATTGATAATATTGCAGAAACCAAAGCCCTTTTACCATTGGCAGCTGTATGATATAAAGCCTCATCCTTAAATGGAAATATTACTTTAATAGTTACACTCATACGATATGGTGGAAATTGTACCAACAATGGTACTTGTATTGAAAATCTAAAAATTGATTCAAATAAAATTTTCAATCCTTATACAAGTAAATCATGCTATATGGACACCAATAATAATTGCATAATCACTTATTTATGCAACAATTGTGAAGTCTGAACTGAGGCAGAAATTAATATTTCACTTCAGGAACCTTTGAGCTATTGTGCAGGAATTTTAGTAAATTTGACATCAACTTCATCTATACCTAATGAAATAAGTAGTGAACAAATAGGCGTTATGACAGATAGCAACAAAATCTTTAGAGGGCTTGATCCAACTATATTCTATTTTATTATGACGCCTTCAATATTTCAGTCTGTATTTTCTTTATGGCCAGATAAATTATATGGATATTATGTAGGGATCTCAGCAAATCCAGTAAAAGGATCCCAGAGTTATGCGTATGAGCTGGGTAGAATAATAAAAATTTTTTATGTGCCAGGTGGGTTTTGGGAAAAAATAGGGATTTTTTTTAATGGAGTTAAAAATTCGTAAAAAAGGCATCTGATAAAAAGCTTTTTTCACTTCACCCTATGAGCTCCCATTTAGCTCAGATTTAAATATCAAAATTGTAATGGACAAAAATGAATTCTGTTTAAATACAACAAGGAGTGCTAAACAAACAATGCTTATATTAGTCAGCGCATTGCTAGGAGCAGTTTTTGGGTGAAAAGGAGCAATGAAAGGTTACGTTAGGTTAGTTTGTTAAAATTCAGGTGTTAGCCATATTGGTGACGCAGTCACCAAAGATCTACTGTATAGAAGTTTCATCCTCTTTTCGACTCCACCCAGATGGTCTATCCCCGAAGATAGATGAAACTTCTGATACCTTCTCTCCTCCTTGCGGTTTTAGTCTTGGGTGCTCATAGATTTCTGTGTGGCTCTACTACGGGAGATTGAGTTTGATTGATTCCAAGGATCAACTCCTTGAAGCCTGCCAGGCGTCGATGTGCCTTCCTTCGACATCTACAGGAAAAAGACAAGTCCTGTGGGCCGAAACTCCCAGTTTCTAGGTAGAGGAATGTCCATGGGTCCTCGAATCCAAAGAACGTTGCTGAATATCACCATTTCCAATTACAGGAAGGCAGAAAAAACTTATTTGAATGCACTGCTCCTTAGCCTGCACTTACATCTCGACTCGGAGTCCGTCCCAGTTCGCCATAGCCATAAGGTCTGAACTGTTATGCCAAGGGGTAAGCAGACCTGTGTCATCATTTTAATGCATTTGGATCAATGAAAGGTGCAATGCATTACTTAGAGAAATGCACTTTATTTTTTAGCAAAAAGATTCACCAAAAAATTCATTTATTAAAAATGGCTTCAGCTAATAAACATCTGATTCATATATTTAATTCAAAAATAGTAAGCAAAGAAGCCCATCCCTATAGTATCGAAGAGAGTGAAGAAAATGATGGCTTAAGAAGCATAGAATTACTTTTCGAAAGCTATTCATCTCAACATCAGCTATTTCAATAATTCTATTATTGAAATTTGAAAATTTTAAGAAGATTGCTTTTTTTTCTCTTATTTAATGAGTATTATAATCAGATTATCTTAATAATCTATAAATAATTAAAATCCAATTGCCTTATTTTATATAAAATAGACTTCAAATTTCACAATTTGCTAGTTTCAAAAATAGGCTTTTTCATAGAATGCAAATGCTGAGCTGTTCTTTTATAGAGATATTCAAAGGAAAATTGCATTTATTCTCCATTAATTATCACAAACTTTTAAATATTTATTAGCCAAGCATGACCTTCTTCAATTTTCTATTGATTTCATTGGCGCTCTCTGCATATCTTAACCTCACAAGTATTCCACTCACAAACCCTCCCCCTCCATCAAGATGTTATAATGCAATGGTTTATAATCCAATTAGCAATTCTCTGATTATTTTTGGTGGGATAGAGAGCAACACTGAGTTTTATAATGATGTTTGGCAATTTGATTTAAATGCAAATTCGTGACAAATATTAGAGCCTTCCTCGTCCAAATATCTAGGTAATTCTTATTAAGATGGAAGAAGCGGATCAGCTGTTTTTATTGATGAAGCTATGCAAATTTTTTATACTTTTGGAGGAAAATCGTTAAAAGGTGCTCAAAATGATCTTTGAGCTTTTAATTTAAGCACAATGGAGGTGAGCTTTATATAGTGAAATGAGATAATTATGAAAGGAGACATTCCATCGCCACGAACCCTTTCTGCATTTACAAAATATAGAGAAAATGGGAATTTAAAATTTGTTATATATGGAGGAGTTGGACTAAATGGTGATGAAAGCAATTTAGCAATTTTAGATGTTAATTCAATGAAATGAAGTCTAATGCCTGCAAACGGAGATGCCCCAGACCGAATTTCAGCAGCTTCTTTAGAATATTATAATGGAATGCTATACTTAGTTGGAGGTGTTGATGACTCAATTCCAGTTGACCTGAAATATAATATCGTTAGCTGCTATTTTGGAACTTTGGAACCTAAATGTGGAATCTTTTCCACGTGTGAAAAGATGATTCCACATGTGAAGCCTTTTGATTTCACACGTGGAAAAGATTCCACATTTAGGTTGCAAAGTTCCAAAATAAGCAACTAACGATAGTGATTTTTATCAATACGATTTGATTAAAAATATATGAGCAAAAATAAGCAATCCACGATTTATTTACACTCATAGGAGCTTCGCAGGAAGCGCGGTATATGATGGGTATTTTTACTTCTTTTTTGGCTGAAGTGATAAATCAGGCAAAGAAATTTTTGAGACAAGCATGGTCAATTTAAACGACCCAAATTTCCAATGATTAAATATAACCCTAGGAGACAAAGCAAGCACGAATGCTTTATATAGAGATTCTTATAGCTTTGCATCAGTGAATTCTTCGTTTTTTATTTTTGCAGGATATAGCATGGCATCAGGAAATCTAAACGATTTGATTAAGTTTAATTTATCTGACAAAGAAATTACATATACATATCTGTCAAAACCTTATACAGGCCCATCGGCACGATCTCATCACTCTATGCAAATTATGGAAGCAAATATTTACATATTTGGCGGAGACAAAAGTGGATTTAAGCTAAACGATTTATGAAGATTTGACATTGAAACTGAGAATTGAGCGTTTCTTTATCCAAGCGGAGACATTCCCCCTGCCAGGTCACACCACTCAGCTGGTGCACAAGGAAACGCGATGTATATATTTGGCGGAATAAGTGAAAGTGGCTCTTTTCTCAATGATTTATATCAATATGATGTGACTTCAAATCTTTGAAAGCATATTGAGCCCTCATCATTAAACACTCCATCAGCGCGATATTCTTCTTGTATAGTTTATTCAATTCCAATTCTATATATATTCGGAGGAATGACATCAACAGGAGTTTCAAATGAACTTTGAACCTATGATTGCGGCTCGAATAAATTCACTTTAATATCAAAAAAGGCTCCTTATAGTATATATTATCCTCGATGTGCAGTTGATACTTCAGGCAGCATATTTTATGTATTAAATGGGCAAGGTGAAAGAGATGCACCAATGAGCTATATATTTTCTTTTAATTTGTCAAGCGCAGAGTGAAAAGTACTTAAAGAGCCTGATATTTTTGATAGAAACAAAGCTGATGGTATTGCTGTGTATATTGAAGACTTCGTAATATATATAGGAGGACAGCAATGAGGAACTGATCCAAAATCGTCAGCATATGCCATTGATTTATTGAATAATTTCCAATATTATGACTACCCATTATCTCCTATGCATTTTATTGGATCAGCTTTTGCATATTATAAAACAGACATTTACGTGCATGGAGGGGTGGCATCTACTGATTTAATTATAAGAAACTTAATCCCTGTCATAAATTTTTATAAAATAAGCTTGACACAATTTTGCAACCATAACTCATGTCCTGCTATTTGCAGCCCTGGAACTTATATAGCCAAAAATAGCTGCAAACCTTGTGAAAGAGGAACATATAATCACAAATTTGGTCAAGCAGCTTGCAATGATTGTGATCTAGGAACCTATAATCCGAACATAGGAAGTAATTCAGTTAGAGAATGCTTTCCATGTAAAGCAGGCGAATTCAGTGATTTAAGAGGGCAATATAGATGCAAACTTTGTCCATTATATCATTACTGTCCAACTGGAAGCTCAAAACCATCAGATATACCATCAAGCACAATGTATAGCTCGTTGCAGCCTCGCAGTTATACAGGAAATTCAGGAGAAGTTTCAGCACTAAACACATATTATTTGTACTCCAGCATAGGATTTTTCATAATTGTAACAATATCAATTATTATTTCTAAAGACCTAAGAAATGAGCTGAGAAAAATCGATTCATATTCAGAAAATCATAACTTAGAACTAGAGGCAGTAATGAGGAAATCAAAAAATAGGTTTGGAGGCTATTTTACTATAGGATTTATAGTGGGTGCTTTATGACTTATATATGCCAATATTGTAACATATATTCTTGACAATGCGGTTGAAACCAAGACTTTATTACCTTTAGCTGCAGTATGAGATGAAACAAAGTCATATAGAGGGGATATTACCCTCGTGCTCACTCTTCTTAGATATGGAGGAAATTGCACAAATAATGGTGCCTGCGTTGAAAGTTTATATACTACTTCAAACCAAGTAGTAAGCTCCTCTGTTAATCAATCATGCTATATGGATCCTAATGATAATTGCATAGTGACTTTCTTTTGTAAAAACTGCGAATTCTCTACTGGAGCGGAAATTAATGTATTACTGCAAGAATCTTTGAGTTTCTGCTCAGGAATTTTGGTAAATTTAACATCAACCTCTTCTATTCCTAATGAGATCAGCAGCGAAAAAATTGGAGTCATGTCTGACCAAAATAAGATTTTTAGAGGCTATAGTCCGACTACTTTTTATTTTACTATGACGCCTTCATTATTCAAATCTTCAGTTTCATCTTGGCCCAGTAAGTCAACTGGATATCACGTTGAGATATTGTCCTCACCTTCCAAAGGATCACAGCATTATGCATATGAACTTCCTTTCAGCTCAGATTTGAACGTTAAGATTGTAATAGAAAAGAATAATGACTGTCTGAGTACAACAAGAAATGCCAAGCATACGCTTCTTATTTTGCTGAGTGCTGTGCTAGGAGCAGTTTTTGGGTGAAAAGGAACGATGCAAGGAATAATGCAGACTATAGAAAGGAGGATATGGTATGCCCGTACAAAAATCAGTAAAGCAGTACAAATATCAAATTCAATTGCTTCAAGCAAAAATTTAGCTAATATTTTCAATTCAGAAATTATAAATAAAGATGAAATCTGTTGCAGTGTAGAAGAAAATGATAAAAACTACTTGTTGGGGAGAAAAAAGACTTGCTATCCTGAATAAAGTAGCTTATATAAGCTGCTTTTTGATTTTTTAATTATGAGAGAAATAATTATTTTTCCTAAGATTTAAAATAAATTATTATTCTCAACACTTATTTAAATAGAGGAAAGCTAATCATTAATAATTTCATATACAATTTTAAATAAGTTATATTGAATACGTGACTCCATTTATATAATATAATTAGCAACTTCTTCTTCGATCTAAAAATTAAATTTTTTGGCTTAATAGGCACAATTATTAAGATAAATTGCTTTTTTTATGATCATTGCTCAATTATCGTAGTAGATGCACCTAAATAAGCTTTTTCCAAAGAAATCTATTTTGCCCTTGGGTAGTATTTCTAATTATACCATTAAACTGAAACATTTTATGGAGGTTACATCAAGCAATAACTAAAGCATGAATTTTATAAATAATCAATTAGTTTTCTTTTCGTTTTTCGTCTCGTTTCTTATTAAAACTTCCATTCTCCATATGCTTATATAAATATGTTTAAGTTGATTTATTGACTTTTAGCAAGTGTCCTTGGCAGCTACATCGATCTTACACGAATTCCAATCACCAATCCGCCCCCTGAAGCAAGGCTATATCAAGCAATGGACTATGACCCTAATACAAACTCATTAATAACGTTTGGAGGTGCCACAACTCCAGCAAATAAGTTTAATGATATATGGCAATACAGCTTCAACACTAGTCTCTGATCTCATCTAGAAGAAACATCCTCAGTTGCCCCAGGTATTTTATGACTCTCTCCCATAAAAAAAAATAAAAATGAGAAGTATTACTAATCTTTCGAAAAAAAAGTATCCATCAGCATAGCGGAAGGTAAGAAGATGCAAGAATGAGTCCTGCAGTTTTCATTGATGAAGCGTCAGGGATCTTTTATATGTTTGGAGGATCTTCAGATTCTGGCCCTCAAAATGATTTATGGGCTTTCACCATCAGCACAATGAAAGTAACTTTCATATAGTGAAGCGCTGTAAAAACAACTGGCTCTCCAGATCCAAGAAGCTCTATGGGCTATACCAAATACTTACTCCCCCCCTCCGTGAGTGAACAAAAAAAAATTTTGTTCACTCACGGATGTGTTAATTTTGTTTTAAAAAAATTTATATATAAATTTTATAGAGATGCAACTAGCAGTGAGGATATTGAATTATCGCGTGAAATTGATGAAAGAAAGCCAGAAGGGAACGGTACTGGGGAAAATATATCTGTTAAATGAACAAATGGATCTTACATGGGTCAGAACATGTGACAAGTGAGCAGAAATGATAAATTTCAGCGAACTGGAATTGCATAGGAAGGAAACTAAGACTGTAATCGAATCAAGGATAAGAAAAAATGCATGGCGTCAGCACGCAAGTAGAATTGAGACAGAAGTGAGAACGACAACGAGACTATTGGCTGCTCTAAATGACAATTATAGAGTGGAGTTATTAATGCAGCTACAAAAGTACGGAGTACTAGAAGGAATTGTTAGGAGAAATTTTAAGATGCATGAAGTGGTGCTATATGATTTTAAATTTATTAGATGATTGAAGGAAAATCATGATGATGTAATGGTTGAAGCTGACAACTGTACAAAGAATTTTATTTACTTATTAGTGCGTAAAAAAGAGAGAAATGCTGGATCACAGCGATAATTCAAATAATAATAATAATAATAATAATATATATATATTTTATAAAAAAAATATTTTTTTCGAAATTTGAAAAAATCCTAATACGCAAAAATTGGAAAGCAAATATTAATTTATTTGTAAAATTTATGTTTTAAAAAGCAATTCGTTAAAAATTAAACAGAATTAACACTAGATTTCATTATACTGATTATCACTTATATATCAAAAATTTTTTCCCGTAAAAAAAATTTTGTTCACTCACGGAGGGTGGGGTTTTTGGGCAAAAAATAGCGATTTTTCTAATGGTTTTGTTCACTTACGGAGGGGGAGTTAGACAGTTCTGGAATCCTTTATTTTGCTGTGTATGCAGGCAAAGGCTTAGCAGGGATTCTAAATACTCTTGAAATTCTAAACACAAGCACCATGAAATGAACCCTCATGCCGAACAATGGAGACTCTCCAATTGCTTTATTTTCCCCGAATATCCAATATTACGATGGATACATTTATATTGCTGGAGGAGACGACTATATCAATAGTATTTATAATACAAATTTTTACCGGTATGATATTGCTAATAAAAAATGAGAAGACATAACAAATCCTAGCGGAACTTATATATGCAGAAACCTAGGAAGCAGCTTTATTTATAATGGCGATTTTTATTTAATGTATGGGTGAAGTGATGAACTGCAAGGGGATATTTCTGAGATTTCCAAAGTAAGCTTAACTGACCCAGATTTCAAATGAAGCACTGTAAGTGTAGTTAAAAACGATGACCCTGCAATAATTCCAAGAGATTCTTATGGGTTTGCGTCGGATGGCAGCGCATTTTATATATTCGGAGGCTATTGCTCTGATGGGAACTTGAATGATGTGGTGAAATTTGATGTAGCTCAGGACTCAATTTCTTATGCAAGTTTAGCGCTTATTAATGTAAGTCCATCAGCAAGATCTTATCATACAATGGAAGCTATTGAAGGGTTTCTCTATATTTTTGGAGGGGTTTATAAAGAAACAAGGCTTAATGATCTTTGGAAATTTGACCCTGAGACTGAAATTTGGGAGTCAATTTCTTCCAAAGGAGTAGTCCCACCTGCAAGGTCTCATCATGCATCTGGGGCTCAAGGCAATGTGATGTTTATTTTTGGAGGAATTGATATTTCCGGCCAATATTTAGACGATCTGTATCAGTTTGATGTTACTTCTAACACTTGGAAATTAATATCTCCTTCAACTACTAACATTCCTTCTGCTCGCTATGGTGCTTGCGCAGTGTACTCAATCCCAATTTTGTATATGCTGTGCTCACTCCCCCCATCCTTGATCGAACGATTGACTGTAAAAATTCCTAAAAGTTGGGGAAATTAACCCCCATCCTTGATTGAACGATTTTCAGATCATGACAATTTTTACATATATAAAAATATAATAGTTATCAAAAGCTTGGGAAGATGTACCTAATGAAGTTGTTTTCAGAGCTTTGAGGCGACAGAATGCTGCGGAATCAACCATCCGAAGTGTGATTAGCCATCAACTTAGGCTTAAAAACTCAATAATCTAATAAAATAGAGATTCTTTAAAATTTAAAAAAAAAAATTTAATTCAATAAGGAAAAAAAAAAATTTATACAATTTAAAAGGGTAACTAATAAATCAAAAATATTAAAAATTGGAATTTTATGAAATTTTATATATAAATTTTTTTTCCCAAAAAAATTTTTTTTAACCCCCATCCTTGATCGAACGATGGCGAGTCGTTTGATCAAGGATGGGGGGGAGTCAGTAAAGTAGTATTATTTAATATAAGCAAAATACAATGGAGCTTATATTATTTATATAAATTTTTTTATAATTAATGAGCAATAGTATATATATGGAGGCTACACCTTTTCATCAATTTCTAATGAGCTCTGGTCATATGACAGTGGATCAAACACCTATAGTCTGCTTTCATCTGAAGCTCCATATAATTTATTTTTCCCACGATGTGCAGTTGACACCGATGGAACGAGCCTAATTGTGATGGGAGGAAAAACTGATGGAGACATGCCAGTCAGCAACATTTTTTCTTATTCAATAAGTAAAAATACTTGGAAAACATTAAAAGTTCCTGAAGATTGGTTTCGAAATATGGGGGAAGGAGTTGTTGTTTATATAAGAGATTTCATTATATTTCTAGCAGGAGAGCAATGGGGGACTGATATAAAGGATTATGTGTATGCAATTGACATTGCGAATAATTACACTTATATCGATTATCCTCCTACTCCTGTTCATATTTTTAGTGCTGCCTATGCTTATTATAAAACTGACATATATATTCATGGGGGAGGCCTTGCTACAGGAATTTTTATGAGAAATTCTGTGCCTGTCAGCACTTTTTATAAAGTTAAAGTGGCGCAGTTTTGCAACCAAACATCTTGCCCTGCAATTTGCAGTCCGGGTTCCTATATAAGCAATGGTGGATGTGCAGCTTGCCCTGTTGGAAGCTATAATTATGAATTTGGCCAAAGCACATGCACTGAATGTCCTGAAGGAACCTACAACCCAAGCATAGGCTGCAATAACAGAAGAGAATGTTTTCCATGTCCAGAAGGAGAATACAATAATCTTATAGGCCAATCTCTGTGCAAAAAATGTCCTATTCATTACTTCTGCCCAACAGGAAGTTCAGAGCCATCAGAAAGCTCAGCTGTAATTTTGTCCACCTCAACACAGCCTAAAACTTACGAGTCAGACTCTTCTGAAGTCGATACAATCAACAACAACTACTTATACAGCTGCTTAGCCCTCTTTGGACTTATCACAACCTTACTCCCCCTCCGTGAGCAAATAAAACCATTAGAAAAATAAACCCACCCTCCATGAGCAAATAAAAATTTTTTTAATAGAAAAAATTTTTATGGAAAAAAATTATGAAATATAAGAAATAATTAGTATAATGAAATCTCGAGCTAATCTTGTTTAATTTTAATAAATTGCGTTTTAAAACATAAAATTTTACAAATTAAATTGATATTTGATTCCCAATTTTTGCGAATTAGGATTTTTTTAAATTTCGAAAAAAAATTAATCCCCTCCGTGAGCGAGCAAGACCTTTGTTTTTCGCTCACGGAGGGGAGTTAGTAATCTGATCAAAAGATTTTCGCAATAAATTAAGAGGCTTTGACGAGTTCGATGAAAAACATAATATAGGACAAGATATTGTGCTGAGAAAATCCAAAAATCGATTTGGTGGCTATTTCACTATTGGGTATATTATTGGTGCTTCCTGATTTATATTTGCTAATATATCAAATTTTGTGTGAAATAACGTGAGTGAGACGAAGGCTTTGTTGCCATTAGTGGCTGTTGAGGACCAAGTAATAAGTTTTCTGGGTGATGTCACACTGGTTTCTTCATTTATTAGATATGGAGGGAAGTGCGCTAGTGACGAGGATGGGGCTTGCTTGTCTGAAGTAAAGGTCTCGACGACTAATATAAAATCAAAAGGAAATTCTGTAACCTGTGTCATGGATAAAAGTAATAATTGCATTATTACTTTTACTTGTGATGACTGCGAAATCTTAACTGGTGCTGAAGTGAACTTTGCTTTAGCTGAGTCTTTGAGCTTTGCTTCAGCGATTTTAGTTAATGTGACTTCATCTTCTTCTATTCCTGGAGCAATTAGTAATGAAGAAATTGGCCTTTCATCTTCTACAAATAAAGTACTTACTCTAATTAGAAAAATAAAACCAATTTTCGGCTGCAATATACGGCCAATACTGGTGGCCAGCTTAATATTTCCCCAAGTCTGGGATTATAAAGCTGACCACCATGGCCGTATACTCTGGAAATATTTGCAAGCACAATATTTTGATGCCTCCAGCAGCAGAGAATTAAAAAGCATACACAATTAGAGCTTAATAATTTAGTTAAATATACCCCATTTTATAGAGAGAGCTTAATAAAATGCTTATAGGAGAGTTAGAGGGTATGATCCATCCGTTTTTTATTTTTCAATGGTTCCATCACTATTCAGATCAGAAGTATCTAATTGGCCAAGCAATTTAACTGGTTACCATGTAGAAATCACTGAAAACCCTACTCGTGGCTCTGAGTATTATACATATGAGCTGCCTTTCAGCTCAAATCTGAATTTAAGAGTTGTGCTAAATAAAAGCACAAATTGCTTAAGTACTGTTCGAAGTGCTAATCAAACTTGGTTGGTACTACTAACTCCCACCTCCGTGAACGAGCAGAATTTTTTTGTTCACTCACGGTGAGGGTCAATTTTATTTTTAAATTTTTATAATAAATTTTATTGTAAATTTTTTTTTCGAATTTAAAATATCCCAATTCACGCGAATATTTATTTAATTTGTAAATTTATGTTTTAAAATGCAATTTGTTCAATATTAAACAAGAGATTTCATTATACTAATTATACTTATATATCTAAATTTTTTTCATAAAAATTTTTGTTCGCACACGGAGGGTGGGTTTTTGGTAATAAATGGGATTTTTCCAATGGTTTTGTTTACTCACGGCGGTGAAGGAGTAAGTGCTTTACTGGGCGCTGTTTTTGGGTGAAAAGATACAGTGCAAGGGATAATGAGCGCTATTGAGAAAAAACTTGTTTATGCCAAGGAAAAAATTGGCAAAAAACTAGAATTTGCTAAAAGAGCCCTTAAAACAAAGCATCTTGCTGATATCTTTGATTTGAGAAGAAGCAAAAAACTTGAGCCAGCCTTTAATTTAGATGAGTTAGATAAATCAGCAGTGCATGGAAAAACGTATGATAAGATACACACAGAAAGATAATTTAAAAAATATATGTATTTTTCGCATAAGCTCGTACCTTCAATCGTGCAAAAGCAATTTGTTTTATATTGCACTATAAACTGAATTAATTGACAAATCTTAAATATTTTAAAAAAAAATTAAGATGTCTTTTAGCTTCATAATATTCTATCTAAAAACGTATAGTAATTAATTTAAGTAAACATAAAATGCTCAGGAACGTCTGTCATCATTTCCACTTCGTTATTCTCCTCACCAATTCCATAAAACTCTTCCAAAATTTTGTTAAGTTTTGGATTTCCTTCTCGTCCTCTCCTTCTCAATATTTCTTCAAAAATATCAATTCCTCCGAGTTCTTCAAATTTAGCAGCTGCAATATTTCTCCCATTTTCTTTTTTTTTCTCTCCAGCTTTCAATATATTATCAATTGCTGATATAACTACGCTATGCAGCTTTATATCTTCAATTTCAAATGAATCGACCAAATATTCTAACGATGACCCCCCCCTCAATCTTCATGTCTATTGCAACAAAAATGCAATTTTTAAATATGAAATTTTATATAAAAAAAATAATAATTTTCATGTCTCTTGCAACAATTATATACATTAAAATGGCGACACGTGCCAACCTGCCCTCTTGGCGCAGCAGCCCAGACCTTATGGCTACAGCGAACTGGGACGAGCTTTGAGCCAAGAATCAGACGCAGGCTCAAGAAGTGTGTATCTGAGTAGGTTTTGGCTCTTTCCTGTTGTTGGAAATGGAGGTGCTCAACAACGTCCTTGGATCCGAGGACCCATGGGTATTCCTCTAACGAGAAACTGGAGTTTCAGCCCAGGCCACAGGGGGGAGCAGTCTTTTTCCTTAAATTTTTCCGTATTTTTAGCTAGATAAGTTTAATAAAATGGCGAGCGATAACAATAGCCATCCAAATCTCGATGAGAAGGTCATTGATACACCTACAGTAGCGCTGTTTTATGGCTTTTTTGAGAAACTCACCTAGAGAAAAATGCACTAATTTTTTTTATAAAAATGTTGTGTTGCAGCAGGCATGAAAGATTTTTTCGAAAAATTTTTGTTGCAATAGACATGAAGATTGAGGGGGGGTCATCGTTAATACTGGAAATTGAAGCAAAGAAAGTATGGTATCAGCATCTTTGCAATATGTGGCATTTACAACAGCCCAAATGGCTTCTTTTTTAATTGATAAATTAGGATCTTTCATTAAGTTCACAATATCGCGAAAATAAGGCTTGCCTATGATCATTTTGGTTTGAGCTAAAGTCCCTGCTAAGATATTGCTGAGAGTCCACAAGACTTCTTTTCTCATTTCAGTTTTCTTCTTTTGTGTAAGCATAGCACCAATTTTATCTAAAAACCCTAGACTAATTACATACTCTGTTTGTGAGTCATTCCCTGCTGCAACATTTCCTAATATTTTTAGAGCAGAATACTGAACATCTATAACAGGATAAGTCAGCAATTCTGTGATTCGAGGGAGAAGGCCTGTATTTACAACTTCTTCTATTTGCCCTGGGCTCCCATCAGATAAAAACACTAAAATTTTGCAAGAATCTTCTATTATAAATTCATTATTTGTCTGGAAAAGCATAGGCAAGTAGTCTAAAACCCCATAAAACAGTTCAGGATTTGGAGAAGGCTTAAGCATTGTTAAGCATGAAATAACTCATGCAATATTTGCCATAAGTCCCATTGATATATTTTTGTCACAAATTCTGCATAATTTTTTGACACCTTTTAATTTTATTATAAGGTCTCTATCTTCTATTGAATTTGAAGCAATATTTCCTAATCCTCACACACATAATTCAACTAAAGCTAATGAATCTGAGTCTAAATTTTCTAATAAAGCATGTGCTGCGCCTTGTTCTACAAGTAAATCAGTTGTTTCTTTAGGACTATAAGCTAGATTAGTAATGCATCATGCAGCTTCTAATCGGATATCTAAAGAAGCGGTTCTCAGTAGCTCGATAAGAACATTTGAAACTCCAGACTTAACAGCTTCTGCCAATGGTGGATTTTGATCAGCTGAGAGAATTTTTCTAAGCAGGCTCATTAACTCTTTAAGAATGTCAGGACTCTGTGGCTGCTTGATGAGATTGAAAATCATTAATGTTTTGTCATTTGGAGGAATATCAAAAGATCCCAAAGCTGGGCATGTTTGCAAAAGAGACGGAGAATAGAAAACATTCATGACTTCTCTTGAGCCCTCGATAACAGTTGATGATACTTCTAGAGCTTCAGTTGATAAAAGCGCTCTTTTTTTAAGAGCATTTTCTGTTCTTTTCTTTTTTCTGAGTTCGACAGCACCTTCATCTCTTCTTTGAAGGAGCTTTGAATAATCAGGGAGCTTTTGGAAGTTATTATTTCTTTGTTCTAGTCGCGTTGATATCATTTAATTTATTGAACTAATTATTTAAAATTTATTTTGATTAAAAATAGCATTAAAATAAGAGGCAAAATAAATCTTCACATCCTCGGTTTTCGGCAAATTTTATTGCTGATTGTTTACTACCGCCCTCTTTGAGCGAACAAAAAAATTTTTATAGCAAACAGAGGGTTTTTTATTTTTTTCGAAATCTACAAATATCCCAATCCGCAAAAATTGGAAAGCAATATTTATTTTGTAAAATTTATGTTTTAAAATGCAATTTGTTAAAATTAAACAGAATTAGCAAGATATTCGTTATAATAATTATCACTTATATATCAAAAATTTTTTTCATAAAAAATATTTGTTTGCTCACAGATGGGGTTTTTTGGGATTTTCCAATGGTTTTGTTCGCTCACGGAGAGGGGAGTTAGGGAGAATAGGGGTGTCTAATTGAATTTTTGGCTTTTGGGAAGAGTATTCGGGCTTTGTCGAGATTTTAGTAATAAGAGATTCATATTTCTTTTTATATTTTAGGTTTTCTGGATCTAATGAACAGCATTTTTCAAGTGCAGCTCTACTCTCTTTTATATATTTGCATTTTCTGAGAACCTTGCCCAATAAGAATCATACTGAGTGCTCTTCTTTATTTTTATCTAAAATTAATAAGCATTTTTCATGTGCTTCTTTATATTTTTTCAGTTTATATAAAGAATAGGCCCATATCCTATACGGTATTTTTTTAGACCTTGACACAACGGCTCTCTCGCAAACATCATCAATATCGGCATGAAGGTCTACATAGATATTACTTTTTATCAGCATCACTTTCACAAGATGAAAATAGATGCTCGGATGGCTTGGGCTGGAGTACATATATCGCCTTAAGTATTCAATTGCCTGATCAATATTATTGAGATGATAGTGGCATAACCCTAAGTTATAGTCAATTTCTTTAAGAACGCCTACGTGGGTATATATCGATTCAAAAACCTTGATTGCTTCATAAAATTGATGGAGTTGCTGCATTGCGAGAGCCTGAGTGAAAATTACTCTGTAGTATTGGATTTCTGGATCTTGTGGAGATTCTGATGATTTTGCTAAAATGTGTTCCCAGTCTTTAGTTTCGTATAAATTTTCGAATTCAGGAATCAGATTTCGATCGTTGCCCATCATTATACTTTATAGTGATGATTTCTTAATAGCAAAAAATAATCTTAGGTAATTATAAATATATATAAGCTTGCTGAAACTTGTGAAAATATCTTCATCAAATAATTGAATTTCGATTAATTTTTATTAAGTCTAATAAACTTCGATCCGTGTTCCTTAAAATATAATGCATATTTTTTACTTTAACGATTCTCCAATATTTTATTTAAGCTAAAGAAAATTTATCTCATATCAGCTTTGCTTATCAAAAATCGGTCAAGCCTTTAGTTTTTTATTCTCTAGTAAATCTATTATCAATGGCTATCAAGAATTGAAATCTTTAATTAATGCTACTCAGAAATGTAACTTTCTGTTTATAAATATTAATTTATTAAACATAAGTTAGCTAAAGCTTTGTATGTTTGCTAAAAAAATCATTAAATGCTATTTATCATTCAGAATTTTAAAAAAATCCAAAACCAGTTTCTAATTAATTCTTTAATAATGTTTGATCTTTACAACGCATTACACACAATGCCCTCACTCCCCGTTTTAAATTGGAGGCAAAATATCCAATTTTATTATTTTAACTCCCCTTAAATTGGAACAAAAAATTTTTCAATAATACAATTTTATAGATAAAAATAGTATTTTTATAAAATTAGTTATGACCTAATTTGACGGGAAGGGTTAGTGTATAGTATTATTTAAAGAGTTATCAGACCAAATCGATTTTTTTTAATTAATTCTTATTAAAATTAAAAAATATTTGTTCAATTTATATTTTTTAATTTTTTTAAAAAATTGTTTTATAGAGAATTTAATATAATTTTTTTTTTAAAATAGCACTTTTTAAAAATGAAACGGATTTTTTGTTTCCAATTTAAAGGGAAGAGTCAGGTGAGCATCTTACTGCACGGAAAGCCACTAAGATGAGATTTATTCAATTAGAATCAGAACAGTTGAGATCCTATGTTGAAGACCTGGAATCCTCCCTTTCAATTTACAAACAAATGCTCAAAGAATTGATGTTTTCCAAGCAGGGCCCAGAGAAAAGTGTTTGCGATGAGACTGAAACCCAAACAGTTGTTTCTCCAAGGGTTATTGAAACACTTATATCTGAAAAAAGAGCTTTAGAAGAAAGAGTCAGAAGAATCACAATTGAAAAAAATGATGCGGTTCATAAAGCAAGAATCAGTGAACAAAATGCATTTTCTGCCCAAGTCAGAGAAGAAAAAATTGTAGATGAATATGAAATTCAGTATAGTGAATTACTAGCAGATTCAGAAGCAAAAGAATTGCAAATAGCGGAGCTAGAAAAAAGGAACAAGGAGTTAGAAAAAGATGTTGAGCAGTTTAATATTAATAAGGAAAATCAACTTTCCATTGGAGATCAAAAATGTTTACTTTACAAGAAGATTGTCATCATGGGAAGTATTGTGAAAAAAATAAAAGAGAGATATATAAAAGCAAGCAAGGAAAATGAAGACTTAGCAAGCCAGTGCAAGCTGCTATTCATTGATTATAGCAAAGGAAATGAGCTCTTAAGAGAGCAGCAAAGAGAAATGAGTATATCAGAAATCATTGGAGGCCCAAATAGAGAAATCACCTTTACTGAATTTTTTGGCAGTAAAAGTGAAAGTCACATTGCTTCCAATTTGAACTTTGAAAAATTTGAAAAAGAATTAAAAGGTTTGGAGAAGGTAAGCAATGACAACTCACCATCCAAAAAAAGAATAATAGAACTTCAGAATAAAATTGCTAGCTCCCCCCTCTGTGAGCGAAAAAAAAATTTGTTCCCTCACAGAGGGGGTTAATTTTTTTTTACTAACTTTTATAATAATTATATTTTTTAAAAATCCATTTTGATAAATTTAATTTACAAAATTTGTGTTTTAAAATTCAAAAGAATTGCTAGAGATTTCATTAACTAATTATCAATTATATATACAAAATTTTTTTTCATAAGAAATTTTGTTCGCTCAAGGAGGGTGGGTTTTCACCAAAAACATAGGGATTATTCCATGGTTTTTGCCCGCCAATGGGGGAGTAAGCTTCAAGATCAAAAAGACGAATACACTGTAAAAATAAACACAATTTCTCAAGAAGTCAACAAAGCAAAAAGACTTCAGTCAGTGTTGTTGCATGACCAGCAAAATATCCAAAAGTCAATTGATAAGAGCAAAACAATAGAGCAGTCCTTGGATAATCAATTGAAGCAGCTTACTGTCCCTCGCTCATCTATCCAACCAAAACCTAACAACGAAGCTAAAAGGCTGATAAGGCATTGCTATGCAGCATCGAATCCGTTGGATTACGCAAAAATAAACGGAGCTTTACAATCAGTAAATGATGTAGAATCGCCTCACTTCTCACTTGGTTCGCAAGCAAAATTTTTTTTCTGTTATATAAGAGATTTATTTTTTAAAAATTACTTTAAATTAAAATCATAAAATATGTAAGATGTTTAAAATTTAATATAATTAATAGGAGTCCTCATTATTATAATTATTAATTTATAAAAATTTAGCTCGCTAATAAGGTTAATTTCCCAAAAATTGGAATATTTTCAATGGTTTGTGTGCGCTAATCAAGGGAGTCAGTTTTTTACTCAAAATTTAGATGAGTGTGAACAAAATGAGGTTTCTGTCATCCAAAGTAAATACGTTGAAGATGAAATGCTAGGCGATAGCGTCATTCTTGATTTCTTGAAGTTGTAATCAAACGTTCTTTATAATTAGTAATTTAACTTTATTGCTATAATTATAAAATTTATATATTAAAAATCCTCGCTTATTATTTGGCAGTTCAAACCATCATAATTTACACTTGGGATGACAGCAAATTAAGAATATTTTATCAATAATTTCACAAATAAAAGATTTCTATTTTTTTAAATGATTATATCATGTTTATATCCATTTCCAAGAAAAAGTAATTTAAAATGGATCATTTAATTAATTTTACGACCCCTACTATAGCAAAAAGAAAAGAACACTCGTCCAGCCCTGTGATGAGAATCCGCACAAAAATGCAAATAAGAGCTGAACACTCCTTGAAACACCAAACACAAATACCAAACGCACAACCACAAAATAAAGAAATTTTTGAAAAATTTAAAAAGCTTTTACAAGATATTGCAAGCGGAGGTGCTTATAAACCCTGCGGTAGAAGATCACTGAATACTCTGAAAAATCAAAGCGCAAGCAATTCACCATCCAGAAATTCTGTGAGAAATCGTTTGCTACACACATTAGGGCCTGATGATAGCGACACAGAAAATACTCTTTATGTGAAAAGGAAAACCAAGCAGAGATATATAAAAACGAATGAACTGTACAGGCATAGCACAATATCTAATATTAAAGGAAGCAAAAGAGAGTTTAACGACCCTTATAATATGAGTCAAAAATTAATAAAAACTTCTCAATGCAAATTGCTTCCAAAAAATCAAAATACGACTATAACAGAATCTTTAATGCAGAATTCTTTATCAGCAAGACACAATATAAGACTATGCAAAGAGTTTTCAAGTAAAACACCAAGATCAAGCACTTTATACAAAAATTTATCTAACTCGCCTATCTTTGATTGAACCGATTGTCATTGATCTAAGGTGGTGGGAATGGGCTGGCTATATAAAAAAATGCTGATTAAGGATGGGGGAGTAAGGAAAGATCAATCAATAAAGAAACCCCAAGAATTTTTTATCAGCCTGCAACGAAAAAAATGAGAGTTAAGGTTTCTAACTCTCTACCTCTGAGAAAAAGGAAGAAATTCAAATCTCAATTTTGGAAGAATCATATAATAAGGATTATTTTTTCTCATGCCATTACCTATTATTTAAATAAATAGCTATTAGCGTTTCTACTTTAGCTAATACTTTTTAAGAAACTCGCATCCAAAAATATTAACTTTAGTAGTAAAAATTCTTGCTTCCTCCGTGAGCGAACAAAATCATTTGAAAAATCCCTATAAACCCAAAAAATGTTTTTGAAAAATCATTTTACTATAAGAAGTGGATTAAGAAGAATTTGAGATCTATATCAAACGATTTATCTGGTTGGAAAGTTGAGCTATAAAGTGAGATTATATATATTTAATTATTTAAATATATTAATTTAAAGCAACTTATATCTGCAATGCAAATAGTATATATGTACTTAATATTTAAAATTAATCACACACTTGATAAAAACTAAATATTATATAAATATAAGTACATAGACTGATGATAATGGTCAATATCAAATATGTACTGCATATTAAATTATAAAATTCTGTGGTCTTCATACATACTTAATATGTAGTTATAATAATTTCGAATTTCTTGGCTTTTTTTGTCGTAGAATTGAGAAACCTTGGCAAGATATAATGAGCAACTTAAATTGTGCATATTTATTTCCCTTAAAATATATTGTTCAGATTCTTTCATTAGCTCTCTTGCTATCTGCGTTGCTGCTTTAATACTCACTAAATTCAATTGTGCATCTCTTTTTATAGAATTTATGCACAAATTTTTCAAAGTATCATGAGCTTCAAATAATTCCTTAGAACTAGGATCTTCTTTTGCAAGCTGAAATCTTTGAATTAAGAGTTCAGCTTGAGTGATCATGTCTTCATTATTTTTCAACCAAAATCTTGCAATTGCTTTTGCTAGATTCAAATTCTTAATTCTTTCATAAAATCCTAATAGCGAGGACAAGTAGTTACTTTCTCCGATAAAATACTCATTTGCTTGCCGAATAAAATTATTGATTATTTCAAGATTCTCTTCTCTCTCTGTTAAAATTATATAATCTTCGTCAATCGAGTCTTCTATAGTTTGTATATTTAGGGAAGGATTTAAAAATGGATGATTCTTTATATCTTCAGCACTTATTCTTTCATTAAAATCAAACGTTAACATTTTTTGGATAAGATCTTTAAGCTCGCCAGAGATTTCCCTTGGAAAATAAAGAGGCATTTTTTGCAAGTTCCTTATTTCTGTTTGTGTCTGTCCATTAAATGCACAAATCCCGAATAGGATTTCATATATAATAGCACCAAGACTCCAGATGTCGGCTTTGAAGCTGTAGCTTTCTGATTGTAAAACTTCTGGTGCCATGTATAAAGGAGTTCCTAAATAAGACTCTGTATATGAATTTGGGTTTAAAAATCTGGCAAACCCAAAGTCAGCTATTTTTAATTCAGCTTGCTCTATGTCAGGATTTGTTAGTAATATATTTGCTGGCTTTAAATCTCTATGCATTATATTAGATTTCTTCATAAAAATGAGAGCATCTACAAGCTGTCCAAGGATTTTTTTAACAATTTCTTCATTTAAAGGACCGTTCTTTTCTACAAATTCTTCAAGGCTTCCTCCTTCGCAGCATTCCATTACCAAATAATATTTATTCGCTGTTTTGAGGACGTCGAACAATTTGATTATGTTTGGGTTATTGCAGGCTCTCAATGCAGATACTTCTAAGAGTAATTGATTTTTTAATCTGGGAAGTCGGTTCAATTGATATTTTTCCAGTGATTTGATAGCATAAATTTGAGAAGTAGAATTATGAATTGCTTTGTAAACCTCCCCAAAAGATCCTTTTCCAAGTCGCTTTAAAATTCTATAATTTCCTATAATTTTCGTCATTTTTATTTATAAATAAGTCTCTAATATCCGAAATAAATTTTGTAGAAAGCGAAGATGAAATTACAGATGATTAAAATATGGTTAAATTTATATATTATTTTGAATTTTATGACGTTAGAAACCAAAATTATTTCATTTTATCTAACTCCCCCACTTCCGTGAGTGAGAAAAATCGCTATTTTTTGCCCCAAAAACCCACACTCCATGAGCAAACAAAAATTTTTTTAATAGAAAAATTTTTGATATATAAGTGATAATTATTATAATGAAATCTCGAGCTAATTCTGTTTAATTTTAAACAAATTGCTTTTTAAAACATAAATTTTATAAATTAAATTAATATTTGCGAATTAGGATTTTTTTAAATTTCGAAAAAAAATATTTTCTATAAAATTTATATAAATTTTTTAAAAAAAAAATTAACCCCCCTCCGTGAGCGAAACAAAATTTTTTTGTCACTCACGGAGGGGGGGGAGTAAGCGAAATTCCGTAGAATTACCGATTTGAAATAATTATAATAAATTGTTTATAAAAATCATCTTACTCTTCCCTTAAATTGAAACAAAGCATTCTGTTCCAATTTAAAGAGGTGCTAGTTTTTTTTTTAAATTAACAAAATTATAAATTGGGCACAATACTTTGAATTTAATTTATTTTTATGAAGATTTAATTAAAAAAATTAATCAATTTAGTTTGAAAACTATTTTAAAAAAAAACATTCTATTTGCTTTTTTCCAATAAATTAGGTCAAAACTAAATTTTATAAAATTATTTGATCTATAAAATTTTCCTATTGAAAGCAAAGTTTTCTTCCAATTTAAAGGGGTTAAAGTTCCCAAAAAATGGAAATTTTACCGATATTTTGTTCTAAATTTAATGAAAGAGTTAGAAAGAAAAAGACAACTATAGAAAATGCTCACTCCCCCATCCTTGATAGAACGACTCGCCATCGTTCGATCAAGGATGGGGGTTAATATAAAAAATTTTTTGGTAAAATTTGATATATAAAATAACACATATTTTTTTTATTTACTTTTAAATAAGAGGGTTAAGAGTATTTAATATAATTATTTTTACAGCAAAAAATTGAATTAATTTCATAAAAATACCAATTTTTAATATTTTGATTTATTAGTTACCCCTTTAAACTGTATAAATTTTAATTTGTTTCTTATTAAATTAAATTTGTTTTTAAAAATTTTAAAGAATCTCTATTTTATTAGATTATTGAGTTTATAAGCCTAGGTTGATGACTAAATTGGTTGATTCCGTAGCTTTCTGTCGTCTCAAAGTCTTTGAAAACAACTTCATTAGGTACATCTTCCCAAGCTTTTGATAACTATATATATTTTTATATATATAAAATTTTGCATGATATGAAAATCGTTCGATCAAAGATGGGGGTTAATTTCCCCAATTTTTAGGAATTTTTACAGTCAATCGTTCGATCAAGGATTGGGGGGAGTCAGGAAGAGAATTGTGATGGGCTTATCTAAATAATATCCAAATAAAAAGCTGATCTCAGCAATTATTTAAATGCTATTGCTATATTATAATTTAGATTATATTATCAGATTCTTCAATTTTCCTCTGTTTAATAGCTTGTCCTTTCTCTTCTCATTCATTTTCAGTTTTTTCGTTTGTTTTTCCTTTTTGTTTCAATTTCAATTCCTGAATTTTCAATTGCTTCCTTTCTTTTTTCTTTTTCCTTTTCATAGCCTTTTTCTTTGCTTTTTCTTCAACTGTTTTTCTATGATACTCTCTTAATGCTTGGAATTCTTCAGCAATTTTTTGTTCTCTATGGTTAACCTCTAATAAATCTTGCCTTGCTTCTTCTCTTCTTCTTAAATTTCGATACTGATGAAAGTCTCCACTGCCAGCTCCAGCAATTGATCCTGGTAAGCTTTCAACTTTTTCTACAACAACTCTTGTTTGTATTGGCCTTCTCACTTCGTCATTTGTATACGAGGCCCCGATTATGAGTCCTTTTTTGTTTCTAATAGCAGAAGCCATAATTATTATAATTTCAAAGCTTTAGTGTATTGAGAGTGTGTCAAAGAGCGTTAGAATTTATAATTTGCTATAAAAAATTAATTAGGTCTTGATGCTTCTAATAATGTAAATATATGCGAATCCTAAACATAAATTCCATCAATCATAACGAAATTAATGGAAACAATGATAATTTGAGTAAGCCAGGTGCACAATTAAGGTATATTTTTTATTGAATCTAAGAATTGCCTATTTGAAGTTTTTATGTAATTAAAGGTAAATTTCAGCGTCAGTGATTTGTTAAATATAGAAGTATCAGAGAAAAAATATAAATAATAAAAATAGGGATATATAATGCAATCGTTAAGTGTTAAACTTAGTGATTAATTATTGATTCCATGGCTAAATAGAAGCCATGAGTAATTCTCAATACCATCATCATTAAATATTAATTTAATTATCGAAATGGTTTAAAAACATGAAGCATTAGTTTACACTCTTGCTCAGTAAGTTCATAATTATAAGCATAGCCCAGGACGCATTATAGATCGTCCTGGGCTATAATGATAAATAAGAAGACATAATAAATAGCCGTTAATTTATTTCGAACTCTAAAATATATGATTTATAATAATCTCAGCGGAATTCCTCTACTTATTATCAATAAAATTAACAATGGGAAATCTAAATTGTTCAAAATGCTGTCAAGGAATTGAACAAAAGGAAGAATTCGATATGAAACCTTCAGTAAAGCTCTAATCAGGTTCTCTTACCTTCTTATATGAATACAAAGGAAACTTTGCAGTTTGAATCCCAGCCAAAAGTTGAAAAATCCTCAAAGCTTCAAGAACTTTCCGCTATCAAAATTCAATCAATTTGAAAATGCTATCATTATAGAAAGCAATTTATTCACCTGAAAAAAATCACACAATTAAATTATATATATTTTTCAACCGAAGAAATCCACCAAACGCTCTCATCTGCTTTATTATCTGATAATCCTGAAGTTAGGCCAAAATATACATATCCATCAGGATCTACATATGAGGGATCATGACTGGGAGGTTTCAGACATGGATATGGAGTAATGAAATGATATGATGGCTGTAGATATGAAGGATACTGGGACTTTAGCTATGCTTTTGGAGAGGGAAAATTCACTCATACAGATAATGATATTTTTGAGGGGCCTTGGAAATGCCCTTATGAAACTGGGCGACAACCTTTTTCTTCCAATTCTCGATCATTTCTAGAAAGCATCCAAAAGGGCAAAAAAGATGGGTATTGTAAGGAATAATTAGTGTGACTGTGATATAAACAAGAAATTATTGATCAGCAAAACCATAAGGAAAGATCATCAATTTTTTCACTGAGGCATATAAAGAGGACAAAGGATTTAATCCGAAAATATAACCAATTACAGGTGCAGCTAGATTATCCAAGAGAAATGCTAAATAAATTGATAGAAGAATTAAAGTATAAAAAATCAATAAAACTGACATCAGGTGTGAAATATATTGGGGATTGAAAAGATAATAAAAGGGATGGAAAAGGAAAAAATATCTGGGAAAATGAAGACATATATGAAGGAGAATGAAAAAATGACATGCAGAATGGGTGAGGGAAAAATGTATGAATCGATGGATCAATGTATATAGGACAGTATAAAAATAATTTAAAGGAAGGGATCGGAGAATATTGCTGGGAAGATGGAACATCTTACTTAGGAGAGTGAAAAGATAACTGTATTAATGGTATCGGCAGATATACATGGGAAGACGGAAGAGATTATTTAGGAGAATGGGTCAATGGGGCTATGCAAGGATTTGGAATTTTTACATGAAAAGATGGGAAAAAATATGAAGGAGGTTGACATAGAGGAAAAAAGCATGGAGAAGGATACACAATTTGACCTGATGGTAGAGTTTGTAGAGACTTTTGGGAGCATAATCGAAATATCGAAAAATTTTGCTAATATAAATTTAATAATCAATTTTTCATTAAAATTAGTTTGAACAATTTGCTCTTTATACTACTTTATAATATATGAATAAATAAAAGCTCTAACTCCCCCCCATCCTTGATCGAACGATTGACTGTAAAAATTCCTAAAAAATTGGGGAAATTAACCCCCATCTTTGATCGAACGATTTTCATATCATGCAAAATTTTATATATATAAAAATATATTAGTTATCAAAAGCTTGGGAAGATGTGCATAATGAAGTTGTTTTCAAAGACTTTGAGACGACAGAAAGCTTCGGAATCAACCATTCGAAGTGATTTAGCCATCAATCAGGGCTTAAAAACTCAATAATCTAATAAAATAGAGATTCTTCTTAAAATTTTTAAAAAAAAATTTAATTTAATAAGTAACAAATTAAAATTTATACAGTTTAAAGGGGTAACTAATAAATTAAAATATAAAAAATTGGTATTTTTATGAAAAATTAAATTCAATTTTTTGCTGTAAAAATAATTATTAAATACTCTTAACCCTCTTATTTAAAAGTAAATAAAAAAAAATTTATATATATATTTTTTATTTTATATATAAAATTTTTTTTCCCAAAAAAATTTTTTATTAAACCCCATCCTTGATCGAACGACGACGAGTCGTTCGATCAAGGATGGGGGGGGAGTAAGTAGTTACACAATATCTCAATAGCCAACAATTTTAATCAGGAAAATGCTTACTCCCCCATCCTTGATCGAACGGTTCACTGTAAAAATTCCTAAAAATTGGGGAAATTAACCCCATTTTTGATCGAACGATTTTCATATCATGCAAATTTAATATATATAAAAATATATAAGTTTATCAAAAGCTTGGGAAGATGTGCTAATGAAGTTGTTGTCAGAGGCTTTGAGACGACAAAAAGCTACGGAATCAACCATCCGAAGGCTTTAGTCATCAATCTGGGCTTAAAAACTCAATAATCAAAAAAATAGAGATTCTTTAAAATTTAAAATTTTTAAGTCAATAAGGAACAAATTTAAAATTATATATAGTTTAAAGGGGTAACCAAAATAATCAAAATATTAAAAATCGGTATTCTTCAATTTTTTTGCTGTAAAAATAAGTATTAAATACTCTTAACCTTCTTATTTTAAAATGTATAAAAAAAGATATATTTTTTATTTTATATATAAAATTTTTTTAAACCCCCATCCTTGATCGAACGATGGCGAGCCGTTCGATCAAGATGGGGGAGTTAGAAAGAAAATTTTCATATAAATAAAATGTAATCTATTACTCATTTATAGAGTCAGCTATTATTCTTAAAATTTCTAGTCTTGGCCATTCTTTTACATTTTTCCTCCCTAATTTATTTCCTTAAAAATTTTGTATAATAATTAGCTCTACACATAAAAATGCAGCAAGCATCTAATCAAGCTAAGCAAAGACTAAACCCTCAATCGCCAACAAAACCCCAAATGCATGATCATACAATTGATAGAGGCTTTATTTATGATATTACAAAAACCAACTCATCTAATCAATCTTGGGAAGAAATTAAAGTGACTTTCGTGAAGCCAGACCACACAAGCTTTTCAGAGTATCTAGTATTTGATAAAACTCAAGAAGATCTGAATGAATCTATTGAAGAAGTGATGAACTGCATTTCTGAAAGTCTTTATGAAACTGACAGACAAATTTTAGTTTCCTATTTATCCGACATTATGCGATTAGGCACCATAAAGAAAGATAAAGACATCCTATCAAGTTCCAGTAAAAGTGCAAGAGACATTGAATACGATGAGAAAAATGCTGAAATTGCTAAATCTTTTTATTCTGGAATAAATCGAGAAGCAGTTTCAAAAGAGATTAAGAAGCACATCAACTGAATAACTATTGAAGAAAAAGAAGACACAGTCAATCAAGCTTTTGAATTAATAAGAGCTCAAAAGCTGCAGCTGCAAATAGAACTTCATGATATCTTTATAAATGAGCGTGAAACAAAAAGAAAGACACCATTTAAAACTCCTGGAGAAACTGATGACAAAAATTGTGGGGAAATTGAAAAGAGATTAGAAGAAATTATAAATAGGCGAGAAGCAAACAATGAGTCAAAGACAGAAGTTAAGCATAGCAGCTGCTTAGGGAAAGGTCCAGAGTGGTTTAATGCATGCCAATGTGCAATTATATAATTATCAGTCTCATTAATATAATATTTGTATACAATCGTTTTGAAAAATATTGATAAAATGGAAGGATTAAAAAGGATTGCTATCTCTCAAATGCGCTCTTCTACAAACATATCTCAAAACGCTGAAACCATAAGATCACATATACAATATGCTAACTCCCCCCCCCTCCGTGAGTGAACAAAAAAATTTTGTTCACTCACGGAGGGGGGTTAATTTTTTTTTAAAAAAAATTTATTTTTCGAAATTTAAAAAAATCCTAATTCGCAAAAATTGGAAAGCAAATATTAATTCAATTTGCAAAATTTATGTTTTAAAAAGCAATTTGTTTAAAATTAAACAGAATTAGCTCTATATTTCATTATAATAATTATCATTTATATATTAAAACTTTTTTCCATAAAAAATTTTTCTATTAAAAAAAAATTTTTTGTTCACTCACGGAGGGTGGGTTTTTGGGCAAAAAATAGCGATTTTTCTAATGGTTTTGTTCACTCACGGAGGGGGGGGAGTAAGGAAAACGGAGCTCTCATGGCTTTTTTCCCTGAAAATTTCAATTTTTTAGGCCGATTAGGTAGCTCAGTTCAGCATGCACAACCTCTAAATGGCCCTTATATGGAATATTATAAGCAGCTAGCCAGAGAATTTTCTATATGGCTATCACTAGGAGGATTTCAAGAAAGTGTCCCAGAAACTGCAGAAAAAGTATTTAATTCGCATATCATTATAAATGATTCAGGCGAAATCATAGCAAATTATCATAAACTGCATTTATTTGACGTTCACGTTAATGAAACCCCACTTCTTGAAAGCATCGCAGTTAAAGCAGGCTCAGAAATTCATCCTCCAGTAGATTCTCCAGCAGGAAAACTAGGGTTAACTATTTGCTATGATTTAAGATTTCCTGAACTCTATAGAAATTTAGCCTTGCAAGGAGCCCAAGTTTTACTAGTACCAGCAGCCTTTTTGGAAGTCACTGGAAGAGCACATTGGGAAGTTTTATTAAGAGCAAGAGCTATTGAAAATGGCTGCTTTGTCATTGCAAGTGCTCAAGAAGGCCATCACGACTGCGGAAGAGATTCTTATGGGCATTCATTAGCAATTGATCCTTGGGGGACTATTATTGCAGATGGTGAATTAGGAGAAAAGGTTTTATTGGTCGACATTGATTTGTCACTGATAGAAAAAACCCGGAGAAAACTTCCTACATTAAGCCATGTAAGATCAGATGTTTATTATCAAAGAAATAAATAAATTTATAGTCTACGGTTAGGGTAATAAAGCTCCTGTACGAATTAATTCTGGTTCATGAACTGGAACCCATCAATGTGCTGAAAACCATCATTTGGCTGAAATGGTGGCAGCGTACAGTCTTCAGCGCTTAAGGAAGGCAACTTTGCGAATTTAAAATCTGGCTGGAAGTTGCTTTCTTCCCCAATCGAAGGGATTTTCATCAATTTAAAATTCTCAGGGTTGAAATTGCTTTCCTCTCCAATTGAGGAAGCTTTCATATATTTGTAATTTTCAGGTTGAAACATATAATCATCTCCAAGATTAGGGTTAAGAATTAAGAAGCCTAGCCGGCCTAAACACTAACAGGACTACCTTAACTCCAGGAAAGGTGGTTTGGGCTGGCATATACACCATAGTGCAAATGGTGCACGGCCTCATATAAACTCAATTTTTAATTTTTTGAAGAGAATCAGCTAAAATAAATATCGTTAGTTGCATGTTTTTTGAACATTGCAACCTACATGTGGAATCTTTTCCAGGTGTGAAAAGATTCAACATGCAGGTTGCAATGCTCAAAAGCAAGCAACTAACGATATTAGCTCCATGGGTTAGAGCCAACCTCTGTTGGATGTTTTGATATTCCTTATAGGCAAAGAATATGTGAGATGTAAAATCTGTCTAGCTCATCTGGCAGGAACAGAAAAACCTTCAGGAGAGAAATAAAGCTACCTCTTTAGCTAGATATCTCCAGACCCAAAGGCCTACTTGAAAAGTTAAGCAGGCTCCCATATCAGCATTAGGATGGGCCCTAATTGTTCCATAGGGAGCGCTTCGGAGATCAATTTCAGTCAACATCATCTTAAACTTGAATTACTTATAGAGAAGTCCCCTGCAGGCCTTTGCTCGCCTCTGCATACTTGCTTGCCAGTCCGAATACTGCCTTCCACTGTCTTGCTTCTTACAGACGAGGGCTTGTACTTACTACCCGAGAGTAAGAGACGCTGGGCCATCATGCCATGCGTCAACAGAGCTCGCCCTTTACTAAAATTCGAAAAATCGAATTTTCTGGTCGAGTTCTCGACCAAAATGGAACCGGTGCCCAGGTCGCAATGCCTGTATCGTCCTCTGGTCTTGCAGGGCGTTATCTCTCCAACTCAGAGAACCATCTTCTCACGAGGTAAAACCTTGACTTGGATGTGAGCATGCGGTAGGCCAAACACTAGATTGTTCTCCGCTAAACCAAGTAAAAAATATTTCCGAACTTTTCCTCCCTTCCACAAGGTTCCATCTTTCCTAATGAGTCTAATGGCTAAAAAATTAAGAGAACAAGTTGATTCACCACGCATTCTAATTTACTCAGTCAAAATCACCATCTATTTCTTTAACCATCACCAAGAGATGGTAATTTTGTAAATCTAAATCCTTCAGGCTCAGGCCCATCTCTTGACGGAAGAGGAAAAGCTGGAGAAAAAGGGCCATCTTGGTTTAAGAATGATAAAGGATCCCCTCTCCCAAAACTGCTTGCTGAATCTAATTTGTGGTATCCTAATTCCTCACTATTAAAAGGTGGCTGATTTTGAGGATCAAACGGATCGAAATAATTTGGTACAAAAGCCCCTGGAGAATCTTTTATTGGCAAAAAATTTTTTGGAGGTTCATTTGGTTTTGCTATATCAAATTGACTGCTGGGTATTGGCTGAGATATGCTATGCAGCAGACTTGCTGATTCAATTTCTTGCTGCTCCTCAATTTTTTTTTTATGAGATCGTGTAACCGGCGCACATAAAACAATTGAAGGCCTTCGTATTGCGTTAATTGTGTCTTCGAAAATGACTTTGCTGCTAGTTTCGCTGCTTTTTGGAGAGTCTTTTTCTGATTCAATGGCCGATTTTTTATATCTCTTAAAGCTGTCAGACTTTTTTAAGTCATCTGATTTCTTCAGGCTATCTGATTTTTTCAAGCTCTTTGAGCTATTTAACTTTTTTAAACTATCTTCTCTTTTTAGGCTATTTTCGCTTCTTAAGCTATCTGCTGAAATAGGGCTATCTTCTGTTTTTATAGAGTCTGTACGTTTCAAGCTTTCAGATCGCTTTAAGCTATCAGACCTTTTCAAGCTATACCCAGCTATAGTGAATATAAATATTACGGTTATCATACTAAATAAAATATCAGTTAATTTGTTTGAGACAATTTTATTGATTCTAGGTATATCAGCTCTTTTCAATAAACTTGCTCTTTTTAGACCCTCTTCTCTCATCAATCTGTCCAATTCTTTTTCTTCTTTTGTTCTTTTTCTTTCAGAATGCACACTCAATACTTTCAAAATTTCTGGATCTTTTATCAACTCTTGAATACTTCCATGCAGCTGCTCATTTTCAGGCACTCTTTTGTTATATCTTCGTAGATTTCTACGTAGTGTACTGTAAAAATAATTTTTGATTGCATTGTCTGTTCGCCCAGGCAAGTGTTTTACCATCTTAGACCAGCAGTTCCCGTATTTTTGTTGGCATTCAAATAAGGTTTTTTCTTCTTCAAGAGATCAGCCTTCATTTTTAATGTTGGGGTCTAGATGGTTAAATCATCTCTCTCTGCATTGTTTCCCTGTTCTAGATAAATTTTACCTTCCTTCGATGACGTTCTTTTCTTCAAGAATTCGAGCAATTTTAGTTCATTTTTTGAGGCCGAGCTCTTCTACTAATGATTTGATAGCTTCATCAGCCTATTTAGAAAATACTTCTAAAGGCCAAAAATTTCGATCATAGTTAGACATTTTTATATGAATAATATGGATTGAGTTAGGTTGATTTAGTAAACTGGAGAAGTAATTTTAACATTTTAATTTTATTTCTATGATAATTTTTCTTATTGCTCATCTAATTTCATAAATTTTATAGTGTAATCTCCTTAATATTATTTGATAGACAATTCATCACTATTTTCTTAAAATATATTTTTTATTGTAGCTTCTAAGGATGCCTGCGCCGCAAAGACTTTTTTTAGTTGGCATATTTGCTTTAATTCTTTTTAAATTTTATCAATTTGCTTTGTTGCATTTTATTTCAATCTTTTTTATCTTTTTTTAAATTTTGATAAATCCTATTTATATATCCGATTATATAATGAAAATATGATGCTTTTTAAGCAACATAGACCAGAAGAAGCAGATGAAGAATCTTTTGCTAGTATTATTTCTATTTCAAATAACAGCCCTGATGAGTTGCTAAAGATAAACCAAAGCTGTGTAGAGGTTTCTTTTTATTCGGTCATCAATTTTTATCAGGATGAGGATGAAACAAACCCAGAAACTATAAAACAAACTCCACCTCCAATTGGAAAAGCACATTGTTGCAAATGCTCAATATTTTAGGCCAAAGTCATTACATTTTTGTAATATCTGTAATTTAAAACTCTTTCGCTAAATTTCTAACTAAAATTGATTTGTTTCAATATTTAGCATTATTTTAATTTTCCTGGCATAAAATAGGCTATCATATCTCGTAAGGTATGAAATCTTATATTTAAGAGACGTTGATGAAGGTTTTATAAAGTACTTAAATATTCGTTAATAAAAATCTACACCTGTTAGGATAGAAAAATGAAACTTTGAAAAGCAGTCAAAAAAAAAGTTAAAATAAAAAATTATATAATAACACCGAATTTTGGGCTTTTTATACAATATAGGAAAAGATTTGGATTGTTTTCATAAAATGTGGGCGGTATTTAATTCATATATTATGGTCATTTATAAAATATAATTTGAATTTACTTTTTGCCTTTTGAAGAGTGTTTAAGTCAAAATACCCTTGCAATTATCTATAAAACTATTCTTTTACATCCTCAATTTTTATTATCTAATAATTAACATTAAAATCTTATCTATTTAATCGGATCATTTTTTTCTTTTTCATTCAGTAACTCCCATTGACAAGATTTTGGTGGCTTTGTTCTTGAAATCCATAAGAAAACCCCAAAAGAAAGAAGCACTAAAAATGCAGCAACCCATAGTCCTGTATAGTGAGTAAAAGTACTGAAATATTGAACTGGATAAGTATAAATTAATGATAGTATCTGCGCCATAAAGAAAATCATGTTTGTAGGAATAGATTCTTCAATCCTCAAATTCTGTTCCACTGCACATCTGATTCCAAGAGGCACGAATCCAACTAAGCTGAAACCAACAAAAACACTTCCAATAATTGCTAAAAGTAAAGTTCCAATTAGCGCAGCCCAAAAGATCATTGAAAAGATGCTGACCCCCCTCCCTCCGTGAGTGAACAAAACCATTAGAAAAATCACCATTTTTTGCCCAAAAAACCCACCCTCTGTGAGTGAACAAAAATTTTTTATGGAAAAAATTTGATATATAAATGATAATTAGTATAATGAAATCTAGAGCTAATTCTGTTTAATTTTAAACGAATTGCGTTTTAAAACATAAATTTTATAAATTAAAAAATTAATATTTGCTTTCCAATTTTTGTGAATTAGGGATTTTTTAAATTTCGAAAAAAATATTTTTTATAAAATTTATATATAAATGTTTTTAAAAAAAAAAATTAACCCCCCTCCGTGAGTGAACAAAATTTTTTTTGTTCACTCACGGAGGGGGGGGGAGTGAGTACTAAAAACACTCTTAACGGCTTCAAAATAGCTTTAAATTTTTCCACTAAACAAGTAGCTATTAAGCCGCCAAACATCCCAGTCATAACCAAGCTAAAGCCGATCCACCCCACTTCTACAGACCTCATGCCTGTGGTTGATAGCAATTGTCCCATAATTCCAAGTACTGTATAGCTTACTGCAACTCCGCTGCTGGAGCAAAGCACAATTCCAAGCATTTTTTTATCCTTTAAAGCTTCTTTGCACGATTCTTGGAAATTTTCAAAGTTTTGCTCAAGATTTATGTTTTCTTTTTTCGAAAAAACTGCATTAATAATCAAAAACAGGCTCGCATATAGTGCTTCCGCAAACATAAGAACTGGAACGTTGTTGACATATGGAGGAATTACAAAACCGCACCCGATACCCACAAAATTGCTGAGGCTGCCAATTGTGGTAGCTAAAAGTTGCTCTTTAGGAGGAAACCACTTACTCCCCCTCATCCTTGATCGAACGACTCGCCATCGTTCGATCAAGGATGGGGGTTAATAAAAATTTTTTTTGGGAAAAAAATTTTATATATAAAATAAAATATATATATAAATTTTGTTTTATTTACTTTTAAATAAGAGGGTTAAGAGTATTTAATAATTATTTTTACAGCAAAAAATTGAATTAATTTTTCATAAAAATACCAATTTTTTATATTTTAATTTATTAGTTACCCCTTTTAAACTGTATAAATTTTAATTTGTTACTTATTAAATTAAAATTTGTTTTTTTAAAAATTTTAAAAAATCTCTATTTTATTAGATTATTGAGTTTTTAAGCCCATTTGATGACTAAATTACTTTGAATGGTTGATTCCGAAGCTTTCTATCGTCTCAAAGTGTCTGAAAACAACTTCATTAGGTACATCTTCCCAAGCTTTTGATAACTATTATATTTTTATATATATAAAAAATTTGCATGATATGAAAATCGTTCGATCAAGGATGGGGTTAATTTCCCATTTTTAAATTTTTACAGTCAATCGTTCGATCAAGGATGGGGGGGAGTTAGCAGCTAAAGTGGAACAGCCTGGCAAGACCATACTGTTTAAAGAAGCTACAAGAAATTGGCCTATTAAAGCGAGTGCGAAATTTGGACCTGCAACATACCGAATTCAGCAACCAATGCAGGTTATGAGCCAGCCAATATTCATGCACCAATAATAATTTCGGCCAAGCGCCCAGGAAGCGAATGGGGCAAATGGCAGATACATTATGAAATAGCTTTCTTCAAATAAATTGATCAAGTTTGCACTCGCACCATAGTACTCTTGAGCCTTTTCAGTGATCGGAGTTAAAGTGCATCAGACAAGGCCATTCATAGAGCTTATCCCAACATAACATAACAGCATAAGCCATCTCCTTGGAGAAGGTTCCATTCTAATTAATAATCAAATTTAATTGGATTCGCTAATATTAATAGTTTGCCCATACTTTGAAAATTTATGTCTTTTATTTAGAGCGTAGAGACAGCTTCGACTCTAGAGATATAAACTTGCTTATATATATAAAATCCCCAAAAATAGAAGTCAGCGGACGATCCGGTTTATGAAAAAGCAAAATAACCATTAAGATTTTCTTTAAATAAATTGAGAATCATTTTCATCAGAGTATACAGTTTAAGATATAATTAGCTTATTTTTCAGATAATCCCCCTTATGTAAATTTAATATAATGCAAAACAAAGGAAACTCTTTTAACACGCTTTTCAGTGGGTTTAGAAATGACAGTTCTGATGAAGAAGGAGAAGTAAAGGAACAACATCAATTTATTACAGACCCAGAACAAATGCGTTGTGATACGATTCTGACTAATAAACAAGTTGAAATTTTTCTCAAATATTTGAGCGCACCAAATTTTAATTTCACAAAAATTTGGCTTAATAAATTCAACCTTGTTGCAAATAAACATTATGGAATTATTTCAAAAAATGATGCTTTATTTAAGCTTTACAAAACAATTGTTATCAATATAACTCAAGATATCTACCCTATGATAGAAGAAGACAAAGATATGGCTCCTGCAATTTTAGAAATATTTTCAGAGCTTTACTATAGAAAAGATTTTCCTCCATATCAGCATATAATTGATGAATATCGTATCGATGTTTTAAATCAGCGAGTTGTAGATATTGTTAATGAAGTCAGAAAAGAAGCCTATAAGACGAGGAAAAGAGAAAAAAACCAAAAAAGTCGGCAAAAAGAAGCCCAAAGAAAAAGAGAAAAAATAAAAATAGATTTAGATCCGTATGATTCTGTATGCCTACCTATCAAAAGGGACAGAGAGGACACAGAGCTATCGCCTGAGCCAAAAACTCAGCCTGATGAGCCCATAAATTTAGATCAAAACTTCCAAGCGGAACTCGCAATGAACAGTTTGTGGCTAACAGGGCTAGAACACAACCAAGAAGCAAACTCTGACAATAATCAAATGCAAATTGATGGTAAAGAAGCTTCAGTTCAAATCAAAAACTCACAAATTGATGAGGAAATCAGCCAAAAATTAAACCATGAAGAAGAAATTAAAGTCAATGATAGTGAAGTAAAGGCTGAAATGGATGTTGAAGAAAACAAAGAAATGGAAAATAGCAATAAGCAATATGAGATCAATAATGCTGAAGAAAGCAGAGATATACAAATAGAAAAAAGAGAGATGACAATAAAAGGAGAAGAAGCTGATGGATGGGGGGATTTTGAAGAATGAAGTGAAGTGCCAGAGCAAAATAATAAAGGAAAGACTACTGCTGAGAATATTGACGAAATTACAGATGTCAAGCCGCTTTCTTTAAATCCTAAAAGAGAGGAAAAGGATGTATTTTTAATACCAGAGTTCCGAAATGAAGAAAGATCTAATGCAAGGCTTGATCCTCGAGCTGTCGCGTTTTTGAAAGCAAGAGGAATCGATTTTTTGCTGGAATCCCCAACTATAATGGAAAAGCTCGAAAAATTTCATATAATTTTAGACATCGATAATACACTTGTTGCAGCAAATTCAGAAGTAACTGTAAAAGCATTAAAAACACCTATTCCTGCTCATACTCAAAAAATCTTCGTTAAAGATTGTCCAATTTATGTAGCACAACGCCCTGGGGTTAGTGAATTCTTAGAATTAATATCTAAATTCGCTGAACTTTATGCTTATTCTCATGGCAGTGTCGACTATGCAGCAGAAGTGATTAAAATTCTTGATCCATCCAAAAAATACTTCAAAGGAAGAGTTTTGGGTTCTGAAAATAATATAAATGCAAATATGAGAAAAAGCTTACTCTCGCATTGGGATGTGTAAAGTCATTAGAAGTTGTTTTTCGGAAATAAATCCTTTAGTGAGCGAACAAAATAATTCTTTTATATAATTTATTTCAAATAAAATAATTTTATATAATTAATAGTTACATGAGGGACCTACAACTAATCATATAAAACTTTAAACAACTAGTTATTTTTTTTTTAATCAAATAGTCATATTTTTTTTTTCTATGCAATTTTATAAAAATTAAAATAAACAAAAAATTCTTGTAAAAGGGGGGAAGCTAGAAATATTCTCCTCAAAGTCAGGAATAAGCATAAATCCAGATCTACTTTTAGTAATTGACGATCAAATGGTCGTATGAGACAACCCCATTTACTGCATTCCTGTTGTTCCTTATTACCCAATGAAAATACCTAACAAAAATACTTTTATTTGCCATCCAAGGCTTATAGAATTATATAACGAAGAGAATTTGCCCTTTATTTATGAGCCCCCTGCACAATCGAATCTCTTAAATATAGCGGAAGCCTTAAAAGAGTCATATTCACAATTTATATCAAATAACTGCAAAAAGACAGCAATATTCGAGTTTACTGATTATAGGAATAGCATTTTAAAAGGAACCCCGCTATCTTTTAATGTTTATGAAACAAGGGTTGGTCAAGGTGATTATACAGCAAACAAGCTTAAGAGCTATAAAATTATAGCAGAGTCACTAGGAGCATCTACTAGCACAAACGGTTTTGAAGTAGTTGAAACAACTAAATATACAACTGAAGTCTCAACAGCATGGCTCCTGGATTGTTACCTTCATATTCGATCAATTCCAAGGTTTAATAATTAAAAATTATGTTTTATAATCTTTAATTTAAAAATCCTTATAGATACAAGCCCCATCAGTCACAAATGAGCTACTCAGTCATGAAATTAGTCATTGGCAGTTTATGCTGCTTTAAATGCTTGCTTTTAAGGTTTTTATATCAGTGAATTTTAAACATAAAGATTAGTGAAGTAATATTATCAAAATCCAAAAGTGAGGATAAGATCTAAGTCAAAAATTCATGTTCTCTAAAATGAATGCTAAAGTCAGAAATAAATTTATAAACCAAAATGGGTTCTTCCGAGAGCAATTGTGGATTTAGAGTTATCGATGTAAACCCAACCTCTCCAGCCCATCAAGCAGGGTTGATAAGCTATCTTGACTTCATTGTCTATGCCAATGGTATCAGGCTTCAACAAGATGGACCGCTTCAGAATATAATTTCTAAGAGTATCAGATGCAAAGTATTTTTGAAAGTTTTCAATATTTTGGATCAAGCATTTAGAGAAATAATTGTAACCCCTAGAAATGATTGGGGAGGTGAAGGACTATTAGGTGCTACATTGAGGTGGGAAGACTGAACAGAAATTCCTAGCTTAAGAATTATCGAAGTTTTTCCTAATTCTTTAGCTTCAGAGCTTGGTTTAGTAGAGAATACTGACTTTATATTAGGAACTGCAGATGAGACTTTAAATAGTTTGAGCAGACTTGAAGGGATTCTTAGACATTATGAGGAAGCCACGCTATTTGTATATAACTCAGAAATTGGTGAGGTCAGAAAAATCCATGTAAAAAACCCAGAGAAAAAAAGCTTAGGCTGTGGCGTTGGTGAGGGTGTTTTTCACGCATTAGACAAAGCTAAAATAGAAGCATTAAAAAAAGAAAAATCAGAAGCTAAACAAGAAAAACCAGAAGAAAAGAAAGAAGACGTAATTGTTACAGTTCCACAGCAAAAGCCAAAAGATGAAAATATCCCTCCACCCCCTCCACCCAAAGCAGAAACCCACAACATTGAAAAAAAGCCCGAAAGCAGCGGGGTAATCAAATTGTTACCACCTCCAAGCATATATGACCTCAATGATGAGAAAGCAGGCTTTCAAACCAATATATTAAAATCAAAATATATCATTCAATAATTAATTAGCAAATTATCAAATTTATTAGCCTACAGCTAATTACGATTATTCAGTATTGTTTCTACTGATTTAAAATTAAAAATAATTACTTATTTTAAAATGGGAGTAGGCACTTGCTGTGGAAAACACAACAGAGACTTAAAACGACCTTCTAGAAGAGAATCGACAGACACCATGCATCTGGCTGAAAAGCTAAATAATCGCGACTCAAAAATTCACATAAAAAGCGACAGTATTGGTTAAATAGACATCCAAAAATATTATGACGTTGAATGGGAAATCGGAAGTGGGCATTTTGGGAAAGTCAAAAGAGCTTTTAGCAAAGACGTAAAAATCTCTCAAGACTTCGCTATAAAAAGCATCCCGAAGTCAAAAATCAAAGGCAGAGTGGAGCTTTTGCAAAGGGAACTAGGGTCTCTTATGGTAGTAGATCACCCAAATATAATCAGACTTTATGAGGTATATGAAGATAAGCATTATATACATTTAGTGATGGAATTATGCACAGGAGGAGATTTGTTTACACAATTATTAGAAAAAGGTAGGTACAATGAAGGAGAGGCTGCAAGAATTATTTATTCAATCCTCCATGCATTAAGCTAACGATGACCCCCCTCAATCTTCATGTCTATTGCAACAAAAAATTTTCGAAAAAATCTTCATGCCTACTGCAACACAGCATTTTTATAAAAAAAATTAATGCATTTTTCTCTAGGTGAGTTTCTCAAAAACCCCATAAAACAGCGCTGCTGTAGGCGTGTCAATGACCTTCTCTTCGAGATTTGGACGGCTATTGTCATTGCTCGCCAGTTTATTAAACTTATCTAGCTAAAAAGTACGGAAAAATTTAAAATGCGTATCGAAAATTTGTTGCAAGAGACATGAAAATTATTATTTTTTTTAATATAAATTTTTATATTAAAAAATTGCATTTTTGTTGAAATAGGCATGAAGATTGAGGGGGGGGTCATCGTTACTTGCACAGCTTGCATATCGTGCATAGAGACTTAAAGCCTGAAAATATTATGTTTGCCACTCATGATGCAAATGCTGAAGTCAAACTGATTGATTTTGGCCTTGCAAAAAAATTTATTACAGAGGACTGTTTATTGCATACTCCTGTTGGCACTTCTTATTATGTGGCACCTGAGGTGCTTCAAAATAACTACGGACCCTCATGTGATATATGAAGCTTAGGTGTTATTTTATATATGCTTTTAACTGGAAAGCCACCTTTTAATGGTAGATCAGATTTAACAATTTTCAAAAATATAGGTGTTTTCCCTATATGGCCCGATACTAGGCCATGGGCTCTCCGTAGAATCCCTCTGCTGGAGAATCCACGGCCCTTATCGGGCCATATAGGGAAAACACCTATATTTATCTTGCTCATATCCAAAAGAAGGAAGTTCTGAGTGAGAATCTTTATCTGAAGACGCGCATGATTTATTGACAAAAATGCTTAATTCAGCACCTCAGCATAGAATTACCGCGAGTGATGCCCTAAACCATCGGTGGTTTGAAAAGAGAAACCATAAAGACTCGAGAGTTATAGATAAAATTATCTTCAGCAGGCTAAAAAAGCAAGTCTACACAAATCAATTAGTAAAAGAGAGCATGAAGCTTATGATAAAATATACAAAAGAAGAGGATATCAGTCAATTAAATGACATTTTTAGAGAACTTGATCAAGAGCACACAGGACTTTTAACTCCTTCGGAGCTAAAAGAAGGGCTGATTAAAGCAGGAATTTCTTTGGACATGGAAACAATAGAAAATATTATTAGAAATGCAGCATATGATGAAGGAGATAAACTTGATTATACAGCTTTTATAGCGGCCACGTTGGATAGGAAGTTATTACACAATAAAGACACTCTTTGACTTGCTTTTAAGCAATTTGATATAGATAACACAGGAACAATTTCTATAGAAAACTTAAAAGAAGTGTTTAATAGAGGAGGCAAAAAAATAAGGAAAAAAGAATTACGGAAAATTCTTGAGATTTATGGAATTGATGAAAATAAAGGAATTAAATTTGAAAATTTTTGCAATATTTTTCAAAGTAATGTTAATTTAGAAAATGATGAAGATATTTCTAGTTTGGAAAGTGTCTATTCGAGAAGAGGGCCAGAAAAAAGTGTCATGGATAGCAATAGAGTATAGCTTTAATTATAATTTATCAGTCTTTTTTGTACAAATAAAAAACTCAAAAAATATAGCAGCCTTAGCCTTAGGAAGATTCTTTGCTATAATTAGAGATTTATAAAAACTTGACTTCATTAATAATTTTTATTAAATAGACAATTATGATTCTAGTAATTAAAAGCTCTTTATTAATGTAATATATTAATTCTAGCTTTTATGAAATAAAATAATTAATTTTTCTGGTAAATTCGAAAAATTAATAAATAGTAACAGTTTATTAATGTTTTTTATTTTATAAACAAAACAAATGGGAAAATGTTTTAGTAAATCCAGGAAAGAGCCGATAGATAAAATTTCAAAGCAGCAGCCTCCAACTTCTGATACTCTTATTGATAAAATGACACATAGAGGTTCAACTGTTCCAATTATTTATGACAGTATTTTTTAACCAGATATTCAGAAATATTACGATCTTCAGGTTTCTATTGGTAGCGGACGCTTTGGAAATGTTAAAAAGGCTCTGAGTAAAGATAAAAAAGTCGAGCAAGAATTTGCAATAAAGAGCATCCCAAAATCAAAAGTTATTGGCGATTTAGAAGTTCTTTTAAGAGAATTAGCTTATCTTATGATTGTTGATCATCCAAATATAATCAGACTCTATGAAGTCTATGAAGACAGTAAATACATTCATTTAGTTTTAGAATTATGCACAGGAGGAGAGCTTTTTACACAATTATTAGAAAAAGGAAAATATGCAGAAAGTGAAGCTGCAAGGATCATTTATTCAATACTTCATGCATTGAGCCACCTGCATAGCCTTGGAATTGTGCATCGAGACATCAAGCCAGAAAATATTCTATTCTCTACTCCAGATTCTGATGCAGAAATAAAATTAATTGATTTTGGGCTTTCAGCTAAATACAATAAAGAGAAAACACTAATGCATACATCTGTAGGGACAGTTTATTATATTGCTCCAGAAGTGCTTAAAAATAACTATAAAGAATCTTGCGACGTTTGAAGCTTAATTCCCCTCTGTAAGCTAACAAAACCATTGGAAAAATCCCTGTTTTTTGCCAAAAAAAAATCAGTGAGCGAACAAAAAATGTTTTATTATAGCGTTATCTCTAACTAGCTTTTTTAATTTTAAACTGCTTTCATTTTAAAACATAAATTTTACAAAATAAATAAATATTTGCCTGAAAATTATTTTGAATAGGGAATTTTAAATATTTACTGTTAAATTTATATTCTAAAAAAAAATTAATCCCTTCCTTTAGTGAACAAAATTATTTTGCTCACTCACTGGAGGTGGGAAGTTAGGGGTGATAATGTACATGCTATTGACTGGAAACTTGCCTTTTCAAGGAGTATCAGATAATGAAATTATTTCAAACATTCTTACTCCCCCTCCGTAAGCGAACAAAAAAATTGGAAAAAATCTCTATTTTTTGTGGTAAAAACCCTTAGAATATTTTATTTAAAATAAAATTTATTTATGACAAAATATTTTGATATATAAATGATAATGATTATTATGAAATCACGAGCTAATTCTGTTAGACTTTAAGCAACTTGCATATTAAAACATAAATTTTACAAATTAAATTAATTTGTGCTTTCAATTTTTTTCTAATTTGGGATTTTTTAAATTTCGAAAAGAAAAAATACTATAAATTTATACTAAAAAAAGACCTCCTCCATGAGCTAACAAATATATTTTCGCTCGTGGAAGGTCGGGGTGAGTTAGCTGCTCATATCCAAATGAAGGAAATCCTGAATGAGATTCACTTTCAGAAGATGCTCGAGATTTGATAGCAAAATTACTGAACCCAAATTTCGAAGAAAGAATTTCAGCTTGCGACGCATTAGATCACCCCTGGCTTATAAAAAGAAACCAAAAAGATGTCAAAATGATCGAAAGCAAGGTTTTCGATAGGCTGCAAAAGCAAACATCCACAAATCAACTGGTCAGAGAATCTACAAAATTTATGGTGAAGTATGTCAAAGAAAAGAAAATTCGTAAACTCAACCACGTTTACAGAGGGCTTGACAAAGATCATTCAGGCTTTATATCAGTGGCAGAGCTAAAGGAAGGGCTTGAAAAAGCTGGAATTTTTAAAGATCATTCTGAGGTCGAAAATATTATCAGAAATTTAGCATATAGTGAAGAAGAGCGACTTGATTACACAGATTTCATTTCAGCTACACTAGATAAAAAAGATTTATACAATAAAGATATATTGTGGATCGTATTTAAGCAGCTTGATGTTGATAACAGTGGGGACATCTCTTTGGATAATCTGAAAGAAGTTTGCAGCAGAAGAGGGAAAAAGGTGTCAAAAAACGAATTTAAAGAAATTTTGAAGCAATATGGACTGGAAGAGAAAGAAGGTATCAACTATGAAGATTTTTGTAGGATATTTGAAGGTAAAATACATATAGGCAGCTCTGATGTAGATAAATTATCACATCGAATTTCTGAGGAGTAGTGTAATTTAAATATTTATGTAATATTGGAGAAAGAATTTACTGGAATTTTTAAATCAAAAATATTTAATTTTTTTCTGCATAATTGCTATAATAAAATTTGTCTAATGATGAACGAAACAGAAATTCATGCAATTCTTAAGCATACTCTAGATCAAAACAACATCTGCTATAATGTCCCTGAATTCCCATTCTCATGCGTTCCTGGCTACATAAAGCAGCAGCTCGGCCCAGAAGCAATAATTTTCGGATCCCAATATCCCCTTCTAAAACATTACATCGCTCTCCGTATAATTCAAAACCAACTCCATCTGACTTTCATTGAGACCAAATTCATCGTCCCTGCTTCTGGGTACTCTCACTTGCTTGAACTCTGCAACAAATTAAACGAAAAAAGAACAACAGGCAAATTCATAATCGTCCAGCACCCAAAGCCGCAAAGACTTGGGACCGAACCCCGCTTTCTGATAGCTATGTCCTTTTCTATCACTCTTGCGTATGAAACAATAAAGCATTTCATTCAAACCTATTTCTTAATCATGCTTTATAAACTGGAAGAAGACTACAAAATCCAAGCCAGTGAATTGATGATCCCTTTTTTGGCGAAAATGCAAATTAGCCTTACTAAAATTGTCACTAGTAATATTGGAAAAAATATACCAAAAGAAGAAGCCTGCAGGGCTGTAAAAGCAGTGCTGAATGGAATTGGGTTCAGGATGATAAGAGAAAAAATTACAATCAGAGGAATTGACACATTTAATTGTTTTTTGGTCGCAATTTCAACTGAAGATAAATCTAAAGGAAACAGAGAGTGAAGCTTGTTTCCGGCATTTATTGAGGTTGGAGACGTTACAATTGCAATTAAAATTGTTTTTGCTATAAACAGCGAAATTTATTCAGCTAATGACCCAGTGATACAGTCGAAGTATTTCCAATTTGATAATTATATAAATCATGAGCTCAAGAGAGGAACTTTCAAGTTCAAAAGTCCAGAAAATAGGATTCTGATGGAGCATAGCGTAATATATGCAACACTGAATTTTCATGAAATCTGCTCACTCCCCCCTTTAAATTGGAACAAAATATCGGTAAAATATGTACTTTAAACCCCCTTTAAATTGGAACAAATTTGTTTTTCATATAGAAAAATTTAAACGATGGGAAATACTAGTTTTTACCTAATTTAACAGAAAAATGCTAGTAGAATGCGATTAAAACTGTATCAACACTGAATCGATGAATTGTTTATTTAATTCTTCATAAAATAATTAAATTCAAAGCATTGTGCTCCATTATATTTTTTAAAAAAAAATTATAGATGAAAATTCTAATTTTTATAAAATTAGTTTTTTACCTATTTTTCGAGATTCTAAAATAAAAAATTAACCCCCTTTAACGTGGAGCAGGATTTTTTGTTCCAATTTAAAGGAAGAGTTAGTTATCAACGATACGATGTCCTACATGACTCATATTTTTGGAAGATATAGCTATGGGCTGTATTTAATAAAAAAGGGCTATGCTTATGAAGGGAGCCAAAGATCTTCTGACGAGAGATATCCTGAAATTTATAAAATTGTACGAAGATGTGATAGAGAGAATGAGAATATAACTTACACTGGTCTCTGCATTGACATAACAAACCCTCAAACTGTTATAACTCGGGCCCCAGATTCTTATGTCACACATGATTTCAACAATAGAGAATTTGAAATCGAGACTACTTTGCTTCAAAGGCTGCTCGATGTAAAAGGTTTTGAGTTTATCACTATCAGCAAAGAAAGTACAAGAATCACTTACCCAATCTGAAGTTGCTATACAATTGAAGAAGGACTAACTAGACTTAAAGGTGAACGTGTCTATAAAGCTATTGAAGAGCTCTTTGTAAATTCTGCCAAAGCTGGAGTTTTATTTTCAGAATTACCCATTTCTTCAATCAAAGTTTACAAGCACCGTAGTGTGGTTTTTGCTTATATAAACCAATACCCATACCACAAGCTTGGAATTTTGATAAACTATTCTGTTGACATGCTTCATGAAGTTATATGCAGAGTCAATAAAGACATACAAAGCCAAGCATATGCTTGTCTAGCTATAGCAAGAAAAATCCAGCCAATTTCGATAGACTATATCCCTCCTGATAGTTTTTACCCTTCTTTGGAAGATGGCGATGCAGATATCAGAAATATTGATCTCGCAGGAATGAAAGTGGAATTAATACCATTTGATGAAAAAGATATCCCGAGCTTTAACATTCACAAATGTCTGATTCATCCTCACATAATCTCAACTTTAGGAAGAACTTCTGTCAAAGGTAAACAATATGTGGTCTTAGAAAAGCATTATGAATTTCTTATCCCCCATCCCCGAGTAAGCAAATTTTTTTCTCCGAGGGGCAATTTTCGTTTTAAAATTGAATGTTTAAAAAAGATTTTATATCAGTAAACCCTATTTTTAAAGCAAAATTTATGTTTTAAAAATTTGTGTTTTAAGATAATTTTATAGAGACTAATTATTTATGATGAAAAGGCTTTTTTTTAGACTTAGCGAGATGCATGGTGCATAGGATATAAGGAATCAATATGCCAATATAAAAAAGATTCATCGTTAAGTACTACAAGTAAGTTATAATCAGAAGCAAAAAAGCCATTAAATTTAAATGTAAAAAAAATTTAGCTCCTGAAAATATATTAAAATTATTAAAAAACATATAAGAGCTATTTTTAAGGACATCTTCCTTCAAGGAATATCATAACCAAGATGAAATTTTGCAATTTTTTTGTGGTTAGTCTCCTTAATTTAGGCTTTTATATATTTTTAAATATTTTTATATATTTTATTAGCCATTGAAAAAAGGCACACTGAGAACTGAAATATGTATAGCCCTTAAAATATTTTAGATCATTATTGGCAATCAATTTTAATTTTCAAATTAATTTGTACTTGCCATCTTTATTGAAAATTAGAAACGAAGATGGCAAATCTCCTTTTATGGTTTTAAATTGCCTAATCAGACTTAAACTGTATAAGGCAGGTGTCCCTGAATCTATTTTTTCTGGTCAGTATTCTTCTGAGTATAGCAATCTGCAGGTTCATGAGCTATATGATTTTAACTTAAATACTGTTGCTATCTGTACAAAGAAGCGCAATAAGGAGCTCTGTTTAGTGCGTATTTGTGCTGAGAAAACAGTTTCGCATTTTCATGAGCTAATATTTTCGAAATATGAATTTCTCTGATATATGACATAAAATTTGAAATTAAGAAGGCTCGAAATTTAGCACTGTTTCGCTACTTTGATATATGCTGCAGCACACATTTGTGTAGAGATTATCTTTGTTTTTGCGCAAATATAAAAGACTTTTTAAGAGAGTTTTCGCAGCGCCTAATAAACCGTTATCTCTTAAGAAAAAGAGATGAAATTCGTTTTAATAAGACGGCTTAGCCTTGATTTATTGACATAATAATTTAGTTTTATTAAGAGAAGCATTTGTTTATTTTTAATGTACTCCGAATGGGATTTTGCAAATCATATATAGTGTCTTTTTACTATCATGTGATGTGATTAGCTCTTATTTCTAGTACATATAAGTTGCTTATTTTATAGGCTTAACGGTATAATAGTTTATGAAACTACAGAGTTTTTTTAGGAGTTAAAAATTATTTTTTTACCATTAAAATTTAATGCTTTTATACTCCTTATTAAAAATTAATTGTAGTACATAATGATCTCTTATTGATATGAAACTCTGGCTCTTTTCTTTTAATTACGTCTGATTCTTTATTTCATGTACATACCGTATCTTAAATCCTTTATAAGAGCCAAAAAAATTAAATACAAAAATTTTTAGTGAGTTAACTTTCACAAATATTAGGATTTTCCAATAATGTGCTTATCGCGGAGGGGGGTATAGCGTGGAACTTACTTTGCAAGAGAAACTAGTTGTGATCGAACAAATTCTCCAAGCTGTCTGCTTTTTAAAGCTGAAAAATGTAGATTTTAAAGTAATTCTACCAGAGCAATTGTATTTGACACTAAAGAAAAAAGCAAAGGTAAGAGTAAATTTTAACCCTCCAGGAATGCATGAGTGAATGTTTCCAGTTCAGACCACAGGGGCAGACGCATATTCCATAGCGCTCCTTATTTATTTTATACTGATTGGAAAGACCCCTTATCAAGAGTTGCAAGGGAAAATGGGAGTTGAAGAAATATTAAAAGATGTAGCAGAAAATCATAGAAGACCTATAGTTCCATGGGAATTTGAGTACAATCATCCTGATTTGACCCAGACGATAAGAGATTACTGGGTCCTACAGCCTTATACATTTGAGCAAATGAGAGAAACATTTGCTAGACTCTCAGTTAGTTAATTGATTTTTTGTAATAGTCCTTAAAATGTCCTATTTCATATTTTAGATTATTTGAAAGATAATTCTATTTAAATATTTTTAAATAGAAATAATTATTTTATTGGACTTTCTTGTGGTCTGCTGGTGAAATTTTTTCCATTAAAAAGCTTGCTAAATGCAGTGGAGCCCATGAAATAAGTGTAATAATCACTACTTTCCATACGAATTCTCCAGAAAATAAATAATATAAATCAAAATATGATTTCAAAGCTAGCATGCTCGAAGTATAAAGGATAAGTGTTACAACCTCAGATACGCCCATAGCCCAGTGGAACTTGTCGATTTCTGTCATTACGTTTAATAGCTCAGTCAAAATTAATGCAGAAAATGTAATAACAACTATGTTAAAGAAACTGTTATCAGGGAACAAAACTAAAGTCATGATAATGATAACTGAACCTTGATAAAAGCTTTTGAAAATGCACACACAAAATGAAGTAAATCTCATCAGTTTCCTCGTCTGCAAAGATTCATATAGCACTGGATATCTCATGATTGAGTGAATATCAGCATCTTCATCCAAAACTAAAGAAAACACAGGCAGCATTGTATAAATTGTGGTATAGCCAAGCATTAGCATCCCGTTGTAAATTGGAATTGCAGAGAAGAAAAATATGCATGTAAATAAAGCTTGGATAAAGGAAATAATAAGTCCTCTGTGGAAAACAAAATAGCTTAATTTCGCTGTGCGCTTATAAGAAAGTCTTCCATGCCATAGCACTAATCTGGATAAAGAGTTAAATCTTGATATTGAAAAATCTGCTGCTAGTGAAGCTTGCTTGCCTTCTTTGCCTTCAATTCCGATTCCAATGTGAGCTGATTGTATCATGCCAACATCATTTCCTCCGTCCCCAATTGAGCAAATTCGTTTATCAGTGAACTCCTTAAGTGCTTCTACAATCTGTGCTTTCTGTGTTGGTGCAACTCTACAGCACACAACTGAAGGAGCAAGACAGGCAGACTCAATAAATTCTTTTCTAAATTCTGACAGCACTATATTCAGCGTAGATCCATCAATAACTAAGACTTTTGACCTGTCGCTAGGCATTATTTTGGTGTTCGCTTTCGCAAACTCATCAAGTTTTCCTAAAATTTGTTCTTTCGGTAGGTTAATCATTTCAAAGTAGTCTTCTTCACGTGATTTTAATTTGGTAGAAATTGCGATGCACTCTGCAGTTTCTACTTTGTCTCCAGTTAAAATCCAAACTTTGATTCCTGCATCTCTTAAGCTCTCAATTGTATCAGCAACATTTTCTTGTAGCTTGTCTTCAACGCCAGTAACACCTAAAGCTTCCATGTTGACTTCTAATTTGTCAATGACTTCTCTTTCTTTTTCTTCTCTGTTTTCTATGCACAGGCTTACTTTTTTGAATTCTTTTTCCCATTCTTTGTACTCATTTAAGGTCAGGATTTTTTGGGCGATTATTAGGGTTCTTAAGCCTTCTCTTGCTAAGTTTTCGCATTCTTCAAGGACTCTGACAGCGTCTTTTTGAGAAATTTTTGTCTTCATGATGTCCTCAGCACCTTTTAGATAAAAAAGAACATCTGTTGAGCTAGGGTGCTGTAAAAGAATCCCCATACGTTTTCTTGCAGAAGAAAAAGGAAAGATCCTGAGGATTGAGTATCTCTCTGTAACACCTTTTGATAAGGTTAGCTGAATATAGTCTTGGCCTCTTAAAGATAAATTTAGCCCAGAATCTTTCGCAAACTTGACTAAAGCTATTTCATCAGGAGAGCTGGCTTGATAAATAGTTTCCCCAGCCTCAGTCACAGGACTTACATTGTGGCATAGAGCTAAAGCTTTGACCATCTTCTTGATATTTTCTGCTCTATCATATTTGTATTTGTTTTCAAGACTTGTCAGAGTTTTTAAGAATTTAAATTCTTCCATTGAAAATTTGTCTTCTACTGCATATCTTCCATCAACAATGCTGATCTTTTTCAGACTCATTTCATTTCTTGTCAAAGTCCCGGTTTTATCACTTAAAATGTATTGGATTCTTCCCAACTCTTCAGGGATATTTGAATTTCTTGCTATTGTGTTAGGAATATCAGTATCCCTAGGTATTAAATAGCAGTATAATATTTTTGCCATATCTAAATTCACTCTTAAGCTGATAGGGATAATTGACGATAATAATAACAAATATCTAAAGAAAAGAAGATAAAAGGTTGAGGTGATCCCTGACATAATGACCATCACAATAGAAATCACAACCATCAATCCAAATAACAATTTTGATAAAAAATTCAGCTCGTCATCACAGATTCCAAATTTTAGTGAAGGAATATTGGAATTCATGACACTTCGAGTCTCTTTCCCAGTATAAACTACAATTCCAATAGCAGTTCCACAAGTAAGCACTGTGCTTGACCAAAGCGTATGCTCCAAACTTAGAGGCTCATTATACTCGCCTCCATTCTCCAGCTCTGCTGTGAACACGCCTGTAAATGCATAAATGTTTTTATGAGGAGTTTCTGCAGTAACTGAAGCCCTCATTTTACAAAATTGCTCTTTGGGTGCGTTTTGTGTATATGCAATAGCTTTTCTTAGTTTTCAATCGGTTTCCCCATCCAATTGGTCAGTTCTAATAAAAACAGTGCCAGAGACTTCACTTGTATAGATCAATACCATATCAGCAGGGATCCTTTCATTGGCTTTAATTTCAATTAAATGCCCAACCTTAATATCTTGTGCTTTTACGTCAATTCTGCCTTCTTTTGTAATTCTTGTGAAAATTTGGTTGTTTATTTCCTGGTCTCTTTTTCATCTCACTATGTCATCGTAAGCTTCTTTTATGATTGTAATACATAAAACGAAAGCTAAAGGAGCTATGTACGTGAAAAGGAAACCTACTTGTAATGGAGGAAAGAATTGGGATACGGTAATCATTAAATAGAAAAGGTTGAAGAAATACTTGAATTGCTGATACAGAACTACTGGAACTATTGTTAGAAGGTTGTATTTGGTATTTTTTAAAGAATTTGGAGGAAATTTGCGGGGTTTTTTGTTTCTACGATGTATAGATTAAAATGGCGGCACATGTCAGCCTTCACTCTTGGTGCAACGGTCCAGATCTTATGGCCATGGCAAACTGGGATGGAGTCCGAGTCGAGAATCAAGTGCAGCCTTCAGTAATGTGTATTCAGATAGGTGTTGGCTGTCTTCTTGAGGTTCGAAATGGAGGCTTGCAACGTTCTTTGGATTCGAGGTCCATGGGCATTCCTTGACCGAGAAACTGGTCGCCCTAGGCCAAAATGGAATAGTCTTTTGCCTGCAGTTGTCAAAGGAAGATACTTCGAAACCCGATAGATTCAAAGGAGCTAATACTTGGAGTCAAGTACCCCAATCGCCCGTAGCAGGGCCGCAGAAATCTATAAGCCGCCCCTCAAGAATAAGACCCATGGCAAGGAGGAGACAGAAGATGCGAAGTGGCAACCGTTTTCGGGACAAAGAACCTCTGAGCTGGAGTCGAAAAGCGGCAGAACCTTTATTATGGGAGGTATTTGATGAATGAGTCACCAATATGGCTAACGCCTGACTTTAAATGGCCTAACCTAGCCTAACCTTTGTTTCTCCATCAAGCTGGATGTAGCGAAGAGACTTTTCTTTTGGCTTCTTTTTGCTCAGAAGTCCTTCTTTAAGATCGTCCATATTATTTGATGGATCAAAGATTTAAGACTTTATCATATTGAATTAAACGAGATTTTAAGTAAATTACTGATGACTAGGCTACTTTTTTATTGTGAAAATGAGGCAATTAAAATATAAAAACTGTTGTAATAAATAGAATATAACTTTAATTTAGAAAAAAATAAGGCAATTAAATACTTACAAATTTAATTTTAATTGAAATTTATTGAATAATTTTAGATAGATTTTATTATCAAAGCATTTTAAAATCATATAAATGATAAAATATTTTGTTATAATTAAAAACAAATTTATTTTTACTATCTATTCTCCAGGGTGTTTATGATCCTTGAATATATAAGCTCATAATTTTTTTATTAACTTAAATTTAGGTGTAATATATTATCCTGCAAAAGCGTATTATTACTCCAATAAGCTAAAATCAATTCTACAAATTATTGCTAGAAACAGCAATAGCTTTTATGGTTTGATTAGTAAACTGCAATTAGTTAATTTCTAAAAATAGTTTTGATTTTATAAAATAAATATTGTTTTTTGAAACTGAAAATGATCTTATATTAAATCAAATTAATTTAATATAAAATATAGTAAAATATTTTTTTAGTTATTCTTTATTCAAAGCAAATTAAAAACTTTTAATAAGCATTAATTTATAGGAACTTTATCGTAATTTTGATTTCCTTCTTTTACACAGGAAATATATGGATTTTCTTCTGTATCTGGCTGCTCAAGCATTTTTTTTACAACCCCCTTAAATTGGAAAAAATATCTATAAAATTCCATATTTTTTTATAAATTAACTCCCCTTTAATTTGAAACAAAGTTTATTGCTTATAGGTAAACAGCTTTATATCAGATTTAATGTTGCAAAAATCGAAATATGCCCTATTTTAATTTCGAGTGTAAATAGAATTCTGACTAAAAATTTCATGATATTTTGTATATTTTTTATAATAATTTTTAAATTTTAACAAAATTTTTTTGTTCGAATTAAGAGGGACTTAGAACAACCAATAAAAATGGGATCATTATTCCACAAACACCAATAATAAGTCACATCTTTTCACAGTTATTTTCTCCGTTCTCAGGGCAATACACTTCCAATAAACTACCAGAAAATACTCCAGTCACAATCATTCCGAAATAAAATGGGCAATTGCATAAAGCCAAGTAGGTTCCTTCTTCCCCTTTTGGTGCAATTCTCATTGTATAGTCTAGTAGTCTCGGAACCCATAGGCTTTCACCAGCAGACACAACAATAACAAAACAAATATAATAAAAATTGCTCCCACCTATCACCAAAAATAAAGGTGAAATTGATCCTATAAAGCCTCCAGCTAAAATTAGAGAATAGCTGGAAAATTGATAGGAAAGCGGTGTAAATCCAATTGTGCAAATAAGCATTGTTGTTGAGTGCAGAGCTAAGTATGCTCCAAAATGGGCTTTTTCTCCTTCTTGCCTTGTAAGATACTTCGGAAAAGTTGCATCTAACTGTCCAAAGCACCCACTTCTGAGTAAAATCAATAATCCAATTAATGCAGAGAATCTTCAAAATTTCTTTTTTATATACAAATCTCTTGTAAAAGCTATTTCTTCCTCTTCTTCCTCATTTTCGATAGGCTGTCTCATAGATATTGCTATAAATAAGGATAATCCTGCAGCAATTGCAGCGGTGCTATAAATAGCGAAATAAGTTGTGTTTAAATTGCTGTTGTTTGTCCATATAAAATCAATAGCAGTTCCAGCCAAAATCCCAGAGACAAAATTTCCCATCATTAATAATGAATTGCTTGTATTTCTTGCTTCTTTGGCTGTATATAATTTAGCACCTAATTCAACAACAGATCATGACATTGCGCAACCAACAGTTAAAAAACATATAACTCCAATTAGGTTTATTGCAAGATTTCTGGTCACCAGGAGGAGTGTATAGCCAATAAAGGTACACCCACTTGATATGATTAAGGACTGTTTACATCCTAACTTATTGACAAATGGACCAAGAATAATAGCCAAAATCCCTACCACAATGCCGACAACGCCAAAAACAATTCCTGCTCCAGTATCAGATGCACCTTGCTGCTGAGAGAAATAAAGAGGAATCATTGTCGTCAAAATGTAATAGTCTAAACTTAGCATGATATTAATAAAAAACAATGAAAAAAGTTCTCACTCTGAATGCTGGATAATCCTAACTCACCTGAGAATCAGCAAAATTTTTTGCCTATTTGAATTATATAAATTATTATGCTTTATTAAAAAAATTAAATATTTATTAATTGTACATTTAAAAATAATAGCGTAAGCATTTGTTATTTTACTGCTGAATTAACGGCTTGCTCGGAGCTTGGAGACCTTGTTATGATTTGAAGGAAGCCGAGCAGGAAAATGAAGATTCCATGTGCTGGGTTTTAGTTTAGGTGGGATTAGCTTCCTCGTCAGCAATGAAGACTTTGTGTGTGCTTCTGATGGACGCTTTGGAGAAAAGCTTTATAACCCTAGAGGCAACAAATGCTCCAGAGGGATCATAGTTGGTATAGATACTAGCGAGAGAGTTTATCTAGCTGAAGCTCCAGTCACTGAAGCAGCAGTCTTAAAGTCTCTAAACTGCTCACTTCAAGGTTCTGGAACAGCATTAAGAATAGGCTAAAGCAGTTTGTGGGCTATATTAGTGAAAATGCAACACAACGAGGAGATTCACCCGTGTCTGATTAGGCTTCTTCAAGGCTTATCTTTTATAAGATGCTACATAAGGAGCCTTAATCTTAAAATTAGCCTTAAATAACTGTATTGAAGGAGTAAGCGAGTTTTTGAATTGCTCTCATGATGAGTCTTCAGCAGGTTCTGGCTTGTTTTTGAGCTTTTTAATTAATTGCTTTGTCTCATAAATTTCATCTGCATATGATTTTGGCAAATCCATCTTTATAGTCGTTTTGTTTAAATAAGCAATATTAAAATTTTTAATAATACTAAACCCAAATTTTTGCTTTTTATAAATATTTATGAGTGAAATTTAACCAAAATATAGTTTATGATTTAAGAAATAAATGGCAAAATATAATGCAATTTGAGATAGACATATTGAAATGCACAAAAATCATAGCACCTTTTATTTTTTAAATTTGGAGTTGAATTTTAGACCGAATTTTCAATTATTTTGTTAGAAATATAAATAAAAATGGTGATTTTATAATTGCTACTCAAATGCAGTTAATCAATTTAAATAATTTAAGGCGATTTATCTTTTATATCTGTGTAAACTTTCTGCAAGAGACTTAAAGTTTCTCCATTTTTCTCAGCTTGCTCCTGTATATTTTTTACCGTATTTAATAGCGTAACAAAATCAGTGAAAGTGACTACTCCTGCTCTAAATGGATCTACAATTGAATTGTATTTTTCTATGTTTTCTTCAATATTTAATCTTGACAGAAGTCCTTGAAATTGAGAAATATTAAGAATTCCGTTGTGATCTTCATCAAACTCATTGAAATATCCTACGATTGGCTTTAAGTATGACTCATAGCCTGCTATTTGAAATTCTTGCACTACTTGCATCAGTTTAATGAATGAAACTTTTGGCTTTTTTTGCTTATTTGTAGGTGAGGAAACAACAGGGGAATTCTGGGATAATAAGTCTTGCAAATACTCAGCATCGCTGCGGGAATAAAGCCCAGAAACTATTGTAGCTCACTCGTCTTCTTCGAGCTCACCATTAGATTTTTCGATAACTAGCTCTTTGACAGCTTTTTCTTGCATATAAGGGAATTTAGCTTTTAAATGCTGCTTCAGGATATCTAACGCTTTATCTTTGACTTGCTTTAAAACTATCTGAAATTCTTCATCTATCTCATTTTTCAATATTTTTCCAAAAAGTGAAACTTCTGTATCATTATTGTATTTTATTATAGCTTTATTCATAGCACTTTCCATTTCAGTCGTGATTGACTATTTTGAAATTACCTTTAAGCCATATTTTTTATATAAGTAAGAGTGCATAAATTGTTCTAGAGTTTCTCGCGGCTGCCTATTTTCAATGCATTTTAGATCATATTTCAATTTGTTGTCATATAATTCCTCTATCAGATCTTTAGTTTGTTTTAACGTCAAATCTCGAATTTGGCTAGTCATTAATACTTTAGCGAATGGCTTCAAGGGGCTGAAAGGTTTAAGTTCTCTTGCTGCTTCTTTTTTTGCGATATTTGAAATTTGAATAGAGCTTTCTGCACTCTGCTTGGACAATTTAATAATTTTTTCTAAAAATTTTTTGTTTTCTGTTTCCAGCTGTGCAATTGTTTCTTGGTTTTCATTTCTAGCCCTATCTACTTCAATTTTGAGTTCGTCTCTTTCAAAAGTTAAAGTCTATGTTAACCATACTTTCACTGCATTTTCTAGCGCTTCTGCTGCTACTAGTACGTCTTCTATTTCTTTTGCTTGGGTTTTCAAGCTTAATTCAAGCTTTAGCTTCTCGTTCATTGTTTTTGATAACTTTTGTGCTATGGTCTCGAATAAACATTTTAATTCTTCAACTGCTTGTTTTAAGATTTTCCCGCTGGCTGGCTTAGAGAAATTCATGTAGCTGGCGATTTTGTCTATACAAAACTCAAAAAGTGAAAATTTTGCTTGTAAAACATTGATTTCGAGCAATTCATCAGGTGCATCCACTGATAATTGGTTTGTGAGGTCAGTCATGGAATTTCTCAAATGATTTTCTAAATCGTCTGAAAGAAGCTTATCTAATGAAGGATCTTTATCTTTATAAAGCACTCTTATGACATCATAAATATCAGCAACTTTTTCAAGATCCTCTTGGGTTAAATTTAGAACTGACATTCTTTATTAATTATATGATATTTTTAATACAATAGTGAAAACCAAAAAGAAGTTATTATTTTTTTAAATATTTATTATGAGGAAAAATGATTTTTTCTTTCTTGGTCAATAAAAATATATAATAATAAAATGGCGTCGTCGAGATAATTCCTCTCCCGAGTAATTTCACTCTTTGCCAATTTTATTATTATAGGGTTCAGTTTTCATAGTGAGACCTTATCCAGCAATATCAGGTAAGCGACGGGGAGGGGTGCATAGCCTTCTGGCCTATTTGGTGGGCGCAGGGTTTTACTGCTTGACACTTCCGAGGAGGAAGACCCATAGGCGGCACAACGCGCAGGAGTCAAGCTTCGAGCAAGGCAGCGCGGCCCGTGAGATCTGGCCTTCAACTGGCCGTCTTTTGCTTAAGATGGTCTGACGGCCCGATAAAAAGGGTGACGTCGGAAATGCCCGGTGGCGTCACCAGATGTTGTCTACTGGGGTGAGCCCTTGTGGCTTTGTTAAATCACCCTGCGGAACCAGAGAAACATGTTAAAACCTCTAAGTAATCTAAGCCTAAGATCAATAAAAAATATAAAAAAGAAGATCAGTTGAATGCATTGGAATATTTAATAGCTATTAATAAAAGTGGAAGAATAATATTAATATTTAATTTAATTAATTACAAAAAAGCTGATACTGCCAATTTGCATAACTTTATTGTTTGCTTTTCAATTCAAGGTGTTTTTTTGAAAAAGAAATAAAAATTGATATAGAATTTCAGTTTTGAAAGAATAAAATTTATTAATTTATATTAAAGAGACTTCTTGCAATTTTTTTAGAAAACTAATATGGGATGCTGTCAAACATTTCGGATTGTTGGAATAAACAAAGAGGCTATAGGTCCTCCTTTAAAGAGAAACAGTCTCATTGCTGATAAAAGTCGTGAATCTATTGATTCATGCGCTGGAGCCGAAGATATAAATACAACATACGATAAAAGGCCTACAGTCCTGAGTTTCAGGGTCAGAAAATCTTCACTAATTAAAAAGCGATCTGGGACTCTTTTAGATGAATTTAAAATCTTACAGACTTTAGGCTCTGGAGGCTATGGAACTGTATATAAAGCACAAGATAAATCCTCAGGGCTGCTAAGAGCTGTTAAAGCTATTGATAGATCTAAAATGATCACAGAGCATATACTGACTGAAATAGAGAATTTAATTAATGTTGTAAGAAAAACATAGGATCACCCAAATATTGTAAGAATTCTGGAATTTATAGAGGAATCTGACACTTATTACATTATTACTGAGCTTTGTACAGGATCAAATATTATTGAGAGAATAACCAGCTCAGAAGATTTTAGTGAAAACCAAGCTGCAAAATATATGTTGCAAATTTTTTCAGCTCTTTCCCATTGTCATAAACTTGGAATTGCTCATAGGGATATAAAACCAGATAATCTCCTTTTGGAGCATCCTGGAGAAAATTCTCTTGTGAAACTGATTGATTTTGGCCACTCATCAAAAATTATTGAAAACCAAAAATTCACTGAGCTCTTAGGAACTGTAAAAATAATTTAGCCTTATTTTGTTGCGCCTGAAGTTTTGGACAAGAATTATAACGAAAAGTGCGACTTATGAAGCTGCGGAGTTGTGCTTTTTATCATTCTTATTGGGTATCCTCCTTTTAATGCAAGAGACATAAATGAACTGTTCAGAAGGATAAGGAAAGGAAAGTTCAAAACAAACACAGAAGAATGGAGAAGTATCTCGACAGAAGCGCAAGATCTTATATTACACTTACTAAAATTAAATGTCGAAGAGAGATTTTCTGCGGAACAAGCAATGAATCATAAATGAATCCAACAAAGGGCATTTGGTGCTATCAAAGATAGGCCACTACACATAAGCTGCTTAACAAGGCTGAAATTTTTTCACGCAAATGTCAAACTAAAGCAAGCAACAATGGCATTTATGGCTACACATTTGGCTGCTGGTGAAGAAACACATCAATTGGAAGAGGTTTTCAGGAACATTGATAAAAACGGAGACGGGAAGATCAGCATAGAAGAACTTGAAGCAGGGATTTTAAAAGTGAAGCTTGGAGCATCATTAGATGCTAAAGAAATCATGGAGAGGTGTGATATAGATAAAAATGGGTTTATTGACTTTTCAGAATTCATTACAGCTGCAACAGATTGAGAAAGAACTCTTTCGATATCTAAGCTTGAAAAAGCGTTTAAGGCTTACGATATTGACGGTAGCGGCTCTATTTCTGCTTCCGAACTTCAAGCGTTTTTATCGGCTGACCCTTCCATAAACTTGTATTAGATGGGTTATATTGTAAGGGTCTTGAAAATTATTTCAGCCCTTCGCCATCTTAGGACTCTCTTAGCCTTGGCAATGATCAAAGCACGAGAGATATCCCAATACCTTCTTTGACTACCTTGCCTTTATCAGACGGATGATTGGCTCTCAGAAGTATGAGCTAGCTTTGCGCTTAAATTTATCGTCTGAAGGACAAGGTAAAAAGTTCGTCACGGAGTCATTATTTGGCAAAACCCCATCCAGGACTTTCTTACCTGAGGCTGGGATTTTTCACCAATAACTTTGGATCTAAACTCAGCCATCTCTTTAAATAATCCATAAACTTAGAAGAATGCCAAAAAATTTTAAGTGAAGCTGACATTAATGGGGATGGTGTAATAGATTTCACAGAGTTCATATAGAAAATTCCTTTAATGGCCCTATCAGTGGGTGAATTGTCCGCTGAGTTCACAATTTGGTCCGACCAAAACTAATAATTTTGGTCGACCAAATTGTAATTGTAGTGGGCAATTCACCCACTTATAGGCCTATTAAAGGGAATTACATATATCTATTATGCGAAACAAAGCATTTTAATTTTTTCAAAATTTAATATTAAATGGCAAGTTTTTTAGAAAAAATCTCAGGATTTAGATCTTTATTTGACAATAAAGAAACAATTATAGAGTTCTCTGAAGGGGTTTCCGTTTGGCTAATATGCTTTGATGAAAATTCATTTAATTGCATTCAAGAGTTTATAAAAACCGTTGAGGAATATAATTATGAATGCGAAATTATAGGAGTTGCACTTAGTGATGAAGGTGAAATCAAAAAACTTATCGAGGAAGTTCAAGTGGAAATAGATGTTCTCTATCTTAATAACAACGACAAACATATTTTTCGAGAAGAATTGAAAATAAAAGGTATCCCATGATTTATTGGGTTTGAGGGAATCGACGTCGTTTATAGCATGGGAATAATCCCTGACTCTTTTCCTTATTCCAAATCCCCAGATCAGCCTATAAGTCCTCAGCTACCATCTGAATCTCAATTCATCCCTAAAATTTCGTTAATGGCAGGCTCAGTAGAAAGCCCAACTGGATTTTGAACTGAACAATCGCCAACGCTAGAAACTCAGCCAGATTTTAATAATTTAAAAGAAAAAATCTTTACATTAGAAAGGCAAAACGAAGACTATAAAGTGGAAATTGCGTCGCTGAGATCAATGCTACAAGCAAAAGAAGACCAAATTAGCCAATTGCAAGTTATGCTTGAAGGAGTCCCTACTCATGGCGCGACTCGAAATAAAGTTAAAAAAGTAAAAAGGATAAATGAAGTCACCAATAGTTTTCCTCAAGAAGACATAGATTTTTGAAAATCAAGTGATGACAATGATATCTATAATGAGGCAGTTAAATTCGAAGATATTGCTGCTTCTAAAAATTTATGAATTATGAATATAGATAAAAAACTTCGTACGAAATCCCCATCACCTTCATCAAAGTGGCTACATGTCATTTGTTTGGAATATTTCCTCATGTCACATTTTCCCCGGGTTATTTGTCAGAGTTATTTTATCGTGGGATATTTGATCGAATAAAATGGCTTTCTTAGCAAATTCTAATTCCCCCAGTTAGCAAACAAGAAATTTTGTTCGCTTATGGGAGAGTAAAAGTATGCTGCATGAGCCAAATGCTACATCAAATATCTTGCACCCAATCAAAGCGTTCTACGCCGTCGCCACCTCCATTGAAGCCTCGATCAAAGGGTACTAAAGAGATAGCTTTAAAAAGCTTAAAATTAGCACAAGAAAGGCACATGAAAAAGCAGGCAGAAAAAAATCCGATCGGAAGAGATGGTAAGAGACTTCCGTTAATAGTAAATAGAAGCGCAAGCCTGAGAAGAGCTACAACTCGAAAATTAAACGAAAGCAATAGGGGATCAATTGAAACTAAAAGATTTTAATTTTAATAATTTTTGGATTTAATCAGTTAGTAAGAATCCATAAATATTTTTTTGCAAAACCGTAGATTTCGCTAGCTTCCCTTTTGAATAGGGAGTAATTGTTTTTTAATTTTAATCAATATACTGTATAATTATATAGACAAAAAAAAACAATTTCAAAAACTTTATATCAAAATTTTTATCCTTTACTTTCAAGGCTGAAAAGAAAGTGCAGTATTTATATTCTCAAAAGTTATTTGAGTTATTTAATAAATAGCACAATTTTTTGCTCATGTATTGATTAGTAAAATATAGCAAATTTGTTGTATTTTGCTAATCAAAGCCAAAAATCAATCCTCTTTGAATAAAAAAGTTAATTTTAGAAAGTATTTTTCAATTCTTAATAACATTAATAGTAAATTAAAATCTTAAATAGATATAAGATATGTTTATATAACCTGAGCCTCCTTTCAGCTTGGGCTATAAGGTTAAAATAAGTTCTACGAAAATGAAAGATTATTTTATCTTAAATAGTTTGCCAGCAGCCAGATTCAGAAGTGAAAATAAAGAAAAATGGCAAATCACATGCTTAAGATTGCGGAGTTTTAAATTATATAAGGCTTAATTTAAAAATTTCAGGTCTATACAGCTTTAATTCAAATCTGAACAATCTTAGTGTATAAAATTAGCATAATCTATTGAGATTATCCTTTTAATATCAAAACTTTTTTAATAGTAATATAATTACGTATCCTAATAAATCAGACGGAAAGAGGAGAATATATGGAAGATGGTAATCGGTACCCTACAGATCCTTACGAAATAGGGAACGGAGTTTGAATGATTCCCTGTAGAATCAATGAATCCAAGCATAAATTTTACCCACTTTTTAAACCTGTATCCAATAATGTGCATACATATTAAAATAACGTGATGCATCAAACAGCACTTTTATCATCTCTACCTGTAAATAGCAAGCGACCTTGCAGAGAAGAGGAAAGCGTTCAGGGATGTGTATTTGACTAGGTTTTATCTGATCTGGCCGAGCGTAATGTCGAATTAGCCAACTGTATGTTCACATCTAGGTCAGAGTTTTAGCTTGTGAAAAGATGTCCTTCGGAGTTGAAAAAGTGCCCAGCAGAGTCTATTTGTCCCAAACGGCAATTCGACATTAGACGCTGCATTCTGGGCTACGAAGTTCTATTTCAGCCGGCATCGACCAGATATCAATTTTTCAATTTCCCGACAAGGCATACTGTTAACGCTCAGCATGGCGGCGACCTAATCAATACACTCTCGGTAACAGCCTGACCTAGATTAGTCCCTAGTGGTTGTCCGTTGGATCAGGTTATACCATCCAGAGGTCAGTAAGATGACTGAGGACGATGTAAGCTGAAAAGCAGCGGCTTACACTGCGATGCGCGAGCTTATCAGCAACATTAGCTAAACTTAATCTAATCATGTGCACTACATTCGATATCCCTGAACTGAAATCGAAGATCAAGCACTAATCAGTTTGCTACCTACCAAATGCAGTAAAAAATGAGCGCAAATTGCTAAAGAACTGAATGATAGATTTTATGCAAATAATCGAATACGTAATGGAAAGCAATGCAGAGAGCGCTGATATAACCATCTCGACCCATCCCTTAAAAAAGGAGGCTGAACACCTGAAGAAGACAATTTCATCATCATTAGACAGCAGGAAATCGGCAACAAGTGAAGTTTAATTGCCAAAGACTTGCCAGGACGTAACGAAAATAGCGTAAAAAATAGATGAAAAAGCATATCAAAAAAGACCAAAACTTGTGATAAAGAAATCGGAATTGATGAGGTGTCTGATATTCTTGTAGATAGCCAAGGTGATTGGAATAGAGAAGTAAATGATGCTGAGCTTGTCGAAGAAATAGTACTCGAAAGAATTGATAGTAGTTCTGACTGTGAAAATTACCTAAATATTGAAGATGAAATGATTATTGATTATTAATAATAAGATTACTCCATTATATTTTTATTTAAATTCTGAATTCTGTTGTATTTGAAAATCCATTCTGGCAAAGTTCGATAAATTCGTTCTGACCGAATTTATAATTAAAGAATGAGGTTGCTGAAAGCCACTAGGAGGACTTGATCCGATATCGTAAACATGCCCTGGTGCTTGCTCAACTTCTTTTTCTGTATTGACATCGCTGCTGTCTTCTTCCATATCTACATCACAATTTATTTTTTCTGATATTAGCATACTGATAATATCAGTTCCTGGCGGATATTCTCTGATAGCTTTTTTTACCATGCTTTTTCATCTATTTTTCACGCTATTTTCTGTTCTGCCAGGAAGTCCTTTTGCTATCTCACTTCATCTATTTCCTATATCTCTTTGTTGTTGAAGTATATAAATGTCTTCTTCAGGGCTTCAATGACCTTTTTTAAGACTTGGATCAACGTGATTATATCATCTTTCACGACATTGTCTGCCCTGTCTTACACCTTTTCCTGAGTAAAGTAGTGAATTGATCTCTCTTGCTATTGCGCTTCATGCCTTTGGACCTTTTGCTTCAACAATTCTCAGGAGCATTTGGTCTTCGAGGTCATTCCAGCCTTGCTTTTTAGCAGACGGGTCTTCTTCAGAATCTTCTGAAGCTGGCTTAAGCAAAGGATGGAACTCATTTTGATTGTAATTTGCCATGCATGGAACGAGCCAGACATCTCCTTCTAGATGGTAAATTTGAGGAATATTCATTGGTTATTATTAGTTAAATGGCTTATACATTTAATTTAAAAGGAACAGGAAAGAAACCTTTTGAAATTTTATTGCTAATTTATTGAAGCTTATCAAGAGATATGGACATAATTTGGAAATAATATAAAAGAATCAAAAGAAATAGCATGCAATAAAATTTAATTTAAGAGAAAAATATTATTCATGAGTTAAAACTCTAATAAAAGTAGAAGACATGCTCTTAACGAACTCATCAAAAAGCCTTGGAAAAGCACTGTCTTCTTCGTTATAATCGTGAAGTCCATCTTTATGTTCGATCAAAAATACTGGAATGTGCTCCCATTCATCAATTTTTAAGTGTTCTGATTTTCTGTACATTTTTTAAATAGACAAATAATAATTAAATGATTATGCTGGTTATAAGCGGATAAGCAGCTAGCTGTCGCCCATCTTTGCTCCACAAGGTCAACCTTTTGGATTTCCGATCTGAAACGCCTGTCCATGAAATTAGCTCCTAGGGCAGAATAACCATCTGTATGGCGCCCCGAGAAAGACCCATGTGGTAGCAAAACCTCTCAAGTCCATCTGGCAGAGGCATTCTCAAACCTGAAGGCCTACTTCACCAAGGGTCAGGGGCCCCTGCTTTCAGCTTCATAAGGATTGGTCCGACCTACTCCATAAAGAGTGCGCCTCGAAGTCCAATTTCCATCAATGCCACCTTTCTATTTCTAAATAGACAAGGAATCTATTGGCAAGAGACCAAGGAAACAGCTCAATAAGAATCTCTAGAATGGGTATGGCTAGTTTTGTTTCTATTACCTTAGGATAATCTGAGCTTTTTTCAAAAATATATTTAAAAAATAGTCTCATATGTTTCTTACTATATAAAAAATACTCTTCTGAATATTCCCTAATCTTTTCTTGAATAGAATTTGCTAGGGCATCCCATGAGTTCAGTTCATTCCTAAATCAGTTTTACAGTTTACAATATTCAAAAAGCTCTGGCTGCGTGATCACAGCTAAAGTTTGGCATTTCAAAATGTAAGTGGTTAAAAACTCTTCGGCTGAGTCTTTTTTGATTTCGATTTTATCAAAAAATAGTCGAAGACTGTCATCATGAATTTTTGCTAAAATATTCTTTACTTTCATCACCAAAATCTTGTCACATCACGTTAAATTCTGACTCAAAGTCAATTTCTGGCTCTTTTTCATTTGATAAAGTGTTGCTTTTTTCCAGAGTTTCTGCTTTTTGATGATTTTCCTTCTTCCCAATGCAATTTCCCATAATGTTTTATTGATGATAATTTATTTATATCTATTGAATAATAAATATGAAACTATTGATCTGATAAATATTTTACCTCTATTGTTTTGCTGAAACAATTAAAATAACGGGAAAAAGCTTTAATTATAAATTTTTTAATCTTTTATAAGAATTAGTTAGTAGAGCATAATATTAATTTACAGTTATGGATCCTCAAACGTCTTTTCGTCTTCCACTTCTATTAAGGCAGAGCATGAAGCGTGCATCATTGTCTCCTAAAATTGTGGAAAGACTAAATAGAACGATTGCGTTCAAAGAAATCAATGAAACTGATCAAAGCTTCAGAGATACGAGGACAATCCAAGAATTATCCCCACGAATTTGCATGAGACTTAATCCTGGATACAGGCAAGAGTATTCAATGGCAAGAAGTGAAATGAAGAATAGATTTAGAGACCATTCCAAAGGAAGAAATCACGCTGTTGATAAGTTTTTCCATAAGAAGAAGGATGAGATGGTGACTTATACTGAGAATTTCTTATCGCTATATTACTTATAGAGAAAACCGGGGCGTTCCCAAAGCCTATCTCTACCTGCATCGCCTTTGTCACCTTCTCGCTAGCTTTTAAACGACCTTATAAAGAGTTCTTCTGCCCAACAAGTGCCTGCACATGATTCCTGATAGTTAGATGAGTTGTGTCATCATTTCTTACGTCATCAAAGGCTGCCTGCTATGGCAAATTAAAAGGTTGATGTTGGCCAAATGGAAATCCAAGATCCAGGGCATAACTTCTTGGTTTCATGCTAAAAATGGGATTGACCAGGAAATATACCACTGACACAGCGGAGAGATCCGTTTCCAACTCTGGGCTCCATTCCTCTCTGGAGGCAAAAACTTGGCATTGGAGTAAAGCATGTGGTCGGCTTAGCTAAAATTGCGCTTCACCAAACCAAAAAAATGGCCGGATATATTCCCAATGCCATCCTACTTTCCTCAAGGTTCCTAAACACCCTGTGGGATGTCAGCTAAAGGAATTAAGAGGGTGAGTTGATTCGCCACACCATTTTAATGGATATTATATGAGAATTTCTTCCAAAAATAAAATTTTGCATGGAAAGAGATAAAAAAGGGCTATTTGCTCTGCGATTTTTTATAGGGAATATTTCTCGAAGACAATTTCTAATTGTTTCTTACCAAATGAGGGAAGGGTAGGGGAGGGACGGTCTACTTAAATGAGGCCGGAAATCCGATTTTATCGACTCGCCTTTATGGCGAGTTGATTAATGTATCTTACCAGACAATTATTCAAAAAAACGTGAAATTTCCTTCAAAAAAAATCGTCCAAATTAAGCACTAGCATAAAAACTATGCACCTAAAAAAGCAACCATTAAGATTAATTAATTTTCAGATCTAAAATATTTTAAAATAATTTTTATGGTGCTTGAATCTCTAATTTTACTGTAATACGCATAGAATTATTTCAAATTTAAATTAAGTCCTGAATGAAGAAATATGCTTTCAAGAGACCTTCCTAAGCTTTATTGCACTAATATATTCTGATTTTGTTAATTTCCTAATTCTTAATCTTATGTCAAAATATCTGGAGCAATTGAAGCATAATTTTATGAGCAAAATATCAGTAGATTTAAAGGTTTAAAGATAGCAATTACTTTTGGAGCTGTATAATCAAAAATATCTGCCGTTTAAATCAATTTTTCCTAGTTATATTTATATCGCCGTTTATATTTCAATTAGAAAATCCCAATCTAATATAATGTCAAGTTCAATATCCCATGTTACTAAATGTCTTGGAACAAGCCGCAACATCACTCATCTCTATAAAAAAGCAAGGGTAGACGAAAAGAAATCTTCTAGATTTTCCCTCTCAACTGCATCTAATGATTCAGGCCGAGCTGTTCTTCTCTCAGGAATTTCCCCAAGCCACATTCCGCTCGAGCCTCCAAAGCAAAATCAGCTCCCACCTTTATGGGTTGACTCATATGACAAAGTAATAGAAGATTTAAAAACTCTCGAAGACAAATGTAAACTCTATTTAGTAAAACTATTAAAACAAGCCCAAACGAAAAGGCTTAAAATTACATTTGGAGATCCTAGCCAGGCTGAACGAGAAATCCTCATCCTATCTCAAGAAATAACCAAGGTAAACTCTTATTCAGCTAGTTAATGCGCGATTTAGATGGTTTTATTCACGATATTGTAAAATCATCAGGAACCAATAGCGATATCACTATTCGGAAGAATATTCAGCAGCAATTAGCTCAGAAATTACAAGAATTCACTCAGCATCATAAAACAATGCAAAGGGTTTATATGGAAAAATACCAACAACTTCAATCAGGAAGCTCAGTTCCTTTGCAAATGCCTGAAGAGGATGAAATTGAAGACGATTATGGAGATAACCTTGATCAAGTATACGAGATTTCCAAAGCAAGGGATGAAGGAATAAATGGGCTAGTAAACAACTTAAATGAGCTTGCTATGATTTTCAAGGATTTGAGCAATTTAGTAGTAAATCAAGGGACAATATTGGATCGAATCGACTATAATTTAGAACTAGCCTCAGATCATACAAAAAAAGGAGTTGTGCAGCTTCAAAAAGCAGAGAAACATCAAAGGTGCACAAGAGCAACAAGTTGCATTATGTTTTTGATAGTCATGATAGTGCTGCTTGCGTTGGTTTTTATATTCAAAAACTTTTAATTATTATTTTATAAAGGATTCCATAAAGAAAAATGCCTTGCTAATATATAATTATCTTGGTAAAAACACTAATTAAATTGAATCTAATACAGACAAACAAATATATTAAAAATCCTTGAATTTATATGTCCCAAATCTTATTTGCTGCTTAACCGTTTGAAGCGATATCGGCATTGTAATTACACACTTATCATTCATTTCTTTTCGACTTTGCTGAAAATCATCACGAAGTAAATTGATCATTTTCAGATGCATAAGCTTACTTTTGTCAACTCCTAATTTCTGGTAATTCTTCACTAATTTTGCTACGCTTTTATATTTATTATTTATCATACCGAGCTCTCGCTTCGAGATTTCAGCAGCTTTAATTGGGATTTTTGCTTTCTTTGCAATCAGAGAATAAAGTTTTTTAGTTGATGATGAAGATGGCCCACGATCTGAATTTGGGGTAAAGGTTCTTTTATATGATTCTATATTAAGTTTCAGTTTGCCTCTGAAAGGACTTTCTGGTGATTCCTTTTCTCATTTTTAGTGAAGTAAAATGGTGCATTAAAAGAGTCAGACTCTAAAGGGCCGGGTAGGACCCATCTCGATAAAGCTGAAAATAGACATCTGTTACTTTTGATTAGACCTTCAGATTTGGGGAAGCCTTTCCAAAAGGGGACACTTTTTTACTCCCTGAAGGCTTTCTGATCCTGCCAGATGGGCAAGATAGATTTTGTCTACCATATAGTTTCTTCTCATTAGGACAATCAAGACACATATGGATGGTGACTCCAACCTGAAAGGCAAGTCTCTTTGATAGATGGTTTAGACCGGAAATCCTTAAGGGCGACCTTTTTCGAAACAAGATAAGCGAAAATTAGTAGGTTTATCGCTTATAGTCAACATAACCTTTAACCTTAACTTTTCTCATATCTTGTAAAGTTTGATTAACTTTGTTGGGATTAAGAGTTAAAAAATCATCATTTCATGTTACTGCATTAAAGAAACGCTTTTTTGGAGGTGTAGAGATTGATTTTAAGATAAAATCATTTATTACGTGATCTTCAATTTTCGCCATTATAATACTTTTGTGTAACTGAGGTAACTCATTATCTTAAATTTCAGATGTCATAATGAAAAGATTATAATCCTTGCAAGGAAATAGATTAAGCGCATAATAAATTTTTGGGAATCAGTAACCCGTTTAAAGCAATAATAAAAAAGACTACGATTTATATTAATAGCATCCCAACAATAAATTAAATTAAATAAATCTTTAAATTTTATCTATGATGGAGTAATAAATGTGGAAAATGCTTATATTAATCGCCAATAAAAATATTTATTTATTAAATATGTAATAAATGCACATAATCCTATCAATATTAATCTAAATCCTTTTTACTCAACTTTAATCCTCCATGCCTTTATCAACTTAAAATTACCTAAAATGTGGTGAACAAATAATAAATATGTACCTGAGATCTCTCGTTCTCTTCGGACTTTTGGCAACATGCATGTCATCTCAAGTCTCTTATACTGAATTCTTCCAGTTAGGCATGGTCAAGACCGGTGGGCAAAATGCCTACCAGTTTATGTCAGGATTTTTCTTTGGAATGCAAGCAAACGAAGGAAAGCCAGATCAATGCTACAAAGACTCTGCTCTTATTCTCGCAGATGGTGCAGCTGTTTATAACGACATTATTCAAATTGCAGCTGGAAACGCAACTGCGAATCAAACAATTTATACTGACGCAGATAAACTTAGCGCTGACTTCGTTTCTCATATGCCAGACTGCAACGTGGCTGGATTAGTAGCAGCTGTCAAATCTTTAACCACTACCTCAGGTTTAACAAGCGCAATTTACAGGTGCATTGACAACGCAGGCTCACTTACAACAGATATTGGCTATATAAAGACCTGCTCCACTAACTATTATACTTGTGGAAAAGGTGTTGCTGAAATTGCTAACGCTCCTTTGTTTAGCAAGTACAATTTTTGGATTGCTTACGGAGAAGGGTTATTTATTTAAAATTTCATATTTAATATGGAGGTTTGAAACTATATGCAAAGTGTTTAAATTTAACGGAATTAGCTAGAGATTTCATTATAATTATTATTTATGTATTCATATATCTGATATAAAAAATATTTGTTCTCAAATCATTATGCTCGCTCACGGAGAGGTGAAGCGGAAAAAAAACTACATTGATCTGTTTTTCAGTCAAAAGTGACTGAAAATTTCAAAAATTGTTTTAGTATTAAAAAACATCGCGGTTAAAAGTGAGGGTTGAAAAATGCTGCATTTTTTCGCAAAAGCAAGTGGAAAAAACAGCATAGAAAAAAAGCTTCAGAAGCAAATTATATTAAATAGAGAGATAGCTGGCTGACATTAAATATATGAAAAAAACTTCGCTGTTTTTTTGGGTGCCGCAAAAAAGGTGTAAAAATCAGCAAATTGAAAAGGAGAAAGCACTACACTGTGTTTTGATGGTAGACTATCATAAAATTATCATAAAAATAATACAAATTCCACTGCATATAACTCATACACTATTTTAAATTTTGTTGCCGATAAAATTATATCATATGTGTGCTACGCTATTTGTGCAGCCATTTCGAGATATCTTATTTTAAATTTAGCTAAATGATAAAGAGTGTATTGATATATATAATGTCAGCCAGCTATCTCATTTTTAATATCATTTACTCCTGAAGGTATTTTTTTTTCTATACTGTTTTTCACCCGCTTTTGTGAAAAATGCAAAATTTTTTTTTAACCCTCACTCCCCCCTTTAAATTGGAACTAAAAATTTTGTTCCAATTTAAAAAGGGGGGTTAAATTTTTTTTTTTTAAAAAAATATCAATAAAAAATTTTTTATAAAATATATAAAAATTTTTAAAAAAAAAAAATTTCCAAAACTTATCGAATTAGATTAATAAATTTGTTTAATAAAACGCTATTTACTCTTTATCCTTTAAAACAAAGCAAGATATAACTAAATTTTCATTATTAGTTAATACGCCACTATTAATTGGTATCAAAATTATTTACACAAAATTATTATTTTTATTGATAAAAAAAAATTAAAAAAAAATAATTTAGAAAATTTATCGATCAAAGTGCTAATTTTGTTTAAATAAGATGTTATTATATACTCTATTCTTTAAAATAAAGTAAGAAATAAAGTAAATTTTATAAAGAATTCCTATTGAATTTATATCAAAACTATTTAAATAAAAAATATCATTTTTATCAAAAAAAACAAAAATTTTTTTGAAATTTTTAAAAAAAAATAAAATTAATGTTTTTTAAAATTTACAATCAAGGATAATAAATTTATTTAAATAAGATGCTCTTTATACTTTTATCTTTAAAATAGAGCAAGATATAACTAAATTTTTAATTTTAGTTAATAAGAAACATTTAATTTATATTAAAACTTTTTAGATAAAAATTATATATAATTTTTTTTTATAAAATTAAATTTTGTTCCAATTAAAGGGGGTTAATTTACCAAAAAAGTGGAAATTTTACCGATATATTTTGTTCCAATTTTAAAGGGGGGGGGAGTCAGTTTTTTTTAGTTTTTTACCCTTTTAATACTAAAAATATTTTGAAATTTTCAGTCACTTTTGACTAAAAAAAAGGCGAAAATGCGTCAATGTAGTTTTCTCTATGTCATTCCTCACGAAAAGATGCTAATTTCTAAAACAAATATGTTACCATTTTTTAATAGAGGGGAGAAGTAAGGTTTTCCTGGGCTGGGGGATTTAAGATAAATAATTCTTTATGAATACTTAAAAAAACATTAATTGGATTACTAATATCTATTATGTCTTCGGGGATCATCATGCTTTTTTTGTGGGGACGGAGGCTTATAAGGCTGATTTTGCCTTGGATAATATTGATTTCCATATGGCGGCTGTTGAGCATACATATAATTTTGCGGAGGGTACACATATGAAGTAGGCCTCGGAACATATTGCTGGCTTAAAAATTGGTTGACATTTTGGACTCCAGGTGTTTGCTGCTTTTTTGACTCTTGCTCAACTTGTTGCCTGATGATGGAAATTAATTCAGTAATTTCTGATCCGTTTTCCCTTATGTTAGAAATCGCATCTTGCAAATTATTCAAAATCTGTGGATTGCTACCTGACCCAGCTGATATTGCAGAAATTGCATCTTGGAGGGCTTTTGGAATATTTTCGCTAACTTGCAGATCTTGATTTTCTTCTTCTGAAGTTATTGGCGACATTTCTTGCTCTTTTTCAGGCAAGTCATCGACCTCAGGAACAGAATTTGGGTCAGTTTGAGCAATTACTTCAGGGTTCAGCATAAGAGCTCCACTGCTTGCAGCTGATTTTTTGAAAAATAAAATGCAGCCAATTTTTTCTTTTGTGGACACAAAGGGAACTACAGCTGGGCTCAATTTTTGGTTGATATTTATATGGATTGAAGCAAGAAATGCTTTGAAGGACTCATTCAATGATGATAGATACATCGTTAAAGAGCTGTCAATTCTTATTACAGCTGCACGTCCTTTATCTGTTAAATCCCTCACTAATTCTCCAAATTCTTTTTCAGAGCCTTCAGCTGGCTCAATCCAGGCTGTAGTTATAGCTTTTGTGACTGGCCCTGACGAGTTTTGAGATACATAAATTTCAAGCTCATCTTGTTTGGTCCTGCCCTGAATTGAAATTTTATTGCCAAACTGAGGCATTTTTTGGAAAGAGTCAATAGTGTCAACAGAATTCATATTCACATTAATAAAATGCTTCCCGTACTCTAACTTTCCAGTCCACACCTTTAGCAAGCTGCCTGCGGGAGCTTTATTTTTAACTGCGTTTGAAGAATAAGGATCAAAAAGCTTGTTTTTTTTCTTTATTTTCCGCTTTGCACTATAATCAACTTTTTGAGCAAAATCAAAGACGTTATACTCTTCTTGCTGATTAGTCCCATATACATCTTCATCATATAGAGGTCGTGATAAATTTGGATCGGCTGGCTGAGGCTCTCCTACAAGCTCTTCATCACTGCTGAATTTTCCTTCTTGATAAATTTCTTCGTATTTTGATCTTTTAGTAATATATTCTTCTTCAAAATCTTCTGGGACACGCTTTTTAGGAACGATTTCATGACTATTAGGCTTCGTAGAGCCATTAAGCTCAGCCTTTGATTTATTATGCTCTTTCCATTCTTCATTAGGAATACTTTCTGTTGCCATAGCAGAAGAGTCTGGTGGAACATTTGAATTTTTTGCTTTTTCAATAAATTCCTTACTCCCCCCCCCCCTCCGTGAGCGAACAAAAAAATTTTGTTCGCTCACGGAGGGGGGTTAATTTTTTTTTTTAAAAAAAATTTATATATAAATTTTATAAAAAATATTTTTTTCGAAATTTAAAAAAATCCTAATTTGCAAAAATTGGGAAGCAAATATTAATTTAATTTGCAAAATTTATGTTTTAAAACGCAATTTGTTTAAAATTAAACAGAATTAGCTCTAGATTTCATTATACTAATTATCACTTATATATCAAAATTTTTTTCCATTAAAATTTTTTCTATTAAAAAAATTTTTGTTCACTCACGGAGGGGGGTTTTTGGGTCAAAAAATGGCGATTTTTCTAATGGTTTTGTTCGCTCACGGAGGGGGGGGGGAGTTAGTGAGATTCTTGCTTAGGCTCCAGGGTGTCATATTTCTTTTTATAAGCTTCAACTTCATGGATTAAATTGCTGACAGAAAATTCGCTTGGCTTGGGTTTTTGTATAGGCAAAGGCTCAGGAATTTGGGGAGAAATTTTAGGCTTTGCTTCTTTGAGTGGGACGCTAACTTCCCTCCTCCGTAAGTGAGCAAAACCATTGGAAAAATCCTTATTTTTTGGGTCCGTGAGCAAACAAAGTATATCTAATATAATAATTTTTTATGAAAAATGTTTTTTTATATATAAGTGATAATTAGTATAGAGAAATCTTTAGCTAATTCTGTTTAATTTAAACAGTTTATATTTTAAAACATAAATCTTGCAAATTAAATTAATATTTGCTTTCCAATTTTTGCGAATTGGGATTTTTAAATTTTGATAAAATTTCTAAAAATTTTTTTAAAAAAAAATTAACCCCCTCAGTGAGCAAATAAAAAAATTTTGTTCGCTCACGGATGGGGGGTAAGGACTTTTTCTTTTTTCTGGTGAGATTTTGCTTCCTTTATGAGACTTTGGATTTTTGCTTTCGAGGAACCGCTTTGAGTAGGTATGATTGGCTCAATTCTTGTTATAGGGCTATTTTGCTGTACAGGAGAAGCCGTCTGCTCTATTTTCTGCTTTTTAACTGGCTTAGATCTATCAGGCTGATTAAGTTTATCTTTACTGATTGTCAGTGTTACAAGTGGCACCCCATCAAAAATTCTTTTAATAACTTTTGGCTCTTTCAACTCTTTTGGTTCTATATAAGTAAGCTGGTCTGGCTTTATTTCCCCTTCTAATAGCTTTAGGGAAAATCCTTCATAATTTTGAAGCCTTCTTATAATTCTCAAAATGTTTTCAATAGCCTTTTTATATCTCCCTTCTTGAGAATAGGCCCTAAATGCAATTTCTTCAATTTTTGTTGCAATTCGATTCATTTTTTCTTCCTTATTATCCCACACAAAGTTAATGTCGCTCATGATTTTTTGTAAAATTTCTTTTACATTATTTTTCCTGACAAATTCAATGTCTTGAACTTCCTCATTTGGTCTTTTGCTCGGAATTAAATCGCCTTCTGCATTATCTGCTTTTCCTCCTCCACTTAAATTTATTCTTGTTTTATGCTCTATAATAGAATGTGCTAAATCAAAAGGCAATTTTTCTGTTTCATTTTCAATTTCTATGATTTCTTCAAGCGTTCGGCAGCAGGACAGTCTTTCCTTGAACTTTTCTCCTTTATTTATTAAATTTTCTAGCTTGTCAAGATCTGCAAATAAGCTTGGCTCTTTCATTTGTTTGCCTTCATTAAACCATCCAACTAGAATAGAAAAATTGACTTTGTGGATTTGAGCAAGTTTTACTTTGAGTTTCCAGATTTTAACTCTAATGACTTTTTCGTCTTGCCCCATATGGATTTTTAAGCTTGTTAGTCTCCCGCTGATTGAATTTAATTGGTCAAGAGTGACATTTTGGCTATCTAAAATGCTGGCTGCTTCAGATAGAATCTGCTTTCCATAATCTAATTCAGCTATAATATCTTCTGCATCTTCTATTCTGGCATCAGCATGCTTATAATCATTCAAAAACTGCTCAACTTTTGTCCTTTCAATTTTATTTTTGCCTGAATACTCTTTAAGTATTTTCATCCTTGTAGCAAGGGTTGCAGTCTTCTCAATTATGGACTTGAGCTGAGATGAAATTTCTGGCATAGACACAGGGATTTTCATCAAATCATTTTGCAGTTCTTTAAATTCTTGGACGAACACTTTGTTTTGTATCATGCTTTTGAACTTTTCATCAAAATTTTTACACTGTTCAATCAGATCTTTCACATAAGCCTCTTGAGAAATACTTATTTTGCAATTTACTACCTGCTCATATAACAGCTCTAGTTCTTCAAGGTTAATTGGTTTTATTTCTGCAGCTGGATCAAAGCTCTTAATCTTTTCGACGTCTTCTTCAATTTGGATTCTCAGCGACTGCTGCCTTCTTAGCCTGTCAAGTGTAAATGCGTCTAAATACTCTTTATTTAAATATTCTATCGAAGCAAATAAGTCGTCTCATTCTTCCTGAGGGATTTTTCCTTTCTGCTGGAGAATTCTTTGCCCTGAAAAGTTTCACTCATAGCTGCACAACTTTTTTCCATAGTCGTCAGTTTCTATATAGACTTCAAAACAATACTCTTTAACTATTTTATAAAACTCTTCAAATGCTGCTGTTTTTCTGAATTCATCGTATTTTTTCTTACAGGCTGCTAATAAATTTTCATAAGGGTGCTTTTCAAAAAAGTGGCGCTCCTCACCCAATCATTTTTCAAGTTTGGTTAAATCTGATTCCATTATGGAAACTTCTTCTTTACAGCAGGTTCTTAAATTTTTGGCAAGCTGAAGAAGCTCTTTTAACTGCTGAGAATTTGGCTTTGGTTTGTCTCTTAGATTTTTTAAATAATGCTGAATGTTCAAGCTTTGGCTGCTAAAAAGTTTTCTAGCTGAAAAATAAAATGTGTATTTATAAAGCCATTGCTCATAGGCAAAAATCTCTTCTGTAAGCATTTTCAATGCTGGGACGTCATTAGGGATTCCCATTGAAATTGCTTCTTGATTAGCTTCATACAATCTGTCAATTGAAGGCTTTGAGTTACCTTTAAAAATTTTATCAGTACTCAAGCACCAATCTATTCATTTATCTCATAAAAGAAGTTTATTGTACTTTTCAGGTATAATAATGCCATGTTTTTCAAGTCTATCTTTATATAAATTGATATTTCTCTGCAACTCAGTCATGCTTTCTGAAATTATTGCACTGACGTCTTGTTCTGATAGACTATCGAAATATTTCAGCGCTTCTTCAACTTCTTCCATAATTCCATTGAATATAGCTAATGATTGAGGGTGGTAATTTTTTAGGAGTTTAGCTTTTTGTGATAAGTCTTGGAGCTGCTCAACTGTAATTTCATCGCACATTTCGAATCTTTGAAACTCCAATTCCCACAGTCTGAAGGCTAAATCTTCAAGCATCTTTTCAGCTTGTGGATCTATGCAGCCAATTTTTATACCTCTGTTTACTATATTCCTAAGGACTTCGATTTCACTTGTCTTTTTTCTTTTGTTTGAAGAGTCTTGGCTTTCTAGTTCATTCAAGGCTTCTCTGGTTTGCTCCATCCATTTGAGTGATTTGATTTTATCTTCTAGCATTTGTTTTTCTTCTAGCAAATCTGTCCTTGCATTTTTTATTTCATCAAGGACTTTGGAGTATTCAGAGTTTGGATCGGTAAAGCTCCCTTCAAGTGTTTCCTTGACTTTTGCTTTTAATTCTTGTGCGCACTGCAATTTATTTTGTACAGCTACAATAAACTCGTCATCAGCTCCGTATTTTTCTGCATCTTGCAGAAGTATGACTAGATCTTCTTCTTTATGCTTCTTATGCAAAATTTCGCTTATTTTTTTGTTAATTCCTGCCCTTTTCTCTAGTACATCATACTCTGGGAAATGGCAAATAATTGATTTCCCTTCCCTGAGTAGATGATTAAGTCTTTGAGGTGTAACTTTTGTCACAATAGCCGCCTGTGCATTAGTCTGCCATATGCAAGCTTCATTTACTTTAATTAGCAGCTGAGTTGTGATTTCTTTTACGTTGATTTTTGAATCAATCTGGGTTTCTCCATATCTTATGTGTTGCTTAATTTCCTCATATGATGGGGGTGCTTTATTTTCGCTCCCATTGGTATAGCTCTCTGTTTTGGAATTCCAGTCAGAAAAAAGAGTCCAAACTTCTTTAGCTTTAAGCATATAAGGAGTTTGAATAGTCAGTAGCGACATATCTTCTATTAGTCGCTGAAGTTCTTGAGCATTGTAAGGCATTTCCAAGTGAGAAAACTTTTTATCTCAGGCTTCTGCTGCTGATAATTCTTCTTTGATTATTTTTATTTCAGCTGGAAGCTGGAATGGCAATTGTTTTGCTTTATCTAAACAGCAATTTACGTCTAAAACTGTCAATTTATCTTCTAGCTCCTCCTCTTTATGAGCGATAAAATTTCGCGTACTTTTTAAACAGTGCATTTTTTAAAAGCATTTTGTATTGAATTTGTAAAAGAAAATTATAATTTGATTTTTAAAATTTATTATTAAAAATTGAAGGCGTCAAGAATAGATCATTAATTTTATAAAAATATTTTACACGCGCCTAAAGGGGCTAATTTTCCTAGAAAGTAGTATTTTCCAATGGTATTACTCTAGGCGAGTAAGGAACTTGTTTGGCTTTTTGCTAATGACTCTCTTATTGTGTTAAATCAATCATTACATTCTTCAATTAATAAGTGTAATTGATGGACTAAATTATGATTTGGCATAATATTAAGCATTTCATCATATAGAGCTTTAGCAGAACTCAGAGTAAACTCATGCGAGCTTTGCACCATGGTTTTAATTTTTTTTAAATTCTCATATTTGCGCAATTTCACTGCCAAGTTATTGAAATCCGGAATGTTTAGTCCTATTGATTTAGATTCATCAATAATTCCTTTGACTTGAATCGCTTCCTCATCTGTTAGCTCTCTTTCAATTCCAAAATTAAAATCCTTTAATTTTGAAGTTAAAAATCTAATTTTATTCGATTTTTCTTTAAGATCAGCGATTTCCTGTATATAAAAAGGAAGATTCTTTGTCATTTCTATAATTTCATCGAAATTTTCATTGCTTAATTTTCCTTCAGAAAATTCTAGAGCTCTCTTATAGGCTAAATTAGCAATAAGCAATCAATCTCCCAAATTTAAATTCACAAGGCAATTAGGCATTTTTATAGTAACTTTTGTCCCCGTGACGATTTCCTTTACCAGCTTTTTCTTAACCTTGGATCATTGGTCACAAAATTTACAGATATAGTCCTCAATAGTTTTTCCTAATGTTTCAGGGATCCCTACACAATCTCCATGGTATAATGTGCAACATATATCGCAGCGTATCATATATTTAGTGCCTTCTAGGTATCTTTTCCCACAAAAGCAGTGTATTTCTTGGCCAATTTTGTGTTCTTCACATAAAATTTCTCCTGCCCCTCTCAGCAATATTTTTGGATTCCATTTATTCCTCTGCAGCATGCAGATTAGGTGAGCTCTTTTGTCGCATTCTGTACATTTAATAGTGCCAATGCTCAATTCTTTGCATTCCTCACAATAAGTTTCTGGAATTTCGCTATTTTGCTCAACTATACGCATTCTCTGCCAATCAGCAATTCTGAAGCAGTCTGTAAACAATGCACACGTCACATGCACCCAAAATCTGCCGCATTTTTTTAAAGCTCCATTGGTTTGGTGGCAAACTCTGCAGGATAAGGTGATAGTGGGCCCTACTTCCATGCAGCGATCACAATAGAAGGTTTCGTTTGAGGAAGTCAGCCCATAGCAGGCTCTGTGAACTGTAAGATTGCAGGTTCTGCAGGAATGTAAAGGGATGCTTAGCTCAGGCTTGATTGAGCTTGAGGATTCTTTGCTTCAGCAAACGTGGCAGCAATTATTTGTGGAGGGAAAAGTGGGAGAGGGCTTGCTGTGGCTTGAAAGTGTTTTGGAAACATTCTTACCCGGATTTCCTGTAGCCATTTATACAAATATTTATTTAGATCGGGGCATTTGCGATTTTGGATGATAATGTGCAAAGAAAAGAGCATTGAAAGAGAAAGAAAAAAGTGATAAAAATAAAACAATATAAAAAGGAAATTTAATAAACTGGGTTGGAGGTAAAGACGCAGATCGAAGATATAATGATATTTTTAATAATATTTTAAATATTAAATGGCTTAGCTATTTATAAAGAATAATCCTTTAAGTTTAATGAAATTCTCTCGCACATTCAGCCTTCTAAGTCTTCTTTGCTTGAGGTTCAGCTACGATAACAATCTGAACAACGGTAGGTGAACCGCCTAACCGTTGAACCATTAAAGTTATCAACCCTTTCAGACTTCTTTGGTCAGTGCCATCTGAAGCACTGACTACTTCTCTTCAAGCCGAGACTCTCAAGAAGTTCGACTTCTCTCACTGAGCTCGGTATATGGGTCCAGCCTGGTGGATCAGGACTAGGGACCCATCCCTAACTGCCATTTAAAATATTGTAAAGTTAATTAAAGCAATTTTTAATAACCCCTCCTTTAAATTGGAACAATAAATAGGTAAAATTTCCATTTTTTAGATATTTTAACCCACTTTAAATTGGAACAAATTTTTTTAATACGAAATTCTTATATATGTAAAAAATATTAATCTTAATAAAATTAGTTTTGAACTAATTTAATGTAAAAAGTTCAACTAGAATATTATTTAGACAGTTTACACTAAATAGATTAAATTTTAAAATTAATTCTGCATAAAAATCAAATAAAATTCAAAGTATTGCGTTGAATTTTTATTTTTTAAAAATTTGTAGTTGTTATAGGGAGTAAGAAATATTTCCACAGAAATTGAAATATCTATTAAATAATAAAGCATGGCATTTTATACTAACTTCCCCTCATGAGAACAAAACCATTAAAAAATCAATATTTTTTGCTCACCCTTCTCGATCGAACAAAACATTTTTATGGAAAAAAATTTGATATATAAGTGATAATTTTTATAATGAAATCTCTAGCTAATTTTGTTTAATTTTAAACAAATTGCATTTTAAAAATAAATTTTGCAAATTCAATAAATGTTTTGCATTCCAATTTTTGTAAATTTGGATTTTTATAAATTTCGACCAAAAAATATTTACATAAAATTTATATATAATTTTTTTAAAAAAACAATTAACCTCTCCGTAAACGAACAAAATATTTTTGTTCGCTCATAGAAATGGGAGTAAGGAGGAAAGAATCCCTACATACTTGGGAACTCCTAATCTCATTGGGCCAGGAGCCTATATTTATCCTAATAAGTCAGAAGTCCAAGAGTCTTATGCACCCTTTTTAAGTACCACTCTCAGAGATACAATGAAAGTGCAAATCTCAAGTCCAGGCCCTGGGAGTTATTTCAATCCAGAATGAAGCTCATACTATCTTCAAGGGAAAAAGCAGCCCAATAAAGCCTCACATATGTTTGCAAGCCATATCAAAAGGATTCCACACAAAGAGCCAGAAGATGGTCCTGGCCCAGGAACTTATGAGCTTTCACCAAAAAGAAGAAAAAAACCGAATATCAATGCGAGAACGCACAAACTGCCAAAATTGACCAAAAACTTTTCTTTTCCGTCAATTCCTATAAGATCTAATGGCGAAGGTTATGATGAGTTACCAAATGGAGAACTGGTCCCACACAAAAATTCTGATAAGAATCTTGATGAATCATCAATTGGTCCAGGACACTATGCTTTATGTTTAATTAGATTTATTAAAATGCTCATTGCAATACCCAAAGGTCTGTCTCCTTAGTAACGCTTCCCAGCATCATAGAGGTTGCTCCTGCCGGATGAGAGCCTATGGTTGTAAAGAGTTGTCACCGTATCGCATGCCAAAATAGGTAGTCTGCTATCGAAAATTCAAAAGGTTGAATTTCTGTCCAACCCTCAGCTCAAATGGAAACTCGAAGAGACCAGGCTGAAACTTCTGGCATCGCGCTGGGAAATAATCCTGCTATTCAAGATATTCAACTGTCAGAGTTAAGAGGTTTAGACGATTGGCCACGCCATTTTAGTGTATATCCAGGACATTACAACCCTATATTTTCTAACGAAAACTCAGCAAACCTCGGAACAGAATGATATAAATACAACTCAAAGCGAAATATGTTTGTCAATCACAATTCAACTCCAGGGCCTGGAAGCTATCTCTATAAAAGCAAGCTATTTGAAGATGCTAATAAGCATAAAAGCGCTTTTATAAGCAAAGTAAGAAGAGGCTGCTATATTCCTGAGAGGTCAAAAAGCCAAGAATTATCTGAAGATGACGCTGAAGAAGAGCTAGAAAGCATTCCAGGCCCAGGCTATTACTTCAATCAAGACTCATATACAAGCTTTCCGAAGAAAACACTTCCAAGAATGTTTCAATATTTTGGCAGCAGATGTGTGAGATTTAAAAGCCAAAATATTAAAAAAGAAGAAAGCAAAAGATACTATGATAAGAAGGTTATTACAAAGCCAGCAAAGAAAAATGCACCATTTGATACGAATTCTAGAAGATTTAATTATGAGATCGAAATCAGCCCTGGACCTGGAAGCTACAATGATGAAGTAAATCTCGGGTATACGAAAATTGAGAATAAACAGGGAGCATTTGGAAGCACAGAAAAAAGATTTATTGAGTCTAATAATCTTGATCTGCCTGGGCCTGGAGCATATTCTGTTGAATTAGCTCAAAAATCAAAGCAAAGTAAATCATCGTTGTCAAAGCTTTCACCATCTTTTGCGAGCAGGGTAAAAAGAGAATCTTTTGGACCTGATTTTGAAACTCCACCGCCTGGACAATATATTTCAAGAGCAGATATGGCTGGCCTTGTCTCCTTCACTCAGATAATTTTATTTTAAAATAAAGAGGAAAAAGAAAATGGCAAATTTATCATTATAGATTTGAAATTTCAAGTAGATTTTGGCAGTTTCATCCAAATTGATAACTGTGAGGTCGGGTCAAAAAGCTATAGCCGTGCTCTCGATATATAAAATAAATGATTTATGGAGCAAAAAAAGCAACCAAGCCTCAAGTCCAAAGCTAGTAAAGTCTTATGGGAATAAAAGTGTTCCAATTGGCTTTAATTCAAAGATAGAAAGGTTTAAAGAAGCAAAGGATACGACAATTGGGCCAGGATTTTATGACCCTGATTGCATGCTTCTATATAATGGATCAAGAGTTGTGATTTCAAAAGGAAACCGATTTGATTATAAAGTCCATGAAGAACTTCCTGGGCCCGGCCATTATGATGATGCAACTGCAGATAAAGCTTGGAATAGGCAATCATTTAATGTAAATTACATCAATTAATTTATAATTAAATTACTTACCCCCACAAAAAATTTCATTGAGAAAGCCCCTATTTTCGACTAAAAACCACCATCAAGGAGTGATCAAAAAAATTTTCTATATAAAAATTCTTTATGAAAAATTATTTTGATATGCAAGATATAATGAAATCTCTAGCTAATTCTGTCGAATTTTAAGTAGATTGCATTTAAAAACACAAATTTTATAAATTATTTAAACTTCGCTTTCCAATGTTTACGATTTGGAATTTTTTTAAAAACTTATGAGAAAAAATTACCCACTCCTTCACTAAAAAATTTTTTTATACACTCACTAACTTCCTCCCCTCCGTGAGTGGACAAAAAAATTTTGTTCATCACGGAGGGGGTTAATTTTTTTTTAAAACAATTTATATATAAATTTTATAAACAATTTTTTTTTCGAAATTTAAAAAATTTTCCTAATTTGCAAAAATTAGAAATAAATATTAATTTAATTTATAAAATTTATTTTTTAAAACGCAATTTGTTTTAAATTAAACAGAATTAGCTCAAGATTTCATTATAATAATTATCATTTATATATCAATTTTTTTTTCATAAAAAATTTTTGCTCACACACGGAGGGTGATTTTTGGGATTTTTCTAATGGTTTTGTTCACTCATGGAGGGGGGAGTAAGAGGGTTAATTAATTTCCACTATACGTAAAGGTGAAATTTTTCCTGTGAGCCATAAATTTGTACAGAGAAAAAAAATTCGTTTTTTGCTTCTTCTTAAAGAAGCAATAGCCCTTAGGCGTTTCAGAAAATTTATTTATAATCTATTTTAGCTCATTCAGCGTCAAATAAATCAAGCTATTTAATTCTTAAATAACGTTTTAAAATGTAGTTGCCCTTTTAGCGTTTGTTCCATTACTGCCACTTGAACGTACAACTGTATTGTTGCTTTTTTGGTTTCTTTTCAAGTTTCCACTCTTAGTGGTATGATAGATTTCTTTCGCCTTCCTTCTTTCTATGTATCCTCGTAAAACGCCTTGCAATTTTATAGCATCGTCTAAATCTAAGTTTAATTAAGTTTGAGTTTAAGTTTAATTGAATTACTCTTGGATACAGTCTCCTTGTTTGAGGTCCTTGATTAATAGCTCTAAACAACGGTAGGTGGACCGGCCTAGCCGTCGAACCGTTAATGTTAACAAGTCCGTTAAGACTTCTCTGGCCAGTATCAGACTCAGCACTGACTTGTCCACTCTCTTTCGAGACTCTCAAGAGCAAGACCTCTATCACTAAGCTCGAAAATAGGACCCTGACCTGCAGAGCAGGAGTTAGGACTATCTCTAACTGACATTTTTAATATTGTGCCGTCTAAATTAATCTGAATGTCTCGCTTCTTTTTCTTGTGTTTCCTGTGTTTCTTAGGCTCAATTGGATCAGCATGCCCAGATGTATTTAGTCTAATCTGGTTCTCTTCAGTCGATTGATCTCTTAAGCAAGTGCAGTTTAACCCCATATAATATTTTTATTACTAACTTAAAGATGACCTATAAAGAGACTTAGAAAGAAATGCTCATTACTTTCACATGTATGAGAGATATGGTCTTGAAGAGCATGCTGGAGAAAAAATTCTTCTTTACAGAGTTTGTTTGAAGATAAGTAAGAGATTTATATTTTGTCTGAATAAAAATTTTACCATTAAGTCCAGATATCTTGAACAGCAGCCTATTTAATTGCAAGAAACCTATCTAATTGTCCTCTGGAGATTAATTTTATGAAATTAAATTGTTAGAAATATTCATTATTTAAAGGGTTATAAAGAAGCAACATTTCAATGTCAATTTACTACAACAAAGTTAAATCAATATTTAATCACAAAGAATTTTGTATTTATAATTAATATCATAAATAAAAGTCGGAAATGCTTTTATTGATCTAGCCATCTTATTCTACTTCCGAAATTTCATTCTCCTTTTCTAGTTTCTCCATTTTGGTTTGTGATACATCCGACTCCATGCTGCTTTCCATTACACCAGCTCCCTTCATATTTTTTCCCACTTGGCCAAGAAATTGTTCCTTGGCCTTGTTTTTTATCCATAAAAAATTCCCCTTCATAAACTTTTCCGTTTGGCCATTCAAATTTGCCATATCCATGCATTTTATTGTCAATCCAACTACCTGTGTACATTTTTCCATCAAACCATTTATAAATTCCTTCACCTTCAATATTATTTTTACGAAATTGTCCTATATAAGTGCTTCCATCAATCCAAGAAATATTTCCATAACCTTGCTTATAGCCATGCTTAAATTCGCCATTATAATCGGTCCCATCTTCACATTTTTCTTTACCATGCCCATGCTGCTTGTCTTTTCTTCAATAACCTTAAACTTAAACTACTTAGAGAAGTCCTTTGGAAGTCAGCAGGCCACTACTAATCTCTGCAATTCTTCACTCCTTGTTGCCATTCTGGACATGGTCTTCCAATGTGTTGGTCCTCACGTACGAGAGCTTGCGCTCGCTACCTGAGAGTCAGAGACACTGAGCCACTGGACTATATGCCAACGGGTTTGCCTTCAGAAAATTCGCAAAAAGAGTTTTATGGATTTTCGACCAAAATGGAAAAGGAGTCCAGGACATAAAACTTTGTATAGCGCTGGGGATTTCCCCAATTGGCCAAGTGACATCCTCTGCCCTGCAGGGTCTTCCCTTTACAACTCCAGCTAACAATATCCCAACGGGGCAAAATCTAGACCTGCGGTTGGCTTGAAAATGCCCTCTACCGAACCTAGTAAAACTTGGCCAGATAAAAATTTCTGGATGCTGTCCTCACTTCCACAAGTCCCCATCTCCAAATGAGCCTACCAGCTAAGTTTTAAGAGGGCATGTCAACCGTCACGCAATTGTAATGTATATGTCTTTTCTTCAATAACCTTCATATGTATTTCCACTAGCAGTTACCAGAATACCCCATCCTTGTTTTTTCCCATCAATAAAATTGCCTAATTCCCTCTTTTAAATTATTACAAAATACTGCTCCAATTTAAGGAGGCTAATTTTTTTTTAAAAAAAATATATTTATTTAATTTTTTATTAATAATATTTTGAATTTTAATATAAAGAATTAATTCAAAAATTTATCAATTCAGTGTGTCAACTAATTAAATAGCATTCTACTTTCATTCCTAGATTAAATTAGATCAAAGTTATCTATATAAAAATAAGTATTTAAAATATAAGAATTTTGTTCCAATTTAAAGTGGCTTAATTTACCTAAAAAAATTATATATTTGTTCCAAAATAAGAGAGGAGCAAGTAGTAATCTTGAGAAGAGTGAATAACTCTGGCATTTCCATTTAGTACCCCATTTTCTCAGTGACCTTCAATTAAGCTTTTATCCGGCAAAGCCATTATGCCGCGGCCATTAGGGATATTTTTAGAGAGTTCTCCGATATAAACTGACCCATCTTTCAGCTTGATTTTCTTTCATTCTCTAATGTTGGGAGGCTCTGATGAAAAATTGAATGGGGGAAGAGAGTTTACGGTAGATAAAACTTCTTGGGAGATAGGAAGATCACCAAAATTTCCTGAAAAAGGAAGAATTAGATCTATAGTAACTTCTGCAGTTGGAGGTTCTTGATTTTTAAGCTTGCGTTTACCTAGGCTATCAATTTCAACATCTAAACCTTTAAACTGATCACCAACGCACTTGCAATTCATGCTGCCCATTTTTTCTCAAAATTTCTTAAATCCAAACTTATGTATTGAAGTTAAATTTAGATATAAATATAAATAAAACTGGTTTGCGTTTTATTATTAAATTGATATATATTAGGATTTATGCAATTTCATTTCTATTATTTTTGAATTTTCCTTTTAATATATAAATTAAGTTTAATTTCAAATCTTTTTTGATTCTTTTGATATTTTGTAATGATTTTATATTCTCTTAAATCATACAGATGAAATCATTTGTAGGTCCCCAGAACCTTAAGGAAAGAAGCAGATACTGCTGTATATATCCAAAAGGTTTAGTGCCTTATCATTTGACAACGTCTGACGTTGTGAAGCGCTCCAGATTTTTTTTTCCTTTCAGAAGAGGTGGCAGAGAATTTCAAATAGGACTCATCATTTGATAAATTAACTTGACACACGCCAAGCCTACCCAGTCCACTCTACTTCAATGCAGTTTAGGAGGATATAGCAGAGGGATCATTTTATTGCCACTATCGTCCCAGATAAATAAGATTAAATGAATGTCTTTTCTTGAATAAAAAGCTGCCAATAATTTAAGTTACCTAAGTAAAGATATTTTATTAATTTTTAATTAGAATGACTTCATATGTAGTCTTTCGCAAATTTCAGAGAGTCTTGAATGAACATATGAAATCTTTACAAGCTATATAATCATTTATACAAAACTCTTTAGATTAGTTCATTTTCAAATAATTTCTTTATATTATTTGTTTTACACTTTGCAGCCTGCTTAAATCATACTATGAAAACAGAAAAATCGTTTATCATATGTAAATTTGATAAAACAAAGGATTTTTGTTTCACAGCTTTATTGATTTTCATTTTTATTTAATTAAATTCAAATAAAATGGATTAAAAAATTATGACTTTTTGCGTTAGATTGCCATTTATAAATTTATTGATTATTCTTAAGTCTTAGTTAAATAATTGGAAAAAAAATTATAGCTTTAGGTTAAATATTTTGGTATGTCTCGATCTACTTAATATTAACAAAACGTTATTATTAATTTCAACTAATTAATTTTATCATAGATCTTAAATATAATACTTAAAATAAATACCATTTTTCAGACAAATATAATTAAAAAAAAAATAACTATATACCAAAAATTTCCAATTCTGTTATTGGTTTCATCTCTAATAATAAAATTAAAAGGTCTGATAAAAAAGTCACACAAATTTGTCTAAATACATCTCTTAAACTTATTAAAGGTCTTAGCTGCTTGCCTGTTAATAACGCTGTCACCAAAGATCCCTAGGGTATTAATCTTCTTTGCAACGACGACAGGGAGAACTTGTTTGGGTTAATGATTCACCTTACTCAAGCACCACCTTTCCTCTTATTTGCCACCTAACTCCATCGCACCTGTAGAAATAGGGTTCTGTGTCTCCATCTCCTCTTTGCCTTGCCGACTCCAGTGTTGAGAGGGAAGGCTATGGACTTTACGATTGCTGCTTGGTTACATGAAGATTGTCCACACAAAAAAATCCCAAAAAATTAAATTTCTTATCGTCTTTCGTAAAAAGGAAAAATATAAAGCCCGAGGAGTAACTCTTAGTTTCACACTAGGAAATTGCCCAAATGGTCTAGTCGTTGCCTGTAGACGCTGCTGAGCTTCCTATTTCAAACTCTGAACCCTCCTTGCCCTCGAGGTAAAATCCAATCCTAAAAGCGCTCAGTGCATACCCGAATTGTTTACCTAGCATAGCTGTCCATTTCTGGGTTGGCAAAACCTTGCTAGATATAAATAATGGGCTTGGTGCTGCATGCTGAGAGTAATACCAGGGCCGAAACGCCATTTTATTTATCCTCTAAATTCATCTCAAAATTTAATTTTTGCTCGGATATTAATACCAAGATTGTTCTTATCAAAGTAATTTTATTCAAGAATAAAGTAAAACTTCATAAGTTTCATAATATTTAATAATGGGAAAAAAAGCTTTTATTAGCAGACATATAGTTGCATTTACCAATTCAGCAAATCGATCTCATAAACCAATATTTGGGATAATTTTGGTTTTAGATGAGATAATTTTTGATGTAATTCCTTTGGATAAAAACAGAAATAAAATGGCAGGCTGATGGAAAAAGGACTCCGCACTCACTTCTATGGAGCAGATAGGGCCAATCCTGATGAAGTTGAAAGCATTGCTCTACACTTTTGAAGCAGGACTTCAAGTTTGGAGATGCCTTTCCGAATAGGGAAGTTTTATTTCTCCCCTAGCGTTTGCATGTCCCTCCTATAGATCCTCCTAGATGGAATAGACAGGCTTTGCCTCCTACTTATTCTTTGTCTATAGGACTAACGGGTATCCATAAAATGTGACTCTAACCTAGAGAGCTAAGCTTTAGACTAAAGCTAGTTTACACCAGATAGTCAGGCAAGTGGTCAATCCGCTTTTGGCCTAATAGCACTTATCTTAACTTAAATTTTGGATAAAGAAATTTCAGTAACTACTATAATTGAAAAATATTATGACTGAAATCCTGTTAATTGTGAAGATTTATATATTTCTCCTGGAATAATTGATTTAAATGTTCGTAGAGAATGGGAAGATTACACTCATTTAACTAAAGCAGCAGCATCAGGAGGTGTAACTTTGCTATTGGAAGAAGTTGGCTATTATGTTAACCAACCTTCATCAGGAGAGCTTTATTGCGATGTTGGCAGTATAGCCACATTAGAGGCGACAAATGCTGAGCGATTATCGACTCTTCCAGCGCAAGGCGTTTTTGGAGTAAAGGGCTATCTTTTTCCTCCTAGCTCTGCAATCCAATCTGTTCCTCAAGATTTAAATGCATTTTTGTCTGAAATAGAGGAAAGCCAGCTAGCTTTATTCATTGATCCTACTTGACCGAACCCAAGAATGCTTTATAATGCGTCTCCTAACAGATTGACTTCACTGGAAGAAAGGTTTGAATCCAAGAGCATTGACTCAACTAAATCACTCAATAATAAAAGTCTTTTTATTATCATTTGCTGCACATATTTCTTACTGTGGTAGGGATGTGGAAAATTTTCCCACATGTCAAAAAAAATTCCGTATGTGAAGTCTTAAATAAATGCAGGCTTCACATGTGGAATATTTTTTGGGTTGTGAGGAAATTTCCCTCATGCCTTGTACAGTAAGAAATATATGCAACAGATTATATTAGATTTATATTAAAATTAAAAATATTTAATTAGAGAGAATAAAATAAAATCAAATATTCCTTTAAAATGTAAAATTTTTTCCATCAGTAAAAATATCAAAAATTATAAATTCAAATAAGCCTTTGCTTATTGAAATTATTAATAAAATATTTAATAGGCAATCTTTTATAAATTAAGAGGAGTAAGTCTTTTGCAGCCGCGTTCCCTGATACAATTGAATCTGACAGCTCAGGTGAAGAGCAGCCTGAAGAAAATCCAGCTAAATTTAAAAGGCAAAATAATAAAGCAAAAACTTTAAAACCTGTCATAAATCAGTCGATTTCTCCAGATAGTCTAGTCGAAAAAGATGTGGAGTATGTAAGATATTTACCAATTCCGATTATCCCTGAAGAAGAAGATGATGACATTAAACCCAATGCAAATTGGTTTAATAGGAGAAATAGTCGCACGATCTTTGACGATTTAAATAAAAGAATTAGAGAAAGCCAAGCAAATATTGAAAACCTGAGCAAGGCTGAACAATCTACTTACGAGCATTCTGGCTCAACTAGCTATTCCTCTCCTTCTATATCTCCTTCTGCACATGAAGGGTTTTGTGAATTATTATTGAAAAATGAAGTTCCTATCCAAGAATCATAGACATTAAAATGGCGGCACGTGTCAAGCTGCCCTCTTGGCATAACAATCCAGATCCTATGGCCACGGTGAACTGGGATGCACTCCGAGTCAAGAATATGGTGCAGGCTCAAGAGATGTGCAACCGAGTAGGCTTTGGCTGCTTTCCTGTGTGTGCTCATCAACGTTCTTTTAGATCAGAGGGCACATGGGTATTCCTCTACCGAGAAATTGGGGGTTTCGATCCAGGCCACAGTAGCCTTTTCCCTGTAGCTGTTGAAGAAAGCACCTTGCAGACTCCAAGGATTCTTGGGATCAAGCTAATTAAAGCGCTGCGGAAATTCATAAGCCGCTCAAGACTGAAGCTGCAAGGAAAAGACAGAAGGTACGGAAGCGGCATCCAACTTGGGGGGAACGACCCTCTCGGCTGAAGTTGAAAAGCGGAAAGCCTCCCATATGGGAGGTCTTTAGTGACTGCTCCGCCAATATGGTTAACGCTCTATTTTAATAGCCTAAAAAAACCTAATCAAGAATCTGATTCAAATCCTTCAATTGCTCCAACCTCAAAACCTGCAAATGTATATCAAGCAAGAATATCTAAATTCAGGCCTCCCATATTATCAATAAAAACTGAAGAAAAAAGCTCCAAAGAGCGCATTTACTTGTATCATCTTGCAAATTTTCCTGACAATTGGGAAATAAGTGGAGTCGAAAAAATTATCCAAAGCATGAAAAAGTCTACATGCAGAATCCACATTACTAATTTATCATCTGCCGCTGCACTCAATAGAGTTAGACAAGCAAAAGAAGAGTTCAAAAACTTGACATGCGAAATATCTGCAACTTCTTTATGCTTTACAAGTGCGTCAATAAAAGATGGAGATACAAGGTTCAAGAATGCACCTCCAATTAGGACTCAGACTAATTTAATGCTATTGTGGGACTTATTGAAAATGAAAGGAATTGATTCCATTGCATCCAGCCATGCTTCTATTAAGCCAGAATTAAAAGCATTAGACTCAGGAAATTTCCAAAAAGCATTGAATGGGATATGCTCATTAGGGTTTGCTTTGCAGGCTGTATGGACAATGCTGAACGCTCCTGCAAATTCTATGTCGCAGCTTGAGCATTATATTGTGAGACTAGCTAAATGATTCAGCCTGCATCCTGCAAAAATATTGAATATTAGTGACAGTAGAGGGAGCATTGAGAAAGGAAAAATCGCTGATTTGCTGATATGGGATCCATATAGTAGAGCAACAATAAGTGATGTCCATTCGCAGTATCCTGAAGTTTCGCCATTTATAGGAATGGACTTTATGGGAAAAATACAGAGCGTTTATGTGAGAGGTAAATGCGCTTTTCATGATGGGGTGTTTAAAGCAAAAGGAAAAAAGGTTATGAAATCAATCTAATGAGAAAGAATTAGATAGAATAATAAATAATATTAGGAAGCAATTTAGCTTTTTCAATCATTTTGTTATGAAATTAATTTTTTGAAACAGAAACTACAGTAAAAATTTTATGAATAATTAAATTCCAGCAAAATTAATTGAAATCCTATCTCTCCTTCAAATTTGTAAATATCGAAATAAAAATTAATCTTATTTATAAAGCTTATATTTAAGCCAAATTTTTAATATAGTAGTAGTTTTTTAATATTTTGCTCGTTAATATAGAGGAGTAAGTGAGGAAAATTATATCTCACTTAAGATTGATTGCTCTATCTGGGATGCCAAATAACTTATGCAAACTTCTATTTGTGCATCACCTTACTTATTTCCACCCTCTCTGTGAGTGAGCAAAACATTATATTTTTGGAAAAAATCCTCATTGAGTGGTATATAAAAGTTTTATAAAAAAATTATAATATATAAATGATATTTATTGTAATAAAATCTCTAGCTATTCCTGTATTTTCAACAATTAGCTTTTTAAAACATTAATTTTACAAATTGATTAATAATTTTTAGCTTCCAATTTTGCAAAATAGAAACTTTTAAATTATAAAAAATAGCCCCCTCGTGAAGGAGCGAAATTTTTTGCCCACTCACAGATGAGGGAGTTAGTTATTTAGTGTTTAACGTGTCGTTTGGTTTCCAATGATATTATTTCAACCTATCCTTTTAACTTCGAGCCCTTGACGCCGCCATTCTTTACCCATATTTTTATATAAGAAACAACAGATAGCGATCTTAACGCTCATACCACTTGCTGGCCACTAGACATCACAGGATGGGTTGCCTAGCTCTGTGCCTTATTACTGCTACGAAGGTTCTATCTAAAGTTTCCCTCCCAAGTGTTGGCAGTAAAAATCCTATTCAACGTCAGCCGCCCCAACCTATATGCTAGAGTGTTCCTAGACTACTGGAGAAGAACCACTCAAAACTGAACCCAATAATAATATAGCTAGAAATAGAAAAATTCAAGAAGAGACTTATTTCGATGCTATTTTATTATTATCATCTACTTGCGCATCATCTGTTGGGCAATCATCATCGCACTCGTTCTGTATTACATTTTCTCTTATATCTAAATCAGAAACTATATCAGCTTCTTTATAGCATCTGAAATATTCAGATACCATTAAGTCAGGGTCTAACAGCTCTATCTGCATTGTATCAATTGTTTTTGTGTCTTCTTTACACTTTTTACCTACACTCATTAGTGTGTCTTCTCTGGATCTTTTGCCAAATACTGGAGTCATTAACAGAGAAAAGCTCTCTTCTAATCCTGTTTGCTCAAAACTCAGATTTTTTTTGACTGAGGAGTCTAAGATACTTGCCTGAGAAGATTGAGCTGTATAGCAAATGTGTGGGCTTGGCGTCCCTGGAACAAATAAATCCTTTTTGGAAGTCAAGTTTTTTGAACTGTGTTCTAGGTGTTCTTCAAGATCCCGCGCTGAGGATAAAGAAACTGCTCTTGTGGTTACATTGGATTCTAATAAGCGATATGCTTTAAACATTGGCTTTCTGTAATGAGTTTCAGATGCTCTGGGTCCTTTCTGCTTTTGTGGCAAATTGGTGCAATCTTTGAGTGCATGTGACATTTATTTATATAGTGAGATATCATATTTGGTTATAGCTAAATCTTACTACACTTACCTTGATTAGAGAGCAGAAGCCATTTAAAAAATAGGAAAATAAACTCTCGCTAGTTAGGAAAAATTTTAGTTAATTCTACTAATATTTTAAACAGCTCAATTCCTAAAGCATAAATATTATAAATATTATAAATTGAAATAATTCTCCTTTTCAAATTTTGAATATTTAAATTCGAAAATTTGTTTTTAATATTTAATAAAAAATTTAAATCACCTCAGTATCAAGCAAAATAAATCTTCTATCCAATAGGATTAGTAGATTTTAAAAATAAAATTAAGCCAAAAATTTGAATAATGTGACTAAATTGAATTTAATCTAAAATGTCAAAAATAAAACTTGATGATATAGTAAACTTCAGGTTTAAAGTTCGAGTTAAAGCAAGTTTGATTATAAGGCAATACAAATTTAATAATCACTAAAATAATTATTAGCCTTAGCTATACACTAGTTTGTTTTCGGTATCTTCTGTACCAATCCTACTTTTAAAAAATGGCAAATGGTGAATAGGTCTAGGGTAATTTGTGTGAGCTGATATCAGCCCCAAGTAGTGGATGCCATTCTTTTAGAAGTCTGGGTGACCTAGCCTGGCCAGGAAACCATGACAGGCTTTTTATCCCGTCCCAAGACGACGAAATCCAAAGCGCAGAGTTGGTTTGCACTTCTGGAAAGCAATATGTCTCTATAAAAGCAAGGTAGTTCAAAATTAGGCTTTGGGCACTTCCCTGTGCTCTAGCATATCAGAAGTAAGAGAGTTCGTGCCATATAGCTAGGCCCAAGCATTTTCAGGTGAGTCTCCCAGAGAGGCTGGTGACGTCGACAATAAAAGGGGCTGGTGTGTGACATCAGACTTAGGGCTACCTTGGGCCTGAAGCCGGCTAGTACGGAAAAATGCTGAAATATGCGCACCCGTTATAATTAAACTAATCTTAATATGTACCAAATTCTTGTCTTTGTTTCATCAATACTTTTTAAAGCGGTAGAAAACCTTCTTGAAATATAAAGCATATTTTGGTTGACTGGCTGGAGTACAATTGGTTTATATATTGTACTCCTCTTAACAATTCTCACCTCTTTATCTCGTGAACTGTGTGCACACCCCATTAGAATATTAATTTAAATTTTGAGGATTTAACGAATTTAATCCATAAATTGCAAAAATGAAAGGAAAATTATCATTTTATAACTAAAATACCTTAAAAGAATATGCAGCATTTTTTCCTTTTTTCGGTTTCTTCAGGTATTGGAAGCTCTATTCCAATATCGCTAATACCTATGTCACAGTTTCTTTCTTTATTTCGTTTTCATAGCAATCTTACTAACTGATAAAACGCTTCTTTCACGTTTGTGTTAAACTTAGCTGAAGTTTCATAGCAAGCAGCATATTTAAACGATTCAATATATGCTGAGACTGCACCTTTTTCTATATAGCCTAGGAACCGATAGAGATTGGCCTGGGCAGGGAGAATGCTGACTCCCCTACCCTCCATGAACGAACAAAATCATGGGAAAATCCTTATTTTTTGCCTAAAAGCAACCCTCAGTGAGCGAACAAAAAATTTTTTATGAAAAACATTTGCTATATAAGTAATAATCTTTATAATGAAATCTATTGCTAATTCTGTTTAATTTTAAACAGCTTGCATTTAAAATATAAATTTTACATTTTAAATTGGGGATATTTTTAAATTTTGAAAAAAATTAACACCCTCCTTAAGTGAACAAACTTATTTTGTTCGCTAACTGAGGGGGAGTGAGCAATTCCCTAAGTTGATTCTCAAATAAAGTTGACGAGCAAGCACGGAAGTTGACAAATGCCTCACATTGCACCTATTTGTCAACTTCCCAGGTTGGTTCGTCAGCTTGAGTTGGAGAACCAATTCAGGGATTGCTCAGATTTCTCAAGCCCAGGCCGAAATATATCATTTCCTAGGCTATACAGATTTCTTTCTCTAAATCTGATTTGTTTCCTACAAAGATGATAGGTGTATTTGCTCCTCTTGTGTTAAAAATAAAAGTCGCAATACTGCAAACTTTTTCAAGAGTTGAAGCATCTGTCAATGAATAAACAAGAAGATAAGCTTCTCTTTCTTGCAAATAAATATCCAATAAGTGAGAAAAATCTTCTTGGCCTGCTGTATCTAATATTTCGAGTCTAACTGCAAATCCGTCGAGTTCAAAAGTCGTTGTGTATTGGTCCTCAATTGTTGGGTCTCAGTTGTCTTCAAATCTGTCTTGAGTGAAGCGCAAGACAAGGTCGCTTTTTCCAACACCGCCAGCTCCAAGCACAGCTATTTTATAGAAGAATGACATGAACAGGAGTGCGATAAGAAATGAATAATTATTATCTTTACTAGGAGTTTTTTATTTTTTTAAGAAATTTAAACTAAATTATACCTTTGAAAAAAATCCTTGCACTTCGTCAAGCTTGTTGTTGATAAGCCAAAGCACACGATCAATAATTTCTGACTGGGAAGAGGTTTCTTGAATATCTTTTTCATGCATTGATTTTTCGCTATCACACATCCCTTGCTTTTGCTCAATTAACTTTGGAATGTCAGTAATTCTTCTAGTAGCCTCATCATAAGCAGACTTTGCGTCTTTGACTTTGGCTTTCCAGTCTTGAACCTCTAAAGTGAAGTCTTCAACATCTTTTTTAAGCTTAATTGCTTCTTCATCCAAGGCTTGAAAATATTCATCATAGGCAGATTTAGCAAGCTTATTGCTTTCTTGAAATTCAAATTTAGAATTTTTTATATGATCCCTAAGATTTTCTAATAGTGCTATGGATCTTGCTAAAGTTTTTTGGTCTTTAGCATTTTTTCCAAGCTCTATTAAAACTTTGAAAAGAGGAACATTTGCAGGAGAAGCAACAGCCATACTTTGAATCTGTGAATCAACTTGTAGCATGACAGGGCTTTGCAAAAATGTTCCTGGAGTTTGACTGTTTAAGCAATTAATGGCGTCATCACATGCAGAAATTGCTTGATTATACTCCTCGAGCAGCTTTTCTTGGTTTTCTAAGTCGTCTTTCTTATAAGATTCAATATCAACAGAGTTTGCTTGTATCATATTTAGTTCTTTATTTCTTTGGCTCAATAAAGCAGACCATTGATCTAACGGCTTTTGCCATTCTTCAAGCGAGTTGCGTGCTTTACTTAAATCAATTTTAGCACTTGCGACATATGATAAATACTGATTTATTGCATCATCGCACTCAGCCTTGAGTGTTGAAAGCTTGTCTTCAGCGTCTCTTCCTTGCTCATTAAGAGATTGCTTGAATCCTGAAAGTACTTTGATAGTGACATCAGTATTATCTGATTTTACAGACAATTCTATTGCGTTCAATACAGATTTACCAAATTCGCTTGATTTTAAGTCTTCTAGTTTGATATATTCTCCATATGCTAGCTCTCACCCGCTCCGTGAACAAAACCATTGGAAAAATCGCTATTTTTTGGGTAAAACTCTACCCTCTGTGATCGAACAAAAAATATTCAAGAAAAAAATATTTTTATATATAAGTGATAATTATTATAATGAAATCTCTAGCTTATTTGGTTTAATTTTAAACAGTTTTCATTTTAAAACATAAATTTTTATTAATAAAATTAATATTTGCTTTAAAATTATTTCGTATTGGGATTTTTTAAATTTTAAAAAATGAAATTTACTATAAAACTTATATATAAATTTTAAAAAACAAAAAATTAACCCTCTTCCTCTCTCATAAGCGAACAAAATTTGCTTCGTTTGCTTACTAATGGGGAGTAAGAGAATAAAAGCCAGCCCAATAATAGTTCTCATTTTTTAAATTAAAAATTAACGGAATCCATGGCATGAAAGCAATGAGAATTAATTTGAATTAATGCCTGCCGAAATGCTCTCTAATAAACTTGTTTACAGCGTCTACCCATTTCTGAGGGTCTCCAATGATTTCTTTGAAAAAATAAGTTCTGCTGGGTGTAATGATTACAAAATCTTTATCGCCTCTTATTTCTGCTCTAACATCGGCTGAAAGTGGGACGTCTCCTTTATAATTGTTGTCTATATCACTATAAAGAATTCTCGGTTGATTTGTGATAGTAACGATGACCCCCCCCTCAATCTTCATGTCTATTGCAACAAAAATGCAATTTTTTAATATAAAATTTTATATAAAAAAAATAATAATTTTCATGTCTCTTGCAACAAATTATATATATATTAAAATGGCGACACGTGTCAGCCTGCCCTCTTGGCGCAGCTTTCCAGACCTTATGGCTAATGCGAACTGGGACGGACCCCGAACCGAGAATCAGACGCAGACTCAAGAAGTGTATATCCGGGCAGGTTTTGGCTGCTTTCCTGTGGTTGAAATAGATTAGCTCAACAACGTCCTTTTGATCCGAGGACCCATGGGCATTCCTCTACCGAGAAACTGGGGTTTTTGCCCAGGCCACAGGGGAACAGTCTTTTTCGTGTAGCTGTAGAAGGAAGGTACTTTGACACCCGATAGACTCTAAGGAGCTGATCCTTGGAATCAAGCTACTCCAATTGCCCGTAGCAGGGACGCAGAAATCCATAAGCCGCCCACTCAAGACTGAAGCCGCAAGGCAAGGAGGAGACAGAAGGTACCGGAAGGGCACTCGTAAGAGGAATAGACCCTCTGGGCTGGAATCGAAAAGCGGTAGAACTATCTGTACGGGAGGTCTTTGGTGACTGTGTCACCAATATGGCTAGCGCCTCTCTGTAATAATCCTCTTGCAGCAAATTTTAGATGCGCATCTTAAATTTTTCTATACTTTTTAGCTAGATAAGTTTAATAAAATGGCGAGCAATGACAATAGCCGTCCAAATCTCGATGAGAAGGTCATTGACACGCCTACAGCAGCGCTGTTTTATGGGGTTTTTGAGAAACTCTTCTAGAGAAAAATGCATTAATTTTTTTTTATAAAAATGTTGTGTTGCAGTAGGCATGAAAATTTTTTCGAAAAATTTTTGTTGCAGTAGACATGAAGATTGAGGGGGGGTCATCGTTAAGTTGCCTTTTCTTATAAATCCAGCCAGCTTTTTTCTTGACTAGTCCAGTCATGACAACCCCACGATCTTTATTTTCTCTATTTAATAGCTGAACTTCTAGCTCGTCATCTGAAGAATCTCTAGCTTTATCAGGCATATTATCACATGGGATAGGAGTTGTGAATATATTGGCTATATCGATAGAGTTGATAAATGGGTGACTTTTCAAAGCGTCCATATCATTAGCCTCCCCAGGATTTCCAGCCCCAAGTCTACCTTTTGGGTCTAATACTAGCAGTTTATTGACTAAGTCAGCTGCATCATAGGGCATAGTGTCTGGATAATTTACCCTGTTTTCCTTTATTTGTTCAAATATTAAATAATCGTTCATTGCTTGGAATGGAGGTCTGCCGTTTACCAATTGATATATGATGCATCCTAAAGCCCAAAGATCAGCTTCTCTTCCGACTTCTTGATCTAGAAGAACTTCAGGAGACACATATTCTGCAGTTCCTACGAAGGTGCCTCTTCTTTCGCGATTGATTTCTGTCCCATCTGGGTCTGGATTGATTTCTTTCCCAGTGCCAAAATCACTAACTCCCAAATGTTAACGAACGAGCCATTAGAAAATCCCTACTTTTTCAGAAAATTAACTCCCTAATAATTAATAATTATGATAATGAGATCTCCAGCTAATTCTATTAAATTTGAAAAATTTTTTTTATTTCAAATATTTGCAAATCGAATATATTTCTTTAAATCTTAGCAAGCAAAAATAAATGCTTTCTAATCAGGGGTAGTAAGTTTTAGATGAAAATCTTGAGAAAGTAGGAGATTTTCTGGCTTCAGGTCTCTGTGGATTATTCCTCTTTGATGAAGTAAATCTAATATAACGGTAAGTTCTGCCGAATAAAATCTCGCTAACTCTAATGGAAATCGCCCTTCAAAACTATTCATCAAATCCATCAAATCGCCATTTGGGCAGTATTCCAATACAAAATACAGATTCTCTGGGTCTTGAAAAGTATGGTGAAGTCTGACTGTTCCTGGATGGTCTCTGAGTTTTGCTAATATGTTTCTCTCAATCAAAGCTTGTCTCGCTTTATTTTCTTTTTTTAAATGAGCCTTTTCTATAATTTTCACTGCAAATGTCTCCCCAGTTTCTTTTCTGACTGCTTTAGCAACACGTCCATAAGCTCCTCTCCCTAAAATTTCGACAAATTGAAAATCACGAGGCTCTAACTTTCTTGCTTCAACCATTTATAAGAGATTTTGTGACTGCTTTTAGAGATTATTTATAAGAATTTAAATAGCTTCCATTGGGTAAATTTGTGAAATCATTCCCAAGCCTTTTGTTCGGCCTTCTCTAAATAGAATAGTCATTTTTGGGTGGATGAGTTCAGGGTTAAACATAAATCTGAAGTGAATCAGCCCTTTGTCTCCAGTCCTGAGCAGCTCTTTTGTCATACTAACTACTTTGGCAGCTTGCCTAACAACTCCACAGTGGATAACCGGCTGATAATTTGGTCTGATGGTAGTTGCATGATGCAAGATCACGACTTCAGCGTCAAACTCCCAGGCAGTTTGCATGCATAGACTTTTGTCAACAAGCACCATTCCCTTCTTTATTTGGTTTCTTTTTAGTTGTTCTTTCTTATTGACTGGCCGGATATTGAAGCAAACCGATTGTCCTGCAATAGCATTGTCGACTGGAACTCGATTCATATGAATTCCTCTGATAACCACATGCTTATAGTTTCCTGTTTTATCTGGTCCAAGCATGATTTGCTGATTTAGCTCAGCAGTTCCAGATTTTACGATTCCAGAAAGCACACAACCTACACCGGTTACCATATATATTGATCTTTAATAACATGTTTGCAGTCAATAAAACAACTAGCTATTTTTCATTATAAATAGAAGCAAGCACATAAGCATGTAACCGTAAATATAATCCAAAATGCTATATACCCCATCAACCAAAAATTCAAAGGGCTCCTCTCTGCTTCCAAACACCCCACTGAGTAAAGTTCGAGACTGCAATGAAAAAATGAATTGTCTCAACTTTGGGATTCCTTCCCCAGTCACATTAGATACTGTAAAAATTGGGCATGCTCTAGCTTCCATCATATTACAGAGATCAGAAACGTCAGTATCTTCTTTAACATAAATTGGAAGTCTGCTCCCTGCAGCTGGGTTTGTTAGAACTTTATGCAACAAGTTGATATTTTCTTTGTAAACATTTTCTGGAGCTATGTCAATTTTTGTGAATACAAAAAACATTGGGATTTTTAAAGCCAAAGCAAGGCCTATATGCTCTTTTGTCATGCGTGTTAAACCCATGTTGGCACCTACTACAATCATAGCATAGTCAGGGAGAAGACCAACTAGGCCAAAAATAGTGGTTTTCAAATATTTCTCGTGGCCACAAAGATCGAGGAAGGTGACTATGTGTACTGAGTGGTCAACAATGTAGCCTCATGTGCGATTTTTGGAATCAGTCAGCCTTTCGGGGGCAACTTGTGAGCCTTCTTGGGTGAATCCCATGATTTCATGAGAAATGCTTGATGTACGGCCATTAGCTTGCTCGTGAGAATAGTTAAATACATAACTTCTTGCAGAACCTCGACCATCATCATTGATGCATCTTGTAAGCACACCTACTAATGTAGATTTCCCCGAGTCTACGTTTCCTATGACAGCCACACGAACATCTGTGTCAGGTTTATTGTTAGTCCTTATGGGCTGGTTTTCGTTAGTAGGATCTTTTGTTTCTTCTAGAGAAGGATCAGGATTGTTTGCTTCCATAATAAAAAATAATATCAGATTAATATCATTTTTTGGAGCTAAAGAAAAAAAAACATCTTCTTATACGATATAATTTAAATTATAGGGCTAATGCACTAGTTTTTAAATCAACACTTATTTTTTAAAATTTTTATTTGATTACAAAGAATCTTTATTGATTTTGATTCTTTTTCTCGTAAGATAGCCTCTGATCCACGCTTGCAAAAACACAATGGCTCCTAGGATGTTTTTATAGATTGATCTGCAAATAAACTTTCTTATATGCTTTTGGATTAAAATAGCTGCATTCACCTGAGGATTATTCTCTTCTCCATTAATTTTCTTTTTTTCTGTATTTTTATTAGCATAATCACTATTCTTATTTCCTTCGTAAAGGCCTGAAATACTTTTATCATGGTTTTTCCTTATCAAATCGAATCCTGCTATTTCACTAACTGAAATTGGGCTTCCTTTATCAGGCATATTCATAGCTCTGCTTGGTGGGTGCACAATCCTTACAGTTTTCTTCGATTTTATTCTCAACGCTTCATTGTTTCTAATCCTGAAACCTCTAAAAGCAGCCTGAATTTTAATAGCAGCCTGATTTCTTTGGTAAAGCAAGGTATCAATAGAATATCTTGAGAATGTGCTATCAGTCCGATTTTCTTCATTTATATCCCTTAAAGGCTTCACGAGGTTATTAAAATCATCAAGTCTATTTTGCAGCTTTGTAATATGGTCGCCAATGTTTCTTAAAGCCTCCTTCATTGGTCTTTTTTGTAGAGGAGCAGTCGAAATTCTTTTGTTCTCTATATTACTTTTGTTAAGTCTTGACGCTGGAGGATCATGGCTTATTGTGGTGTTTAAGAATAATGAATGCTTATAATCATGATTAAACATAGGCTGTAGCCTATCTCCAGTTAAAAATCTCACATTGATGATATCAATTGGATGGTTTGGATCTAGCGCAGCTTTTACTCTAGACACGTCCACACTCATATTTTTCTTATGAGAGATTCCGTAATCTTGGCTAGGCTGAGATTTTCTTCTTATTGTATGATATTTTATTTTAGGCAACCGACTTTCAGGCAAAGTCGTATTTAAATTTCTTCCTTCATTTCTGCTTATTTTCTGCGGCGGAGGAATTTTATTGCTAGTTCTAAAGTCTTGTCTAGCCGTTTGTCGTGCAGTCTCGTTTAATGATTTTTCTGTAGCATCTGTAAAGCTTTTGCTCATTGATGTTGTTAGAGGGTGCTTCATTCCCAAACAGTCCAATGATGTTTCTCATGCTGCTTTATAGCAGTCCACCGCATTTTGTATTTTATTCATAAATTCGTATTGAACACCAGCATTGTGGTATGCGATCACCAAAGTAGTTATTTGGTTTTCAGAATTTTCGATGTTGTTTTTTAATAATTCCAATGCTTTTTTAGCTTCTGCTAAAGCAAGATCATGCTTGCCTAAATCAGAGTAGATAGCACATATATTTAGATATGTGCCTGCTAGATTGATCCGGTCAATTGGCTCGAGCTTCTCATATTGTGAAGCCTGCTTTAAGTACTTTAAAGCTGTGATTGGTCTTTTCATCCTTTTATAAATGCATCCGTAGTTATTAAGCGTTATAGCAAGCAACTTGCTGAAAGGCTGCGAGTCTGCTAACGATGAAAGTAACGACTCAGCTTCTTTCAATACTTTAATTGATTGGCCGAATTTTTCTTCACTAAGCTGATTCATTGCTTGACGGTTCAGATTTAGAATTCGTTTCTCAAGCTGTGCTAGTTCGGCTGCAGAAATCTCCATTTAAATATAAAAACTAAAATTTTTGTTTTGGCTTGATTTTTCACATGCATTTAATATTTAATAAAAATAAAAAATTTGCCTGGATAAATAAGCTGCTTATTTAGCTTTAGGTTTGTTCTTTGGATTTGATTCGTATAAGAACCTAATAATATCTTTTCTTTCAGCCTCATTTTTAACACCAGCAAAAGCCATAGAGTTTCCTGCTGCGAATCCTCCTGGGTTTTCAAGCCAAACGTTGAGGTTTTCGGCATTCCAAGTTTCTGCTTTGTGACCTCCTAAGGCTGCTGAGAATTTGAATCCTTTGATAGTGGCGATCTTTCTTCCCCATACTGATTGGAGATTAGGTCCTATCGCATGCTTTCCTCCAGCAGCTACACTGTGGCAATTTTGGCAATTTCTTATAAAGATCTTTTTCCCGTTTGCTGCATTCCCTTCTGGGCCTTCTTCAGACATTATAATTTTATTTACGGCTATAATTTCACAATTAATCATGGTGCACTTTTATTGATACCTTTAATATTTTTTGAAAAAACTCGGCTGTAGCTTTTCTTATATAATTAAATTATGCAAAAATGCCTAAGATTATCCTAAATTAATAAATCTGACAGATAATAAGTATTTCTCACTCCTTCCTCTATAAGTGAGCAAAAAAGTTCTAAAAATTCTAGTTTTTAAGAAATAAATTCTTCTTCTCTTGAACAGGTAAAACTTTTAATGTATATGTATAGGAGTTAGCAATAATATCGAAAAAACATTTAAAGCCTTTAACTGAATGATAAATTCATGATTTGAATATCTTGACAATTAAAATGTGAAAAATGGCTCTAGATGCCAAAATTGCAGCTTTTATAACAGAAATAGTTCAAACTGAGTCAAAAGAAGAGCAACCTGTTCAGATACTTAATAAGTCAGACTACTACACACATAAATTAGAAACTGAAAAAAGAAAAGGAGAAGGTCTTGATGATAAAATCAGAAGAATAAGAGAAAAAATTGCAAGAAGACAAGAAGAAATGAAAAACACAATAGGGTGGAAGAAGGAAGAGCACAAAGCATTTAACAAAGTCAATTCTTTAGAAACGCAGCTTGAGCATACAAAAATAAGACTCAGTCAGTTAAAAAGTGACAATGAACATCTGAGAGAGCAAATTCAATTAATAAGAAGAAACAATATGGGCGCTGCTCGAGAAACCAGGAACATTTCTTTTGAAATTATGAAATCTAGAAACTTAGCGGAATCGTTTAATGGTAATTCAGTCAGAAACAAAAGCTTGATTCTAAGCACTAGAAACAAAGCTCAAAGACTAAACCAAAGATTCAAGGCTGACCAATCTGAAATGAGCTTTACAGAGTCAAGGTTAGAAGATGAGCTGCAGGAAAGATCCAAATCTATTTCACCAATGCCTTTACAAAGAGCAAGAACGCCTTTCCACGAGATTTCGGATCATTTAAAGGTTCTTAAATTCTTGAGTAGAAAATGGACAAGAAAAGTGGGAGAGAAAACTGAATTAATCAAAGATTATGATCAACAGCTCAAGGAATATAGTCTAGCGTTGACTGCTATGGGCGCCTCAATTTGCTCTAAATAAAATTAAATTAAAAGATTAAATTAGCCATAAGCTGGCAAGCCCACTAGCCTTTACCTCGGTTCGGCTCCAAGAATAGCCGCTTCCATTAATCTTGGTGCTCGAATAAGAAAAATGAAGGTTGCCCTTTTGGATTTTCGGCCTGAACCGCCTATTCAAGGGATCAACTCCCTAGGGCAGAGCCGCCCCTGTAGAGTGTCCCAATGATCCAGACATGCGATAGGAAAAAACCTGTCTAGCCCAACTGCCAGGGCAAAAAAAAACTTGGGGAGAGCAAAGCTAACCTCTTCACCAAGTCATCCCTAAGCCTGGAAGGTCTACTTCAAAAAAGGGACAGAGGCTCTATTTTCAGCTTAATCAAGATTGGTCCTACCTTCTCCATAGGAGTGTGCCTCGGATTCTAATTTCTATAAATGTCACCATTTATTTCTAATTTGCTCAAGGAACGTTAAAGAAATCGCCAAAGCAAACTTGAATAGTTATGAACAAGAAATTATGCTAAGATGCAATTTGCTTCAACTTAATGAACAAAATGAAGTTTTTGAGCATGAACTTGGAAATATTCATGAAAAAATCCAGTACGTAAAAAATGCTGCACTAAATATAGATACAGGCAAAAGCGATTTTCTAGCAAAAAAGCAAGCTGAGTTATCTAACTTGAAAAACAAAATTCAGCAATGTGGGTCAAAGTATGTATCAATAGAAGATGACTTTAAGTATCTGTCAAAAGCTGTACTTGAAATGCTTAAAAAATTGCAAAGCCTGGGAATTCAAGCTTTTTCTCAAAAGTTTTTAGAAGATCCTGAGCTAACCTACACAAACATAATATTGCACTTGAGCAAACTTGAGGAAGTTCTATATGTGTTTGGGTCATCTTATAACTCTTCTCGAGAGGAGAATCGCTATAGATTTACTCCAGAGCCAGGATCTTATGTTTCAGTTACTCCTCAAGGGTATTCAAGAGTTCATACTAATATATGTGAATTAGAGATTGATTTGTCTGACTATGAAGAACATTCTCAGCCACTGACAGTATCTGAATTCAGGCAAAAAGCACTATCTCAATTAAATCTTTATTAAATGTAATTTTATTATATTATAGTTCGATAGGATGACTGGAACGGGGGCTTTTTTGGCTTGCGGCAATCCAAAAAAGCCCCGTTCCAGTCATCCTATCGAACTATATTTTTAATTTAAAAGATGCATTAAGATTAATTAAAATTACAAAATTCAAGTGTATTTTTCTTAAGCGGATTACTTAGAAATTTATTGGAATAAAATTTATGTTATACTTGGAATTGATATAATATAATATCTGCTAGTTTCAATCTATTTTTATCTATCATTATTATGCTATTGGCATAAGAAAAACTTAGTTGATATTTCTTGACTTCAATTTTGAATATTGAGAAATTATAATCCTAATTTATTATTTGCAAAAAAAATTAGAATCCATTTGTTTCACATTATTTAAGATTTTTTGATTTTTTGAAAAAATGAAAATAGCCAACATGTAAAAATGTCAATTTTATCCCTATATACTGAAATAATAATTATTAATAGTACCCATATCTTTTATTTTTGCAAAAATTCAATGCATACTTATTCATGTCCTGCAAATATCTTAGCTAATTTATTGAATTTTAAGCAAGTTTATTCTAAAAAATAGATTTTGCAATTTAAATAGAAGATGCAAATATATTTCATAAATAACTATTGAGCTAAAATAAGCATCCCTTATAATAATTCTATATATGAAAAAGTTAAATTCAAAAATAACCTCATATTAAAATTCAAAACAAAAGAATTTAAGATAGAAATATTGTAAGTCTTCTATTAAAATGCAAAGCAAAAAATTTAAAGATAAAGATATTGAGCTATTTTTATTATGAAGAGTTTTTTTTCTGTATTAAATATTCGAATATCGAAATTGAAGCTTAAAAATTTAATAAGTGAAATGAAATAATTTTTATTGTAAATAATTTTGATGAAACTTATAAAATGAAAAAATCTTATAAATAAGTTTTTGCTAACTAAAATTACTGAACTTTTTATATAAATGCAAAAAAAAATGGAGTAATTCTTCAAACCTTCTTAGTTATGGAAATATTTTATACTTTTTTGTTTTCTAATTAAAAAGAATTAATTATATAACCTAATAATTTCTGATTTTTATATAACTATAACATTTATCAATTTATTTGAAATTTCATCTGAAATTGCACCAAAATCTTTCTTTTGGTTGTTAAAAACTTCAATAGTTTTTATGTGTGATAACTCAGCAAAAAAGTATTTTTAGCCAAAATTATTTGTATAGCATTTACCCTTAATGTCGATTTAGTCCAAATTTACCAAATTGCATTAAAATAATTAAATTAAAAAATGACCGAAATTCATACATGCAATCCTTACGACCATGAAGGCTGGAAAGCCTGCAAAGTCTGTGGAGCTTTTCTACCATCAACTAGAGCAAGATCAATTAGAGAAACTTCAGATTTTCCTTCTCTAGGTATTCACCCTCAACAAATAATTAACACCTACAGAACATCAAAATTTACACGCAGATACAATCCTTCTGCATCCTATTTAAAGGTAAACATTATATAGTATCGTAATGCTCTAATTGACTGGATATGTCATGTGGGTGAAGCTTTAAACTTTTCAGCCTTAACGATTCACGTAGCTGTTGCCTTATTTGATGCTGCTTTGGCTGCAAAAGATTTTCCAAAAAGCAGTCTCCAATCATTAAGCTTGGTTTCACTGTTTGTCGCTGCGAAATCTGAGGACTCAGATACCTATCTTCCTCGCTTTCGGAGCTTAATTAAATATAGCAAACATCCAACTGCTACCCTAACTCCCCCCCCCCCCCTCCGTGAGCGAACAAAAACCATTAGAAAAATCGCATTTTTTGACCAAAAAACCCACCCTCCGTGAGTGAACAAAAATTTTTTTAATAGAAAAAATTTTAATGGAAAAAAATTTTGATATATAAGTGATAATTAGTATAATGAAATCTAGAGCTAATTCTGTTTAATTTTAAACAAATTGCGTTTTAAAACATAAATTTTGCAAATTAAATTAATATTTGCTTCCCAATTTTTGCAAATTAGGATTTTTTTAAATTTCGAAAAAAATATTTTTTTATAAAATTTATATATAAATTTTTTAAAAAAAAAAAAATTACCCCCCTCCGTGAGCGAACAAAATTTTTTTGTTCGCTCACGGAGGGGGGGGGGGGGGGAGTAAGAAGAATGGAGTTAGAATTACTGACTGCTTTAAAGTGGGAATTATCTGCCATAACTCCATATCATTTTGTACAATTTTACATTTCCCACGGTATTGTATATACTGGCGATTATATGAGGGGAAAACACTTAAGTGAAAAGAGTGCTAAATATGTTAATAAGTATGCAGATTTTTTTGTTGAAATGTGCCTCCAAGAATACGAGTGAACTACTAAATCAATCAATTAAGTTATATAGATCTTCTTTAATGTCCTTTATCTCATTTTTGTACTTACTTTTGATTTTCTCACCCATTATCGTCTGGGCGAAATGGCAATGACCTGAGTATTCCAACGGCTTCAGACGTTCAGATTTCGACAACTGTCCTTTCACTCTTGAAAAAAGCAGCTTGGGTTCTTCGGGTACCTTAAAAGCCCTGCATTTATAACCTTTGATTAGTTGGATACTTCCAGAAAATTCCATTTCTATAAAGACAAGAATCCTACTCTGCACCATTCCTTTCTTAAGTCAAATCATGTCATCAAAGTAGCCTAAAAAAGCAGGATTATCTGTTCGGGATAGCAGAAAATCCTCCTTTAGAAAATTTTGATCATGAATGCGAATTAACTCAATATACACCTGAAAATATTGCGTGTGCATGCATAGCTGCTGCAAGAAAAGCTGTTGATATAAGATGCGTTTGGCCTTTGGAGTTGGAAGAATTAACAGGAAAAAAACTCCAAGAAACTTGCTTTGCTAAAGTATGGGATATCTACCAACAGAGGTTTGTCGGAGGAAAAGGAAGCGAACCAAAATCTGCAGAGGTGAAAAGAGAAAATCCAAGATCCTCAATAAAATCTGCAATTGTAATATAAAAATGTATAATTAACACAATAATTATTTTCGAAGAAACCCATAAATCAAAATCAAAAATAAAAGAATGGATTCTTTTAATTATTTATCTTGCCCATATACATTAAAATGGCGTGGTGAACTAACCCACTCTCTTAACTTCTGTAGCTAATAGCGCAGGAACCTTGAGGAAGGCAGGGTGGTGTTCGGGAATGCGCATTCGGCCAGGCTTTTATTGATTTGGTGAAGTGCATGCCGGGTTGGCGAGTGCATGTTTTACTCGAAGCCAAGTTTTTTGCCTCAGTGGGATATGGGGACGGGACACGTAATGGGTTTTCCAACAGATTCAATGGCATTTATCTCGGACAATCGGGACTATTTCCCAGAGTGAAGCTATAGATACGCCCTGGGGTAAGGATTTCATCTTGGCCGAGAGTCAACTAGAAAATTCAATTATTTGAATTTTCAAGTTTGGACAACCCTGCTGGCATACGGCACAGCGACGCAACTACTGGGGTGCGAGTGCACCCATCGTCCAGCAGGTGCAACTTTTGTAAGGTCGTGCACGAACTAGAGAGTAGGCGAGGGAATACTACGAGTGGAGATATCTTGTAAAATTGCAGCTAACTTCTCGAGAAGTCTTAATAACTATAACTTATTTATATTCCAAATCTTTTAAGAGAGCCATTTTCATATGAGAAAATAAAATGGAAAATATTAGTTGAACAGCATCTAATTAAGAAATATAAAGTATAATATTCATGGCATCAACGCATCTTCTTAATAATTCAACGAAGCAAATATCAGGCGAAGCAGTCTGAAGCATTTAATAATTATTTATATATTATCCTCGTTATTTTTTTTTAATTAATTACTTAAATGTGATATTTCAGTTCTTATCACTTATTTCATACCTTAAATAAATGTGATTTAAATATACCCCACATATCATTTTTTTATCAAGCCACAATCGAAATTGTCCATATCCTTAAAACTAACCAATTAAATACCCTTGATAACCTCCAAATTATGCTGAACAGAAATGAATTTTTTAATCACTATTCTAATATGGGCAACTGTAACCTCAGAATTGACACCTACGATCCTACTGTCTCTCTAAATCGTCAAAATTTCACATTTCATTATCCCATAGGCAAAGGAGGCTTCGGCAAAGTGTGACGAGTGACTCTAAAGAAAAACAAACAGATATATGCAATGAAAGAAATGTTAAAAGCAAGAATTATTGCAAGGCGATCTGTTCAATCAGTAATGAACGAAAGGAGGCTCCTAGCAATTTTGAAACATCCTTTTATTGTGAATATGCAATTTGCGTTCCAAGATCACGAAAATTTGTATTTAGCGATGGATTTAATGCCAGGAGGAGATCTAAGGTATCATTTGTCCAAAGTGAAACGATTTCCAGAGGAACAAACAAAATTTTTTGTAACGTGCTTGGTGATTGGATTGGAGTATTTACACAAAAATAATATAATTCATAGAGATATAAAGCCAGAAAACCTTGTTTTGGATAGCAAAGGATATGTACATATCACAGATTTTGGAATTGCGAGAATTTGGCAGGCTGAAAATTCAAATGAAACTTCAGGAACACCGGGTTATATGGCTCCTGAAGTCTTATGTAGGCAAAATCATAGTTTTCCAGTTGACTATTTTGCCTTGGGCGTTATTGTTTTTGAATTCATGACTGGAAAAAGACCTTATCTTGGAAAAGACAGAAAAGAGATAAGGGATGCAATAATAGCAAAGCAGGTTCAGCTGAAGCAAAATGATGTGCCTAGTGGGTGGAGCGCAGAAGCTGTGGATTTTGTAAATAAATTAATTCAAAGGAAGCCTCAAAATAGATTAGGGACACAAGGAATTGAAGAAATCAAAGATCATCCATGATTGAGGGACGTTGAATGAGAAAGGGCTTTCAACAAGCAGCTTATTCCTACTTTCCGACCGCCGAATTCAGATAATTTCGATGCAAGGCAAGTCATGAATGAATGAAAAGATGAAGCATCCATGGCTCAAAAAGACCACTGCGAACAAAACTTATTTATAGGATACTTTTTTGATCATAATCTCCCAACTGACCATAATAACTCTATGAGGAATCCAAAAATTGAAATTAAAGCTTAATTTTTGCCGTAAAACATAAATAAATTGTTATATAATTTATGTAGGAGAGTAGCATCACTGAAATAGATTTTTAATTGTGTATATATGATCCAAACAGTGGCAATAGGCTAAATAAATAGTTGAATGAGAAGCAATATTGCTGTGACTCAAAGGTGCATTGTTCATGCTTAGTTTAGCCAAAATAATAAATTGGTGTCTTAAGCTAAAAATTAATTGAATTTAGAAGATTATAATAAAAATGTTGGTCTCTTTTCTAACAAATAAGCTTATGCCACTTATGAGAATGGGTTTAACACCTATTTCAGCTATGCCTCTTATTCCCCCCATCTAGAGGAAATTTTTAGAAAAATATTTTATATTATTTTGGTTATTTATTTTTTAAAATTGCAGATTTATATGTCTTGAAAAATTATAATCTGATAAAATAAAACAATAATTTAAAGATAATATCAAAAATTTAATTAAAACGCATTAAAAATTTAAATTTATTAGGACTTTAAAAGAATTTAAATTGAAATAGTAGGAAAATAGAATAGCAATATATTATTGAAAATACTTGAAGATTATACGCCATTGAAATTAAAGATAAAATGATTTTTAATTATTTTTATTATAGCTAATTTTGTATGTTGTTAAAAGACATCTAAGGAAATAATCTTGGAGGCGAAAATGACAGTTTTGTTTCTTATAAATGGGATAAATAAAATGGCATACGGTTCGAGAGAAATTAGCTTTGCTAGTTTTCTCTCCTTCATGGTAATCTTATTTATAAGGTTTGGTTTTACAAGAGTACTTCTGAACAGCAGCAGTTTAATTTAATCACACATAGGGCTGCTCAGAGTATTCAAGAAGCTTGAGGTTTTCCGCTCAACACCCTGAGGAGGGTGACTCTCAGGCAGAAGTCACGCAGGAGTTGATCGACAGCAGTGCATCAGGTGAGAAGTGTGGCTCGATGGAAGAGCAGACACGAAGGAATGCTTGCCCATATGGCGCGCCATTTTAAGCGGCAGAATGGCCTGTGATATTACCATCCGGGTTTAATCCCTTTATTGGAGTGGGTATCAGACACCTTAAATGCCTAATCTAATATTAATAGCTTGTTATAAATGGAGGAAAGTTAGCACATATGAGAGATGGAGGTATAAAATGAAGAAGCACAGAAGAGAAAAGCGAAGGCTAAAGATGAAAAGGCTAAAAGACAAACTTAAAATTAAGTAAGGATAAATCAATAAAACTTAGACTAAAAATCTCTTTACTTTAATTTTTCTAATATATTAAGCTTCATCTGAAGAAGATATTAATGAAATAATCAGAAGAATTTTCTTTCGAATATTTTCTTCAATTAGGATGCATTTTGACAGAATAATTGCTTAGTTATTTATTTTTATCACTACACAAATTATTTATGCTTACTTGTTCTATTTCTTATTGTCTTTAACTTGCAAACTGCTTTAAATTGTGATAATTCTTTGCTCTATATGCAAACGTTAATTTGTCTTATCAAACAAAAGCAAGAAATAATTAGTGCAAACACTATATTAACTCTCAATAAAAATCATACATTTTATCTTCTCTATATAGTAAAAAATAAAGAATGTCATTAAGCTATTACGACCAGCACTTATTTTGGCAGCAAAGAGTAGTTAAAGAAATCAGCGCAGCCTCGAAATTTTACGAGTAATTGTAACTTAACCCTCCTCCGTGAGATAACAAAAAATTTTGTTCGCTCACGGAGGGGGTTAAATTTTTTTTTCGAAACTTAAAAAAATCCCAATTCGCAAAAATTGAGGGCAATAATTTATTTAATTTGTAAAATTTATGTTTTAAAATGCAAGCTGTTTTAAATTAAATTGAATTAGCTTGAAATTTCATTATAATAATTATCACTTATATATCAAAAGTATTTTTTCATAAAAAATTTTTGTTCTCTCATGGAGTGTCGGTTTTTTGGCAAAAATAGCGACTTTTCTAATGGTTTTGTTCGGAAGTTAGAAACAATGATGTTTATAAACTGAAATCGATATCAACGAACTCATTCCAGAAAAAAACGCACCACTCAAGGCCTTCTCATATGAGATCTTCTGTCCAAGCTCATCCTTACCAATCCGACCCGATTCCTTATCTCTATTCTAACGATTATCGCACCACAAACGTTTATGCAGAAGTTCGTGGAAAATATGCAAGACCACCACCTCCTCTCGCCAAGCCTCCTGAAGCAATTCAATCAACACTATTTACGCCTAACGAAATTAAATTAATTTCCAGACCCTCAACTTCAGGAAATTATCGGCCTAAGCGATCTAAAACTCCAACTGTTTCTTTAAGCCACTCTCACATAGAACCTAAGCCAATTGATATAAAATCAGCTAAAAATTACGAATCAATCGAAAACCTCACCCATAAAAAAGTGGTACCTTTTGAAAATGATGGAAAAGCATATAAAATTCGTTCAGGAAGAAGCTCTTTGACAAGAACAAGATCAAGCAATAGAAGCATAAGCCAAAAATCCGGAGAAGAGCAAATCATTATCATGACTGAGCCTTGCGAAAACATTGAAGAAAAAGAAGACAAGAAAGAAGAGGAAGCCGAGAAAAGCAAAGAAGAGGAGAAAAAGAGCGAAGAAGAAAAGATTGGTGAAGGAATTAAAAATGAAGAAAATGTGAAAAATGACGAAAAAGATAATATTTCAAACGCTTCTTGGATCACAACAAGTTCTCATAAGAGATACATCGAAGAATTGGAAGAAATGCTAAAGGCTGAAAAAATAAAGAGGATCCATGCTGAAGAAGAGCTGAAACGTTTGGCCAAATCTCAGCAGGCGAAAAGTTAGATTAATTAATCTTTATTATGCAAATTTTTAATCGCATACAATAAAAATGCTGAAAAGTCCTTATGATACCGATTGCATAACTTGGAGTCCTCAAGGTCGCTTATATCAAGTAGAATATGCAATGGAAGCAATTAAGCAAGGATCCCTCTGTGTTGGTTTAAAATCTAACCAGTTTGCAATTCTTGCAACCTTGAATAGAGCACCCTCAAAGCTAGCAGAATATCAGCAAAAGGTTTACATGATAGACGATCATATTGGACTCTGCTTTTCAGGACTCACTGCTGACGGAAGACTTATTTGCAAATTCTTAAGAACTGAAGCATTAAACTACAAATATACTTATGGAACCAATTGCAATCCTGGAAGACTTGTCAATAGACTCTCTGAAAAGGCTCAAATCAAGACTCAGAGATCGAGTAAGAGGCCTTATGGAGCTGGCTGCTTAATTGCTGGGTTTGATGTAAATAATATATAGGAGCATGGCCCTCATATCTACGAAACTAATCCTGATGCGAATTTTTATGAATATTATGCTTTTGCTATTGGATCTAGAAACCAGTCTGCTAAGACATATTTGGAAAAGAACTTCGAAACATTTCCAGAAGGTAAATTTAATTTAGCATCCCGTGATGAGCTAGTCAAGCATGCTATAAAAGCAGTCAAGGTATCTGCACAAGGAGATGTTGAGCTGAATGGTAAAAGTGTAAGTGTCGCGATTGTGGGACAAGGTCAGCAGTTTGCTTTTATTGACGAGAATGAAGTAGAAAGAGTTCTTGAGTCACTAAATCAAGAAATGGAGGTAGAAGTTTAACTTTAACAGATCATTCAATAAGGATTTAGTCTTAATTATCTCAGTTACTTGACTTCGTTTTCTTCATCTACTATGTATGGGTCTAGTTCATTTAATGGCTGCTCGATCCATGATCTAAATATCCACATCGTTAACGGCGCAATTAAAGCAACTGCTGCAATTATCAGTCACATATATTGGCAGTCTCTTTCTCCATCTTCTGGACAGAACTCTTCCAATAAAAATCCTGACATAAGTCCACTTATAGTCATAGCCAGGTAATATTTTGCGGATAAAATACCAATATAGACACCTACTTCTCCATGGGGAGCGAAATGAAAGGCATAGTCCATCATTCTTGGAACAATCAGTGATTCAGCTAGAGCAACACCAATCGCAAAAGCTGAGCAAGTTACATATGTAGAGCCAAATAAAAAGAATAAGGGCGATATTCCAGAAACGAGAGCTCCTATTGTTACAACTGAATATGAATTATAATAATAGCTTAATGGGATAAAGCATATTGTGAAAACTACAACAGCTACTAAATTGAACGCTAAGACTATCCCATAATTAGCATTTTCTCCTATTTCTCTTTCCATATATGTAGGCAATGTTGCATCCAAATGCCTAAAAGATGTTTTTTCTAGTGTCAAGAGGAAAGATAAAACGAAAAATCGTCAAAATCTCTTGGTTTTCACTGCCTCTCTAAATGACTGTAAATAACTTTTGTCTGGAAGTCCTACTTCATTGTGAACTTCACTGTAATTATTCAAATAAAAGCCTCCAATAATGGTCATAAGGGCGAAAAATGAGCCAACCAAAAAGCCAACTCGATATTCCCAGTAATTATCCCCAGCAAGTGCAGATGAAAAATTTACAATAATACCTGATAAAGGACTTGTGCCAATAATAAAAATAACAGCCAACGCAATAGCCACATTTCCAGTATCTTTTGTTGTATAATCTTTTATCGAAGTTTTGCTCGATGCAATCCCTAATGCAATCCCAATTGAAATCGCTGTATATAGTGTAGTGATAAAAATTCCAGCATTTTCTATAAAAGTAATCAAAATTGCCCCACATATAAGTAATAGGCCTGATTGCATCAAGGCAATCTCATGTCCAGCCACATCAACATAAGTTCCTAATAAAAGTAAATATAAAGCTATGCACAAGCCAAAAATTGCATAATAAGTCCCTGTCATTGAATCGGAATAATCCAAATCCTCTGAAAGAAATAGTCTGATAGAATAAAAAAGTGTATATGACGATAAAGATGTAAGGAATATATTTATCAAAACTACATAAATTTTCGAGTCACTTTCAAAAAACTTGTAAAATAAAGACTTGAGTGTTCGAAATTGAACAGAAATAGGAGGCTTGATTAGAGGGTCTTCTTCGGATACTTCTTGGGATGACATCTAAATTTTATCATGGTGGAATGCGTTTTTTCAATATAAAGCTAAAAAATAAGAGATTCTATTAAGTTTAGGTAAAAAGAATTAATTAAATTTTTTGAGTAATGAAAGAAAAGGCTATTGATTCGAGATATGCCGGGTGTTATTATAAAAAAATGACTGAAAATAAAAACGACACCTATGAGATTTGAACTCATGCGGGGAGACCCCATTAGCTTAGCAGGCTAACGCCTTAACCACTCGGCCAAAGTGTCATCTGGGTTTTAGATCTTATTATTTGTATTTATTTCGAATAAAAATATTAGAGCATGGCTATTCCTTCTTTAAAAATTCTCAAATAGTCAACGAGTAATTTTTCAAGTATTATGTGAAGATTACTTAATTTTCGCTACATTCCTTTATATTAATTGATTTAATGTCCTTCTTGTTTTATAATTAAATTATAAATAACTCTTTTTAAAATATACGTAAGATACTAATAAAAATATATTTTATGCTTAAAAATTCTTAGATTTCATTATTAATTATCATATTAATAATGTATAACAATAAAGTAAAACTTTATAAGTTTTTCATTCTCAATCGTGGAGAGATTCCGCTCAATTTTGGTAATCTAACATGATATCTCGGAGAGTTTATCTGATGCCTTTCTTTGATAATTGACTTTGAACTTCTACTCGTATGATCTGAAATAATATCAAAATTCACAATTTTAAATTTCCTTGGAGATAAGTGAATTGAAGGCTCTTTTCCTTCATCTGAAAATTGAGGAGTCATCTTACCGAAGCTAACTTTCGTTAATGATGAATTCAATAATAAAGACCTCTCTGTCTTTATTTCCAATTTATTCGGGGAAAAGATTTTTGCAAAGCTTTTGATAACTCTTGGACTATCTCTCTGCCTAATTCTTGATGGCAGTTCTTTAAATGTCATATTTCTAGGTGTACTCATATGCCTTGGAAGTTCTGCTTTATTATGTAGAACATGGCCTGAATTTCTTTGGACTTCAAATAAATCTTTAAAAGTCTTTGAAAACGAAACTTGTCGGGTATGCTCGATTTCTTTTTCTTTTAAACTTAACTCAATCCTTTTCAAAAATTCTGATTTATACGCTGGAATACCATTTTCCATATCTATTATTTTTAGTTATAATTAATTGATAACCTCATTATTTATGATTATTCACTTTTCTCTTTTGCAGAGAGATACCTCCAGTAATGGGTGTTGGTCTTACAAATTGTATCCCAGTATGTAAAAAATGAAGAATAATTCCCCACATTGTGAGAGTGATGAAAATTGTGATAATTGGCACTTCCAGAAAATGGCAATAGCCTAAAAGCACTCCATGAAAAATCATATCCTGAATGCCCATCAGTTGTTTCTAACAATCTGATTACATTCCACATATAAATTGTATATATATGACAATTTCCAAGTAGCAAAGGCCCTATAGCTGCTGGCAGTAAATTTCCAAAAGCAAATTCTAACTCCCTTTCCCTCCGTGAGTGAACAAAAAAATTTTGTTCGCTCACGGAGGGGTGAATTTTTTTTAAAAAAAATTTATATACAAATTTTATAGAATTTTTTTTCGAAATTTAAAACAATCCTTATTCCAAAAATTAGAGAGCAAATTATAAAATTAATGTTTTTAAAACGCAATTTGTTTAGAATTAAACAGAATTAGCTCGAGATTTCATTATACTAAGTATCACTTATATATCAAAATTTTTTTCCATAAAATATTTTTCTATTAGAAAAATTTTATTCGCTCGCGGAAGGTGGGTTTTTGGGCAAAAAGTAGCGATTTTTCTAATAGTTTTGCTCACCCACTGAGGGGGAGTAAGGGATGTGCATATTCTGAAGCAATTCCAATTGTATTGATATACTCATGATGCTTTTTATGTATTGCTCCATAAAATCTTGGAGTGTGAAGGAGACGGTGAAGCCAATAAAATGTTGTGTCTTCTACCAGCATAAAAAATATTGTCTGAGGAATTAATTGTTTTCATGTAGGAAAAGCTTCAATTGATGTTTCAATGCTAGGCTCAATAAAGAATGATGGAGAAGCCACCAGAGGAACCACAATAAGATTATTAAACAGCAAATTTTTAATAGTCTTTTTTAGCTGCACCTTCCAGAGTTCTGGGTTTTTCTTCCATGGCCATGGGTCATTCGAAATTTTATAGCGCTCAAAAAATGGCAATTCAGCATGGTAAATTAAGTACATCACAAGATTAGCGAGAATATATGTGAGTTCATGGATAATGACACATCCCCCTCCATACATCATATATTTGTTTTCGTAGGGGAGAAGCTTGTAAATTGGGAGCATGAAGGAAGGAAGGATAAAATAACTGAACGCAACCATAATGATAGCTGTGATCAGACCATATCCTTTCCGAACATATCTGACTTCCTCGTTTTCGAGAAGATCTTTAAGACTGTCTACTTCTGAGTTGGAACAGGTTGAAGTAAATGATGAAGGCATCTGATCAGATTTTTATTATTCCTTTTTATTAAGAAAATTTTATAAAAAATTAATATAAAATTACTTTACATCTTTGGAATAACTACTTAAATAGAGAATATATACGATCACAAATTTCATGATTTTAAGAGTTTAAAGAATGACGTCAGAATTCTAATATTAAAGATTTAAATAAGCTTTGTTGGGCTGCTAAATAGAGGAAAAGTTTCCATTTATTATTTTACACTTTAAATTTAATTTTCTCGACAATTCAAAATAAATGGAATCATTATATGTTCAAAAAGAAAACTCCAGTTTAAATAACATGAGTGTTTTATTCATTTTCTTTAAGTATTAATATGGAAGAAAGAGTAAAAGCAAATATCGAAAAGCTCAAAGCAGAAACTCAACAGCACCTTGGAAGAAATAAGCTAATTTTGCTCTTCTTGTTTGTATTTGCGATCATTGGGTTTTATCTAGTCATAAACTCTGCCCCTGCATTTACTGATGCTGAAAAAGAAAAAATTTTCAGATTTCCAAACACTGCTGAAAAGCTGGGAGAAATGAGTCACGTGATATCCAAATATACAGAAAAATACTACGTCTACGTCATTTTCATTCTATCCTACTTGCTTATTTTATTATGAACTTTTTTATTACCTGGGGCTCCACTCCTTTTCGTGCTATCAGGAGCATTGCTAGGATTTTGGACAAGTATGATCATGGCGACTATTTCTTTGGCTATTGGCTCTGCTCTTTCTTACATATTAATAGAAACTGTTGGCAAAGGCATCGCTATAAGACTCTTTCCTAACCCGATCAGCAAAGCTTACACAAACGTAGAAAAACACAAGCACAATTTGTTCTTTTATATACTTTCTTTGAGAGTGATGCCTTTTGTGCCAAAGTGAATCATGACTATGTCAAGTCCAATAATAGGCGTTTCTTTTAACACTTTTCTCGTTACTGCTGTCTTAGGATTGCTACCTCATATTTTCATTTTTGTGAATACAGGGACGACGCTGACGTCTATTAGCGATTTAGGCTTAAACAGGTACTCTATATTATCCCTAGCTGGGTTGGCTGCTTTAAGTTTATTACCAACATTCTTCACAAAAAAAACAGTGCAAGATGAAGATAAAGAGGAAGACATTAGCCCTAAAAAAGACTAATAATTACCAAAAGCTACATAAAATGCGTTGTAAACAGTTATTTAACCTTAAAAAATAAAGAAACCTATCATGCTGCCAATGATAAACCCAAAGACTTTTTCTAGAGTGATTTTGAGTCCTTCTCTTTTTCGATGGAACTCTTTGACACTGAGAGAGACGAGCTCTGAAGAGTTGAGGTCTCCTTTGATTTTGTGGTAAAGTTCACTTCAGTTAACACTTGCATATCCATAGTGATTTAATAGTTGGTAAAAAGCAAATGCTCCCATCATCCCATATGCAAAAATTGTGCTTACTTTTTTAAAGATCCCTATTGAAGTAAACCCAACTCCAAGAGAAAATACAATTCCTTTCGCAGGGCAAGATTCTTTTTCGTCTTGGTTTTCCTGAGCATTACTCTTATTATCTTCTTGTGATGAGCCTGACATTTATAGACTCATAGTTGCTAAATGTAAATTAAATAGGTTTTTTGGTTTAGGATGATGCCTCAGTACTTTTGTTTCAATTGGATTGAAAATGACTTTTAATTACATCAAAAATGGATCAGTTTTTCTCTTCTAAGCCTCATACCCCATACAGAGTTGCAAGATGCAAAACAACAATGTCTTCTAGCGAGTCTCCTATCGGCGTTTCATTTATAGATGCACTAACTCCCCTTTAAACTGTAAAAATATTAGCTCCTTTAAATTGGCATTCTATAATGAAAATAAATAGCAGCTTAAATGCAATTACCTAATTTAGCATCGTAAAAATTTAAATTTACCGAAATTTGCTCCATTTTAAAAGGGGATTATCAGTAAAATACTATTTGGATAAAGCTAGCAATTTGAATTGATGAATTTTATTATCAAAATTTTAAAATTTAGTTAAGAAATACTCAAAAAAATTAAAGCGAACAGATTTATTGACCAAATTAAGCGAATCGGAGTAAGGGAAGTCTGCCCATTATCGTTCAATAAACAATTTTTACGACAATTACTCGAAAACCAAAAAGCCGAGAAAGTTTCAGCTATAATTCCTTTTAATTTAGGTAAAATTCAAAAAACATATACACAGGTCAAAGAAATTTGAAAAATTGTGAATAATGAGAATAATCCAGACTCTTCGAAAGAATTAAACAAAAAATCAATAACGTTAGAAAAATCAGCATTTCAAAGACCTTTAAGCTCTTTACAATCACTTTCTAAGGATATATCTGCTATGAAAAATAGTACCTTTCGATCGAAAAATCTCTCTCAAGATCAGCAGCAATTTGAAAGCGTTTTAAAATTATATTGTGTTTCGAATGGCGCTGAGCCCAATGCAGTTGCTGCTAGACCAAGATCTGCTATTCATTATGTGTCAAAAAACAGAAGCAAATATGCTCCAGGGGTTATTAGGATTATCCCAAAACATTCAAGAAACAATTCCATTGCCACTGATACAAACCATTTCTCAATCCAGGCTAAAACACAAAGATCTTTGAGTTCAACTGACAGAAATAGCAGGCACTCACAGAAAAATTCGTGCATAATCTCGCCCTCCTTACATATGCCTGAGCAGTTCCCAATAATCAAAAAAATAGCAGAAAAATCTGAAGTTTATGAAGAAACATATTCAGGAGAATATTCAAATGGAAAAAGACAAGGACACGGAAAAGTAATATATCCGAATGGAGATATCTATATTGGTGACTGATATGAAAATAAAAAACAAGGGCATGGAGCATACACGTACGCGAACTCCCAAGTTGAATATGAAGGCTCCTGATATAGTGATAATAAACATGGGATTGGAATCATCAAATCATCTACTGGACAAATTGAAGGCCGATGGGAAAATAATGTACTAAAAGAAAGCAATGTCATTTTTACATATGATGAAGTAAATATTTATCGCGGGGAGTCGAAATCAGGTGCGAGAGACGGGAGCGGAAGCATGAAATATCAATGCGGAGCAGAGTATACTGGATTATGGTGCGATGACAGGAGAGAAAAGCATGGCTATATACGATACAAGCAAGATTTCTTTTTTGAAGGACATTTTCATATGGACTCCACACATGGGTATGGGGTTTTAATAAGAAGTGATATAATCAAACCTCCAAAAAGAAGCACAGGATATTCAAAAACAATAGAAGCTTATAAGAAGCCTGGTATTAATAAAGAAGATTACTCCGAAACTTTACCTGAGTTTGCGAAGCTGCATTTAAAAAATTCAGATATTGTGTACATTACACATTCTGCCGACATTCATAGACATGTCCCAAGTGGAACATTCAAATCTGGAAAGCTAAATGGGTAAATTTAATTTAGGTCTGGCCTCGCATATTATGGCATCTACGGCTATTATGAAGGAAACTTCATTGATGGACAAAGAGATGGCTGAGGAAAAATGATTTATAATGACCCTGCCCACGTCTGCTCGTGATTTCCAGAAACAGAAGGAGAATATATTGGCTATTGAAGAAATGATGCAAGGCATGGCCAAGGGATAATGAACTGGCCAAATGGCACTAAATATGAAGGAAAATTTAATATGGACAGAAGACACCACGTTATGGGGAAAATGGTTTTTGAAACTGGCGAAATTTATGAAGGAGGCTGAGTCAATGATAAACTCCAAGGCTATGGAAAATTAACTTTGGCATCAGGAATTGTATTCAAAGCACGTTTCAACTCTGGAATTGCAGAAAGTTCTGGCACTGTTGAATTCACCGATAAAGTTTATGAAGGAGCTGTAGCGAATTTTGTGCCTAACGGCAAAGGAAAAATGAGATATAAAAACGGAGATATTTATGATGGAGATTTTGAAGATGGGGTTATTAATGGAATCGGGAAAATGACTTATGCCAACGGAAATATATATGAAGGAGAGTGGGCTAATGGATGCAAGGATGGGAATGGAATGATGATCTATAGAGATGAGGGAACTGTATATAATGGCGAATGACTTGAAGACAAAAGAAGCGGAAAAGGTGAGCTTAAAGATATGAGAGGAAAAGTAATATATCATGGAGATTGGGTCTATGATCTTCAAGACGGCATTGGAGAAATGGTGAGCTAAATGGCTTCATATGCTCTGTTTATTTAATTTACTAATGGTAAATATTTTATTTATATCCTAATGAGCAATTTTAGCATAAAGAAATCAGCTTCCCTCCAATTTCATAATATAATAATGGATAAAAATAGAAGTTTTCGTCCAAAGAGAAGAATACAGAAAGGCGAAAAAGGCTACAAATTGAGACAACTCATTAAGCACACTCTGGGTACTGGAGATCCTAATAAATATGTTGAACTTCCTGAGGGCGAGATGCTGTTAGAATGGATTTCCGTTCATATAATTGAATTTTATAACGAAATCAATCTCATATATTAAGATTAAGTTAAGCTGTTCGCACTTGCAGGGCCGGGGATTTGCACCTCTGCACGCTTATCGCCTATGGTAGACCTCGGAGGAAACCCTTCCTTGTTGCCTTAAACAAGGGATTTCGCACACACCAGTCTTGACTTCCATGGCTCTTGCAATCTAAAGGCCAATCATCTGGGTCGAAACTCCCGTTTCTCGTTAGGCAAATACCGTCTTCTTGATCTGTGGGTCATATTGCCCACAAAGATTGGCCGACCTTGCCCTTTCCAATGATTGTCCTGGAGGAAAAACCCCAAGTCCCGAGGATTAGCTCCCTGAGGCCCGGAGAAAACCCAGCCCGATACATAAAGGATTTCCGATCCCTTTCGACCCCAAATCCCCAACTCTGGGCTGTTGCCTGCTGCTGTTGAAGAAATAGGGCTGGGAGGTTGGGTGGCACGTCGTCACCATTTTTTATGTATATACGAAATTAATCTCATATATGGAGCTTTGGTCGAATTTTGCACAGATCAGTCTTGTAGGGTGATGTCAGCTGGCCCAAGATATGAATTTAGGTGGACTGACCAAAATAGCCCAATACCCCTTCAGCTTTCAGCACCCCAATATATTAATAAGCTTATGGAATGAATTGAAGGTAAGCTCAATGATAGGAATCTTTTCCCAACAGAGCTTGGTGTTGATTTTCCCTCAAATTTTATACCTTCTGTAAAAGTAATGCTAAAACGGCTATTTAGGGTTTATGCCCACCTTTATCACACCCACATGCAGAAAATAATTGAAGTAGAGATGCTTCGCCACATTAATACATCATTTAAGCACTTTCTTTTTTTTGTGCTTACTCCACCTCTGTGAGCGAACAACCATTGAGAAAATCCATATTTTTTGAACAAAATCCCACCCTCTGAGCGAACAAAAAATATTTTAGTATAAAAATTTTTGATATATAAATAATAATTATTACAATGAAATCTCTAGCTAATTCTATTTAATTTTAATCAGCTTACATTTTAAACATAAACTTTACAAACTAAATTAATTTTTACTCATCAATTTCTATAAATCGAAATTGTTTAAATTTTTTTAAAATAAATCAAACCCCCTACGCTGGCGAACAAAATTTTTTGCTCGCTCACGGAGGGGGGAGTTAGGTTTGACCTTGTTTCTGAAGAAGAGATGAGCTCTTTGGGAGAGCTAATAAAAGAATTCAAAGACGAGTATGGGTGTCAACCAGTAGTACTCTTATAAATTAATTGAATTGTTCTTTTTGAGACTTTTCGAAAATTAAAATTTCATTATAAATCAAATATAAGATCAGAATGACTTTGAAAATATGGCAGTAGCTATTATATATCTTTATTTCTTTTTAAATATAGTTTAAATTAAAAAATATGACTTCCAAGATATATACTAATAATTATTGCTATTCATAAACAGACAAATAATAAAACTAAAACGATAATTGTATCTGATCTATAGCTTTTAGTCTATATCTTTAAGTATATATTAAAATGAATTATCATATAAAGAGAAAACCCTATAACCTTTAAAATATAATTTTTCATATATAATTACAAGCATTAAAAAATAGTTTGATAATTATGCAAGCATCCCATCCAAAAAAAAATTTAAATATCTACTATTATATTTAATTTACAAAATGGAAGCTAGATCAGAATAGTAATTTCTATTCAGTCACTATCTCTTCAAAGTTGTTTTGATCGGCGATTCTCATGTTGGAAAATCCTCCCTTCTCTTACGACACTCTGAAAAAACATTTAAGGACAATTATCTCTCAACAATAGGAGTTGATTTTAAGCTTACTGATGTCTATATCGATGACTCTCATGTTAAGCTACAAATTGTAAAATTTACATAGTGGGACACAGCAGGTCAAGAAAGGTTTCGTACAGTCATTAACGGGTATTACCGAGGGTCTGATGGTGTTATAGTCGTTTTTGATAAAACAGATAGAGAGTCATTTGAGCATGTAGATGGCTGAATCAACGAGGTAGATAAATACGCTACACAGAATCCTGCAAAGATCTTAGTCGGTAATAAAAGTGATATGCCTCCAGTTGTAGACACTGCTGAAGGACTGAGAAAAGCTGAGAAATATAAAATGGATTATATTGAAACTAGCGCCAAGGAGCCTTTTCAGGTAGACCAATTATTTGATATACTTGCAACAAAAATGATTAAGAATGGAGGAAAAGAAAGAAAAGGAGGTGATCGAATCGGAAATAGAGAAAAAACTCGGAAGTGGATCTGTTGCTAATATAATAATTGCATTTTGAAATTATAATTAAAGCAGATAATTATTAAATGGTGAAGAAAAGAGGGCCGCCAGCCTGGATTTTCGTTATATGGTTTCCTCTTATAACAGCATTTACAGCTTATTGGCTTTACCATATTTGGACAGTGCAAAATAAAGTCCCTCATTACATAACATTAACATTAGAAATTAGTTTTGGGTCTCCCCTATTGGCAACTCAGTCATCAAGGACCCGAAGGGTTCACCTGCTTTGCGGTGTAGTCCAAAACATACCATAAAGGTGTGCCATCAGGGCATACGCCTACTCCTTCCCACAGCGAACTGCGGCTCAAGTGTTGAGTGGGCGGGCTTGGACTTCTGCGGCTTGCTGTTTGAGTACGAGGTTGTCCACTCAAAAATCCAAAAAAATGGAATTTCTGGTGTCCTTTCAGCAAAAGGGAAAAGTTCGTAGCCTGGGGCGTAACTCCAGTTTCACACTAGGCAGTTGCCCGATTGGTCTAGGTATTACCTGTAGACTTAGCTGGGCTTGCCCTTTCCAACTCCGAACCTTCCCTTCCCTCGAGGTAAAATCTAACCCCAAAGTGGACTGAGGGCTAGGTTCTGAACACAACCAGAATTGCTTACCTAGCATTGCTGTTTTTTTAGGATTAGCAAAACCTTGCGGATATAATTAAAATATAAAGGCCCTCATTACATCTGGAATAATAAAGATCCATTATATCTAGCAATCACTTGCAGTGCTGTGAGCACTGTTTTTATATTTCTTCAGGTTCAAACCGTAGCTACCCAAAGGCTATTCACAAAGGCAGGAGATACAATCTACGGGGAAGAAAGCGATTTCTTGAAGCTTTCTAAAAATGTCTTGCAAAATACCCTTGAACAATCATTTTTGTTCATAATTAATTTGCTTGCTGCCGCAGTTAATGGACTTCCCAATGAAAGGATTGTTTTAGTGACAATGACATTTATTTTAGCAAGAATTTTGTTTTGGTGCGGATATGTTGTAGGTGTTTATATAAAATTCTTCCCATTAAGGGGACCTGGGTTTCTGCTTACATTCTCCAACAATGTATTGCTTTTGCTATTTAATGTTCTAGCATTTATTAGATAAAACTAAAGTTTATCATAATTCAAAGCCATATTCTTAAATTAAATATGAGTTCAGGCGATAAGAAAAACTCCTCAAAAGAAAACAGTCCTAGGAGACCTCCACTTCCCTTATTTCGAACTGCAAAGAACAAATTAAGCTTAATTTCAAAACTGAGGGACACTTCAAATCTAGGAAGCCCATCAAGACTAGAAAAAGAAAGCTTTGAAAATCGAAATTTTCAATCTTTGTTAAGCAAAGTTACATTTTCAAGCGATGATTATTTATATGACCACGTTCTCTCCCCAGGCATTGCATTTTACAAGTTTCTTGCAAAGCGTTCAAATAAAACAAATATAACGAGACTTGAAGTTTCAATTCCTGACACAATAGTTTTTAATGAAAGTATGATGCCGGTCTGAATTTATACAGGTGAAGATGGTTTTGTATATAGGACTGAAACGTTCCATGATCACTTAATCCATAATAAATTCGGCATGGTTGAACATCCTTGAGAAGTTGTTGCTGTGGTAAAAAAGCCTAAATGAAATAATGAGCTCAAAAAATACCATGGGCTAAGCACATACGTTCTAAACTCCACTGATTTAAAATCAAGACTCAATGAGTTTTCTAGTGGAGAACCATGCGTGATCCAAAGGTTCATCAAGAGCAAAGGACCTGTGGCATTTGTCTGTCGAACTTTTTACAGAAAGCAGGGAAGGTGCTGTGTGTATGTCATTACAAATAAAGTGGGATTTTTAAATGAAAATGTCGAGCCAAGGAAAAGATGCTTGACTTCGACAGGTGAAAAAGACTCAACAAATATCATCACTTCAATGACTGGGAGATATTTGAATGAAACTCTTCCGATGGTAAAAAAAATTGCTCAGTTTTTGGAAATGAATATGGGGACTGAAGTATTAGAGCTTGCTTGCGATTTTGTTAAGGACGAAAGTAATAAATGATGGTTCACTACTTGTAAAGCGTTTAAGCTTGGAGAAATGGAGCCCAATTTAAGCGGTTTTATCGTGGATAAACCATATTGGAGCAGTGATAGTGAAAATGACGAATCTGAAGGAAATTCAATGCATAACGACTATCAGAGACTTAAGAGATGCAGGCTGTGCCAAGTCTATCATCCTCTAAGCGCTTTGTTGCACCAGCTGACTATAAAGATGATTACTCAAACTGATCAGCATTTGCGTGAGAGAGGAGTTATATCATGGTTTTATTATTTGTATTATATTCATAGTTCAAGTAGGAATATTTATATTTATTTTTTATTCGTATTAATATATGATTGAAATATGATCCAATGACTAGACCGTGCTGAATACCGACACTCTGGGATGGCAACAGTCTACCAAAGCTACCCCGTCTGCCGAGACTGTTATACTTTATATGAGCTTACAGAAGAATTAAAAGAAATTCAGCGAATCACCTCCTTAGTTTTCAGCATCCCTTATAAGCCTACTGAAGTGAGCTATGGAGAAATGCCTGAAAATTGGGAATTCAAATCTGACACAGCAGTTGTCATGACGAATGAAAAGCCAAAAACAGTCATGGAAGAAGCTCGAGAAAGCAAGCCAATGAAGCTTTTCAGAATAGTTCTAATTTTGCTTGGGATCGAAGAAATCTCACAAGGCATTAAGCACGACTTTTCAATTAAATTTTCCATGTTTAACATAGAGCAAGTCTATCAATTAGACGATTCAAAGTGAAAAGATGGAAGAATTGAAATGAATAAGTTTAGAATGTTCCAGTTCTTTGCAAATTCGAGAAAAGAATGAAAACACTATTTGAATGAGAATAATGCGCTCTCAGTATATTTGTGTAAAGGGAACAAAACCATTTCAAAAGTTGACTTAGAGATGATTGACTTTAGAAACCCCATAGTAAAACATAAAAAATATTATAAAGTTTTGTCAAAAAATACAAATATTTTGGGTTTTCTGAATTGTCAATTAGCAATTGAGGAGGAAGGGTTTATTGATGTGACTAACATTAAGCTGCAGCACATTTCTGGGCTGTTTGTCCCTCCAGAAGATTTTATCTTATGTTTGCCCTTACCAGACGAGTGGCTTGAAATTTTGCCTGATATTAGCGACCCAACTGAAGCAATTGAGCTCACAAATCATAGGCCTTCACTGATTTCAACTGTAACTCAACATATCAACACCTCTTCTTTAAATACCACTAAAGCGCTAATTCCAAAGCCACCTCCAAAGCGTGCAAGAGCTCAATCTGCACATAACAAAAGAACTTATCGAAAATTTGATTCCTTAAACATGAATCAAAGCTACCTAAACGATTCAAAATTAACAAATCTTAATGATTCAAAATTAATTACAGCAAAAACAGTCAGAGCACGATCAGCTTCACAAAGGAAAAAAATTTGACGCTTAACAATTGAGGTCCACACAGCAACTGGACTTATTGATCCTATAGAAAAAAAATGGAAAGTTGTTTTTAAAGCCTTTGGATCTAAATATGCTGAAGAAGAAATTACTAGAAGAGAGCATCTAATTCATTTTAAATTCATGAAAGAAATTTATCCTGCATTATTAAAATCAATCCATAATAATATAAATATTTTATATAAAAATAACCCAGCCATTTGATCTATATTTTCTATAAATTAGTATATATTAAATGCAGTAACTCAAAACTTTTGCAAACTTTAATGAGTGAAGTTATTGAGTTTAGAATTTTTAGAGACAACGAAATTGGAAAAGCAGCTGCACCCCTGGAAATTTTGAGATACGAAAGAAGTGTCAAGTCAGGTTATCCTGTTGAAATGGAGGGAAGAGGAGGTGTTTTTCTAGACGTGAATCTAAAGCTGGAAGAATCGAAGTCAAAAGATGTTGAAGTCATGAGAGTTGTTGGCCCAGGAGTTTCGCTTGTAAAAGTTGAAGTCTAATATTGCTAATTTATTCTTTTTTATGAATCATAGTGCAATAATTGATTTTGAAGTTTCACTAAATAAATATTATAGCCCATACCCCTATATAGATTTCTTTAAAGAGCAAAATGCAATAGACAGTTCAATGACCAAGACAGATATCAAACGGATGAGTTTGATTTTATATCAGGAAGGGTTAAAAAGTTGCATATCAAAAAAGTTTGAAGGTGTGAATAAAGTTTACAAGCAAGCGCACCAATTTTTAAAATGGCTTTATTATTTTTAATTTAAGATGCCCTAATCGCTACAACCTTTAAAGCTATAAAGATAAGTGATAAAAAGATACTTATGTTTAAATTATGATTGAAAAAATCTATTAAAAATCTGATTCTTTGAAATTCAATACAAAAGCCATATAAAGATGGTATTGCATCATAAGGAATTTTATGTCAACGAAAATTAAAAGTACTACTACCTTTAAGGCAGTAAATAGAATTAGCAGAGCGATACTTATGCTTCCAATATGATTGAAAAAAATCTTTTAAAATTTGATTCTTTGAAATCTAATAAAAAATCATTTTAAAGATGGAGCTCATTATATAAGGAATTTTTTTTCAATGAAAATTAAGAGTCGCTGCGGCCTTTAAAGTCAGCAAGAACAATAATGGAGCACTGCTTATGCTTCAAATAGCATTGATAAATTTCTATTAAAATTTGATACTTTGAAATCCAACTGAGAGGCTATATAAAAGATGGCATTGCATCATACAAGAAAATTTTATGTGAAATAAAAATTAAGAGTCACTACAATCCTTTAAAGTAGCAAAGAGAGCTAGCAGAACGATATTAAGTTGCGATTCTCGTCAGAAATAGTCTGCTTAAAATTTTACTTTATAGAAATTCAATTTAAAAGCTATATAAAGATGGGAATAAATTTTATGAATAATTTTTTTAAATAAAAATAAAGAGTGGCTCTTTAAGGCTTAAGAGAGAGTACTATCAGAATAATAATTATGCTTCAAATACCATTGAAAATCATCTATTAAAAGTTTGATTTTTTAAAATTCCATATAAGCAATATTAAGATGGGCTATATGTTATATTAAGAAAGAGATTATAATTTTATTTTCGGTGTTGTCAAAAAAGAATACCCTTTTTATATTGATTATATACGTTGAATTTAAAGCCATTTTTAAAATTTGCGCATTGCTTGTCAATTTTGCTCAAACCTGCCAAACATTTTTTTTGACAAGTCACTTTTAGTTATTTCTTGTATAGAGATTCAGCTCGTCCTTTTTGATAGAGTCTTTCTTGGCCATTCAACTGTCTATTACATTTTGCTCAATAAAGAAAACCTATATAGATTATAGACTATAGCTTATTTATTTTAAATTAAGCTTCAATGTTTAAACCAACCATAAATAATATTTTAAAATAATTAAATGAATGAAAATTCTAGACATGCCCATACACTTTCCGAAAGAACAACTCTCAAAATCAACCAAATTATTAATAGTCCTACACAAGTTAGCTTCCCCGTGAAGCGAGTAATAGAGTCAATTACAGAAAAAAGCGGTAATAATAGAACATCTCAAAATGCCAAAAGGTTTCTGCCTTTTGTTGCAGAAAGAGGAACATTTGGTAAATTTCTCCCAGCCCTCAACCTAAGCTCCGACACGAAGAAAATTGAAAACACTGATCAATCCATCCTAGAAGACAAAACCAAGTTAAACTCTTCTACAGCCCCTGAAATATTTTAGATCATTATTGGCCATCTATTTAATTTCCAATATTAATTTGCACTTGTTAGCTTTTTTGAAAAGTAAAAGCGAAAATGAAAAATCTCCGTTTATAGTTTTAAGATGCCTAATCAGACTTAGACTGTATAAGGCAGGTACCCTATACCATATTTTTTTCGGGTTGGTATTCTGCTGGGTTATAGAGATCTATTATAGTGCATAAATTATAAAACTGTCGTTGAAAAGCAGCAACATTTCAAGCTTGTTTCACCAAGAGCTTACTATCCTCCTCCTGTCGGCATCTATAATATAAACGCCGAAGTGAATAAACACGATATCAGCTTTCCTATCTCCACTTCCCCAAGACTACCTCCAGTAAAATCCTCAAAAAGTTCAACAGACTTCATTGATTGAGACAAAGCCTACACATTTAAAGACAAACACTCCGTTTTATATGACATGAAAAGGGTGACAGGAAGAGAAAAGCACTACGTGAATAATAGCCATAGAGATGCTATGAGCTTAATTAGTGCAAAACTGCCTGACAAAATGCCAAATCAATATGGGCTGCTTGCTGATGTTGATGTGCATGGATACATGAGTGAAATCAGCCATATTGAAAAAGATGTGAGAGATAGGCTTAAAGATATTAAAAAAGCTCATAAAAATTTAGTAAAAACCATGCTAATTTAATATGTCAAATAATGAATTAGATTGATTTGAGTTTGAAACCAGAATGAGAACTCTGGTTACTGAGCTGATTGAGCCTTCTATTCAGCGAATAGGAAAAGAGAAAGAAACTATCGAAAAAATATTGACAAAACAGAAAGATACAAGAAAAAGATTGGCTCCATGTCAAATGACTGCGGAAATTTGATAGTGCAACATCTCATAGGGTAGAATTTGTTTGAATCATTTTTGATAGTGAGACATTTGACCGAAAAAACTGTTAAATTTCGACCAAACGGGTACACTAATTTAAAAATTTTCAACCAAAAGTACTTCGGTGAAATGGACACTATCAAAAAGGCACTATCATTGGTAGTGCGCCCAAAAAGATTGAAAACTGCAGAGTCTTTATTTGGTTCTGGAGAGCACAAGAGTGGGTGGATGATGACTATTGAAACTCAAATTCGCTATTTAGTAGAGAATTTCGCAGACCATAAAGAAGAAATCAAAAACGCTTTAAGTCTCTCAAAAAGGCAATTTGATGATTTGATTATTCAATTTAAAACTGTCAAAAACAGCTTTGCTGAATTAGATGTCAAAGTTAAGGAAAATAACGAAACAATTTCAGCATTGGACAGCAAATTAGACTCGAATTATAAAACTCTTACTGAATATTTAGATGCTAGTAAGCAAGATCTGAAAGAAACATACGATAATATGATGGCTGCAACTATGAGGTCTCAAAAAACTGCAGAAAGTGCAAGCACAAGAGTCAGCGATATTCATTCTCGTATAAATGATTTGTCAACTTATCAAGAAAAGCTTTCTTCTGCACAAAGAGAGTTTGCTATCCAGATTCAAAAAATCCAGCAAGAAAAATGCTCCGTCGAGCAACTATTAACGGAAACGCATAAGCATTCGTCAAGAATCGAAGAAGCTTATACAGTGAATAGACGCTTGGAAGATCAATTTATTGAGCTTATTCGCTATATTGATATTTATTTGCCAGACGAAGTTCAGATTTCAGTTTCAGATAATCTTTATACCTTCTTAGACGACGTTCAAATGATTAAATGAATCCAGTTTGAGGAAGAGCGTAGGAAGGATATAACTCCTTCTCCATGAGCAAACAAAAAAATTTTTTCCCGAAATTTAATAAATCCCAATTCGCGAAAATTGAAAAGCGAAAATTAATTTAATTTGCAAAATTTATGTTTCAAATGCAAGGTGTTTAAAATCCAACAATTAGCTAGTGATTTCATTATATTAATTATCATTTCTATATCCAAATATTATTTCATCATAAAAAATTTTATTGCACAAGAGGGAAAAAAATAAGGGTCTTCCAATTGTTTGTTCGCTCAAAGAGAGAGGATAGAGTAAGGAAAAAAGCCACAGATTTTGACAATCATAGCAATTTGAGAGGAATAATGAGAAAAGCTGTTGAAAATGCCAAAAGATCGGACACCAGAACTGAGGAAATTCGATATGGGCTGCTAAAACTAAGACATCAGACAATAGAAGAACAAAAGCCAAAAGAAGAAGAAATTAAGCAGCCGAAAGAGATTTTTAAAAGATCACAGCCAAAAAATGAAGAACCTTCTAAAGAAGATATGAAAACAGTCAAAAAATTTTTCCTTGATGATGACACATGAAGAAAAGCAATTTCAGATGAGATAAAACTAATGAGAGAACTGATTTCACATGAGCAGCTTAAAATCGAAACTTCAAGCAAAGAAATTGTGAATATCAAAATTGAGATGAAAGCGAAGTTCGATGAAATGAAAATTGATATTGAAGTAATGCAAAATGAGTACGTTGATCTAGATAAAAGAATTAAATCAGCTGATCTTATTGTGGAGAAAGGCAATGCAGAGCTTCGAAATAAAGTGAATTCTGTTAATGAGCAGTTAAAAGAGCTCGGAAAAATAATCCCTAATTTAGTAGAATTCGACTTGATGGCCTGCTCTGCGCTTTTGTATAGCAATGAAGATGAAGGAATAAACAGCAAAGAAATCTCTCCAAAAAATAAAGAAACTAGAGAGAGCACAATAAATTTACCATCAATTAGCTCAAAAAGATCCTCATACCTAGAGGTAGAGGGCTTAAAACCTAGCTCTCAACTGCCGAAGCTAGATATAACAAAATTAATAGCAGGCTATTTTAGCTCAGCCCAATGCAAATTTGAGAATACAATTTATTCTCGAAAATCACTTATAGATAAAATGGAAAATTTGATTAGGCCTATATGATTCTCAATTTTCTCACAGATACCAGAAATGATTGCCAAAAAGCATTTTAAAAAAGGGAATAAATCAAAGCACAGACAAAATTTAAGCTTTTCTGTTAGCAAAGATGCTGATAATGTTTAATAAAGTAATTTTAAATGTTTTAACAATAAAGCGTTATAACCTTGAAGTTAATATCCTTAAGTTTAAAAAACCTTTTTCAGTAAAATCGTTTCTAGAATAAAGAAATAACGTTCAAAGAAGGTAAAATATCAAATAAAGCTTTATATGGCCAAGAAGAATAGATGAATCAGTGTCAAAATGAAATTACAAGTCTAAAATTGTTACCGATAGGAAATAGTTATGATCTTTCAAATGGCTCCATCAGTGGGTGGTTCTCCCCATGCATCCATAAGCTTGTCTTGCTGCCAGTGCTTAGTCTGACTAGCATAATTGGATAAATTCGTTTTGGCCTGATCAATATATGTGCTCAGCAGGCAATTCACCAATTGATAGATCTATCCATCAGAAATATCTATATTCTATATCAGAAAAATGAAATATTTATACCAATTCATTGCGGATGAAGATTCTCTGCTTTTATAGCTTTTATTCTATTCACTATAAAGTTAATGAAAAAAAGCTCGATACAAAAAATTATTCACTATAAATGGATATCTGAAAACAATGGTGATACTGTTGTACATTAATATTAATTAAACTTATTGAAAAGCCTGCTATTAATTCTATAAAGACTATCTCGACCCATAAGGCTTCCCACTTGCTCGCCAGTTCGTATCTCATAGCATCGCTGATTGCTTCTGCCAGACAATGATCAGCACTTGCTATAGATAGTTAGGTGGTTCGCGTTACCTTGATGTACATCAATAGGCTTCCACAATAAAAAAATTCAAAAGTTGAATTTTCTAGTTAACTTCCCGCAAAACAGAAATCTGTAGCCCGGGGGGGAGTGACTCCTGGTTCTCACTGGAGAAAAGTTCCCATTGGTCAGGACGAACGCCACTGACTCTGCTAGGAAATCTGTTTGCAACTTCCAACCCAATATCATAATGAGGTATAAAATTGGAATTGGATTAAAGATGTAGTCATCCAGTTCGATATTGCGCTGCACAAACCAAGAAAAGCACGGCTGATACAGATTCCAGAGTATAATCAAGCTCCCTGCGCGCCCTGTACGATACAGCTGCAGGACTCAAGAGGGTGGGCTGATTGGCCATACCATTTTAATTTATGATACGTGTCGTACAAAAATTCCATCAAAAAGAGAAAAAATAGCTAACTCCCCCACCTCCGTGAGTGAACAAAACCATTAGAAAAATCCCTATTTTTTGCCCAGAAAACCCACCTCCGTCAGTGAACAAAAAATTTTTTACGGAAAAAAAATTTGATATATAAACGAGAATTAGTATAATAAATCTAGAGCTAATTCTATTTAATTTTAAAACGAATTGCTTTTTAAAACATAGATTTTATAAATTAAATTAATATTTGCTTTCCAATTTTTGCGAATTAGGATTTTTTTTTTTAAATTTCGAAAAAAAAATATTTTCTATTAAATTTATATTTAAATTTTTTTTTAAAAAAAAAAAAATTAACCCCCTCCGTGAGTGAACAAAATTTTTTTGTTCACTCACGGAGGGGGGAGTAAGAATTTGTCTATTTAAAAGTAAAGAAAGTATTTCAGATAGCTTTGAGAAAGTTCTAGCACTGTTGCTATGAGCTCGCTAAATTAATAAAAATACTTGAGAGGGTTTAGAACTTTTGAATTTTTAGATCTTACAGAATATAAAACTATTGAGATTTAAGCGCAGCTCAAATATGCCTGATGTAGTACAATGGTCCAAATCTACTTGTCTCCTAGCAAATGAGTGTCTCGCATTATGATTCTATAAAGTGTTAGACTGATCTGTTTTTAAAATAATCCATTGGATTGATATCCATGAATAAACAATTTTTAATCTAATTAGTAAATAATTCATAATAGATGAATTTTCTAGCATCAAAAATCCTATTAGCTTCTTTATTTATTCTTTCAATGACTTGCATCATATTTCTTGTATTCTCCTCTTACCAGAATCAAAATTACATAAAAATCTCCCACTTTAAGAATGCTTTTGATATTGATGATCCTTATATTAAAGAAAGCTATTGGCTAAATACTTCTGAAAAATCTGACATAGAGAATAAACCTATAAATATTTCTGATTCTTTGAATACCCAAACAAACCCAATTGATCATCGTAATAAATTAAACGATACACAGATTCCAAATAAAATTGATGAAAAAATAAAAAGTTCTGATACTTTTGAGATTTTCAAAAAAGATGAGGAAAATCATACAGAAGATAGGATTGAACAAAGCAATAAGGAAAATGATAAAGAAAATGCTGAATTTAGTGTTGGTGATGAAAATATTCCTCAAAATTATTGAAGTTTAGCAAAGAGTCTTATGGCTTGAAATGATGATGCAATTGACTCCATAAATACTGGAAAATTTGAAATGAGTCCTGACATTTCGAGTTTTAACAATGTCTCTTGTGTGCCGGATGCGCTTGGCATTAATTCAGCTGATTCTGTAAAATTTTATAACCCAAATATTACTTTTAAAAAATGCAATGATGGAAATCCTCCTTTTATGTGACTAGAAGAAAACAAGTGATTTTTATATAGTTCACTCGTAATGAATTGCACTGATGAACCCAAATATGCTCTTGGAAGTCCTCCAGAAAACGAGGTTTTAGGTCTGCCAATTGCCCATCGAAATAATTGGATTCCATATATGTCCCCAGTCGATATTGGAAACACTGAATATGTCTATGGCCGTTGTGGTGGTATTCATCAATCTATTCTAAAAAACAGAAGATCTGAAACAGCTGCGGATAGAGCTAAAAATATAGCCTCCCAAATTAAGTCAAGCTTGAATTTAAAGCATGTAAGACCTTTAACTGTTGTCTATATCTTAATTGATTCAGTATCAAGATATCATTTTTATAGAAGCTTGCCAAAAACTATTGATTTTTTAAACACAGATCTTGTTTATGGAAAGTATAAAAATAATTTTGTTGGGTATGATTTTATTATAAACAATGCAATCGGAGGGAATACTCCTCCTAATATGGAAACAATAATTTATGGCCACAATAAAACTGTTCATGATAAATTATTGGATAAGGCTAATCCAAGAAGATGATATGATAAGCCAAAGTTTGATGAGGTTCAAAAAGAAGCAATCTGAAGGATTTTTGAGAATTATGGCTTTGTGACAGCAATGGGATATGAAACTGTATGGGAATATGCTTCAACTATGTATGGCCGATATGTTTATACTGACCATAGGATTTTTAATTTTATTACTGCTGGATCTCCACTATTTCGATATAAAGATAACACAGAAAAGCAGCGATGCTACGGAACAAAAGATCTTCATCGCCATTTATTTGAATATACAATAGACTTTATAGACAACTATTCAGAAATAAATAAATTCATTTATTTACACCTTTCGGAAGCTCATGAAATGACTGGAACCGTCATTCGTACAGTTGATTCTGATCTAATTTGACTCCTCTCTTCAATATTTGAAAGATTCAACGCAAAGACAGATGAGGATGTGGTGATACTACTTGGATCTGATCATGGATTATATTCATCCAATTGGGATGATCGCTTTGAAAGTACAATGGAAAATCATCTACCTTTTCAGTTTCTATTTGCAAATAAAAAGATTATTTCGAGATTAGGCCCTCATACAAATGAAATTTTAAGAAAAAATACACAAAGGATCGTAGGGAGATTTGACTGATTTTTGACTTTAAGGCAGCTTGCTGTTACTCCTTATACTAGATTAACTGATACAAGCTTTATATATAATGAATGAAAACAAAATATTCCAGCTTCTAATGCTCATAGTGTATTTGTAGAAAAATCGCTTGACAATAGAACTTGTAGTGAGCTTGATACAACTGAAAATCATTGCAGCTGCCCAAACTGAAAAAATATTGATAAAAATGATGAAGAGAAATATTTTCATGCCAAAACTTTAATCGACCTAGGAATGAATTTAATAAATGCTCAAATCAATAAAACCAAGGCTTCCCATTATTGTGAATCTTTAAGTTTTAAAGAAGTAATTGAAATGAAATTTTTAAATTGGAGTGATACAGCTTTTATAAAATTGCTCAGATATAAAATCATTATCCATGTCAATGAAGATAAAAATGCATTATTTAAGATATATGGACAAATTTCCAATTCAAAAGACCTCCAAAAGGAAGATGAAACCCACCCAGTTATTCAGACCCCTTTTTATAGCTCTATTGACTATGCCCAATTAAGAAAAATTGAAAGAATTAATTTTAATCATAATTATTGCAATCAAATTGGAAAAGAGCATAGCATTGATGAAGGATGATGCATTTGTAGTGAGCGTGGACTGGAAAATTTCTTTAAAAATGATAAATTGGTTAACCAGTATTTGAGAACCAAAACAAGATTTTCTATCAATGTTGGATCTAAAAGCTCAAGTTGTGAAACAACTTGTAATAAAATAAACAAAGGATGTGAAAATCTTGAGTTCGCATTATTAAACTCTAAGAAATTCTTGCAAGAATACTGGCTAGACTATGTAACTAATGATAAAGATTACATAATTATCAAAGAAGCCATATACATAAAATGGCGTATGGCGACCGACCCACCCTCTCAGTGGTGGTTACCCATGTATATCCGGGCATGGTTTTTGGAGCCAGGAATTAGCCCAACAACGTCTGGGACCTCGAAGCGAGAGGCCTAAGCGCGAGAGCCGCTGTTTTTGCGACCAGACCCATGGGCAGTTATTCGTGACTTCTTTATGCCAGCAGCGCTCAGCCCAGTGAGTGCCCGAAATGAGGCAGGGCGACTTACCTGCCTAAGCTGCTTTAGTGGCTCGCCCGAATGGCGAAAGCTGTTGAGTTCTTTCTCGGGATGACCGGAAAAGAGGGGAGGCGAGTTAGACACCAAAACGGGGGTCTCTCCAGTTGAAAAGGTGCCCTTCAATGGGCAGATCTGGCGGACGACGAAGCGGAGTTGGCGTAAACTTAGGCGACGATCCAAGTTGGAAATGGAGGTGGTCAGCAAAGCCGGTATAAGACGGCCCTTGACAATACCTCTACCGAGAAAAACCGGGGGTTTCGGCCCGGGCTTGGTGAACGCTCTGCCACCACTCGGGAAGCCGTGGCATGCGACCTCGGACGTAGTAGGGACCTTAAATACCCAGCGTAATCTTAATCTTAATCTTAATCAAAGAAGCCAAAAAAGAAATAAATAGCGACATATTAGGAGTAGAAAATAAAGCAATTCATATATTTAGCAATCCCACATTTTCATGCAAAGTTTCTAGCTCCCCCTCCGTGAGCGAACAAAAAAATCTTGTTCGCTATTGGAGGGGGGTTAATTTTTTTCGAATTTAAAAAAATCCTAATTCGCAAAAATTGGAAAGCAAATATTAATTTAATTTGTAAAAAAATGTATGGTGTATTTACCTTTCATCGCTATAAGTTTTTATATATTATATTTATCCATTATTGTAATAAAAATAATTAATTCATTAATTCTAACCTATGTTTTAAAACGTAATTTGTTTTTAAAATTAAGCAGAATTGGCTCGAGATTTCATTATACTAATTATCACTTATATATCAAAATTTTTGTTCTCTCACGGAGGGTGGGTTTTTGGGCAAAAATATCTTTTTTTTCTAATGGTTTTGCTCGCTCACGGAGGGGGGGATTAAGCGGAATGTTAGACCAATCTGTCCTTGTGCTTAAATACCTTATAATTTTCAGCATTATTTGATTAATTTATACTTAGCAAACAATCAATAAAACTTAAGAGATAAACATTTTATCTGCTGACAATGCTTTCCTCAGCAGCTCATCTAAATTCTTTTTGATTACTTTAATATTTTTAATTTCCAATTTGTCTTGTGATTGGTTCAGGCTATTCAAAATTTTTTCTTCTATAACCATTCTGTCAGTTCTAAATGCTACACTTATAACTTGGGAACTTGAGCTAAATGTTTTCATTTCGTAAGAGTTTGGTTCAGGTACAGTGCTTATTTCTTTTGATATTTTGAGAGCATTTTCAAGATCTTCATTAAACTGTTTTGAATTATCAATAAATCTTTCGTTATGTTGAGATAAGCGATATTGCTCAACTGTCATCCCCAAGGATATTGCTAATGCAGTCTCTACATCATCTTCTCCTTCGCATTCTTGGCAAGGGATATCAATTGGCTGGAGTCTTGGCTCGGTTGATGATTCTTTAGACGAAAATTGTGTAATATCCTTAATCCCTGTGACCATTTTCTATAAAGAGTTTTTTTGTTTTTATTAGACACAGTCAGCAATTAAGAAACCCAATATATACTCAGGTGCAAGAATTTATAAAGCTCTTATAATTTCATCAAAAATATGCAGAAATTAATTGCTTTAAAAGAAATATAGAAATTTCACATAGATGGCGCAGTTTGCCCTTGATTTGCCCACTGGGAAAATTTTTTGGTTCGACCAGTACCATATGGTTTGGTCAAACCAAAAAATTTTTTCAGTGGGCAAATCAAGGGCAAACAGCGCCATCTATGGGAAAATTCTATATTTTTATTTTGAACCCATAGATATATCGGCTAAACAGCGTTTTCTCATAAGTAGAGGAAAAGAAAGCAAACATTAGGAAATATTATTCAAAGCAGTGCTATATATCTTCAGGATACTTAATGGCTTTTATAATATTTTAAGAATAGGTTTTACATATATTTATTATAATTTCAATAAGCTTTTGAGGTAATTTGGGACTTCTTCTTCATTTTTGATGTTTTTATGTTTTGCTATAGCAGCTCCAACAAATTTGAACATAATATTTTCAGAAAATTTGCAAATACTTAAGATATCCCCTGCTATATCATTTGTCATCTCAATTACGACGTCTTCAACATACTGCAGTGTGACAATTCTCATGAGCTGTTGGATAGCAAGATAATCAAGTGTTCCTTCAATAACTTGCGACTTGTGCTCATAATAGTTTCTATTTTTGTTTATTATATCTAAGTCACTTTCGAATTTCGCAATTTTCTGCCAAGTTTCGTCAACTAAATCATAGACAAGCTCTTTCATGGCTACATAAGTATCCAGACTTAAATCAGGTCTTTCTCTTCTTATGTCAGCTTCTCCATTATATGGTCGATTTATTCATTGAATATATCTCAAAGTTCCTTCTTTCTGGTCCCTGACCCTCCCCTACTCCGTAAGAGAGCAAAACCATTGTTAAAATTCAAGGTTTTTTTATCAGAAATAAGCCATTTCCTTGTAATTAAAAAATCTAAAAATTTATGCATCCTTATCCTCATAAGCAGCAAGAAAAACTTGCTGATGGGAGGAATCGGCTTAAAGAGTGGCATTTTGGAGAGTTAAAAGGTTATCCTCCAAGCCGATTTCATCTCATTAGCAAGTTTTCTCGCTGCTTATGGTTAGGCTAAAGCTGTATAAAAATTTTAATATTAAATAAAAATTTATAACAAATTGCATTTTAGTTTCAAAATTTTGATAGTTTACAAAAAGAAATTTTTATACACTGTTTTTAATCATCATCATCATCATCATTAATTATAGCGGGCAGAGCCTGCCGAAAACCCTTATGGGTTTTTTCACTAATAATCAGCGATTTATACCTAACTGCTTGGGTTTTTTCCCTTTTTTTCCAGGATTTTTGACCACTTTTCGTGTTTTCCTCCTTGACGATAGACTCTACACCGTTTGGTCTATCAAGATCTGTCATTTCATGCGCTACGGGCGTCCTCTTTCTTTTTTGCTTCTTTTTCTGCTTCTTCGTCAGCCTTATCTTTTCCTTTTTCTTCTAGTTTAGGATTTTCTTTTGGCTTTCCTTTTAATTTCTTCTTATCTTTGCTTTCTCTTGTTGCTGATTTTTGTTCAAATAAGTTTTTAGTTTGACTTTCAGTTGGGTTTTCACTTAGGACTTCAATTGAGTCTCAATTTATAACCGGGGTTGCCATTTCTTCATTGCTAGCTCATCTGACCCTTCTTCACTTTTCTGGCATTTCGCGCCCTCTTAGATTTTGCCGCATTTTTATTACTTTTCACTTCTTCAGTCTTTTCTTCCATCCCTTCGTCTTCTTCCTTTTTAATCTCATACTCTTTCTTTAGTCTTAACTCCAAACTGTACAATCCTGCAGCCATCATCAACTCTCCATGATCCAAAACTTCTCCGTTACGCTGTGCAATCATTACCCTTATGCTCTCCTCTCATGCTCTTTCTTCTTTATAATTCTCATATTCCTTCACTCCCCCTTCATCAATTTCTTCGCCTAGCATTTCTTCATCACCCAATTCATCTTCTCCTGTTAAGATTCCTGGCGTAAGCAATGCTACTGCATGCTCCAGATCACCCTCACATATAGCTAGTGCTTCTCTAGCCTCAGCCTCGCCATAACCTAAGTCTTGCAAGATTTCAGCATCAATTTCAAATCCTTCAATTTCATGAATTTCTCCCATTGACTCTTCATCAGTTCCAAAAAAAATAAAACTGTAATTTGAATTGATTTCATCAAAGGTTTCGTCACAAACTCGCAATCCTTGATCGAATTTCAAGGCAGATTTTTTGTGTCCCACACCCTTTTTCTTCCATCAATTCCTGATAAATAAAAAAGCAATGTTTTTAATCAAAAGAAAATTCTACTTGAGCGAGCAAAATTTTTGCTTGCTCACAGAGGGAGGGAAAGTGAGAGCTTTAATTCTGGCATCTAAGTGGTTTAATTCGTCACTCACTTCTGATAGGATTTCATGTGTAGGCTTATACATCTCATCGCTTGAAATTTCAATTTTTCCTAGATTTTGCATAATTAATTCTTTTGGAGGAGCTTGGCCAAGTTCAATTTCAGCTAAAAAGTCAACTCCTCTTTCAACTAATTTGGCATGAATTTGTTTTTTTTTAAGCAGATCTTCGTGCTTGCTCAGGATTTTCCATCTTTCTTCATTCAATTCTTTAATTTTTTGCTCTTGATCAAGTAAATTTTGCTGCTGCTCCCTTTGTCTCTTTGCGATAATTTCATCAACCATTCTTTTTCTTTGCTTTTCCGCATGGTCTCCTCCTTCTTCAAGTGCGCTTGCAAGCAATACTTGGTTTTGCCTATCTAAATCCCCTCTCTTCAAAGCTTGATCAATATTTTCTGCCTTGCTGATTATTCTTTCAAGATTTTTCAAACTCTTATAATCTCTTCGTTCCTGTTCTTCTTTAATCGCTTCCAAGCGTGTGTTTTCTCTTAATCCCTGAATTAGTAATGAATATTTTTTATTAGTTATTTAATAAGAGCTAAGCTTAGACAATTTTTTATTAAATTATTATAATTAATAAATAAAATGCTTCAGATGTGGAGGCAAAATGCAATATATTAAAGAGATTTATAGTAGCCCAGCTATTATTTAAATTAATGTTTTTGTAATAATTTTGATGGCTTATTGTCGATATTTAAATTAGTTTTGGTAAAACTTTATAGATTTGCTCTTTATTAATTAGGGAGGACTAGAGCAATGTTTTCAAGATCTTTTTTCTTATCTTGAAGTTTTTCAAGCTCAATTTTTTTCTTTACGATTTCTTCTAAATGATTCAGCCTTGTAGCTTTCATCAATTCTTCTTCAAGAGTGAGCTGTTTCTTTCTTATTTCGATTTCTCTCAGTCTGAAATCTGCGACTTGCTGTTTAGTATTTTCAATTGCTTCTACATTGTTTAGCTTTTCTGTTTCAATTTCTCTATTTAATAGTTACTTAAGTCTTTCCTTTAGCCTTCTTTCTTCCCACTCCCAATCATTGAGTTTTTTTTGTTCAAGCTGAGCTTTTTTCAGCTGCAATTGCTGCCTTTTTTTACGAAACTAGCTAGCGATTACATCATCTTCAAGCTTGAGGACATCTTCTTCCTCTTTTTCCAGTTCAAGTTCCCATTCTAAAGGCCTCTGAGTTAGTTCCATTTATTCTAAATTATTAAACTTAATTGTATACAAAATGTAAGTATGCAGTTGCAGCTCAATAAAATCTCTATAGCCTTGCGCTTTATTCTCACTTGGACTTTCTCTATATCTTTCATCCAGTAATGGGGATGATTCTACTTGCAGTCCAGCTTGCTCAATTTCTGTTATAAAAACAGGAGTCATTTTTCGCTTATTTGGCATAATTATATAGCAACTTCCTGTTTGAGCTAAATGTGCTGCAATAGTTCGAATCAACTCTCTTATTGGAGCTCCATCATAAATAAGATCGCTCCCTATTATGAAATCAAACCTTGTATCCAAATAAGTGCTTGCATTTGTTCAATCCATATATTTGATGCTAACTCTTGCATGATTTAACGCTGCGTTTTCTGTCATATTAGCAATGACTCTCTCGTTATAATCAGTCAAAACTACTTCTTCAAAATTTCTATACTTACTACAAGTGATCCCTGCTAGTCCAGAACCACTTCCTAGCTCTAATATTTTCCCATGCAGATTCTCAGCCCATAATACAAATCTTGCAAGGACTATGCCTGATTCTCATTGGTGAACACCATCATTGCCTGTTTGGAAGAAAACTTGGTCTTTTATATCAATATTTTTGTTTTCTTCCAATAATATGTGTCTTATAACTGGAGGAGGAAGATTCATCCTTGTCAGATTTTAAAAATGGAAATATGGAATTAGCTGATTTTATAACTAAATAATGGAAGCACCATCATGGCTGATACTAGGAGGTGTTGGATATATTGGCCGTAACTTGGTAATGCATCTATTGGAGAACAATCTCGCATCTCATATTACAGTTGCAGATAAAGTCGTTCCAGCCATGGCTCATTTGCATCCTAGATATGAAGAAATTTTTTCCAGAGTTGAGTTTGTCCAAACTGATTTAAGCCGAAACCCTGCCAAGGCATTTACAAGAGAATTTGACTATATAGTCAACTTAGCAGGCGAAACTCGCTCTGGCATGCCAGAAAGTGCTCACAGGCAGAGTTCTGTAGGTGTCATAAGTGCTTGCAAGGATAGAGTTGGTAGAGCTAAATGGATAGAAATTTCAAGCGCTAAAGTGTATAGAAGCTCTAATAGACCGAATAATGAAGAAAGTTCTCCTGAACCTTGGACTCTTGAAGGAACTTGGAGACTTAATGCAGAAAGGGCACTTGAAGGAGTAAATCATGTCGTTTTAAGACCTGGGCTTGTTTATGGTAAAGGAGATTTAACAACACTTACCCCAAGAGCGGTTCTTGCAGCTGTCTATAGAAGGATGAAGAAAAAGATGAAAGTGCTTTGGGGATCTGATTTGAGAATTAATACAGTCTATATCAGCGACTTGATAAATGCAATCGTTCACACTATCTCCCATATCCTTAAGAGACCAACCATTGGAGAATTTGGGAAAAACCCTTTACTCCCCCCCCCTCCCTCCGTGAGTGAACAAAACCATTAGAAAAATCGCTATTTTTGCCCCAAAAACCCACTCTCCGTGAGTGAACAAAAATTTTTTTAATACAAAAATTTTTTTTATGGAAAAAAAATTTGATAATAAATGATAATTATTATAATGAAATCTAGTGCTAATTCTGTTTAATTTTAAACGAATTGCTTTTTAAAGCATAAAATTTTATAAATCAAATTAATATTTGCTTTCCAATTTTTGCGAATTAGGGATTTTTTTAAATTTCGAAAAAAAAATTTATAAAAAATTTATAATAGAAATGCTCTTAAAATAAAAAATTAACCTCCCTCCGTGAGAGGGGGGGAGTTAGAACAATCAAATATATTTAATAAAAATATATTATGATATATGATTTATAATAAAACCGCTAGCAAATTCATTAATTTAGTTAGCATGTATTCGCATAAATTGAAAGAATTTTGTTTTCGAAATTTCAACCTAAAAAGCTCCAAGTCAAAACATCAGGCTCGCTCTATGAAAGGAGGAAATAAGGATCTAAATGGAGTTTTTAACGTAGCCGACCCTAGCAATACAACTCAAGAAGATGTCAATAGAATCTTGCAGGATTTATTCAAAGTAAAGTGCTCTTATTATTCAAGGACGATATCAAACTTGGCATCACTGCATGCAGTGGCCGAAGAAGCAAATCAAATCCACATGGCTCCTTGGGCAGAACTCTGTGCTGAGTCAGGCGTTGATTCACCAATTTCTCCTTTCGTTGAAGAAGAAAATCTGAATGGAAGCCACATTTGTGTGGATGGGTCAAGAATCACGCAAACTGGATTTGCTTATCAACATCCTAGGATCACTGCTGAGCTGTTAACAGAGAGTTTAGGATTATTGATAGAAGCAGGTGTTCTTCCAAATATATTAAACTCTAGTTAGCTAATCTATTAATTTGAAACAACCATATAGGATTGTTTATTTAGTGGGATTTCAAGCAGATTTTCGAATTGCAGCCATCACAGTAAAAATACCCCATATATTTTCGCTTCAAATTGCAGCTGTCACATTGGAATTTTTTCCCTTGAAAAACTGGAGTCCATATTCTGCGTTTCGAGCATGAATTGCAAGTTTTTGAAGGAGAGTTTTCGTCTTCGAAATTGCTATAGCAGCTATTGCAAACCTCCATTCCACATCTTCTGCAATGGTAGCATGCACCGTTTTCTGCATCAATCCATCCTTCACATACAATGCAAAGAATATTTATAGGCTCATCTGCACTTACAGAATTATAAAAATCATATGCATTCACTTTTTTCAGAGCGTGGCTTTCCTTGCAAGCCAAAGGAACTGAATCTTCTGGAATAATTAAAAAGTCTGCACAAGACTGGCAAATAAAGGTATTGCAGACATCACATCTATAGTGTGGTAGACTAAATTCGTAGCTACACACTTCGCAGAGATGAGGCGATTCAGATTTTTCTGGTTTTAAAATGTGGCCTAAAGAGCATTTATATTCTGCTTCCGTTGCTTGGGAAACTTCAGTGGCCAACTCGGTTGCATTTTTAGATTCTTCTTGAGGTTTTTGGCTTTGAATATGAGTATTTGTAGGAAGTGGGTTTGCTTCATTTGGATTATTAGATATTTCAGCAACCGAGTTCGTTGAGACTTCTTTGCTTATTTGGGTCTGTTTAGCTTGCTGGCTATTGCTCACTAAATTGATAATTGGCTTCTCTTCTTTAGGACCTAGCTTTCCGCTATTTATCGATTCTTGATTTGCTTTATTTATTTGATCAATTTTCGAATTATCTGCAGTGCTTAGGTTTCCAATTTGAATTTGAGTACCTATTGTGCTTTCTTTTTTATTTTCTGGCAGTCCTATTTCCTTACTAGCCGGAATTAATTTTTTCCTCATATCAGATGTACTCACCAATTCTGTGTGTCTTTTTGAAACTTCTTCAATAAATGATTTGCTGTCTATGCTTGTAGCGGTGCCAAGAATTCCGTCTGCATTGATTTCAGAAAGTGCTTCTGCTGCATATGAAAGTTTCATGGCTGCAATTTTGACGCTTTTCGCATCCTCTTTTCCAAATTTAGCCAAAATCATTTCTTCAGCTGCTATTTCACCGACACTTTTGTAGAGAAAAACAAGCTCTTCTCGTGTTAAAGTGCCTGAAGAATTTTTGAGGATGCCAAAGATAAGCTTTGCCTTGTCATTTTTTGTAGGATCCTTTCCGAGCAAAGCAAATGCAATTTTTAATTTTGGAAAACTCGATAAAAGACTCTTATAAAAGACAGTCTCAGAAGAATTGGTGTAAGAGAGCTTATTTGGCAGCTTAAAATGATCAAGAACTTCTGATAATAAGGGCTGGAGATTTTTGGCATCTTTTTGAATGGTTGTGAGCTTATCAATCAAGTTTGAGGAAGCGATTTTGTAAAGCCCAAGGGTTTTTACTACTTCTTCTATTTCTCTTTCATTAATATCGGTGGATAAGGAGGCACTGTTGGATCCACAGCAACCCATATTAAAATAAAGAAGCATTAAGCGCAATTGCATCTCAGTTTGGAATATAAGGGCATCTGGCAGAGGATGGCTCTAGCTTAGGGAGCTGATTCTTAGGCTAGATAAGTTTCGCCAGAAAATTCAAGTGTGTGGAATTTGGCTAGGCCTTACACCATTTGCACTCAGATGCATATCTACCCAACGTAAGCCATCTTTCTTGGAGTCAAAGCAGTCCGGCTAGTGGGACCGCCTATGGCCTTATAAAACTTTTAACTACTTTTTACTTTAACTTAAGGGCAAAGAAATAGAATGGTGACGCTGACGGAAGATAGAATTCGAGGCACACTCCTTATGGAGCAGGTAGGACCCGTCCCGATGAAGCTGAAAATAGTGCCTCTGTTACTTTTGAAATAGGAATTCGGTTGCGGAAGAGGGAAGTTTTGTTTCTGAAGGTTTTCCTGTTCCTGCCAGATGGCTAGACAGGTTTCGCCTCCACTTAGTCTTTGCCTATCAGAACTAACGTGGTACCCGCAAGAGGTTAGCTCTCGCCTAGAGAGAGCTAATCCTTAGGCTAGATGGGTCTATGCCAGATAGGTAGGCTAGAGGTCTATCCGCTTATGGCTTTATAGCACTTAGCTTACTTAAGCGCAAAATGTAGGGAATTTTTAAACCGCAAAACGGTTGCAATATATATTTATGAGGCAATTTCTCTTTTAAAATGGTGCTTGCTTATTATATAATATTTTATGCAACTGCGTAAATCAGCTATTATTAGTGATGATCCAGCCCCAAGCAGCCTAAGGCACCAAAGCTCAAAAATGCTGGTACCTCAAGGGGTCGGAGAAATTCTCTTATCAATGTCTAAAAGTTTTTCCGAACTTTTGAGCATCGAGAATCTGTCTATTGATATGCTGAAAACCACTGTAATCCAAATCTGTAAGTCCCTTACTGGTGCATCTTGAATTGAAGTTCTATTTAGAGAATGCGATTATTTGACAGTGAGTGGGAAATCTCAGCCAGTCTCAGAGTTGAAAATTAACGAAACTTCATTTCCTGGTTACTGCGCACTCCACAAGACTCCACAAGCTATAAACAACCCTAACTCCTCCTCATTTTATTCATCATTCGAGCACAAGCTTTACCCATACTCAAATCTTGGAAACCAGCAGATGCAAGCCAATTCAGTAGCTTGTGTGCCAATTGTGAAGAACGAGAATACCAAAATAGTACTTCTACTATTCAATAAGCTTGATGAAAACAAGTCCATGAGCTATTTTTCTGAGAATGATATGAATATCATTCAAGCCATTGGAGAAATGATGCTTGGGGTCTTAGAAATCATCAACCACTGCAAGGACCTCCAAACCAAAAATTTTGACTTGAAAAGACTTGATGAAGAAACAATTCACGTCACAAACTGCACCTCCAATATGCTTGTGAGGAGAAAATTGCTTGAAAAATGCATACAGATCATAGACGAGGAAGGAGCATTGACCAATTCCATTGTGAAATTGATTGGGGAAATCATGGAAGGAGACGGAGTGATTGTTCACGTGCTAAAGTCTAACGCTCTCTCACCTGCACTTGTATGGGGTCTTAATGATATTACGACATCAACCAAAACTGCTGAATATACCGGCATGGTTGTCAAAGAAATTTTAAATGTCAATGACCTGGCAACAGAACCTCTTTGGGACAAAGAAAAGAAAATCAAGATGAGAGGATTGATTTCCTGTCCGGTTTTTAATGAAAATAATGAAGTGATCTCAGTCATTGAATTTTTTAGAAAAAACAAACCATTTTCATCCATTGACGAGAAATTTGTGAAGCAGCTGATTAAAGCAGTTGAAAAAGTGCATCCTGATCGGTATATCACTAATATTACTGAGAAGAAGCCACCTAATTTGTCTAAGCCTCATGAAAGAGCAATTGATGCAAGAATCAGAGAAATCCGTCTGTTTAGTTTTAACCAAGACGACTTATATAACTACGCGAGTGTGTTAGAAGAAATCAGGACGAGCCTGAGACAGCTTGTGAGTTCTGAATGGTCGAGTGTATACATTGCAGACCAAAAAGGAGAGTTCTTATGAACCAGGCAATCCGAAGAATGTGACACTCTTACTCAGCTGATGTCTAAAGATACTTTGTTAGGATATGTTTATCATCACCAAAAGACAGTAGTGTTTCCTAATGAAATTCAACTATCTGACAGTTCAAGGTTTAATGACCAGTTTGCCGTCTGTGCTCCTATTATTAGCGAATTTTCAGACTATCCTGTTATTGGAATTGTTTTGCTTACAAGAATACACAACGCTTTTTCTCTACATGAAATTGAGACTCTTCAATCATTTTGCACGAAGATAGCTTCAAACTTTGAAAACATCTATCTTTATTCGGTAGAGTCACAAACTGTTGTTTGTGAGTGGCCTGAGTCAGTTGATATGACTCCAGAGGAAAACTTCAGAAGAGCAAATTCCAGAGCTAATAGCAAGTCAAGGCAGCAGCAGCATCACGGACGCCAAGAATTTCATGCTTTATCTCCAGCAAGCCCAAGTATACAGACTATGCCTCACAGCATGAATGACTTATGCAGCTTGTCTATGGTCCCTCAAAATAGGACATTTGAGTTAAAACAAATACTATCCGATATCAAGCACAACCCTGAAGCTTCATTAACAATTTTGGCTAGAAGGCTAAGACAGATAATACCTTGCCAAAACGCAAGACTTCTATTAATGGACCAAACTGAACAGCATCTGGTTGATGTAATTTCAGGAAGCTTAATGAAGCCATCAGGACTGCTAAATCAGTGTCTTCAAAGAAGGCAGGTGATTGCAATAAGATCTGGGGCCAGCCTAAACCCAAATTTCGATAAACATGTTGATAGCTTACTCCCCCCCTCCGTGAGTGAACAAAAAAAATTTTGTTCACTCACGGAGGGGGGTTAATTTTTTTTTTTTAAAAAATTTATATATAAATTTTATAAAAAATATTTTTTTTCGGAATTTAAAAACATCCTAATTCACAAAATTGGAATTCAAATATTAATTTAATTTATAAAATTTATGTTTTTAAAAAGCAATTCGTTTAAAATTAAACAGAATTAGCTCTAGATTTCATTATACTAATTATCATTTATATATCAAAATTTTTTTCCATAAAAGATTTTTGTATTAAAAAAATTTTTGTTCACTCACGGAGGGTGGGTGGGTTTTTGGGCAAAAAATAGCGATTTTTCTAATGGTTTTGTTCACTCACGGAGGGGGGGAGTTAGGAATTGATCAGCCGATCGAGAACTTTTTGGCAATTCCCATCCAAAGCATTCTTGACCACCCATTAGGAATTCTTGCATTTGCTAATGCTTCAATCAGTTTCGGAGAAGACGACTTAGCAATTGCCCAATTCTTATCACTCATTCCCCGTGAGTTTGCAATGGTCAAAGATGAATCATTAAAAGACTACCACAGCGTTTTAAGGATGGGAAGAAGGCACAAAATGCTGCAGCAGTGGTGCAAACAAGTCTTTTTCGTCGCAAACTCTGCACAGAACAAAATGGCCATCGCCAAAGATATTTTGCACACACTATTTGAAGAAGAAAAACTTGACGTGCTAATCAAGTCTGGGCTAGAAATCATTTGTGCACTCACAAATGCTGAAGAAGCAAGCGTGGTCTATAAAGAAAGCAACGAATTTGTTGAAGGACTGTTAGAAAGAGGGAGATACAATAAAAGCACACTAATAGAAGAAGAGCATTTGGTTATGAAAGCGCTGGATGTCGGCAGAAGCCTATCAATTGACTCTCAAATCAGCAAAGAGAATATGATAATTGTTCCTTATGTGCAAGAAAGATGCGATGTCGTCGCTTTGAAAGCATGGAATAAGCGAGATGACTCTCTTTCTTATTATTGCAATTTTAATAAAGAAGATGAAATCATCATATATAGTTTTGCTGGAGCAATAAGCGAAGCGCTTCAGATCTTTCATAATGATAGCAGCACAGAGTGCCTGAATAAGTTAAAACAGCTTATAAGGCAGCATGCTTCAAACTTAAACACCTATTCTTTGTTAAGCACAATAAGAAGTGCTTCTCAGAGGCTGCTAGATTGTGATAGAGCAACAATGTTCATCAGGGAAGGGAAGTGTATGGTCATCAAAGCACAAGGACTTGAACAAGAAATCCCAGTTGGCTTTAGCATTCCAATTGGAAAAGGAATTATTGGAAATGTCGCACAAACAGGTCAGACAGAAAACATCAAAGATGTATATGCAGATCCAAGGTTTAATCCAGAAGTAGATAGGTCAACTGGCTATAAAACTTCGACTATGCTGTGCATGCCAGTTTTAGACCCTCAAGGAGATGTTATTGCTGCTTTACAAATGATCAACAAGAGAAAAGGATACTTTGACAGCAGTGATGAAGAAACATTGGAAATTTTCTGCGAAATCATCTCGACGGTTTTGCAGAACTGGAATCTTTTCCAGCATCAAATTGAAGAAAGGTCAAGGTTCTTGAATATTTTAAACAGTATTGGGAATTATATTTTGGTGTTAAATACTGAAGGGATGCTTGAATATTGCAATAAATCATTCGAAAGCCTTTTTGGGGTCCCAGAAAAAATTGCAAGAAAATCTCACTATTCAAGTTGGCTGAGACAGAATAGACAGCTAGTGTATGATATCACAAGCATTTATCAAAAAACTTCGAAAAGGATCCACAGAGCCTCACAGAAAATCCTATCAATACCAATTAAAAGAACCAGGACATTGCCGAACTTAAGAAGTTTCAGCTTGCTAGATTCCAAAGATATGGTCGTTAACTACACCATTGCAGCACTCCAAGATTTCTTCAACCTGGATTCTTCTGGGATTGTCCTGATATTTGAAGATGCAACTGCAATTGAAGAGCTCAACATGAAATTCCTGAAAATGCAGAATGAATTGTTAGCACTTAAGAACCCAGTTTACTCAGAAACTTCACTTCAGCGCTGCATACAAAAGCTTGGCTTGATTGCGTCTGCATCTAGCATGGATTCTGATAATTCGCAGCAAATATACGAAATAGTAAAAACCTTGAAAGAAGGAAACCTCAACAGAGCTGAAGTCACTTTTCCTGCTGATTTACAAACACTAACTCCCCGCCCCCCATCCTTGATCGAACGACTCGCCATCGTTCGATCAAGATGGGGGTTAAAAAAAAATTTTTTCGGGAAAAAAAATTTATATATAAAATAAAAAAATATATAGATATTTTTTTTTATTTACTTTTAAATAAGAGGGTTAAGAATATTTAATCATTATTTTTACAGCAAAAAATTTAATTTATTTCATAAAATACCAATTTTAATATTTTGATTTATTAGTTACCCCTTTAAACTGTGTAAATTTAATTTGCTCCTTTATTAAATTAATTTTGTTTTAAAAACATTTTAAAGAATCTGTATTTTATTAGATTATTGAGTTTTTAAGCATATGTTAATGACTAAATCACTTCGAATGGTTGATTCCGCAGCTTTCTGTCGTCTCAAAGCCTCTGAAAACAACTTCATTATGCACATCTTCCCAAGCTTTTGATAAATAATATATTTTTATATATATTTGCATGATATGAAAATCGTTCGATCAAGGATGGGGTTAATTTCCCCAATTTTTAGGAATTTTTACAGTCAATCGTTTGATCAAGGATGGGGGCGGGGAGTAAGCGCAGAAATTAAGCAAGGTCTAAAAGCTTATGCAGGGTTAGAAGAAGTTACAGAGACTCCACGACTGCCAACCCCAACTTCCCGCTCCCAAAGAGCTAAATCAGACTTTTTGACTGTGAATATCGAAGAATTGCGAGATATTGACATAAACATGTTCGAAGTCGAAAACCATTTCCAATACGTCTTTTCTATGCTTGAAGATTTTGACCTTATCAACCAATTTAACATCCCTCAAGATAAACTTGAAAATTTTGTAGGAGATGTTAAAGAGCATTATGAAATCTATATGAACCCGTTCCACAACTTTAACCATGGGATGAATGTAATGCATGCATCATATCTTTTACTTGCTTCTACAGCAGGAGCCTCATTCTTTGGTCCACTTGAAATATTTTCATTTTTCATTGCAGCTTTATGCCATGATGTTGAACATACAGGAAAAACCAATGCTTTTGAAATGAACAGAGAAAGCCACTTGGCTATAATTTACAATGATAAATCAGTCCTAGAGAACCATCATGCAGCGATGACCTTCAAACTGTTGCAGTCTGATCGAAACAACATAATACAATCTCTTACACCAGATTTTAGAAAAACGTTTAGAAAACTCGTAATAGTCAGCATTTTAGGCACAGACATGGTAAAACACTTCCCAATGATTTCTAATATGAATGCTAGATTCAAAGATATGCATGAAAATCCTCTAGGCACCAGAGACTCAGATATTGATGACGTTGCAGCGTTTCTATTGCATTGTGCTGATTTGGCACATCCTTGCAAGAGGACAGACGTTTATCAAATGTGGTCACAAAAAGTATGTGAGGAGTTTACCAGACAGTATGAGGAAGAGGTACGAATTGGACTTCCGCCCACTGAAATTATGAAAGATTTGCATAAGCCTGAAGTTTATTATAGCAATGAGCTTGGATTTTTGAAGTTTGTTATTAAGCCGCTTTGGGAGTGTGCGAACTTGTGGCTGCATCCACACATAGATAAAATGCTGGAGAATTTGAATGGAAATATTGATTTCTATCAAAAACGTAAAGAAGAGTACGAAAAGCATGATAAATAGAAATTTATAATTAGTTTATATTAATATGGATGAGGCTCTAAATAGTTTCAGAAGCTTACTTACTCCCCCCCCATCCTTGATCGAACGACTCGCCATCGTTCGATCAAGGATGGGTTAACAAAAAATTTTTTTGGGAAAAAACTTTTATATATAAAAAATAAATATATATATATATATATATATTTTTTTATTTACTTTTAAATAAGAGGGTTAGGACTATTTAATAATTATTTTTACAGCAAAAAATTGAATTAATTTCATAAAAATACCAATTTTTAATATTTTGATTTATTAGTTACTACTTTAAACTGTATAAATTTTAAAGAAATCTCTGTTTTATTAGATTATTAAGTTTTTAGGCCTAGGTTGATGACTAAATCACTTCGAATAGTTGATTCCGCAGCTTTTTGTCGATTCAAAGTCTCTGAAAACAACTTCATTATGCACATCTTCCCAAGCTTTTGATAAATAATATATTTTTATATATATAAAAATTTGCATGATATGAAAATCGTTCGATCAAGGATGGGGGTTAATTTCCCCAAATTTTAGGAATTTTTACAGTCAATCGTTCGATCAAGGATGGGGGGGAGTTAGCGAATTTAGCCAAGATGACAACACTGCAAAGGAAAACTTGATTAACTCATATACAGCACTTGCTTATTCTGTTAAAAAGCCAGAAGATATTACAGAAGAATTTATTTTAGCTTTGCATCAATTTGCTGATCTGGATATAGCATTTCCCCAGTTTTTCGGATTTTGTGGATATGATATTTTGGAGCCAACTATTCTTTTGCAGATTATCGCATTTGATAATAAAACTGAGCCTCTAGGAACTATTTCTAATCTAATAGGAATAAAATCAAGGCCAAAAGAATTGCAAATCCAACTTAATGCTATTGCTTCATATCTTAGATCAAACTCTGAGGAACATCCTTTAGAGCAGTTTAGTGCGAGCCTACAAAATGAGCGCGAAGATGTGCTTAACACATTTAAAACAGTCATTCTATTTTATGTGCCATACATCTTGCAGAACCTTTCTAATAAAGATTTATCAAGAAGCTTACTCCCCCCCCCCCCTCCGTGAGCGAACAAAACCATTAGAAAAATCGCCATTTTTTGACCAAAAACCCACCCTCCGTGAGTGAACAAAAATTTTTTTAATAGAAAAAATTTTAATGGAAAAAAATTTTGATATATAAGTGATAATTAGTATAATGAAATCTAGAGCTAATTCTGTTTAATTTTAAACAAATTGCGTTTTAAAACATAAATTTTGCAAATTAAATTAATATTTGCTTCCCAATTTTTGCAAATTAGGATTTTTTTAAATTTCGAAAAAAAAATATTTTTTATAAAATTTATATATATAAATTTTTTTAAAAAAAAAAAAAATTAACCCCCCTCCGTGAGCGAACAAAATTTTTTTGTTCGCTCACGGAGGGGGGGGGGGGAGTTAGAAGAATTCAAATATTTGTGAAATTTTTTCGATAAAGATATCAACATTTATAATAACTTTCTCAGCTCAGAATCGATGCTACAATTTTTGAATGTTATAAAAGCTAGAAAAATTGATTTGAAAAAGGAAGCTTACAATCAAAGCTTAAATTTATTACTAACATTTGCAGCATTTTATGAGAAAGCTGGGATTTCACAAGAAAACAAAGAAATAGTGATAGATTTAATTGAAGAAATTTGTGGAAGCTATATGATGATAATCAATAATTGAATTAATAAAGAAACTGTCACTCAAAACTTTTCTGATGGACTTTCTGTATTAACAGAAGAGGTATCTTGCAAGCGAGCAATGAAATTTCCTTTGATATTATCTCCTTTAAGAAGACTTCAAATATTTTTGCCAATAGTTTCAGCAAGTGCTAAAAGCTTGCCAAATACATTTTTAAATGTTACAAGTCATTGCTTATACCATTTCAACGAAAAGTTTGGAAACGTAGCATCTCCCACACTTTTGGTTCCTAAAAAAGTGTCCTCAGAAGACATATGTGTTGCATTCTTAGATGTAGCTGGAGGAATGTTCGAAGCCAAACTTAGAAATGACATTTTAAAGCTTTTCGAACAGTTTTTAGAAAAATTCCAGAGGCATCATTACATCAACATATTAAAAAACACAATCATTATATACCCACATGATCGGGCAAAGGGAATGCTGATTGATTATCTAACTAAAGATTTAACAAAAGGTTTTGCAGTTGGCTATGAAAAATACATCGAAATCATCAAAGAAACTCTTGCACTTAGACCTTTGCTTGACTATTTGGATTCTTATTTAGCTGCAATTAGCCTGTACAAGATTTTAGTAGGGAAACTAAAAGACATGGGAATGAGGCAAGATTTGGGTGTCAAACCTTTGCTTGAAGAAATTTATAAAGAACTTTCAACACTTTATGATGTAGATCGAAGCCAGCATAAAGTTGGGCTTGTGCTGTGGAGTATTAAAGATGCTGAAGAGTTAGACAAGCCACTTTTCAAAAGGGTGCCTAAGAATAATAAATAATGATAAATGAAGTAATAAAATTTTCCAGCTCAGGGTTTGTCGAGCATCTCAAAGGCAAATAATATACAGATGTTGGCGAAGAAACTGATGGCATTTTTGATGAGAAAATTGAACAAAAAAGACCTAAAAGAGCTTCAGATCTTTATTGATACTCAGGATTAATACTTCTTGCATGTGTAATCATCTCTTGATTGCCTTCAATTCTGCTATTTTTATTTGCAATTTGTGCCCCAATTGTAAGAATAATTTTAGCCAGGTTGGCTCCTATGAATTATAAGAGATACCGTATATATTGAATATGAGGAATCATCATGTAATTAAATTGAGTACTCTGACATCTCTTAGAAATAAAAAATTATTATGTCCTAATGAAAAGCATTTTAAAGAGCAAAAAAACCGTTAAATTAAACGGTAAAAAATTTGGTTCAGCTCATGAAAATAAATACTCTCGGGGCAAAGTAAAATTCTGTATGATCATGTCTTTAGAATTTAAAATAATGTGCAATGTAGAATGGGAACTATGCACGTACTATGAACTCAAACTAACGATCTAAATAATTTTACGCAATTATTATAAATATATTAAAAAACTGACAAAAGCTTATGTCTATAAAAAACAAAATAGTCATGTCAATAAATTGAAAGTAAGGCAGCTACATAAAAAATAAAAATCATCTCTTTTCCCCAAGACCTCTGCTTTTATTAGGTACAACAAAACTCCCTCTTAAAAGTCCTTTCTATTAGCGCAAAAATGTATATTGTTTCTGAGCCTATATGCATTACGAAGCGCATCAAAACGGTGTAATAATGCTTAATTTTGAGCCTTCTTTATAATTAATTTTATGTCTTATAAATAAGAAACCTTAATAACCTACGATTTCGAATATTTTATCTAATTAAAAAAAGCAGCTGTTTTGTCTATATTACTTGCACCAAATGAAGCTACTTAAAATAATAATATAATTTTTAATGCAAAAATTTGGAACAAATTTGCAAATTTACTGTAGATCAAATAGTTTAAGACTTTATAAAGCTGATTTATTAAATCACAGATTTGCTAATGCAAATTCGAACAAGCTTTACGAGAATAATCTTATTTATAAAACTTAAATATAGTAGCCACATGCTTTTAACATCAATTTATTTTGTTGAAATAATAGATAAAATAAAAAATGCTGGTTTTAAGATTAAAAAAAAGAAGAAATATGCTCCTAAACAGTTATTATGCTATATAAATGCTTTTTCTGCACTTCGTTATTCCTATTTATGCACAAAAATTTTTGCGTCAAATATTATAATGTGCCATACAATATAAAATTAAAATATTTTTTTTTTAAAAAATAAGCAATTATATTTTATCTATTTTTAAAAATAATTTATTATATATGTTTATTTAATGATTTAGTGTATAGGTATCTGCAATCGGCTTAATTATATAAATCTGTGCAACAGAAGAGACTACTATAGCTTTCTTTAGAAGTGCAAGACTATTAGTATCAATTTAATGCGACAGATAGTCTAGATTGAAAAGGTTTTAAAGTTACAAATGTGATGATTTTTGAAGACTGCATTGAACATTTTAATGACTATTGGCTCATTCAACTAGGTGTTCTAGAGTTTTTATCCTCATTAGAAATAATAAATATTAGTAATCTTACTTAAAATTAAGAGATCTACAGTAAATTTGCAAATTTGTTCCAAATTTTGCATTAAAAATTATATTATTATTTTAAGTAGCTTCATTTGGTGCAAGTAATATAGACAAAACAGCTGCTTTTTTTAATTAGATAAAATATTCGAAATCGTAGGTTATTAAGGTTTCTTATTTATAAGACATAAAATTAATTATAAAGAAGGCTCAAAATTAAGCATTATTACACCGTTTTGATGCGCTTCGTAATGCATATAGGCTCAGAAACAATATACATTTTTGCGCTAATAGAAAGGACTTTTAAGAGGGAGTTTTGTTGTACCTAATAAAAGCAGAGGTCTTGGGGAAAAGAGAGATGATTTTTATTTTTTATGTAGCTGCCTTACTTTCAATTTATTGACATGACTATTTTGTTTTTTATAGACATAAGCTTTTGTCAGTTTTTTAATATATTTATAATAATTGCGTAAATTATTTAGATCGTTAGTTTGAGTTCATAGTACGTGCATAGTTCCCATTCTACATTGCACATTATTTTAAATTCTAAAGACATGATCATACAGAATTTTACTTTGCCCCGAGAGTATTTATTTTCATGAGCTGAACCAAATTTTTTACCGTTTAATTTAACGGTTTTTTTTTGCTCTTTAAAATGCTTTTCATTAGGACATAATAATTTTTTATTTCTAAGAGATGTCAGAGTACTCAATTTAATTACATGATGATTCCTCATATTCAATATATACGGTATCTCTTATAATTCATAAGAGCCGCCAGGGTTATTGGACCTTTATAGGATGAAAAGAATAACTAAGGCTGTCGAAACTCTTGAAAAACATTTTAGTATTTTATCTTGTATTTATGCTGAGTTGTTAAAGCTTAGTTTTCAATTAGAAAACCTTAAAAAACGAAAGCCAGAATTCTTATTTTCTTTACTTTAATAATGATACATTTCTTGCAGTTAATAATTATGTATAATAATAAACTTTTAAGAAAATCGAAAAAACAAATAAAAGATATTTTTAAAAATTAAAATATATTTTTTTATTAAAAAATTTAATGAAATAATAATAATAATAAAAGTATGAACATTTATCATTTATAAGATTAAAAGATGAGAAGAAATAGTGTTATTTAACTTATATCAAATAAATTTATATGCATTATAAAAAACACCTAAATTAAGAATTCTATAGTTTTTGTTCATTATTAAATGATGGAGAGATATAGGAGAAATTGTTGAAAGAGATTATTTTCAAGATTTAGCTTCTTTGCATAGCTTATTTGTAGATGAACTCAAAATCCCTACCTTCGATAGCAATTCTTCACATAAACAATTGCTAAATAAGCTTCAGTATTTTATAAATAAATCAAAGCTTCAGTCATACGCAGATCCAAACAGTTTTAATAGTACACTTTCTACGTTAAATAGAGCACTTGAGGAGAAAATTAATCTTTTCAAAGAGTCAAAGGCAGGAATTTTAGTTATAATAGATTCATTGACAAAAAATGAATCAGTTTTAGATGAATTTAGTTATGAAACAAAAGAGCTACTAGCTCCCCCCCCCTCCGTGAGTGAAAAAAAACCATTAGAAAAATCGCTATATTTTTTGCCCAAAAACCCATCCTCCGTGAGTGAACAAAAATTTTTTTATGGAAAAAATTTTTGATATATAAGTGATAATTAGCATAATGAAATCTAGTGCTAATTCTGTTTAATTTTAAACAAATTGCTTTTTAAAACATAAATTTTATAAATTAAATTAATATCTGCTTTCCAATTTTCGCGAATTAGGATTTTTTTAAATTTCGAAAAAAAAAATTTTTTATAAAAATTATATATACATTTTTTTAAAAAAAAAAATTAACCCCCCTCGTGAGTGAACAAAATTTTTTGTTCATTCACTGAGGGGGGGAGTAAGACATAAGAATGAAACAATTATTTATTATCATCATATTAAGGAATTAATTGAAATAAAACCTGAAGCTCGATCTCAAAAGCTAAAAGAGATTGATAAGCAATTTATAGTCCTACAAAAATTACACTTAGCAACAATTGCTACTTTTTCAAAGGATGTAAAAAAAGTGCAGGAAAATGAAGAAGAGAAAAATGAATGTAAACCAATAGAAGAAGCTTCAAATAATGAATTAAAAGAGCTAGATGAAGAGACTGAAAATAATGATATGTGGTGTGTGATTGAAGGAGAAGGAGGAAAAGACCAAAAAAGAAAAAAGAAGATTCAAACTGAAGATTATATCACTGAAAAAATTGGTGAGCAAACAATAGAAGAACTAAAAACAAAGTTAAAGCAGCCAAAAGGACCTGTTCTATATAAAGCTGTTGACCCAGAAACAGGAAAAGTTACAACATCACAAGATTAGATTAGACGAGATTAAAAGTTGGAATTGGTATTCGGGGTTTATTTGAGCCCCTCTCCGCATTTGCCGACTTCAGGCTCCTCGCCCTAGGCAAAGGTTTTCACTTACACCCTTTTCTGTCAACATCACCAAAAAATGGTGAAATCGCTATTTCTTGGGGAGACTCGTCCAGGTACTTCCTTGGACTACTCCTAGCGGTCGGCATGATCTATTCGCGAATGGGAGATGAAAAATATTCCAAATCCCCTTCTGATCCCCATTACCCTTCGCATCCAGAAGTGTAGAATTCTCTTTGCGGACCCTGGCTTCCTTGTCTATATTGCGGGCTAAAAAACCTATAGGTGTCCCGACCAGTAAGAGAAAACCCACCCCGACACAAGTTCAATATCCCAGCTCTTTTCAACCCAAAAAACCCTGAGCATATGGAGAAGGACGGGTAAATAAGTCGCTATTTTATTCGTGTGCAACATCACAAGAAGAAATCTATAAACAATCAACTATCTCGGCTATAGCACCTAAAGAAATAAATATGAATTTCGATCCAGTTCCTCATGTATCTATGAACAGTTTGATGTCAGAACTCAAGCAAGCATTTAAAGTAAATAAAGAAAGCTTGCCTTCAATCTAAATATATCTTCTTTTTCTACGAAATACCTCATAATTCGTATATGATTTATAAGTCCCTGTTAAAACTTATAATTATCTCAAAAATTTAAATATTCGATAATCATAAATATAGTATCATAGATTCACCGTAAAAAAATATTTTTAGGCCAAATTCAATAGAACGCAGCATAATTAATTGTTACTTAGCTCATTTCCTAGAATTTGATCAAAAGTAAGCTTCGGTTGAGGTTTCAAAAATGGCATGCCAAGCAGCTTTATCAATTTGCTTGATCTTACCATTTCTGTCCTTCTTGTGTGCCCAGTTTTTTGTGCAACAATTGAAGGGCCTTTACTTTGCAGCATCCTTCCTAATGCAACACACAATTTTTCATTAGGACTGTCTATCGGTATCTTACTTTCCAAGCAGCAATATGCAATTCCGTCAATCATTTGGTTTATGCTGATCCCTTCCGTTCTCTCACTTAATTGCTGTCCTGCTACTTCTTTGTAATCATTTTCATATAAATTTAAATAAACTTGATTAAGTTTTCCTTTTGTCACTAAATCTGGATATATAGAAAAATCAGTGGCAAATTGTATAAAGCTTTGCGAAGATATTTTATTTTGGTGATTCAGATAAACTTTAGCATAAACCTCGAGTGTGTTATGCCATATATCAAGTGTTTTTTCTGTTGATAGGTCATGAATTAAATCTTTTATTGAAGTTGACCTTAGAGTGCTTTGTGATTTCCTAGGGGTTTTTAACAATGAGTGAATAAAAATTTCTAATTCATCTTCATCATTAGGATCCTTTATCAATTTCTTTGATATTATTTCCAATGATTTAATAAATTGATTAAAAGTCATTTTTCCTGACTCTCCTGCAGCTTGAAAAACAAACTTTGGAGAAAGCACTCCATCATCAATGAAATGTGGCCTCTGCACCAAAGAAAAATAAATAATTTCAAGCTCTTGCCTTTTCAAGCAATATTCTGATTCACTATGCAATAGTCCAGCATCTTCAAAAACCTTGACATACTGAAATGGCGACAGCAATTTTTGACTAGAAATTGTTCCATATGAGCAATAATCTCGAAAAACGTCTTCGATTTCACTCCATTTCGATTCCAAAAGTCCACTAAACTTTCCTCTTCTATCTAAAACAAATCGTTCAGACTTTATCAGATCTCTGGAAACAGATGTAGAAGCTAATGAAAATTTCTGAGTGGATGATAAAGAAAGCTTGTTTGAATAGGGCTTGCTTATTTTAGAGTGCCAGTTAGAAAACCCATTCGATCTTTCCATTCTTGAAAGAATGAATTCTGTTCTTTCTCTGACTGTAGAAAACTCTTGGTGAAATTTGCCATAAATGGCTGTTCTTAGCAGAAACAATAGAAATTTTTTTAAAGTAAAAGCTCTCCCTTTATCGTTGATATTAAAATATTTGAGCTCAGGAATGTCTTCATTTGACTCTACTAAATCTTGCCATATTTTCAATAAAAGTGCCCTTGGTAAAATATATGGAGTAATCATAAACTCCGTTACTAGGGTAAATAGTGATGCTCATGACTTTTTACTTACTCCCCCCCCCCCCTCCGTGAGCGAACAAAAAAATTTTGTTCGCTCACGGAGGGGGGTTAATTTTTTTTTTTAAAAAAAATTTATATATAAAATTTTATAAAAAATTTTTTTTTTTCGAAATTTAAAAAAAAATCCTAATTTGCAAAAATTGGGAAGCAAATATTAATTTAATTTGCAAAATTTATGTTTTAAAACGCAATTTGTTTTAAAATTAAACAGAATTAGCTCTAGATTTCATTATACTAATTATCACTTATATATCAAAATTTTTTTCCATTAAAAATTTTTTCTATTAAAAAAATTTTTGTTCACTCACGGAGGGTGGGTTTTTTGGTCAAAAAATGGCGATTTTTCTAATGGTTTTGTTCGCTCACGGAGGGGGGGGGGGGGGAGTTAGTATGCTTTTATCTTCTGGTGCAACATCTTCCCAGGGGAAATATGCTTTATATATTTCTTGTAAAACAAATATTGAGTCTTGCAAAACTCTTGCTGAGTCAGTATCAAAGTCAAAATCAGACTGATTGAATGTATCGACTTGTCCTTGCTCTTTTAAAGCATCATACAAAGGAAAAATATGTGCGTCTATCATAGATACTAAGCCTTGGTATGAGTGATTGCCTTTTTCCATAAGTGATGCAGATATCTTAACCATAATTTCGCAAAAATTATCAAACGATATAGCCCGGGCACCTTTATGGCTGGGGCTTTCCATTTTTTTCCATATGAAAAAGAGGTGAATTGGTTTCACCAAACAATGTTGATCTTAACAACTCTGCAAGAGAAAAAAATCACTTGCTACAGGGTTTCTACCATTTGGAATGTTCGTCAAACAAACATTAGTTGGTGAAACCAACTCCCTCTCTCCCATCGGGAAAGATTATGAAGCCCTAAGCCATAAAGGTGCTCGGGCTATATGCATTTATCACGCTTTGCTTCTGAACTAATAATTATATCGCATTCTTCTCTGCTTAATAAATTTGGAAGGATCTGTATATCTCGTAAAAATTTTGAAAGTTTAGGAAGCGTTAATAAATTTGTGTTGTTTCTGGACCCTAAGCATGAGTAATGTAACTCATCCCTTTAAATTGGAACAAAATATCAGGAAAAATTTCCATTTTTTGGTTACTATAACCACCTTAAAATTGAATAAAAAATTAAATGTTAAAATTTGTCGTTCAAAATACTATTTTTTATATAACAATTTTTGTCCTAATTTAATGTTTAGAATATTATTTAAGTTTTTTTTATTTATTTCTATAAAAATTTTAAGATATTACGTTCAATTTTATATATATATAATTTTTAAAATTTTATAAATTGAAATTTTTTTAAAACAAAACTAATGCACCTTTAAATTGGAATAAGATTTTTTGTTCCATTTTTAAAATGGAGAGTAAATATAAACGCCTGAGCTTATTTTTTATTTCAAGCGGTGTCTTTCCTTCTGCAATTGATTTTGTTGATTGTGGCGAATGAAAATGCTCAAAGCTTGAAGTAAATTTTGATTCCATATCTTGCTTGAATAAAATATGTTACAACTTTATAATTTAATAAAATAAAATTTGAGACAAAAAATAATAATAAATCATAGAATAACTGAATCATAAAATTATTCAATCTATAATTTTTTATTTTTTAAAAAATTCCATAGCAATACGAGTGACTTGATCTAAGCTTGCAATAATCTGAGCATGCTATTCAAGCACTCTAATTATTATAGGAGTAATTAAAAGTAATATAGTGTGGGCGCGCTTTTAGCGTACCCTTATGCTTGTGCTTCCTCACTCCCCCCTCGAAGTTCGACCAAGATTTTTTTGGTCGAAGTTCGAGGGGGGTTAAGAAAAATTTTTTTTTAAAAAAAATTATATAGAATTTGTTTTATATATAATTTAGTAGTTAAAAAAAAAAAATTATCATATTCTTCTGTATGGTCGAGAGGGTGTAAGGGTTAGAAAAAATATGCAAGATGGTTTTGTAACGCTTTTTTAGAACTTGAATACAAAAATCGCAAGCTCACCCCCACATAGTTTAAAATTTTTGAAAAATTGCTTATTTTCCTAGTAAATTTATATAGGTCTTGGTCGAAATTTGAGGGGGGTTAATTTTCCAAAAAAATAGGAATTTTCCCTATATCTTGGTCGAACTTCGAGGGGGGGGTAGTCAGCAACTTGGGAGATTTGCTTGCTACTAGTTAAAAGTTAACAGAACCGGATCCTTTTCTCTGGATTTGACTCACCACTTGAAGGTGACGAGTTAAACCTCAAAGTTGCTGGAGAAGAGCATGCATAAGGGACGCTAAAAGCATCCCTAGGCCATATCCGATACTTCCTTATATAATCCTATCAGTTCATATTTCAACGACAAAATAAACTTAAAATATCACAGTAATGGATTCATCTTCAAGCTCAGATGAAGAAGAAGTGAGAGGGAACGAAATCGTTCTCAATGTCGCCAATACTCAATACGAAGTAGTCCAAGAAGTCGCTAACATTCTAGGCTGAAAAATAAGTTTTGACCCAGAAGATTCTGAAGCAGATGTTTATTGGCAAGACTCTGCTTTATCTCCAGAAAAGCTTTCTCAGCTGAAGACATTTCAGCGAATTAACCATTTTCCTGGGATGTACGCAGTGGCTAGAAAAGACCATCTTGGCAAAAATTTAAAAGCAATGAAACTGATGTTCCCTGAACATTATAACTTTTTTCCTCCTACTTGGATATTACCTAAAGACTTTAACGATCTTAAAACTCAGTTTAACTCTAAAAGAGCAAAAACCTTTATATGCAAGCCTGAAGCATCTTGCCAAGGTCGTGGGATATTTTTAACAAGAAAGTTAGACGAAATCCCAGAGCACTGTGTAGTCCAGAGATATCTTCATAAACCTTATCTAATTGATGGGTTAAAATTTGATCTTCGAGTTTACGTTTTAATAGCTGGCTGCGATCCTTTAAGGATGTTTATTCATAAAGAAGGCTTAGTCAGGCTTGCCACTGTGCCTTACCAACCACCTGTCACAAGTAATTTGGGCGACATGTGCATGCACTTAACAAATTATGCAATAAATAAATTTAACCCTGATTTCCAATTCAACACGAATGAGACTGATGATTATACTGGCCACAAAAGAAGTTTGAGCACATTTATGAAAAAACTTGGAGAGCAGGGCGAAGATGTAGACGCTATTTGGAAAAGAATTAGCGATGTTATAGTAAAAACTGTTTGCATTGTGCAGCCGCTGTTGTCGCATTTATATCGATCTTGCCAAGCTGCAGATCCTACAAATTCGATCTGTATGCAGATTTTGGGGTTTGATATATTTTTAGACCATAAGCTTAAAGCACATCTATTAGAAGTCAATCATACCCCAAGCTTTACGACTGATACACCTCTTGATTCAATGATTAAAAAAGCTGTGATTGGAGATGCTCTTAGAATGATGGGGCTGCAAAAAGGTAACAGAGCTGAATATTTGCAAAGACATCAAGGAATGGTGTTTTTAAGGGCTAATAGAGGAATAAAGGAAATAAGAAACATGAGAACTGAGCTGCAGGCTAAATCATTAAAAGAGAAAGAAGAGCTTGAAAAGAAGTTTAGAGGAGGGTATACAAGGATTTACCCAACAGAAGATAATACACTGTATGAACAATTCATGCTGGCGGCTCGTGATATTTGGCTTACAAATGTAGGAATTAAGCCAAAAGTCAAAAAAGAAACCAAAGAGCCGAACCCGCCTCAGAAGCTTGCTCAGCCAATTCCTCCTCAAATTCCAGCTGCAACTCCCTCTCCAATTTTAGTTTCAAAGCCTAATCCTATACCAAAGCCTTTGGGCTCTGCAAATAGTCAAAATATTAATAAGCCTAAAAAGACAGCTGTTTCAGCATCAGTTTATAGATTAAGCAAAAGTACAGAGCGTCCTAAAGTCGTTAAAGAAACAAAGTTACCTGCATTGAAAATAGTTAACGGAACTTATATTCAGCCTAGACTTTTTGAGTTTAATGATTCAGCGTTAACAGTCATAGCAAGAGAAGGATCAATCAAAGCAAGGTTCATGCTTAATGAATAAACTGTAAGTGTTAATAAATTTGTCATTTTCATTCTAATTAGAATATCTTTGTCCTTATGAAAATCAATTCTCTTAAATTAACAGTTTGCTGAAATTAATTTTTTATCAATTTAGCCACAATAATTTATATATGCTCTACTTGGTTAACAATATAATCCTTTTAATTTCTCATTAATGTGAAATTTTTTGATATTAATATTAAATGCAATCCCGATCAGATATCTTCTTTATTCACTTTAACTGGCACCAGCAGTGAAATTTTCTTTCTAATTTGATTCTTATTGAAATTAATATTAATTATAATCCCGATCAGATGCCTTCTTCATTTGCTTCAACAGGCACAAATACTGAAATTGAGAGTCTAAAAGACGTTTTAGGTAACGAAGAAGTTCGCTACGTCCATAAAGGATATGGATTAATAACTGCAGCCTTTCTCGTCTGTTTTTATTTTTTCATTTTCCCACAACTTGTATTTTCTTTATATATCAGGCTGCCTTATGAAAATAAAGAATTCATGTATACATTTGGACTTATCTTTATACATCTGGCAGTTTTCTTTGTGGCGAATATTGGAATATATTTGATATATCACTCTGAAATGCCATTTTTTGAACGCTATAAAATTACAAGTGAGCCATGGCCATGGATAAAGGATCCTGAAGGATTTAAAGAAATCAGGAAAAATACTATTAAAACTGTAGCGCTGAATCAGCTTGTTATGTATCCTTTGGTTGTGGTTGTTTCAGGGTATATAGGCAATGTTAACTTTGAAGTCAGCCCAAGTTTGTTCCCTTCTTGGAAAGAATTAATTCCTCAGATTGTGTTTTTTATGGTCATAGAAGATACTTTCTTTTATTGGTCTCATAGGCTTTTACATACACCACTGTTTTATTCTCTTATACATAAGCAGCATCATGAATATACTAATACAATAGGAATTGCTTCAGAATACTCCAGTCCTATTGATTTTGTACTTACCAGTGTATTGACATCAGCCATTGGTCCTTTACTATTAAAAGATTGCCACATCGCTACACTCTATATACACAAATAAAATGGCGACGACACCGACCTGTCCTCTCCCGGAACTGAGGCGAGATTGGGGACCTTGCTGCGGCCTGAAGCCAATCCGCCCAGGGAAAGGTCTGGAATGGGTACTGGTAGTTTGTGTCCGGCTAGGTTTCCCTCCCAGTCCAGCAACGACGATCCTAGGGTCGTCCCGATAGGGCACGGGGCAAAAAGGGTTTTTCCTCTAGGGACCACTAGTGCCAATTTGGAGGGCATGGCAGGAGCCGACAAGAGCTAAGGAGTTAATCCCTAGCTCTAACCCTAGTCTGGGACGTGAAGCACGGTGACCCAGTTCGCCTACTTCCGGGATAGCATGACTAAGCCCCATGACCGGAAGGAGCTGAGTGGTAGCCTGTGTCACTTAGGTGCACACTGGGAGCAGGACAAGGAAAGCAAGCGAGGCGTCCAAAAGGCGGAAGAAAAGGACCTTCGGTCCTGGCCGGGAGCTACTCTATAAATTTAACTAAGACTAAGACTAAGACGCTACACTCTATATGTGAACAGTCTTGCGGATTCTTGAAACAGTTGATGGCCATTGTGGGTATGATTTTTCATGGAGTCCTTTTAGATTGCTTCCTTTTTCTGGAGGTGCAAACTATCATAACTTCCATCACTCGCATAATGTTTCAAATTATGGGTCTTTTTTTACTTATTGGGATACTATTTGCAAAACCAACTTGCATTATTGGAGGTATCTCTCAAAGCAAGAAAAGTGCAATTAATATCAAAATAATAAGTTGGTCTTTTTAAAAAAATAATTCTGCATTGTTAATACTTTTTGTTATTCTTCAAAATTCGCCAATAAATTCCTTCTCAACTGTAAAATGTTAGAGCAAACATATGATAGCTATTAATTGTTTTATAAAAATGAAATTGAATTTATTATTTTGCTTACTCCCCCCCTTCGTGAGTGAACAAAAAAATTTTGTTCACTCACGGAGGGGGGTAATTTTTTTTTTTAAAAAAAATTATATATATAAAATTTTATAAAACATATTTTTTTTCGAAATTTAAAAACATCCTAAATCGTAAAAATTGGAAAGCAAATATTAATTTAATTTATAAAATTTATGTTTTAAAAAAGCAATTCGTTTAAAATTAAACAGAATTAGCTCTAGATTTCATTATACTAATCATCATTTATATATCAAAATTTTTTTCCATAAAAAATTTTTGTTCACTCACGGAGGGTGGGTTTTTTGGGCAAAAAATAGCGATTTTTCTAATGGTGTTTTTCACTCACGGAGGGGGGGGAGTTAGTAATTTTTTTAAAACATGAAAGTTCTATTCATACTTGTTAATATGAATTCAATATTTTCTTTTGGTGAAGCAGCAAAATTCAAGCTTCAAAATGGTTTTCAACATCAAAGACATTTTTCACCTATAAATGAGGTTTTAAATGTCAAGAATGAGTCAAGATCAAGCATACAAAGAAGATTTTCAAATATCCGGGATGAGAAAATATCAGGAGATTTGGATGATTTAAAGCGAATAATTGAGAAATGCATTCGGTCAAAGTCTAACCCTAGAAACTCTTCCTGGCACAAGGATGAAGAAGATATCAAAATATTGAATAATGATTCAGAAAGGAGATATGACAGCAAGCCCAAGCAGAAACTCAAAAAAAGTGAATTTTTAGCTCAAAAGCCTAATTCCGCCCCCTTGTAAGCGAAACAAAAAAATGTTGTTAGCTCACAGAGTGGGGGTTAATTTTTTTTTAAAAAAAATTATATATAAATAATTTTTGTTCCCAAAAAAGAGAGATTTTTTCTAATAATTTTGTTCGCTCCAGGGATTAACCCCCCCTCCGTGAGTGAAAAAAACCATTAGAAAAATCGCTATTTTTTGCCCGAAAACCCACCCTCCGTGAGTGAACAAACATTTTTTGATATATAAGTGATAATTAGTATAATGAAATCTAGAGCTAATTCTGTTTAATTTTAAACAAATTGCTCTTAAAACATAAATTTTTACAAATTAAATTGATATTTGCTTTCCAATTTTTGCGAATTAGGATTATTTTAAATTTCAAAAAAAAAATATTTTTTATAAAATTTATATATAAATTTTTTTAAAAAACAAAATTAACCCCCCTCCGTAAGTGAACAAAATTTTTTTGTTCACTCACGGAGGGGGGGAGTAAGAAGAAAAAACATAAAATACCATCTTTAGTAATCTCGAATCGAACACCATCTCCTAACATTTTTTTGAGCAAGCCAGTTAGCTTTCCAAATAACGCCAGAATTTCGAAAGATTTAGATAAAGTTCGGCAAAATATAAAGCAAAGGCTGCTTTATTTATCAAAATTAAAAGATACCTCCGGCAATGGCAGATTTGACAATATGGAAAACAATCTAGCTTCAAATTCATTATTATTAAAATCAGTTCAACTGTTTTCGCCTATACATAAAATTTCAAAAACACCTACAAGCTTCAACTAATATTAAAAGAGTTATTAATAGCATCTTATTATAGCCCGTGCTACCCTATAGATTTTCAAGTAAAATGCCCTTCAAAGAAAAAAATTATTTGAAATTCCAAAAAAATTCCAAAAAGTCTAATATTAGTTTAAAAATGTCCTTATATATGTCCTATTGTCAATTTGAAAATTGACTTTTCAGATTTTTCCTTAATTTAAAAACTTATTTTTTATATAAAAGTATTTGTCTTCAAGGATCTAAAATGAGACTTGCGCTATATACATTAAATAATTAATATTATCACCTTAAATTTGCCCATAATTTTGTAATCTTCTATCTTAACTAATAAGCTGTTCAATTTTAATGCAGGTACAAAAAGTTTCATCAATAATAATTACCTTAATAAATGAATTTGATAGCAAATGACTGCTAGTAATTAATGTGGAGACCATTTGCTTCTAAATTTGCTACACATTCCTTTGACAATTATTCACATAACCTCGATAGAGCGGAAACAGCGCCTTTAACAACTATTAAAAGTAAAAAACAAGACGTCATTTTGGACATGCTATTCCCTTTCAGGCAAAAAAAAGAAAAATCTGCTGAAAGAGCTCAAAAATTAGGAGAGCTCCAAGAGAAGGTCAAAAAGCAGAGACTCTTAATCAAGAAAAAAGATTTATTATATAAGCAAAGGAAAGAGTCAATAATAAAAAATCAAATTGAGAGTTTGAGCCTAGAAAAAGAGCAAAGAAAAAATGCTATGATCAAGATCAGAGCATTTGCTACTTCTACACCTAAAGTAAGAAAAAGAAGCATATCCCCTGTATCTAAATCTTTGAGTCCTATAGCCAAAAATGATGATATGTCCAATTTATTTTTTTTAACAGACATTAATAATACCCACAATAATGTTCACTTCTCGACCCCAAACCGAGTCAAGAGAAAACAATCTTTACCTCCAATTAAAAATAAACAATTTATATCTCTCAAAAATTATCAAGAAAAGCTTTTGAAGAGACTTGAATCCAAAACACCAACTTACTTAAAAAAACTAAAAAGTGAATTTGATAAAATTAGAGAAGAGCATGATTTAACGTTTGCTGAATACCAAGAAAAAAAGAGATTGAGAAGGCATTCAGCTTTTCCTGTGATTCGGTTCAAATCTCCACTATAATTGCATGATATTTATTGAATCTAATGCATAAGGCTTTAGATATATAATTAATGATTTTTCCCATTAATTATAATTTAATTTTTCAAATTATTGTATTTATCTACCCATAAGATTATCAAATCGAAAAAAGAGTTTTTCTATGCAGATTTATTTGGAAAGATATTGCAAAAGTTAATTTTAAATGATATTAAGAATGATTTGGGACCTCCGTTTCTTCTTTATGTATATAATTGCCATCTTCGGCAATTGCAGCAGCAATTCCGATTGGCAACAGAAAAAAACCAAAACTTAGGACTTCCAAAAACAAAAAGGTGGCCCTGAGGGACCACGGGGTGGCGGTGGCAATTCTCCGGGGTGGCAAGGGTGTGGGCTTGGGCTGACTGGCCTCCTCTCAACCCAAAGACATGAAGACCGACGGCGCAACACCAATCGAACACTTCTGGAGGAGCAATATGCTGCCTGCAAATGGTAGAGGTAGTTCCAGAAGGAGGTTATGGACGATTCCCTCATTCCCTGAGCACTACAGGGGTTAAGAGAGTTCTTTACCGAAAATTTTGGTCCAAGCAGGTGCGGGTGAGTCTCCCCGAAAGATGTCGACGTCACAAAAAAAAATGGTGACGTCGACAGAAAAGGGCGGTAGGTGGCTTTAGTGCTTAGCGCCACAGGAGCGTGAAACTGAAGCTCGACTGGATCAGGGGCTGAAATAAATCCCGTTTTAACCCTCTCTAATAAATCTCTCTCTCTTTATGTATTGATAAATAATTTTGCATAAGAAAATCGTAAATTAATTCTGCACCCCGTGATCTAGGCCAGAAAAGATACACTAATACAATAAATTTGATCGGATAGTAGTATGGTACCCAAAAGAATAAACTTGTCCGAAGCTGATCCAATACGCTATAGCATGCAAATATTATTCAATATGCTATTCATTGCTTCTTATCTTGCTGCGATTTTTTTTCAATTGAGGAAAAACTCATATATGCAGGATATAAAATGCCAAGCAAATCTATTATGCCCTTATCAAAAAATCCTATGATTACCAAAAAGAATGCTCAAAGAGTTACCAGGAATACAACAAATGAGGGCTGAACTTTTATTTTTTGACTAATCCACGAAATAATTGGAATTTCGCTGAAATCAGAATTCAAAGACTCTATGAAATTATCTTTTTCCATTTTATCAGAACAAAAATGGAAGGCTAATGCTCTGTAGTTCTGATTGAATGCTCAAGATAACGATAGAAATTAATTTATAATAGATTCTATGAAAACCTTTAATTTTTAAGCTATCGAGCTAAGAAAAATAATTAGCTATCTGTATGTGAATAGTCCGATAGACTATTTAGGGACTTTAAACGAAATTAAAATTACATTGTAAGCTAAATATAGTATTTAATTGATAAGGCAAGCAGATTTTATATAATTCAGGCTTTCAACATTTAGAAAAATTGAAAATATATATCAATTGTTTCATTGGAACACCTTCACACTTAGCTTTCCTCTCTTGCTTATTTGACAGTTTTATAAGAAATTTTTAAAATTATTTTCTGTGCTATTGAAATTTTTATTTCGACAAATTTTTTTTAATTAACTCTTATTTTAATTATTTTGATTTCAGCTTTCTAATTTCCGGTCCTGTGACTCTTTTTGTTGACTGGTTCTGCTTTTGTGATGATTTCTTTTTGAGATATGGGAAGCAGGCATTATTTTTCATGTAAGCTATATTAAAGTAAGTAAATTCTCCCATATCCTTATGAAAAGCCCATGTGTCTGAAGACAATGTTCTATAAAACTTTGGATTTCTGCTCTTATTAGGAGCCTCTATATGAGGACCAAGAGGGGTAAATCTATTATATGGATATCCATCCTTACGCGAAGTGCCCATCATTTGGTCTTGCTTGACAAGCTTTGTTTTCCATAAATCACATGATTCGGTATTTTTATTGAAAATTTTTGCTCTGATGCTTGCATTTTGCAGCGAAGTTTGTGGGTCTAAAATTCCACCTTTTTTGAGATCAGTTATTGACATTGATTTGTTGTTCAGGAAAGGAAAGATTTCTGTCCTTTGGAAAAATCCTTCTCCTGTAGATCTCAATGATCCGAGAGCTCCTTGCTTGAGGTTAGTTGTATAAGCCAGTGGCAACCTTTCTTTTTCATACATTAGATTACTTATTAGCATTTTTTTGGTTGTACTCAGTGAGTTAAATTAATTCAAAATACTACCAATTAAAAGAAATTGATAATATTCAATAAAAAGCTTTTCCCTGCGTTTAAAATAAAAGCATTTATAGGCTATTGAGACCAATAAAGCAGCGATGTATTATGAATTATTGCCATCAAGATACATCTATATAAATATATTTTCATCAGTATATGATTCAAAAAGAAATTCCTTTCATTAACTGAGTAAAAATAATGCAATAGAAGCCTGACTAACTCTTGTACATAATTGCGTAGGCACAGCTAAAAAATTTTTTAAAGCGATTATTTATTATTAAGAATTTAAAAATATATATATTTAATTTAGAAATAGTAAAAAATCTAATCAATTTTTAAATAGCTTCACGCTATAATTATTTATTTTGCATGATTAGTATCCGTTTTATTTATATGCTTTTGAGAATTTATTATTCAACTAATTGAATTGCTTTAAGCTAAATAAATCTAGCAGCACTTAGGATTAACTTAATTCTATAACAATATAAGTGATTTTCAATGAAAAATAAACTGAAATAGATAAAGAAGAAAATTGTATATATATTCACTTAAATTAGAACACATTTGCACTTGTTATTATGAAAATCTTGAATCTGAGGGCCTAAAATACTAATTTGATATGTTTTACTGAGTTCTTCAACTTCTTCTATTGCCTTTTTCCCTCGATCATCGTTTTGCGATTTATTTTTAGTTCTATTTAGCGCAAGTGCAATTTCTTGTACAGACTCTATTTGACTATTTATTTCTTGACCAGTTTTCTTCTTACTCCCCCCCCCCCATCCTTGATCGAACGACTCGCCATCGTTCGATCAAGGATGGGGGTTAAAAAAAATTTTTTTGGGAAAAAAATTGTATATATAAAATGAAAAAGATATATATAGATATTTTTTATTTACTTTAAATAAGAGGGTTAAGAGTATTTAATAATTATTTTTACAGCAAAAAATTGAATTAATTTCATAAAAATACCAATTTTTAATATTTTGATTTAGTTACCCTTTTAAACTGTATAAATTTTAATTTAAATTAAATATTGTTTTAAAATTTTAAAGAATCTCTATTTTATTAGATTATTGAGCTTTTAAGCCTAGGTTGATGTCTAAATCACTTCGGATGGTTGATTTCGCAGCTTTCTGTCGTCTCAAAGCTCTGAAAACAACTTCATTAGGCACATCTTCCAAAGCGTTTGATAATTAATATTTTTTATAATATAAAAATTTGCATGATATGAAAATCGTTCGATCAAGGATGGGGGGGGGAGTTAGCAGATGTTTGATAGCCTTCCCTTATCATATTATAAATTTCCCAAAACTCTTCATTCCAAGAATCCTGATAGTCTGAGCCCAGTTCGTTAAATTTTGAAGTTGCTTCTCCAATAAGGTTTTGTGATGTCAAATCTTCGGCTTTCCTTGCAAGCTGATGCAAACCATTGATAATCGAATCTTCAAGAGCTATATATTGGTTTAAGAGAACTTCTAACTCGGCCCTGATGATATTAGGGACTTTGAGTTGGTCAACAATAGATTCTAAAACTATTAATCGGTCTTCTAAGTCATCTATATCTCCGATTTGAGTCTCCATAGTATCAGACAAGTCAGCCATTAGGCAATAAAATAACTTTAATTAGAGAAGTATTCAAATCAAGGCTTATTCCATTAAGTGAAATGGCAAAATGTCTAAATTTATCCTTAAATTCAGATATATATCAGATTTTAATAAAATATAGCTAATTGAAATAAATAAAATCATACCTACTGGTTATCTGTTATTCTATTGCTATTTATAGATAGTATAGCAATAACAAGTAGGAAAATTTATATTCACTGAATTATTTATATGCACTCTTCATATAAGATATCATGATATTATTACTATCAAGTACGGTCTTTTATTTGCCTTAGAAAATAAATTCTTTATTTGAGGTTGCATAAAATATATCCTTATGTGAATAATATTTTTAAATCAATTTTCGAGATTTTTATATCTAATTTTAATTTTCTTTATGTAATTAATTGATGAGTTTAGTTCTCCAGAATACTATTCGCTCCCAATATTCTGCTACTCCATGATTGAAGCCTTCTCCATCTTGGAACATCAGGTAAGGCTTCAATTTTTTGTTCAGAGTCATTTTCTGGATTTGCTATTCTTGAGATTTTCGAAATTTGTGTCATAATTTGTGTAAGATCTTCTGAAAATGCTTTCATTTCAATCAAAAATTTCAAAATTTCATGAGCAGTCAGCTCTGTGTTTTGCAAAAGCAGCAAATGCTTGACCCATGGCGTTATTGATAATTTTATAGGGCTTGCTAATGAAAAAATGTCTTCAACTAACGTCTTTACTAAGCCAAGTGACAATTCATTAGCTTTTAATAATTTAAAAGCCGATTGGATCACAGCTTCAGGAAATTTTATTATTTTGCTTTGAAGATGCAAAACTAGAATAGCCCATGGCTCTTCTTTCATTTTCGCTCTTAAAGCTGCAACAAAATGAGCTATTTTCCCTCTAAACTGTGCCAAATCTCCAGTAAAGGTGCTTTCTGCAAACTGTGCCAGCGAGTAGTTGTCATCAGTCACTCTTGACCTTTTCTCAAATTTGTCTATTAGCCCTAATATTTTTTCTTCCTTTGTAATATAGTTCTCGTACTGCTTTTTCCAATAATTTTCGGTAAGCCATATATATAAGCAATCAAGGCCTCTTGCTAACTCCCCTCCTCCGTGAGTGAACAAAACCATTGGAAACATCCCCTCCGTGAGTGAACAAAAATATTTTTAATAGAAAAAAAAAAATTATGAAAATAAATTGATATATAAGTGATAATTAGTATAATGAAATCTTCAGCTAATTCTGTTTAATTTTTAAACAAATTGCGTTTTAAAACATAAATTTTATAAATTTAAATAATATTTGCTTCCCAATTTTTGCAAATTAGGATTTTTTTTTTAAAATTTTGAAAAAATAAATTTTCTATATATAAATGTTTTTAAAAAAAAAATTAACCCCTCTCTGTGAGTGAACAAAATTTTTTTGTTCACTCATGGAGGGGGGAGTAAGACATAAAGTTGAGGCAGAGATCCATGTGTGGCATCATGTCTAAGGTCGACCAAAAATTCAGGCAATCCCATGGTTTTTGATGCCATTGAAACTGATTTAGCGAATTTTGCATTTTGGTTAAGGTCACACAGCTGATTCACTATCCTTGCAATACACATTCCTAATGAAAGTCTGGCCACCTCAGTTGTCACAGACAATATTTCAGGGAAATTGCATGTCCCAGTTAATTCTTTACAAACTTTTAAAATCGATCTTGTTGCGTCAACTCTCACTGGCAAAGGCATCCTTATAGCTCATATTTCAAGAATTTCAAGTGCTTTTTCTTTGTCTTCCTGTAAGAATTTCCATGCTTTTAATCATTCATCTCAATCTCTCCATGGCACTTTTTTAGGAGCTTCCATGATTTTTATGATTAAATCAATTAATTATACTTCCGCTAAGTTATCGAGCTGTTCTTTGATTTTTCCAAGCATTCCCAACATGATTTCTACTCTTGACCTTGTTAGCTCAATTATTTCTTTTTTCCCTTCTATATTTAACTCTAATGATGCCCTCGGAATTCTTGGAGTTTTTTCTAGCCCAGAGCTAGCTGTACGGATATCAATTCTCCAGTCATAAGAAGTCAACTTCGGCAAATTTGGCTGCTTGCTAACTTTTCTTAATTCATTTTCAAGCTCAAATAGCAAGGAGTTCAGCAGTTCCTTTAATTTTTCATGAAAATCAGCTGGATATTCAACACTCGACTCTTTCAAATAAACAATTGTGAGGTTTGTAATTGCAGATAGCAAAGAATTAAATTCATTATCTGTGAGCTCCATACTGCTTTGAATTTCTTGCAATATTCTGGGGATTGGAGGAGTTTGGCTTGCAAGTCTCACAAGAGTTTTCACTTGATTTTTGGAAGTTGCTTTTAATAGGAAACGAAGTGATGAAAAATCAATCTCCATCTTCTTAATATGAGAGAAAATATTCGGTTTTCATATTAAGATTTATTCCAAATAGGATTTTGCTTTAAAATTAAAGTATTTATAATTACAGATGCAAAAGTCCAATATAAGTTTATATTACAGCATTTTTTATTCATTAATGCTTCTCTATATTTTCGCTAAAATTCTAGCAGCTAGCTCGTCTGATTGCTATTCTTCCACTTAGCAGCTTCTGAGATCTAGCTTTTATAGCTTTCCTTTTAGTTTTCCTCTTGATTTTGTTTTCTTCTTTTTCAACTTCTTCTCATTTGTGAGTTGGCGAGCACTGAGGAGACAAAAATATTGTCCTTCTTTTTTCATATCCTCTTTTTGTTAAATACGAAGAAACTGTGCTTAACAAATTTTCAATTTGGCTGTTTGGATCCGAAAATTCTTGCTTAAGTCCTAAAAATTCATCTATTGAAGCATTTTGACTCTGTAAACAATTTGTAGACTCTTGACTTGCAACAGATCCTTTATTTGATGCATATGCTTGCGATGAAACTGTTTTGGCACTTTCTTTTAAAAGCCTAACTGAGGAAATAATGCTATTTGAAGCGGAATTTGATTGCAATTTTGCACGTCTAAACAATCTTTTCTTACTTTTTATAGTTGTTTTACTTTTTGTCGTTGAAAGTCCAGAATTTTTATTAGAAGGAAAATTCCTTTTTTCAAAGCTTTCGATACTGTAATTATTATTTTTGGTTTTTCTCGGATCTAAATTTATATCAATATGTAATATTTTTCCTGAAGTTAACGGTGAGCTGTATATTAGATCTTCGTTTAATTCTGGTGAATATACGTCTTCTAATTCTTCTGAAGAGCTTAAAAGGGGAGATGTTATATCTTCTTTATACTTCGTGTTAAAAAGCTCCATTCATCCAATAGGTAAAGGCTCTGAGCTGAAATAAGTGTCGTCTGGCATATAAATTGATTTATATTTGGTAATATTGACTGGAAGTCTCCTAGGGTTAACTGTATGATCTTTTGCTAAGCCAAACACAAACTTTAAGGTCATAAAATGGGCTTGATGAGCAAATAAAGGAACTTCTCATAGCTGGGTAATTGAGTCTTTTTCTTCCATTTCACAGGAAAACAGCTTCAGAGGAGAAGAATCGCCAGTTGAAACTATCTTAGTCTTATTTTCTGTTATCATTATATTCATTACTTCTGAGCTGCTTAGTGCTTTGGCATGGGCTACATCTTGTGTAAAAAAATAAAATAGTCTAGTCCTTCTCATCCTCAATTTATTAGGTTTGCGGAGTTTATGCGATAATTTTATGACGTGAGACTGCTCAAATATATTGAAATGGAGGTATAGATTGCGATTTTTTCAGCCTTTGAAGTTTGAATATTCAATGTTTTTTAAATATATCAAAACTCGCCATTGCATTGCTGATGAAGGAAGAAATGGCGGATGCTCATACACAAGTTTCCTGGTCAAATCTTCAGGTTTAATAGAAATATTTACTCCCCCCCCCCCCTCCGTGAGCGAACAAAAAAATTTTGTTCGCTCACGGAGGGGGGGTTAATTTTTTTTTTTAAAAAAAATTTATATATAAATTTTATAAAAAATTATTTTTTTCGAAATTTAAAAAAATCCTAATTTGCAAAAATTGGGAAGCAAATATTAATTTAATTTGCAAAATTTATGTTTTAAAACGCAATTTGTTTAAAATTAAACAGAATTAGCTCTAGATTTCATTATACTAATTATCACTTATATATCAAAATTTTTTTCCATTAAAATTTTTTCTATTAAAAAAATTTTTGTTCACTCACGGAGGGTGGGTTTTTGGTCAAAAAATGGCGATTTTTCTAATGGTTTTGTTCGCTCACGGAGGGGGGGGGGAGTTAGCTTTTTTGCCAATTTTGTTTCGATTTCCATTAGCTCATATTCCTGGAGAACTAGCAAGTGGCACATATTGCAGACTCTGACTCAATGGCTTAAAAAATCAACAGCAAGAGGTCTTATGTGGGAAAGTTTCAAAGACTTCCTGCCTGATTTTCTTGTGTGTCTTTTAAAAAGCAAAAGCATTTTATAAGGCAAAACATGTTCGAGCTCAAGCAGTTTGAAAGGAAGCAGGCACAATTTACAGTGCATTGAACTCAGTCTTTGTTCTCTCATTTCTTCTACTTCGTCTCGAATAGCAGCAGGAGATTTCAATTTTTCGTTTTCAATTCTTATTTCCCTAGATTTTAGCGCATTTTCGTCTAAATTGAATCCTTTACAGCCAATAAATCAGCATTTCCCATCTTTATCTTTTATAAAATCAAGTACAATTTCAGTAATTCTGACTGCATACGCATTCTGTAAAAATTCCACAATTTGTTTCGCATTTTTTTCTAGATCTAAAATAGCTTCTCCATGTATTGGGTATACATCAATGCCGTCAACTATTTCGCAGCACACAAGTATCTTTGTTTGAGAATATTTTTCCATAGCTCGATTGCTGCTTGTAATGTAGTATGCACAGGAAGCTTTATTGTCTTTGTTTTTGCTATTGAAAAAAAGTCTAATTAGACTAGGTCGATCACTATAGCTTTTTAGATATTTTTGAACCATTGTTCCGCTTAATAAGGTGCCTTTTAGTATCTTGTCAGAGAATTCAATAGAATTCAGAGGGTTAGCTTCCATTTCAGTAGTACTGATTGGATGTCTGAAGACAGCTATGATTGCTAAAGGATCATCTATGTTTCCTTTTAAATCAGCATTGACCTGAAACTTATTATAATCTTGAATTATTTTGGCTTTGCCTGTTCCTTCGTCAGTATAAATCCAATAAGTTAGAGAGTCTGCTATATAAAAAGTTGGAGGAATGTTGATATGAAGCAAAGAACAAGGGAATTTGGGGTTAGTCAGAAGGGCTTCATAAAAATAAAACCCAGGCTTAAAAGGAGATGTTACATATCTTGGATCATTTGCTTCAAATTTAATTTTCTTATAGGACTGCAAGTATTTTCTTTTGTAAAAAGCTTCTTGTTTTGCACGATACTCTTCTTGTCGTTTCATTTCTTGATCATATCTTTCATTGAGTTTTCTTTGACGTTCTAATGCTTTTAATTTTTCAAGTTCAGCATTTTGCTTTGAATAGTTGTCTTTCCAAGTCCTTTTATCTACTGATTCTTCGTACTTTTGAAGACCGGTGTGTGTAATTATATCTTCTGAGTTCATTTGCTTACCCTCTGAACGAGCAAAACATTGGAAAATCTCTATATATTCAATTTTTTATGAAAAAAATTGTTAATTTTTATAAAAGCATAAATTTTATTTATTCAATAATTTTTGCCTTCCAATTTTTTCTAAAATGGATTTTTTACAAATTAAACAAAGAAAATTTGCAATAAATACTTTAAAAAAATAGCCCCCTTAATGAATGAACAATTATTTTTGAAGGAGGAGCTAACAAACATTTCTTCAAATATAGGATTTTCATCAAGCCCTTGCTATATAAATTCTACCGGTATTGCAATTTCTTGTTTAGCCTCTGTTAGAAATACCTTTCCTGGAATGAGAGAGAGGGGAGAAGACTGTTTATTTGCTGAATTTAAATTGCTTCTATGACTAGTTGCATCCATTTATATCAAGATTTTTTATAGCAATTCCTGAAAAATGAAACTAAATTATTTGTCTTGTAATTACTTTACTCCCCCCCCCCCCTCCGTGAGCGAACAAAACCATTAGAAAAATCGCCATTTTTTGACCAAAAACCCACCCTCCGTGAGTGAACAAAAATTTTTTTAATAGAAAAAATTTTAATGGAAAAAAATTTTGATATATAAGTGATAATTAGTATAATGAAATCTAGAGCTAATTCTGTTTAATTTTAAACAAATTGCGTTTTAAAACATAAATTTTGCAAATTAAATTAATATTTGCTTCCCAATTTTTTGCAAATTAGGATTTTTTTAAATTTCGAAAAAAATATTTTTATATAAAATTTATATATAAATTTTTTTTAAAAAAAAAAAATTAACCCCCCTCCGTGAGCGAACAAAATTTTTTTGTTCGCTCACGGAGGGGGGGGGGGGAGTTAGTAATAAATTCATAACGAATATTCTAACCCAACTTTTTAGATGGCGAGGAAATGTAAAGTCTCAGGATTTGAAGGGTGGCTAGACGCTGAATACGCTGGAAACCTGGATAAATAGGTCGTTAAGGGACTGAAACGGGTATAAGCTCTTTTTATGTAAATGGAATGTAATATTTTTACTCAAATATTGCGTCCGTTGCAAATGCAGGCAATTCTTGATTTCTTTTATTCAATTTTCAATCGTTTTTTACTTTAAATAAAAGTAATCAGTAAAATTAAATTAACACTTAAAAATTCTTGGATATTTGGGGAAATGGAAATAAACCTCTAATAGGATCAATATATGAAGCCAACTAAAAAAGCTGTACAAGAAATCTCTTCTAAAATCCCTTATGCGACTTCAATTGCTCACTATTACAATCCTTCTAACAATTTTTTAACTCTTAATCATTGATTGAATCAATCGCCATCTTTAGATTAAGGATTCGGGAAAAAAAATGTAAATGGTAAAATTTTAATGTAAAAACTTTTCTTTATAAAACATTTTATGCTCTAGTTGCAAGAGATAGATTATGAAATATATTATAAAATATACAATAAATGTATTAGAATTAATAGTGATTATATGGCATAATCTAATATTAATTAATGGCAAAGATAGGCAGTTAGATTTGAGACAGCTATATGCTTGACTATATGCAAATTGATCAAGAATAGGGGTCAAATTTTTTAATTTAGAAAATTTTCAATGATGTCGTACAATAGAGGATGAGGAGAGTAAAGCGATTTGCTTGGAACATTCTTACAAGATATTACATAACCCAGATCAAAGGCACATTTTTGGATTTTGATAAGAAAAGCTTTACAAATCAGGCAAAAGATATATACACAGGTGCATATAAAGCCTTATACAAAGGAGATAAAACAGATCTCAATAAAATGATGACTCACCCAAATTATGAATGCCTCAAATATTGCCAAAAGCTCAATACCAACCCTCCATTTACCATATATCCTGAAGTCAAGTCAGCCAAACTGGTTCAGGCATATATCTTAATCTTAACATTAATCTTAATTAACAGACAGGTAGAGTGCCATAATTTTGATGCAATCACCGAGATCTCCTAGGAGATTCTTCCGCTTTGCGATCGGGCTTATCACAAGGACCAGCCATAGTCTCCTCCTTGCCTTGCGGCTCCAGTTTTGAGTGGTCGGTCTACGGACTTGTGCAGCCTTGCTTGAGGCTGTAAGTGTACGAAGTTGAGGTTCAAAAATCCCAAAAAATGGAATTTCTGATGACATCTCGGGCAAAAAAGAAAAATCCGGATCCTGGGGCGTAACCCTCAGTTCACGCTAGCAGATGTCCGATTGGTCTATGTGTTCCCTGTAGACCTTTCTGAGCATGCCCTTTCCAAATTCGAACCTCCCTTTCCTTCGAGGTATGCTCTAAGGAAGTCGGCGTAGCAGACCGCGAAGCGCTGTGACACCATATTTAATTATGGTTCAGACATACATCACTTCTGAAAAAGGTGACAATATCAGTATTAACAACTTCGCACACATCACTGTGAAAATGACTTGTGAAGATGAAAATGGAAATCAAATCACTCAAATTAATGTTTTCGAAAGGAGGCTCGATTCTACAAATAAGATGCCATGGAGAATCGCAATAATTGAAGATTATAACAAATAATAAATTCAATAAGAAAAGAATTATTTTATGTGTAATATAATGAATGAGATTTGTTTGCCAGTTCATTGTTATAAGTGGAATATGCTAATATTTATCAGTCTTTTAGCGAAGCAATATATTAGCTTAACTATTCGGAGAAATCTTGCAATGTTAGTTTAATTTATAAGCAATGCTTTGTAGCCAATCGGAGATGCATAAAAGTATTTTTATTTAATAAACGTTTGTTATTAAAGTTTAATATTTGTGTTTTAGATAATAATAAATCAGAATCATTATTATTAAGCAATGGCTATTGCATACTTAGAGGTATATGGGTGTATATAAATCAATATGCCAATAAAATAAGATTCACCGTTTCATTGCGTGATATTAGAGAAGTCTGGAAAGGCTTAATAACTTTTAAGGTTCAATGGCTAGGCCGATCCACCTACCGTTGCTCAGAGCTGTTATTGAAGCTGGATCTCAAGTTAAAGAGGACTTAAAACCACTGCAGTGCTAGAGAAATTCTATAAATATAAACATAAAAATATTTTAATTTAGAAACCAAAACTAATTTATTTATAATAATTTTCGGATTTTAATATAATTGCAAGATCTTTAATTAAAACCATTATTATTAATCAAAATATTTTATAAAAGTAGTTATATAAAAATATATTTGATTAATAAGGATTAATTTTAAATAAATGTAAATTTTTCAATGATATCATTAAAGGAATCTTAAACAAATTAGCTTCAAAGAATTTAAAGCTTGAAAAATAATCCGGAGATTCTTCCAAATTTCCTATGAGAAAAACCTTTAAAATGCTGAATAAAATCTACGATAATTATTTGCTAAATATTTTAAAAGTATAGTTATAAACTATAGGATGCTAAAATAGGGATGGCAATAAAGCTCTTTACAGGCATAGAATTACTTAATATGCAATCAATTAAGGAAGATAGAAGCATATTCTGTATATTACAGAATTATCCGCTCTATAAAATTGCCCTAACAACAGCTTCAGAATTTTCTATAAATTCAAGCAATTCTGGGTTGAGCATTATACTAAATGATATTTAGACTGCTAAAACAGAAATTAAAATATCAAAATTAGAAAGAAAGCATGGAACGATTCTTCATATATTCTGATTATATGTTTTATTGTGGAAATTAGTATAATCATTTTAAATAGCTTTGAGGCCGCTAAAGCACATGTATGACTTATTTAATTAAATTTTCTTAAATAATCCACTGTCTATCAGATATCTTTTAATCCTTTTCATTTGGCTAGGCCAAAGACGTTAAAATTAAATTAATTTTCTTTCAAAATTTTTGTGTATTTAAACTTTTATATATATAAATTTATCTGAATAAATATTGCATGCACAGCATAAAGCATGGCCTAGCCCTGAAGGAATTAAATCCAAGAGCAGTTCCTGAAGAGCAAGATATACCGTTAAGATTGAAAAAGCTTCTAGAAAGCAACAAGCCCAAGAAAAGTGCAGAATTGCCCAAAAAGTTTATACAGACACAAGCTAAGCCAGCGAAGCCACAAGAGGTGAAAAAGAGTGAAAAACCAAAAGCAGAGAGCCCGAAGCAAGTGACTGATTTGTATAAAAAGCAATTGGAATATTCTCGAAACTATGAAGCCTACATGAGTGAGTCAAAACAAGGGTTTACCAAAGATGATCTTTTTGATATCCCTAAGAAAAGCAGCGCCAATATTCCTGAGAAGCCCAAGCCTGACCCAAAACCCCAAAAAGATGTGGATGCACTTATAGCCCTCGCAATTCATTAACATTAACATTATTTAGAGGTTTAAACGTGCTTTTTTGGCTCCGCAGGGTGATTTAACAAAGCCACAATGGCTCACCCCAGTAGACACCAACTGGTGACGTCGCCGGCATTTCCGACGTCACCCTTTTATCGGGCCGACGGACCATCATAAGCAAGTTGCGGCCAATTGACTGCCAGATCTCATGGGCTGCGTTGACTCCTGCGCGTCGTGCCGCCTATGGGTTTCCCTCCTCGGGAGTGTCAAGTAGTAAAGCCCTATATCCACCAAACATCCAAGGATCAGGCCAGGAGGCTGCGCACCCTCCCCGTTGCTTACCTGATATTGTTGGATAAGGTCCCATCGGGAAAACTGAACCCTATGATAATAAAATTGGCCAAAGGAGTGAAATTCTTCAGAGAAGAATTTTCTCGACGACGCCCCATTTTGTTATTATCATAACCCTAGCAATCCAAAAGAAAAAGAAGCGGACTAATGAGAAAGGTATTAAATTAAAGCACGGGCAAGGTCTTTTAAATGGCTACATGATTTGGTGTGCAAGGTGCTCTAAAAACCATCCTAGCGATTTCCATCAGAAAGCAAAGACAATTAAAAGCACATCTACCCCTGCTCTTCCTATAAAAAGGGATAGGCTTGAGGCGCCAATTATCAGTAAGCAAAAAGTGAGCAGCCCAGTTGACGAGTATAGCTATGAAGAGGAAGAAGAGTACGAAAACGAAGATGAGGAGTCTGACTTGGACGGGTTTATTGAAAGAGACGACTACCAAAACAATGTGTCAAAAATCGTCAGAAAAATGTATAATTATGATCCAACTAAATATAGAGACATTGATCGATTACCAACAAGAGATATGGAAGTCGGAGCTGAGAGGATATTTAGAGAAGAAGATTACAGTGCGAAAATTGGCAGGTATGAAGATCGAAAAGAGTTTGAGAAGCTAAAACGAAGATATTAATAATTTAGATTGGAGCTTATATTATCTTTAAATGCTTTGTATTTAAAATTAAATGATTAAGAGCTTGCTTATCTTAATTTATTTGAATTGGTTTGCTTATAATAATTATGTCAGATCAAGGTACTACTAAAAATGAATATAGCTTATACCCCTTTATAGATTTCTTTATCGTGCAAAATGTACTGGATTATTGAGCGACCAAGAGAGACTCTATTAAAGGAACGGGCTGGATATCTATATCAGGCAGTGCTAAAAAGTGACATGCCAAAAAATGGTGACAAGTCTGAAAAAAGTTGACAAGCAAACGCGCCAAATTTTAAAATGGATTTATTATTAAAATAATTTAAAACTTAAGATATTTTAATTTTAATCAACATTTAATTATGCTAAGTACACATCATATGAGTCGATAAGAACTTTGTATATATTGAGATACACAAGCCCGCACTTTGCAAATTATAGCTCTAGTCTTCATATATAAATTAGCATAAAATAAAGAAATTCTATCGAGCCGGAAAAATGCACATTGAGTTGCAAGTTTTTGATTTTCACATATAAGCCATATTGAATTTTTGTTAAGCATTTCTCATATGAGTCGATAAGAACTTCGTAGTTAATTGAATTCGCAAGCCACTCACTTTGCAAATTATAGTTTTAGTCTTCATAAATAAATTAGCATAAAATAAAGAAATTCTATCGAGCCGGAAAAATGCACATTGAGTTGCAAGTTTTTGATTTTCACTTGTAAGCCATATTGAAATTTTGCTAAGTGCACATCATATGAGTCGATAAGAACTTCTTATATATTGAGAATCGCAAGCCACGCACTTTGCAAATTATAGCTTTAGTCTTCATAAATAAATTATCATAAAATAAAGAAATTTTATCGAGCCGGAAAAATGCACATTGATTTGCAAGTTTTTGATTTTTACAGCTATTATTAAATTTAAAATATATATATAAATCAAAATATTTAAAGCAATATATAATGTGTAATTATATCTTCTGTCTAATTGGGTATCTTAAGTTTTAAATTATTTTAATAATAAATCCATTTTAAAAATTGGCGCGTTTGCTTGTCAACTTTTTTCAGACTTGTCACCATTTTTTGACATGTCACTTTTTAGCACTGCCTGATATAGATATCCAGCCCGTTCCTTTAATAGAGTCTCTCTTGGTCGTTCAATAATCCAGTACATTTTGCTCGATAAAGAAATCTATAAAGGGATATAAGCTATATCTCAGCAAAGAAGAGCTAATTGATCGAATTTTGCAATTGCAAGAAACCTTGCAGGAATTAACTGGCCGAATCGAAAGTGTTAGAAATGAAAACCAAAGTCTCCATGATGAAAATGTTGTCTTAAAAGAATATATTAACAATCTGATGGTCAAAGCAGGGAATCTTGGCTCAGAAAACCTCTCATAGATTGATTTTATAATCTAATTTCAAATAATCGCATAAAATTTCCTTTCTTAAAACTATTCACTTTATCAAAAGTCTCTTGAAAGATTGTACAGCAACAGATACTTTGTTTCATTTCTTATAACTAAAAACTGCAAAAATGTTTAATTGAGCTTAAGCGTCATTGCTCTCAATGAAAATTATGAGTTATTTTGATCTATTAAAAGTGGGAAAATATTAACTATAATATCACTTAACAGTCTTCTTTATGGCGATATAGCCAACTCAGGTGAGCATTTAGCATTAGTATTTTTTTCCTTCCTTCTTATTGATTTATTTTCTTGAAAATTAAAAAATTTCGAAAAACTTGATTCTAGCCTAGACTTAATCATTCCTATTGAATAAGATTTTTCAAAAACTTGCCCTTCTATATTCAAATCATTTTCTACAAGAAATCTCTTTGGAGACTTCTTGCTACACAAGACACCTAAAAAATTAGAACAAAATCCTCTTAAAGCATAAGGGTTATACTTCGGCTTTATCCACGTTTTCTTGATAAATTCTTTAGATGTTTTTCCAATCAAAGCCAAATATGTGTGGAAAAAAGTCAGCCCTATTACAAATCATCCAATCTAAATAAAAAATACAAGCGAAATATACATCAAAAGCACAATGCTTCCTCCAGCATTATCAATTGCCTTGGTAATTTGGTTTTTTATGCTCATATCTTTCGTATCACTCGAAATATCAATTAGATTTTTAACCACAAAAATAAAATTAAAAATAATCAGTGCTGTTGAGGAATATAAAAATCCTAAAAATGTTTTATAATTTCTTTTCCCTATGCAATTACCAAGCCAAGGGCAATGATGATCGAATTTTTCTACACATAAATCACAATCAAAGCAGTGTGAAGCTCTAGGAGGCCTTAATATATAGCCTGAATAAGTGATACAAGTTTTGCAAAATTTCATTTTAGTTAGTCTTCCACAAAATGGGATTTCGAAATATGAGCTATCCATAGGAGATGGCTTTGAAGGTTCATTTTTTAGAGCGGTTGAGATAGTAGGAGACCCTTTAGGCCCTCTTGCAAAGGGAGGAATTTGTTTGGCTAAATATCCAGGATCTGATGTTGATGTTATAACCAAAAATGAAAGAGATCATATCATCAGCCATAAACTTATAATTGGAATTCAGCCGTCATTTTTATTAAATTTGTTTGCTGAGGTTGTTGCAAGAAATATAACTTCAGGGCATAAAATCATGATAAAAGTAATTATGGCCCGATGGTAATCAGGACTAATTTAAATTTACCCGACCATTATCTTGCCTTTGCAGATAAACTTGTTGTTTCCAGACCAAATTTTATTTGATTATACATTAATTTAATGAAAATAAAATTTTTGTGCAAAGATTTATGATAAAAACTATAAGAAAATTTAGGCATCTAAGAAGACATCTAATCACTATTATATAAATATAATAATTACATATATCAGTTTTTCGTTAAATGTTAAATGTCCTTGGACTTAAACTAAGCATATAGCTCGGACTTTCAAAAAGTATGTAAGAAACTGACTTGCTTAATCCTTCGCCTGGGCTTTGAGTTTGATTAAACTTTGCGGCACTTTCATATTTATCATTCAAAAAACAAGGAGACAAAATCCTATTTCTCGGAGGCGATTCAGCAGGTGTAAACATAAGTGCTGTGTCTTCAATTACTGATAATTCGCTATAGCTTGAATTCATCGTCGTAACTTCTATAATTTTTCTTCTTTTTTTCGGCAAAGGTGTTACTGATAAATTTTCTTTATCTGCTTCTAATCTACAGCTATCTACTGAGTTCTGGTACCCTTGGATCGCGTTTGTCAAAATTTGATTGTGTGCTTGAATACAAGGAACTTTGGGAAGATCTGAATTTTCATTGATTGATTTTCTTCCTCTTTTTCTTTTGCCTCTTTCTTCTACTTGATGAGTAGAGCACACATGTTTTGGGTCAGTATAAATATGGTCTCTGATAAGATTATTATACCTTGTGTTGAACTCTGGGATTAGTTTTTTCATTGATGAATTCCAATGGTTTTTAATTGAGTTGTCTGTCCTCCCTTTAAGAATTTTCGCGATTTCAGCCCATCGATTTCCCATCATCTTATGATAGAGAAATAAGAGCCATTCTTCGTCTTCAAGTCACTGGTCCTTTCGGATATTTGGGTTTAAATGGTTGTGTCATCTTTCTCTGCATTGTTTTCCTATCCTACCTGGTAGACTTTTTGCAATGTGACTTCATTTTTGAGGGCCGTATTTATTAACCAATTTTATTACCATTAAATCTTCTTCGGTTGTCCAAGGACCAGTTTTTATTTCACTTGCTGCTGTGTCGTCATAATTCCATGAGTAATCTTTTGATTTGATTTTTCGGCTGCATCTTTCAACTGTAAGTGCCATTTAAATTTAAATCATTTTCATATTGGTTTAGATTTAAGGTCGAGATCTGCAAAATTGACGTCAAATTTGAATTTAATCTATGAAAAATTATAATTATATTGATTTTTTTAATATTGATAGGCTGCTATTATAAATTTAATAAAATACTTATAAATTCAATCGAAAAGATTTTATAGAAAATTCAGAAGCTTATTTTATCGAATTTCTTAAGGATTAAGCAATAAATGCTCCTGGGTACTTATCCATTAAAAATATGAGTGACCATTTTATAAAATTTTAATCTGTCTGACTTATCAAAATTTAGTAAGATATTTATGGCTATTTCCACCAATACTTTCACAAGTTTTAATTTGTATCCGGCTACTTATTTTTTAATATTATTTTATGAATATGGATAGCTTCTTTTAATCTCCAATTCTAGTAAATCTGCCGTCCTTTGCTTATTCAGTAAACCATTAACATTAGCATTAATTTAAATGTTGAGAAGTTCGCTGTAATGCCTCGAGGGCCTACCTCCGCCCGTATTGCTTCACCCGACTGCTCACCACCGACCTGCCACGGCCCTTCTAAAGTGTTGCTCCTTCTGGACGAGGATGTGCACTCGCTACCCGAAGTTGGATGAGTTGCGCCACCGTGCCGTACGCCAACAGAGTTGTCCTTTCCGAAAATTTGAAAAACAAATTTTCTGGTCGAACTCACGGCCAAAATGAAAATCCAAAGCCTGGGACGTAAGCCCCAGTTTCACGCTAGAGAGTTGCCCGATGGACCAAGAGGAACCTCATTGCTGCTGCTGAGCTTCTCCTTTCCAACCTTGGACTCCATTTCCCCTGAGGGTAAAAACCTTGTCATCAGAGTGAACTGCGGTCGACCGAATTCGACATTGCGCTCCACTGTGCCAAGGAAAAACCTAGCCGGATATGCTTTTTTGCCTTGAGTGGCGCGGTACGGGCGCCACTTCGGCAAGCTCCTTCTTCCAGTTGGCCGAGCCAACTCAGGTTGGTTCGGCCAACTAGAATTGACAAGTCTCCCCAAAAGGCCTCACTTGTCAATTCTCCAGTTGGTCGAACCAACCTGAGTTGGCTCGGCCAACTGGAAGAAGGAGCTTGCCGAAGTGGCGCCCATACCGCACCACTCAAGACAAAAAGCTATACCTATACCGAGCGCCAAAACTCCCTTCCACGAGGTCCTCGGGTCCTAGAAGGTCCCCAACTACAGGTGTTGAGAAAAGGGCTGGTTCGCCGTCGCCATTTTAATAAGTATGCTTATTCAGTAAACCAATTTTAAAATTTTATTACTTCCTATCTATCTAGTAAGACGATGGTTTAAAAAGAATCATTATGCAAAGCTTAAAATCGCTCTTTGGAGCTCTAGTGAAAAAAAGCTTTGAAAATAGGCAAAGCATCGGAGAAGAAGATACGAAATCTTCTGAGAACCAGTCCTCACCCTCCCCAATACTATATGAGTCTGAAATCCAAGACTCATTTTTAGGATCAATCAGCGAGGGAACTGAGTCGATGCTGGCACAGAAAATTCCACCGTCAGGATTCCAACTTGCTACTGTAATTCCGTCAACTCATTCTGACGTCATGAGCCATGCGTTATACAAAGCTGCACAACAAAACAAAGCAGAACTGTGTGGCGAACTGCTACAGAAGTCTTTTTATGGAGATGCTATGGCCAATGTTAATTTTAAAGACGAAAATAAAAATACTCCTCTGCATGTCGGAGCAAGCCAAGGATATCTTAAAGTGTGTGAAGCTTTGCTAGACTATGGAGATTCTACCAATCTTGATGCCAAAAATATTGAAGAAAGAACTCCACTCCACTTGGCTTGCAAGTTTGGACACTTGCAAGTGGTGCAACTCCTAGTCAGATCTGGCGCTGATATTGATACTCCTGATGAAGATAATTAAAATATGAAGTCTTCGTCTAGGCATGGCCTCCCGGCTATGCAGCCTCGACTCATATTTTAATTATATCGGGCAAGGTTTTAATATGGTAGAGATGGACGGCAATACTAGGTAAGCAATTCTGGTTGTGTGCAGAGCCTAGCCCAAGTCTGGTCTCGAGATGGATTTTTCCTCGTGGGGAAGGAGGGCACGGAGGTTGGAAAGGGGAAGCTTAGCAGAGTCCTTTGGACCAATCGGGCAAATTCTAGCGTGAAACTGGGCGTTACGTCCGGGCTACGCATTTTTCCTTTTTGCCGATAGCCGACCAGAAAATCCATTTTTTGGGTTTTCGGAAAAGCAACCCATGTAGCAAGCAAGTAGCTCACTCATGAGCCGTCGAAGCTGGCAAAACTTGCCCTAGGAGCACCCTGGTGATCAAAGCAGGTCGGCCCAGCGACTTGTAGGCCCGATGCGACGAAGGCGAGCGGTAGGCCTGGGAAGGTCGACCCCGTAGTGGACGTTAAGCGTTATAAATTCTATAAGATAAGATAAGATAATCCTGATGAAGATGGAAATACTCCTTTACATTTGGCATCAGAAAACGCAAAAACTGATGTGGTTTCTTGGCTTTTAACTAAGCATCCAAATTTATTTATTGAAAATAAATTTGAAAAGACCCCAGCAGAGGTAGCAGGCACTGAAGAAACAAAAGCCCTGTTTGCAAAATATTCAAACCGATCTCAGAATAGCACTTTTAGAGGTAATAGTCCAAGACTCTGCGTAAGAGAAATGAGCTTCTTTGAAGAAATAAAAGAACCTTCCAGGGTTTTCCCATTAGATTTTGAGATTTTAACTGAATTAGGAAAAGGCAGTTTTGGAGAAGTTTATCTGGTCAGGAAATCTGATAGCTGTCAACTTTATGCAATGAAAGTGCTGAGAAAAGAAAAAATCATGGGACAAAATTTAATAAAATATGCAATGACAGAAAGGCACGTTCTCAGTTATATTAATCACCCATTCATAGTATCGCTTAACTTCGCATTTCAAACCCCAGAAAAATTGTTTTTAATACTAGACTACTGCCCTGGAGGAGACTTGAGCTCACATTTAGCTCGGGAAAAGCATTTCGACGAGTATAAAGCAAGAATTTATACATGCGAAATATTACTTGCATTAGAAGAATTGCATAGGCATGGAATAATTTTTAGAGATCTGAAGCCTGATAATATCGTAGTTGATGAAGATGGCCACGCTTTGTTGACCGATTTTGGGCTTTCAAAAGAAGGAGTATATGATGGCGACACGGCTAAAAGCTTTTGTGGCTCTTTAGCTTATTTAGCACCTGAAATGATCAGAAGGCAAGGGCACGGAAAAACTGTGGATTGGTACCTTCTTGGGGTTTTGTTTTATGAAATGGTGGTAGGGATTCCACCTTATTTTTCTAATAATAAAGAAGAGCTGTTCAATAATATCCAGAAGGGGAAGCTAAAGCTTCCCTCAAGTTTATCACTAGAAGCAAAGGATCTGATAATAGAAGTAAGATTTATTTAGCTATTACAAAGAGATCCGTCAAAAAGACTAGGTGCAAAAAGAGATGCTGAGGAAATTAAAGCACATAAATTCTTTCAAGGAATTGATTGGGATAAAGTTATGAGGAAAGAGCTTAAGCCTCCTGTACCTCCTAAAAAATGTATTCCGGACCAAAGAATTGAACCTCGGCTTGTGTATGGAGATTTGTCGAGATGTGAAGAAAAGTACAACAGGGTTTCTGGCTGGTCTTTTGTTTTAGAATAAATATTATCAAGCATAAATATTTATTCGTTGTACTTCTTACAAATTTAAATACCATAAATAATAATTAAAATGTAAAATTTTCAAATTAAACTAAATTATAAGTTATAATAATTGATTAATTTTATTCTAATCGAATTGGTGCTATTAAAACAACTGATCCTGTGAATTGGCTGTAAACTTTTGCTCTACAATTTCTTCAAACTCTTCAGTTTTTTCTTCAAAAATTTCCACATAATTTTTCATTATTTTTTCTGTTTGCTTCTTGATGTTTAATATAGTGGAGGCTATTGTTTCCCCCACGCTTTTGATTTCATCCAGTTCTTCTGAAAAATAATTTTTGATTTTGCCGAAAAAATTACCGACCTTTTTGCAAGTAATTTTGCTTTGGATCATTCATTCTTTTGCGATTCCAATTCCAAGCTTATGTCTGGAAATATTTTTATCTAGGCACCTCTCAATGAAGTCGTCATTTTTTTTGATGAATCTGATCAATAAGTCATTTGTGCTGAGGGTTTCTACTGGCTTCATTGGCCATATTCTTTCTGCAGCTTTTAATTCACTGTATTTTGGATCATTTTCTTCTCCTTCGTTGACTATAAGATAGTCAATGAAATAGTCTTCTAAGATACAAATATTATAATTTTTTTTTAAATAAAAATTTCCTTTAAAATCACCTATGTATGCAAAAAATAATTTTATTATTCGGCTGGGGATGCAAGAAAATGGATTGTAATGTTCGTTGGGCATGGACATATGGTATCAGTAACCCAATGGCATTGGCTTACACATGCTCCACGCTCGTATTCACTCATCAAACATTTCCTGCGTCCATTTTCATCTCCTATGATCCCAACGATCAACGATCCATTGACAAATAGCTTCTTGCATTTTTCTAACTGTCTTAAATGCCCAACGTTAAACATGTCGAATGTGTCGACATAAAGAATTCGAATTTCATCTGGATCATCTGAGAATTTCAATTTTTTCCTCGCACTTGATGCTCGTGAATATCTAATTCTCTTTTTGGGAATATCCATATTTTAAAATGTGATTGGGGCATTATTTCTTGATTTTCTTGACATCAAATTTTGGGAAATTATTGGAAAGTTGTATTGATCCTTGATTCATTGGTTTTTTTGATATATAAATTGTAAAAATTCATATTAATAAAAATTAATAGAGAGGCACGCAAATATCAAAGTAAAGAGATATAATTTTAATGAGAAAGTGTTTATTCATTAAATATTAAAATCAAAATTTCCAAATTATAAATCTCAGTTATACTTTGGATTTTCTCAATTTTAAACACATACTAAAATTAGCATTTTCATGGCTCATTAGAATGGCAAAAATATCACCTCTAAAATGAGTTATAGAGCTATAAACTATAGTGGAAGTGCCTTATATCGCATTATATTTTATAATTTTAATCAGAATAAAATGTTCAAATTAGAAATTTATTTTAATTAAATGTCCAAATATTAGTCTTACAAGAAATTATACAGGAGAATAAAACCATATTAAGACCGATCAAATTGCTTTTGCTTAATGGTCTTCGCTAAAAATGATAAGTAAAAATCAAACTCAGAACTTTTAATTTGATATTAAATTGAAGAATTCAAATTGAGCATTATTGTATAAATCACCCTACCTCTAAATATAAATGCAATATTATAAAAATCGCTAATCTTTAATTGATGCTTGGGTGGAAAACCTAAAAACAGCTTTGCTCTACTTTAATATATGGGGGGTAATTAGTACAAAAATTTAAATGTCAATTAAAGACCAAAATCAAGTAAAAGAGCCTCAAGTCAAAGCTGAAATTGCATTAGGAAGATCAATGGAATATCTAAAAGAAAGCCGAAGCTGCAAAGTTTGTGGAGTTGAATACACGTCAAGTTTAGAAATAATACCTCATTTATATAGAGAGCACCCAAAGTGTAAAGATTGCAAACTTCGATCTTTATCAGTTGAAGATCATATTCTCCACAGACTTGAAAAGCATCTTAGTGATATAAGGCAAGCATTTCAGACATCTTATGGAATTAAAAAAAGTATTGGTTTAAGGCATGAATGCTCAGTATGCTCAGCTGTTTTTACCAGGAAAACTTATGCGCTTGTGCATATGGCTAAAAAGCACCCTTTAATTGTTTCATTATTTAACTCTGACAGCACATTTTAAATTAAATTAACTACTTTCTTCGCCTAGGTATTTTTGATAAAGCTTCATAAATGTTTGGCCTCCTTTAGGAGATTTAAAAGACTCATGAGGTTTGTCTTGAAACTGCTCTGTAAGCTTTTTTCTGGACTCGTTAAAATCTTGCAAAGCCTTATTAGAATTCTCATAATTATGAAGAATTCCATGAATCATTTCATCTTTTTTAGATTTAATTTCTTTGAGTTGCTGATTTTCAGTTTCAAGAGACTTTATTTTTTCAATTAATTGCCCATTGCCTATGTTTAACTGGTAAATAAGATATCCCATAAATTCCACTTCAATAATCAACTGCAAATCATCTCCTTGTAAAAAAAAATAGTTTTTTGTTATTTCTTGCCTTTTCTGGTAAAAGTCTTCACCAACTGCAATATTAAAGCACTGATAAATATTGAAGGAAGTCTCTTTCACAATATCGATTATTGCTTCAAGATCTTTTATTTTTTTGTTAGACTTATCATTTGAAAATTTGAGATCTTTTATTGTTTCTTGGTCTTTTTCTGAGCTTAATTGCATTATTTTAGTGAGTTCTGATTCTCGGCTGCTTCATTTGCTTTTTTATAATTAAATATGGCGTCTTCGTCTGGGCATGGCCTCCCGGCCATGCAGCCTCGACTCATATTTAATTATATCCGGCAAGGTTTTGCCAGCTCAGAGAGAGACAGAAATGCTAGGTAAGCAATTCTGGTTGCGTTCAGAGCCTAGCCCTAGTCTATTCTCAGGGTTGGTTTTTTCCTCGTGGGGAAGGAGGGCACGTCAGTTGGAAAGGGGAAGCCCAGCAGAGTCCTAAGGACCAATCGGGCAACTCCCTAGCGTGAAACTGGGCGTTACGTCCCAGGCTGCGTGTTTTTCCTTTTTGCCGAGAGCCGACCCGAAAATCCATTTTTTGGATTTTCGGAAAGGCAACTCATGTCCAGATGCAGTAGCTCACTCATGAGCCGTCGAAGCCGGTGACATTTGCCCTAGGCGCACCTTGGTGATCGAGACGGGTTTGGCCAGCAACTCGTGGGCCCGATGCGGCGAAAGGCAAGTGGCGGGTCTGGGATAGTCTACCCCGTAGTGGACGTTAAACGTTATAATTAATTAGTTAGTTAGTTAGTTAGCTTCATTTGCTTTTTAATATATCAATTTGCTGTCTCAACTTTTGCTCAGATTCTCTTGCGTCAGAAATCTCTGCATCTGAAGACCGTTTTATTTGGTCATAACTAAGCTCTAATTCTTTAGTTTTCTCTTCTAAGTTTTTAGCAGTTTCTTCAAGTTCGCTTCTCAATTTTTCATTTTCTTCTTCAAAAACTTCTTTTTCATTGATCAATTTTTCAACTTCACCAGAATAAATTTTCCTGGACTCTTCAAAGCTCCTTATTTTGCTTTTAGCCAAGTTTTCTTTTAATTCTTTTATTTTTGCTTCGTTTTCTCGTATTTCTTCTTGAAGCCTGCAAATTTCTTTATTAAATTCATTTTCTATTTGTTCTTTTTCGTTTTCATATCTATCAACTATTTTTCCTAACTCATTTTCTAAATTCTGAATATTTGCATTTAAAATCAGAGTATTTTCAATTGCCTTGTCCATTTTACTAAAAACCTCGATTTCTGACTTATCAAGCCAGCTAGAAAATGCTCCGACTTTATAATTTGCTTCTTCTTCAATCATCTTTAAAGATTTTCCATCGCTTTTATCAGCAAGATCATCTATTTTTAAAGGTGAATCGTTCTCATATCAACTTGAGCTCTGAAATGATGCACGTTGGTCTTTGTCTAATAATTGATAAACCCTCTTTTTAACTTCATTGATAAATTTTGTGCTTGAGTCAAGAGCATTCGTGAACTTGCCAATAATTCCATTGACTATCGAAAATCCATTCTCATCTGCATCAAAACTATAAATATCTGAAAAATCAGTTTGCACTTCATTATCAGTTTTTGGCTTATTTTTATTTCGAGAGTGAGCTTCAGCCTGCAAAGCCCAGATTTTGGCTGCGGAATGAAGCAAGCAGGCTTTTTCAAAAGATTGTTCACGTATATACTCGTATTTGTTTACCAATTCTGTAGGAAGAGGAAATGAAAATAATATTTCCTCAGCAACATTCAACAAAGCTAATAAACTTTCAACTTCTGGCTTCAGGCTATTTATTGCTCCTCTATTTTCCATAAAATTAAATTTAAAAATTAATACGAATACCCATGAACAGCTTCTGCAAATCCTACTCTTTGATTGTCTCTATCAAAGATAGTATAATACTTTGCAAGGAAAATATCTCCTAATATCCATAATGGACCACTATGTAAAAATTACTATGGTTCTGGGACATCTAAAGGCATTATTGCTAAAGTGCAATCTTCAGTATTTTTTGAATGAACGCCAGGATTTTCTTCTCCTAATAAGCCATAAGTGATAATGTATTCTTCTGGGGACAAAGAAAATTTTTTTCCATTAATAATAAAAGTAAGATCTGGGCTTTTGTTGAATTCAGAGCAGTCTATTGTTATAGAAGACATTAATACCGCTAAGCCTTTAGATGGAGCTGTAAGTAGTGAGGTTCCTGTATCAACTGCAGCTCTGCATCCATTTCTGCAAAGATTTAGGCTTTTGTCACCAAGCTGAATGTCTTCAACTTCAATTAGCCAATAATATTCTAGGCCATCAATAACATCTGCCCAATAAATACTGCCTGAGTATTTAGACTCGTCAACCTCTCCAAAAATAATTTGAGACTCTTCTTCAGGATCAAGAGAGTAGTAAAATGAAAATATATTAGAAGAAAGCAAATTTTGCTCGACAATATTGTCAAAAACAGGGTTGAAATTAAAAGCTGCCATGCTTGGAAAGCCAAGTCCTAATATACCTGAAAATTTCCCTTGCACAAAAATGTCTCCGACTTCATCAGTAATTTCACCGATATTTTGCCTTTTAATTTCAATACCAGCGATATATACTGTATCTTCATTGATTTCTCCTTTAATTTCTCCAGTTCCAAATTCAACATTTATAAAATATCCTAACTCTCTGTAATCTAAACTTTTATTATGATCATATGTTGCATGGCTTTGGCAAGAATAATCACGACACATTTTCGAGTTTACCCAAAAATTAGCACTTCCAGTATCAAAAATCACATCAAGATACTGAGGAGGATTTCCAATTCCGACTGATCCAACATACTGGGTATTTGCATAATTTTTAAGCTTGATTTTTGCTTCAAGCTTACTATTAGTTTCTATTGACTCACTGGCAAAAATTAAAAATGGCGTGGAGAACCAACCTGCCACTTAACACCTGAAGACAGACGGGAACCCGGAGACCTTGTGGTAGGGAGAGCAGCGTGCATTAAGAGTATCTGGCCGGTTTTAATTGGTCTGGTAAAGCACGATGTCGGGATGACTATCCTCAGGCTCATATACAGGGAAAGGTTTTACCTTAAGGGACGATGAAACTCGGAAGTCGGAAAGAGATAGACCAGCAAAGCCAGAGGGCGTTCGCTTGGTCAATCTGGCAACTTCGCCCTGGGCGACAAGTTTTGCTCTGGCCGATAGCCTGACAAGAAAATTTAATTTTTTTAATTTTTTGAAAGGGCAACTCCGTTGAAGTACGACACAGCGGTTCAACGTCTTTACCTTCTCGTTGCAAGTGCAAGCTCTCATGCGGAGGTAGTATAACATACATTCAAGCCATATAATCTGACTGGCATGCAAGAAGGTAGAGCAAAGCAAGGGACATGCAAAGTCGACATGGCTGACCGGGAGTTATCCTATAATAATCTAAAGTTAAGTTAAGACTCACTGGCAAAAACTTTGGATTTTCATTATAAATTGAAGTTTGGTATTTTGTTAAAAAATTTATTTGTTTGGTTTTATCTTCAAACGTTTTGGCATATTTTTTCAGCGGAATTTTTGGTTGAATGCGCTCTTTTCGAGGACATTTTCTCTTGCAGACACTTTTTGTGACCATTTTGTCGAAAACTTTTTTCTCGTCAGTTATTTAGTCGAAAAATAATAATTGTTTGAAGAGCAAGTGAACAAAGCATTTTTGTTAGTTCACAGAGGAGGTAAATTTTTTAAAAAATTTATATATAAATTCTATAGTAAATGTTTTTTTCGAAATCTAAAAATTCATATTCAATAAAGCAAATATTAATTTAATTTGTAAAATGTATGTTTTAAAATGCAAACTGTTTAAAAATAAACAGAGTTAGCTAGAGATTTCATTATAATAATTACTATTTATATATCAAAATAATTTTTTTAAAAATATTTTTGTTCACTCATGGAGGGTTGGCTTTCGGCCAAAAAATAGAGAGTTCTCCAATAGTTTTTTTTTTGCTCATAGAGGAGGGATTTAGGAATTTCTGCTAGAGAAAAATCATGACTAAAAGACATAATCGGAATTTTTTTATGTTGTGGCTGTGAAATAGGCATTTGCTGGCAGTTAAAAATTTGAACTAGTAAAAGAAGTCAAATTTTCATATTTAAATTTTATGAAAAGTGTTTGTTAATTAAATTAACTCTTTTTGAAATTACGAGGAAAAGGTGATACTTTTTTTGAAATAGATACATCAATTTTATATGAGCTTGCTGATCGAGGTCTATTTTCTGTTGTTATCAAGCAATTTTCACATTTCGTATTACTGCTCTCAGAGAGACCTGAACTCTCTGGGATTGATTTTGGGTTAATTTTAAATATAATTGGCTTTAGACTCAGTGATTTTTCTGTTTCTTCATCTGAATCAGTCTGCTTTCATTGAGAAAATCCTATGATCCTCTTCGTTTGTGGAGTTTTCTCCATCAAATCAATTGGCTTTTGGCTAAAATTGCAGTTTAAACTAGATACTGAGCCGAATTTTGGAATAAACTGTTTTTGAGAGCTCTTAAATTCATTTGAAGTTTCCTGGCTTAACTTAATACCATTATTGTTTTCAACTCCAAGGCCATTAACTGCTCCAGCATTATTTCATATTGAAATAACTTCTTTTTCATATTTCATTGTCTGATTGTCAGAGCTATCATTGAGGTAATTGATATTTATTGCCTCGCTCTTCCATTTTCTTCTGTTATATATTCTTTTCTTTTTATCAAAATTCAAACATTTTGATGAAACACTTTCTGGGTTTTTTGAATTTAATTCCAAAATAGACTCAGATGAAGGGTTTCTTTTGATCTTATTCAATTTCACCTCATTGCCCGTTTCAAGCTGAGGGATGCTATCAAGATCATCATTGTTACACTGCTCTTGCTTTTTAATGGTTTTTAGAGAGTGATACAATGGATATGCATTTATTGTATAGCAAGCTAGTGAGTTATTTAGTTAGTTAAATGTTATGTTAGCCAGAGGGTAAACCCACTAGCCTTTGCCCATTTTGGCCACAAAAGGTCACCCTTTTGGATTGCCGATCTGAACTACCTGCCCAAGGGATTAGCTCCCTAGGGCCACCCACCATCTGTAGAGTGCCCTGATGGTCCTGATTAGAGAAGCCTATTTAGTAAGTAAAATCTATCAAAAAAAAGCCTTCGGTGGAGAAACTAAGGATTAGCTTCCTATCTTAGAGCAATCTCTTGCAGATGTTCTTTATTCCTGATACAAAGACTAAGTGGGTGCGAACCCTATCAAGTCCATCTGGCAGGGACAAGAAAACCTAGAACTTCCCTCTTCAGCAGATATTCCCAAGCCTGGAGGTCTAATTCAAAGTGAAAGGCACTGTTTTTAGCTTCATCGCTATGTCTCCTGCCTGCTCTATAAGAATTGCGCCAAAATGGACAGAGGCCCTGCTTTCAGCTTCATCAGGATGGCTCCTAACTGCTCCATATGAGTACTCCTCGTAGTCAAATCTCCCATCAATGTCCCCATTTATTTCTTCTTTATATAGCAAGGAATTTGAGTCCTAGACCTCACATGTATGATTTTAATACGCTCCATGGATATCACATTTAGCTGTGGCTCCTTAGGCGATTCACATATAGGTGACCCAGGAGGATTTGTACGAGGCGAAAATGATTTTCTTATTCCACTTTGAGCGCTTGTTGTACTGGCAGGTGAGATGTCAGTATATTCTTTTGTGAACATTTTTCGAAGGTTCATAAGGGCTTGCTCTCTACCTTCTCCAGTTGGCGAGCATATTTTAAAGGTTCCAGATCTTGTATGGATATAGGTTTTACTTTTAGCTGCCGAAATTGGGCGCCTTCTTAACATCTGGATTTTAGAATTTGCTGGCTTGATTTCAAGTTGAGGAATCTCTTTCTTATGAATTCTCATTAATATTATATACAGTAAATGACTTCTCAAATATTTATCATTTAGGAAATAAAATAGCGTTAAGAAAATTTTTATTTATGGTCGTAAGTTATGATTTGACTACTTAAAATTTTATTTATTAATTTTATTATCAAAAGGGAAATAGAAAGTCTACTGATAAATTATTTATAACGCTTGACATATTTAGTTACATTTAAATTCAAATAGTTATGAGATTATTAATTGATTGATTTTTATGATGTTTACCTTATAACTTTAAAGAGCAGGCGAATTATATTTAAAAATTAATTTTCCTCACTCCCCCCCCCCCCCTCCGTGAGCGAACAAAACCATTAGAAAAATCGGCATTTTTTGACCAAAAACCCACCCTCCGTGAGTGAACAAAAATTTTTTTAATAGAAAAAATTTTAATGGAAAAAAATTTTGATATATAAGTGATAATTAGTATAATGAAATCTAGAGCTAATTCTGTTTAATTTTAAACAAATTGCTTTTTTTAAAACATAAATTTTGCAAATTAAATTAATATTTGCTTCCCAATTTTTGCAAATTAGGATTTTTTTAAATTTCGAAAAAAATATTTTTTATAAAATTTATATATAAATTTTTTTTAAAAAAAAAAATTAACCCCCCTCCGTGAGCGAACAAAATTTTTTTGTTCGCTCACGGAGGGGGGGGGGAGTCAGTGAGATTTTATTACAAAAATGAAAAAATCAATAAATATTAAGTTAAGGAATATTATCATTAATTTGCCGAAAATTCGAATTCTTTGTAATAAATTAATTACTCATTTTTTTCAATTTGAAGATTGTCTAAAAATGGATAAACTTCTCCTAGCTCCCGCTTGGCTAGCGAGTAAAATTTTTTTGTATTTAATAATCCAAGTTGCAAATATTTGTAAAGGAAAATCTTATTTAATTTAATTTATTTTAAGATTGCAAGCTAGCTAAACTGCAGAGATTTCATTATTATATAATTAACTATAATTTATTTCAAAAAATGATAAGATTAAAAGAATTTTTGCTTTTTTAAAATAATGATTTTTCTGCTTTTTTTTTCGCTAACCATGAGGGGATTAAGCTTTTACTTCCAGTATAAAGTACTTTATAAATTTCTCCCATCTGTTCTGAGCTCGCAAGTCTCTCATATTCTATATCTAATTGTGCACCTTTTTCAGCATTATTTTGTGTTTTAAGATAATCTACTCTAGCCCCTATTCCCATAGACTCTAAAAAAAAGCCTTGAGGTATCGGCCCAATAGTTCTTAAATCTGTATAAGTATCAGCAACAGCTTTCAAAGTTGAAAAATCGACGTAAGCGCTCAAATCAACTTTTCCAGGCATCTGGAGTCATTTATCAGCGTCAAGCTTTTCATGGCCTTTGATTCCCTATATAGCAAATACTCTTATTGAATTAGAAGCCTTAACTTTTACATTTGGAGCTCGTAACACTAGGTCTTAAGGGCCATTATTACTCACCGCTAGTGATGACAAGACAGTTTATTTTTGTATATATCACGCCCTTCGTCTTGAACAAAACGTCTTCAATACGATTGCACCCAATTAACTTGCGTCTCCTATACTGGAGTTAGATTAGCTGAGGACTTGCTTCCATCTTGCCTTAGATGAACCACCCCTCTGTTGACTTTGAATTACGCAAAGACTCGGATAGCCTACATTACTCAGTCTCCGTCCCAGAAGCCAAAGTCCGTTGACCCTAGTGTAGAACTTGACCTTAATAAAGCCCCTAGGCGGAGGAGTAAAAATCTCACTTGGATAGAAAAATTACCTAAATAAAAGTAGCTCAAGGCCGGGCTAATTCCATTTTTTTTTGGATATTTTTTCTCTTATTGAATTAGAAAATGAATGATTTTCTCCATAATCAATAATTATTCCTGCTCCAACAGTAGAGTTAATGAAATCACATATTTGAGTCATCAAACTGACTGATACTGGAGATAATTCTATTCGATTTCCTTCAAAAAGCTGTATGCTCGCTTCTCCTGAAAATCGTTTTTCTGGCTTAAGGATATTTTTTACATTTTGGTTTGGTCCGTTACTTCTTATTAATTGAAAATCATCATTTTCTGTCAAATTAACCTGCACCTCACATCATCCTTGCTGCTCTGAAAATTCGAAAATGTAAATAGGAAGGGCATCAAAAAGTTCGTGCCCGATAACTATTGCTGGATATCCTTTAAGTGCTTTATTGTAGAGATCCCTCATTTTTTCAAATGAATCATATCAAAGAAATGAGGTATGTTCATAAAATAACTTATCAATTCCATCCTCACTTTGGCTTCATGTTTTTAATCCTCAATCTTTGAATACTTTTTCAATGTTTTCTTTTTGAATTTTTCTCAAGGCAGCACTGACATCAACTAAATGAATGCTTAACCCCGATAAGCAATCTAGGCTTTTCAGGGTTCTAAGTATATCGCATGTTAATGTGCCTCTACCAGGTCCTAATTCAATTAAATTTCATCTAAATGGATTTTTGAACTTCTGCTGAACATGGTTGAGCCAAACTCCAATCATTTCACCAAATAATTGAGAAATTTCAGGAGAAGTAATAAAATCTCCTTTTCGACCAAACACATCTCCTTGGCAATAATATCCATATTGTGGATGAGCCAAGCATTGCTCCATATATTGTGCAAATGATAGAGGACCGTTTGAAATGATTTGCTTTGTTAAATGCTCTTTTAGCTCGTCTTTTTTTGGCTGAAGGGACTTTATAATTGTTCCTCTAGGACCTCGAAAAAATCTTCTTAAAAGCATGAAGTCAAATAATATATAAAGATGAAATTTTTGAGATGGGCTGGCGATTCAACGCTAAATTGTTTATAAAATTTAAATAATTCAAATTTACAAAGGTGATTTTTAAATTTTAAATTAAATATGACTATTGTAAAACATTACAACTAAAATAAAAATAATCAGCGAGTAGTTCAAATATTTTGGGGAAATAAAAAAATTGAACAGAAATATCAGAATACAAGCTTGCTAATCTACTTTTTAAAAGATGAAAACTGCACAATAAAGCTTTTATAGAAAATTGCACATTAAATTCAAAATTAATGGTTCCAAAACTCAATCCTCATTAAAAATTCTTGAGTAATTTTGTTTAGCAACATAAATCTCTCTGTTTTAGATTTTTCAACAATCTTTGAATAATCTTATGCAAAATGTCAAGAAAAATTCACTGTAAGCTCGAAACCAAGGTAATTTACAAATACGAAAAATGCAAACCTAAACATCGATTAAATCCTTAAACTTAGAAACTCAAGATAATCAAAATTGATATAGAGCTAAAGACTCGATAATTATTTTGAAAAACTATTGATGAATCAAAGTCCATAAATTATAAAGAGTGAGTTTAAAAGATTAATGAGAAATGAGCTACTAATATATTCTTTTAAGCCTTGCACTTTAATTTAAACCTCAGGATATTAACTATCTACATTAAGAAACCCTAAATTTATACCACATTAAGTAAATTCTCAATGGCTAGGATTGTTTTAATTAATACCATTGAGCAGTTGTTTGTCAATCTATAATATAAATTTATTATGAATTCAAATAATAAGCGCCTAGCAAAGCCTGGGTTTATTAGCAGGATTATTGTTTGATGACTCTACCCACTTGCATGAAACTCTGTAAAAGAAAGTAAAAAAGATGAGAAATACCTCCAGCCAATTCTCGAAGGCCTAAGGCCAGATGAAAATAGTAAGAAACTACAAAAAGCTTGGGAAAATGAAATGTCTTTGAAAAATCCAAGCTTTATGAGAGCTTTATTTAAAGCATTCGGTTACGATTATTTGAAAATAGGAATTCCATTTACTATAAGCTTGTTTGGAAATTTAGGGATTTCAATATTACTTACTCCCCCCTCCGTGAGCGAAAAAAAAAAATTTTTCGCTCAAGGAGGTGGGTTAATTTTTTTTTAAAACTTTTATAATAATTTTTTTTTTCAAAATTTAAAAACATTCTAATTTGTAAAATTTGAGTAGTAAAAATTAATTTAATTTGCAAAATTTATGTTTTAAAATGCAAGCTGTTTAAAATTAACCAGAATTAGAGAGATTTCATTATACTAATTTTCACAAAATTTTTTTTTTTCTCATAAAATAATTTTTGTTCGCTCACTGAGGGTGGGTTCTTGGTCAAAAATAGGAATTTTTTTCCAATGGTTTTGCTCGCTCACGGAGGGGGGAGTTAGCAAAATAATAGATTATTTTGAAAATGAAGAAGCTGGGCTATGGGTAGCTGCAGTTTATTCAATTCTTTTACTAATTGTATCTGTTATTGCTTTTATTCAAAACGAAAGAGGATATTTAGAATCAATGTTGCTAGGCATCAAAATAGAAAGCTCAATATCCTTATTGTTATACGAAAACACATTAGCATTTTCCGCAAATTCTTTAGGCCCGAAATCTTCTCAAGGGAAAATTGTCAACTTAGTTTCATCAGATATTGAAAATTTCCGAAATTTATCAATGACAGTATCCATATGGGTCTTTCCAATTTACTTTATCGCTGCCATGGTCACAATTGCATTTTTTCTAGGCTGGGCCGGAGTTATAGGTCTTACTTTGGTTCTTTTTAGTTTTCCTATGCAAATGTTTTTATCAAGAATGACTTCAAGAAAATTAAACAAAACAAGCAAATACATTGACAGTAGGATCAACTTAATTAGCAATATATTTGACGGAATAAGAATTATCAAACTTTATGGCTGGGAGGTTCCATTTATGAATATGATCAGTCTTATAAGAGGATATGAAATTTCTGAGTATTGGAAGAGCACAATTTTGAAAATTTTTGCCTATGGAGTCAATATAAGTGGCCAAGGAATAATCATTCTTATCACTTTTGCACTATACATTCGCATAAGCGGTCCACTTGAATATAGCAATATTTATTGCGGAATGAGCATACTGATGATATCATATTCTTATATGACAGGAAATGTCGCATTAGGAATGCTTCAAAGAGGGCTTTACATATCCACATGCAATAGGACTAAAGAAGCATTGATGTCTCAGCACGTCAAGAAGTATCCTCACCAAGAGAATGCAATAGGAGCCATCTCATTTAGAGAAGTAAATTCCAGCTGAGCTCCTATGCCTGAGACGGCACCAGATCCAAAACTAACACATGGATTTGTGTCAACTTTAGATAATATTGATGAAAGCCTTGGAGGTTATAATTTCACTGTCGAGCCAGGTGAACTTTGTGCTGTTATAGGAAGTGTTGGCTCTGGAAAAACTAAATTGTTACATACCATTCTTGGAGATTTGCACATTAAAATGGCGACGCATGTCAAAATGCCTAATTATCGCGGTCTGAACCTTAAGACTCATATTGGAACAGACACAAAGCTGAGTTTGAGAATATAGAGCGTTTTCTGCAGCTTGAAATGGATGATCCCAAGGCTGTGGCCATGCCACATGGTGCAGTTTTTTTCCTGCTGCTTTTAAACCAAGGCACTTCGACACCCATCAAACTCTAATGAGCTAATGTCAAGCTACCACCAATTTCCCGTCAGAAGGCCTCAGAAGTCGATAAATCACTCACTCACTCAAGACTGAACCCATTGGTTATTATCAGATCTAATTGGCAGTTCTTCGCAAAGCGGACAAATTGCCCAATATGCGACCTGGTAAGTATCTAACTAATTATTCTTGGAGAAAACATTTATATACGGAGGAGAAATAAAAATGGGAGGATCACTAGCATATGTAGAGCAAGAGCCCTGAATCATTGCAGGGACTGTAAAAGATAATATTTTGATGAGCGAGCCATATGAACAATCCAAATATGAAAGCGTTCTAAAATGCTGCTGTTTGGAAGAGGACGTAAATGCAATGTCAAATGGCGATAATACACATGTAGGAGAGCACGGATGCAATTTAAGTGGAGGACAAAGAGCCAGAATTTCTCTTGCTAGAGCAGTCTATGCTGACAAAGATATTTATCTGCTTGACGACCCTTTTAGTGCAGTTGACGCAAGAGTAGCTGAAAACATTTTAAAAGTATGTATAAAAGGTAGACTGAAAAGAAAAACCATCATTATGGTCACTAATCAGCTTTATTACCTTCCATTTTGTTCAAAAATCTTATTAGTTGACAATGGAAAAATCATCTTTGAAGGGAATTATGATAAATTAAGGCATGAAGAATGGGCTCTGGAAATGATTGGCAAAAATGGAGAAAATAATCAAGATGATCGCACAAACTACCAAATCAAAGATATGAAAGAGGTTGCTAAAGATCCGGCATCAAAATCGCAAGATGAAACACAATCTGATGAAGAAGAGGACACAATAAGCTCAAAGGCAGTAAAACTCAGAGTTTATTTTCAATTTCTTAAAGCAGGCTTTAGGTCTTTTTGTGTACTATTGATATTTCTTTCTATATGCGCTGTAGCTCAAACTGTATATATCATCATGCAATATTGGATTACCTACTGATGCTCAAAGAGTGATGGTGAACAGAAAAAGGCATTTTACCCATTAGTGCTTCTAGTTGCAACCCTTTGTGTATTTTTCACAGCATTTTGCCAAGGAGCTTTTATCATTAATGTCTTGCTATATGCTTCCAAGCTTCTGCACAACACTGTTTTTGCAAGATTACTGTTTGCACCAATAACATTTTACGATGAAAATCCTGGTGGAAAATTGCTTACTATCATGAAGGAGGGTTAATTTATTTTTAAATTAATTTATAAAATTTTATAGTAATTTTATTTCGAAATTCCCAATTCAAATTTATTGGAAACAAATATTTATTTAATTTGTGAAATTTATGTTTTAAAATGCAAGCTGTTTAAAACTAAAGAGAATTAGCTAGAGATTTCATTATAATAATTAACACTTATATATCAAAATTTTATATTAAAAAATTTATTGTTCGCTCACGGAGGTTCTGCTTTTGGGCATTTTTCCAATTTTTTTTACTTGCTCACGGAGAGGGGGTTAATATATTTTCAAGAGATATTTTTATTGTTGATGCGTTTGTTTCTGCAGGCCTTTCTGACTCTTTGAGAATGTTTTTGATTATTTTTGCGCTGCTTGTTACAACGGTTTATATTGTCCCTTATTCTCTTATAGTGATTGTTATATATTTGTCCTTCTTTTATATGGGTCTCACACAAATAAAATGGCGATTTATCTGGCCAGTGCTCCTTCCAAACCCTCGGAGCTTTTGGGTCTAAGGGATGCAGGGCTGCCAGGGGTGGGTTTTTCTTCCTAGCTGGGACACCACAGCAAAGTTTTTAACCATACATAGGCAAGGAAGCCAGAGTCTATATAGCAACTCCTCGCTTTTAGATGCAAAGAGTAATGGGGACCAGAAGAGTATTCGGGATTATGTTTTCTATTAGTTATCCAAGTACTTGGGTGCGTCTCTTAATATATAGCGATGTCGACAGAAAATGCGTTGTGCAAGCCGAAGCTTATGATGAGAAGTCTGAAGCTGATGAAGGCAGGGAGGGGTTGAAATAATCCCCGAAGACTCATTTTAGTTTTATGTAATCTAATCTATATGGTTCATGTACTTTTAATTAACCTCCCTTTAAATTGGAAAAAAATTCTATAAAAAAATTACTATAAAAAAAATTATAATTTTTTCATAAAATTAATTAATAAAATTTATCAATAGTACTCTCAATTAAAATATAGCAAGCTATATTTAATTTTTGATAATCAAAGATTTTTTTATATAGAAAATATTTATTTTTACCGATAAAATAAAATTATCTATATAAAACTATGCCTAAAGAATGGAGTATTAGCGATATTTTATTCAAATTTAAAGGGGAGTAAGAGGATCAGGTATTTAAAACAGCTTGACTTAAGCAGCAGAAATCCTGTAAATGAGTGGTTTGGCATCACTTTTGATGGGCTAAGAACTATCAGATGCTATAACTTTCATGGCTATTTTAAAAATGCTGCTATTTCAAAAGTAACTCAAGCTTTGCAGGTGAGTTTTAATTTTATTATCAATAGCCGCTGTCTGATTTTATCTGGCTCCACTTGTGTAGGAGTATGCTTACTCCCCTATAAATTCATAATAGATGCTTTTTCTATTATCAAAATTAATTCAAAAACGTTTTTTAAAAGATCTTCAGCATTGCCTATTCGAAAGATTTTCTAAATAATGAAATCTATAGACTTTGCTAATTAATAGCGAGGGAGCTAGGGCTTAATGCTTTAATTATTGTCGCATTTGTTGATAAAAGCAATGCAAGTCTTGCCAGTTTAAGCCTTAGCTTTACTTCAACAATCATGCAACTACTTCCATATTTGATTAGGACCATAGTAGACACTGAAATCTACATGTCAAGTACTGAAAGGGTGAACCAATTCCGAAACATTTATCCGGAAGAAGACTCTGAAACTAAATCCTTAAATATCACAGAAGGTAAAATTGAGTTCAAAGATGTAACAATGAGATATAATGAACACTCTGAATTCATATTGAAAGGCGTATCTTTTGAAATTGAAGGCGGAAAGCGCTATGGGGTGATTGGTAGGACTGGATCGGGCAAGAGCACTCTATTCCAAGTGCTTTTTAGGCTCTACCATATGCAGGATGGAGCTATTTATATTGATGGACAGGACATAAACACAGTAAGTCTAGCAAGTTTGAGAAAAAATATGTCGATTATCCCACAAATACCGTTTATATTTACAGAGACTTTGAGAAATAATCTTGATCCTTTGCATGAGCATACAGATGAAGATTTGCTTGATGCACTTGACTCCGTGAGCCTTTCTTATTATTTTCAATGTTTTAACGGTTTAGACACCCAATTGGCAAGCAATTTCTCGATATCTGCAGGGCAAAAACAATTAATTTGCCTTGCAAGAGCTATTCTAAGACAAAATAAAATTCTGGTAATTGATGAGGCTACAGCTTTCACAGATGGTCAAACTGATGAGCTCATCCAGAATATTATTTCTGAAAAATTCAAAGGATCAACAGTTTTAACCATTGCCCATAGGCTATCAACAATAATTAATTATGACGGCATTATACTGATCGATGGAGGAGAAATCATGAAAATAGGAAAACCTGATGAAATGATAGAGAAGAGAAGAATAACGATGAGGGAGATGACCAAGAAAGGACGGTCAGACATTGAATTTGCCTTAAGGCCGCAATACGAAAGCATGACTTGTTCTAGATTAACTCTCAGTTCAATTCAAGAAACCCCGATGAGCCTCACACCAATTGCACCTCAACCTGCAAGTCCAATCAGCCATGTAGTAAAGAAAAATGCTGCGTTTTCAGAATATACAGCATACCGTGGACTGACTTATAAAAGAATTCAGTCCAGAGGTGAAGGCGATACAACTTTTTTGAAGTCTCAGTATGAAAGCATTACTGGAAGTATCAGAAGCAGTATTAGGAGATTTGAATCCATTAACATTCTTTAATGCAAAATTAATTTTAGTTTAATCTGCTCCTTTTGATTATTATTAAATTTAAAATTTATGTCTAAAAATGTAAAATCAGCCTTGGTTAGCAGCAAGGCTCCTAAGCCAACAACCTTTTCAAATGAAAGATCAAGTCATCATTCAGTCAATCCAGACCTTGCGTCCACTTCTCCGACAACTTCAAAATTTTATATTAATCTCCAAGATTTGGTCAATCTTGAAGAGATTTTATCAGGCCTTATCATAGTTTTCCAGCAAGATAAAAGTGCTTCTTATGAAATTGAAAGATGGTGAAAAATTACCGATGAAAATTCTATTGTCCGAATTGACAACCTTTTTCAAAAAGAAGAAGTCAAAGAATGCTTAAGAGAAGCTATTATACTAGAAGCAGTTGGAGTCTCTTTATCTGGATTTTTAGATTATTCTGCCTTGGGGAATGTTGAAACTAAGCTTGCTATTAATGACTTGCTTGAGCTGATTCATGAGAATTTTTTAGTAATAATTGACATCGTTTTACACAGGCTTCCGAATCATTGTTCCACAAATTCCTGAGCTGTCACTTTGCAAGCAATCACTTTTACAAAAAGGAAAAACAAATGCTCAAAATATGAAAATATAAATGTATTATTAAGTCAAAATGAGCTAATAAAAGGAAAAATCCAAGATGTAGCTAAGGAGCACACTAATCCTGGAGCGATGACGAGCAGAACTGCGAGATTTCTTTTGTATACCACTATTCAAATTGTAAAAGACATTGAAAGTTTCGAAGTTTTAGGTGCAAGAGAGTTATTAAGAACTGTAATTAATGAATATTATGAACCGCCCGCATTAAACACTACAGAATCCATTGACTCTGATATCGAGATCCCATTAGCTGAAGCTCCTTATTTGCCTGAAACTGAAGAAGATATTTACACACTTGTGCTAGATTTAGATGAAACTTTAATCCACTATTACGAAGATGGAGATGAAGGAGGATTTTTAATTCGCCCAGGATGCCAAGAATTCCTGGAAGAAGTTTCAAAACTGTATGAAGTGATCGTTTTCACAGCTGGACTTCAAGAATATGCAGATTGGGTTCTTGATCAGATTGATCCTCATAGATTTATTTCTTATAGGCTATATAGACAGCACGGATTGCCAACTGGAAATTTCTACACAAAAGACCTTTCAAGGCTTGGCAGAAATATAGAACGAGTTATAATTGTAGACAATATGGCAGAAAATTTTCGAATGCAGCCTGATAATGGGATTTTAATTAGAACTTTTATTGATGATATGACTGACAATGCATTGCTGGAACTTCTACCTTTGCTTAAAGGTAACTTATAATCAGAAATCGCTTTGAAAAAAGGCCGTGATGTAAGAAAAGCTCTCAAAAGCTTCAGAGACCAAATGATGAGAGCAATTGCACGAGGAGACAGCAGCCCTCATCTCAATTTGCACTTAGAAGACGATTTCTAATTTTCCATTATTTTATCTAAAATATTATCTAATATTTTATCGTTATTTGCAGATTTTTGAACTTTACCACCTAAGTGTGGAATTTTTTTCCGCGTGTGAAAAGGTGATTTCACGTGTGGAGCCCTTTTGATTTCACATGTGGAATCCTCTTTTCACACGCGGAAAAAATTCCATAATTAGGTGGTAAAGTTCAAAAATCTGCAAATAACGATATCAATTTTCAATACAAAACTCTAATGTCTCCATCCCCTTTCATGACCGCCTTCCATCTGGGGCTCTAAAAATCCTCTAAACTGCTGCTTATTTATAAGTCATCTCACGCCATATCCTTCTTGAACCCTGACTTCAATAACAGGCTCTTCGTTTGGCAAGCAATGAATATTGATCCAGACACAATTCGTAAAAAATCTCTCTAAAACTTGCTGTGCAACTGCGTTTTTCATAGTTTCAGTACCAGTGATTTTCCCCCAGAATCCATCTGAGCTTCGATGGCAGTGCTTTGTAAGCGCTCTTGCTCCAACAGTTAAAGATGATTTTTTGCTTTCTTCAGCAGTATGAAGCTGTAAAAAGGAACGTTCAAGATTACTCTTTGACGGAGGCAAGTATTTATCAATGCTTCCTTGGGTTCGTCTGATGCCTAAGCATGTTAGCACCCCTCTCGAGCCCATCCTCAATAGTAGATTTTCAGCCAAGCCAGGGACAGCAGGGTCATTTAATCGGCTCACAAGATCGACAACCAAGCTTGATAATACTGACAAATTTTCAATTTCTTTACGTGTTATTTCGCTATCAAAGCCTGTCAAATTTAAAAAGGAAATAGGAAATGTCCCGAGCTGACTTCATAAACAGATAACTTTCGCAAACTGCTTGATATAGTTGCCTGAGGGGTATCCTTTAAATATATATCTGCCTTCATGCACAATGTTCATTTGCATTGAATTTTCTCGTGAAGAGTTTAATAAATTCCTCAGAAAAGCCCTTCCATAGCAGTCAATTATTTGCTTGTTCTCGCTAGTGAGAACTTCTTTTAAAATTATGTATATTTCTTCTTCAGCTGTTGAAGAATCGCTTCGATCCATTTTAACTATTTAACTTATTGATAATTCTTATTTGTTTTATGTAAAAGTGCAATCAAGTGCTCAAGAACCTCAGGCTTTGTAGGGGATTTATTTCTAAGGTCTTCTAGCTCTTCTTTGAGATGTGATATGTCTTTTTCTTTGCTAGAGAGCGTTATTTCTAGGTTTTTGATTTTATCAAAATCTGAATTTTCTTTGTGTTTCATATTTTCGATCTCATTTTGGAGCTTGGATTTTTCAAAATCGGTTTCTTTTTTAAGATGGTCAATTTCAAGGCTTAAATTCATGCATTCTTCTTGAAGTCTGGTCTTGTTTTCAGGGTCAATCAGCTTTGCTCTGACTTCGTTTCTGATTTTCTGTTGAAGTTCGAAATGATTTGTATAGTGCTCTAGCTTGACCAATAAATCATTTTTATCTTCATCAAGCTTCTCATACTGTGCTTTGTATTCGTCAAACTGAGTTTGTAGGTTTTTAGTTCGGGCTTGTTCATCTTCTAATGCTTTTAAAGTTTGATTAAGGATGTTTTCAAGATCATCCCTCTGCTTTTTGGTTTCAGATGACTGCTTTTCTTTATCAATTTCTATTTCCTTTAGCCTGCTTTCGAGTTCTCGAATTTTGATATTTGAAGAGTTCAACTCCGAAGCAACCATTTCAGCGTTTTCAGCTTTCATGTCTATTTTTCTCTGCCCTCTTATTTGTTTTATTAGTTTTTCTTTTATTTTCAGCTCAGAAGATAGTGCTTCCTGCATTTTTTGAAGCTTTACTTTAGTTTCATTTAGTTCAGCTTTAACTTCTTCTAAAGCAGGATTAAATTTATATACATCCAATTTATCGATTTCAGAATTCAGCTTCATGATGTCTTCTTTTCATTTTTGATACTCCGATACAAGCTGTCTCTCATTATTATAGGAATTTTCCTTAAATAGCCAACAAATATATTTGCCAAAAAATGATTCAAAAATGCAACCATATTTATATAAAAATTCTGCATATTCAAATAGCTATTTTTTTCAGAAGTTAAAGATGCAGCATTCCCAAAGCTATTTTTTGACTGTTTTTGTTCAATTTTTTTCTTGGCTTCTAATATATCAATTTTCTCTTTGCTTAGCTCTTCTACTTGCTGCTGTAGTTTTTTATTCATTTCTTTTAAAGATAAAATTTCAATAGCTTGCCTTTTTGACTCTTTCTCTAGTTTTGAGGCTAAATTGCTTGAAGAATTGTTTTTGAATTTCAAAATTTCAATTTCTTCATTAAGATGACACTCTTTCTGCTTCATAAAAGAAATGTGTTCTTCAAAGAATTTATGCTCACTTTTGGTTTTATTAAGCCTAAGCCTTAGCAGTTTATTTTCATTTTTTTTTTCGATAAACAAAGATTCTATTGAAACATCTTCTGTAGGTTTTTCTTCAATTAGCAAAGCATCTAGCCTTGTTTTTAAATAGTAATTTTCTTCTCTTACTTCATTTGCTGCTTTTTCTTTGTGCTCTATAATTTGATTCTTTTCTTTTATTTCTTCTCTTAAGCTATTTATAATATTTGTGTTATCATCTTTTTCTATTTTAAGTTTGGAGTTTTCGTTTATTAGCTCTGGAATACTGGCAAACGATCCTGTTGGCTCAATAACATTTCCTGTTTGAAGCCTATGATTTTCAACTAATAGCTGCTGAATAGTGTTAAGCAGTGTAGCTTTTTCTTTCTTAAAAGCATCTTTTTGCAGCTCAAGCTCTCTAATTCTTTTTTCTTCTTTTACAGGTAGCGATACTTGACTTTTAAGAGCCTCTTTACTTTTTAATACAAGTTCATTATAAGCCCCAACAAGATTTTCGTAGTCTTCTCTTTGTTTAGCTATTATTGGAGATTTCCTATCTATTTCTTCAAGCAATTCATTTAGCTGCTCTTCTAATATTTCTGCTTTCTCTTCTGCCTTGCTGAGCTTGAATTTATATTCATTATTTAAGCAGGATAATTGATAAACTGATTGGTCATCAACTGTAGGCAGAACAAATTCTTGTGCTTTTTCTTCGAATTCTTCACTACACTGGATTTCTTTTTCGCATTTTAATATAGTTTTTTCTTTAATTGGGGAGAGTTCTACGCTTTCAATAACTTGGCTATGCAAAACCTTTATTTCTTGCTGATGATTTTTCAATAGTGTTTCATAGCCTATTTCAAGCTCTTTGTAGGCTCTTATTTTTTCATTTAAAGAAATTTCTAGAGTCTTGTTCTCTTCTTTGCTGAAGTGTAAATCTGTTTCGAGCCCTGAAGTCTTTACTATATATTCATTCAATTTTTTATTTAGAGTGTTGGAGTTAATGCCATATTCTAGCTCTTTTTGTTTTAGCTCTTCTTTGCATTGGGCCAGAGATTGGTTTAGGACTGCAATTTCGTTATGGATGCTGCTGATTTCTTTGTCTTTTTGGTCAAAAAGTGAATCATGTAATTTAAATAGTTTTTCTAACTCCAATAAAGTGAGTAATTATTAAAAAAGCGATATTATTCAGAGTAAAAATTATGAAAAATAAGAAGCACTTTCATAAAAAAGTATTTTTATAAAATTTGCTGATTCAAAGTGCCAACTTGTTTTAATAGCATTCTTATCACCTTCCTTTAAGATATAGGCGGATTTTCAATTTTGCAATAAATTGGGTATCAAAGCTATTATTTTTGAATTAAAATTTTGTTTCATAAAATAGGAGAACTTAATAAAGAATTAGCAATTTGCTCAATTTTAAGGGAGTAAGCTTAATTTATATTCTTCAAGCTCTGTAATTTTCTGAGATTTATCTTTTAGCTCTTGTTCAAGGTTGTCTATAAGCTTTGACACTTTTTCATTATTAATCGTCAATAAAGATTTTTCAGCCTCGCTCTGCTCTAATAATTGCCTCTCTGCTTCGTTCAATCTTTTCTCGCTGGGATTATCCATTTATTTTTGTTAAATTAAGATTATTTAATAAACTGAAAAATAATCAGAGTTTTTATATAGATTTCAAATACATAACTTATTTTTCGTTAAATGAAAGCTCAGTCCTGAATCCTTCAAATTCTTTTCGACTTGCTGCTAAAGAACTTTGCTGAGAATTGATGTATTCGTGGGTGTTTATTCTTTCTTCATCATATGCAGCAAGATCTTTTATGTATGATGAAGAATTGAAGCTTCTTTTTGGTTCTATTCTAGAAGCTCTTTTTGGCTCAAAATAAACATCTATAGGCTGAATATTGGAAATATCCAAAAATGACTGTGAGATTGTGGTAGAATGCATTTCTTGAACAAGGCTGCATCTCATTCGTTCATAAGTTTTCATTTGAAGCTGGATTTCTCTATTCAACTCTTTAGATGCTGAAAAATCGTTTTTGGCTTGTGATTGTAGATTTTCAACTTCCATTTGGATTTTTGCAAGTTCTTGTTTTTCTCTTTCAAGCTCAATTTTGGCACTAGCAATTACTTCACTTTGGTTGTGTAATTCAAGAGATAATTGATGGATTCTGTACACTTCATTTTCAAACTCGCTTTGCTCAATCTCAAGCATTTGCTTTTGTTTAAAAACCTTGTTTATTTCTTCTTGGATTTCGCGTTCTCTTTGCTCGACTGATGAAAGCTTTCTCTGATATTCAGATTCGATAGAGCTGATCTGGGATCGGTTTTCTTCAAGTTTTAGCTTTTTCTCACTTAACAATTTTCTTTCTTTTTCAATGGTTTTAAGAGTTTCTTCATGATTTTTTTCTAGGATGTCTTCTCTTGTTTTCAAGTCTTCTAACTTGCTTGTTAGCTCGATTGATAGCTTCCCTTGTTGCTTGCTGAAGCCTTCACTTAAAGCTTTTAGCTTTATTCTCTCTACCTCAATTTCTTGTTTTTTTGATTTTTCTTGCTCCATAAGCATTTTGTAAAACTCAAATAAATGTTCTCTTTCTTTCTTAATCTGAGCTTGTTCTTCATCAAACATTTTCCTTTTCTCTTCTTCAGATTTTTCGAAAAATTTGATTTCTTCTTGTAAGCTTTGTTTGATTGATTCTACATCTCTTTCTTGGCTAATGATGTTTTCTTCTCTCTGTTTAATTGTATTTTCAAGCTCAACCAGCCTATGCGATTTTTCTCTTTCGTGGTCTTCTTTTTTATCCTGCAGTTTCAAGGAGACTGAGTTGATCAAATTTGAGTTAAAATTGATGGAATCAGCAAGCATTTCTAGTTTTTCATAATACCGTTTAGAGTTCTCCAGCTCTTTAAGCTGCTCTTCATACATTTTCTTCTTCAGCTCTAAGCTTGTGGCGAATTCTAGCTTTTTGCGCTCGATTTCATCTTGGTTGTATTTGATTAATCTTTTCCTGTCTTCTTCGACTTCGTCTTTGATTTCTTGGTCAAGTTTGGCTATTCGTTCTTCCAGGTCTTTTAGAGGGTCAGCGTTTACTTTGATTTTATCCTGGGTTACGTCTGCACTCATAAAAATGATGGATCCTCGGTCATCTTCGCTAATGATGCTTCTTCTTATTTCTTTTACTGGATAATCGCCGTCTTCTGGTGCAGATTCGAGAGAGCTTCTCCCTTTTAGTAAAGTTTTCCCTTTTTTCTCGGGCGCAGTTCCTGCTCTTTGCTCATACTTCTGATGCTTGTGCTCATTTTTAGATGCTTCTGCATTTTTTGCTGGTTCCTTAGCTTTCATTTCCTCCTCTGCTAATATGTTTTCGAGATCTGAGAATGAGTCAGAATCAGACAAATGTTTAGGCTGAGAAGTTTTTGCTCTATTAAAAGGATCCATTTAAGTTTATTAAGTCAATTTAAATTTAATTCTATTAAATATTGATGAAGAATTGAAATTATCCACAAAGGTAACTTATTTATAAAACACTATAGCAATTTTGAACTTCCTGGATTTTTCCTTCAATACTCCTGTAAATTGTCATCAAATCAAATTTTCTGCCTCTCAACAGATCAAAGGAAAGCGCAGTTAAAAAATTGCCAGCATCGTAAACAGTAACTTTGAAGTTAACGATGTCAGTTTCGGTAACTACAGTAGCCAACACCTCGTAATAGTCTTGGGATACTTCACATTCTGCGTTATATTCAAAGAGGCAATGAGAAATTATTGACATAACCTCAGTTGGACTTAGTCCTGTGAATAATTGAAAATATTTGTGAACAGTCTCAAAATTTAACGGCAAAGGTTTAGCAATAAGATCTTCTGGAGGAATTGAAAAAGAAAGAGATAAACTCCCCATATCACTTTCATCACCTCTGTAAAATCTGTTAGACGGGATTCCGACACCTGGCCTCTGCCCAACTGTTCTTTGTCTTAGTTCACGAGCTTTTTCAGCATTTTCAAATATCTTTTGGCGTCTGATTCTTAGTTCTTGCCCCACTTCTTGTGTCGAAGCAACAGGACCTTGATACCAAGGATGAGCTTTAATTTGCTCAATTGTTAGCCTTTGAGAATGATTAAAAGCGAGCATGTCAGTAATCAAAGATTTAAACTCAGCGCTGTAATAATTCTGAGGCTTGTTTCTTGAGTGAAGCTGCCAAAACCTTTCTTCTTTGTTTGATAGCAGCCGATAGTAAGGCTCAGTTAAAGTTGCTTTATTAAAGGGTGGATTTTGAGAAAGCATGATAAATAAGATGATACCTGCTGCAAACAAATCAACAGAAAATCCATTATATGGCTGCCTTGCAAGAATTTCTGGCGCCATATAATTCTCCGCCTTTAAATTTGTTTGTAAGCAGCTTGATCTATTATTTCCAGTGTCTGAAAAAGCAAACCCAAAATCAGTTAATTTTAAATTAAAATTTTCATCAAATAATATGCTAAATCTGTCTATTATTATAAATATATAACTATTAGGGCTATCGCAATATTTATATTGAAATGAATATATTTTCAGGCTTCAAATCTCTATGTGCAACCCCTGCCCTATGGCAAGCTTCAAGTCCATCAATTAATTGATGAAAATAGAACCTAGATGTTCTCTCGTCAAACCTTCCAGATTGAAATAGGATATCAAAAAGTTCTCCATTTGGACAGAGCTCCATGATCATATACATAAGGATCCCCCCCCCTCATTTGTCCAATTTTCTAGTCTTTTATCATTTGTCCATTTTTCTAGTTTTTTTTATAGGAAAAAAAAATTTTTTTTGGACCTCATTTTGTCCCAATTTTCTAGTCAAAATTTTGATAGAGAAAAAAAATTTTTCAGGACCTCAATTGTCTCATTTTCTAGTTTTTTTAAAGTAAAAAACTAGAATTTAGGGCATTCGAAAAAATCCAAAAAAGACTAGAAAATTGGACAAATCATTTTTGACTAGATTTTTGGACAAATGAGGTCCTGAAAAAAAAAATTTCTTATAAAAAGACTAGAAAATTCGACAAATGAGGGGGGGGATCCTTACATTTATAAGTGTCACCGTTTTTCTTCGTGTAGACTCCATTCTCGTTTGCATTAAAAATGCTTATAATATTCGGGTGGTTGAGTCTCTTCAGGCTTTGCATCTCGTTTTGGACTATTTCTCGAAATCTCGAAGAGAGCGCCTCGCATGGGAATTTCAAGATTTTTGCAGCATATGTAAATCCATTAGCAGGATCACGCACTGCTTTGACTTTTGAAAGAGCTCCTTTACCTAGTTTGTGAAGCACAATATAATTATCCAAACAGCTGTGTTGAGACATTATTTTATTGAAATGATAAAAATATAATTGTCAGAAGCAATCGGATTAATCTCAATATAAAATGAAAGGTTAGGATTTATTTGCTAAATTTTCCTTATAAAGAGCTCAAAATCTTAACAATTTATTTTATTTTCACCAATTAGTGAGTCTATCATAAATATCAATTAATTAATAAATTCTTAATGCAAGCAGCCGAAATGAATTTTATATTCCAATTCTTCAATCTAAGAAATAAATTTTTACAAAGCTTATACATTCGACTATTTGTTTTCTATTATCTCTGCCGCATTTATTTTATTCATAATATCAGTGGTTTTTATAAAATTATATAATTCTATTTAAAATTTCTTTCAGAACACAATTATTTAATTTCAAGAGAACTTATAATATTTAGGAGCACTGGACTTCTTGAATTCTCTCTTCGACTTTTCTGTATATATTCATCAAATCAAATTTGCTCCCTTTCAATAAATCAAATGAGACCAAGGTCATGTTATTTCCAGCATCGTATACTGTGACCTTGAAATTGACCACATCAGTTTCTGTGATCACGTTGGCAGTTACTTCATAGTATCCTTGCGACATTTCGCACTCTACTTGATAATCAGAAAGGCTTAACTTAACTTAATTATCAGGTGTTTAAGGTGTCTAGTGCCGCAGCCCAAAAAGGATCTATGGCAAAACTAGTGACGTAGGCGAGCCATCTTGGAACAGGTCAGCCCTGGCCAAGCCTTCTATCAACTCCTGCTTCACCAGCCTTGCTGCACATCTCACCCGGCGCGATGCCGTCGCCCTTGCCGCTCGACTCAGCTCCTGCGCGTGTTCCGCCTAAGGGTCATCCTCCCGTGGGGATGTGCTGAGAGATAAAAGCCCGAAATCTTGAAAGGACTGAGGAGCAGTTCCTCTGGTTATCCCCAGAGTTAAACCGCTATTGCTGTCCAGAAGTTCTCGAGTGAAAACCTAACCCTATAAAAAAAATTCCATGAGGGAGAGAAAATTAGCAAAGCTAATTTCTCTCGAACCGAATTCCATTTTATTTATGATAATCAGAAAGGCAAATTGAAATAATTGTCATTGCTTCTTGAGGACTAAGTCCAGTAAGCATTTGTGAATACTTGGTGACAGCTTGGAAATTAGCTGGAAGAGGCTTTGCTACCAAATCTTCTTGTGGAATTGAGAAAGAGAGTGAAAGATCACTGACTCCTGTATCGTCACCTCTATAGAATCTTCCGCCTTGGCAGACAATCCCTGGTCTATTGCCTGCAGCACTTTTCAGTCTTTGTTCACGGGCTCTTTCGGCAGCTTCTTGGATTCTTTGACGTCTTGCTCTAAGTTCGTTTCCAACTTCTTCAGCAGAAGCTGTAGGGCCATTATACCAAGGATGGGCTTTAATTTGTTCAATGGTCAGTCTCTGAGCTGGGTCTAGTGTGAGCATGTCTGTAATCAAAGATTTAAAGTCAGCGCTATAATAATTTGGAGCCTTGTTTCTTGAATGAAGCTGCCAAAATCTTTCTTCTTTGTTTGACAGAAGCCTGTAGTAAGGCTCAGTTGGGGTTGCTTTGCTGAATGGTGGGTTTTGTGAGTACATGATGAATAAGATGATCCCGGTTGCAAATAAGTCAACAGAAACCCCACTATAAGCTTTTCTTGCATGAATTTCTGGAGCCATATAACCTTCAGTCCCTAAGTGTGTATGGAGAGCTCCTGACCCATCTCTTCCTGCTATTGCAATTGCAAACCCGAAATCAGTTATTTTTAAATTGAAGGCTTCGTCAAATAATACATTTTCAGGCTTCAAGTCTCTATGAGTAACCCCTGGTCAAGCTCTATCTGACAGCTAGCTCTACCTAATAGTTTGGCAGTCTGGCTCTATCAAAATAAATTTCTTACCACTCCTTCCGTGAGCAAGCAAAAAAATTTTATTCTTTCACGGAGGAAGAGGAGAAAGGTTAGTTTTTTTTTAAAATTTTTTTATAAAGAAATTTTATAGAAAATTTTTGTTTTCGAAATTTAAAAAAAAAAATTATTTATAAAATATAAAGCAGATATTTAATTTAATTTGCAAAATTTTGTTTTAAAATGTAAGCTGTTTAAAATTAAATAAAATGAGCTAGAGATTTCATTATAATAATTATCACTTATATACTAAAATACTTTTTTCATAAAAATTTTTCTATTAAAATGTTTTTTATGGAGATGGTTTTTGGCAAAAATAGGATGGTCTTCCTCGCTTACGGAGGAGGGGGAGTTAGGTTTTTGAAGTAGCAATTTAATTACTTGCGCTATGATATACTAGATAAAAATGTAATTAATTACTTGCGCTATGATATACTAGATAAAAATGTAATGCCTTGTGATCAGAGATTCTATGATTTCATTAAAGACTATATTTTTACAATCAATCACACAAAATAAAGTTAATTTATTATCAAATACATTTTAAAATGTTTAAAAATGATATACCTTGCTAAATACTTTTTAAAATTATAAGAAAATAAAGATATAAAAGCTTAGAAAGAAATCATAACCATATAAAAGAAAAGGCTTATTTCGCTTTTGAACGAAAATTTGATTAATTCTTTCAAAATTTAGCAATAGTTATAATTTTTCAAAGCAAAATAAATATTCCTAAACTCTTAATAGTTTTATCCTATTAATTAAAAGGCTCAGTTAATTTTTTTCAATGAAGCATCGTACTGCTACTTAAAATATCATCAATTTTAATATTTTCAGAGAAGTTATTAATATCGATAAGATAGAGCCAAATTTCCAGTAAAGCTGGACTGCCGGGCCGAGCCATTAGAGCCAGACTGTCAGATCGAGCCAATAGAACTAGATAGAGTCGGATTGCCAGGTAGAGCAGACTGCCAGATGCCAGGTAGAGTCGGACTGCCAGATATAGCCATAGAGCGCGATACACTAGCCAGGTTTGACCAAACCCCTGCTCGGTGGCAAGCTTCAAGCCCTTCAATTAGCTGGTGGAAATAAAACCTGGTGGTTCTCTCATCGAACTTCCCAGACTGGAAAAGGATATCGAAAAGTTCACCATTAGGGCAGAGCTCCATCAGCATGTACATGCAATTGTACATTGACCCGTTTTTCTTGACGTAAACTCCGTTCTCGTTTGCGTTGATTAAATTGACGATGTTTGGATGGTGAATTCTGTTTAAGCTTTGCATCTCATTTTGCACGACTTCTCTGAAACGAGCAGTGAGAGCTTCGCCTTGGCTTTTGAGAATTTTTGCGGCGTAAATGGCACCTGTGGCTGGGTCTTGAACTGCTTTCACCTTTGCAGTTGCACCTTTGCCTAGGCCTCGGAGGACGACTAAGTTGTCTAAATGACTGTTATTGGCCATTATTATTATAGCTGTGCTAAGAGTAACTGCTTTTATCTAAGGATTCGGACCAAATCGGGTATACTTTTTATCTTGAAATAAAGGCTAGGAATTTTGGTAACTGATATTTTGATGGATTTCAAATAAGTATTTTATATGAATTTGAGGTCGAATTCAAAGAAAATGCAATAATAAAAATTTCAAAAAATTAGAAAAATTATTGTGAATTTATCAAATTAATTGTGCAACGTGGTCTATTTAGATTTTATTATCAATAAAAAATATGAAATTTAATAAAGTAAATAAAAGTAAGGAAAGATAATAATTATATATGAGAGAAAATATTGTATAGCGTTTGCACGCCTATTGAATGCCTTGACGCAGACTGCTTTCCCCGAAATTTGGAGAGTTAACGAGTCACTTTAGGTAAAATTCCAGAAGCTGACTTAAGCATATCCTTTTGACAAGATGTGACAATTTGATGTAATATGTCACCTAAGATAACTTGCCAACTATCCAAGTTACGGGAGAGGAGGTTGCATCAAAAACACCCAATAAGTGTGCAGACACTATAAAGGAAAATGGTGAAGATCAGAAATAATTATTTCATGCAAAGTTTGAGATAAAAATTGTCGCCTACTCCCTTACTCCTTCCATTCAAAAAAGAAAATTGTCAAGCCAATTTTATTGCTTTTTTTTATTTATTTATTTATTTTAAAAAAATGCTAGTTAGCGAAAGCCCCATAAAATATTTATGGAAGCAAAATATATAGGGCTATGTGCTATGTTTCTTGGAATTGATGTAGTAGCCCATTATACCGGAACTCCAAAAGACGAAGTCCAAGCATTTAAAACACTTGTGAGCTATGAAAATCTCTCATTTTTTGATGAGCTTAGAACATCTGTACTTGATGTAGTAGGCCGAGTAGGATTACAGCATGCATCAGAAATTCTTTCTATACCCCTTAAAACTTTAGCTCTAATCAATGATAGCTCTCGTTATGGAATGAGTGCCATCAAGCCAGAGCTCTCGCCCCGTTCCAAAAATCTAAATCTTATCAGAAATGAAAGGCTTGAAATGAAGCGAAGTCTAACTAAAAAAGCAAATATAAAACAGAAATCTTATGAAAATCCTGTCACTGATCTCCATGATATTGATGAATTAAAACAAAGGGTTGCCAGGCTTTACAATAATGGGGTAAATATAAGAGTTATCCAATCACTTTATGATTTAAGAAATGGCGGAATTATTCACTGTTGGGGAGGCTGGGAAAGATCCCCTTCATTCTATGCAAGGGCTGACGAGCTAAAACAGCAAATTATTGCGATGAGGGCAGGCGGAATTCGTGACGATGAAATCTGCAAGAATTTAAAAATAAAGAAAAATCACTTGAGTGAAATAATGGGAGAAATTAACAGGCGAAAACTGATTTTTATGAAAAAAGATATTAAAAATGTACTTATGGAGTATGCTACTAAAAGGAGAAAAGATAAATTAGCAAAATATCATGGGATATCAAAAAAACAAATAAATTATTGGCTTGACAGATGTGAGAAAAAGCAGCTTGATACAGTTTATGACCTTGGAATAATGGGCCCTATTGAGATTTTAAACGCACTGGAGACTTATTATATTTGCGAAAAGCTTGATTTGGCAGCAAAAGAGCTTGGAATTGATGAAAATGTTTTGGAAAGAATAGTCCAAAAATTTGAAGAGAAAATGGACGATTATTATGGGGAAAATAGTATCAGAACAAATTGGAATAAAAAGTATGATATTATTTGGTGCAAAGAAATAGGAAAATATTATATATCGAGAGATGGAGATGTTAAAAAGAAGCAGAAGATAATAGAATAAATTGTCTAAAATAATTGTAAATTGACTCATACATTTGATATTTCAATATATGTATTTTTTTGATTTAAATTTAGTCATATGAATGTTTTAAATGGTAATTGAATATACTTTTTCTTAATGGCGTTTATTTACCGAAATATTTTTCATAGGTCGTTCAAAGCCTATGAAATTTATTTGGTGTGAGTTAAAATTAAGAAAGGGTTCAACGAATATATTTAAATAGAAATTTCTTTTTTAATGTTTAAAAAATAATTATCTAAATTATTTGCTCTCTCACAGAGGGAAGGCTGGCAAAAATTAAATTAAATTTTTAAATTTGCATACCTTTTGAAATTTTGAAATATGAAACCAAGTTTATATCATAAATATTTTCAGAAAAAAAGATAGTAAGGATTCGTCACTATTATATGCTCCACAAATAACCAGAAAAATTAATTTAATTTTTAAAGCTGCTCTTTCAAATAGGAATGATTTTGATTTTAGTAAATAATTGAAATTTCAAAATGCTATAGCCCAGGAGCTCATGAGATTGTCCTGGGCTGAAAAAAAGCTGAGTAACTCCCAAATTTGCTTCTCCAACTCAAGTTGACAAACCAAATCGGGGTGTTGATAAACACCTCATATCGGGTTTATTTGTCAACTCTCCGAGTTGGTTCGTCAACGTTGGAGAATCAACTCGTGGAGAAATCCAGCCTTCTTCCAATCTAAATAGGTTCTGGGTGAGATATGCATTTCATCTTATAGTTTATTATCTAGATAATAATAATAATAAAAGTCCAAATTCTTATTAGTAAAAATATTTTCTAATTTCCCCTAAAAATATTAATGGTTATTTATTTTGAAATAAATTTTATTATAAATAATTTTTAAATTAAGAGAAAGCTTACTTTAAAAATCGAATAAACTATATTGTTTACAGTGAGATTCAAATACACCCTATACTATATCCTTGTTAAAATCTAGCGATCTTTATTATAAGTAAGTAAGTATTTATTACGCCACTTAGTTTTTTATATTAAATAAATCATGCAGTTTATAAAAGGAAATACAAAAACTATTAATTAACTAAGCTTTTATAACGAAAATTCTTCTTATTTCAGCCTCCTTAGTCACAAAAGATATTTTTTCAAGATCTTGATTCAAAGTCTTTTTTAATCTCAAATAAACTTTTTAGAAATCATTCATCAGCAAAAGCAGCATAAATAAATGAGTTCTTTCTCATTTTTGCTACTTATTTATAAGAAATTTCAGTATTTAGTATTAAGCGCCATCAAATAATAATATCATATAGGTCATGAGTGGGCCAAACAATGCAATAGAGATAATTCCAAATAAGTTATATTGGATCAGCGACCGTGCACCTCCACGAAATCAAGCCAACTCCTATTATTTTTGCATTGATAATGAATTAGTTTACCAGCCCTTTTACCTTGACTTTGGTCCTTTAAACATTGGAATGGCCTACAAATTTTGCACAGAGCTGGAAAGACTTATAAGAAACCCTTCTTACAACTCTTACAAAATCTATCATTTTACATCACTTCTGCCAAACAAGCGAGCCAACGCAGCTTATCTAATGGGTGTTTTCCAAGTTCTTGTTTTAAATAAAACTGCAGATGAAGCTTGGCAGCCATTTTCAAGTCTTCCTCCTTTTGAAGGATTTAGGGATGCAGGCGGGACAAATTGTCCTTATCGGTGCACGATTCTGCAATGCTTAAGAGGGCTCGAAAAAGCTATTAAACTTGGCTGGTTTGACATGGCGACGTTCAATATAAAAGACTACGAATTTTATGAGAAAGTGGAAAACGGAGACTGGAATTGGATTATTCCAGGCAAAATGCTGGCTTTTGCATGTCCAAGCCCGACACAAATTGACCAGCAAGGGTTTAGGGTATGGACTCCTGAAGATTATGTACCTTTATTTAAACAAATTGGAATCACTGCTGTGGTGAGACTAAATAATAAAACCTATGAAGCTGAAAGGTTTACCAGGCATGGGATAAGGCATTATGATTTATATTTTCTTGATGGATCAGTGCCTTCAAATGAAATTATTGCTGAGTTTTTGAGGATTGCAGAAAGAGAGCCGGGAGGACTTGCGGTCCATTGTAAAGCTGGGCTAGGGAGAACTGGAACTCTAATTGGAATGTATGCTATGAAGCCTAAATTAAATATGATTATTAAGCTGCTGGTGATATAAAGAGCCATCTTAACCCGCTACTTAAAACTCCTCTGAATGCTAGCAGTTTCGTGGATTGCGTTGATTTTGAGTCTTACTTATCTATCATGCTTCGCCTCGCCCACAGAAAGGAAAAGTGGTGAAAGCCTATGCCTCCTAAACCTCAAAGATCAGGTTTCAAGGGCTAAGCGCTCTCTAATATGCTGCTTGCCTGGTATAGCGGATAAAGGCCCACTTACAAAACTAACCCCATAATAATAAAATTGTTGATAGAAAATGTTCTCGAAGAGAGCATATTCTGAAGACACCCATTTTTAATAAGTACACTATGAAGCATTTCAGATTTAGAGCAGAAGATTTTATAGGCTATATTAGGCTTTGCAGACCTGGTAGTGTTCTAGGCCCTCAACAGCAATTTTTGTGTGATATGCAAGAGCGAGTATTTTCATGGGGCGATGAGTATAGAACTGAACATGAAATTACCGCCGGAGTTTCAGTAATTTTTATTTAGAAGCTTAATGTAAGCAACAATGAAGAGCAAAAAACGCCGATGTCTCCTGAAGATAAATTTATTTCTATGTATGGAGATAAAGGCCAAGCAGACAGACTAGTCAATGCCAAAAAATCGAATCAAAGCTCTCCAGTTACAAGTCCTTTTATGCCTAAGGATAAAGGATCTTCCGCACAGAATCGAGCGAATTCTACAAGCCCAGAAACTAAAAAGGTGAAAGCAGGACTTAGCATATTTGATAAAGGGCCAGCTCGCCATACTACGCCAAACTCAGTTCGTACTAATAACACGAAAAAAGCAGGATTCTTGAGATAGATTTTATTTTCAATATATTTATTATTTCAATTCATTTTATTTGATATTTAAATAATGTCCAAAAATCGAACTTAAAATTATCCTCCACTTCCCAGCATTAAGAAAACAACACACAAATGAGTATTTTATTGATTTTTAGCAATAAAAACTGATTTTTCAATATAATTATTATGCAAATCAAATCTTTAAATAATATTGATTAAAACTAGTCTATCTCTTAAATAATGTTTTAATCTTTAGCCAGCAAAGATAACATTTGTGTAGCTGCAGTTCTAGGAATAATCTTCATTTGATTTAGATCAGCTAAGATATGATTATAATCCCCACTTGATTTCATTTCTTTTAATTTTGCTCTCAGCAAATCTTCCATCATTCTATGGGTTTGCAATATCATCTGTGCTTTCCTTTTCTCAAAAATTTCATATTTCAGTTTTTCTTTTGCATTCAAAATTTCGTTGACCAGCTCTTCAATCCCCTCTTTATTTTTGGCTGAAGTTAGGAGCACAGGTGGCACCCAATTGTCATATCTTCGGACACTCATTTTAAAAGCTTGCTCTAGCTCAAATTTGGTCATTTCAGCCTTTTCTCTGAATGGTGGCTCTGCTTTATTTACAACCACTAAATCAACGACTTCCATGATTCCTTTTTTGATTCCTTGCAGAAAATCTCCACCTGCAGGATTTGCGACAAGAAGAATCAAATCAGTGACTTCGTCAACTGTGGTCTCACTTTGCCCAAGCCCAACTGTTTCTATAATGATCGGATTATATCCTGCATTTTCACATAAAATTATATTTTCACTGCAAGCACTTGTCACACCTCCTAGAACGCCTTTTGTAGGAGACGGCCTTACATAAGCATCAAGATGAGCTGAAAGTTCTTGCATGCGGGTTTTATCGCCCAAAATTGATCCGCCAAATTGAACTGATGATGGATCCATAGCTAATACAGCTGGTTTCATGCCGTGGCTAATAAACTTGAGACCTAAGGTTTCGATAAGTGTTGATTTGTCAGCTCCATAAATTAAAATGACGATATTCGTAAACTGCTTATATTGCTCAGCAGTCACTTTGCATTTTATGATTATGAACCTTGGTGTTGCATGCGAATTTTATCTGAACTCAATCAAGGTCTGAACCATTGGTTTGTGGGCTAGAGGAGTGTAAAAATGTTGGAAGCTCTGACCCAGTAGCCCCTTTAAGGGATGTAAAATGGAAGAATCTTAAACAATAATGATGATTTGCCAGCTCCAGGAGCTCCACAGATACCTAGACGAATACTACTTGGAGAGGGACTTAACTCACTTAATAATTCTGTAGCTTGCTTACGATGGTCTAGGTTTGCTGATTCTATTAGGGTAATTGACTTGGAAAGCGACATTCGATTCCCAGACAAAAGTCCTTTAAGTAAATCTTTGGTCAGCATTATAAATTAACATATTTCTCTGACGTAATGAAATCATTCAAAATAATATTAAATGAAAGTGAAAATATAAAGCAGTGAATTCTGAATTTAAGATAATTAAAGAATCCATGAAACCAATTTTCATTAACTGTTAGATTGTCTCAATTGAACATAGACCTAAAAGAGGCACAGCATAACTAAACGAAATTCTGTACAAGTCTTAGAATTACAAAATAAATATCCTTAGCATGAAATTCTCTGTGAAAATTCCATGAGGTGTCCAATATGCACTCTGACTCTTTTCAACGAACAAATTTAGAAAAAGAATTGCATCTGAAAACAGATAATTTATTCATTATTGAGCATCATTTTTTTATAATGACAGAAATATCTTTATTTTCATATTCCTAATTAATATTTGGACTAAAATGTATATTCATGATTCTTTATTTTAATAAAACATTACAGTAGGATTATATAATAATATAGCTCTCAGATTTCAGAAAAACTCAAATTTTACATACTCACAACTCAATAAGAAATATTTATCAATATTTTAAAATGAACCAGAAAATTACAAAACACTTATAAAATTAATAATAATTTCTCAAGATTTTATCGTTATAACCTGCATTTAAGCGGACTAATAATAAGATTCCATATAAAATGTCAAGAAGAACACTGAGAAAAAGAATGCCAGACGCTGAATATTTAATTGGCTATGTTGAAGATAACGAACCGATTGAGAAGATCATGAAGAAGTTCAAACAACTTGAAGAATACCAAACAAAAGTTGGCAGAGATAACCTAACATCTGAGGATTGCCGCGAATTAATCGAATCCACATCAATAGGAGAAATCCAAAGTAGTTTCAGGCCAAGGTATGAGTTTTCTGATATTTCGTCAATGTCTTCTGATTCAGATTCAGAAGGAACAGACAGCACTCGTCAAGCAAAATATGTGGATCCCGTCACACAGTCATATATGGCGGTACAGAAAAATCTCGGCGAAGGCAGGGTAATTCACGAAGACGTATTTAATTTAAACTTCCAAGAAAAATTTGAAGCAATTTTGATAAACGCTCCTGACGGTCTAAACATCAGAGCTAAAGGAAAATTGAAATACCTCAAAGGATTGATGAATAAAGGCCTTATTTTCCTTTGGAGCCAAAAAAAGGAAATCAAGGAATGGGTTGAAGTCATGGAAAAAATGAAGTATATTGCATTGGATTGATTGTCTAAAAAATTGTTAAAATTGCGAGTATAATTATGTATTAATCTCAATTCATAAGAAGCAGTATATCAATATGTGGAAAATCTTGTATGAGTACAAGTAGATCAAACTAATGTGGATGCAGCTGGAGGTCTTGTTAATCTCACAGATTTTACTCCAAATCTAATTAGTAAGCAACCTGGCTGGCCTTTTGCAACTTCTCATTTGACACTACTGATGTTCAGAAAGATCGCTTCAGGAAAGTTGGAGTTGAGACATCAGAGAACTTGTGATGTTGTTTTTGATTTTACAAAACCAAAAAATTATGTTTATCATATGATATACTGGATAGATTGAATTTGGGGTATATTAATACGGAAACTTAAATAAATGGTTACTTTCTGTACAAATCAGAGCGGCAAAATTATTTATAAGTGAAAAATTAATGCAAGCAGTATAGAAACTTTATTACCTGAAGCTGGGGTTAAATTAGAGTTGTGGGCAGATGGAGAAAGCCGAGATGGATGGATTCATGTAGTTCATGAAGAAAATTAATGCTAATTAAGTCAATTTTAGTTATAATAGAAATATCGCAATCAATATGATTTCTCAGACTTTCTAATGAATAAAGCGCTGTTTATTTCTAAAAAACGGAAATATTGAAGGAAAAGCATACCCAGTTGTATATTCATGCTTTTCATGCCCAGATGATAAATTTGTAACACCACTTCGACTTATTGCAGCCGGCTTCTCCAAATGATCCCTTGGATGCCTTGACTCAATTCAATCAACAGCTATTTGTGCTAAAACTGCTTTTTGTGTCATATTCAATGATTTAACACTTCCGAGGGCAGCATCAGTAAATGCAATGGCTTTGACTCTGCGATTAAACTCTTTCCAATATTTTTCTAATAAATGAATTGTAGATGCTCCTCCACGAGAATGAGCAACGATATATAATTCTCTAGCAGGGCAAGGACGAATAAAATTTTCCCACACATAATCTGAATGCTCATCTGAGTCTCCATTAAAAGGAATCCTTTCTCTGGTTTCTGGGTTTTCATTGTAATTTGGGTTCAAAATTATTGTTGAGTAGCCACCTTTAAACGCTTCTTCAAGAAATGGAAAAACTGCTCCTATATTTAAAGAGTCGTTGATGCATACTGATCTTGCCCATTGCCCAGCTCTAACAGCTCCAGTGCCTTGGATTAAAATTAAACCTTTGTTTCGGTTTGAAAATCAGTCTTTACTGACTCCACCCCTCTGTGAGCGAACAAAACCATTAGAAAAATCCCTATTTTTTGCCCAAAAACCCACCTCCTTAAGCAAACAAAAATGTTTATAGAAAAAAATTTTGATATATAAGTGATAATTAGTATAATGAAATCTCTAGCTAATTCTGTTTAATTTTAAACAAAATTGCATTTTTAAACATAAATTTTACAAATTAACTTAATATTTGCTTTACAATTTTTGCGAAGTGGGACTTTTTTAAATTTCAATAAAAAAAAATTTTCTATAAAATTTCAATAGATTTTTTTAAATAAAAAACTAATCCCCTCCGTGAGCGAACAAGATTTTTATGCTCGCTTACGGAAGAGGGGAGTGTGAAAAATATTGCATTTATTACTTCCGTTGTAATGCTTTGCAAGAGGTATTTGAACTTCATCTAAGTTATAAAAGCTTACAAGCTTTTCTTGTATGTAATTTAAAATGATGTCTCCAAGGATATCATAATGTGTTTGGTCAATAAATTTGAACGGCTGGTTATTTTCGATTGATCTTAAACAAAGTTCGTCGTTAAAATAATAGCCGTACTGTCCTCGTATGACATCCTCCCAGGAGCTTTTTATATTTATTTCTTTATTTTCTTCAAATTTTATTGGTAGAATTGTATCATATGAAGTGTAAATATCTTCATGGTGCTCCTGTCTTGACGCACGGCTAATAATTGAGCTTTTCTTTTTTCCTTTTTTGCCTAAACTTTGGTTTCTTTTTCTATCCATTATATAATCAAAAATGTTCGAGATATTTTTATATAATTATTTATTTCCTACTTTAAGTTAGGACTTTAATAAGTTTTCATAGCTTAAATATTATAAAAATTCGATAATAAAGATGCTAGCTTACTCTCCCTCCATGAGTGAACAATTAAATTGTTCGCTTACGGAAGGGTTAATTTTTTTTTAAAATTTATAGTAAAATTGTTTTTTAAATTTAAGAAAACCCTAATTCAAAATAATTTAAAGTAAATATTAATTTAATTTGTAAAATTTATGTTTTAAATGCAAGCTGTTTTAATTAAACAGAATAAGCAAGAGATTCATTATAATAATTATTACTTATACATAAAATTATTTAAAACAATATTTTGTTCGCTTACAGGGTGGATTTTTACAATAGGTTTGTTCACTCACTCAGGGGAGAGTTAATAATTTTTCAAAAATTTGTTATAGTCTAAATGGTCTTTTTCTTTCAACACTCGTCGAGTCTCTTGAAGACTCTCTTAATCTAAAAGGTGATTGGTCTGGAGTTTTTATTTTATGTCTGCTACTAATTGTGGGCATCCAAAAAGAGTTTTGTGGAGATATTCTTCGTATTCTCTTTATTTCTTTTTCATTGATTTCATTTAATACAACTGGCCTGATAAATTCATCTCTTGGACTTTGAGTGCGGGACGATGGAGTAGAGAAGAAAGCGTTGGATATTTTTGGAGTAGAAGAGTCCCAATTTAATTTAACAATTGAATGGCGGGACGATGATGTTTTTAATAGCTCTTCCAAAGGAATCGAAACTACTCCAACTTTTGCATATAAGCGGCCTTCTTTAATATAAACTTTAATCTTTTGCCCATTGAATAAATAGTGATCATTACTGATTTTTGAGCATGAACCCTTATAATTGATTTTCAATAAGACTTCTTTTACAAGTGAGTCTAATACTAAACTTTCATCTTCATTTTTTTCAGCTTCTTTATGACTACCATCTTTTTCTTTTTGAATCTCAATTATCTTTACTTTCACTGTTTTTTCAAGACTATTATTTTTCAAAAGCCGATTTCCTTTTGAAGGATTTGAGACTTCTTGGCTCTTATTACTAGGCTTCAATACTGAATTCTCAATATCTGCCTTTTGTTTATTTTTTTCATTAATTTTAAAGCAGTCAATTTCTTTAATCAACTTTTTAATAAGTTTTTCTGAGTCAACTAATTGCTCTTTGGCCATAATAAGCTCATTTTGCAAGATATTAATTTTCTCTCTTTGAGGATTCATTTCAAGTCTAGATATTGTATCTGATAAATGATTATTCTCACTCTCAAGCTTCCTATTAAATCCTTGAAGTTTAGTAATTTCAGTATGAGCAGCCAACAATTCTGACTCTTTTTGCTCAAGCAGTTTCAAAAGTGATGCTTCTCTGAGTTTACTTTTTTCTACCAATTCTTCATATTGTTTAGAAATCTTTTCCAATTTATTATTTAAGTCATAACTTTTTTTTTCTTCAAATTTTAGCTTTGGTTCATACTTTGGAATATTTTCTTCATAATCTTGATTTATATCAGTTTGGTTGCATTGTTGGTATTCAATTAAATGCTCATATTTTGTTGGATTTTCAGAAAAAATATCCTCACATCTTAAATTTACTTCTTCCATGCAGCATAATGAGCTACTGAAGCTATTTTCATTTGCATTTGTCTCATTTATTTCTTCTCTTTCACTTTTCTCTTCACAAAATACTAATACTTTTGGGTTGCTAACATTGCAAGGCAACTCAGTCAGAATATCGTAATTGGATGTTGATATTGGAAGCCATATAGCTTCATTGAGAGGCAAAATCTCTATAGGAAAGTTAACGCTTCCTAAGACTTTGTCTTCTTTCAAATCTTTGAATACCAAATTCAAAGTCCCTGAAGTTGGCAATTTGACACTATTTTTTATATCTGTGGAAATTGCTGTTATAATATTTAGCAAACGATTGTCTAGAAATATAAAGCAGCCGATGCTGTAGTCGCTCCATGTATATTCGCCTCTTCTTATCTGTAACCTCAGCATTATGATAATTTAAAAATTAACGAATCATTTTGATTTAAGGAATAATTAAATTTGAACTTTATATAGAACTTTAATATAATAAACCAATAATTTCTATAATAGGAATGAAGATTTTATCATATCATAAGCTAGGCACAATTTCAATTTATTAGAGATAAATGATTTTACATAAATGTTTACTCCCTTGGTAGAGCAAAACCATTAGAAAAAGCCCTATTTTGGGAATGAATAATAAAACATATTTGAAATTAAAATCTTGTTTTTAATATATTTAATATATATTCATGACTTTAATATTTGAATCTCAAGCAATATTATTAAGCTTTAGATAGCTTGAGCTTTAAAAACATATATTTAACAAATTAAATTTTTTTTCTCAATTTTAATAATTTGTATTATTTAAAATTCGAAAAATAATTTTTTATATAATTTTTTAAAATAGAGCAATTTCCTACCGAATTTTAGCCCAAAATTCTACTCTCGCTAGCCAGGGGATGTATTAAATCACTTTAATGTCAATAATTGTTGCTTTCAGAGTTTGGAATGGCTCTTTTATTCATAATCTAAATGGCCATAATATTTTATGTCATTTTGACGAGAATTTTTCAGACCTTTACCTAACTCCCCTCTTGCTTAGCAAACAAGATAATATAATTAGCATGAGGTTAAATTATTATAATTATTAATTATATTTTAATAAAATTTATATTAATTTTTTAATATTTTCAAAATTATTGCTCGGCTTGCTAAGGAAGGATTAAATTCTTTTCCATTCGCTGGAGACGAAACATGATTGTATACAACAAACATAAAGAAAGTAAATCTTAAACAGGAAACCAATTCAAGCGTGAAAAAATGGGTCAGAAATTCAAAGAAAAAGCAAAATCAACATTTGCGAAGCCTTCTGGCATTGATCTTAATGAGGCCCTTAAAATTTTACAAATTGAGTCCAATTATACAGTAGAGCAGGTAGAGGAAAGATTTAAACGACTCCTTAATACTAATGACCCAGCCAAAGGAGGTTCTTTTTATCTTCAATGCAAAATCCAAGGGGCAAGAAATACTTTATTAGAAGAATTAGAAAAGCCTCAAGAGCAGCAAGAGCAAGAAGAGCAAGAAGAGCAAAAAGAAGAAAACACAGAAGGAACTGAAAAGAAGGAATAAATTATACTTAAGTTAACTTTTAGCCAAACAAGCCGCTCATATCTTCATCCTCCTCTTTTTCAACTCTATTAAAGCGGTCTCTATCATGAGGTCTCATATAGTCAACTCTTGGTCCAAATGGAACGACTCCAGTTGGGTTTATTGTTTTATGGCTCTTATAATAGTGATTTTTAATATGATCGAAATTAACAGTCTCGCTGACCCCTGGTATCTGATATATATCTCTCAAATAGTTGGACAAATTCTTATACTCTTCAATTCTCTGCAAATTGCATTTAAAATGGCCAACATAGACTGGGTCGAATCTTACCAAGGTTGTAAAGAGTCTGATGTCTGCTACAGTTAGAGTATTGCCGACTAAGTATCTCTGGTTTTCAAGTTTCTGATCAATATGATCCAAAGCACAAAACAGCTCTTTTACAGCTTCTTCATAAGCTTCTTGAGTGGTTGCGAACCCTGCTTTATAAACTCCATTGTTGATCTTGTCGTAGACAAATGTATTTGTTTCGTCAATTTCTTGTTTTTTATCAATAGGATAGTAATCGTTGTCATTGGCACAGTCAAACTCACTGTTGAACATGAGGATAATTTCTGCGGACTCATTTGATACTGCTGTTTGAGATAGTTTATCCCAGAGAACTGGCACAGTGACTCTTCCCGTATAGTCAGATTTGGCTCTAAATCTCCCAGTAATAAGCAATTTCTTGATTATTCGTGGAGGGGTTGTCTAAATTTTTAAATAGTAAATTTTATATAAATAGATGGAATTTGGATTATTGGGGTTAAATGCCAAATTCGCACTCTTAGCATATGAACTGAAACCCGCCCAATAATAACCAATTTCAATCTACTTATATTGAATTTACTATTGAAAACTTTGGCAAAAACCTCTTGAGGTAAGATAAACCTCATACAGGTATGAGCTATTATTTAGATGGTCTTCAGTGCTTCCTTCAAAGTTGCCAAAAGTCCACCCATTTTCATACATAAGTGGATTGACAACAGAGACAGAAATTGCATGCTGAAGGCCTTTGAGATTTCTCATAATCAATGTGCGATGTGCCCAAGGGCAAGCATAAGAAACATAGAGGTGATACCTCCCTTCAACCCCTTTAAAGCCACTGCTTCCATCACGGGTAATGAAGTTTCTGAATTGCGATGCTTGCCTTACAAATTTTCCTCCAGTTGAAGAAGTGTCATACCATTGATCGACCCATTGGCCATTAACTAGCAAGCCCATTTTAATGATTATCAAATAATAAATTCACCATAAATTTCTGTTGTTTAAAATATCACAAATATATTTTAAAATTGTTAATTTTAGTGAAATTTATTTTAGACCGGAAAGCCATTTTTGTAATTAATGTAATGATTTTTAAAGATTTTATTTGATTTTTATTTTATTATCTTTTCATTAACTGCGTACGATATGATTAGATTGGAAATAAACAATTGGTAGTGAGATTTAATTTAATAATAAAATTGTTTTGGGACAGATGAAGACCTTGAAGTAAATGCTGAGCGATCTATTGTAGCTTTTAAGTTGCATTTACCCATAACCTCTCTAGCCAATTCTGAAAGCTGTCCATCAACTAAAATTAAATCATCCTTGGATTTTAGCTTTCCAATATCTGCCAATTTAGCAATAATTATAGGATTCTTCGGCAAGTTTGGATCTCCAGTTAGTCCTTTTTTAGCTTTTTTAACATTAATTTTCACTTCAGCTAACGAAGGGCCTTTTAGAGATGGGCTGACATCTAAAGCCAGAGATTCAACAGTTTTATAATAAGTCTTATGTAAATGTTGAGGTAAAACATTTTCCCCATTTTTTGTTTCATTTTGATTATTTTTATCTGAAATATACCAAGAGTTGCTTAAAATAGCTTTTTGTTGGTTAAGAGAATCAAAAATTCTTTCGTATCTGTCTCTTGGAGTAAATTTCAAATCTGGATTGATTTCTTTGGTTTTCAGCCTTTGTCTGAATTGAAATTTGAAAGTGTTATATGGGACTGGATCAAGATTTTGATATTTAACCAATGTATCTTTTATTCTTTCTTCATCATTTTTGGGTCTAAATCTGAATGCAGGATCTCCAAGATAGGTGTAGTTTCTTGCTGTAGAGATTATTCTTGGAATCGGGACTGGATTTTCAGCCATCTCCAAAATTCGTTTTTCAGTTCTTCTTTGGTGAGATTTCACAAGCTCAGCTCTCATTTTGATTTGAGCAGTCAAGCTCTTCTTGACTTTTTTTAAGTTGCTTAATTTAGCTTCTTCTTTTTGTTTCTCTCTGTCATGTATATATCCATTATACATACTTTATTATAATAACGCTTGTAAAGGTATCATATTAATGCAAATAAAAAAGCAAAAATATAATTTTTAAGCTAGTTCTGCACTGTTAATTTCAGCCTCCAGAATCTTTCAAAAAATTATTAATTAAGTTTAGACTATCTTTGAGGGGTAATAACCGTCTTTGGAGAAGCTGCTGGCTCATATTTAATGGAGTTTCTTTATTATTCGAGGCTTTTAAATAAATCCATTAGACAATGTAAAAGTATATCTTAAGATTTTTGGCATTTCAGCATTTATGCTTGATTCACTTTGCTATATTTATGAGTTATTTGAAGAAAAGTTATAATGCAAATGGCTTAAAAAACTCAGCTATCTAATAATTATTATATGACGGAGAAGAAATGCTTCGAGCCAGGGTGCATAAATGAGGTTGGGTATTCATGCAATTGCTCTTCTCCTGAAACTTTATTGTGCAATGAGCATACTGGGGAGCATGTAAACTCGCCTAATAGAGCTCATAATCTTAAATCAATTTTTATGCACCCTTGTGAAGGGACAAAAGAAGCAATTCTTGAATTTCTTACAAGAGAAAATTCAAAATATACCGAGTTGAAAAGAAAAATTATAGATTCCTTTCCTAATTGAGAGAAAGATTTAGGAGATTTCACAAGCAAGTTGGAGTGCTTCTCAGGTGAAATAAATTATTTTTTTGCAAAGATTTCCCAAGTTTCAAAACGATTAAAGTCAGACCAAGATCCAATTTTAGGATTATTGAGTTTACAGCCTCAAGAAGCTATTGAGAAAATAAAATTGATGACCATAACCAGCAGAGATTGATACAAAGGTGCAATGCTGTTTTATATATTAAACCAAAAGTTAGAGAATCTAAATAGATCCTTCTTTACAGAAATATGTGGGACATATCTAAAAAAAAGGAATATGCAGAATACTCCTGAAATACATAATAAAACTAGTATGCCAACAATTATAGAGCCAGTAAACGTTAAGGATTCGATTTCCTTGATAATAAATGAGGACAATGAGAGTCTAAAAGGACTTCAAAGCATAAGCAAGCCAATAAAAAATAACCTAGAAAACGAGATAAGCTTGCTTAATTCTCAAAAAAGCACTGCTTCTAAAGATCTCATTAATAAGTCCAAGGAAACAGAAAGCGCTTTAAACGTTATAGACACCTTAAGAAATAAAACAGCTGAGATTTTGAGTAGACCAAACAATCCAGAATTAGAGATAAATTTCAGAACAACTGCTCAGAAATTCAGACAAATTCTAATTTGAATGACCCGACACTAATGCAAGCTTACCAAGATTATCTTAATGCTTATCAACAAAAGACATCTCTTTATAGTATTACAAGAGATGGCAACAGAAGAAGAACTAATTTGCATATTTATAACACTGAAACTGAAGCAGAAGAAGTCAAAAACTTGAAGACTCTAACACCACTAGACAAGACAACTTGTATAACTCAACTTCCAAATGGCAAGCTATTCTGTTATGGTTATAATCTTGCTTCTGGAATTACAGTTTTAATTGATGTAAATGGTGGAGTCGAAATGCTGCCATCTGGAACTCCTTGTTTATTATCATCATGCATCTATTTCAACAACAGCCTCTATTGCTTTGGAGGACATAATAATGAAGGCAAATTAACTCTATCTAGTAGATTCGATTTGGATCGAAATCGATGAATTCCATTAACTCCAATCCCATAAGGTGATTGCGGGTGCAGTAGCATAATATTTAATCGAAATATATTGATTTCTGGACATTTAAATAGAAATCTTTTGTTATACTCAATTGATATTGACTCTTTCTCGACAATTCCTTATAGGTTTGCAAAAAATAAAAGCAAGATCTTGATAACTGCAGAGAGACTATATTTGATTGAGTGCCAAAATGGATCAATCTATGAAAGCGAAATTGGAAGTTACTTGAATTGGAAACAAATAGGAAAATCAATAATCGATTATCTTCTTCAATTTCACTGCTCATATAATAAAGGATTTATATACATCTCAATTGTTTCTCCATCAACTAGAGAACATTATTTTTTTAATTTAGATCAAAAAATCATTATTGATGTTGCTTACTATAATGAGCTTCTCTCACTTAGAAGAGTGGGTAAGAAGATTGAAGCAATAAAGTTCAATAACCTCGATCCTTATTATCTGGATGAATCAAATTTAAAAGATGTCGCTCTAACAACTGTAGCTGAATATCTAGACGAAATCATATGCTGTGATGAAGATATCGAATTCAATCCAAACAATGCTACTTTATACAGTCGTAAAGGCCACTTTTTAGTTTGTTTAGGAAGATATCTAGAAGCCGCCGAATGCTATGAGGAAGCAATCAAACTCGATCCAAACGATGTTGATATTTACTGGAAGAAAGGATCTGCTTTATATGAATTAGGAAGATACCTAGAAGCAGTAGAAAGCTATGATAAAGCAATCAAAATTAATAGAAATAATGCCAAGTATTATAAAGATAAAGGCAATGCTCTTTATGCTTTAGAGAGATATCAAGAAGCAATACAATGCTATGATGAGGCAATCGAGCTTGAACCCAATAATCCTTTGCATTTCTGCAGCCGAGCGAGAGTATTTAATAATCTCAGACAAGAAAAAGCAGCTTTGCAAGACTTTAATAGAGCCTATAATTTGAAGCAAGAAAATCAAGAAAGTGGTGTTTTTACTGGGCGTGAATGGAAACTTTCTAAAAAAGATATCAATTTTATTAACGACTTATTAGGCCGAGACCGTATTGAACTACTCCAAAAAATGCAGATTTAGAATAAAATTTGGTTATAATAAGACTTCATTATAATAATTACTGGTTTCAAGAAAAGCACTGTTGGAATGTTTATATTTGTTCATATCTCAAATAAAATCGACAAACCCCCTCTTTTCTCAACTGAATATATTTTTTTGAACTTTCTGATAAAAATGTTATATAAGCTCTTTCCATCGCTTTTAATTTCTTTTCTGAGGTTTACGTCACTATGATAAACACTTCTTCAAAATTCAAACTATTCATGCAATCCTAAATCTTTAAACATCAATAATCCCATCCACTTAACAAATCATTGCAAGCATTAATCGCTGAATTTATTTCTATTGAGCAATCACTTCTATTTGAGCAAGCCCCAAATCCTGTTATCATCAACTCTATTCCCCAGGTTGTTCGTATAATTTCTTCTTTATTTTACATTTTTGGTCATAATCGTTCATATAGTAATTTAATTGATGCTAAAAGATTTCACCATTTGAGGCACATTTTTCACTATCCATAAGAATAGAGTTTTAATTATTGAAGTTTAAGTGAAATATCAAGGAATAAAACAGTTAGATATTGATAGCCTTTTTTTAAAGGCTCAAAAAAGGCACTTATATAAATGGCTGCACTTTAAGAATTAAATAGAAATTGCTAGTTCAAGTTTCTTTCATATATAGGTACACAAAAATCTTGGTAAAGGCAGAGTAATGCACAAAGACGCACCAAATTTAAAATTCTAGGAAAAATTTTAAATAGATTTGGTGAGCGATCTGACAATCTAAACATGGGACAGATAACAGATGCACTTTAATCAATTTATTTTTATCTTTCTCAATTTATTTGCCAGTTCTTTTTATATATTTACTAAACAAAACATTTTTTGGGCTATTCGTAAAAAAATTTATTGAAAAAGTCGATCTTTTTTATATCAATACAAAAATTAAAATAAAATAATTGACTTTCTACTTGATATTAATTAAGGTTTATTTTGCTTTTGGAGTTATGATAATAGTTGTTGTGGAGGCTACTGGATTCGGGAACAAAATGTTAATGAAGTTTCCTTTGCTCGTGATTTGAGGCTTCAAATCCAGTGTATTAGAAACTGTAAGAGTGTATCCATTAGGATAAACAAGTGCTGCATTCAAGAAAAGCACTGTTGGAGCACTCACATTAGGTGATAACTCAAATGTGGTTGAGAAATACCCTGTAGTATCAATGAAATATATTTTTGTTGGAACACCCTGATAATAAGGCACATAAGTTCTTTCCAGCGCTTTCAATTTCATAGTTTGCAAGTTTCCATCCCCATCATAAAGCCCTTCTTCCAAATTTCCACTTGTCGTGTAATCTCCAAATCCTTTAAACATCCAATAAGACCATCCAGTTAAATACTTATCACAAGCATTGGTCACTGAATTTATTTCAATAGGACAATCAGTCCTATTTGAGCAAGCCCCAAATTCTGTTATCATCAGCCCTATTCCTAGGTTGTTAGCATCTTCTCTTCTTAATTTTACTTTTTGGTCATGGAATCTTTCACATAACTTACTTACTTATACATTAATAGGCGTCTGCCGTATTGTTAACGCAGTCACCAAGGACCCAATATTAGGGTTCACCTGCTTTGCGGTATAGTCTCAACTGGCCATAGAGACCAGCAAGGAGATATATACCTCCTCCTTCCCTCGGAATCCCGCAGCTTAAGTGCTGAGTGGGCGGGCTATAGATTTCTGCGGCTGATGCTTGAGTTGACGAGAGTTGGCTTTCCGAAATTCCAAAAAATAGAATTTCTGGTCACCTTTCAGCAAAAAGGGAAATTCCAAGTCCTGGGACGTAACGCCCAGTTTCACGCTAGGTACTTGCCCGAATGGTCTAGGCGTTGCCTGTAGACTCTGCTGGGCTTACCCTTTCCAAGCCTGGACTCCCTTTCCTCTCGAGGAGAAAATCCATTCTGGTCGTTGAGCATGGGCCAGACTCTGCTCTGCAGAATTGCTTACCTTGGCATTGCTGCTCATTTCCTGAATGGCAAAACCTTGCCGTATATAATTAAAATATGAGTCGAGTATGTATGGCTGGGAGGCCATACCCAGACGAAGACGCCATATTTTAATTATATCTTTCACATAACAATTTAGTTGATGCTGGAGGGTCTCCACCATTTGCGGTACATTTTTCATTTTCCATGTCACAGCAATATAAATGGTCATTTAAAACTTGGGCATAATTGAGACTTGGACCGCCAGGGGTTTCGTTAAATCCTGCATTAAAAACTATTCCACCTAAGATAGGTAATAAATCTGATTGAACAGGCTCAAAAAAGAGGATCTTGTTTGAGTCATATTTTCTGACGACGTTATTCACTTTTTGATAGAGTGGCTGAAGGCCTTCTTTATCAAAAACTCCTGGAACTGCATAAGTTGGCTCGGTGTACATGTCTGCTGCTAAAGGCTCGTTTATTGGATCATAGCCGACTACATAGTTATTATTAACGAAATATTGGGAAACAACGCCCCAATAAGCAAGGAATTTGTCTTGTAGCCCATTGATATTTTTATAAAGTCTATTGAAAGCATCCATTGCTTGAGGGGTTGCATAGTATTCTGCAAACAGATGAGTAAGGCAGTCTGAAATTAAAGGATCCCCATTAGAATCATAAGTAAAATTGAACTTAGACATAGGAGTGCATGCCCCAAATCCTTCTAGTACAGGAGAAAGTTCACCACATGTATCACTTAAATTTTGAGCATAAAAATCTGGAACTCCTTCCCCACAGATTCTCCTTGCAAAAACATCTTGATGGGCGTCAACAAGCGTATATAACCCTGCAGCTCCTAATTGATTTACCAAATTATTGACTAGTTGCAAATAAGTTGTATTGTAAACTCCTGGGCTTGTTTCAACAGCTTGCCACATGACACCAAGCCTAACAAAATTAAAGCCCCAGTTAGCTAAGTTTTGGATATCTTGAGGACATAAAGACATTTGTGGGTCGAAGCTGGTGGTTATCGGGATATATGGAGCTGATTTTACTACAACATTGACTCCATGGAATATTACTGATCTTCCATAGTCATCTTGAAACATTTTTGTGGTCGTATTTACCTTGATAACTGCTGTAACTAAGCCAGCGATGAATAGCAGTAAGAAGGAGAGCATTTAATAAATATTCACATCAGCTTAATTTAATACATAAAATAGTTTTCAAGATTGCTTATTAAATTTATTATTATAATGCGGGAAATCTCAGTTTAATTAATCAGCCCAGAATAATTAAGTTTCTCCTTAAACATGGCGATAAATAAGCTAACTAATTTGAAAATTAAAAAGAAAGAATTTCTTTATTATTAAGCTTCAACAGCAGATTTGGCTGTTATTACTATAGTTGTCCTTGAAGATACTGGGTTTGTATATAAAATATTGATGAAATTGCCTTTAGTGGTCACTACTGGCTGTAAATTAAGTGTATTTGAAATAGAAATATCATACCCATTTGGATAGACCATTGCTTGATTCAAAAATACCACTGTTGGAGCATTCACATTTGGAGAGAGATCATATGAGGTTGAGAAATACCCAGTCGACGGAATAAAGAATAATTTAGTTGGAACTCCTTGGTAAGCTTGAGCATAAGTTCTCTGTAAGGCTTTAAGCTTATTTGTTTCTAAATTTCCACTTCCATCATAAAATCCTTCCACTGTGCTTCCAGCAGTTGTGTAGTCTCCATATCCCTTAAATTGCCAATAAGACCATCCAACTAAGTATTTATCACATGCATTTGTTACTGAAGTAATTTCAGCGACACATGCATCTGAATTAGAACAAGCTCCAAACTCTGTGAAAATTAGCCCAACTCCTAATTTTTCAGCGTCTTGGGATCTGACCTTAACTCTGTCATTATGAATTCTCTCACAGTGTTTTGCTTCTGAAAGAGGAGGATCTCCTCCATTTTGAACACAAGGGTTAAAATTAACAGCGCAGCAGTATGTATGGTCATTTAAAACTTGTGCGTTATTAAAATTCACTCCTCCAGGAGTTTCGTTGAACCCAACGTTAAATATTAATCCTCCTAATGCTGGCAGCACGTCAGACTGTACTGCTTCGAAAAATAAAATCTTTCTTAAGTCATTTTTTCTAACAGTCACATTTACTTTTTGCCATAGATATTGAAGGACTTCACGGTCAAAGTTTCCTGGAACCATATAGTCAGGGTTACTATACATATCAGCAGCAAGAGGTTCATTGAATGGATCATATCCAACTATAAAAGGATTATTTGCAAAAAATGAAGACACAGTGTTCCAGAATGCAAGGAACTTGTCTTGCAGCCCATTGATATTTTTGTAAAGTCTTTGAAAAGCATCAGCGGCTTCAGGAGTTGTATAATAGCGAGGGAAATCGTGAGTGAGACAGTCAGAAATCAAAGGATCTCCATTTGCATTATAGGTTAAATTGAACTTAGATAATGGGGTGCAAGCTCCAAATCCTTCATATACAGGTGATAGCTCTCCACAAGAGTCACTTAAATTTTGAGCGTAGAAGTCAGGGACTCCTTCACCGCAGATTTTACGTGCAAAAAGGTCTTGATGGGCATCCACCAATACAGAAATCCCAGCTGCTCCTAATTGATTAACCAAGGTATTGACCTGCTGAAGATAAGTCATATTATAAGACCCTGGACTTGTTTCGACTGCTTGCCACATAACTCCAAGTCTTACGAAGTTAAAACCCCAGTTTTGGAGATTTTGTATGTCTTGGGCGCAGAGAGACATTTGAGGGTCAAATGAAGATGTAATAGGAATATATGGAGGAGCCTTTACAACTACATTGACTCCATGGAAGATTATTGTTCGGCCTGAGTCGTCCTCAAACATTCTAGTTGTGGTATTCATATGGATGGCTTGAGTGAAGCCCAAAAGGAGAATTAAGCTGAGCATATTTTTATTCGCCTAATAACATGAGAAGAATTTATCTTATAATATCAGAATGAGATTTAAAACCTACAATTTAATAATGCACTTTTAACCTTACCTTATATTAGTCTACTCAAAAGCTTTTTGATTTGTATAATAATGATGCTAAAATCTAAAAATCCTCTTTAAATTCCCCAAAAATAAATTTTTTTATATAATTGCCTCAATTAATAATCTTATCCACCTCCATGAGCGAACAAAAAAAAATCGTCTTTGCTCACGGAGGGGGGTTATTTTTTTTTTAAAAAAGTTTTATATATAAATTTTATTTTCTCAAAAATTTAAAAAAATACTAATTCGCAAAAATTGGAAAGTAAATATTTATCTAATTTGTAAAATTTATATTTTAAAACGCAATTTGTTTAAAATCAAAAGATTTCATTGTACCAATTATCACTTATATATCAAAAAAATTGTTCCATAAAAAATTTTTGTTCGTTTACGAAAGTGGGTTTTTGGGGGCAAAAAATAGGGATTTTTCCAATGGTTTGTTCGCTCACGGAGGGGGGAGCTAGCAATTATCCTTTCTCAATTAATCGATATTTTCCTCTTAATTAAATTTCCACTTTCAAATAAATCAAAATGTCACTACTCACAATTTTCCTTGCCAGCTTGGCTTCAGCTCAATGCCCTGCTTACACATGTGCCGAACTCTCAACAGACATTTGCATGACCTGAAGCAATAACGCTGTCCAATTTAACAAAAATAGCTGCACATCTCATAGCCAAAGCTGTTTGATTTCTAAAGCAATGCTTGAATACTCATTTAACCCTTCACAAGGCAACTATTCTTGTGAGGCATCCTCTTCTTTGGGTTACACATATGGTTTTATGGACTGTGGAGAACAATTAGAGACAGAAATTTATTTAAAATCTGGAACGTTCCCAAAAAGCTGCTCTTCAGCAGGTTACAGTGATGAGAACTGCTTATTAGAAGATGGAAATTATTTGGAATGTGGCTGTGGATTCGATTCACTTTTATATTGTAAGCCGAATCCAAGCTCATACGTTTTTAAGAAATTCTGGGATATAGAGGTTTCCTCTATATAGCGCTAAAAGCGCAGACATTTTCCCAGGAGCTTTCCAAGTTCGTCGGACCAAATCGCTTTTTGGTCCGACCAAGGCATTGATTTGGTGCAACCTACCGATAAATTCGATCAGAATTTATCGGCCTTACAGCGCCAAACATAGGAAACTTCTATACTTGTTCAGATCAAGATAACATTGTGACTTCAGAATTTTATGAATATTATGATCTTCTTTATTCCTTCTACGTTGAATATAATACTGCACCTGACTGCGCTCTGACTCTTTTCCAGGAGTTTGGCATACTTCAAGGAACAGTTCCTAAAAGCAGTTCAGCTGTTTTTATTGGCTTAGGTGCCATAATTGCAGTCTTTGCTTTCTAAAATTTTAATTTTTAAGAATTTTAATGCTTGAGCTTTGTATAATCCAAGTATTTAACATAAAAAATAATTTTTAATGGTATTCCTGCAAAACTCTCAATTTATAAATCTAGTTCAATTATATTTATCTTTGTGAAAGCTCTTTTAGCGATTGTAAAGTCGCCTCTCTACACTCCATAAATCTTAAAACACAATTCTTGATGCACGATTTCTGCTTGCCCGTTAAATTTGGCGAAGGGTCGTTTACACACCTAAGAAAGCAAACATTTGTAGATTTCTTAACAATGTCTGAGAACAAAATATCATCCAAAGTGGGCTCAGACATATTTCAATTATAAACAATGTCAATCGAAATAATTCCTCTAGGCGCAGGCCGAGAAGTGGGGAGAAGCTGCGTCATTGTAAGAATGGCAGGCCGAACACTTATGTTTGACTGTGGAATCCACATGGGTTATGAAGATCAGCGCAGATTTCCTGATTTTTCTCACATCGCTCAGACTGATGATTTCACGCCTTATTTTGACTGTGTGCTGATTACCCATTTCCATCTCGACCACTGTGGAGCTCTGCCTTATTTTACAGAGATGAAAGGATACAACGGGCCAGTCTTCATGAGTGGGCCTACACGAGCTATAGCTCCGCTGATGCTGGAAGATTTCAGAAAAGTGTGTGTTGAGTACAAAGGAGAGTCAAATTTCTTTACAAGTGAAATGATTAAAGGGTGCATGGCGAAAGTAACAACTATTGAACTGCATCAGACCATTACGGTGTGTGGGGATATTAATATTACTGCTTATTATGCAGGACATGTCCTAGGAGCAATTATGTATCATATTGAATGTAGAGGGTACTCACTTGTATATACAGGAGATTATAATATGGCAGGGGACAGACATCTGAGAGGAGCGTGGATTGAGAGGCTAAACCCACATGTGGTGATATCAGAAAGCACCTATGCGACAAAGTATAAAGAATTGAAGATGAGAAGGGAAAAAATGTTTTTAAAGAAAGTTGTGCAGACTATAGAAAGAGGAGGAAAAGTACTGATTCCTGTATTCGCATTAGGAAGAGCACAAGAACTTTGTATTTTATTAGATACATATTGGCATAGGACGCATATTGAAGTTCCCATCCATTTTGCTGGAGCTTTAACTGAAAAAGCAAATTTATTTTACAAAACTTATATAAACTGGTGCAATGAAAATGTGCAGCGAACTTTTCTTATGAGAAACATGTTTGATTTTCAGCACATAACTCCTTTTGATAGAGGAAATATCAAAGCAAAAGAGCCTATGGTCTTATTAGCGACCCCAGGTATGCTCCACGGAGGTTTATCTCTTAGTGTATTCAAAGAATGATGCGAAGACAGTAAAAACACCCTTATTCTTCCAGGCTACTGTGTCCCAGGAACAGTAGGCCATACACTATTAAAATCGAAGACAGACGTAGTCATGATTGAAGGAAAAGAATACGAAGTCAGATGTGAAGTCCAAGCTATGTCATTCAGTGCTCATACAGACCATAGAGGAATTATGCAAGTTCTCAAATGAATCCACTCTAGCAACGTTGTGCTTGTCCATGGCGAAGAAGAAAGAATGAGAGGGCTTCTGCAAGATGTCCAACAAACAATGGGTGTTCCTTGTTTCATGCCTGGAAATTTAGAACACTTGATGATCCAAGTTAATGCTTCTGTCCCTATGAAAATTGAGTACCCTCTAATTTGTGACTACCGCGCTACACATCATGTCAATTTCGTAGAAAATATATTCCAAAATAATCCAAGGCCTCAGGAGCTCGAATGCAACATTACTGATGATTGGATTTTAGAAGACGCCCGCAGCATTTCGTTCAGCTGTGAGATTTTCTGCAGCCTAAACCAATTAAAATCGACGCTTGAAGACTCTATTTTGCAGCTACTTTCAATAGAAGAAATTGCTGAGTCAAGGCTGCAGCTGACCTGGGATGCTAAAGATGATACACTAGTCTCTCCTCTCCTTTCTTCTCTCCCACAGGCCGCTTAATATTTTACTAACTAATAGATTGTCTTAGCTATCTTAATTACCAAACACTACCTTTCTTAACAATGGGACAGTGTTATTGAAAGCCAACTCAAGTCTTTCGTCAATCGTATTGATGCATCTAATAAGCCCACCTTGAGATGTAAGAATGACTCCTCCACAGCAGCTTGCCGCATGAGAATCAGCCACTGGTGCAGGCGGCAAGAAGTTATTTTTATCGATAGTCACATTCAAGCTGTAGTGTCCTGAAGTTTGGCTGTTGATCATGTCTAGATAAGTTGCAGATGCTTCAGGGAGAACTTGTTCAATCAAAGCTAAGTCTTCTCTGCGGCACTGCAGGGTGATTTCAGCCTCCAGCATCTTGATGAAGCTTTGCACAAGCAGTCTCTTCAAGAAATCCTTATACTGGTTTGGGTTAGTCTTGATATTTTGGAGGATTGAGTGCTTGGTATCTTCAAGCAGCTGATTCATACAGTTGTTCCTAGTCGTCATGATTTCCATGCGTGCTGCGTTGATTGCTGTAGACTTGCTGATCCTTTTCTTGACTTCCAGCTGCTTCCACTTCTTTTCGTACTCAGCGGTGAGCTTTTCTTTAGCATTATGAAGATGTTTAGCTTTGGCTAAATTGTACTCGTGCTCTGTCTTGCTTTCGATTTCTCTGGCTTTTTCTTTCGCTTCTTCTTGGACGAAGGAGATCATCTGCCTTATACGTTCTCTTGCGTCACTCTCGTTCATCCGAATAAATTATATAACCATATTTGAGAACAAAGGTGTAATTTAATTTAACTATAATAAGCTACAAGAAGAGCATGATGTCGAGTCTCGGTGGCCTTCAGGGTCTTTAGACTGCTTTTGAGTCATTCTTGGGATCATGTAATGCTGCTCACTTGGGTCCGTTGTGGATAATATGTCAATATTCTGGTCTTCTGCGTCAAAGTATTCTGTCTGTGCGACAGAGTAAAAGTTTGATTTGTTGGTCATTGCAAATGATCGGCGAATTGTTGTGGATGATCTACTTGTGTCAAGTATGACTGAAACTTTAGTTTCACCTAAATAGAGGAGCAGAGCACCCAGTAAAGGCGCTTGATATCCATAGGCAATGATATCTTTGTTTTTCTCAAATTTTATCCCGTTAAATTCAAAAATGTTCAGTAGCTGGTTTTTCGGAATTAATTCGCCTTGCGGATTGTGATAATCAAATGCGATGATATTTGCGTTCAAAAGCTGACAATTGGTTGTGTTTTTCTTTATAAATTCTTGAGCAGTACAGATTAGGTTGTAGTTTAAGTCAAATTGGGGAGATTCTGCTAATTTTATTTGAGGTGGATCGCCGCTGACAAATTCAATTTCACAGTTTTTTAAGGTTTCGGAGCCTCCAATAAGGACTTTTACCTTTTCAAAGCCTGCTGCTTTAAGTGACCAAAATACCTGTGTTGCACTTTTGTCGTCTCCTATATCGTAGAGAACAATTGGTCGATTTTTATCAGCTCTGATACGCTTGATGTCTTCCAAAAACTCATCAACGTCTTCTTTAATATAAAACACTCATGAATTTTCGAGATATTCTGTGACTGAGCATGACTCTGGGCCACAATAAATAAATAGATAATTTTTCAGATTGTCTTCAGGCAGAGTAGTAAAAGGGTTCATTATAATTTAGGAATAAATGTAGGTTAAAAATAAAATTAAGCATTTAAGCATGAAAGTGCAATTTCTGATGACTGTTAAGTCAAGATAATTAATTGCAAAAGCCAAAAAGGTATAATAAAACTATTTTAAGGTCATATATGACTGTTCTTCATAGTTGGTGAGTTTTGCAGTCTTTTTATGATTTGTGTTTTAGCCTACTTTTTGACTTTTGAACAGTTTTGATTAAAGCAAATATAAAATGGTAGATAAAGAAGACCCTTCTTTGTCATTTTCTCAATCAATCGAAAGCTTTTCTCAATCCATCAGCAAAAACCTAACCCCCCGAAAAGTCAAAAAGCTGCTTGAAGACAGGGAAAAAGCAAAAGTTGTTATCAAAAATATCAAACATGTAATGAAAGAGCAAGGCGAACATATAAAGAAGCAGCAAAACGAATATAAAAAAGCGATTTCTACATTAGAAACCCAAAGTTTCACAACCCGTTTCCACGCTGTCGCATTTAAGCTAGAACTTGATGCAATGCGTCTAATCAGTATCAGAAGAAAATTCGATACGTTAGACCTCAAGTTAAATTTTCAAAAACTTATAAAAAATACAGTACTCGCCAAAAGGCAAGAAGAAGCTCAAATAAAAGCTTCCTTGTCCTTGTATAAATCAGCATGCACAGGAATTTGATCAGTAATAAAGAATAAATCGTACGAATATTTGTCACAATCATTCCAAGCTCTCCGTTTGGGGCCAAAACCAAAGGCAAGCAAAAATTTGAAAAGTAGATTAGAAGCGCTGAAGCAAGAAAGGAAAAAATTGAGATCGCAGCTTAGAGGATCTTCAAAAGGACAAGATGACAGCCAAGCTTTGCAAGATTCAATTGAAGAAAATAAGCAGCTGAAAGAAAAGCTTACATCAACTGAAGAAAGTGTGGCGACTTTTATTAGAGAAATGACCTCATTGCTGGAAAAACATGAGCCGCCAGGGTTTAGAATCCCGGATGCAGAATCACCAAGACCAGGATTGAAGGTGAAAAAGGGAAAAAGACCGAAAGCAAGAGTGCCTTTGATTTCTCCTGAAAGAAATGAGATGGCTAGAAAACATAAGAATATTAAACTACAATTTGATTAAGCTTAGTTTTTAATAATGAAAATTTTAAGTTTTGTTCTATTATTACTTCAAAAGTTGTTTATTTTTTTGAACCATAATAATTAAATGGCATCGGGTAACGAGGTAATTCAATCCATAAATTCCTTTTTCCCACACCAACTTTCATTATTGGGGTTAGGTTTTTACATATGGGCTTCTGCACAAGAGGAGAAAATATCGAGGAGTTTTATACTTCGCCCGCCTTGTGTATCTTGTTTTACCTCTTTCTACTGCTGATATAAAAGGTATTGCCATAAGGCTGAGCAGGAGTTAGAGAAAAGTCGGATAGAGTGAGGCAACGCCCCAGCCGCTCGTAATCCTGTTCTCTTGGGTTCCAAATGACTTCACAGGGGCTAGGAGAAGCAAGCAGGACTGCGAGATCTGTCTGATATGAGATCGAGAGCAGCGACAAGATAAAGAAAAAAGGTATCTCGCCTGCACTGCGCAACTAGAGGCCCAACTATGGTAAGCTAATGTATTTGTTTATCCTTGAACAATATCTTGGCTTTTTCCAATAATCATTAAATTATGACTGAAAATACCAATGCTAAGGCCTGAAAACTTTTCTATTTCTGGTACAAAGAAACATATGAAACACATAAAAACGAAAGAAGAATCACTAAAATCATGAAAATAGATGAAAGGCAGTTTCTAACTCCCTCCTCCGCGGGTGAGCCAAAAAATTTTGCTCGCTCACGTAATAGTTAATTTGTTTTTAAAAAATTTTAATGTTTTTTTCAAAAAATCCCAATTCGAAATGATTTTAAAGCAGATATTAATTTAATTTATAAAATCTACTTTTAAAACCAAACTATTTAAAATTGAACAAGAATTAGCTAGAGATTCCAATATAATAACCATCGCTTATACATCATAAATATTTTTTCATAAAAAATTATTTGTTCGTTCACAGAAGGTAAGTTTTTAACAAAAAATAGCCTTACGGAGGGGGAGTAAGAAGACAATATATGGATGCATTTGTTTGGAATGGGATTTTTCACTGTGGGATATTATGGGTTCTTTATTACTGACCCCCCCCTCCGTGAGTGAACAAAAAAATTTTGTTCACTCACGGAGGGGGTTTAATTTTTTTTTTAAAAAAATTTATATATAAATTTTATAAAAAATATTTTTTTCGAAAAGTAAAAAAATCCTAATTCGCAAAAATTGGAAAGCAAATATTAATTTAATTTATAAAATTTATGTTTTAAAAAGCAATTCGTTTAAAATTAAACAGAATTAGCTCTAGATTTCATTATACTAATTATCATTTATATATCAAATTTTTTTTCCATAAAAAAAATTTCTATTAAAAAAATTTTTGTTCACTTACAGAGGGTGGGTTTTTGGGCAAAAAATAGCGATTTTTCTAATGGTTTTGTTCACTCACGGAGGGGGGGGAGTGAGGAATTTCTTCAAACCGCTTACAACAAGCAAAATTTATACCCTTTCCAATTCGATTTGGGTGTATATTTGGTGTCCCTTTGCTTTCAGCTTATCTATTTTTCCAGTCAGCTTTTTATAACGAAAAAATTATTGAGATTGCAGAGAGATACTCATCAGAAATAAAATAAACATAAGGATTTATATCCAAGACATTCTTCACTGTAAATTCTTGAATTTTAATATTAGAAAAAAATAAATAGATCTCTATGTGACATTTTTACATTATAATATATTAAGATTTACAGCATCCAGATTTCTTTTTAGCTACAATGATCCGATTCCTTGCAGGCACTGAAGGCGGCCCTACTCTAACTCCACAGTTTTCATTATTCAAATTAATGCTTCCATCTTGCACCTTTATAAGTATTGCTTTCGCAATCTCAACAAAGCTACTATCTATATTATTCCCATCCTTCGCAGAAGTCTCTATATATGACATTCCGTTTTCTCTTGCAAATTTTTGTGCTTCTTGTTTACTCACAGCTCTTTTCGAATCCAAATCTGTTTTATTTCCAACCAGCACAATTGCCATATTCGAAAATCCATTTTCCCTTGTATCTCTCAGTCAAAAATCTAAATGCTGAAAAGAGTCCCTTCTTGTGATATCATAAACTAATAAAGCACCTGCAGCTCCTCTATAATATGATCTAGTTATCGATCTAAAACTTTCTGATCCAGCTGTATCCCAAACTTGAAGCTTTATATCTTTTTCACCTAAATGGATTGTTCTTGATCCAAATTCAACACCTATTGTAAGATCATGATCATTTCTGAATTTTTGATCAGTGAACTGCAATAATAAGCAGGATTTACCAACTCCTGTATCTCCAATTATAATCATTTTGAATAGATAAAAATATGACATTTATTATATAAATTATATATAAGTTTTAAATAATAGTAGCATTAAATCTTAAGGAAACACTCTATCGCAGTTGTAGGGCGTAATTTTTTGGCAGTGGTTCATAAAATCTTTTTGAAAAATAATTAAAAGATTAAGCTTGATTTGAAAACTACTATTCTCATTTGGTCTTGTGCAATTTCTTTTATGATTATTCCATAAAATTTCTGAAAAAGTCTTTTTTTGTGCCTTACCTTGTTCAAAAAAAGTGCATCCTTTGAATGTTTGTTTTTCCATTATCAGAATAATTTTAAAGCGGATTTTTCATCATTCACATTGCTATTCTTTGGTTTTCTTGAAACGAATGCTTAATTTTTGAAAAGTAATGATCATTCTAATTATGCTGATTCTAGCTGGAGATATTGATAAATCTCCATTAGTATGGAAATCAATTTCCTACCAAATGTCTTTGTTTTTACAGCAAGGCAAGAGATTAGATTTTAAGAACTCATGCTCTTTTTTGTCTTATTCTAAAGAGCAATCAATTTTCAATATTTCTAAAAAGTATAATATTTTTCAATTCTCAAATTATTTCAAAGCTTTACATCGGGCGAGATGAATGAAAAATTGGCATTTGAGTAGAAATTCTTAAAAAAATTGCTACATAGCAGGTAGATTTATACTCTTCCTTTGAAGTACAGCTTTATTCCTCTGCTATTTTTGATACTCTCGAGATTAGTGAACCATTTATGTGTATATTAGTTTTAGGAGTTATTTATTAAACGGTAGAATTAAGCCATAATGATAATAATAATAATTAAGCGATATGTGTTTAAGGTCCCTGCTTCCATGCGTGACATTCCTCCGCGCTCCTTAAGGAGCCGTGCCGGCACGAGCGAAAAGGATGGACTTCCATCACTGGGTTCTCTGAGCCCAGGCCGAAAACCCCTGGTTTCTCGGTAGTGGGTTGCCCTATTGGGTCGTCGCCGACCGTCGCTGGGCACCACCATTTCCAACTCAGCCTTCCGCTCCGAATTACGCCAGTCTTTGCCTCCGGTTGGCCAGATCGCCCCGTTTGATTTGGGGTCCTTTTAACTGGAGAGACCACCTTCTTGGTCGTCTAATCTGCCTCCCCTTTTCCCAGCTTATCCGCTTGAGAAAATCCTCAATCGCTTCCGCGATTCGGGGCAGACCACAATAGCAGCTTGAGCAGGTAAGTCGCCCTGCTCCATTTCGGGCACCCACTGGCCTGGGCGCTGCTGGAAAAAGGAGATGCTACTAACTGCCCTAGGATCTGGCCACGATCAGACGGGTCTGTGTTGATCCCTGGTCGCCACCAGGATCCAGATACTGCTGGGCTAAGTCGCTTCTCCAGAAAACCATGCCCGGATATACACGGGTTACCGTCACTGGGAGGACGGGTCGGTCGCCATACGCCATTTTATGTATATAAGCCACAATGATAAATATGAAAAATAAGAATATGAGCTATTGAGACAACACATGATTTTTGTCTATTTAGAAGAGCTATTAGTTAATAGATTGGTTGATTTAGGAAATTATTTTTTTCATAGAACAATCCAGAATTTTTATTTTTAGAAATAAGTATAATAACCAAAATGTTTAAAAACTAGGGACGATAAAAATTTCTGAATTAGAATTTCTTGGTCCTCCATCATCTTAAAAAATAAAAAATAAATTTTTGAGTTATTTTAATTCTTACACAAACCCTTTATCTGACTGTTATTATGATAGCAAATTTAATAAAATGGATGCAGTAACCATTCGTTCCAAAATTTTCCAAGTATTAATAGGACCTCAACTAGCCGCAATGCTATATGCATCTTTAGAATTGGAACTCCCTGACTCATTCCTCCAAAAAGAGCAAAATGCATAATGAGAATTAAATGAGCAAGAAATTTCCATATATGAAAAGAAATTTATAATTTTAATAAATATTTAATTAAAAATTCCGCTAATTTAGTTAATTTGTAAGACCTTTCAATTTTTATAATTATATGAGATAAATTATAATTATTTAAATTTTAAATATAAAGGAAATTTATTAAAAAATTCTTTTGTGATTTTAAAGAAGGAGTGAACTACTTTTAACGCCAAAATCAATAGAATTTTTATCGGAAAAGACTCAAACCCTATCAGAAAAATTAGAACGCATTCTTTTTGCACTTGAATCGTTCGGATTCTTCTCTTATAACTCTGTTAGTAAAGAATGGTCAAACTCCCAGTTATCATCAGCACTTTTAGACGAGTCCTTGAATTCAATTGCAAAATATTGTATAATGCCCTATAAGTATGAGGTCCTTTGCAATTTTTCAGAATCTTTAAAGCAGGAAAAATCAGCCCATGAAATTCGTTTTGGATGTAGCTATATTGAAGGTTTAAAAAGAAATCAAGATGCCTTTGAAATTTATCAAAAAGCAATGGCTGGGTGGACAAATTATGACGGGAAAGATAAAATTGATATTGATTTAAACGATTCTTCCAGAGTACTTGATGTTGGTGGAGGTGACGGAACGCTTTTAATCGATTTAGCAAATGCTCATCCCCATATTACTGGTACCGTTTTTGATATCCCTGAAAGCCAGCCATTGATTGATGCAAATATTGAAAAATATGAATTATCAGAAAGACTGGATTCTATTGGTGGAAATTTTTTTGAATCCCTTCCTGAGGAATATGACTGCATTTTAATCAAAAATACTCTAATCGATTGGAGTGACAGGGACTGTAAACGAATATTAAATATGGCTTATGCATTATAATAGATTGCTATGGCCAAGCAGCATAACGATTAGCAAGAAATGACCCAGAACACTTTCTTTATATAGCCTAGATCTAATTAGACATCTTAAAACAAAAAAATAGATTTATAATTATCATTTAAATTTTTAAAAAACCTGAGAAGTGCAAATTTACTTTAAATGGGTGGTCAATAATGGACTATTAAAATAGAGGAGGTATAACTGTAGGAAAGCTTTAGAAGAAGGAGATCAACTCAAATGAATAGACTGTGTCATAGACAGGCAAGACCAAACTGATTTATGGGGAGTATAATTTAAAATGTGGCGTCTCAGCCAGGGCATGACCTCCCGGCCATGCAGCTTCAAGTATATCCAGCAAGGTTTTGCTATTCTGTAAATGGGCACAATGCTAGGTAACAATACTGTAGGAGGCAGAGCCTAGCCCAAGTTCAAATTCTGGCATTGATTTTACCTCATGGGGAAGGAAGGTATGGGAGTTGGAAAGGGGAAGCCCAGGAAAGTGTTTTATGCCTATCGGGCAACTCCCTAGCGTGAAGCTGGGCGTTACGTCCCAGGTCACGTGCTTTTCCTTTTGCCGATAGTGGCCAGAAAATCCATTTTTTTGGATTTTCTGTGCAGGCAGCTCACTTCGCGAAGGCAGTAGCTCATACATGAGCCGTTGAAGCAGATAGCATCGCTTCAAGCGTATCCTGGTGATCAAAGCAAGTGCCCCCCAGAGACTTATAGGCCCGATGCGTAGAAGAGTGGGTGGAAGGTCTGGGCTTGCCAACCCGTAGTGGACGTTTTGCATTTATAAATCTTGAGTAAGACTTATGGGGAGTAAATTCTTGACATGAATATGATGGCCTCCGGCAATGGAAGGGTCCGAACTAAGGAGCAAATGGAAAAGCTATTACATGAGTCTGGCTTCAGATTCGACAGCATTTCTCCCTCCACAAAAAAACGAAATGCATCTGTTACCTCATTAGCACCATCTGCTAAACATTGTGTTATTAATGCGATAGCAATTTAAATTTAATATCTTATTTAGCTTAAAATAAAAGTCTTTTGGAGTTGGAAATGATTTTTAAACAGGTTAAGAAAAATGGCTACAGACGCAACTGTATCATTTCGTCAAGTAGGAAGAGAAGTGACAGGGAAAGTTTATAAAGGGACAATTGTTGATGCATTTAATAGACTTACTCAGCCTTCAATTCCTACTAAAAGTGAGCAGGTTCTTACACAAATGAACAAAAAAGGAGGATTTGGAGCTTCAGCTGACAGATTTATGGCGAAATCTTATTTTGGACCAGGCCCCGGGCAATATGCAGGGCCAGAAGAAGACCCAAACCCTTCAATGAGCAAAAAAGGATATGGAGGGCTAATTAATCGAGCTCCAAGATTTAAAAAATTTCAATATAATACTGCAGTTCCAGGTCCAGGCTCATATGAGCAAAAGCAAAGAGACATAAAAACCGTTAGCTCAGTTTTTGTTGAAGGAAGATCAAAATCTTTAGCATCTAAATTCGATCCACCAGCACCTGGCCAATACAACCCAAAAATTCTTGAAACAAGAAGAGTCGGAATGACATCAACATTTAAAAGTAAAACAAGAAGGCTAGAGCCAAGCACCGCTTCTGATGCACCGCCACCGTGGCAGTACAATATTGACACTACAATGATAAGAAGCGCCTCAGCTAAAAATACAGCTGCGTTTAAGCAGCCAGTTCAGGCTAGAAGGTACCAAATAAATTTATATGACCCGCATTCTGACATTCTGGGTGATGATAATCCTGGGCCTGGGGAATATAATGTAGTAAATACAAGTCTATCGAATGTGAAGCCTTCTCCTATGTTTATTGTGGGGGAAGTTGATAGATTTGGTAGACCAATTAGACCAAAGAAAAAAAATGAAGTCACGCCTGGACCAGGAACTTATACAATGGCAAGAGGTGATGAAAAAGTGCCGGTTAGTGGAGCAGTTTTTATGAGTGAAAGTGAAAGAACTTGATTTTTAGCAGAAAAGAAACCACCTGGACCAGCTTTTTATAAGCCAATGCCAGTACCAAAGAAGAAGTCATTTCATTTAAATTCGAATAAGATGTGGGTATAACTCATTTTTAACTGTTATTTATTATGGAAATAATTGCTTTTTTTAGAAAAATTGGGAGTAAATAATTCCTATCAATTAGTTACTTAGTTGTTTTTTTAATTATATTGAATATTTTTAGAATCTTATAAATCCTCTGTTTTAGCTATATAAATAAGTAGAAAGGCAAATTTAAATAGTCCAATAATATTTAAAATTAACTATAAAAAATTAATCTGATGGATAAAAATTTTTTTAGTAAAAATCATCCCAATAGCAAAACAACTGCATAGAGAACTGTTTAATAATTACTGTAAATATTATAGATATAAAAATGATTGATCAATATTATCAAATAGAAAATTTTGTAATCAGAAATAAACTTTTGATAATGCTATAAGAGATAAGAATTTAAAGAATCATTAAAATATTAGAAAAAATTTCATTGGCTCTTTAATACATTAACAATCTGATGATTTTTTAGCAATTTTATTAAATAACGATATACAAAATTAAATGCAAGATTCTTCCCTTAAAGAGCCAATAAGTAAAATTGATAGAAATTTATCAATTGAATTAAAAACAGAGCATCCTTTGCTACAATTACTGTCCCCAGAACTAAAGAAAATTCTAACTTCTCAGAAAAGTGTTTCTCTATATCACAGCAAGTGACACAAAAAAGGTGGAATTCCAAGCTTATTTCCAGGTAAAATAATTATTACAAAAGAGCAGCCAGAATTTATACAATGGACATGACCTCACGAATTGCACAAGAATATGATTTCTTTATATGACATAAAATATTCTCACTCTCCCCCCCCCCTCCGTGAGCGAACAAAACCATTAGAAAAATCACCATTTTTTGACCAAAAACCCACCCTCCGTGAGCGAACAAAAATTTTTTTAATAGAAAAAATTTTAATGGAAAAAAATTTTGATATATAAGTGATAATTAGTATAATGAAATCTAGAGCTAATTCTGTTTAATTTTTAAACAAATTGCGTTTTAAAACATAAATTTTGCAAATTAAATTAATATTTGCTTCCCCAATTTTTGCAAATTAGGATTTTTTTAAATTTCGAAAAAAATATTTTTTATAAAATTTATATATATAAATTTTTTTAAAAAAAAAAATTAACCCCCCTCCGTGAGTGAACAAAAATTTTTTTGTTCGCTCACGGAGGGGGGGGGGGAGTCAGTCAAAGAAAAGTGGATTTCTACAAGATTCAGCAGCCCTGGACATATTAGTATCATTTATGCTTCCAAAGAATCCTGTATCCCCATCAGTGATTATAGCCATTGTGACAGGAGAAGACACATTAATAGTAATTTTTGAAGATGAAGAAGCTTGTAAAAAATGAAAATCTGGACTTCGAACCATCCTATCCTTAATCGAGCCTAGCCCAATGGAGCCAGACGCGGAGCTCACTTGGAAGCAGTCCTTTATTTTACCTCAGTCGTCACTTGATTCCTTAGCATTTGGCTATATGTTTGATTTTTCAGAACCAAATCCTCCAAATGAGTCATGAAGAGAGCTTAAGGTCACTTTTGTAAACGAGGATGAGTCATCTCATTATGAATATCTTGTGTATGACCGAAACCAAGAAAACTTGTATGATTCTCTTAATGAGATCCTCGGATGTATCGAAACACATATAAATTACCCGAACCGAGAAATGATGAAGGAATTTTTACAAGATATTACAAGGTGGGAAATCAAGACAAGAAATGAAAAAATTGATGCTTATGCTTCAATTAAAAATAAGAGTGTGCAGTTTTCGCATTATAAAGGGAGCTATAAAAGGAGGATTAGAGATGAATATTTAGACGTCGATGAAGATAAACTTTCAAAGGAAATTGTAAAAGAAATGAAGCATTATGAGAAATTTGACTATGGAGATAGGGTTACTGATGCTTTTCAGCTTATTTTTATGCAAAAGCTTGCAATTGGGCTAGAAACTCATATAGTTGCGAAAGAGTCAAAAAATAGGAGAAAACAAAAATCTAAAACTTCAAATCCAGTGACTAGCAAGGAAAAGCAAGAAAGTGGGACAATTGAAAATAGCCAAGTAGAAATTGAAGAAAAGCTTGACGCTATCATGCTGAAGAGAACTGAAACCCATTACTTAGAAGAAGAAAATAATGAAAAAGTCAAAGAAAAAGGAAGTCTGCAATCTTTTAGAGATGCATGCGAATGCATAATATTTTAAAAAACAATTAATCACTTGTTTTGTAAGAATTCTTACATTTTTTTTAAAATAATAATTTATGCTATGCTAAACATAACTGGCGTTTGGACACTGTTTGTGTTTCATCGATTTCTTCAAGCCCATAATGCTCGTCTATAATGGCAACAACTTTTTGATAAATTTTCAGATTGTAACCCTTCCAGCTTGGCAACTCCATCCATTTCATCAAATTTCAAAGCAACTTCATTGATAGTTTCTCCTTTATCAAAATTTATAATATCTTTTCCAGCTCTTAAAATATTATTAAGGCCTTCTAAAGCAATAAAGGGGGTTAGTAAAAATCATCCCAATAGCAAAACAACTGCATAGAGAACTGTTTATTAATTACTACTAAATATTCCAAGATATAAAAATGGGTGATCAATATTATCAAATAGAAAATTTTGTGTCACTAGTCAGAAATAAACTTTTGATAATGTTATAAGAGATAACCTCCCCAATGCATACATAGCTAACCAAATTTTGCAAATAAATTAAGTGACATGCTTTATAATTCTAAATAATTTTTAATTTTAATTTTGTTATATCTTAAAAGTTAGAAATTTATTTTATTATGATGTTTTTGGCTATTCTTTTAAAATGAAATTTTTAATATAATTCTTTATTATTTTTGCGTTTAAACCTCTTTTTTTAAATCTCTATATAGAGCTCAAAGATTATATAGATAAAAATGTGTCCAATATTACTTGAAAGTTAAGAATCTAAAGAATTATCAAAATATTAGAAAAAATTTTATAGCTTTTTAATGTATTTTGAAATCTGATAATTTTTTAGTGCTTTTATTAAATAAGGATATAAAAATTAATGCAACATTCCTCCTCCCTTAAAGAGCCAATAAATAAAATTGAAAGAAATTTATCAATTGAATTAAAAGTAGACCATCCTTTGCTACAGCCACTGTCCCAAGAACTAAAGAAAATTCTAACTTCTCAGAAAAGTGTTTCTCTATATCACAGCAAGTGGCACCTAAAAAAAGGTGGAATTCCAAGCTTAGTTCGTGGTAAAATAATTATAAGTCAAGCGCAGCCAGAATTTATACAATGGACGTGGTCTCACGAATTGCACAAGAATATGATTTCGTTATATGACATAAAAAATTATCAGTCAAAGAAAAGTGGATTACTGCAAGATTCAGCAGCCCTGGACATATTAGCATCATTTATTGTTCCAGAGAACCCTGTATCTCCATCAGTGATTATAGCAATTGCAACTGGAGAAGACATATTAATAGTACTTTTTGAAGATAAAGAAGTTTGTAAAAAATGAAAATCTGGACTGCGAACCATCCTATCCTCAATCGAGCCTAGCCCAATGGTGCCAGGAGGAGAGTATAATTGAAAGCATTCCTTTTGTTTGTCTCAGTCACCACTTGATTCCTTACTCCCCCCTCCGTGAGCGAATAAAACCATTGGAAAAATCCTTATTTTTTGCCAAAAGCCCACCCTACTACTTAGTTAGCAAAAAAAATTTTTTCATGAAAAAAATTTTTATATAAGTGATTAATAGTATAATGAATCAAAATTTTTTGGTCGCCTACAGATGGAGGGCGGGAGTTAGCATTTGGCTATATGTTTGATTTTTCAGAATCAAATCCTCCAAATGAGTCATGAAGAGAGCTTAAGGTCACTTTTGTACACGAAGATGGGTCATCTCATTATGAATATCTTCAGTATGACCGAAACCAAGAAAACTTGTATGATTCTCTTATTGGAATCTTCGGATGTATCAAAACAAATATAAATCACCCGAACCGAGAAATGATGAAGGAGTTTTTACAAGATATTACAAGGTGGGAAATCAAGACAAGAAACGAAAAAACTGATGCTTATGCTTCAATTAAAAATAAGAGTGTTCAGTTTTCGTATTATAAAAGGAGCAATAAAAGGAGGATTAGAGATGAATACTTGTATGTCGATGAAGATAAATGAAATCGTAAAAGAAATCAAGAATTATGAGAAATTTGACTATGGAGATAGGGTTACTGATGCTTTTCAGCTTATTTTTATGCAAAAGCTTGCAATTGGGCTAGAAACTCATATAGTTGCGAAAGAGTCAAAAAGTAGAAGAAAGCAAAAGTCTAAAACAAATCCAGTGACTAGCTGGGAGAAGCAAGAAAATGGAATACTTGAAAATAGCCAAGTAGAAAATGAAGAAAAGCTTGACGCTATCATACTGAAGAGAACTGAAACCCGTGACTTAGAAAAAGAAAATAATGGAAAAGTTAAAGAAAAATTAAATCCGCCACCTTCTGACCGTTTATGCGGATGCATAATATTTTAAAAAATAATTAATCACTTGTTTTGTGAGAATTCTTACAACCATTTTACATCTTTTTTAAAATAATAATTTATGCTATGCTAAACATAACTGGCGTTTGGACACTGTTTGTGTTTTCATCAATTTCTTCAAGCCCATAATGCTCGTCCATAATGGCAACAACTTTTTGATAAATTTTCACATTGGGGTGAGTTTGTAACCCTTCCAGCTTGGCAACCCCATCCATTTCATCAAATTTCAAAGCAACTTCATTGATAGTTTCTCCTTTATCAAAATTTATCATATCTTTTCCAGCTCTTAAAATATTATTAAGTCCTTCTAAAGCAATAAGCAGTACTTTTGCATCTTGCATATTCAAGACTTCACAAAGTGCAATTAAAGCCCCTAGGTCCACCAATTTCAATACCAATGCTTTATTTTTTGCATGACTTGCGTTTGAAATAGCCCACAATGCTTCTTTTTTTATCTCTATATCAGAATCTATAACTGACGCCAAAACTAATTGCATGCAAGGGTGAGAAAGAACCATATTAATTTGCTCATCAGCTCCAGCCATTATGTTGCTAACAGCCCAAAGAGCTTCTTTTCTTAAACTTCTTTTCCTTGAGGTCAGAAGTGGAGCAATTTTATCAATAAGACCAAGAGCAATCACTTTTTCGGTCTGCTGGTCATTTCCTGTTAAAATGTTTCCAAGAGTTCTGAGTGCTGGAATTTGGATTTTTGTGATTGGAGTTGAAAGCAGCTCAACTAAAGTCGGGAGAAGATTTAAGGAAATGAGATCCTCAACATGCTCTGTGTGGCCATCAGATAAATATGATAAGGTCCAACAAGAATCTGAAAGAATATCTTCTTCATTTGTCGCGAATAAGCTTGGCAGCAGTTTTATTACTTTTTTCATCAAATCGTGGGGAGGCTCTGGCTTTCCTCTACAACAATTGCTGATCGCTCATACGAGTGTGGATAAATGCTGAAGCGTTATCCCTTCTCTTGTAGTAATGATTTCTAGTAATTTATGAATTCCTTCAGCTTCAACTATTTTATCTCTTGATTCAACTGAATCACCAGCAATATTTCCAAGTGTCCAGACACATAGGTCTACTAAATCAAAGTTTTTGCTTCCTAAAAGCCCAACTAAGGCATTAACAATTCCCTCACTCCCCCCCCTTTAAATTGGAACTAAAAATTTTGTTCCAATTTAAAGGGGGGTTAAGAAAATTTTTTTAAAAACAAAAAAATTCAAAAATTTATCGAATTAGATTAATAAATTTTGTTTAATAAAATGCTATTTACTCTTTATACTCTATTCTTTAAACAAGAGCAGGATATAACTAAATTTTTAATTTTAGTTAAGAAGAAACATTTAAATTATATCGAAACTTTTTACATAAAAATTATGATTTATATATATAAAATTTTCTATTATAAAATTAAATTTTGTTCCAATTTAAGGGGGGTTAATTTACAAAAAAGTGGAAATTTTACCTATATTTTGTTCCAATTTAAAGGGGAGGGAGTCAGCTACAATCATATCGATAATTTCTCCGCTTCCTGAAGCCATGTTTAATAAGCACCAAGCACATTCGATTTGTAGATCTGTTAAATCATAAGAAATCAGGTCTATTAGCCTACGGCTTACACCTGATTTGGTTATCATCATTAATGGTGGAGGTGTTTCGTCTGATAAAATTTTTCTTAAAGTTTGAATTGATTTAAAAAGGACTTCTAAATCTTCAGACATCAAGATTAATTCTAAAAGAACGACTAGACGAGATTCTGGGGGAAGTTCTGTAGAAATTAGTCTTGACTCTGCGCTACTTAGGTCAGAATCAACCCATTCATGTTTAAAGACAACTTCTTCACTTGTAATTGTGATTGCTTCTTTTGCTAATTTACCTGTTTCTGATACTAGGGCTCGTTTTTTTGTTATATGATCATCGCGCTTTTTTTTTTCTAACTAGCCCTAATTTTTCAATTAAATATTTTAAGATAAGGTGCTATTTTTTATTGACCTAATTTAATGTTGGGAGTGCAAGTAGAGTGCTGGCATACTGAATTTATTTATTTTTTGAATAAATTCTTCATAAATAAATTATATTTTAAATTCTGAAAAATTGTATATTTTTTTTCAAAAAATAATGAACAGATTTTCGGAATTTAAAAGGCGAACTAAGCTCTATAAGACCTTCTTCTCTACGCTTACGAATATCTTCAATATCAAAACCAGAATTGAACTTTTTATTTCTGTTTTCAAGTTTTAAATTTTTTGACAAATCCATTTTGCCGCCTTGTGATTTCAAAAGTATAAATTTTTAAAAGTTTATTTAATTAATCAGTTTCCAAAAGCCTTGAGAACTCTATTAATATAATTTATAAACAAATCAATGCTTTAGAAAATTATATTAGAAGACATTTTAAGTAGTATAAGGTTAATTTAATTCCAATGGCTTTAGCACTTACTTGGGATTTTTCAAGAAATCTACTTGGGATTCAGATCCCATGTATGATAATATAGAAGTTCTTAATCCCTTTCCATGGCCAGGCCAATATATGTAAAAATATTTGGAAAATTTAACTCTCTCTAAGTATAATAAAAGCAACCATCATCAGATTTATGCTATATCTAATTAATTATTAACCTATTAATTTTTATTAGACTATCATTTATCTAAAATAAAAATTAATTTAAGCAAAAATTATATAGGAGTTTTCCCTATATGGTCCGATAAGGGCCGTGGGTTCTCCGTGGAATCCCTCTGCTGGTTGAACCAATCAGTGAATTGGTCAAACCAACGCACTGAGTTGGTTTGACTAGCAGCGGGATTCCACGGAGAACCCACGGCCCTTAGCGGGCCATATAGGGAAAACTCCTATAATTAAAATTTAGAAATTCTATATATGTAAAAAGAAGAAAAAATTGTAGAAATAAAGATTGGAAAATTAGCAAATCATCAACTAAATCCTCGCTATTCGCAAACGAACTTTCTGGAAAATATGTATATTCTGATACATCATCTGGCAGCTGATTTCCTACTTTTCCTCCAGCAAAATAAGAAAAATCCGTGTTCTTCTTTTTAATGTTTATAGGCCCAACCACTTCTCCTTCAAGTGTTGCTCATTCAAGGCAATAGCCTTCTGTAAATCTGTACGACTCCACTGTTTTTCTTGCAGCTGAGTGGCTTGCAAATGCGATTAACGCAATCATAACGATTTTTCCTTGCCAAAGCTCTTCAGTCAGCCTAATTTCTTTAATTCTGAAGCTATCACCAAATAAAGCTTTTACTGATTCTTGATTTGAATTTAAAGGAAGACCTGAGATTTTTATGCATTTATTAAGCGAATTTCCAGTTGGCATTATCTGCTTCTGCAAGCTTAATAGCAAGTTATCAAACCTTGCGATATCATTCATATATAAATGACGGTAAGCCATCAACAAGTCGCAAGCAGATTTTGTTTTGCCTTGCTGATGGAAAATGCCAGCCAGGTCCTTTATGGCACTTTCTACACGTTCCCCATTTGCTATGGCCATCTTATAGTAGAATTCAGCTTTTTCCAAATTTTTTTCGATATATTCAGCTCGCTTTGCCCAGGAGTAAGGGGTTTCTGTTTTGGGGATCGGAAAAGATTCTTCGCCTCTGAATGGGTCAGCTGGGTTGATCAGAGGAGACATCGGATAAGATGGTGCTAGCTCCCAATAGGAAGACGCTTTCATTAAATGGAATTTATTATCGATTATTTTGCTCCAAAACTTATTATTGTGCAACCAAATTTTTATTTTGGTGTTTGAAAGAAATTTTAAGACATTATTTTTATTATAAACAAGCTTTATAAAGCTAAAATGAGAATGAAATTTTGAATTTTAGAGATGGCGATCATATTTTTACTAATCATTTTAAGTAACAACTTTTTATTTTTTAGGTTTAGATAAAATTTAAAAAAAAAATTGGAGTTGATAGGAATTAGCTTAAACTTTATAATAAAAAGCCTTTACGAGGTAATATATTTAATATTTTATATTTTAGACTGATGAGTTCTGACCTGTATATTTTACATATTTTATTAGGAGAGTTTTCATAAAATTGAATGAGCTATTTAATATTAAATATGGGGTCTCAGCAATTCGTGTTGGCTATGCCGACTTCCTTTGAGCATATATTTAATTATTCCGGCAAGGTTTTTTCCGTCACAAAAATGGACAGCTATGCTAGAAAAGCGATTCCTGATGTATCAGAGCATTGCCCAAGTCCGCTTTTAAGGATGGATTTTATTTTAAGGGGGATTTGTTGGAAGAAAGTTGGAAAGGGGTTACCCAGCAATGTCTAAAACAAGGAATGCCTAGACCAATCGAGCACTTCGCCAACGTGAAACAGAAGCTACTCCCTGGGCTTCGTGTTTTCCCTTTACCAAGAGTTGACTAAAAATTCCATTTTTTTTTGATTTTTGGTGGACAACCCTTATTTCCCCCGCACAAATCTGAAGATTGCCCACTTAGCACTGAAGCCAAAAAGCAAGGAGGGGACTTTGCCATCCCTAGCGAAAAACACAGTCCCAAAGTGGTTGAATTTCCTTATCGGAGATCCCGGTGATTGTGTAAAAATTATGGCGAGACTGTCTGCTAATAAGTTAAGCCAAGAATGAGCTATTTAATTTTGTTTATTATCTCTATTGCTATCCTGGAAAGTGAATCCAACAATCAAATGCAAACAAAATGGAATTATCAAAGAAATTATTTAAAATTTTATTAATTTTATTTTATTTATCTAAATTTCGTTTCTCATTATAAGCTGCGTTATTTCTGCCAAAAAGCTGACAGAATTATGTATGTAAGATCCACCTAGCAATATTGTAGGCTCCATTCCTCTTTGATTCATTAATGCTATCTCTTTGGCTTCTTCATAAGTAGTTCCGCCCACCATAAATATAATGATTGTGGATATCCTTTCTTTAGGAAAAATCCTATAAAAATTTTTTAATAAAAAATTTTGATATATAAGTGATTATTAGTATAAATGAATCTCTAGCTAATTCTGTTTAATTTTAAACAAATTTTATTTTAAAAAAAATTAAATAAATATTTAGTTTCCAATTTTTGCAAATTAGGATTTTTTAAATTTCGAAAAAAACAAATTGCTATAAACTTTTTCTTGTTCGCTCACGAAGGGGGAGAGTTAGGATTTAAAAGGAGCCGTAGGAGTAAATTCTGATTCTTTAAGTTTACCTTTAATTAAGTGCTCAATAGTATTGATTAAGTATGGCTGATGCTGAGTATAGACATTTGGAACATTTTTAAGGACAGTCGTTACCTTCGATCTTGCTCTCGCAAACAAATTTTTATTATGAAAAAGGTCGCATTGCCTTACTTCTGACCCTGCATACTGTATAATTGCGTCAATCAGTTCAACCTGCTCTTCCTTAATTCCATTTTGCCTGAGCATATCCTTAATTTGATTAATTTTGTCATCTTTCTCATACCTAAGAGCATATAGAAGTGCCAGCTTTACCTTATCAAAATTATTGAATCTTGAATCCCTCAGCATTTCACAAATTTGCCTAAATTGATCCCCTCTATTTTCATTGCATGCTATATCTTGTTCAATTTCGCTGATATCTAGCAGCAGCCTTGCTTTTATCGCATGATCGAGCTCTGAAGTCAAAGTGACATGCTTGCTTACATTTCCTGCCATCCTATTAAACTCTGGATAAATTTCAATAAATCTCTTCATGTCTTCAATACTTTCTACTTTTCCCGTTGTCTGTCTCGCTTGCTCATATTGATCTACATAGCTTTTGATGCTGAGTGCCAAGTCACCAAAATTTGAAAACATATTCTCTGAATAAAATGGGTCTTGAATGCTGGATAACGCGATTTGTTTTAAATCATTGCTTACCTGCTTTAAGCTGACTTTATTCATATCTAAGTTTAAGAGGTCATGAAGCATAGCTTGATATGTCCATTGATGCAAAAGTGGGGTGACTGGGTCTTCTCTTCTGTCTAAAATTAATAAAACAGTTGATTGGTCGACATTATCAATAGTTGTTTTGTGGCCATTTGAGGATCTACCTGTATATAAACTCATTAAGTCTGGATCTTCTCTAAGCTTAGAATGGATCCTATCGGCAAGCGAATAGCAGAGCTCAGAATTGCGTTGATATCGGATGACTGGAAGCTTTTTAATTGCAAGAAGTGCAGAGAATAGGCCAAGGACCATACGATCCATAAGTGCAACATCTTGAGGCTGCCATCTTTGATAGGATTTTGTTAACCCAATTGTGCTGGGGAGATTAAGAGTAAACAAATCATGGTTAATTGGGTAAAAATCAGAAAAAATTTCAAACACTTGTCTGACAATTTCTTGACGATCTGCAGAAGCAAGGCGGCTGAGGAAGGCTGGCGGGACTGCATTTGTGAAGTAGAGATGGTAATTCCCATATTTCGGATTTGAAATGGCTTGAGAAAGCTTTGAAAAGTTATCTTCAGTAGGTCTTATAATATAGATCGCAGAAAGGTGGCCTAAGCGTTCATCAGCATCTGATACTAAAATAGATTTTTCAATCGGCTCTACTAGGAATACATTTTTTTGTAAAATTTCTGATTGGGTGATAATGAGTGATATAATTGAAGTCGTTTCATGATCAAGAACTAAAGACTTCATGCCTTGGTTGTCTTCAAAAATTCTTTCCAAGTAATCGCGAAGTATTCGGATGAAGCTATATCTTGGTTCCATTTATAAAATTCTTGCATAACTAATTTTAGTTGAATTTTTTCTTTATAAAATATTCTCTAAATAATTTTAATCAAAATATCTTAAGGGAAAAATACTTTTGGAAATTTGTATAGAATTCATTTATAGAATATCCCCCGCGAGATCAAAATATGGAGGTAAGATTGAATCATTATATGCTGAAGCTTAGGCTGCATAAGCTTGCTGATCTTAGAGAATTGTGTAAACAGCTTATGGTCAGACAAAACGGAAAAAGAGACGAAGTTGCGAATCGATTGGTTGGCTATTTACTAACTCCTGAAGGCAAAAGAGAAGCAAAATCCAAACTCCCTCGAGAATTTTATGAAAGGTTTTACGATGAACGAGAGTCTGATAAAAGCTCTGTACAAGTTGATTGCTTATGTGACGGCAGCGTGGCTGGCCAAGTAATTAAATGCACAAGATGCAACAGAAATCAACACATAATGTGTATAGGAAAACAAACCCAATCTGAAAACTATGAATGTGTCAGCTGCCAAATAATTCAGATGCATCCTCTTGATGAAGTTTTAGAATTTCTTATTACTCCGTTTTGAATTTGTAAAGATTCTGTAAGTCCATGTGAACGATCATTTGAGTGCTCTTTCGAGTTCCAGCAGCGAATTTTTGATTCAAGAGGTGAATTACAAGTCCAAATCCGCTGCATCCGATTAGATGGCATTGGCTACACTCAAAAATGGCCAAAGCATGGCTCGTTATCAATAAATGGGAAAAATGCTATGGAATTCACAGTCTCCAAAAATCCCAATGCAAAACAAAGAAAAGACGAAATCCTCAATATTTCAGTCCTGCTAGCCAATGGGAAAAACACAGTTGGGCTGCTAAAATATAATGATCTCGACACATATGCAGCTGCTGTATTATTAATTAAACAAAAATCAGAGGATACTCTTATAAGAGAAATAACTGAAAAGCCAGGCCTGAGTATTGAAGAAGGCAAAGAATTTGTAATTAATAAGCTTGCACGTGGAGATGATGATATTGTTTCGGAAAGTGTAAAACTCTCGCTTAAATGTCCCTTCGCAATGACTTTTATGGAGATTCCAGTCAGAGCTGTGAATTGCACGCATATTCAGTGCTTTAATTTAGCAACTTTTGTTAAGTTGCAAAGAGCTTCAAGAGTGAATAGATGAAGGTGCCCAATATGTAAAGGGTTTGCATTTAATTTGATTGTGGATCGATATTTTGAGTCAATCATAAAAACAGCTATGGCGGAAGGGACTGATATGCATAATATTGAATTTTTTCGGGACGGGAGTTATAAGATAATTACGTTTGATGAGTATATTGCAGACCAAGAGGAAGATGCAATCTTTAAGGGAAGTGGCCCAGAAAATGTTAAAGCAGAAGACATAGAGAATATTAATAGAAAAAGATCAAGAAATGAAGACGAAGGTGTAATACCAATTAAGACACCAAAAATTGATGGTCATAATGGCAGTTCCTCTATGAAAAATGGAAGAAGTATAGAAATGATTGAGCTAGACTAGATACACAAACTATTTTTAAGTTGATATCACCATTTATTAATATAATTAATATTTAGGTAAAGGGCAAATGAATATTTAAAACTATGCAATTATTAAATTAAAATTAATAGCATGCAATACTTGACGTCATTGCGTATTCCATTGCAATTGATTTATATGCAATATTCCTTGAATTCCTTCGTTTTTTATAAAAGCAGTACGACACTACTCCAATAGAGACTATCGAGAGTATTGCTATGATTACAACTATGGTGATCACCCATATCCTTTCACCCACTCCTGAATCATCATCTCCTGTGACGGCTGGAGCTAGATAAATCTGTAAATTCTCCATATCATAAACACTATAATATTCCCTTAGGAAAGGCACTCCAAGAATCCAGCCAGTTAAATTGTGGGAATAAAGCAATAACATTGCCGTTCCATTGTTAAAAATTTGAAAATAAGACTCTGGACACACAGAATATTTATTGCCTTCTAATGTAAATACAATGTCAGGATATTTAGTTTCTCGATTGTATGGACAATGAATATATAAATATTTAGAACCAGAACAGCCGAATTTCTCTTTAAAATAAGAAAGCACGTTATCAATGTAATTGTTTGGTCCTCATATTATCTCAGATTTTGAATCAATTATAGCGGTTTCGCTATTTATTGATAAAGTTCCAGCTGGAGTTGATATTTCAGTTATATTTATTTCCCAATAGCCTCGAAAATCAGCAAGTTCTAAATAAGTGTATGACCCTTTGGCATATTTATCATCACTTCCACCAATAACCAATGCTGATTTTGGCTGATTTTTTCGGTTTATATTGTTCAAAAATAAGGAAAAAATTGATTTTTTTATAACTCGCTGGTCAACTAGAGTTTGTATATAAGTAGAAGTGCCATCTTCTAATTCTCCACCATTAAGATTAGAAAAATCATAAGAAAAATATTAGAATTAACTCTAGTTTAATAGCGAGCAACAAGTATTTTTATACAAAATATGCTTTTTGTCTAATATATGATATGATTAAGGATTATTTCAAGGTAATCTTGTATTTCTACCGAATTTTAGACAGTTTGCATTTTATGATATAGTATTATTAGTTAATTGAATTTTCTTGTAAATATTTGCAGTTAAAATATTTTATTAAAAAACTAGCCACTTCATGGTAAGCAAATAATATTGCTCACTCTTAAAGGGTGCATATTTTTCATAGGCATTATTTTTTCCAAATAGAAAAAAAAACGTTATTTTTTGGCAAAATGAAAAAAAAATTAGAAAAAATAGTACCAAGGAAATGTCTAATGGGAGCATTTCGACTAATCTTAAAGTAGGAGTAAATTAAAACCAAGCCCAAACAAGCCATCTTCGTCAAATTTAACGTCATTGTCATGCTCAATAAGTAAAAAATATTGGCCTTTAGCTTCTGCCAATTTTTCCGGGCCAAAAGATGCAGTTTCTGAGCTTAGATTTCCTGAGACATATTGATCATCACTAAAATTTAATCTAATTGAGGCATAAGGTCCTTGATAAGTATCAGATGATTTTGGATCGAAAAAATTTGTAAAATTCTTACAAGAAACACAATTTTTATCCGGGACCACAATTCTATACCCACTAGTGTCTATGCTGAGGTTAAATTTTTGAGCAGGAGTCCCTAAGTTTACGCTTGCAAAATATTCACACTGACTAAAAATTACATTTTCCTTATTTGTTAGCTCTATTGAATACTGCATTCCATCATCTGATTTTCCGAGAATTTCAATGTCAGAGTAACTGATAAGTTTAGGCATTGAGATAGCACATATTAAGAAAAACAGTGCTATGGAGAACATATTATTATAAAAATTATGATAATTGTTGAAAAATTGACTTTCAGGTAGTTTTGTTATGGAGTTATTTATAACTTGCTTTATATATGAATTTCAGATTAAATTAACAAATAGGGATAGAAATATAATATAATTATATCTAAAAATAAATTTAATTAATAAGCATTTCAGAAATTAGTAGATTTCTTCATTAAAAGGGATTTTATGCTCTTCATATAGTTTCCCAGAGTTTTGAGGAAGCATGAAATTTCGTGGGTTATATTGCAAATTGGCTTTTGGCTTGCTACGCTCTTTTTTAATGGCGATTTGGCTTGATTGAATATTTTGAACTTTTTCTTGTTCTTTCTTATTTTGAATCAGAAATTCATAAGGGTTCCCTTTGGTTACAGGCTCACTTTGTAATACACCTGCTAGATCATCCACTTTTGGATGAGAAATTCCTTTATTTCCACTCCCAATATTTAGTATATCTGGGAGATCTTCTTTAATTATTGGAGGTAGCAGAGTTTCTCCTATGTCAATTATTGTTTTTTCTGGTTTTCTGGTAGGACTTTCTATAGAAATTTTTATATGCTCTTGCTTTGGATTTTTTTGAACCTTACTTTTATTTTCATCCTCAATATCCCATGCATCCGGCAAGCCTTTCTCTTCTTGTTTTGGCTTTTTATGTTCTAATTTTTGAACTTTGCTTTTATTTTCATCCTCAATATCCCCCCATACATCTGACAAACCTTTCTCTTGCTTTGGATTTTTATGTTCTAACTTGCTTTTATTTCCATCCTCAATATCCCAAACATCTGGCAAGCCTTTCTCTTGTTTTTGATTTTTATTTTCTAATTTTTGAACTTTGCTTTTATTTCCGTCCTCAATACCCCAAACATCTTGCAAACCTTTCTCTTCTTTTTCAGATAACAAATTTTCTCTTATACCAATCATTGCTTTATCTGATTTTTTAATCAAATTCTCTTTTTGAATTTGCACAGGTATTTGCTTTTGATTTTTATGCTCTTCTTTTAGAACTTGCACAGGTTCTTGCATTGGATTTTTATGCACTTCTTTTTGAATTTGCACAGGCGCTATTTTTGGATTTTTCTGCTCTTCTTTATGAGTTTTGCTTTGTTTATTCTCAACTAAATATGGAAAACTGAAGCTTGGATCATTATCACCTATTATTTCAAGATTGTGATGTAATACTGAAAACTCAATTTCTGTTTCTTTATCAATTTGAAATAAAGTAATCAAAATAGGATTAGGAATTATGGAATTGCTAATTTTCTGGCAATTATCGCTAGAATAAATTCAGAAATCAATACTATAGAAATTTCCCATAGATGGCGCTGTTTGCCCTTGATTTGCCCACTGGGGAAATTTTTTGGTTCAACCAGTACCATATGGTTTGATCAAACCAAAAAATTTTCCTCATGGGCAAATCAAGGGCAAACAGCGCCATCTATGGGAAATTTTTATAAATTCTCTTGAGAACATATTCAGTTCGCTATCATTTTCATCAACCATTGCTGTTTTAGGCGAAATTAGTTCTTTTGAAAATTCTAAAATCTCATTATATAAAGACTTGGATTTTTCCAAGGCTTCTCTATACTCTGCTTGGCTTGCAGTGTTTTCTTCGATTTGTTCAATAATACTTGTAAGTTTTGGGAAGGACTTGAATCTGGATCTTTTTACTCTGTTAAGGCTAATTAAGTCTTACTCCCCCATCCTTGATAGAATGATTCTTAAGAATTGGGAAAATTAACCCTCATTCTTAATCGAACGATTTTCATATATTGCAAATCTTTTATATATAATAAATCAATACATTAGTTAATATTTATTATAATTTATGAAAATTAATAGTTTGAATAGGCAAATTGAGAGTAATTTACGCGTTTTCTTAATAATCTGCACGGAATTAATCATCCGAAGTGCTTTAGCCATCAACCTGGCCTCAAAAGCTTAATAATCTAAAAAAGTTTAGAATTATTATAAATTGAAAATAATTAATATAAAAGAGAAATATTTTATAAACGATTTTTTATTTTAATAGTTTTAATATTTAATATCTTAAGCCTCTTATTTTAAAAAGTACACACCAAAACAATAAAAATAATATATATTAATTGTAAATATTATTTTTTTCCAAACATTTTTTAAATCCCCATCATTGATCAAAGAAGTGGGGAGTTACTATCTTTTTAAGTAGTTCATACCATAGCAGCCAAATGATTGAAAATAAATGAGTTTATCTATGAGCTGCACTATGATTGCGCCTGAGACTGATAAAAATGGGCAAGGGCGAATCATTGCGAATCCTTCTTCACAAACGGGCGCGCATTTTTTTCCTCATTCGGCCCAATTTTTTCCTTTATGAATATTCGGAATTTGATGGATTTTAAGGGACAAATGTCTTCCGAGGAAAAAAGATTTCTTCCAAATTTCCCGAGTAATATCTCACTAGTGATAATTCCCGATCAAATGAAATGAAGCCTCAAAAACAAGTCTAAATTCATCAGTGTCTTCAGGGATAGAGTAGACAGGAAGATAGTCGGCTTCCATTATAAATTTACAGAATTCTATTATTCCCGAATTATATCAAAACTTATATTTGAATTAATTATCATTGCATATCGAAATTATCTGTACAATAATATTATTTACCTATTTAATTCTCATTTGCTTTAAATTGTTCAGATTTAATAGCCTTATTACAGCAATCAGAAATTAAAAACCGAATAGATAAATCTTTTTTATTTATTGTGAATAGCTTACTTTACATTTCGAGAATTTATTGTTGTATAATGTTTCACATGTTTAAAGTTCCATAATAGTCCTGTATGTTTTTTCATAAATCACAAAAAATAAAGCATTTGTAGGCAAAATTCTTATCTTATCTTGATTATCTATAGCAAGTTTAACGTCCATTACCAGGCTGCCAGAACACAGCTAACCCCAACACTACTCCGGGCGAATTTCGTATAATTTTCTCTCAGCACCCACCAATGGTGTGGCTATCTTGGAATTTTCACACAATGAGAACGCTAGTTTAAGTTTGGGCTTCTACAACTCTTCTTTGAGCTCAAGCACTTGAGCCCGATCGGCACCCTAAAAGTTCCAGTCTCCATCACTTGGGGTAGGTTTAAAACTCAATTCCCTAAGGTCAGGAGTCCGATAGGAAAAAACCACCCAAATCTTCTTCCCTGACATAGCTCGTATAAATTCACCAGGTGAAGCCAAGATTCATAATTAAAATATGAAAGAGATGGTCGACTTCATATTTTAATTATGGCGAAATTCTGATCAGTTGGACCGACAGTCCTCTATAAAACCCTTTATGTCCTTCCGAATTCCAAGTTTTTATAATACAGTTCCTGAATCCTGTAAAAAGTTTTTCATCCTGCACTTTCCCATGAATTTCTTTTGAGTTTGTGCTTGCGAATTTTCCATACTGCTCTTGCTGAAGCTTTACCATCACAGACTGCATTGGATAAAGTGCAATCGTTGATAGAAATTTGCTGGCTCCTCCAGCAATAGCAATTTTCCCGTTATTATCATATCCATCCATAACCTCTTTCAATAATTCATAAAAATACAGCTGAAAAGCCCCATTTGAGCATAGGATAAGCCCAGGCATCAGCCCTGAGAAATACCCTCTCACCCCATCTAATTTATAAATTTTTTTAATAGCTTCAACTGTATCTCCATACCAATGACTTGTACGATTTTGGAGCATAACCCTAGTCTTGATCACCCACAAAGGATTTGTAATAATCCTCGATATAACAGCAGCTTCTGCAGCCACTGAAAATCTATATATTTCTGGGTGTTTTTGCTTGAATTCCAATGAATATCTTTTTTTCGCTGATTCATAAAAATAAAAATAGACAGTTCACGCAAAGCTTGAGCATAGGCTTATATGCCACCCTCTATATAATGATAAAGCACCTTCAGAAGAATATAAGGATTTTAATGCATGAATTGGGTTTCTATATTTTTCCTTTAATGTCGAGTTAAAAGTGTCTGACACAATAAGTCTAACTTTGATCATTTCTAATGGAAACAGTATAATAGAGCCTAGTGAAGCTGTAAAACCTGCTACAGATGAAGCAACCTGTGAGCGTTCCATATTTCATGCGAAATTAACCATTCTTAACTCCACCAGTAGCCATCAAATTCTTGCTTATTCGTGGGAGCACAAAATCTTTTTATAATAAATTTTTATATAAATAGACTTGCTTATTATTGGGGGTAAATGCACAAAATTTGTATTTTTTGCATTTTATCTGAAACCTACCCAAGAATAAGTAAATTTCGATCCAAAAATTTACTATTTGAAAATTTGCGCTAACCCCCATGAAATAAATGTAAATTTGCTTATTACTGGAGGAGTAAGCGAAAATTGACCGACATTAATAATCATGGAAGAAGCAAAAGTGAATCCATGTGAAGGATGTGGCTCAGCGTCTACGTTGAGGTGCCCAACATGCATCAAAATGTGGAGACCGTCTTCTTATTTTTGTAGCCAAGATTGCTTCAAGAGAAATTGGGGAGCTCATAAAGCCAAGCACGAAGACAATATCACTTATACAGGGCCACTAAGAAGAGGCTATGTGACTCCTATGAGAACAGTCCCAGACCACATTGAAAAGCCTGACTATGCAGTCACAGGGATCCCTGTAAGCGAGCACAAAGCAAGGTCAGACAGAGAAATCCCTGTTTACAGCACAGAGGAACTTGATAAAATCAGATATTCCAGCAGACTCGTCAGAGAATGCTTAGATCTGTGCCACAGGATGATCCGCCCTGGCTTGACCACAGAAGAAATTGACATTGCGGTGCACGAGTTTTGCCTTTCTAGAAATGCTTATCCATCCCCTCTGAATTACTATCATTTCCCTAAATCAGTTTGCACATCTCCTAATGAAGTCGTATGTCATGGAATTCCAGACTCCAGGCCGCTTCAAAATGGAGACATTGTAAACGTGGACATCAGCATTTATTATCAAGGATTCCATGGAGATGCCAATGAAACTTATTTGGTAGGAGAAGTCGCTGACAGCTCAAAATTATTAGTAAGGACAACTTATGAAGCTTTAATGAAAGCAATTGAAGCTTGTAAACCTGGAGTCAGATATAGCGAACCTGGAAATATTATCAGCAAATATGTAGAAGAAAGAGGATTTTCAGTGGTAAGAAGCTACTGTGGACATGGTGTTGGGAGGATGTTCCATTGTGCACCAACTGTGCCGCACTATGCTAAGAATAAGACGCCGGGAATTATGAGGCCTGGGCATGTGTTTACAATTGAGCCGATGATAAACATGGGAAACTGGAGAGATCAGAAATGGGAAGATGATTGGACTGCTGTAACTGTGGATGGACAAAGGTCAGCACAATTTGAACATACTTTGCTTATTACAGAAACAGGAGTAGAAATTTTGAGTGGGAGACTGGAAACTTCACCTCCACTGGAGTTTTTAGAATAATGGTAATCATAACTATCATTTTTTAGCCTCACAATAAAAGCTCTCCTCACCTAATTTATGTTTTAATGACCAGATTAATAATTAGCTAACTCCCCCCCCCCCTCCGTGAGTGAACAAAACCATTAGACAAATCGCGCTATTTTTTACCCAAAAACCCCACCCTCCGTGAGTGAACAAAAATTTTTTAATAGAAAAAATTTTTATGGAAAAAAATTTTGATATATAAATGATAATTAGTATATAAGAAATCTAGAGCTAATTCTGTTTAATTTTTAAACAAATTGCGTTTTAAAAACATAAATTTTCTAAATTAAATTAATATTTGCTTTCCAATTTTTTGCGAATTAGGATTTTTTTAAATTTCGAAAAAAAAATAATGTTTTTAAAATTTATATATAAATTGTTTTAAAAAAAAAAAATTAACCCCCCTCCGTGAGTGAACAAAATTTTTTTGTTCACTCACGGAGGGGAGTAAAAATAACTTTTTCTATAAATCTTGTAATAGGCTCAAAATCATTTGTCTCCACAGATCCTTCAAAAATTTCCACAAGCACTCCATTCTCTTCCATATGGCAAAAGTCGAATCTTTCCCCTTCTTTTCCTATTGGTTTCCTCAAAGTATCAGTCAGATCCGAAACTTTAATTTTTCTAAGTCTCTCACTAAATAAACATCACATTTCAGTGCTTAGCTCGCTTTCAATCATCAACGTCTTTTTAGCAAGTGGCTGATCTTGTTTATTGCAAAAAATTAAGACTTGTTTAGGGTTATGCGTTGAAAAAATTTCGAATAAATCCTCGGCTGCCTTTTTAAAGCTAGGTTTGTCTGTAGAATCTATAAGCATTATTAGTCCTTTTGATCTTGGAAGCTTTGATAATAAGTTTTTTTGGAAATAATTGTGCCCAGGAATGTCTGTAATTGTGGCTAATTTAGAACCAATTGTGGCAGTCCCTTGGTTTATTTTGAGGGAAGACACTGTTGTTGGAGATCGATTTTCTGTAAGCTTAATAAAGATTTACCTTGTAATAAAGCATGGTTTTGCCAGAACCAGATGGCCCAGAAATGACTATTTCAGGGTGCTTTGGGGATGATGATTTTGAAAAAAATTTGAAGTAGAGAATGAGGATGATTGGGATAATGATCAGGATAAGATAGAGAGAATCCATTTTAATATCAAATATAATTAAGATACTAAAAATGGCCATGTGGGATGATATAAAGTGGTTAACTCAAGAAAATAGGATTTAAGCCATTTTAATTTTGGTAACGTAATAAGCTATTATATAATAATTTAATGATATTTTTGCTTTCTATATGATCAAAAAGAATTTGCAGAAATTATGAGATCAAACAAATATTTTTTTTAAATTTTTTTAGTTTGATATATAGAGTATTAACTAATATAATGACCCAGCTTCATATAGCTAATATTTTTACATTATGGAAAAAACTTACTTCGCATTGTTGGGGTTGGCGAGCTATCTTTTTCCCACCCTATTATTTCTTCATTGCCAAAAAGTTCTTTTGCTTCTTTCTTATCTTTGATAAATGAAATTTCTCTCATTGCTTTGTTTTTCTTTAGAAATGATATGTTTCTTGACGAAAATTCTTCACAAGATATATCTAATTTCTTTTTAATGGTTTTATGATGCTTTTCTATTCTTTTGATAACGTTTGAGAGTTCCGTTGGTATAGAAATTGCCCGAGGATGGCGCTATTTTGCGCCATCCTCGGGCAATTCAAAAAACAGGCCCCACACGGGAATTGAACCCACGTGTGGGGCCATATTTGGTATGTGGAGAATATTGATTTCCACGTACCAAAAATAGCCCCACACGTGGGTTCAATCCCCGAGTGGGGCCATTTTTTTTGAATTGCCCGAGGATGGCTCAAAATAGCGCCATCCTCGGGCAATTTCTATAGCTCATTTGCCCTTCTTGTTGAAGTTGGGCTTAAAGATTTAATAAAAGGTCTCACTATTGAATCATCATTATTTTCAGCATTCTTGGAGTATCCCAATTTGCTGATATCAGCACCTTTTGCTGACTTAATGACACTTGAATATTGCCGATTAAGTTTATCTCCTGCTTTTGTATGGAAATACTCTTCGTTTAAAGGTGTCTGAAACATCTTACTACACCATTTAAATTAGTGCTAAATTTTGAATTAAATTAAATTTTAATTTTAATGGTAAAAATAATTTATATGCAAATAGCTTTGATATGTAATTTAATGCTAATTCTCACCAAAATCAAAAATTTACCTTATTTAAAAGGAATAATACATATAGAATACTATTTAAACAAAGCTGGGCAGATTAAATATATAAATTTATGAGTTATTTTTTATATGCTTTTACTATGAAAAATTTTATGTATTTTTTTGAGGAGTTAAAAGATTTTGTTTGAGGGCTTGCTGAGAATTTTATTTTCTTTAAACTAGGAAAAATATTTTTCATAGACATGGCAGTTGGGATTACAACATTTGATTTCACTTTTGGATAATCATGAGAAATCCCTAATCTTTCCTTATTTTTGTTAGTAATTTCACAATTTCTCTTGGGAAATCTTTTTAAGGAAGCTTGGTTTTCTTGGCTTTTTGACCTTAAAAAATTCATCAATTTGATAATGGAATGTCCATAGCTCTGCTCATTGTTTTTCCGCAACTCTTGTCTGGAAAGAGCAACCATCCTATTAAGAGATGCAAGTTCCATTTTGATTTAAATAAACTTTATTATTAAATTTAGCAGCAGTCTCTATAAAATCTTTTTTCTCTTGATGCCAATTTTAACGACTCATCACTTTGCAGCTTTGCTCCTCTTTCAAGCAGCCGAAAAGCCAAAGCCTCAAATAAAAAATCCACTTGGTAATTTTCTTTTGCACTTATTTCAACATAGTCCATATTATATTTTTCTGCCTTAATATTTGCTTCCTCATTGATAACTACTGATTTCAAATCTGCTTTATTTCCTACAAGTATTCTTATTTGATTTTTATTTTCTACCTCTTTATCAATATCTTTAATTCATCCATCCACATGATCAAAGGATTCTCTGCTGCTTTTATCGAACATAATGCAAATTCCGTCAGAGTCTCTATAATACACTTTAACAAAAGCTCTAAATCTTTCTTGGCCTGCTGTGTCCCACTATGTTGGCTTTACTATTTGAAGCTTTACTTTAGAATTTCCTATAATAATATCTGTGGCTCTGAAATCTAGGCCTATAGTTGCTGAATAATCTTTTTTAAAGTATCTTTCAGAACGCTGAATTAAAGTGCAGGTTTTACCTACAAAGGAGTCGCCAACTATAATTACTTTGAAAACATAATCCCTTTTTATAATTTACGGTTCTGATTGAGAAGCCATTTTATTGACCATGAATAAAAATAAGATTGTCCATGCTTATTACAAAATTATAAAAAGCATAAATTTTCCTTAAATTTATTAAAAATCTGCTATTTTGATTGCTTTTTCTGGTTTAGCTTTTCTCGGCGCTTTCTTTCCGTCTCCATTCTGTCTTTTTCTATATTCCTCTTTTAATACCTGATCAACTTCACAGCTAAAATCATCAACCCCCATAGGATCATCTCCGTTGAATTTTACGGTAATTAAGTCTCCTTCTTTGAGTAGAACAGGAGCTTTTTTCAAATTATAAATACCAACTCCTGATTTGTTATTTTTCACATTAACTAATGATCCTCTTTCATTAACACTTCTTTCGTCTTTTATAATTTCCCAGTCAAAACTATGAGACTTATATTTCGCCAATGTAATTTCTGCCATTCCCCAGGGCTTATCCAAAATACTTAAAGCCCAAGTATACAAATGATCAACATTTGGTGCTGGCCCAAAATCAAAAATTCCTTCTTTTAAGTTTATTCTTGATTTTTCAGCAACATTTCTTTCACATATATAAAGAAGCATTGCATGAACAGACAAAGATTCAGGCTCAGGAAGGACTTGGACAACTAAATTGTATCCAAATGAAATATTTTGACTTTTAATTGATTTTTTGTCTTCTCTAAAAACTTTTCCAAATCATAGTGTTTTTGTCCTTTCTCTCAGTCTTAAATGCATAGGTGTTAAATTTTCGTTAAAAATCTTGGGGAGTTGGAACAAAGCAGATTTCAGCTGTAAAAGCGTGGAATCTTCAGAAATCGAAACTTCTTCTAAAAATTCGCAGCTGTCAGGGAGGCCTGTTTGAGTTAGAAATACAAAAATTTTCACAGTTTCAGTAGCCAGAACTGTATCTGATGGTTTAACTATGAGTAAATCTCCATCGCGTATGACTGCTTTGGTTAAAGTTTGGTTTTCATTTTTCAGCACTGAAATAGGCTCCTTTAGCCAGTCTGTCCTATATAATTTATAATTATTCATATCAATGCCTAGAGTTTCTCCAATTCTAGGCTTAAGATCAACAATTTTTTCATTGGGCTCACAAAATACATCTTTTGGGGCTTCATTTTGCTCTAATGAAACTCTTAATACAATTTGGCCCATAGATGGAGGCACTCCTCTTTCCACACATATCCTATATCCTCCTTCTTCAAACTCTGGGACTGTTTTCAGTTTATTATTAATTTCCTCCTTATAAAAATACGTGCCTTCGTTGAGTTTCTTAAGTCTGATTGGTGTGTCAATTTTATATAAGTTTTTGAGCTCATCAGCAAGGTTTTTTACTTTTCACTTAATCGGGACAAGGTGTTGGATGACGTTACTTAAATCGTTTTCATCTGCAGCAAGAATTGTTACCATTCCTGTGTTTTGAGGTTCTTGAGGTTTTTGCTCAATTTCTGGGAATTCTTCTTCTTTCATGTTAACTGACAGTTGTATAGGTATGCATCCTTTATAGCTTGCAATATGGTCAATTCTAAAGATATCAATGAGATTTGAAATTTTGGTTCTGTTTGGCAAGCTAAAGCATGGGTAGAATAAACCCAATGGGGATCAAGCTAAATTCTGCAGCTATACAGAATGATAAAATTTTAGCTCAGATAAAGTCTTATCCATATTTATAGGCAAGAGCTCTTTTGTGTCGCCTTGGCTTTTAATAATTTTCAGCCCTTGACAATTTGGAGGAATTCCTGAAATTTCCATAATTTTAAGCGATAAATGTTCAAGTGTCCATCCTTTATTAACTGAAACCATACTTTTTTCTCCTAAAATGTTACAGTTTATACTAATAGGCTCAAAATCTTCTCCTATGTAGCTTAATGCATCTTTTAGTAATTCATTGCCAGGATTTTTCGGAGCAATAACCAAACAAATTTTATGATAAAATTTTGCATCATTCAGCAAAACTGACTCATCAATTCCTTCAATTTTTCTAATAAGATGAGCATATTTATTAGACAGTGGCTTTGCTTCAATTAGTTGATAATCCTCTAAATTACTGATTTTATTTTTAATGGCATTTAACAAATCTCCAACAGTGTCTGTGATTTTAATTCTGATAGGAATTCTTATAATAATAATAAATGGCTCAGTGCGGAATTAATTCTCTCCGAGAACTATTCCTTCCTTCGCTTTTATTATTTTAGGGTTAAGTTTTCCACGTGGGCCTTTATCCGCAAAACCAATATGGAATACTGCATAGGGTATTTCTTTGGTCCAGGATATTAGGAGGACCTGATTTTGCTGCTTGACACACCCGAGGAGGGTGACCCTTAGGCGGAACACGCGCAGGAGTCAAGTTCGGGCGAGGCCAACGCGGCCAGTGCGGACCTTCTGGCCTGACAAGTGAAGTCTTCTGGAATGCCTACATATAGGGAGGATCGCTGCTGACGTCACTAGTTGGGATTTAAAAGGGTGGGCTATGCATGCCTAAATCACCCTGCGGAAGAGGGAAGACACTTTAAACACCTAAGTAAGTAAAGTAAGTAAGTAAGTAAGTAAGTAAGTAAGTAAGTAAGTAAGTAAGTAAGTAAGTAAGTAAGTAAGTAAGATAGGAATTCCTTGGTCAATTGATTTTTCAGATAAAAAATATTTTAAAAGTCCATCAGAGTATTCAAATAAACTTATGTCTTGGAGCTGGACTTCTATTCAGTTTTTCAATTCTTCGTATTCTTCTCTGTGCTTAGAATATCCATCATTCAAACTTTTGATTGGAGCTTTCCAATAGCTAGGAATTTCGGTAATGCCGAGATTTTGGTTTAAATTTACATTTCTATATATAAGCATATAGCCAGTTTCTCCAGAACCGCCAAACTGCTTAACTAACTTTCCTGATTTAATTGGAAGCACTACAGAGTCATTAAAATCATACCAATTTTGTAATAATTCTGGATTGCTACAAGAAAATGGGAAGTCTTGATTGTCAAAAGTTTCAGTTTTTTTTACTTCTTCTTGCTGCTCCTGAGTTGGTTTTTCCACGTTTTTCTTTTTTTTGTTTCTTTTCCGCTTCTTCCTATTGGGTTCGCTGTTGTCTTCATTATCATCATTCGCATTAGAATTATCATTTGATACTACTTCAGGCGCTATTTCTGCTATTGGCTCACTTGAAGATTCAACTGGGATCCACGTGCCAGTCCTCAACAAATCTCTAATATAAGCATGATAATGCCCAGAATAAGCAGTGCCTCCATGAATGATCACAGCAAAAAGTTCATACTTAGTCGGCTCTCCCACAATTTCTGATAAATCCAACTCAAGCTGATATTCATAATTTTTTGTTAATTTTATTCTTTCATATGTTTTCATATCATACTCAAATCTGCACAGCGAAAAAGTTAAAATCGGTGGCAGCTGCTTAATTTTTGTGCATATTTCAGCATCTACCTTCTTACCACAAGTTTCGCAAAAGTATTGATTTTTCCCATCAAGTTTGCTTTTAGCCTGCAAATATTGTAAACTTTCATATATATTTGAGCAGTTTTTAATGTTCAATGAAATATCGTCAAATGCCTCTTCTCTTTCCCTTACTATCCCACAGTTTGTGCAAAGAGTTTCATTAACATAAAGTCCTCTGTATAATTTTCCGATTAAATCATTGTATAAGGTATCTTGCAAAGCTCTATCAATAGCATCGAATAACTTAACTTAACTTATTAGGTTCTGTGTTTAACGCCATTCACGGGGTAACCCCTCCAGAGCTTCCCGCTGCTTCTTCGTCGTCGCATAGGGCCCGCCGACCGTCTGGGGCCAGTCAGCCTCGATCTCCAGTACGCGCCTCCGGAGCAGTGTTGCCGACTAAGGCGGCTCATGCCTGAGCTACTTCGCTTGAGGACATGGGTTGCCATTCCGAAAATCCATAAAAAATGGATTTTCTGGTAGGCTTTCGGCAAAAAGGAAAAAACACGAAGCCTGGGACGTAACGCCCAGTTTCACGCTAGGGAGTTGCCCGATTGGTCCTAACGGACTTGGCTGAGCTTCCCCTTTCCAACTTGCGTGCCTCCTTCCCCATGAGGAAAAAACATTCCCGAAAGTAGACTTGGGCTAGGCTCTGAGCACAACCAGAATTGCTTACCTAGCATTGCCGTCCGTTTCTGAAATGCAAAACCTTGCCGGATATAATTAAAATATGAGTCGAGTATGCATGGCCGGGAGGCCATGCCCAGACGAAGACGCCATATTTTAATTATCAATAGCATCGAATAAAACTCGGTTTAGTTCTTGGACATCATGCTGCTGGACAACTTCTTCCCCTGTCCAATGAAAACTGTCAGTCAAATTGCGGGTGGATAAGCTATTTTCATTGACTTCTTGAAGTTTTACAAATAATTCTTGTAAAGCCATAAGGATTTCGCGTTTCTGGCCTTCTGGTAGCCAGGAAGAGTAGCTGTTTAAGGTGTTTTCACAGAGAGGAAGGCTGAGAATTGCTGAACGAAGCTCTGGGGTCATGAACATCGCTTGGATCAAGGAGTTCAAGTAGCAAGTTGCACCTCTAAATAGGGATTACTGATTAAAAAGTCCTACAAAGCCTGAAGATTGGCGAGGCTGAGGAGGTTTTTCAATATCTCCAGCGAGACTTGAAAATTTGGCTTGTTCAGATGTAAGAGTTCCATAGTCTTCATCACCTTCTTCAAGGAAGAGATCACCTATCATATTTAGTTAATGTCAGATTATCACAGGTTCATATATTAAATTATTAAAAAATCTATCTATTAATAAACTGTTCTAAACTACTTATGGTATGTATTGTATGTATATGCAAACCTTCTATTTAATCATAATAGTAATTTTAGACTTCCTCATGCTTTTATTTATTTTATAGTTATTCAATATATGTCGAGTAGTAATAAATTCAAAATTAATAATAAAAACCTTTGATTTCTTGCGAGTTTCATAACAATTTTCATTTTAATACACAATTTTGAAGTTTCTGAACTCTTTTTTATGATTTCAGTAGCGTTATCATTCTGATAAGAGTTTATAATAAAAGATATAAATGGCAATTAATGGCTATTATAATCATTATGGCTAATTTACCCGATCGCGAAAATATTATAGAAAAAATATTGCTCGGCCCTCAGCTTGGTGTGGTGCTTTATTCAGTCTTAGATCTCAATATTCCTCAAATTCTTGAGTCTGGACCTAAAACATCTGAAGAAATATCTCAAATAGTGCATACAGTCCCTGAAAAACTGCATCGAGTTTTATTGGCTTTAGAAACTGAAGATATATTTCGCTTCAACCCACAAACAAATCAATTTTCTAATTCACAAACTTCACGCTTATTTTTAAATGAAAATTATGCAGGCTGCGCAAAAATGTGTTTGCTCCCATTTCGCTATGAATTATTGACAGCTTTTCCAGAATCCTTAAGAACCACAACATCTTTACCTGAAATTAAATACAAAAAAAGTTACCTGCAGTATCTCATAACAAATCCAGAAAATATGGATAAATATCTTGAAGGCGCAAAATTTCACGTGAAGTACACTTGCCCAGACTTGGTGAGAGCTATAAACTTATCAGACATTAATAGAGTTTTAGATGTAGGCGGATATGATGGAACACTATTAATTGAACTTTCAAAAGTATACCCACAAATAACAGGAGCTGTTTATAATGAAACTCATTTCAGACCTATTGCAACAAAGAAAATCGAAGAAGAACTGCTGTCAAACAGACTTAAGGCTTTAGCAGGAAATTATATTGATGCAGTTCCAGAAGGGTATGAATGCATAATTTTGGAAAATGTTTTGAGGACTTTTCCTGACAATGTAGTCGTTTCTATTCTCACGAACTGCAAGAAAGCCTTGATTTCTGGAAACAAGCTATACTGCGTTGATTATATTTTAGACAAAAATCATCAGACATACCAATTTGAAAGAATTCTTGATATAAGAGTTTTAGGCCTCAATAATGGGAAAGTTAGAAGCAGAGACGAAATTCAAGCAATTTTTGAAAGAGCTGGGCTGAGAATTACAAATTTCATTCCTGCTGTGAAGCAGTGGGTGATTGAGTCTCATGCTATGTAATTTATTTATTTTCAAATAATAGGATTATAATAAGATCAACGTAATTAATCTTTTCAAAAATTGGCTTGTACGAGTTATTTAGATATTGGTTGCTTTTAAGTTTTATTTTATTTTTCAATTGCATATGCCATTCAATCATTTAAATATCTCAAGATAAATATAATTGGTCTAATAGAATTCCTGGAATTGCGAAAGAATGCAATTCAGCCTGCTTAAAGAAAATATTTTTATCCTTTCATAAGGAGTATTTGTTCTTTTGAAAAGCATATTTATTAGTATAAAATTTCTATTGACATGTAATAGTATTTATCTGAAATGACATTCAGCTCACTTCCCTGTACTTTAAATTGGAACAAAAAATCCTAATTCAATTTAAAGAGGTTAATTTTTTGTTTTAAAAAATCTCATAAATTCTTAAAAATATTAATTTAGTCAAATATTTTTGAATTTTAATTTTTTATAAGAATTAATTCAAAAAATTAATCAATTCAGTGTGAAAACTGTTTAAATAATATTCTACTTACACTTTTACTATTAATTAAGCTTTATAAAACTTATTATTTTCATCTATAAAATTTTCCTATTGAAAAAAATTTTGGTTTAAGTACCCAAAAAATGAATATTTTACAATATTTATTCCATTTAAAGTGGGGAGTCAGAAGAAAAAGAAATATTGTATTACGTCGAGATATCTTCTGCTATTCCAAGTTTTTTAGGCACTAGTTTTATATGCTTAGCTTATATCTATTTCAAAGAGCTTCGAGGATTTACATTTCGATTAGTCGTCTACCTTGCCATAGCAGACATGTTTACAGCTCTTTCATTTGCTGTCCCGCATTATCTCAGTCAAGAACTTTGCTTAATCCAAGCTTTGGTTTTGAATTATTCCTCATTAGCCAGTGTTTTATGAACCAGCGTCATTGCATTCACTCTATACCGAGGTGTTGTAAACGAAGAAATGGAGCTTGAAGGCTCAGAAATTAACTGCATATTCTTTGCATGGGGAATTCCTTTGCTGTTAGAGTTTCTTCCTTTTATAACAGAAAGCTATGGATATGCTGAAGGCTGATGCTGGATAAAAATCCAGAACTTAGAAAGTGACATAAACTTTCAGTCAGCGACATACAGATATGGGATGATTTGAAGAATGGTAACATATTATATTCCTTTATGAATTGTAGAAATAAAATGGTGTAGTTAAGAACAAGAAGAACTCCAAGGCGGGGTAAATATGGAATAGGTAGAGCCTATCCTGATGAAGCTGAAATAGTATCTATTTCACTTTGCGAGTAGGCTTTAGGCTTGGGGAAGCCTTGCTGAAAAGGAAAGATCTTTCTCCCGAAGGTTTTCCTGTCCCTGCCTGCAAGGTGGGGTAGACAAGTTTTGCCTATTATATAATCTCTTCTTATTAAAACCATCAGGGCACCTCACAAATTGTGGTTCTTCTGAGCGAACTAATCCCTTTGACAGGTGGTTCAGGTAAAAGGGAAACCTTTTTGAGCCAAGATGGGTGACGGTTAGTGAGTTTATCTGTTTATAGCCAGTATATCCTTAGCTTAAACTTTATGAATTGTGATAATTTACAATTGTTTAGTATATTGAAAAGTTACTAACAGAGTCATGGAAACTATGGATGATGTTTCAAGTGATAACAGGACACGACATTTAATTCTCAATAGGCTTAGGCTTTATCCATTTATTTTGGTATTTTGCCAAGTGCCAGTCACAATACACAGAATTTATGCATTTTTTGATTATAATGAACTTGCGATGTTTATTTTGGCAATTTGTGCAGGATTTTTTCTATTAATTAATGGGTTTTTAAACGCTTTTGTGTATGGGTTTACTGATAGTGTTAAACAAAGCATATAAAATGGTGTGGCAACTCAGCCCACCCTCTTGATGCGTGCAACTGGCTTCGTTCTTGTATTTGCCAGGGACTAGGGGAAGGAGTTTGGTATTCAGGAAGTATATCTGGCCAGATGTTTTTCTTGGCTTGGTGGAGTTCAATGACTAGCTTTCGAACGCAAGTTCTCTCCAGGTCGAGGTTTTTTACCTCAGAGGGGAAAGAGCAGAGAATTGGAAAGGGATCTCCCAACAATACCAGCAGCCAATGGTCTGATCAATCGGGACTATTTCCCAGCACGAGCCCAAGGAGTTACGCACTGGGCTTCAGATTTCTACTTTGACTGAGAGTGACTGGAAAATTTAGCCCTTTTAAACTTTCTGTCTGGGCTACCTTTGCTGGAGACGTGGAGACGGCATGGTGACGAGAGTCATCCAACTGTCTTAAGTACGAGTGCTAGCCCGTATCCAGGAAGGAGCAGTCTTTCGAGTTTGTACGCAAAATGGCAAGCAGGGGAAGAGTGTGTTAAAGGCGAAGATAGTCCTTCGGAATTACAGTGAGCTTCACTATAAGTTTAGTAAACATAATCGTAAATGTTAAACAAAGCATTAGGAAAAGATTGTACCCTGAAGAATTTGTTCAAATAAGAAACGCAAATACTCTCTTTGGGTCTGTAGAAAGCCAATCAGCGTTATTTCTCGGCTCAACATTAATGTAAATTAAAAATGCTTGAATAACTCATAAATTCATACACAAATAAATAAGTTGCAAACGAGATCTGCTCAAAATTTGGAGACCTTTTATAGTCTCAAGCCAAATCGAGCAAAAAAATGATCGACTGATAAGTAAACATTTGCGTTTTGGATGGTTTTTGCATTTATTGTTTGAAAAGGCTTTGATCCCTAAAAGGCATAGTGATGGCAGTGAAACTCAATCACTGAGGCAGCATGCCCTCAAGCTACTAAACTGTGCAATCCAAGGTTCATAGGCATCACCAAGAATCAGACAGACCATAGGTGGAAATGCTGAAAAATTCAGGAAGTTTGCCCGTAACTGAATTCGATGAGTATCTTTTATGATATGCTAAACAGTGAGGCCTAATCTTTAATTAGCCTAACCCTAACTCATTAATTTGAAATCTCCACAGCCACTTTTATCTAAGCATTAAGCTTAAATATATATATTAAATTAGATAATGAATGCCAAAAAGCCAGTTTATGAAGATGAAGATGATCCATATCTAATTGATCCTGCTAAGCTTCCAAAAATTCGTGAAGGCGAAATTGTTGACTTGAATGAAAAGGAAGAATCTTCAATGTCCTCATTTCCTCACTCCCTTCTTTGGCTAGCGAACAAAAATGCTTTAATATAATTGCTTTTGATATAAAATATTTTTATATAAAATTATAAGATTGAGATTTCCTACCAATTCTCTTAAATTTTAACAACTTAACTTTATAAATTAAATTAGATTAACATATTTTTAAATCTGAAAAAATTTATTTTTATGCTTTAACCACTTTGCTAGCGAGCAAAAAATCTTTATGAGAGAAGTCAGCAACCTTCAAACTCAACTCCTATCTCTACAACTGAAGAGCCTTTAGCGACAGCTCAGCCACAGAATAAATTTATTTCTTCTTCCCCAGGCCAGCAAGAAGAAACAAAAAGTTCACCTGCTCAGTCAGGAGTAGTTTCTTCAGCACCAAAGCAAACAACAGAGACTAAACCGCAAGACAACAAACAGCAGTCTTCTACAACCCACTATGAGCAAAAGGGGAAAATGGAAACTCTTGATATACTTGAAAGCGGTGATAGGAAAGGGATTAAAAAAGCTACAGGCGAAGACGAAAGAATGGGAGAACAAACATGTAGGCAGAAGTGCAGTTTGCTTTAATAAATAAAGAAGCATAAAGTTTATTGTGAAGCTAATAAGAATTCTATAATTAGGTGATATAAAATAAGCTAAAAGTCACTAATTTTAGATTAGCCAAGATATAAGAGAATAATATATAAAGCTTAGGCTAGATATAAATCCTATAAATATAAGTTTATATACTAATTAATTACTTCTCAAATCATTACCTTCTACCAGCTTGCTTACAGCTGATGCTACTTGATTCATATCGTTTTCAATAATTTCTGCCCAATTTACAATATCCCCTACTTGTTTTAAAGCATCATTTAATTGATCATACATTGTGATTCATTTTTTAGTCTGAGTTGCTAGTTTCGTAGATTCTTGTCTGAATTGTTTTGTCTGGACTTCGATTTGTTTTTGATTCTCATGCAGTGCTTCTACTTGGGAATTTAAAGAATTTAATATATGGGTGGATAGAGATCCTGATAGTTTATTTAATTCTTGTCTTGCTTGAGAGGATCGGTATTTTAACTCTGCTCTTCTTTGGTCGTATTCTTTGGTGATCTCTGTAAACATAATTATTAAATAATTATTTTTGTAATGAGAAATCTGCTGGATGAAGGCATATTTATTCATAAAAATTTTGATGAAATCGGGACTTATAAGAGAGAGAGTTTAATTAGAGGGGATTAAAAGTGGGTTATTTCAACCCCTAGCCAGTCGAGCTTTAGCTTCACGCTCATGTGGCGCTAAGCACTAAAGCCACCTAACGCCCTTTTCTGTCGACATCTTTTGAGGAGACTCACCAGAACCTGCTTAGACCAAAAGACTTTAGCAAAGGACTCTCTTAACCCCTGGTAGTGCTCAGGGTATGAGATGCCGTCCGATGCTCCTTCTGGAACTACCTCTGCCATTTACAGGCAACATAATGCTCCTCCAGAAGTCCTCGATTGGTGTTGCGCCGCAGGTCTTCTTGTCTGTGGATCAAGGGGAGGTACCCCCAGAATTCTGTCGCCCGACCTGTGGCCTTCCGGCCAGATTTTTTATTTTTGCTGGCCGAAAATTTTGGGATTTTTCATTTTTGTCACTCCAAAATCCAAACCTATTGGCCATGGTGGCCTAAATTCGGACTTATAAGAAGAAAAAGCTTATTGCACAGAAATTGTTGAAAATTAATTCTTTTTACTAATCAAATGATCTTTTGCTCCCATAGCTTTGCATTGTAAATAAAGTGAGCCTCCTTTTTCTGGATTATTTTTCTCATACAGTCTGCTGAAGCTTTCTTCAATTTCTGCCTTGGTCGGATTGCTCTTTATATTAAGAATTTTCAAAGCTTCTTCTCTTGTCATTGGATTCTGAAAGTTAATTTTAGAGGCTGATGTTTTTGATAGCATTTCTTCAAATATTTTTTGTGGCTGATACCCAGATTCTAAATAAATCTTACTTTCTAAAGCTCTAACAGTGGCTACTATGAATGTTTTTGCATATTTCACCCCATATGTCATTATTAGGCTTCTTAAAATTGGACCCCACATCTAAAAATTTATATAATTCATGTCATTTTAATTTCATTTCTAATAAATGTATCATCTGAATTTTTATTTATAATATCTTTTTTCTAATACTAATCACATTCTCTTTATCCCTATTAAATAAATAGACTATATTAATTAATATTTTTTATAATTTTATCCTTCTTTGTATCCGCAGGGCTTTTGGAGAGTCATTTGGACCTTTCGGAGGTAATGGAAAATGCGCATAGTTTCTTGGCTTATTACCACCACTAGTGCTCGTACTTCTTAAAACAGCATTATGATCATGAGGATCTGGAAGCTTAAGTTTATTTAAAATATGCTTTGGTTTTATAATATCAAATTCCATACGAGTCTTGCAAGCAACAGGAGTGTGAGATCTAGTTCTTGGCTGCTTCTCTGCAGCAGGGACTTCGACATTGATTCTGCTGCGAATCCTTGCAGTCCCCACAGAATTTGCTGGGATCTCGGTGCTTGATCTATTTCTTGTTTGCTGGATATTATCAGGCTGAGATGTTTCTGTTTTAGATCTGCTTCTAGTTTGAATTGGACTGTCAGGGTCAAACATATTAATCTCTGCAACTTGTTGTTTTTCTTGATTTATTGAGCCTAACTCCCCGCCCTCCGTGAGCGATCAAAAAAATCTTGTTCGCTCACAGAGGAAGTTTTTTTATTAAAAATTATATTTATAAATTTTATAGACTTTTTTTTTCAAAATTTGACAAAATCCTAATTCGAAAAAATTGAAAAACAAATATTAAATTTAATTTTTAAAATTTATATTTTAAAACGCAGCTTATTTTAAATAAAACAGAATTAGCTAGAGATTTCATTATACTAATTATCAGTTTTATATAATTTTTTTTTTTCTATAAAAAAATTTTTCTATTAAAAAAATTTTTGTTTACTCACGGAGGGGGTTTTTGGGCAAAAAATAGGGATTTTCTAATGTTTTTGTTCATCACGGAGGGGAGTAATGTTTTCTATTTGTGCCTACTTTTTTTAAAGTAGTTATTGATCTTTCCCTACAAGTATTCAAAAAATTCACTCTTGGTGAAACAGTTGATTTTTGAGCAGGGCTGATAGTTTTTGCTTTTTTCATGCTAGTTTTGGTTGGCTCAGCCCCTATTGTCATACTTTTGTTATCATGATGGGAAATGCAAATTTTAGTTTTCTTTGCAATAGCTTCTGGAGGAAGTCTTGTAGCTAATTCTTCGCCAGTTTTCAGGTCTGTGATATTCCCATTTATATCAATCCGAGCTATGTAATTATTTGATGTTGGCTTCAATTGTCCATCTATTCGTAAATCTTGAAACTAATTGGGATTTACTTCTTGAGCAATGCTTGCAAGTTCTTGCAAGGCATTGTTTGCCCGAATGTCTTTATTAGTGTTTGGGTTATCTTTTTTGTTGTTTGTATACTGATTAAGGATTACCTCAATAACTTCTGTGAAATTATTAAATGTTACTTTGGATGAGGAAAGAGAAAGAGAGTCGGTAAATGATTCAAGAACCAAAATATATCGACTTTTTTCATTTTCAGCTTTCATTTTATTAAAATTAATTCAGGCTAATAATAAGGCTCCAAATCTCTTGTTTAAAGCTAATCATCAGTACAATAGTTGTTGATGGATTTAAAAGATAATTTATATGATAATGCTAATAATATATAAAATTATATAAAATCTGTTTTTTGATGATATTTTTAGCTTTATCTTATACTTAATAAATGCAACAATTTTAAATAAAATCCATATATTAAAAAAGAACTTGGTATCACTAAAGTATATTAAAAAATAGATTAAAAACGTATTTAAACCAAATACTTGCTCATATTTACTTTCATTGGAGTTGCTACTTTATTCAGTTCATCTTTCATATTATTCAGCCACATTCCATGCCTAGAAAATATATCTCTCATATTTTCTCTGTTTTTAGCATGCACATTTAATTGCTGCTGATAGACCCTAGCATTATTATAGTGTCATGGCTGTCTTACATGATATGCCCATTTATTCTGCGTAATATCACCTGTAATATCATAGCTTTCTCCTTTATTTCTCCAGGATTCTAAAATTTTTTCTTCATCCCCGCTGCTTAATTCTTCCTTCATCAATTGGTCTTCATACAAGTTTTCTTCCATTTCTTTTTCCTTTATTCTTTCTTCAGCAATTCTTATTTCTTTTACTTTTTCATTATGTTTAGCTATCTGTTTCTCAAGAATCGTTTTTACAGTAGCAAGCTCTTTTCTTCGCTTTTCATTTGGATTCATTTTATATTCTTTGATGTCCCTTCTCCATTTCATTTGATCCATTTCTAGCATTTTTTGGATTTCTTTGGCTTCTTTTCGCTTTATTAATAAATTTTGCTTAAGATGTTTAAGCTCTTCTAAGCTTCTGCTTGAGGCAGGCTTCCTTTGCATGTTGGGGTCTGCTGAACTTCTTCTTTGGCGAATAAAAAGTTCTTTAAGAGACTCTAATTCTTTTTCAAGTTTTTCGATTCTTGAAGGATTATGGTCTTTTAGCTTTAAAAGTTCATGGTCTCGCTCTATAATTTGTTTGGTTAAATCTTGAATTACAGCAGTTTCTATATGAGATCCTTTTCCGCATAAGTCTTCAGCTTCAGATGCAGCTCTTCTAGCTTCCATTTCTAGCCTGATTTTTTCTTCTTTCAAGTTTTTAATTTTTTCTTCTTTCATAAATAGCTGATTCTGTGACACCGCTATATCTCTTTGCAAAAGTTTTAATTTTTCTTCATAAATATTCTTCGTCTCATCAAAACTATCAAAACTATAAGAAAATTGCTTTTCTTCAGTTTCTAATAAGTTGCTGTACTTATTTTCAATTTCTTTTACTTGTTGTCTGTACTCTATTTCTTTTCTCTTCTTATAATCTGTAATATTGTCGGCTTTTTGTTTAGTGAGTCTAATTTCAGCTTGGGTTTTTTCATTATCATAATTACTGTCTTTATTTTGCCGCTTATTTCTTTCTTTAGCTTCTTTCAGTTCTCTTTCACGAATTAAATTATACTGTAATTCATTTTTAAACCCAGAAAGCTTTTGCTGGAATTCTATCAGTTCGTCTTGTTCAACTTTTTTTAATAAAGATTTCTCTTCAGGCGAAAGATCGTTTCCATTCTCTTCTTTAGTTTCTTTAAGTTGCCATTCGTAGTCTTTTTCTAATTTTTTAATTTCTCTATTTAATTGGTCTTCAGAGTCTGCCCTTAATCTTTCAATTTTCTTTTTATATCTTCCTTCAAGGTCTTCTTGTTCTTTTAATTGCCATTCAATTTTCCCTTTATTTATTTCCACTTGTTCTTTTAAATTTTCAATTTCATTTCTGATATTTATTTCAATTTTCTTTATTTCCTCTTCATTTTCAAGTTTTAATTTTTGAAGAATTTTTTGTTTATTTTCTTCAAATTCTGTTTTATAATTTCTTTTTAAGTCTTCTAGTTTATCAATCGTCTCTCTATTTTCTTTTGCAATTTTTTCTTTTTCAATCCTCTGCATTTCTTTTCGGACGATTTCTTTTTTATTTTCAATTTTCTGCTCAAAATCAAGTCTAGCCTTTTGCTCTTCGATCTTATTCACTTTTTCTGCATCTCCTTCTAATTTATCAAGCTCTTCATCCATTTTACGTTTGATTTCCCTTTTCTTTTCATCGTATTCTTGTCTCATTTTATCGACTTCTTCTGCAAATGACTCTTCTAGCTCTTGCTTCCTATTAGCGAATTCTCCTAATTCTGGGGATTTGCCTAATGGGGACTTTTTTAGTGGGCTTATTCGGTTTAATTTTTCAGCATCAGAGGTATTAGAATTTTTTGGCTTTTTTGTGTTGCTTTGATTTTGCTTAGTTTTGGCTTGCTTAGCTTCTCTTACTAGCTGCTTATAATGCCCGTCACATGGATGCTCCCATTCACTTTGGCCGGTTTCGAAGTTGAAATAATAAATATCGCCTTCACGAGTTTTGCAAGGCTTCCATTGCTGAGGAAGAGGAGCTTTCAAACCTTCCCGAGCTATGTATAGCAAATCTTCATCATCTGGAAGAGTCAGACCAAGCCAGATGCCGTATTCGATTATTTCTTCTTCTGTTGGCTCGTAATTTTCATCGATCTCTTCTTCTAATATAACGCTGTTCTCCATTTCAAATAATTTATTAATAGCTGAGCGGGTTTTAAGTAAGGAAGATTGCTAAAGAAGCTTAACACTAAAAGCAATTATTTTTAAAAAAAAATCAATCATAAATAGATTTGCAGTATCAAAATTGATTATATAAACATTATTATGGTAATGAGGAAATTTTTGGAGTTTAGATCTTTATTCGGTAATTTAAATCCAAATGCATTACTATTATAATTAGCACAAACATATTTCAAGATAATTATAGGTAGAGCCATTTATCTTACTCCCCCCCTCCGTGAGTGAACAAAATTTTTTTGTTTACTCACGGAGGGGGTTAATTTTTTTTTTAAAAAAAATTTATATATAAATTTTATAAAAATATTTTTTTTGGAAATTTAAAAAAATCCTAATTCGCAAAAATTGGAAAGCAAATATTAATTTAATTTATAAAATTTATGTTTTAAAAAGCATATACATAAAATGGCGTATGACGTCCGACCCGTCCTCCCAGTGACGGTAACCCATGTATATCCGGGCATGGTTTTTCAGGAGAAGCGACTTAGCCCAGCAGTATCTGGACCCTGGTGGCGACCAGGGAAGCACATAGACCCGCTGATCTTGTCCAGATCCCAGGGCAGTTAGGAGCATCTTCTTTTTCCAGCAGCGCCCAAGCCAGTGGGTGCCCGAGATGGAGCAGGGCGACTTACCTGCTCAAGCTGCTACTGTGGTCTGCCCCGAATCGCGGAAGCGATTGAGTTTTTCTCAAGCGGATAAGCTGGGAAAAAGGGAGGCAGATTAGACAGCAAGGCGGTCTCTCCAGTTAAAAGGGTCCTTAAAAGAAGGACGACCTGGCCAGCCGGAGACAAAGACTGGCGTAATTCGGGGCGGAAGGCTGAGTTGGAAATGGTGGCGCCCGGCGACGGTCGGCTGACGACCCAAATAGGGCAACCCACTACCGAGAAACCAGGGGTTTCGGCCTGGGCTCAGAGAACCAGTGATGGAAGTCCATCCTTTTCGCTCGTGCCAGCACGGCTCCTCACGGAGCGCGGAGGAATGTCACGCATGTAAGTAGGGACCTTAAATACATATCGTTAATTTATTTATTTATTTATGTTTTAAAAAGCAATTCGTTTAGAATTAAACAGAATTAGCTCTAGATTTCATTATACTAATTATCATTAATATATCAAAAATTTTTTCCATAAAAAATTTTTCTATTAAAAAAATTTTTGTTCACTCACGGAGGGTGGGTTTTTGGGCAAAAAATAGCGATTTGTCTAATGGTTTTGTTCACTCACGGAGGGGGGGGGAGTTAGGCACTTATTACAGATTAATCCATATATAAATGCTTTTCATTTTTGTTTATTAAAAATTGTAAACAGCACAATAAGCTGTGCTTATATTTTCACCTCTGACAAGACATAAAAGGCTACTACTAAAAAGTCAAGGATTCTCACTTAAATCTATTTTACCTTATCAGAAGCAAATAGTGATTAATGCAATTACCTGGAATTTCTTATTAAATAATTTGATAATAATGATTTATCCTTTTAAAGCTTATAAATATATAATTTAGTATTTTTAATAATATCTTCTCCAAAACAATAAAAAATTATAACTTCAAATATGTACATGAGGGTAGAATTAATTTATTTCATTTAAATTTCCATATTTTATTTTAACGACTTATGCTCTGCCAAGAATCCAAAAAGCTGTTAGGTGAATTTCTATTAGCAATTGCTGATAAAGAGTCTGAATCAGAAAAACTTAAAGAATCATTGGAAATCACAAAATATATTGACCCAGAAGAGCTCTTTCTAAGACTTGACTCTATAGGCTATGGCTATTTGCGACCTTCAGATATTCTACATATTTGCTCTCTTCTCCAAATTGCCACTTCTGAAGGAGAGTGCAAAGGACTTCTCAGGTTTTTTGATTATGACTCTGATAGTAGATTAGGATTTTTAGAGTTTCTTGATATCATTTTACCTAGGAATAACGATTCAAGGGCTTATCTCTTAGAAAAAATTGAAAAATCAATAATTTTTAACAGTGAAGTCGATTTCAAACTTAAAAAAATCCTTGAGCATGAAATTGGTATAGTAAAAATGATTGAAAGATATAAGAGGCAGTTAGAAAAATTTGATGGATTTAATGTCATTCGAGCTTATGGAGAAATTAAAAAAAGTCATAATGATTTAGCAGATTTGGCAATTGTGGAGTTTTTTCAAAGCATTGGAATAGAAATTTCTTTAAAAGACGTAGAAAATATAATATCAAGAATTGATAAAGATAAAGACGGAAAAATTGGATATTCAGAATTTGTAGGAATGTTTACCCCCCCCCCCCCCCTCCGTGAGCGAACAAAACCATTAGAAAAATCGCCATTTTTTGACCAAAAAAACCCACCCTCCGTGAGTGAACAAAAATTTTTTTAATAGAAAAAATTTTAATGGAAAAAAATTTGGATATATATAAGTGATAATTAGTATAATGAAATCTAGAGCTAATTCTGTTTAATTTTAAACAAATTGCGTTTTAAAACATAAATTTTGCAAATTAAATTATATTTGCTTCCCAATTTTTGCAAATTAGGATTTTTTTAAATTTCGAAAAAAATATTTTTTTTATAAAATTTATATATAAAATTTTTTTTTAAAAAAAAAAATTAACCCCCCTCCGTGAGCGAACAAAATTTTTTTGTTCGCTCACGGAGGGGGGGGGGGGGAGTTAGTAATTTTCACGAAAAAACAAATAATGACCGTTCAATAACGCCAATTAGAAGTACAAAAATAATTACACCTCTAAAGCCAATATATGCAGATAGAAGCCCAATATCTGAACTTAGAGGCCTAGGGACAAATAGAAGCCAGATATCTGAACTTAGAAGCCTAGGTACAAATAGAAGCAATTCAAGGACACCCTTAAAAAATAAAGCATCTTTAGAGAACTCTCGTCTAGAATACTCAAATATCCCATTGAGAAAATCTGCTGTTTTAAACAGAAGCAATTCCAAAACACCTTTAAAAACTAGAACAGCTATAGAGAATTCTCGATTCGAATATTCAAATATTCCATTGAGAAAATCAGCTGTTTTATACAGAAATATTTAAAATATTAATCAATATTATTTAAATATTAATTAAAAAATTAAACTCCAGTTAGTCGTCTTCGGCTATTTCTATGTGGCTCTGATAATGTAAGGGCAGCTTCTCGTTCACCGCCTGTGTTACTCATCAATCTTTTTCCTTGTGGAGATTTTGGGATCATGTTTCCTTTAAATTCTTCTTGTGAAGACATACAAGAAAATAATTTTACAGGACCTCTTTCAGTCATCATGCCGTGCCTTACAGCAGAAACTGCATGTGAGAGCTTTGTTGACCATGAGTTTGTATTTTCAATTGGAAATGCTTGGCTATCAGTTTCAGGGGTATCTAAAGCTTCATGAACCTGCATGACAATATTGTTTAGCCTTTTTTCCACTGCTGAAAAATCATCACTTTTAATGTTATATATACAAATTCCGGCTCCATGTCAAATGACAGTGGATTTTTGATAGTGTACATTTCATCGAAATACATTTGACCTAAAATTTTTAAATAGTATAATATTTGGTCGAAATTTAGCGATTTGGGCCACTATCAAAAAGTTCCAACCAATTTTCGACCAAAAGCACTTTGGTGAAATGCACACTATCATTGGACCTACACCCTCAAATTCCATTCTTCTTAGTTGTATTTGAGCCCATCATTATTTTCATCAACATTTTATATAAGGATTCGAGCTCAAGCCTAAAAAGAGATAAAGCTTTTCGTTCATATTTTGACATTTCAGAAATATTCAATTTAAAATCGAAATTTTCGGTTTTTTGTGAAGATGGGAGAGATATTTCTGGAGTCTTATGTTCCAGCTTTTGAGATAATTTTGTAAGTTCTTGCCTTGCCAATTCTCTTTTATGCTGTGATTTTTTATAGCTTTCTGATAAATTTTTATTTTCTTTTTCTAATTCTGAAATCTTGATAGACTGCTCTTTTAGATATTCATTTAAATCTCGTATTTTTTGGGCATATTCTTTATTTTGCTGCTCAACTATGGTTAATTTTTCTAAATTGTTTTCATTTCCTCTATTTTCCTCATTTTTACAATTAGCTATCGTGCTTTCTAACTCTCTTATTTTTTCTTCATACTGTCTTTCTATCCTTTCAGTTTCTTTTTTACAATTTTCAATAATTTGAAGCATTTCTAATTGATTTTTATCTTTTATGCCCTCTAATTCCTGCTTTAATTTACAAATCTGATTTGATTTTTCTAATATATCTCCATTCAATTTTTTTATTTTATTTTGTTTTTTTAGATATTTTGTTTCTTTTAAATGCTGGCTTTCTCTTAATGCAAGAATTTCAGTCTCCATTGATTCTTTTTGGAACAGTAATTTCGATAATTCTTTTTCCATTGATTCTAAGCTACTTTGACGCTTTGAGCATTCTTTTTCAATTTCTTGTTTTTGTTTTTCTATTAATACAATTTTTTCATTCAAATTTTTTATCTGAGCATTGCCAACTTCATGCTGGATCGACATTTTAGCTATTTCTGATTCTAGTGATTTATTAGTAATCCTTAATTCCTGGACTTCTTGGCTTACTTTATTAGATTCAGCTAAGCTTGTCTTCAATTTAGCGATATCAGAATGAAGTTTAATTATTTCAGCCTCTCTATCAGCACAGCAGCTTCCTGCACTTTGTGGAATAATGAGATTTTCTGTCTCAAGTTCAGTTATTTGAGCTCGAAGATCTTCTACTTGCTGTCTGTAATTTGCTACAAGCTCTGATTTTGATGCTAATTGGCTCTTAGCAAGGTCTAATTCAGCTTTTCTGCTCTCAAGTGAAGCTTGTGTGTCTTTCAATTCCTCTTCAACTCTGTCCAACTCATTCTGAAGCTCTTCTGAATGTTTACTAAAATACTGAAATTTTTCTTGCAGAATTGGAAAATCTTTATTAAATTGCGACAGCTGCTCAGAATCTGTTGAAATTTGCTGGTTTAAATGTTTTACCTCAGCATCATATTTATAGATGATTTCAACCAAATCAGCAGCAGGCATATTATAAAGAGAACTGCCATCCATTGTAACGTATCCTTCTGGTGGTGGCTGTGTAGGCTGAGTATTTGCGTTAGCATGTTCTGTGCTATCTTTGTCCTTTTTCTTAAACAGTTTCTTGAATTTCATATGAATTTTATTAATGGATAAATATATATTTACTTATAATTTCTTATAATTTAGAATGGATAATAACTAATCAAATGAAACCTTTGTATGTGCCACAGTATGCAATAGGGTTTCTTTAGCACTATCTAACACAATTTGTTCTTTTATTAAGTCATCTCTTAATTGCTCTATTAATTTTTCATCCTAAATAATCCTTACTTCGAACAGCTGAGTTTTTTGTTCGACTAGTTCTTCTTTTAGCACATCGGTATCATTTTTCTTCTTGGCCTGCTCGTTGATTAAATCTTTAATTTCGTTTGCAATTTTTGCAGCTTCCTAATTTAAGTTTACAGTGAATTGCTTTAAAGTAGCTGCGTTTTTTTTCTCAATTTCCAAAGCAGGGATTTTATTTCCGATTTCTTTAAGTTGTTCTTCTTCAAGAGAGATAGCTTTAAGAATTTCTTCAATTTCTGCAATTTTCTTATTGTAAGCATCTTGAGCATCATTAAAACCTTTTTCTTTGTCTTTTACGATAATCTCATATTCAGAAATTTTTTGAAGAGTTTCCTCTCGTTCCTTAATAGAATTTTGGATTATTTGTTTTTCAGTTTCTAGCTCACCACCTCTTGTGACTGAAAATTTTCTTGCTTGTAAGGGATGCAATTTTACTTTAAAAATTTTTCTTTAAAGACTATATAAAAATTGTGAGAAATTATAGATATGGCCTCATTATCATAACTATTAATTATAAAAAATTTTTGGTCAGCAATGAAAAGGTGCTAATTTTATCAAAAATAGGAATTTTCTAATAATTTTACTTACTCCCTCCCCCCTCCATGAGTGAACAAAAAAATTTTGTTCACTCACGGAGGGGGGTTAAATTTTTTTTTTTAAAAATATTTATATTTAAATTTTATAAAAAAAATATTTTTTTTCGAAATTTTAAAAAAATCCTAATTCGCGAAAATTGGAAAGCAAATATTAATTTAATTTATAAAATTTATGTTTTAAAAAGCAATTCGTTTAAAAATTAAACAGAATTAGCTCTAGATTTCATTATACTAATTATCACTTATATATCAAAATTTTTTTCCATAAAAAATTTTTCTATTAAAAAAAATTTTGTTCACTCACGGAGGGTGGGTTTTTAGGCAAAAAATGGCGATTTTTCTAATGGTTTTGTTCACTCACGGAGGGGGGGGGGAGTTAATAGCCAATGGGTAGTAAGAAAGATTTTAGCGCCTTTAAAGCTTCTATATGGTTTGTATGCATTTCTATTTTACTTTGTGTTAACTCAACTTCTTTCTGTAAAGACTCTTGTTCAGATTTGAGATTTTCTTTTTTTATAAGCAAATTTTGAGTCTCTGCCTCAATAAACTTTTTTTCTTCTATCGAAATTGACAAATCATCACTGAATTCTTGAAGTTCTTCTGATAGTTTGGCATCTAGTTCTTTTATCCCATTTTTAAGATTTTTTGCTGCCGCTTTTTTTTCCGCAATAATTTTCAAGAGATCTTCTATTTCTGTTTCTAATTCTTTCAGCTCAGAGCTTAGCTTTTCTTTTTCTTCTTTTACTGATTGTGTTTTTAACTCAATTTTTTCTTGCAAACTTTTCCAGTTTTCTTGGGCAATTTGATCTTGCTCTTGTAATTCAGCTTCTTTCTCCTCGATTTCTTTGTGGCTATTTTCTATTTTTTCAACGAGGTCTTTTCTAAGTCCTTCACTGTATTCTTTTAATGATTGGATAGATTTTTCGAATTCTGAATTATAATATTCATTTTTACTGCAGGTCTCATTCAGCCATTTTAGTTGTCTTGAGTAAATTTCACTCTTTTCTGCATCAAGCTTGTTAAATTTATTTCGATTTTCTTGGACTTTCTCTTCTTTTTGTTTAATTTGTTGAGTTATTGTTTCAATTTCTCTATGAAATTGTGCAGCTTTTTCGAATTCTTCTGAGTCTGCTGACTTTTCTTCTAGTACTTCAAGTTCTTTAATTTTTTCCTTGTCTTGCAAGATTTCTTTATTTAAATTTGCCTGCTCAGAATAAATGGCTTCTTGCTCTTTGGTTTTTTCTTTGAACTCAACATTAAAAGAATTGTTTTTTGACTTAATTGACTCTTTTAAGCTCTCAGGGTTCTCATACAATTCTTTTTCCCTTTTTTCTTGTTCAAGCTTATTTTTTTCTTCTTCTGCTTTCAATTTCTTTTCCAACTGCTCCTTTTTACGCTTTTCTTCAACTAGCTTTGCAATTCTATTTTCACCTCTAGGCTCTTCACTTTGTGCTTTGATTTCTGCTTTCGGCTTTTCTAATGTATTTTCTTCAGCTGGTTTGACATATTCTCGATTTTTTAGTAATTTAATCGAATTTTCAGGCTCATCAGTATGCTCTGATTTTCTTTCTTCAAAAATAGCAGATAAAGGCTTGTTTTTCTTAATTTTTTCACTCATACTTTCTTTTTCTGAATTATTAGTTTTTGCAATACTTTCTACAGGTTTTATTTCGAGATCTGCAAAGGGATCAAAATCCTTTTTAATTATTTTGGATCTCGAATCTTTTTTAACTACGATTGGTGCTTTTGGTCCTTTGCTTAGCTTTGCAGATTTTTGATGTGAAAAAATGCTGGCTTGGTTGGTATTATTTTTATTAAAACTAGTCGAAGTCACGTCCTCAGGCATTGATAGTGAAAATCCTCCCTCTTGGCCAGGAAAAGGCTTACTCCCCCCTTTAAATTTGAACATAAAATTCTGTTCCTGTGAAATTTTATTTTAAGATAAAAATTTTTCATAATGAAAAAAAATTGTTTAAATTTAAGTGGGTTTTATTCACCAAAATGGAGGGGAAGTTAGGAGCTGAATCTTTTATGTCTAAACCATTAAACATGCTAGGAGGCTTGGGGGTTGGTTTTTGAGCTTCTTCTCCTTTGCCTTTAAATATGCCTATTTAGACCTTACCTGAAAAAATTGAAATCTTGCTTGCTCCGCAAGCCAAGAGATCAAAAAATGACATATTATATCGATTATTCCTGATATGAAAGCCTTATAAATTATAATTAACTTATATCCTATAAAGAATTATATCGATTCTAACACTTTTTCAGTCTAATTTTCTATTTATACTTTATTGCGAGACAAATGAAATAGAAGATACTGACTTTTCTGAGGCTTTTTGCTATGATTATCATAGTAGAGATTTCATTAAATCACTTATTGAGGCTATCTATAACATATAATTTTCAAAATTTTCATAATAAATTCTTAATTATATAAGCCAATTCGGAAATCAATAGATTACTCTTAAATATATTGATTTTTTAGCTAAAATATTTTCATCATTATATGATATTGAAATAAAAGAATTTCATAATTTTATCACCTAGACTGTATAAAATAATAAATATGCTAAAATTTTAATAGCTATAAAATAAATAAATGGGTTGTGGAACAGTAAATTTTCCGATGGAAAATTCAACCCCACGAGACTTTAATCTTCCGAAGCCTGTGGAAGATGGTTTTCAGATAACATTTAAAAAAGAACTACGCAGAAAAAGAAAGCACACATCAAAATTCTCAAAAAAGCAACAAGCGTTACAACCATCCAAAGAAAACGTAGGAAAGGCTCTAGAAACCAAAAAGGAAGATAGTGAAGACATGCAATCTTCAATTCTTACACAAGACCAAACAACTTATAACCCAGATCACTCAATTCAGAAAATAATAGCATTTGAGCCTCAATTAAAAGTCGCTGAAATATATAAAGAGCTGGATGAGATTGACAAAGAAATAGGAATAAAAACTAAAAACCACATAAAAATTGAGAAAATTGAGTTCCACTCTGAAGAAAGTGAAGATAGTTTTTATGATAATAATGAGACAGAAGAACAAGAGCAATTACGAATGAGTAAAGAGAAGCAGAAATTAATGAGGGAAGAAATAGAAAGACAAGTCAAAGAAGCAAAAAATATTGCTGATGCGAAAACAGCTGAAGTAGCTGCAAATGCAGCAAGAAATCGTGTGGAAAGAGAAAAAATCGATGCAGACATGAAAAATATTTTATCAAAATATAGCAATATTATATAATTATAATAGCGAATTTCCGTAGAACTCTTTGTGGTAGGCTATTTTAATGTGATTTTAGTGAATTTATATTAATTTCAGAATATGAGGAAAGATTTTGAAGGCAGAGTATTATTCAGATTTCTTATTTAATTAATTGGCTATTGCAGTGATATTAAATCGTAAACCTAATTTTATTATTAAAACAATAATAAATTATTTTGTTTATATTATGCTTATAGCACTCCTATTTATCTCAGCAGCAGCTGAAGATACAATGTATCACTTTGATCCAGTAAACGGAGAAGAATATGATTGATCTGAATTACAGAGAAAACCTAAGTAAGCAATATTAAGCGACCGCTACAAGATAAAGACTACTCCTCTGTGGCCTAGGCCGAAACCCCCAGTTTCACGGTAGAGGAATACCCATGGGTGCTTGGATCAAAAGGACATTGTTGAGTACCTCCATTTCCAATCACAGGAAAGCAGCCAAAACCTACCTAGATGCACATCTCCTGAGCCTGCACTGTTCTCAGCTCGAAGTCTGTCCCAGTTCGCCGTAGCCATAAGGTCTGGACTGCTGCTCCAAGAGGGCAGATTAGCACATATCGCCATTTTAATGTATATGCAATATTAAGCGACCCCTATAAAATTGATGCAGGAGACTCCTATTTTATCTTTAATGTAGGCTCAAACTTGGAAGAAACCTGCAAAGGCCAAAAAGCGTCTGCCATCAAAAAATCTAAGTTTTCTGATGACTGTGAGGTTATAGGAAGAAATGACCAAATTTTTTACAGATTATTGGACCATTATGCAAAAGGAATTTCTATTGAATATTGAACTGACGAAACCTGCATCTCTTCTTGAAATGACTTTGAAACTAGAAAAATGACAACGATTACTCTAATTTGCAACCCTAAGGAGTATGACTTTGAATTGGTTAGCCGCACTGATGCTTGTGAAATTAAATTTTCTAAAAAAACGTATATAGGCTGCCCACAAAAATTTTCGTCTTATGTGTGACTAAGAATCCTTTGGAGCGTTCTAGGAGCGATTTTTGTTGTTGCTGCATTATTTGCATGTGTTATCTGTATTTTTGAGGATGAAGAGTGGGATGAAGACGAAAATCGGCTCGTTTGGCTTTTGAGAGATTCGGGCTGTATACAATATGAGAAACCAATATGTAATTAAAAGAAAAGAGCTAGTGTTTCACATCAATAAGATATCATCATGTACTATAAGTAACTCATAATAAGGAGCAAAAAAACCCATTAAATTTGACGGTAAATTTTTTTTTTTTATGTCTTAATGAAAAAAGCTTGTTGGTTATATAAACTATGATACTGTTAAGTCTATTAAATAAGCAACTTATATGTACTAGAAATAAGATCTGACAGTTTCATATAATAGCAAACTGACGTTGTACCTTGTTTGCAATTCCATTCTGAATATATTAAAAAATCAATAAACGCTTCTCTTAATAAAAAAATAAATCATTATGTCATTAAATTGGGTTTAAGTCATCTCAGTAAAAAACGAATTTCATCTCTTTTTCTCAAGAGACAACGGTTTATTAGGTGCTGCAAAAACCTGCTTAAAAAGATCGTTATATTTGCGCAAAAATTAATATAATTTCTGCACCGATTTGCGTTGCAACACACATTAATATAGTGAAACGATGCTTTATTTTGATCCTTATTTATATTAGATTTTATGTCTTATATAAGAGAATTCAATATGATCTAATATTTCGAAACTATCTTATCTTATCTAGAATCAAGCGGTCATCCCGCCGACGATCCTTATGGATCGATTTTTATTCATGTCGTTATTTTCCTCTGAGTCATCACTGGTGCATCCTTGAATGTGATATGCACTGCAGCTCTTATGAGCTTTTATTCTTTTCTTCCAATTCTTCCAGTTCTTCCAATTCTTCCAGTTCTTCCGATTCCTCCAATTCTCCAAATTCTTCCAATTCTTCCAATTCTTCCGATTCTGCCGATTCTTCCACCCCTTTCCATTCTTTCACTTTGCTCCAACTTTTGCATCAAGTTTGGTCTTTGGTTTTTGGGTTGATTTTTGGGTTACCTTTCCCTCTAGTTCCACTGCCAGCTCTAGGTAGAATTTTGGGTTGGCTTTTGATTTAGGTTTTGAGTTGGTTTTTGGGTTAGGTTTTGATTTTCTTGATTTTTTGGTTGGCTTTTGGGTTATTTTTTGTTTGGCTTTTGGGTTGATTTTTGGGTTGGTTTTTGGGCTAGTTTTTGGATTGGTTTTTGGGTTGGTTTTTGGTTTAGTTCTTCCATTAGTGCCTCTTCCGTTGCTTCCTTTGCTACCCCTGATCTTGCTACCCCAATTTCGATTTCAATTGATCGGGCTGAATGAGCGGCCAATATTGGCTCCCAATTATCCAGCACTTCTCCCTTTTGCTTAGCTGCTCAGAACCTAATTTCCTCAATTAGCAGTTCTTCTGCGTCTCCTTCATCCGCTTCTTCCTCATCTTCATCACTTCAATACTCTTCATTTAACTCATCTTCCAGCTCTTCTTCAAGCATTCTAATTTCTTCATCATAGTAGTCTATCTCATCCATAATTTCATCAATTTCTGAATCAATTTCATCTTCAGAAGTGTCATAATCTCACAATCCTTCACTCAAGACTCCATTTCTTCCAACAAAATAAAAAGTATTTCGAAACTATCAGCTCATGAAAATGTGAAATCGTTTGCTCAGTGAAAAAAACATTAAACAGAGCTCCTTAAAATAGAAATTTATTTTTTTAAGAAAAATAATTTAAAATTTTGTTATTAAATACTTTTAGAGCAAGCTTTGTTTATTTATTGCGCTTTTTTTTTACAAATAGTAACAATATTTAAGGTAAATCATACTTATCTCAGTTCTAAGTGTGCCTCTTTCAGTGTCTATTAAAGATATTAAAATTATTAAAAAATATATAAAACCGTTTTTCAAGACATATTCTTTCAAAATATATCAAAACGATGACCAAAATTTGCATATTTTTTGGGTTAATTTCCTTAAAAAAGGTTTTTATAAGTTTTTTAATAATTTTAATATCTTTAATAGACACTGAAAGAGGTACACTTAGAACTGAGATAAGTAAGGTTTTACCTTAAATATTGTTACTATTTATACAAAAAAAGCGCAATAAATAAGCAAAGCTTGCTCTAAAAGTATTTAATAACAAAATTTTAATTTATTTTTCTTAAAAAAATAAATTTCTATTTTAAGGAGCTCTGTTTAATGTTTTTTCACTGAGCAAACGATTTCACATTTTCATGAGCTGATAGTTTCGAAATATTAGATCATATTGAATTCTCTTATATAAGACATAAAATCTAATATAAATAAGGATCAAAATAAAGCATCGTTTCACTATATTAATGTGTGTTGCAACGCAAATCGGTGCAGAAATTATATTAATTTTTGCGCATATATAACGGTCTTTTTAAGCAGGTTTTTGCAGCACCTAATAAACCGTTATCTCTTGAGAAAAAGAGATGGATTTCGTTTTTTATTTAACTGGATGAACTTTGACTTATAAACATAACAATTCCGTTTTTTATTGAAGCAAGCGTTTATCGAATTTTTTTTTTTTCATTAGACTCTCGCAAATTATCTAGACCGTTAGGTTGCATTGATGAATTGCTGGTATCGTCTATTTTGCTTAGTTACTAGGTCTTTTTTATTAAGGATTCAACTGTTTCCATTTTTGTGAAGATTTAGAATCTTCTATTTTTGTGATATAAAATAATTGTTTACAGTCAAATTTAATGGTTTTTTTGCTCCTTATTATGAGTTACCTGAAGGACATGATGCTTTCTTATTTATAAGAGATACTAACTCTTTTCTTTTAATTAAATATTGGTTCTTCATTTTATGGACATCCCGTATCTCTCAAAAGCCAAACGAGCCACGAAAATCAACCAAAAGTAGAGACTGGGCCTGTTTGGAGAGAAATGAAAACCATAGTAAGAAAAGGGAAAAACTGGGGAAAATCAGTAATAGCTATATAGACATATTCCAATATGAGATATAGGTGTTTTCCCTATATAGCCCGATAAGGGCCGTGGATTCTCTGTGGAATCCCTCTGCTGGTTAAACCAACCAGTGAATTGGTCAAGCCAACGCACTGAGTTGGTTTGACCAACAGAGGGATTCCACGGGGAAACCACGGCCCTTATCGGGCCATATAGGGAAAATCCCTATACTCAAGGACTGATTATGAAAAAGTTTAGGAGATCACTAGTTAAAAATTATTTAATCTGCAAATTATATGCATACATTTCTAACTTAAAAAACATTATAAACCATGCAAAATAAAAATAAATCGAATTGCTTCAAGCAATAAATCAGCTATTCAAGGATATAAATCTATATCCTTTTAGCCTTCTTTTATTTTATAAAAATGGTCGAAGCATTTGCATGTGCAAGACTTCAAAACGAGTTCAGAGAACTATCACAAAACGAAGACATAGGATTTTCAGTTGGGCTTATTGACGATAATCTTTTCAATTGGTCTGTTTGCTTTTCAGGACCTCAAGATACTGCATGGGAAGGTGGACTTTACATGGCAACTTTACGATTTCCCCCTCAATATCCAAACTCTCCTCCAGAAATGATTTTTAGGACTGAGATGTGGCATCCAAATATTTTCCCTGACGGGAGAGTTTGTATATCAATTTTGCATCCTCCAGGTGAAGATCAATTTAATCAATATGAAAGTGCATCAGAAAGATGGAGGCCGATACTGGGCGTTGAAGCTATATTAGTGTCTGTTATTTCAATGCTTAATGATCCTAATCTTGATAGCCCTGCAAATATCGATGCAGCTGTGCAATATAGAAACGATAAATCAGGATACTTAAGAAGAGTGAGAAGGTTAGCTCAGAAATCTGTAGAAAGTCTTTAATTAAATATTTTATGCATTTAATAGCTAGGATTAAATGCAAAACAATTAATGATAACAATAAGAACCTGCATTAAGTTTAAGCCTATTAAAAAAAAATTTTCTATTATAGAGCAAGCAGAGATTCCTATTTTAAATACTTTTAAATATTTTTAACTATTGGCGTGGATTTCTCCCCACATAAGAATTTCTTGGGCTTTCAAAATAAGCTGATCTTGACAAAGATTCTCTTGTCATCCCATCCCCGCTTTCATTAATCAAGCTATAATTTCTTGTATCCCCAATAAGTTTTTTCCTGCTTTCTTTCATTTCATTTTCAATTAGTTCATTTTCTAACGAATATAGCCTTTTCTTAAAATCTAAATATTGGTCATCACATTTCCCTATCTGTCTTTTAATTGAATCTTTTGTATTTAAATCCACATTTTGATCTAACTGCTCACTTAGCCTCCATTTTTCACTTTCACACCTTTCAGCTTCTGCTCTTATTCTCATAATTTCGTCAAAAATTCTTTTAGAATCAATTGCTTTTGATCTCCAGAATTTCGTCATCATATCTTCTAGGTCTCTTTTTTGCTTGACAATTAGTGAAATTTTTCGCTCTAAGCTTTCTTTTTTGCTTTCACTTAAAGATTTAATGCTTTGGTTTTCCTGCAAAATTTTGCGAATTTCGTCATTTAATTTTTCGTTATCTTCATGCAAATTTTGAATATTCGACCTTAGTCCTATAATTTCTCTGTGCAAAGCTGCGATTTCAGTGTGGAGGTTTTCTTTAACTTGAATATTTTGACTATAAAGGTCGTCTAAGCTATTTTTCAGCATTTCTTCTTTGCTCCTTAACAAATTTTCTTCTCTGTTATGCTCCTCTATATATCTCTGCAAAGAGTTTATCTGTGATTTTGCCTGCTCATTTTCCCTTGACAGCTGTAAATTCTTTTCAAATTTCTGGAGAATTTCTTCAATGACCAATTGCATCCATCTTTGAACTGAATTTAATTCAGCTGGAAGCTGATCCCACGAAGCTAAAAACTCAGCCAAAACGCTTGTGAGGTTTAATTCTTTTGAATTGTCAACTAAGTCTCCTCCAATTTTGCAGCATTCTTCAATTTGAATTTCTAAATTATTTTTTTCGTCCTTAAGTTTATCAAAATCTGAGCTTAGCCTGTCATAAGCTTCAGTGATTTTTCTTCTTTCATTTCTTTCGCCATCAATCTCTTCTCTCAGCCTTTTTACAATGTCATTGAATGAATTTATTGTGATTTCAGATTCTTTTAGGTGCTCGTCTTTTTCTTTTAATTGATGCTTTTGGATTGCTAAGTCTTTTGTTATTTCTTCTATTTGCAATTTCATTGAAGTGTTTTCATTTTGAGAATACTGATGGTTGGTGCGCTCTTGAGACAGGCATGATTCAAGGCTCCTAAGCTCGCTAGCATAGTTGTCCCTCTTTTCTGAGGCAATTAGCAGGCTTGACTTATATTTCTCTATTTCGTCACGTAAATTTAAAATTTCATTATTAAGATTCTCTATTTCATTTTGCATGATTTCAGAGTTTTTCTGGTTTTCATTTAATCTTGCGTAAAGCCCATTTATTTCTTTGACTTGGCTTTGGTCGCGCTGATAGGTTTCTTGCTTTTCGTTCCACATTTTTTCAATTTCAAAACGAAGTTCATCAATTTGTTTAAGATTAGACTCGTTCCGGATTTTCAGCTCTTCATAATCAAAGGTTTTATTTTCAAGCGTTTTTTGCAATTCTTTATTTTCTGTCTCTAAGCTTGTTAGAGAAATTTGAGCTTGGTTTAGCTGGGACTGGATTTGGCTTAAATTTATGCTTGTCTGTGCTTCTCTTTTTCTGGATTGTTCCAAAGTTTTTTCTGTTTCATCTAGTTTCCCTTCAGTTAAATTCACTTTTTCATTCAAAGCTTCACATTCCCTTTCTATTGACTGCTTCTGTACAGTTTCCCGCTGCAGGTCTTCTTTTATTATAGTAATTTCATTCTCTTTTTCTTCTATCCTTGCTCTTAAATTATTAAAGCTTTGTTGAACTTCTCTAAGGCTCCTTTCATTTCTTGCATGTTCAGACCTGGAGGATTCCAGCTCTTTTTCGAATTTTTCTTTGTGTCCTTTTTCTTGGTCTAAATTTTCTTTTAATTTTGAGTGCTCTTCATGCAAATCTGTATGAGAATTCTGAGCGTTTTCGAGGTCTTGGGTAAGTATATTGAGTTTATATGTAGCTTCTTCAAGATTTTTTGATAATTCAGAATTTTCTGCTTCAAGTCTATGGATTTCATTGTCATTATATTGCAAAGCAGAGGTGGCAGTGCTCAATTGTTTTTTTAGTTCATCACGGACATATTCCAATTCTTTACATAAAGCGCTTTTTTGTTCTAAACCTTCGGCCAGTTTATTTATCCTCACTTCTTGATCTTTTAGTGTGTGCTGCATCTTGGCGCTGCGTCTTCTATTTTCGTCGCTTTGCTCTTTTTCTTTAGCGTACTGGGTAAATGCATCTGCACCTACTCCAGACAGTCCGAGTTTTTCTATATGATTTTCTAATGTTTCTTTTAAAACCTCAATATAGACTTTTTGTTCTTCTGATGCCAAAATTTCTGCTCTTAAGCTCTCTTCGAGGAGGGCTTTTTCTTTTGACAGGTCTAAAAATTTATGCCGTAAATCTACGTACAGGTCTTCTAAATTTTCGTTTTGGCTGTCTGGTTTTTTGGATTCTGCGCGAAATCGAGCATTGAATTGGGAAAGTTGGTCTTGAAGAAGGGAAATCTTTAAGTTAGCATCTTCTAGTTGTTTTGATAAAGGATTTGAAGAAGTGCCAAGCATGTCTGGCTCGATTGGAAGTGGGTGGCCAGGGATTATTTCAGTTATTCTTGCTTCGCATAGCTCTTTATATTGCTCAAGGGATCGTAAGCGGATAGCTTGAGATTTAATTTTTTCTTGAAGTTGAAGCAGTAATTCAGAGTGATCTGGGGTATAAATTTGAGGTTCGTCAGAGGATTCGTTTGATTGAAATCTTTTGCGCTCAGCTTCCATAATTATAATTAATGAAAAAAGGATAATATTTTTATTATATGCGCTGGCTAAAAGATTGTTTAAATTCAAATTCTGGAATATTAAATGAAAAAATTATCTATATACCTCCAGAGCAGGTATGGCTCGATCTGAAACTCCCCCTCCCCCTCCCCTCCCCCTGACGGTTTCAATTTGAACGATATTGTAATTCAAAATGACAAATCCCTCACTAAGGATTTGACAAGTCAAATTTGATTTGTAGATTTCAATAAAGTTGAAACAATCAGGGGGTTGGGGGGAGGGGAGGGGGGGTTCTAAGGTCGATCTATAACCGTGCTCACGGTATATTATTTAAGTTTTTTTATTTAAAAAGGATGAATATGCGCTATTTAAATTTTAATATAAAATTTGAGTAATTAAAATCTAATAATAATGCTTCATTCAAAATTTTACTCTTTTTCTGTTTAGATAGTTATTTAAATGCTAGGCAAAGATTTATCATTATTTTTTGTCTTTTTTTACATCTTATTCCTACTTCTTGTAGTGTAATTAAATGCCAAATATATCATATTAAATTTACAAGCTAGATAACATCAAAACCCATTAGCTATTAAACAATCTTTACCATGTAATAAATAATTATTTTTATTACTCTATAAGCTACACACAATTCAATCCTCTTTACAGTGCAAACAAATCACTAGGAGTTGTCACAAAATAGCACTTCAAAGCTCTGTCAATGCTTTTTGCTACAATTTCTTTATTGAAGTTATATTGCAGCTTATCCGGGATCCTCGATTCCAAAATTTCTCTTGTAACCTCACTAACATTGATTTTTCCAGCTTCTCCTCCACTTTCCATTTTATTTGCTAATAATACATCAGGTCCATAAATATCATACCTAACAACAGTGGTCCCAATAATCCCTGCAATGACTTCACCTGTGTGGAGACCTATTCTCATGTTAAGGCTTGAGTTGTGCTCTTCATTGACCTGATTAATTATATGTATCATTGCTTGAGCCATTTTCAGCATATTCAAGCATTCTGCACTGACATCTCTGTGGATATCATTTGTGATTCCCATCACCACATAGCAATCACCAATTGTATGCACCTTATAAACATTAAATTCTATGCATTTCTTGTCAAATCTCGTAAAAAGATTTGAGAGCATCTCCACAACTTCAATTGGTGTTTTATCTGAGCTCCAAGCAGTAAACCCAACAATATCAGCAAATAGTAAAGTTACTTGGAAAAGTCTATCTTAAACTTAAACTTAAAATTACTTAGAGTGTTTAACGTGCTTCTCTGGTTCCGCAGGGTGATTTAACTAACTAAGCCACAAGGGCTCACCCCAGTAGACTCCAATTGGTGACGTCACTGGGCCTTTCCGATGTCACCCTTTTTATCGGGCCGATGGACCATCCTAAGCAAGTGGCGGCCAACTGAAGGCCAGATCGCACGGGCTGGAAAAGTCTATCAGTTGTAGCACGAAATTGCTTATATTTTTCAAGGACAAACCTCGGCATCATAAATGAGAGCAATTGTTCAGTTTTCTGGTTTTCTATGTTCGCAGCTTTGGTAAGATTGAAATTTATCCTGACTTTTTGCTCTCTTGTATACCCTGCAATTACGTTAATAAATGCAGAACTGGCTACAATGACAATATTCAGTACGTATTCTGATGCACCTCCTTTGGTTACTGCAAGAGCAAGCCATGTGAAAAAGACCACAATAAGGGATATGCAGTGGACAATAAAGTTCCCGCCTGATATATGAGATAGGATAAGAATCAGGTACATGACTTCTAATGCTGACATATCAGCTTGTGCATCAGTGTTATAACCAATGTTAAATAGAACTACAATAAGCAGCCAAACTAAGCAGATTACGATCAATAATGGATAGCACCTGAATAAATAAAACTTCCTGTGAACTATTAGGCAAACGACAAGAAATACCACATCAATGATTCTTCCAATCAGTATGGAATCTTCATTGTAGCCAGAGACATACCATCATTTAAGTCCATAGTACAAAAGCAGCAAGCAATAAGTAAAAACGGCTACGTAAAGACCATAAAATAAAACAATGGCGTTTTCTTTGGTTTTGCTGAGCCTCAGCTCTTTTTCTTCGTCTGTTTCTTTGAAGTTAAAATTAATGACTCTATTTTCTGGCTTCCTTTTGGTATTTTTGGTATTTTTCATGCTGAAATCAAACTTTTCTCTAAAAGTTTCCTGAGTCCTTTTAGACGAGTTTTCTCCTTCATTGGATGCATTGCTTGCATATGACGCTCTTGAACCAGTTGTCAATCCCCCCAGAGAAGGAACCATAAGTGATGGCTTTTTGGAATTTTTTTGTGACTCAATAATGTTATTATCAGGATTTTCATCGCTATTTTTGTCTACATAAACATAAAAAGTCTTCATTTTGCCTTTGCCTTTGGCTTCAACTTCATTTTTTAAAAAACTTAACCCTTTTGCATCTCCAATCATATTAAAAGTTTCAGTAGTTATCTGTATTTGATTCGGCAAGTCAATAGTAGAGCACATACGAGAAGCTGTGTTTACAGTGTCCCCAACTAATGAAAACTGTGGTTTATGGTGTCCTACAACTCCTGCTGTAACTTTTCCGCTATTTATTCCAATTTTTACTTGCAGTTTCCCTCCAAACTTTAATTCAATATTCTGTACCAAATCTAAAATAGCCAAACTCATCTCAATCCCTCTTCTGGCATGAGGTATCTTCCTCAGATCATCGCTCAAGTCAAACTCAAAATCTTTCAATCCTGCACAAGCCATATACGTTTTTCCTACAGTTTCAATCTTTGTTATCCCACTGGTTTCACACATCTGATCTAATGTCTGGAAAAATGTATCAAGAAAAGATGTCAGCTCGTCAGGGTTATATTCTTTACAAATTTTATCAAAATCACATATATCGCAGAATACTATTGTGACTTCTCCTTGGTCTTCTGCAATATATCTTGTGCCTTCTTTTACACGGTTTCGCACAAATGCAGGGAGAAGTTGGCTGAGAATTGAGTTGTTGCTTTGGAATTCGGCTTCTATGTCGTGGAGAAGCTTGTGCTCCATACGTTTGGATTTTTCAATTTCACGGGAAGAAATTGAAGATGTGACCGTTACAGCAGCGACTAAGGTGCAGTAGGTTAAAATGTCGAGGGCTACATGCTCTGATGAATGGCCTGAGCCGTAAGTAGATACTCCACAAGAAATGATATATAAGCAGACATATAGAAGTTTCCTATGTTTGGCGCTGTAAGGCCGATAAATTCTGATCGGAATTTATCGGTAGGTTGCACCAAATCAATGCCTTGGTCGGACCAAAAAGCGATTTGGTCCGACGAACTTGGAAAGCTCCTGGGAAAATGTCTGCGCTTTTAGCGCTATATAGAGGAAACCTCTATATAATTAAAATATGGCGTCTTCGTCTAGGTATGTCCTCACGGCCATAGATCCTCGGCACATATTTTAATTATATCCGGCAAGGTTTTTCTAGCCTTGAAATGGACAGCAATGCTATGGTAGCCAATTCAGCAGGAAGCAGAGCCTAGCCCAAGTCAGAGTTCGAGACTAGTTTTTACCTCGAGGAAAAGATTTGGAAAGGGCAAGCCCAGCAGCGTCTACAGGTAACACCTAGACCAATCGGCTAACTGCCTAGCGTGAAACTGGTCTCAGGATCTGGATTTAACCCCTTTTGCCGACAGACTACCAGAAATTCCATTTTTTGGGATTTCGGAATGCAACCTCCTCAGGAGGCCGCACAAACCCGCAGCCTGCCCACTCAACACTGGAGCTTTTTACAAGAAGCAAGGAGGAGACCGGACGGAAGGAAGGTCGCAAAGCGGGTGAATCCCCTAGGGGATCCTCGGTGATTGCGTTAAAATTAAGGGCACGAGCCCGTCTATCTAATAAGATAATAAGATATATAAGCAGACATTTAAAAGATTTAATATGCTCATAGCAAGCCAGTTGACGTCAAATACAAAAAATGACAGCTCAGTAAGCATACACGTTATCAGTGCCGATTCAATTCTAAAAGCCATTTCCATTATGAATTTTATCAAAATCGCACAAAAAATTCAGAAAATGCTGAAAAATATATAGTTCTGCTTAAAAATTTTTGTATTTGAAAACCCAAAAACTAGCAATTGAGCAAAAGTTATTATAGCACCTCCAGTGGCTGAGCCTTTCTTTTCAGTAGCTCCAGCAACAATCGTAAATGCTGCCAATAAAGCTGCTATATAAAGTAAAATTCTTCTGAAAAACACCAAATGCTCATTTGTATATCTTTCTCTATATTTTCTTTCAATATTTGGAGCATTAAAGTGCATAGAGTATTTTTTCATTTGAAATCCATCAACCTCAAATTCGCTTTTCCATACAGAAGAGTCTTTATAAACTCTTTCAAGATTGTTTGCATAGCTTGCTAACCTATTAAATTTCCCACATAATTCAGGCATAACTTTGCTGGCTTCGAAATTCCCATGCCAAAGGAAATTACAAAAATAGTCATAAGCAGACGAAATTATATAGCAAATTAAAGGAATAATGATAATTCCTACAATATTTGCTGAGGAGTCGTTCAGCTCGTCTCCAGCACCTCTGAGTTCTTTGCTAGTAAAATTGTGGGCATTAGTAATGCCGAGATAGCCTATCATGAATCCAACTGATAAAATAAATTGAGTTATAGTGATTCAGTTAAAGACATTACATAACATGAAATAATAGATTAGGGCTCTCTTCTCACCGAGATGAGCTTTCATTGAAGACTCGTCAAGCTACTAGCGCGAACCACCCTGGTTATGTAAGCATTTCCACCAGAAAAAGCTCTCCTCCGGCTTTAATGCTGTCCCGGAACCTTGGAGTATGTGATTCAGTTAAAGACATTGGTCTCTTTTCATACTTGGCATAATATTGTTAGGACCATGCATGGAAATAAGCTGAATTCAAGCAAAGATAAATCTGAACTCCTCCCTGAATCACTGACTATATAAAGGTTAACACTGACTATTAGCAATAAAATAGCAGCAGTATGTATGAGACCTAGTGCAATATAAATGGCCAACTGCTTCAAATTAAGAAATTCATTGGTGATCCCTTTTGTGTATATTCTAGGATTATATAAAATTTGTTCTTTTGAAGCTCGCTGGTTAAATATCCCTAGAGCGATAATAGGGAAAATAGTATAGAAAATATTGAAGCCTACTATAAGTCCGCCATTAAAGATAGAAAATCCTGAATAGTCAGAAGCAAGGAAAAAGCCAAAAATAATCATAGTCATTACAAAATTTTTATATTCTTTTTCCTTTGATTTAGTGTATTAATATACCTAATTAAAATAAATAAAAAATTCATACTGGTTAGACTTTATCAAATTTATATTAGAAAATAGGATAAGGTTTATATTTATTATTCATTAAAATTAGGAATATTATTTCTCACACTATCAGAAATCACATACAATAAATATAAAATTAACTCAACGAGCATATAGAGAATTCCCTAGAATCGTCCGATAAGGCAAGGAAACTCTCCAGTCAGTTGAACCAGCTCAGGTTAGCCAAACCAACTAAAGAGTTTCCCTCTCCAATCACCTGCCTTATCGGGCGATTCTAAAGAATTCCCTATATAAAAATAGAAGCACAACTTTGCTCATTTTACTATAGCTCCAATGACCATAAACAAGCAACACATTTTTAAGATAAGCAAAATGTGATATCGAGAGCTCTGCATAATTTTTAGCCTCACTTTCTTCTTTTCCAGTAATCCCCACACCTATATCTGCTTCTTGGAGCATCGAGATATCGCTGCTTCCATCTCCAATAGCTAGTACTAACGGTTTAAATCCAAAGCTGGTCTTCAGCAATTTTACCACATCAGATTTATCTTTCGGCATCATTCCAGAAAAGCACACAAATTTAGCAGAGAATAGCAACGCCACAAAGAGTTTCCTTGTTTTGTTATCTTGTACAGCAGCTCGAAAGGAAACTCTATCACAAGACATAACAAAATCTACTTGGCTTGGATTGAATTCTCCCAGATTGATGTCTTCAAAGGATATCCCAATTCTTGAGAATTTCCTAAACACAATTGGCTTGTTTGGCTGAGTTCCTTTTCTTGTTTGTGATCTATCTTCATGTAGGGATTCTGAAGCATCTAAATGCTCACTTTCCTTAAGGCTGTCGTCTAGATCTCTGCCATTGGGGTCGTTGACTTCAAGGTCGCCGATGCTGTCTACCCTTTCGATTTCTCCAATTTTTGAATGAAAAACGTAATTTTCTAAGCCTTTTTGTAGTGCTTTATATACTTGATGGGAGGCGCCCAAATTTTGAAGCTTAAAAATAGGTTCATTTTCAATTAGTTCACAAGAGATTGCTGTGGAAATGCAAGAGTTTTCATTATCCCCGCTTGCCATTCATATTTTGATCCCTGCTTCTCTTAGATCACTTATTGCAGACTTTGTATCACTTAAAACGATATCTTCAATTCCAGCAATCCCTAAATACTCCAAATTGGCTTCTAAATCTTTATATGCGTTCTCGATCCTCAATGTTTGGTTTAACAGTGAGTTTTTAGCTGCTTGGACTTTATTTTGGAAATCAGACAGCTCAAGCGCCGTAAGTTGTTTATAGGCTAACACCATTGTCCTAAGCCCCTGCTTGCCTAACTGGTCTATTTGGTTGTTTATTGTATTTATTAGGTCAGTTTCCTTTTCAAAATATTCAAGCATCGAGAAATGTGACCCTTTTATATATAAAAATGCAGCTTCTTCGTCATTTTTCTTTACAATTATTTTAGATTGCTGAGTTTCAGGGTCGAATTCTCGGGAATCAATGATAGTAAACATAGAAGAATTCTCTGGGCCTTCAATTTCGACTTGGTCTGCCATTTTGTTGCGAAGAATATAGCCAAGGCGAGCTGCACCTTCAGCTAAAGCAATTTCATCAGCTGATGGGCCGTAATATTTATTCCATTGAATTGTTAAGGAATTGCACATTGCTAAGCATCTGATAAAATTGGTCTTAAGAGAGCCAGAGTTTTCTTTTTCAAGGGATTTTCGGAGCCTTTCAAAAGAGTTGTCACATTGAGGGGATGGGTCTTGGTCATATCCTTCTCTATATGTATGTTTGGTAGAAAATGGAACTTCAGTAAGGTTTTTCTGTCTTCCATCATCAGAAACTGCTGAAAGACGGTTTTCAAGGGTATCTGAAGGAGATTCATCATCAACGTATTCTTCAAGTCCTACAAAGCAGGCTTTAAGCATGAGCTGGTTTTCAGTCAAAGTTCCAGTCTTATCAGTGATTACATATTCCACTTGCCCCAAGTTTTCATTGACATTGGTAGACTTAAACTCAACGTTTCCACACATTTGGTACGAAATCAGCTTGCTTTGGAAAAGCCTAATAAAATCCATCACCACAAATAGCGAAATTGGGAAAATATTGCTATAAAGGATCAGGTATACGACTAGAGCCTCAAGGAAGTGGTAATTTCCAAAGTCACTTTCAGAGGCATAGTAATAGAGGAACAAAGAAATGATAACTAGAATAATTTCAAAGGCCAAGATATATACCACCCATTTGTTGAGCAGCTTTTCGAGCTTGCTGGTTTTTCGTAATTGATTTCTGATATTCATCTGAATTTTGCAATTTTCTCCAGCGTATACTACAAATCCTAGTGCCCATGTTGTATTTTTAAGTACTGAGCCTCTCATCAGCAAATGTTTAATTTGTATTTCAATTCCTTTGGGATGCCCAGCCAAAATCATTAGCCCTTGGAAACTCAAAGAAATAAAATGATGACGTTGACGGAAATTGGACTCCGAGGCAACACCTCCTGATGGAGCAGTGGACCGGTGAGAGAGATGGCGAAATGCGCCTTTAGGGCTCAAGTAGACTGTCTCAATGGAAAGCTTGCCGAAGCAGGGTGTTTTGTTTCTCCCCCGAAGGTTTTCCCTGTCCCTGCCAGATGGGCTAGACAGGTTTTGCCTACCACATGGTCTTTCCTCATCGGGACCATCGGGACGCTCGCAAGAAGTGGCTCTGCCCAGGAAGAGCTAATCTCCTGGACAGGTAGTTCAGGCTGGAAATCCAAAATGGCGTCATGCCATTTTTGAAGCCGAGACGGGGCGTATGGTCAGCGCCTGCAGGAGTGCTTATGGCCGGATACTAAATATTCTTAATCTTAATCTTGGAAGCTCAAGACATCTCTATTGGCTTCTTCCACTTTGACCGACCCATACATTTTTTCAAGCTTTACGCCTAAGTCAGCTCCTCCACTTAAAAATTTTTGTGTCTCAGATAAAGCTTGCCTTTCTATGAGGTTTCCATTTCCCAACACACTTGTGGTATCAATATAAATATTACAAGACTCATTACTGCAGGCTAATAAAACCATGTCGGCAGGCACTGTTTCTCCATCATTTACAAGCACAAACATGCCGACTTCGAGGTCTCCTGACTTGATTTTTTCAAAAGTGACGCCATTCCAATGGAGGTATTCTACTGAGTTAACTTTAATGTCTTCTTTATGTCTATTATAGTCATCTTTAGCTTCTTTTATAAAGGACAGGCAGATTAAAAAGGCTAGCGGAGCTATTGTGGTTCATGGGTCAACTGGATTGAGGTCTCAAGGTATAAGTTGAAGAACTGATATAAACAAGAATCAAATATTGGGCAATCGCTGAAATTGCTCAAAAAGGTTTCTTGGAATGATAGTGAAAAAATTATAGCGGGCAGATATAACTGTATTGCTAGGGAATATGCTGGAAGGGTGGCCGTTTGAACCGTCGACTAATATTTCACTCCAGTTAACTTCTTCAGGATTAAGCATATTTATTATGAGACTCGTTATTCACTATTTTCGAATTTTCAACATATTCTTCGAATTAAAACGCATAAGAATTATTGAATAATTTACTCCCCCCCATCCTTGATCGAACGATTGACTGTAAAAATTCCTAAAAAGTGGGGAAATTAACCCCCATCCTTGATCGAACTATTTTTATATCATGCAAATTTTTATATATATAAAAATATATTAGTTATCAAAAGCTTGGGAAGATGTACCTAATAAAGTTGCTTTCAGAGCTTTGAAACGACAAAAAGCTGAGGAATCAACCATCCGAAGCGATTTAGTCATCAACCTAGGCTTAAAAACTCAATAATCTAATAAAATAGAGATTCTTTAAAAATTAAAAAAAAAAAAAAAATAAATTTTAATTCAATAAAATTTATATAGTTTAAAAGGGTAACTAATAAATCAAAATATTAAAAATTGATATTTTATGAAATTAATTCAATATTTTGCTCTAAAAATAATTATTAAATACTCTTAGCCCTCTTATTTAACAGTAAATAAAAAACAATATATATATAATTTTTTTTCCCAAAACAAATTTTTTAACCACCATCCTTGATCGAACGATGGCGAGTCGTTCGATCAAGGATGGGGGGGCAGTTAGGAAAATTATGGAAAATTATTATCCATCTTGAGAATTCGAAAATTGAGATTAAAACAAGAAGAAAGATTAATATTTTTTATGAAAATAGAGAGAATAAGCTTACTTAATATTCCTCATCTTCCATATGAAAACCTCCAGCTACTTCTTCATTGAGCACGTCATCATATTTTCTGTAATTCGGAATTCCTGCTATTTGTGTAGAATTCGATAAAATTTTTTCTTCACCCCAGTTAACCAAATCTTTAATCCCTCCAACTGTGACTTCTTGGATATGTTCAAAAGTATCAGGATATAAATAAAAATAAGTCCCGGCACTTATGAATATAAGGAAAAATAAAATCCTGAAGGTTAGATCACAGCAGGAAATTCCACGTTTTCTGTAAAAATAAATAGGAGAAAGTGTTTCCCAGAATCCAGCCTATATAGAAATTTACTCTGTCATCGTACATGTTAGGGAAAATCCAAAATTCAATACCGAAAATAAATAATAAGCCGAATACTATGTATCGAATCAGGGTTACTCCGAGAATTAAGCATAAAAGAATAACAGATAAATACCATAAGCCTAATTTTGCCCAGATTGGCCAGATAGGGAAGCAGCAGGCTAAAATAACGCCGATAACTAAAAACATTAGTAAAGGAGCCTGCCACCATTTCTTCTTACTCTCTTTTTATTTTTTTATAATTTAATATGGGATTTTCCCATAAATGATGCTATTTTGGCCTTGATTTTCCCACTGGGAAAATTTTTTGGTTTGACCAAACCATATGGTACTGGCCGAGTCAAAAAATTTTTTCAGTGGGAAAATTAAGGCCAAAACAACGCCATCCACAGGAAATTGCAATACAATTTTTCCTCTGTCAAAAATGTCTAAATACGATTAATTATTTATAAAGATTTAGCTACCTTCTCGCTTCATAAATAAAAACCTTCTTTTTCAAATTTCCTAATCCTTGATGGGAAAAGATTCAAAGGAGTTTTTGATTGCTCATTTCTGAAGGCAGCTTCTACCCTTATAATTAACTTGTTTTCGACAAGTCTGCATATATTTTACTCATCTGCAAAGTCAGAAATATCTTTGGCATTGCTGAGATCTTTATTGTAATGTACCCATTCTTTGTTTTTGAATACACAAAGCATGAAGTCCTTGCCTTTGAAATATGTGACTTTTTTGCCTTGAAAGTTCGAAGTGCGCTCTCTGAGGCCTAGGCTTCTGATTTTACGACAGAGATGCAAAAGCTTCTCGGCATTTTGATCACTCATTATATTATTTGTTTAAAAAATTATCACTAGAAAAGCTGATATCCAAAGTTTGTAAAAAAAACGCTTACTATGCTTTTGCTAAAGGCATTCTATTGCCAGCCTGTCTGGTAGCTGTATATTTTATAATAAAAATTAATATTTTCTAATTCGATGAAAATCTCCTAATGTAAAAGAGGAAGTAAATTATTTTTTATGATATTTTAAAAGCTGTGCTAAACTCCAATAAATATAATTATCGTTGCTCAGGGAATCCTTTAATGTGTCAGTAAACCATAATTTAGGTTTTATTTGAAGATTTGTGAAAAATAGAATAATGAATGCTATAATCTGAATAGACTATGCAATCATAATCATAAACGCAGATGAAAAAGCAAGAAGTGATACTCTATAATCTTTCGTATCATTTTGCGCTGCATAAAGGCTTGCTCAAGCACCTTCATTATGCAGTCTTTAGAATTCTGAATATGGATACTGCTCGTAATAAACTGAATAATGATTAAACTATTTATACCACTTGCATTCCAATAAAGCTTTGGCATTGTTGCGTATAATCTCTCATTGAGTGGTATTTATTTATATTTTGAATATGAATTCATTTTTTCTAAGGCTAAGCAATTAAGAATAAGGCCGATCTCTAGAGAACAGGTTACAATAAGCCTATTTTACTACCGATTAAGCTAAGGAGATTAAAATAATAATCTTATTAAGGCTACATTATAATATTATAGCTCCTTTCCCCAAGAGCAGCTCTTTTAAACCCATTATTCTTCCTCACAGGAGCAGGGCCATTATTTTCTCCATATCTATCTTTTGACGTATATTCAGTCTCAATCCCTTTCATCATCATTTTTTCTTTTATTTCTGCAGCCCATTGGATTTTCACTTTATCTTTTGAATGGTGAAGATTTTTCAATAAATTATTATAAACGTCTTCAGCCAGTCTTACATTTAATGCAAAGCTATCATTTGCGATTCTATATGCTGCATCAAGTTGTCTAGCATAGACACAGCCATTAACAAGGGTGTTAAAAGTGACTTTATCTCCTTTGACTCCGTTATTTTTCATATCTTGATAAATTTCTAATGCTTTATGGATCTGTTTAGATCTAATACAAGCTTGTAATAAGCAGGTATATACGATCATTCCTGGGGCGACTTTTACTTTTTTCATATCTTCTAACACGTCTAAAGCTTTATTCACTTGCTTATTTTTTCCATATAGCTTGATTAAAATAGAAAACGTCACATTGCTTGGTTTTATTCCAAGATTCTGCATATCTAAATATAGATTTTGTGCGAGTTCGGAGTTTCCTGACTTCGCGCAGCCGTCTAATAAAGAGTTATAGAGGACCTCGTCAGCTTGAATATTGTGGTTTTTCATCTCATTCATTATCCCTATAGCTTTTTCGATCTCGCCTGACTTGCAGAAGCCTTTAATCATGGTAGAAAATGAAATTAAATCAGGAGCCATTAGTTTTTGCATTTCTTCAAATAATTTGGAAGCAACTTCCATATCTTCACATCTCACAGCGCAGTCTAATAATGAGTTATAAGTTACATTATTTGGCTGAACTGTCAAGTCTGCTTTCATAGTCGAAAACACTTCAAGAGCTTTCGATAAATCTTGGGACTTTGAAAATCCCTTAATCATTGTTGTGTATAATATCGTGTTCAGGGCAATGCCTTCTTCTTGCATTGTACTAAATACTTTTTCAGCTGTCTCAATTTCACCTGACTTTACACAAGCGTCTAATAACTCCCCCTCTTTAAATCGGAACAAAATCCTTTCAATTAAAGGCTATAAAAATATTTTATTAAAATTTTTAAAAAATTAGTTAAAAATATCTATAGCGAAATTTTTTTAAAAATAAATTCTAAAATTTTTAAAATCTTTAAAATTAAGCGCAATACTTTGAATTTTAATTTATTTTTATTAGAATTTAATTCAAAAAATTAATCGATTTTGTTTAAAAACTATTTAAATAACATTCTACAGCAATTGCTCATTAAATGAGGTCAAAACTAATTATATATTAGTATTTTCATCTCTAAAGTTTTCCTTTTGATATAAAATTTGGTTCCAATTTAAAGAAGAGCTAAAGCACCCAAAAAATCAAAATTTTATCTATATTTTGTTCCAATTTAAAAGGGGGGGAGTAAGCACCCATAAGTGACATCATTTGGCTTGAGGTTGAGCACCTTCATTTCTTCAAATGCAGATAATGCATTTTTCATCATATTAGCTTGTCCATAAGCTTTTATCATAATCCCATATGTAATTGAGCTTGGCTGGACCCCATTTCCATGCATTTTTTTGAAAATTTCTTTTGCTTTAGCTAAGTCGCCGAATCTTACACAAGCGTCTATAAGACAGTTATATAAAATTTCATCAGGCTTTGACTCACAATTTTCTAAAAGTTTAAAAGCTCTATCAAGCTCCGCAGTGCATTGTTCGCCTTTGATGCCTTTAACAAGTGTGGAATACGTAAAATTGTCAGGGCAAACTCCCATGCTTTGCATTTCTTCTAGAATGTCCCATGCTAGACTCATTTTGTTTGTCTTCACACATGCATCCATTAAGGAGTTATAAGTGACTTCATTGGGTTTTAGGCTATTTTCTTTCATTTCTTTGAGGATTTCAAAAGCTTTTTCAAGCTGCTTTGTCTGTCCGAAGCCTTTGATTAAAGTGTTATATACCATTTTTACTAGCTTATAAACTTATTCACAGGGCTGCTATGTATATTTTTTATTAAAAACTCTTTAGAGGCTTTATATTTATTTGGGAAAAATTGATTAAAAATAAATAGGAAATTTCATCAGGTTTAGATGATGAAATTTTCATTTCTGTGAAAAGTTCTAAAGCTTTATCAAGTCTTTTAGCGCTTACACAAGTGTCTAATAAACAATTATAGAGAATAACGTCTGGGATTACTGCTGAATTTCCTTTAAGCTCAGTAAGAAGCTCGAAAGCTCGAATTAAATCAGCATTTTCCCCTTCAGATTTAATGCCTTTTATTAGTGTAGAATAAGGGCTACATGTCTTTTCCCTTTAGAAGCATTTCTCTTGTTGGTATTCCCTGCGTAGTTTGTTTGGGATATTTTTCTCATCAGATTTTTGATCGAAAATAATTATTGCCAAGCAAATACCTCACAGAGAAAAGTTTAGAACGAATTGTGCCGAGTAATATCTACGAATAGAAAAACGATTAAAAGATTTATTACGTAGAATAAGTAAAGTTGTCAGGGATGGCACCATTGGCTTTCATTTCATCAAGAAATGCCCATGCTTGATCCATTCTGCCGCTTTTTACACAAGCATCAATTAAGGAATTGAAAGATTCTAAGGTCGGTTTTACATTATGAGTAATCATACTTGTATAAACAGACAAGGATAAAGGAAGCCTTAAAGTCTTGGCACAGCAATCGAGGACTGCATTGTAGACAGAAATATCTGGGGTTATTCCAGATGTTTCAATATCTTTTAGAAGTTGGTAGGCTTTATCAATCTGATGGGATTTTGTTAGAAAATTAATTTTCTTGATGTAGAATTTGGTTGCTAACTTTGCAATTGATAAAACCAATATTTATATTTTTTAAATAAATTTACGAGCCATTTTTAAATTGTACTTAAAAAATATAAAAAGAATTCTATATAAATTAATGAAGGAAAAAAATCTATTGGGGAAGGGTAAGTTTTCTTCTGATTCTTCTATAGGCTTTTCAATCTTTTCCACTCTTACGGTGGATTCATATATTTGGGATAGGCTTGGCTCTGATGGTTTTGACTCCGTTGCATAAAAGGCTAAAAATAAATAACCAAGTACAAAGCACATTATTCCAAGGAGTTCAGGAATATACGGAGCAATAAGATCAGAAAAGGACGATATAACTTCGCTTGACATTTTAATTTTAAATTATGAAGAATTTTAAATATGAAATTAAAATGGACGTTAAAGAAAAATGGAGCTCAAAAACATTAGAAATAAGTAAAAATAAAGGTCTTGGCCCTAAAAAAGTATATTTGGGGAATTAAATTAATTTTTAAACATTGGATAAATATACCACTATAATTTAGAAACAAATTTTTTATTAATTTTATATTGTTTTAATAATTGAATTGAGAGACAGGTATTTAAAAAAATCCTATAAATATGAAAAACATTTTTTATAGAGACTGTTCTAAATAAAATGCCTGCAATATTTACAAGATATATTAATAAGAATTGATATAGAGTAGCATGAGAAATGCACAAGTGCCTGTTCAAAGCCTCTATATAGTTAATTATAATATTTATAGCATTTAAACAATTGCAAATTCATAAATGAAGAGCACAATAATCGTTATTAAAAATAATCAAATATATGATTTATTTCCTAGTTGCATATTTAACTGATGATTTTATGTGCTAAATATTTATTTCACTCAGAAATATTAACTCCCCCCCCCAATCCTTGATCGAACGACTGACTGTAAAAATTCCTAAAAATTGGGGAAATTAAACCCCATCCTTGATCGAACGATTTTGATATCATGCAAATTTTTGTATATATAAAAATATATTAGTTATCAAAAGCTGGGAAGATGTACCTAATGAAAGTTGTTTTCAGAGCTTTCAGACGACAGAAAGCTGCGAAATCAACCATCCGAAGTGATTTAGTCATCAACCTAGGCTTAAAAGCTTAATAATCTAAAAATAGAGATTCTTTAAAATTTAAATAAAAAAAAAACTTTAATTCAATAAGGAACAAATTAAAATTTATACACTTTAAAAGGGTTAATAATAAATCAAAATATTAAAAATTGGTATTTTATGAAATTAATTCAATTTTTTGTTGTAAAAATAATTATTAAATACTCTTAACCTTCTTATTTAAAAGTAAATAAAAACAATTTATATATAGCTTTTTTATTTTATATATAAATTTTTTTTTCCAAAACAATTTTTTTTAACCCCCATCCTTTGATCGAACGATGGCGAGTCGTTCGATCAAGGATGGGGGGTAGTAAGAAAATTTGTAATTATAATTTTTAAGCTATTTATTAAAACATAGATTTCTAGAGTCTTCATTTTTATATAAGAAAAATCAATTAATCTCATCTTAGAATTTTTATTATAGATTCTAACTAAGAAACCTGAAATCAAACTTATACCTAAATCAATAGATAATTATAAACATGCTCTTAATTTTTATCGTTTTATTGTAAGAATACTCTTCTAACTCCACTTATCTGTTGGCATCTATTATTAAACAGCTATGAAGATCAGCATTCCTGTCAAAAATTTCATTATTACCCTTGTTCTATCACTATGCTCTCTTAACTTATTTTTCACTCGACATTTGTCGAGATAATAATAAATGGCTTCCAGCTGCCTATTCTTTATTTCATTATTTTTAATCATCTCAGCCCAAGAAGACTCCGAAATAATCGAATACGATTCCATTGGAACTCTTAGCCAATACCTCAATTTTGACCAATTTTCTCCTTCACCACTAAATGACGCGTCTTGTCCATCTTATGCATGTAAGACGTCTAAAATGACTTTTGATAAAAACCAATGCGTCTATTATGATGCAGCCGACAATGCTTATTATGCCAAAAAATGCTCAACAAAAGATACTCATTGCAACATCACTTTAAATGCAAACTCAGTCTGCATACCAGATCCGGAGCCAGATATTATACTAAACTACCCTGGAGAGTCCTGCAAGAGTAGTGATAATTGCTTTAATTCTTTCCCTTGTGTTAATAAAGTCTGTCAAGGCTTAAGCCAAGGAGAAAGCTGCAGCAATACTATTTTTTGTGATGTCGGGCTATATTGCAATACCCCAACAGCAGGCCAAAATGGGACCTGCCAAGCACAAATTGACATTGGAAAATCAGGCTGTTCGGTTGATTTTGACTGTGTAAACGGTGCTGGATGTAATGTTCTAACCCCAGGGTATTCCACTTCTAATGAGTGCATAGCTTATCATTCAATTCCGCCTCATCAAGCTGTTGGGACTTGTGATGTGCACTCTATGAGTGAGCTCTGTCAATCTGAGTACTGTGAAAGCTTAAAAGGAGTCAATTATTGTACAAATTTACTTAACTCTACTCAAAAAATCCCTGTTAAATGCAATGCAAATACTCCGTGCTTATCAGCAGCTGACGATTTCTTTGAAGCAGACCCTTTTCAAATAAATGATAATTGCGTCTGTGGGTTTAATAAAGACAGAACAGCATATTGTCCTATTTTCCCTGGCGATTCTCCAAGAGTAAAGCTTAGAATTCAGCAAGATAAATGGCTAAGCAGCACAAAAATTAATAGCTGCCATACAATTAGAAGATTTGCCCCAGAATGCCAAAAGCTATACTGGAATAGTGACGATTTTTATGCACTGGAGTATTATAGGGCGTATTCTATGTTGTTCCCATTCGTTCAGGATGCGCAAGATTGTATCCTTCAGACATTTTTCATAGATTATTATAATACCAAAAAGAGCTATAATGATGATGGTGCGGTCTCAATAGTGATTTCAGCGATATTATTAGGGTTTATAATATAAGTTAATTTTAAGCTTAAACATTTCTTTATAAAAAATATTTTTCTACTATTTTTAGTAGAAAATTTATATAGCCAATTTTATTGTATACAAAAATTTTAATTAATATGAACATTTATTGATATATTTGTATATCTCAGACATAAATTAAAAGTTTCTTACATTTTGATTAATTTCCCTATAAATTGTTAATTACAATCAGCTTTTTAATCAGTAACGCCCAAAAAGGTCTCACCCCAATACCAATAATATAATCAATAAATGGCATCTCTGCTAACTTATCTCTTTATCTTTTCCGTTTTCTATACTGCATCTTCTCAAGATCTTCTCCTTGATTCTTTATCTCTAAAATATTCAGATATTTCTGACCTTGATCCTTTATCCCTTGACCTTGATATTCCAGCATGTCCATCCTATACCTGCAAAAGAAAAGATCAATCTTTTACTAAAAAAACCTGCATTTTTTACAGTGCAGATGATGATACTTTTTACGTCGACAAATGCGCTGATAAGACTTTTTCTCTATGCAACCCAACCCAATCACTTGTAAATTCTACATGCACAATCCCGCAGAGGACAGTTATCCCATTAAGCTGGCCAGGAGAAAAATGCCATAACGCGTCAGACTGTACCACAGGGTGCATTGCCTGCAAAATGGGATTTTGTATTGCCCAGCCTGAAGGATCTGGTTGTACCTCCTCTATGGAATGCAATGCAGGGCTTTTTTGTTCAATCCCAACTGGAGGCACTGGAGCTTGTGCACCCCAAATACCAGTAGGTGGGGTAGGTTGTACAAGTGATTATGATTGTGTAAATGGAGCTGGCTGCAATATAACGACACCTAATAGTGCTTCAGCTACTAATGTCTGTATACAATATTATACGTTAAAACCTCACGAAATTGTGTCTTCCTGTGTATCAAATTCAAATTTGTTATGCTCCTCTGGGATATGCAAAACTCAGTCTGGAATCAGCTATTGCAGCAATTCATTGGCATCAGAAAACTCAAATATACCGAATACTTGTCAGCGTGGATCTGTGTGCTCGTCAATTGCTGATAATTTTTTTACGACTCCTTTTGCGCTGACTGGACCTTGCCAATGTGGGCTAAACTCTAATGGGACTGCTTATTGCCCAATTTTCCCTGGGGATGCTCCGTATTTGGAATTTATAAACCAGTCGAAAAAAGGGTATAATAGCACTGATATAGCAAAATGCCATACGCTGAGGAGGTATACTTATCAGTGTAGAGAGCAGCATTGGGATAAGAAAAACTATGACAAGTTGCAGTATTATTTCACTTATGTAAATCATTACCCAGTAGTCCAGGAGTCTCCAGAATGCGTTGTGAAAATGTATCAAAGTGATTATTATCAAGCCAAATTAGAATATAATGATGAATTTGGCAGTGCTACTGCTATAGGAGTTTCTATTGTATTAGCACTAATTGCTGGATAATTTAAAATAACTTAAATTCCTCATATGGAATTTATAATGCTTATTCTGAAAATAAAATTTCTTTTTAGTTTATATATCATGTATAGAAATGCATTTTTCTTTTTTTCTCTATTTCTGTTTCTCTCTTGATCAAAACTTCTACTCAGCGGCTCATACACATCTCCAGGTACTTATCAAATTGATATTTCAAATGACTTAGCCCTTGCCTACATCTATATAGAGCTTTACAATTACTCCCCAGAAATCCCTTTACTTTCTGCTAACATAGGATCTTCTTCAGATATTGTCTGAAACCCTACAAATTCCAGCTGAAAATGTGATGCTTCCTATATTGATTGGAATTCTTGGATTTTCAATAAAACTTATAGCCATCTGCTATTACAGCCTCTTGGGCGCTTATCAAAAGAAAAAACAGCTTATATTACAATAAGTTTCCATTCAAATATGAATATCATGTATAATTTATATGTCAACTCATATAGTAACATATAGTCAGATAACCCCGTTTGTCCTAACTCTTGCAGCAATAATGGGAAGTGCGACCAGGGGATATGCAAATGTGATGATGGATTTGGAGATGACGACTGTAGCGTGACACTTATAGAACTGGAACTAAATAAAGCTTATGGGGTAATCGCAATAAACAAGTATAAATATACAGAAATTGGCCATGTTAAAGGAGAAGATTTAGAATGCAGATTTTTTAAGTATGATTATGGAAATGTGACTGTTTATTTTAAAAATTCAGGGGATGGGATTAGCAGTTTGCCGACAGCAAAAGATTATTCAAAATTTTGTGAAGTGAATACTGCTAATCAGGAGACTGTTTGTGAGTATTCACTTGCGAAGTATAATAGCTCTGACTTTCCCTATTTAATAAACTCACTATTTTTGCTCATTACTAGCTTTGGGAATTATTTCAAAAAATATATGAAATCTGTCTTAATATTTATTCTTGGAAAAATCTGTAGGCTTTGCTAGTTTTATATGGGAGAAGTAGATTATATTAACGCTTAAGAGTAGTTTTCGGAATTAAAGAAAAAGCTGATATTTTTCTCTCCTTGTTTCATCCTCAGCCACCTTGTAGATCTAATCCAGTGGGCCACAGGCTGCTATAAGCATAGAATAAATCGAATTGGGTAACAGTGTCACTCGTCTTGTCTTTCTAACCTGAAAATTTAGGAAAAAACTCTGGACAAATCTTGGCCAAATGGAAACACACCCAGAGCACAGCACTATCATTCCGCCGGTTAGTTACTTGATTGGTCTCGTGGAGTGCTAGGCTCTGCTGGGTGCTCCTTTCGAACTTCCAGTCTCCATCTTCCCATGAGGTAAAAAACAGTCTTGGAAATGAGCTTGGGCTAAGCTCTGAGCACCTATAATTGCTTACCTAGCATAGCTGTCTTCCTTAAGCTGGCAAAATCGTCGCCAGATATAATTAAATAAGCACTCGAAGCTTGCTGGATGGAAGGCAGTCTATGATGAGATGCTATATTTAATTATAAATAGAGAGAAGTAAATGATATATTTCAATGATTTTAAATCAAATTGATTCTAGTGCAATGGTTTCTATTTTATGTAGCACAGAAGAAAAGTCAAGATCGCTATGAACACTACTATGGGTTTTATTAAGCTTAGGAATCCTTATAATTGCAATTATAATTGCTGTAATTGCCTTTACTCCCCCCCCTCGAAGTTCGACCAAGATATAGGGAAAAATTCCTATTTTTTTGGAAAATTAACCCCCCTCAAAGTTCGACCAAGACCTATATAAATTTACTAGGAAAATAAGCAATTTTTCAAAAATTTTAAACTATGTGGAGGTGAGCTTGCGATTTTTGTATTCAAGTTCTAAAAAAGCGTTACAAAACCATCTTGCACTATTTTTTCTAACCCTTACACCCTCTCAACCATACAGAAGAATATGATAAATTTTTATTTTTTTAACTACTAAATTATATAAAAAAAAATTTTCTTAACCCCCCTCGAAGTTCGACCAAAAAAAATCTTGGTCGAACTTCGAGGGGGGGGAGTTAGAAGACTCAGAAAAAAGAGTCAGGTTGTTCCTATTATAGAGCCAAGAGTTCCTGATCCTAATGAGAGACAAAAATTAAATGAAAAATTTCCTTGTGTTTCATATGAGGATTTAAAATTATTCTAAATTACAATAAATTAGATATTAAACAAATCATTAAGAATTTACAATAAAATTAATTAAAATTGCTATATAAAAAACCGAAGAAAAATGCAGCATCTGCCAAGAATCGTTCACTAGCTCTTCCATAGTCCGAAAGCTTGAATGCCAACACCTTTTCCATCAACGCTGCATTGATGTTTGGTTCGACACCAGCACATTCTGCCCTCTCTGCAAAAAAGATTACAAACCTCTCCTAGACCAATACGAAAGAACCCACACTAATGTATCAGGACTTTCCATAAATTTAGATGTCAGCGAAAGAACTTGGCTTACCCAATAATGTAAAATACCTTTTCTCTATATTAAATAATATGGAAGATATTTCAATTCTCAAGCAGCAAATAGATGAACAAAAATCAATGATGCAAGCCAAAGGCCTTAATTGGACTGGCGTAGATAGCTTATACACTAAAATCTTAGAAATCCGATGTATTGTTGACGATTTTTCTGCAAACGATAATATTGAAAAATCTAAATTTTATGAGGATTTAGCTCCACAGCTTGATGAGCTTGAAAATTATGTGATTTTTGAAAAAAGATGTAGCGAGCTAATAGAAAAAGAAAGAGAAAAAGAAGCAATTGAGCACTTAAAGCAAATGAATGAGCTGAAAGAAAATTATCTGAACTCGATGCTGAGGTTAGAAGATGTAAGCACAAAATTAGTGAAATCGAAAAATATTCTGCTGAAAGAAATAGAAAAAAATAAAAGTATCCAAGAAGAAAATGATAAGCTTGGATATAGCCCAGGGTGCCTTTAGCTCAGCATGAGCGCTGTTTTAGAAAAACAATCTAAGTTATTAAAAATGGGAAATTATATTTTAGATTCTTGATTTTCGCTAAGCTTTAAAAATCAAAAACTAGCTGAATAGAGCTTTTAGAGGTATTTAATTCTGCAGATAAACCAAGAAAAGACGAATATTAGCGAAAAATATCAAGCTTTAACCAATAATATTCAAAATAACAGAGAAATAGGTAACGGAAGCAATGGAGATCAGTATGATAGCTTAAGAGCTGAAAATAATTATTTGAAAGATACTGTTCATGAAAAATCTGAAGAAATAAATAGGCTGAAAGAAAGAAATGCAACTTTAGAAAGTGAGTTAAAATCATTGAGAAGACAAGAAATGAGGCTTGAATAAATTTTGGGCTTATATAACTTTAATAAATTTCTTTTGATAAATGCTATGAAATAGCTTCTCTAAATAGAATCTTATAGAGCAATAAACATATCTTGTCGAGAGCAAAGAAGCTGCTATTGATATTTTTAGATAAAGCTCTGCTTTTATAAGCAGAAATTAAACTTATTATTCTAATTAAGTCTTGGAATACTGCAAATATAAAAATATTTCGAACTAAATTAATAATTTTCACTCCTCTTTTAGAGGATACAAATAACTCATAATTCACCAAGAGAGATTTTATAATTATTAATTTTATTAAAAATTTTGGGAAATTATTTTCAACATAAATAAGAAAAAAAAATCATTTTAAATTTAGCAGAACTAGCCAGAGTTTTAATTAAATAATTATTAATCTACCGAAATAAGTAAAAATTTCGAGGTTAAGTTGGGATTTTTTCATTAACAAAGAGTGAAAAAAATATCAAGAAATATGCTGAATTTTCTCGGTATAGCAAAATTCATAAACAAATATTATGCGTTGGCATAATTTCGGGAGGGTCTCCATGTTTGGAACCAAAATCCCATATGTGGATTTTTCGCACTTGAGTTACTCCACATATTAGGTTTTGGTTCAGCACACGGGTAATGCCCCACGTATGGAGCCACTCAAATGTGGAAACTCAGCATGTGGGATTTTGATTCCACACTGCCCTATATGTGAGAACCTCCCGAAATTATGCCAACGCACAACATAAATAATAAATCAAGGCAATGCTCTATCTTTTATTAATCATTGAATTTGTATCTAGTTTTACCCCTGACAGGCTGCCAGCAACAAATCCTCCACCAGATGCCCGTGCTTTTGCCTTGATGGACAATTTTCCATCCCTTAACCTTATCATGGTTTATGGTGGCTACTCTGATCCTACTAATTCTATTTACGGAGATATATGAACTTTTAATATATCAGCTGAAACTTGAGAACGGCTGATTCCTTCAGATGGGATTTCTCCTAGTAATTTCTAATTCCCCCTTTTAAATTGAAACAAAAAATACTATTCCAATTTAAAGGGGATTAATTATATTTTTAAAAAAAGCATTATGAATTTTTTATGCAATATTTTAATATTTAATTTATTTTTATGAAGAATTAATTCAAAAAATTAACTAAAATACTTAAAAAGCATTCTATTTATGGTTTTTCCATTAAATTAGGTTAAAACTGTATAAAATTTTGTATTTTTTCAACAATAAATTATTACTTTTAAAAAGAATTTCCTTCAATTTAAAGGGGGTTAATGCACTAAAAAATGTAAATTTTACCTATATTTTGTTCAATTTAATTGGAGGTGAGTAAGCAGCTGGAAGATATAGTGGCGGCTCTTTTGGTCTTTTATCACAAGACTTATATTGTATTTTTGGAGGAATGTCGCTTACAGGACCTATAAACGATCTATGATGCTTTCAAACTAAAGGATTTTTATGGAACCAAATTACTACTTCTGGAGATGCTCCTACACCAAGAATGAGGTTTGGATATACTTCTTTTTATGACAAAAACAATGTTTTGCAGTTTGTGGTTTTTGGAGGTGTAACTATATCAGGGGTTGATATAGGAATTTCTTATAAATAGTCATTTTTTATGCATAAATGATTTTTTGACTATTTATAGTAAAGAATTATAGTAATCTTTACATGTAAATTTCATATAGCCTTAACACCTCAACTTGAGTTTGATCTGCAATAGAAGTAGAAGGCGATACTCCTTTAAACTCTGAAGAGCCATCACTAGTTTACTATAATAAAAAACTTTATACAGCTGGTGGAGGAAATACCTATGCAAAAATTTCACATAATGAGGCATTGCTTTATTTTGATTTAGAATCAAGCGATAAGAAATGGCACAATATCACGTCTAGTAACACTTATACATATAGAATTTTCAATGGGAGCTTTTTAAAAGGTTCTGAATTATATTTGATGATGGGCTATTCAACTGATAGCAAATCTCATGAAAGCAGCTGATATAAAGTTGACTTAGAAGATCCGGACTATGACTGAAAAACAGTTTCCATTTCTGAAGATATAAATAGAAATTTAGAAATTGACAGTTACGGCTGAACTCTTATTGAGAACACCTTATATATTTTTGGAGGAGATAAAAATCCACCTTTAATTAACCAATTAGCTTAATTTAACTTAAATGCAGGTTTGACTGCTGCCTATTGGTAATGTAATCACCAAGGACCTCTTAGCGAATTCGCTTTGCCAAGTCGATAGGTGAACTTTTTTTAGATGGGATGAAAATTCTCTTGACAAGTTAGTTCGAACATCACCTTTCCTTTTTTTCACTGCCTAATTCCGCTCTGTGTCTCCATCTTCTCCTTGCCCTGCAGGCTCCAGTATTGGCTGAGCAAATGTTTGCTCCACAAAAATCTGAAAAATGGAACCCTTCGCAAAAAGGTAACTATCTAAGCCTGAGGCTTAACTCTCAGTTGAATGCTAGGAAGTTGCCTAATTAATCCAGACATTATCTTAGACGATGCTGGGCTTTCCCTTTCCAATCCTGAGCCCAGCTTAATCATCTACGCATTATCATATTGATTACCTAGCATAGCTGCCCGTTTCTAGTAAGATATAAATAAATATATGCGCGAGGCTGTATAACCAGAAGGCAATGCCCAGGCCTAGAGGTCATATTTAATTATAATTAACCAACTAGCAATACTTGATATATCAGTCTCCCCAATAACTTTTTCAGTTTTTGAGAATTACTTATCACCTACCTCCAGAATGTATCATTCACTGCAGCCAATTGGGCCTAATTTATATTTATTTGGTGGTTTAGGTGATAATGGGAATATTTATAACGATTTTTGAGCTTTTAATGTCATGAAAGAAGAATGAAGCCTAATAAATTCTCAAGGACAAGTTCCTTCTAAAAGGTACGGATATGCGTCAGCTGTAAACGCTGATATTATGCTTGTATGAGGTGGGTATAGCCAAGAAGGATATTTAAATGATGGTTATATATATGATATAACTTCAGAAAAATGATATGCTATATCTTACACAGGCACAGCTCCAAGCCCAAGGGTCGGCGCCTGTGCTGATTTTATAGGCTGATTTATTTATATATACGGCGGACTAACTGAAGGCGGTCTATCAGACGAACTGTGAGCTTATGATGTGACCACAGAAACATATAGCCTCATTACTAGTAAAAGTGGCCCAGGAGCTCTTTATTTTTCTACCTGCAGCGCTGATATACACAAAGTTTTATGGGTCCTATATGGTGAAAGTGATGATGACACCCCAACTAACAAAATTTACGGCTTTGATACAGGAAAAAGTTCATGAATAAAATATAATGATGACACAAGTGATACAACTTATAGCAGAAGCAGGGCTGCCGTTTTTAAAACTACTGAACAATTTTTAATAGTAGGAGGGGAGTCCTGAGGGTTATATCCAAACACTGAGTTGTTTTATTTTACTACAGAAGCTTCTCAATTTACTTTGCTGGGAAATCTCGATGATGTATTTTTTGCTCCAGGCTATACTTATTTTCAGAATGATTTTTATATACATGGAGGAGGGACTTCAGCGACGACTCTTTTAAGGTTCAGTGTCCCTGATAATAAATTTTTAAAGCTTTCAAAGCATTTGTTTTGTCCTGAAAATAGTCCTTGCAATTTCACTTGCAGTTATGGAACTTATAAAACTGCATCAAACTGCGAAATTTGTCCACAAGGAACGTATTCAGATAAATTTAATTTATATGAGTGCAAAAAATGCCCATCAGGGAAATATGGACCTCATTATGGGGCGACAAGCTTAGATATGTGCTACCCTTGTTCAGAAAATTTTTATAATGATAAAGAAGGCCAAGAGCGCTGTATTAATTGTCCAGCAACTTCTATATGCAAAGTTGGAAGTAAAGCTTATACTAGCTATATAAGGAACTTTGAAGATTCCTCAGTCCAACCTCAAATATACTCTGCAAACCAAGACGAAATTAATCAAAATACTTTAATTATTCAAATTGTTGTCGGAATTACAGGGCTTTTAGTAGTGATTTATATGATTATTTCCAAAAAAAGCAAAGAAATTTTACAAAGTTTCGACTTGTATATAGACAAGCATAACCATTTTATCAACGAGCCTATGTATTTAAAAAATACCAGTGTAGGTGGATTATTTGGAATTATTTTTATTTTTTTAGCAATGATCATTATAGGGACTGAGCTCGTTAGTTTTGCATCAAATAATATTTATGAGATAAAAAGTTTGATCCCACTTGTGGTGCTTGAGCAAGATATTCCAAAAGTAATTTTTATTTTAGTTTGAGGCGGATTTTATAATATCAATTACTTTAATGAATTATGGAAGCTCATGTGTTTCTACTGGCAATGTAACGATGACCCCCCCTCAATCTTCATGTCTATTGCAACAAAAATACAATTTTTTAATATAAAATTTTATATAAAAAAAAATAATAATTTTCATGTCTCTTGCAACAAATTATATATATTAAAATGGCGACACGTGTCAGCCTGCCCTCTTGGCGCAGCATTCCAGACCTTATGGCCACAGCGAACTGGGACGGACTCCGAGCTGAGAATCAGATGCAGGCTCAAGAAGTGTGTATCCGGGCAGGTTTTGGCTGCTTTCCTGTGGTTGGAAATAGATGCGCTCAACAACGTCCCTTTTGATCCGAGGACCCATGGGCATTCCCTACCGAGAAACTGGGGTTTTTGCCCAGGCCGCGGGAACAGTCTTTTTCGTGTAGCTGTCGAAGGAAGGTACTTTGACACCCGATAGACTCTAAACCCCCCCTCCGTGAGTGAACAAAACCATTAGAAAAATCGCTATTTTTTGCCCAAAAACCCACCCTCCGTGAGTGAACAAAAATTTTTTTAATAGAAAAATTTTTTATGGGAAAAAAATTTTGATATATAAGTGATAATTAGTATAATGAAATCTAGAGCTAATTCTGTTTAATTTCAAACGAATTGCTTTTTAAAACATAAATTTTATAAATTAAATTAATATTTGCTTTCCAATTTTTGCGAATTAGGATTTTTTTAAATTTCGAAAAAAAATATTTTTTATAAAATTTATATAGAAATTTTTTTAAAAAAAAAAATTAACCCCCTCCGTGAGTGAACAAAAATTTTTTTGTTCACTCACGGAGGGGGGGGAATAAGGAGCTGATCCTTGGAATCAAGCTACTCCAATTGCCTGTAGCAGGGACGCAGAAATCCATAAGCCGCCCACTCAAGACTGAAGCCGCAAGGCAAGGAGGAGACAGAAGGTACCGGAAGGGCACTCGTAAGAGGAATAGACCATCTGGGCTGGAATCGAAAAGTGGTAGAACCTTCTGCACAGGAGGTCTTTGGTGACTGTATCACCAATATGGCTAGCTCCTGTCTGTAATAATCCTAATCCTCTTGCAGCAAATTTTAGATGCGCATCTTAAATTTTTCTGTACTTTTTAGCTAGATAAGTTTAATAAAATGGCGAGCAATGACTATAGCCGTCCAAATCTCGATGAGAAGGTCATTGACACGCCTACAGCAGCGCTGTTTTATGGGGTTTTTGAGAAACTCACCTAGAGAAAAATGCATTAATTCTTTTTTATAAAAATGTTGTGTTGCAGTAGGCATGAAATTTTTTTCGAAAAATTTTTGTTGCAATAGACATGAAGATTGAGGGGGGGTCATCGTTATGTTCAGCTTATATATTTTCTAATATTGATGGTATTACTGGGAATTGGGAAGAATTGAGCTGTGAGCAAAAGGATAATGGTGACTGTATGGTTTATACCAAATGCCATAAATGCACAATTAACAAGCAAGGGCTATTGAAAATCATTATGGAGGACCCAAATGGGTACACTTCTGGGTATAGCGTAAACGTAACTTCTTCATCGTCGATTCCTAATAAATACAGTAGCTATAACCATACCATTCTTTCTGACACAAATTTTGTGTTTAGTGGAAGCGACCCTACTGTGATATATTTTGATATTATACCATCAGTAATTTATAGCTAGTACTATAAAGATACCCAAGAAAGCGGAAACTATACAGGCTATCATGTATCTTTAGATAAGGCGTCACATAAAGGATCACAATTTGAGCCATACGTGTAAGGTTTATATAGGCTAGGACTGACGTTTATTAATTACTTGACTATAGAGTTTGATGTAGATAATAATGGCCTCGCTACTACGAGATATTACAACCAGACGTGGATTATTTTACTAACGACACTGTTAAGCTCAATATTTGGAGTAAAAGGAGCTATTGGAGGACTCATGAAATTTATTGAGAAAAAAATAATTTTACTTCACAAAAAGAAAAAACATATAGATATGCTAAAAGCTCTTGAAAAAAATTCCAAGTTTATAGAAAAACTCAGAGAGCACTCAGATTTTAAAGTTACTAAAGACTTAGATTCCCCAAACATCAAACGAACCGAAGAGGGAGAAACAGAAAAAGAAAAATTAAGCCGAAAGGAGGCGGCTTAGAGGCAAACTCTAGATTTAATCATGAACAAATATATTAATTTAAAATAGTACCAAATTCTATGTAAAATGAAATAATGCACAAAAATGGGTTCCTGCTGTTTTATTTTAGCTTCGTAATAGGAGTAGAAATTGAGTTTCTTCCTTATACTAATCCTCCGCCTAGTTCCAGAGCTTTTCCTCTTATGGAAAGCTACCCAAGTTATGATATCATTCTTATTTACTCTGGGAACTCAAACCCAACTACTATATACAGTGACATCTGGCTGTTTAACACCACTCTATTACAATGGGAAAGGCTTTTTCCCTCAAACGAAGACATCCCAGGTAAAACTTATTCAGTCGCAAGGTACAATGGAGGCTCTTTTATATCAGAAAGCAATCGTCTTTTTTATATATTTGGAGGAATATCTCTTGCAGGTCCTATAAATGACTTATGGAGTTTTCAAGCAGATGGATTTTTATGAACAAAAATAGAAACATATGGGGATATTCCGTTGCCGAGGATGAGATTTGGGTATACTTCTTATAATGATGATTATGGAAATTTACAATTTGCTATATTTGGAGGAATAACAGGATATGGGACAGATAGTAATCTTTTTATGTAAAATTTTATTTAGACTTAACACAACTACCTGGACATGAACAGAAGTAAAAGCTAGTGGTGATCTTCCGCCTGCCATTGAAGGCCCATCTCTTGCTTACTATAGTAATTGCCCGAGGATGGTGCTATTTTGCGCCATTCTCGGGCAATTCAAAAATGGCCCCACACCGGGAATTGAACCCACGTGTGGGGCCATTTTTGGTATGATGAGGAGAACATCGACTTCCACGTACCAAAAATGGCCCCACACGTGGGTTCAATTCCCGGTGTGGGGCCATTTTTTAAATTGCCCGAGGATGGCGCTATTTTGCGCCATCCTCGGGCAATTACAATACAAAAAAAGGCTTTATTTAGCAGGCGGATATGCCACTTATTTAAAAAACCCAAACATTCAAACATTTTTCTATTATGATTTATCCTCAAATGAATGAGTCAATATTACGTCGTCACAGTCATATGTTCCACGTTTGCATCAAGGAAATTTCATATATAATGACGAGTTTTATCTAATGGCAGGATATTCATTATCTCTAGGTTCTCTTGATATTTCATGATATAAAGTCAGCCTAATAGGCCCAAACTATAACTGAGTTAAAATTGAAATTACTTCAGACGATGCAGATTCCATAAAACAAGACAGCTACGGCTTCGCTATTGCAGGCGATACAGTTTATCAATTTGGAGGCAACAAAACCCCAAAACCGACTAATCGATTAGCGATTTTTAACTTACTCCTAATCCTGTGAATGAACAAATAATATATAATAAATTCTGGCTTTAATCATAAATCACAAGCTAATTCTATTAAATTTTTTAAATAATTTACATTCTATTTACAATTTAAATTAAATCTTTACTCTAAATTTTTGCGAGTCGTTTTTTTTTATTTTTCATTTTAATGTAAAAAATTTTGCTCCTGTTGAGAGTTAAAAAAAAATTCACCTATATGTGCGCAAGTCATAGCTGAAAACCTTTCCCCATCCCCAAGAATGCACCATTCTTTATTGCAAGTAGGGAATTATTTATATACTTTTGGAGGGAGAGGAGATTATAATGAACTTTTAAATGACTTGTGGGAATTTGAGCCTGAAAATGATTATTGGCAGCTTAAAGTCCCTACTGGAGATGTCCCGTCTAAGCGACATAGCTATGCAGCAGCTTCAGAAGGAGATCATATGCTTATATGAGGAGGAATAGGCCAAGGAGGGTATTTAAATGATGGGTATTTATATAATATAAACACAAACCTATGAAACTCATTAACTTATACTGGAATTAATCCTAGCCCAAGATTAGGTGCATGCATAGGGCTACAAGGCGAAAATGTTTACATATATGGCGGCTTAACAGATTCAGGACTCTCTGATGAGCTTTGACTCTATAGCATAAATTCAAAAACCTATACACTCCTCGACCATGCCAACTCGTATGGCCCGGGGCCTATTTTTTACCCTACTTGTAGCCTTTTCTCGTCAAGTCCTGTACTTTATATAATTTATGGAGAATCCGATAATAATATTCCTGCAAATAAAATTTATGGGTATAATATAAACACAGGGAAATGAAAATTATATTATGATGGGTCAGAAGACACCGAACATAGTAAAAGTAGAGCTGCTATATATAAAACTCCAAATATCACCATTTTTGCAGGCGGAGAGTCTCAAGGAACATATCCGAATAATGAAATCCTTATTTATTCAAGCTATTATAAAGAATGAGAATCCCTTGGATTTCTCCCTTATACAGCTATAGCTCCTGCGTCTATATATTATCAGGATTATTTTTATATATATGGAGGTGGGACTGCTGAAGATACACTTATAAGATTTAGCATTCCTAGTAATAAATTTATTAGGTTAAGCTTAGCATCATTATGCAGCAATGGGACATGCCCATTCACGTGTAGCCCAGGGACTTATATGACTTCTAATGGCTGCAAGGTATGCACTCCAGGGTACTATTCTGATGAATTTGGATTAAATAATTGTTTAGCATGCCCTAAAGGGAAATATAATCCTAATTATGGAGGGACTACTCTTGGCATGTGCTATCCTTGCCAAGAAGGGCAATTTAATGACAAAGAAGGCCAAGAACGCTGCTTAGATTGCCCTGGAGGTGCGACTTGCAATATTGGAAGTCTTAATTATGAGTATAAGATTACAGACTATAATGATTCATATATACAGCCGCCTATATATAAATCAAGCATTAGTGAGACAAGCCAAAACAATCTTATAACAGGAATTGTGGTCGGCACCGCAGGATTCTTAATTATAGCTCGTGAACCTTTATGGATCGACCTTATTTAAAATGTAACCGCTCTAATGGACTTCATGTCTGCATATCTTAAAACAGTACCGCGTTATTAAGAGAAATATTCAGATTAATAATAAATTTCTAGTTAAATATAGTTTTATATAATCTTTTTAAAAATATTTTCAATAATAATATTAAGCTCGGCGAAATAAACCAAAGCATATTTACAGTTAAATGAATCTTCTCTCTTTATGCTTGAAAAGTGGTAATTTTTTCGGCGAAATGGCTTTGACCCAAATTGATAATTCTAAAAAAGTTGCTTGTCAAAAATTTTTGACGAGTGCAACTAATTTGGAAACTAAACAAGCAAATTTTTAGGTGGGATTAATATAAATTTTTAATTTAAGGTATCCTTACAAACTAACACTGATAAGTATCTTATAAACTTTTTCCTATTTTCTACAGAATATATGTCAGAAGAAGCAAAGAAAATTAAATTTTAATTAGATAATCACTATAAAAGGTATTCTTTTCCAAGAGACTGTAATTATTTTAGTTTATTTAAAAATTATTAAAATTAAAAAAATTGCCGCGAAATCACCACTTTTCAGGTATGAAGACAGAAGAGCCGTTTTAATTGTAAAAATTGCATTGGCTTTATTTACAGAGCTTAATATTATTGTTTGAAAATATTTTTTAAACTTTTAAAAAATATATTAAACTATATTTAAACTGATCTAAGATAAGCAAAACGTTAAGCCCATTAGGCGGCTACATTTTTTAATTAGGTCGACCCATAAAGGTCATGAGGTATATTGCTTCTTTATCCATTATAAAGGAAAACAGAAAATATTTATTATTTTTTGACTTATATATGAGCCTTCACAATTATGTTAAAAAACAAATTATGACTGTAAGGAAAACAAAAATCGGCGGGGTCTATGGGCTTGCATTTTTATTTATTGCAATAGCGATCATTGAAATAGCGTTCGTAAATTATTTAGAAAAAAATATTTATGAAACAAAAAGCCTAGTCCCCTTTGTGGTTCTTGCCCAAGACGTAAGTAAAGTAATTTTTATGCAGTTTGAAGGCAATTTTGTGATTATCGTCACATTTATGAATTATGGAGGAAAATGTATTGATTATGATGAAGACAAAAATATAATATGCCCTTCATCAATTTCTCTTACAATTGAAGGCATTACAGGTCGTTGATCAGAACAAAGCTGCAGCCTCATGAGTAACGGCGACTGTTTAATAACAATTAGCTGTGCTAAATGCTCTATTTCTACACAAGGGAATATATATTATACAATGGATGACTCAACTGGGTACACATCTGGGTTTACTGCAAATATAACCTCATCTTCATCAATTCCTGGAAAATTAAGCAGCTATGAGACAACTGTGCTGCCTGATAGCAATTCTTTATTTTTTGGAGGAACGACTACTATATATTATGATATGATATCATCAGTAATGGTAATTTAGTATTATGAAGATACCGTGAATAATAATAACGATACAGGATATCATGTAGATATTGACAAAATTCCGAATAAAGGGCTACAATATCAATCTTTTGAGTAAAAAATATGCAGGTTGGGGTATGCTTTTATTAATTATTTAAAGCTGCAGCTTGATGTTGATGGGAATGGATTAACAACGAAGAAGTGGGCTACACAGACTTTTACTGTACTTATTTCTGCACTTCTAGGGTCTGTTTTTGCTGTTTTGGGAATAGTGGGAGGTGCAATGAGGCAGACAGAAAGCAGTAGAATTAAAATAAAGAAAATAATGGATCATACAAAGCTTGTTAAAGAAACTAAAAAAAATGCAAATAATATTTTTACAGGTTATGGGAGGTGACAAAAGCATGGATATGATGGGAATGAATCTTCTGAAGAGTTTGATGAGTTTGAGGATAGAAAATAAATTGATTTTATAAAAATTAGTAGAAAATCGATTAAACTAAAAAGTTTAGGATAAATTTATTTTCATAGCTTCATTAAATTATTAGAATTTTAAATAAAAATTATTTATAATCCTTAGAAATTAAAGATCATTATTTGAGGCTTTAAACAAATTAAGCTAATGATTTGAATTTATTTTATGATAATCAGTTAGAAGCTTCTTTAATCTTTTTAATTTCCTAAAAAATAAGAATTTCATTTAAATAATAAAAATGATTATAAAGTATAATACTTCACGCTATCAATTTGAATTTTTTCCATTTTATATTTTAGAAAGTTCTAAAGAATTTAAAATATTAAAGAGCTCATAAATAGCATGAAAATTTGCTATTAAAATCTCTGCCTTAGATTTTGCAAGAGCATCCTTATTAAATGATCACAATTTACTTTTCTCAATAACTTTCTATTTTGAAAAAATTCCAGTTATCTCAATAATTAATAGTAAAAAACTATGCTCAATCTATTTCTATTACTTACATTAGCGTTAGGATTTACCCCTGACCGAATACCCGCAACAAATCCTCCTCCAGATGCTCGTGCACATTCTCTGATGGCCAATTTTCCAGGTCTTAATCTTATTATGATTTTTGGAGGCTATTCAGACCCAACTAATTCAATTTATAGTGATATATGGGCTTTCGATTTATTAGCGGAAACCTGAGAAAGGCTTGTTCCTTCAGATGGAAATTCACCAGGTAACTTCTAATTAGCTGGAAGATATAGTGGAGCTGCCTTTCCAGTTATAAGTCAAGCTTTGTACTGCATTTTCGGAGGAATGTCGCTAGCTGGACCTTTAAATGATTTATGGTGTTTCCAATCTCAAGGATTTTTATGAGACCAAATTGTATCTACTGGAGACGTCCCTTCCCCTAGAATGAGATTTGGGTCAACATCATTTTATGATGAAAATAATGTCCTGCAGTTTGCTGTAATAGGAGGAGTAACTTTGTCTGGGGTGGATAATTACCTTTATATGTAAATTTCATATAGTCTTGACACTTCTACGTGGGTTTGGACTAAAAAAGAACCGCTAGGAGATGCTCCTTCAAATTTAGAAGGATCATCACTTGTATATTACAAAAATAAAATTTTTACTGCTGGAGGGGAAAATACTTTTGATAAAATTTCTCATATAGAAACTTTGCTTTACTTTGATTTGGATCCAAGTGATAATAAATGGCATAATGTTACTTCTAGTATAACCTATACATCAAGAATTCTTGGAGGGAGTTTTTTGAAAAATTCTGAATTATACTTAATGATGGGCTATTCAATTGAGCAAAATTCTTTTGTCAGCACGTGATATAAAGTAGACCTAGACGATCCTAAATATGATTGATCCGAAGTCTCTATTGAAGAAGACCCTGATGGGTACTTAGCAATTGATAGCTATGGTTTCACATTTTTTAACGAAGCTTTATACATTTTTGGAGGTGACCAAAGGCCTCCTGTAATAAACCGTTTGGTTAAATTTGACTTGTCAGTTTTTCCATTTAAATTTGAAGTTTATGACAGCGACTATTCACCAACCCCAAGAATGTATCATTCAATGCAGCCTGTAGGGCCTAATTTATACTTATTTGGCGGTCTAGGTGATAATGGAGCAGCTTATAACGATTTTTGGGCTTTTAATGTTATGAAAGAAAAATGAAGCCTAATAAGTCCTGAAGGCTCAGTCCCTTCTAAAAGGTACGGATATGCCTCATCTGTAAGCGCTGATGTCATGCTTGTATGAGGCGGATATGGAAATGAAGGGTATTTAAATGATGGCTATTTATATGATATCAGCTCAGGAAAATGGTCTGCGCTAGAATATACTGGAACAGCGCCCGCTCCAAGGGTAGGGGCATGTGCTGGGCTAAGTGGCTGGCTGATTTTTATATACGGTGGAAAAACTGAAGCAGGGCTATCTGATGAGCTATGGACTTATGACATTACAACCCAAAAATACAATTTAATTAATAGTGGTGACAATGAAGGCCCAGGGCCGGTTTGGTTCGCAACTTGTAGAGTCTCTACATCTCAAAGCAGTTTTTTGTGGGTTCTTTATGGGGAAGCAAAAGATGACACCCCGACTAATCAAGTTTATGGATATGACGCAGACCATAATATATGATGAGAATACAACGATGAACCATCAGACACTACTTATAGCAGAAGTCGAGCAGCAGTATGCAAGCCCTTACAAAGAATTCTTGTTGCGGGAGGCGAAACATATGGTCTCTTTCCCAACTCAGACATTTTTTACTATTCTACTGAAGATTTTGAGTTTACCATGCTTGGAAATATAACTGACTCATTTTTTGCTTCTGCTAATGCATATTTTCAAAATTATTTTTATATACATGGAGGAGGGACTTCAGCTTCTAGCCTGCTAAGATTCAGTGTGCCTAGTAATATATTTTTAAGACTCCCTATGTGGTCGTTTTGCACTGATAATACAACTTGCAATTTTGCATGCAGCTATGGGAGCTATAGGACTTCTTCTAACTGTGAAATTTGTCCATTGGGGACGTATTCAGATGAGTTCAATATGACTGAGTGCAAGAAATGCCCTGAAGGAAAATATGGCCCACACTATGGAGCGACAAGTCTGGATATGTGCTATCCATGCCCTGAAGGAGAATACAATAATCAAAAAGGTCAAGGCCATTGCTTGGATTGTCCTCATACGTCAACATGCAGAGCAGGAAGCAAAACTTCTGATTATAATTCTTATTATTACCATGACTCATATATTCAGCCTCCAATTTATTCTGCTGATGCAGGAGAAGCAAGAAGAAATAATTTGATTATTGAGGTGGTTGTAGGGGTTGTAGGTTTAATAGTTATCATTGTGATGGTATTATTAAGAAAAGTAGAAACATTTTTATTTTATTTTGATATATATTCAGATAAACACAACCATTTTATAGGTAAGCCAATGTATTTAAAACGAACAAAACTAGGAGGGGTTTTTGGAATGGCTTTTATATTCTTAGCAATTATTATCATTGGGGTGGAAATCGTAAATTATGTCTTAAATAACGTTTACGAAACAAAAAGCCTAGTCCCGCTTGTAGTGCTCGAGCAAGATACCCCAAAAGTAATTTTTAAGCAGTTTGAAGCTGAATTTTTAATAACAATTACACTGATGAATTATGGAGGGGCATGTGTTGATGGTCCTTGCGCATCCAGTAAGATTTATTCTGATATAACTGGAATTACAGGAAACTGAACAACGTCATATTGCAAAGAAGAAGAAAATGGAGACTGTGTGATTTCTACTTTATGCATTAAATGCTCAGTTACTAACTCTCCCATTACTGGCGAGTCCATCTATTAGCAAAATCATCTTTTTGGGAAAAAATAATTCATTAGCAAAAATTATATTTTTAATATTTTTTTTGTTAAAATATTTTAGCATATAATTAAACAAGGTCTCCAATTATTATATTTAATTTTAGAACTTTTCTTTCAAACGTACATTTTGAAATTAGACTTTAATTTTAAATTTGAGTATTTTAAAAGAAAATAGATTTAAATATAATTTTAATTAAATTAAAAGTGATAGCTCGATGTTAGAGAGCAAAATATTCACTTGCTAGCTAAGAAAAAGAGTAAGCAAGGGAAATTCACTATTACAATGGACGATACAAGTGGGTATACATCAGGCTATGTGGTAAATTTAACAGCTTCTTCCTCTATACCACGCAAATATAGCAGCTATAAGACTTACGTTTTACCTGATGACAATTATGTATTTATAGGAAGTGACCCAACCAGGATTTATTATGACATAATCCCATCAGTAATCGATATTTAGTATTATGAAGACACCGAAGAAACTGGCAACCATACAGGATATCATGTTTCTTTAGAAAAAGCAACCCATCAAGGATCGCGATTTAAACCATATGAGTGAATTTTATTTAGGCTTGGACTGGCATATATTAACTATTTAATTATATTTTTTGATGTCGACGGTAATGGCCTTGTAACTACTCGTTATTACAGGCAAACATGAATTCTATTATTAACAGCACTTTTGGGCTCGATATTTGGAATTTTGGGGACGATTGGAGGTCTAATGAAGTTCGCGGAAAAAAATGTGTATGTCCTTCACAAGAGAAAAAAACATAAAAAATACTTGGAACAATTAGAAAAAAATTTTAAAATCATTAAAAAACTGAGAAAGTACCCAGATTTTAAAACTTATATAGGTGAAGAATCTCCAAGGTCGAGCCGGACAGCAAATGAAGCATCGGAAAAAGATAAATTGAACGCAGAAATATAGAAACGCGGTGGATTGATTATTAACCTTCTAATTTGATTATTTTGCTAAAATTTATCAAAATTAATTTTAACTAAAAATACTTTTTTTTAATTCAGTTGGAGAATTAGTTAAAATATTTATATAAATTTAAGCAGTTTCTTGTATTATAATAAAATGAGAAAACAAAATAAATTAACACTCAAAAATTAAATAAATGAGAATTATTGGACTTCTTCTTTTTATGATAGTCTATGGAATAGATATTGAACGTATTCCAACTACGAATCCTCCTCCTAGTTCCAGAATTTTTCCAATAATGGAAAGTTTTCCAAGTTATGATTGCATTATTGTCTATTCAGGAAATTCAAACCCTTCAACTATTTATAATGACATCTGACTTTTTAACATAACACTATTTCAATGAGAAAGGCTTTCTCCTTCAAATGACGAGGCCCCAGGTAAAGTTTATTTCAGTTCCAAGATACAACGGAGGCTCTTTTAAATCAGAAAGTAAACGTCTTTTGTACATATTCGGAGGAATGTCGCAATCAGGCCCTTTAAATGATTTATGATGCTTCCAGGCTGATGGATCTTTATGAGAAAAAGTTTTAACGAAAGGAAATATTCCACCATCTAGAATGAGATTTGGGTACGATTCTTATAATGATGAATATGGGAATTCTATTTTCGCTGTATTTGGAGGAATAACAGGCTCTGGAACGGACAATAGCCTTTATTTGTAAAATATAACTTAGACTGAATATCACTACATGGACATGAAAAGCTATGAAGCCGACTAATCTTCCTCCAAAACTTGAAGGTCCGTCATTACGATATTACGATAAAAAGTTATATTTGGCTGGCGGATATGCCACTTACTTAAAAGACCCAAACATAAAAACCACTTTTTATTACGATTTATCCACAAATGACTGGGTAAACATAACAACTTCCAAGACTTACAGCCCAAGACTCCATCAAGGCAATTTCATTTACAAAGATGAATGATATTTAATGACAGGCTATTCACTACCAAAGAGCTCTCTAGACACTACATGGTATAAGCTCGATTTAACTAGCTCCAGCTATGACTGAGTTGAAGTCCAAATGACAGAAGACACTGAAAACATAACAAGGCAAGACAGTTATGGCTATGGTATTTCTGGCGATATGGCTTTCACATTTGCAGGAAATAAAATTCCAGATATTTCTAACCGATTAGTAATTTACAACTTAAAAAATGAAATTATCACATATTATGCTCTCCCAGAAGATACCTCTCCTTCTCCTAGAATGTATCATTCTTTAGAGCCAATGGGCCGACATCTTTATACATTTGGTGGTTTAAGTGATAACGGTGAGCTTTTAAATGATTTATGATTATACGACACTATAGATGATTATTGACAAATAAAAGTACCTATTGGAGACATCCCATCTAAAAGGCACAGTTATGCTTCAGCCTCTGATGGAGACCATATGCTTATATGAGGGGGAAATGGTCAGGAAGGATACTTAAATGATGGGTATTTTTATAATATAAATACAAATACATATGTGGCGCTTACGTATAAAGGAAAGAATCCAAGCCCAAGAGTAGGAGCTTGTATAGTGATGCATGAAGAAAATATTTATTTATATGGTGGCTTGACAAATGCAGGGCTATCTGATGAGTTTTGGTATTATAGCATTAACACTCAGACCTATAAACTTTTAGACTCTGGAAATTCAAATGGCCCTGGGCCATTAATTTACCCTAGATGCAGCCTTTCTACTACTGTATCCAATTTAATATATGTTTTGTATGGAGAAAGCGAAGACCTTTACCCCACAAACGAAATTTATGGCTTCAATGCAAAATCCTTAAAATGGAAACAATTTTACAGCATCGATACAAGCATCTACGCAAAGAGTAGAGCTGCTGTATTAAAGCTCCCAAATATAGTTATAGCTGCTGGTGGAGAATCAGAAGCCACTTACCCAACTAATGGAATTTATGCATACAATATTAAGTCTGACCAATGGACATTTTTTGGAGTTCTTCCATATTCGACTTTCGGTCCAGCATCCACATATTTTAAAAACTATTTTTATATTCACGGCGGAGGTACTGCTGAGTACACATTATTAAGATTTAGTGTGCCAAGCAATAAATTTATCAAAATTGATTTAAAATCATTATGTACAACAGCAGATGATTGTGATTTTACTTGTAGCCCAGGGACATTTAATAGTTCTTCAAGCTGCGAAGTCTGTGAAGCAGGGACATATAGTGGTGAATTTGGGAAAAGTAGCTGCACACCTTGTACAAAAGGGAAATATGGCCCTCATGATGGGACTACAACTGGAGATATGTGCTATCCTTGCCAACAAGGGCAGTTTAATGACAAAGAAGGCAAGTCTTATTGTAATGATTGCCCAGGAGGAGCTACTTGCAATATTGGTAGCCTAACTTATAATTATAATATTACAGACTATAATGATACATTTGTCCAGCCAGCAATAAGAGTAAGAGTTATTAGGTTTAGTTAGTTGAGAAGCCAAATGTTCCACCATATTGGCCACTAAAAATGGTAACGTAGTGGTTCCGTCACCACGCCGGTGAAGTTCTGAAGGTTGTATTCAAGTAAACTCTTTCAGGGCCTGCTTTGTTTATTCTTTACTCCCTTTTCAGGGTTTCACTACCCGTTCTCCTTCAAAAGCAGGCTTTTGTGTTGCCCACCATCCTTTCTGACTGTCTAAAGCCACAGCCACGACGTAATCAGGAGAAAAAGCCGAAGCAGAAAAACCTCCTGTGAAGGTCCTCCAGCACCAGTGCGACCTAATTCACCTAACCCAGGCGACTTGTTGCACCACCTTCCCGGGGAGAGTCAGGTGCAAGACCTTTAAACTTGCACCATTTTTAATACTCTCAGCCAGCAATATATAAAACAAATCAAGAAACAGTAGCAAAAAACAACTTAATCACAGGGGTGGTCGTGGGAGCTCTAGGGTGTTTAGTTATTTTATCATTAATAATTGTAAGAAGGAACAGAAAACACCTACTTTCTTGTGATTTGTATTCTGAAATGCATAACCACTTTGAAAGAGAGCTTATGTATATAAAAAGAAGAAAAATAGGTGGAGTTTTTGGAATTATGTTTATTTTTATAGCAATAGCCATTATAGAAATTTCATTTGTGAATTATTTGAAAAAAAATGTTTTTGAAACTAAAAGTTTGGTACCACTTGTCGTGCTGAAGCAAGATGTTTCAAAAGTAAGTTTTAGGTAGTTTGAAGCGATTAGGATTATTAAAAATCAGGCGTAGTCATATTAGTGACGCAGTTGCTAAAGACCTCCCGTACGGGAGGTTCTGCCACTTTTCGACTCCGGACCAGAGGGTCTGTACACATCCAGTACCTTCTGTCTCTTCCTTGCCTTTTCAGTCTTGATTGGGCGGCTTATGGATTTCTGCGACTCTGCTAGGAGGATGGGAGTAGCTTGACTCTATAGATCAACTCTTGGAGTCTCTCGGGTGCTAAAGTGTCTTCCTTCGACAGCTACAGGAAAAAGGCTACCCCCTGTGGCCTGGGTTGAAGCCCCCAGTTCTCGGTAGAGGAATATCCATGGGTCCTTGGATCCAAAGGACATTGTTGAGCACTTCCATTTACAACGACAGGAAAGCAGCCAAAACGTACCCTCATATACATCTCTTGAGCTATACTTGATTCTCAACTCGGAGTCCATCCCAGTTCGCCGTATCCATAAGGTCTGGACTGCTACGCCAAGAGGGCAGGTCTACACACGTCAACATTTTAATATATATCAGTTAGTTTGAAGGGAATTTTTATATTACAATTACACTTATGAATTATGGAGGTACTTGTGTTAACTATAATTCTTTAAATGAGATGACATGTCCTTCATCAATTTCTCATACAATTGACGGGATTAATGGGAACTGAGAAGAGCAGGATTGCGAGCTTCTGGATAATGGAGATTGCGTAATAACAATAAATTGTGTTAAATGCTCTATTAATACACAAGGGAACATATTTTATACAATGGACGACTCAAATGGGTATACCTCAGGATTTATAGTAAACGTGACCTCATCTTCATCAATTCCTGGAAAAGCCAGCAGCTATAAAACTGCAGTTTTGCCTGATAATAATTATTTATTTTTCGGTGGCACGACTGTTATATATTATGACATGGTCCCATCTGTAATAGTAATTCAGTATTATGAAGATACAATAAACAATAATAATGATACAGGATATCACGTTGATTTAAAACAAGTTTCAAGCACTGGCACACAGTATCAGGCTTTTGAGTAAAAACTATGCAGGTTGGGGTACGCTTTTATTAATTATTTAGAACTAGAGCTTGATCTTAATAGAAATGGGCTTGTTACAAACAAAGGAGCAAAGCAGACATTTATTATGCTTATTTCTTCACTTTTAGGGTCTGTTTTTGCTGTTTTAGGGATTTTAGGAGGCATAATGAAGCAAACAGAAGATATTTGGCTTAAGATTAATAAACTAGTAAATCACGAAAAAAAGGTTGTGAAGTCAAGAAAGAACGCAGAAAATATTTTCAGTGCTTATGGAGGATGGATGAATAATAATGATGAAGAAGAAGGAATGTCGGCTGGGAGCTCAGGTCCAATTAACAATAATATTGAAAAATAATTTAATTTAATAAATTTTAGATTCAAAATTCAAAAAATATAATGGTAATTTTTATTTTTAAATAAATATTTCAACCATAATTTATAGAAAATAAACATTGATCCTAACTCCCTTTAAGAGTGAGCAAGACTTTTTGCTCTTAAAGGAATATTCAAGGGTCTGAGCAATGATTTAGGCTATATAAAGATTTTTGTAGCCAATGTGATGCATCGTTATCGAGGGCATGTTTAATTATTCACACTCTAAAAAGGATTAAGCAAATAAAGAATCATCGATAAAATTCCTAATAAAATGTCGTACACAGTTCCATCAAATTAATAAAAGATTTTATTTTATATTGAATCTTAAAATTTCTCCTTTTTTTAAATCTGTTCAAAAAATGTCCTTTTAGTCAAATAAAGCGAAAATTGATTATTGATTTTTTCTCTAAATGAATAATCATTTATTCGTTTTAAAATTTGAATCTACATGAATCGATTAATAAATTAAAGATCATGAAATATATGGTTTTATTTCTCGTTTTAGTTATTGGCTTTAACCCAGATAGAATCCCATCAACAAACCCTCCACCAAATGCCCGAGCGAATTTACTTATGGACAATTTTCCGGAGCTTCATATGATAATGGTTTATGGAGGTTTTTCTGACCCAGCTGATACTATTTATGGGGATATATGAACTTTTGATTTATTAACCGAAACATGAGACAGACTCGTTCCTTCAGATGGAATTTCTCCTAGTAATACCTAGCTCCCTTCATAGGTAAAACCATAGTTAAAAACCAACAGCAAAACTAATTTTTTATATAAAATATTTTTATTATGATGGTATTTTTAGCTAATTCTTATACTGAGAAAATTTCAAAATTAATGAAAAGCATACTTCTGAATGGAGTAAATAGCTGGAAGATATAGTGGAGGCTCTTTTGGGATTATACATCAAGCTTTATATTGTATTTTTGGAGGAATGTCTCTCGCTGGACCTTTAAATGATTTGTGATGTTTCCGCGCACAAGGATGACTATGAGAACAAGTTATAACGACTGGAGATATTCCTTCACCAAGAATGAGATTTGGCTATACATCCTTTTATGATGAAAATAATACCTTACTCTTTGCAGTTTTAGGAGGTGTAACTTTAACTGGAATCGATAATACCCTTTATATGTAAATTTCATATAGCCTCGACACTTCAACTTGAATTTGATCCAGAAAACAAGCATCCGGCGACCCTCCTAAAAACTTACTCCCCCCATTAAATTGGAACAAAATTTAATTTTATAATAAAAATTTTATATTAAAAATCATAATTTTTTATATAAAAAGTTTTGATATAAGTTAAAAGTTTCTTCTTGACTAAAATTAAAAATTTAGTTATATCTTGCTCTTGTTTCAAGAAGAGAGTATAAAGTGCATCTTATTTAAATAAATTTATTATCCTTAATTGCTAAATTTTTAAAACACATTTTATTTTTTAGATACAAATAATATTTTTATTTAAATAATTTTGATATAAATTATATGTGAATTTCTTTACAAAAATTCAAAGTTTACTTATTTCTTGCTTTATTTTAAAGAATAAAGTATAAATAACATCTTATTTAAAACAAAATTAGCACTTTGACCGATAAATTTTCTAAATTTTTGTTTTTAATTATTTTTTACAGTAAAAATAATTTTTGTGTAAATAGTTTTGATACCAATTAATAGTGGCATATTAATTAATAATGAAAATTTAGTTATATTTTGCTTTGTTTTAAAGGATAAAGAGTAAATAGCATTTTATTAAACAAATTTATTAATTTATATCACAATTAAAAATGGAGCGCATGAATTAGGGTCATTGTCCCCTAAAGGTCATCCTAGTGAGGGAAGTTCAGACTTTCTGAAGGATATTAGCGCTGGAACTGCTTCGGTAGTTCCCTGAGTGCTTGAATGTACATCAAGAAAGAAAAGAGAGACTCGTCTAGGTCATAGGCTACTGTAACGGTTCGACGGTTAGGCTAATTCCACCTACCGTTGTTCAGAGCTGTTAGCCAGTGATGGAATTCAGGAAGGAAGGGCTTGATTGTCAGATCCTAAGCTAAGTGGGGGTCGACAGAGTGTTATCGTAATCTTAAATCTCAATTTATATCGATAAATTTTTTAATTTTTTTTTTAAATTGCTTTTTATAAAAACACCCTAACCCCCCTTTAAACTGGAATAAAATGTCTTGTTCCAATTTAAAGGGGGGGAGCTAGAAGGGCCAGCTCTTGTACATTACAAAAACAGACTTTATACGGCCGGTGGGGAAAATACTTTTGCAAAAATTTCTCATATAGAAACACTGCTCTATTTTGGCTTGGACGACAATAAATGACATAATATTACTTCCGATAAGACTTATACGTCAAGAATTCTTGGAGGGAGTTTTTTGAAAAATTCTGAACTATACTTAATGATGGGTTTTTCAATAGAGAAAAATGCACACGAAAGCAGGTGATATAAAGTTGATTTAGAAGACCCTAATCATGACTGAATAGAGGTTACTATTCAAGGAGATACTAATAAAGACTTAGAAATTGATAGTTATGGGTATACATATTTCAATGAAACTTTATGAATTTTTGGAGGTGATGAAAATCCTCCTATAATAAACCGTTTAGTTATATTTAACTTATCAACTTCACCAATTGAATCCTCTATTTATGAAAATGATTTATCTCCAAGTCCAAGGATGTATCACTCAATGCAGCCAATAGGTCAAAATTTATATTTATTTGGTGGGTTAGGCGACAATGGAGCACTTTATAATGATTTATGAGCTTTTGATGTCATGAAGGAAAAATGAAGCTTAACCAATCCTACAGGTGATGTCCCACCTAAAAGGTACGGATATGCGTCTGCAGTAAATGCTGATGTTATAGCCTGCTCCCGGCTATAGATCGGGCTATGCCGATTTTTGCCGGGAAACTCGGGGGTTTGTCTGCGTCACTTCGGGGTGACGAGTCAACTCCCCGAGTTGGCAAATAGCCACCATTAAGTGATTTGCCAACTCGGGAGTTGACTCGTCACCTCGAAGTGACGCAGACAACCCCCCGAGTTTCCCGGCAAAGATCGGGCATAGCCCAATCTATAGCCGGGAACGGGCTATATGCTTGTATGAGGTGGATATGGCCAAGAAGGGTATTTAAATGATGGCTACTTATATGATATCAGTTCAAAACAATGATTTGCTATAGAATACATAGGAACAGCCCCAGCTCCTAGGCTAGGGGCATGCGCAGGGTTAAGCGGATTTTTTATATATATTTATGGAGGAGAAACTGAAGTAGGACTGTCTGACGAGCTATGGATTTATGACATGACGTCAAAAAAATACAATTTAATCAATAGTGGAGATGATGATGGCCCAGGGCCTGTTTATTATGCTACCTGCAGAACAGACACACTTAAAAGTAATTTTCTATGAGTACTTTATGGAGAAGCAGAAGATGATACCCCTACTAATCAAATTTATGGTTATGACGCAGACCAAAGCAAATGAATTGCTTTTTATGACGATTCAACTAATACAACGTACAGCAGAAGCAGGGCAGCTGTATGCAAACCCTTGGAAAGGGTTTTAGTTGTGGGAGGTGAATCATTTGCACTGTATCCTAATAATGATATTTTTTATTTTTCGATGGAAGACTTGGGATTTACAAAGCTTGGTAATATTGCTGATACTTTCTTTGCATCTGCTTCTGCGTATTTTCAGAATTATTTTTATATACATGGAGGAGGAACTACAGCAACTAGTCTTTTGAGGTTTAGCGTTCCAAGCAATATACCAAAAAGGTTTTAAAACGATTTCTTTGATTTTTTCAGTATAAATTGACTATAAATACTCTATATAAATATTTATTATAAAAAGTATATATTTTTTAAGACTCCCAATGTGGTCATTTTGCAATGATAATGTAACTTGTAATTTTGCATGCGGATATGGAAGCTATAGGACATCTTCTAATTGTGAAATCTGCCCATTGGGGACATATTCAGATAGATTTAACGCAACTGAATGTAAATCTTGCCCTGTAGGAAAGTATGGTCCACACTATGGAGCGACAAGTTTAGACATGTGCTATCCCTGTCCTGAAGGAGAATATAATAATCATGAAGGACAAGCCCATTGCTTGGATTGTCCTCATACGTCGACCTGTAAAGTTGGGAGCATGTCTTATAACTATACAATAGACACTTATGAAGACTCATATAGTCAACCTGCTATTTATTCTTCCAATAATGATGATGCTGACCAAAATAGTCTTATAATTGAAATTGTTGTAGGGGCAGTAGGAGCACTAGCGTTAATTTCATTCTTTCTGTCAAGAAAATCGAGAATGTTTTTAATTCGTTTTGACTTATACCCTGCGAAACATAACCATTCTATAGGAGTGCCGATGATGCTAAAGCGTACCAAAATAGGAGGGATTTTTGGAATTATTTTTCTCTTTTTACTCTCTTGATTACAAAGGTTTTTTTTTCGTTGGATTTTTAGAAATTTGAATACTAGAAGGATATTTTTACTCAAAATATAAAAATACCCAATTTTTTATTAATATTAAGAAGAGTTAGCAATCATTATAATAGGAGTAGAAGTTACAAATTTTGCACTTACTCCCTCTGTGAGTCAATAAAAAATTTTGCTCTTTTATTTGTTTTCCAATTTTAAAAATCCCAATCGGCAAAAAAATTGAATTCTAAAAATTAATTTAATTTTTAGATTTATGTTTTAGAATGCCATCTATTTAAAATGAACAGAATAGCTCGAGATTTTATTATAATAATTATCCTCATATATCAAAATATTTTCTGCTTGTGGCTTTTTTCCCTAAAAAATTGATATTTTTCATAAGGTTTTTCACTTACCCAAGTTAAGAATATTTATGAAACAAAAAGTCTTGTCCCATTAGTCGTACTTGAACAAGATATTGAAAAGGTAACTTTTATTCAGTTTGAAGCATTGTTTTTAATAAAAATTACATTAATGAATTACGGCAGCAAATGTGATGAAGGGTACTGTGCAAATAATAATATATATACTGAAATTTCCGGAATTTCAGGAAATTGGACAGCTCCAAAATGTGAACATATAGAATACAGCGGAGACTGTGTAATTTCAACGACATGTATAGAATGTTCAATCTCTAAGCAGGGCACACTTACTGTCACTATGGATGACACAAATGGATACACCTCAGGATATTCAGTAAATGTTACTGCTTCTTCGTCTATCCCAAACAAATTTAGCAGCTATAAAACTTATGTTCTACCTGATAGCAATCATATCTTTATAGGAAGTGACCCAACTGTAATCTATTTTGACATAATTCCATCAGTAATTAATATTTAGTACTATGAAGATACTGAAGAAACTGGAAATCACACAGGATATCACATATCATTAGATAAAGTACCCCATAAAGGAGCACAATTTAAGCCTTATGAGTAAAAAATATATAGACTTGGGCTTGCATATATTAATTACTTGAAAATAGTATTCGATGTAGACAATAACGGACTTACTACTACGAGATATTATAACCAAACGTGAATAGTTTTATTAACTACACTATTAGGCTCTGTGTTTGGAGTAATGGAGTCTGTGGGCAGTGCTATGAAATTCGTTGAAAAAAATGCATATGCCTATAACAAAAGGAGAAAACATAGAAGTCTTTTGGGGCAACTTGAAAAAAATTCAAAAACAATAGCAAAGCTAAGAGAAGATCCGTGCTTTAAGCCTCAAAAAGAACCGGATTCTTCTAATACAGTCCAAACAGTGAATGATGCATTAGAAAAATCTAGCTCCCACTTTAATGGAACAAAATAATAGTAAATTTTCATTTTTTGGTAAATAGCCCTTTGAATAGGAATGAAATTTACTTTGTGTTGGTAAAAATAATAATATATGTAATCCGAATTAATGCTTAATTTAATGGTTGATTCGAGAATTAATTTATAATTTGCTTTATTTTAAAGGGCGGAATTAAAGAAATACAATTAAACATTTTGAGACTTTATTGATAAATTTTTAAATTAATTTTTCATGAATAACTAAATATAAAATTATTTTTTCTAAAAAATTTCATGTTAATTTTTTCGAAAAAATTCGGCCTTTATGTTGGAACAGTTTTTTTTTATCATAATCTAAAGTGGGTGTAAATTAAAGCCAGACGTGTTAGGTTAGAATGATTTTATTCTATATTATTAGACTAGATTACGATGGGCATTTATAGTCCACACTTCCTGAAGCATAATGCGTTCCGCAGGCGAACTCCTACGGAGTGGGCTCCCTTAAGGTAACTTGAGCCAAGACCGAGACTCCCGGTTTTCTGGGCATTATCCCTCCTGATCTGGTCAAACCAGATTTTGCCGAAACCACCATTTCCAGCCCAAGAAACAAATTTTCCAACCCTGCGTAGCTTAGGCCAGATCGCCCCGTTAAGGTACCCTTTAAGACTGTAGAGATTCGCCCTGAGATCTTCGTCTAGCCTGTCTTTCTTTTTTCTCCGGATCACGACCCAGGAAAAAAAACTCAATGCGCAGATTCGGCACAGACACAAAAGCAGATTAGGCAGGTAAGTCCCCCTGCCTCTATCGGACACCGTTTCTGGCCTGGGCGCTGCTGAAAAAAACGATGTAAAAAATAGCCGCTCGAGCTAGACCACTAATCAGCAGAAATAGTGCTGGGTCTCTCACTTCGAGGCTAGCCCAACCCTTGGGCAGCTCTTTGCACTAAAAAACAAGACCGGATATACATAAGGACACCCGCCACGGGAGGACGGTTCGCCCCGTTATCAGCCATTTTTTATATGTATTATGATTTTATTAAAAGAAAATTATCTTTAAAATATTTTTACTTTGAAAAAACAAATAAAATAAGACCGAAATTTCTATACATAAAATTGCAAAATCGAGTTTATAATGATTTCTAGTCATTTTGAGAGTTTATCTATACGTAGAAATAATAATATTTAAATTTGAAATAATGTATACTAATTGAGGATAATAATATAGCGACTTATGTGAAAATTCACTAGCCAAAATTCCTCTCCTGAGCTCATTTTATTATTATAAAGCTCGATTTTCCAGGAGAATCCTTATCTAGCTATATCAGGTAAGCAACAGGAGGATGCACAGTCTCCTAGTCTAGTATACATTAAGGCGTTTCTTATTTTTTGCTTCAGCGTTATCTATGGCTTAAAAATTGATCGTATTCCTACTACTAATCCTCCTCCTAGTGCTCGAGTTTATCCTTTAATGCAAAGCTACCCAAATTATGATTGTGTTCTCGTGTATTCAGGATATCCAGACTTTAAGTCTATTTATAGTGACATCTGGCTTTTTAACACCACACTTTTCCTATGGGAGCGGCTTTTTCCTTCAAATGATGAAAAACCAGGTAAAATCTATTTAGTTTCAAGGTATAACGGAGGGTCTTTTATATCAGAAGAAAAACGTCTTTTTTATATTTTTGGTGGAATGTCGCTTTCTGGTCCTTTAAATGACTTATGGAGATTCCAAGCAGATGGATTTTTATGAACGAAAATTACAACAAAAGGACCTATTCCATCCCCTAGAATAAGATTTGGGTATACTTCTTATAATGATGACTATGGAAATTTACAATTTGCTATATTTGGAGGGATAACAGGCTATGGAACAGATAACGGTCTTTTTATGTAAAAATTTACTTAGACTTAATACAACTACTTGGACATGAAATAATTTGACTACAGGCCATCCGCCTAAGCTTGAGGGGCCTGCATTAAACTATCATAACAAGAAACTATATTTAGCAGGTGGATATGCCCCTTATTTAGAAAATCCATATACTCACACATTTTTTTATTATGATTTAGTATCAAATAAATGAGTAAATGCTACTTCTGAAAAAACTTATACCCCGAGAATACATCATGGGCATTTTATATATAAGGATCAATTATTTTTGATGTCAGGGTATAATTTATTGACAAACTCTATTGATAATTCCTGATACAAAGTAAACTTGACTGATCCAAGCTATAATTGGGTTAAAGTAGAAATTATAGATAATGATTATTATACATGGCATGATAGCTATGGTTTTGCACTTTTTGAGGACAAAATTTTTACTTTTGGGGGTAATAAAATATCAGATATTATTCTATTTAAAAAAATTTTAAAAATTATATTCGTTTTACCATATTCTATTTTCTATATAAATATAAAATGATATTATATAAGCGGTAATTTAATTTGAATTAATTAAAATACCAACAGATTGTCAATTTACAACTTAAAAACAGACCCTATTGATATGTATGCTCTTTCAGAAAATGTTTCTCCTTCGCCTAGAATGTATCATTCTTTTCAAGAAATAGGGCAATATCTTTATACATTTGGAGGAATAGGGGATAATGGTGAACTTTTAAACGATTTATGAAGATTTGATACCATAAATGAAAGTTGAGAAATAAAGCTCCCTAATGGAGACATCCCATCTAAAAGGCACAGCTATGCTTCAGCTTCTGATGGAGACCATATGCTTATATGAGGTGGAAAAGGCCAGGAAGGCTACTTAAATGATGGGTATTTTTATAACATAAATACCAATATGTGGTATCCATTAGTATTTTCAGGAACTAACCCAAGCCCAAGAGTAGGCGCTTGTATAGGACTAAAAGGAGAAACTGTTTATTTATACGGCGGTGAAGCAGATGCTGGGCTATCTGATGAATTTTGATATTACAGCATTGACACACAAACTTACACACTTTTAGATTCAGATAACTTAAATGGTCCTGGCCCATTAATTTATCCTACCTGCAAACTTTCAGCTACTACCGCCACCTTATTCTATAGGCATTTCGCCTATATTGCCCGATATGGGCCAAAACTTGAGATTACTTCCTCTCAAGTTGGTTTGACCCAACTTAGGTTGGCCAAACAAATCAGAGAGTTTAGGGAGTTTCCCTCTCCTTTTGGTTTGGCTAATATAAGTTGACCATATCGGGCGATTTAGGCAAAATGCCCTATATATAATGTATGGTGAAAGTGATGATAATTTTTCAACAAATAAAATATATGGATATACTGTAAATACAGGAAGATGGACAAAATACTATGATGAAAGCACAGATACATTACACAAAAAAAGCCGAGCTGCAATTTTAAAGGTTCCAAGCATGGTTCTCATGGCTGGTGGTGAATCAGATGGAATTTACCCAGATATTATTATTTATACTTATGGGACTAAAACTGGGCAATGAGAAGATCTTGGATTTATGCTTTTTTCAGTTATAGCTGAGGAAAGATTTTAGTTGACCTTTAAGCTTATTAGGGCAAACAATTGACTTTTGATAAGTTAAATGGAGTAAAAATAAAGGCTTTATGGATTCATTTATTCAATTTTTATAGTAAAATAAATGACTATATTTTAAGTGAAGGGCACGGCAAAAGCGTGCCCAAACTATATAGGTCCGGCATCTACATATTTTAAGAATTATTTTTATATCCACGGAGGGGCAACTGCTGAAAGGGCTTTATTAAGATTCAGTGTGCCTTCCAATAAATTTATCCGTATGGACTTAGGAGCATTATGCACAAGCGAAGAGTGCCCTTTTACTTGCAGCCCTGGGACCTATATAACTTCTTCAGGTTGTGAAATTTGTCCACCAGGGACATATTCTCAAGACTTTGGTCAATTTAAATGCATGCTTTGCCCTAGAGGAAAATATAACCCTCATTCTGCCGCTACAACAGGAGATATGTGCTATCCTTGTCAGCAAGGGCAATTTAGTAATAAAGAAGGCCAAAGACTTTGCAATGACTGTCCATTTGGAGCAGCTTGCAATATAGGGAGCCTAAATTATGAATTCAAAATATTAAACCTCAATGACTCATCAATCCAGCCATCATTATACAAATCAAACCAAAGCCAAGTCAATGAAAATAATATGATCACAGGGATTGTTGTAGGCTCTTTTGGAGCCATAATTATTGTTTTATTGGTCGCAATAAAGAGAAATAGAGTATATCTCTTGGCTTGGGATTTATATACGGAAGAGCATAATTATTTAGAAAGAACACTTATGTATATAAGAAGAACAAGGGTTGGTGGGATATTTGGGATTGCCTTTATATTTGTAGCAATAGCCATCATTGAAATTTTGATTGTGAATTATTTGAAAAAAAATGAATATGAGACTAAAAGCTTGGTACCACTTGTAGTGCTGAAACAAGATGTGCCAAATGTAAACTTTATGTAGTTTGAAGGGGATTTTTATATAGCTCGGGCCTTTATTTTGGATAGTATAAAAAAAATATATTACAAAGAAAAAATGGTTTTAAAACTGCAATTTAAGACTAAATATAAAAAAATAAAAAATATTTGATGCTCATTTGGAGTATTTTCCTTACTTCCCCTTTCGTTTCTTGATTTAATGATTCCATTTAAAATTCTACCTTTCCTAAAATTCATCTGCCTATTTGTGCTAATAATGATTATTGTAGATACTTCAATCTAGTAACTTCTACGAATTCTTAAGCGATTTTTAGTATATTTATACTATATATTGCAACATTAGCGCATAAACTTTGTATGCGAGAAAAAAAATTAATATAATAATTCTGCGGGTTAAAAATATATTTTTTCCCAGGATTTTAATCAATCACAGGGGGAATTTAGGATCCTAAAAGCAAGCACCAGCTATATTACAATAACACTTATGAATTATGGAGGGATTTGTGCTAATATTGATAATTATAATAATATAGTGTGCCCTTCATCTATTTCTTATAAAATTGAAGGAATTACTGGCAGCTGGGAAGAGCAGCATTGTATGCATATGGAAAATGGAGACTGCATAATAAAAATTAACTGTGCCAAATGCTCAATTGATACGCAAGGATATGTATATTATACGATGGACGACTCAAACGGATACACTTCAGGATTTATAGTAAATGTGACTTCATCTTCATCTATTCCTGATAAATCAAGCAGCTATAAAACTGCAGTTTTGCCTGAAAATAATTATACTCTTTGTATTAATTTTAGCTGGTGAAGCACACAAAAAAATAATATTTAGCAATTATAATAAATATGACTTGATTAAGTTAAAGATAAGCATCTATAGTCTCACTCTATAGTGCAGAGTGATAATTTTATACAAGTGGGTTCCACCTTAACACAGCCTTTTAAAGCCACTATTTTTCGGTTTAGGATTTCCTAAATCAATCACCTGTACGGATTTTGTTGGGCTTTATTATCAGTAAGGTTTTCACTCACGTTGCGTCAATCCTTGCAACCCTTGGCTAGATCACCTCTTTTGATCAAATCTATTAGCTATAGAGATATGAGCTGCCTCCTTTATACTTGCCATTCTAAAATAAAAATTAATCACCATTAAAGAAAAGCCCACAAACTGCTTTATAGTTAGATCGCGATGCCTCATTTGAGCATCTAAATTCAGTCGCTTTTCGCAGTCATTTTACGTATGTCAAATATGACTAAAAACATTATTTTGGATAATAAAGAATACGTGTTCATCGGTGGAACCACGACAATATATTATGATATGATCCCATCAGTAACCAATATTTAGTACTACGAAGATACAATATATAATAAAGATGATACCGGATACCACGTTGAAGTTAAAAATATTCCAGACAAAGGCTTGCAATATCAATCTATTGAGTAAAATTTATATAGACTGGGAAATGCATTTATTAATTATTTAACCTTGGAGCTTGATCTTGATGGAAATGGGCTTGTTACAAGTAAAGGGGCTAAGCAAACTTTTATAAACCTTATTTCTGCACTTTTAGGATCTGTTATAGCTGTTTTAAAGATTTTAGGAACTGCAATGGGGACGACTGAGGACAGCTGGCACCAGATAAAGAAAACTTCAGTGCATCGGAAATTGGTAAAAGAAACAAAAAGAAATGCAGAAAATATCCATAGTTCTTATGGAAAATGGCAAAAGAACGGCTATGATGATGCTATGTCTTCTGAAGGAATGGAAGAGCTAGATTTTAATTATGAAAAATAAAACTAGAATTTATTTAAATAAATAATATTTACAAGAAATAAGAAAAAGATAGATATGCATTTTTGAGTCCTTTGATAAATGTCGCTTATTAGAAACAATAATTTCTGGCTAATGATCATTTTCATTGTTAACAAAAATTATACTGCCAAAATAAAGTTATTAGCTCTATCAGGTTTTTAAATAAAAACCTTTATTATTTTGATATAATAATAAAATTATCTTATAAGTGTTATCATCTGTTGCACATATTTCTTACTCTCCAAGGCATGTGGAAACTCCTCACATACCAAAAAATATTACACATACGAAGTCTGCATTTATGTAAGATTTCACATATGGAATTTTTTTGGCATGTAAGGAAATTTCCCATATGCCTTGCACAGTAAGAAATATGTGCAACAGATTATATAAAATTAGGGTAAAATTAAAATTGATAATCAACGGAATATACCGAAATATTGATTAAAATAATGATTAATTATAAATGTCTAACAGAAAAGATGGGGAAGTCCATCTTAAGAATTATTTATGATTATTTCAAGTTTTTCATAACAGCAATATTTTTTAATATCATAAAAATTAATTCTAATATTTCTAGTTTAATATCTAATATTTAGGCAATTTTATTATTAATAATATGATCAGAATAATGAAATATAAAGGATAGTAAATAATAATGGTTTCCTCACTCTCCCCAATCCTTAATCGAACGGCTCGCCATCGTTCGATCAAGGATGGGGTTTTAAAACAAAAATTTATATATAAAATAAAAAATATATATCTTTTTTTATATATGCTTTTAAATAAGAGGGTTAAGAGTATTTAATAATTATTTTTACAGCAAAATATTGAAATTTTCATAAGAATACCAATTTTTAAATATTTTTATTTATTTGTTACCTTTTAAACTGTATAAATTTTAATTTGTTCCTTATTGAATTAAAATTTATTTTTTTTTAAATTTTAAAGAATCTCTATTTTTTAGATTATTGAGTTTTTAAGCCAGGTTGATGACTAAAGCACTTTGGATGGTTAATATCGTAGCTTTCTGTCGTCTCAAAGTCTCTGAGAGCAACTTCATTAGGCACATCTTCCCAAGCTTTTGATAACTAATATATTTTTATATATATATAAATTTGCATGATATCGTTTGATCAAGGATGGGTGTTAACTTTCCCAATTTTTAGGAATTTTTACAGTCAATCCTTCGATCAAGGAGGAGTCAGTACTTTTATACTATCTACTTCTCAGGGTTCATAGCTTGCTAATCGAAAGAATTCCATCCACAGGCACTCCTCCAGAGGCAAGAGCTTTATGTATTATGGAAACCTTTGAAGATCTTAACGTTACATTAGTTTTTGGAGGATACTCAGATCCCAGAAATGCTTTTAATGACCTATGGAGTTTTGATTTACAAAGAAATATATGAAGCAGACTTTCAGCTTCAGATGGAATTTATCCAGGTAAAGCCTAATTTAGTTTCTAGATATAATGGTGGATCATTTATTTCATCAAAAGATTTTTATTTATATATATTCGGAGGGATGTCTGTATCAGGACCATTAAATGATTTATGAAGGTTCCAAGTGGACGGATTTTTGTGAACACAAATAGTTACATCGGGAGGCATCCCATCTCCAAGGCTAAAGTTTGGATATTGCTCATTTACTCAAAATAATATTTTAAAATTCGCTGTTTTTGGAGGCTTGACTATGAAAGGAGATGATAATAATCTTTTTTTGTAAAATTCATATAGACTTGATACTTCAACTTGAACATGAGAAAAACTGCAACAAAATGGGGATATTCCGCCTGCAATTGAAGGAGCAAGCCTGGTTTATTATAATAATTGCTTATTTATAGCAGGAGGTGAAGCATCGAATACTACAAATATGTATTTGCAGACATTTTATTTATATGATTTAAGCAATAATAAATGAAAAAATATAACTTCATCGAATACTTATTCACCAAGGATTTTCTATGGAAGTTTACTATATAATGAAGAACTGTATTTATTGCACGGCTATTCTAATTTACTTAAGAAAAATAACCCAGATTGATACAAAGTTAATTTATTAGACAGTAATTATGAGTGAAGCCAAGTTCAATTAGATGATAATACAAATGGAGTATTATCAGTAAATAGTTATGGCTCTACTTTATATAATTCGAAAATCCTTGTATTTGGTGGAAATCAAAATCCCCCAATAGTAAATCAATTAGTTATTTTTGACTTAGAGTTTTCTCCAATCAAATATCAAGTTTATGATAGGTATAAGTCTCCAAGTCCAAGAATGTATCATTCAATGCAAGCAATGAACCACAATTTATATTTATTTGGTGGGTTGGGTGCTAATGAAGAGCTTTATAACGATTTATGGACTTTTAATTGCATTGATGATACTTGAAATAACATTGATGCAACTGGAGACATTCCTTCCAAACGATACGGATATGCATCAGCTGCAAATGCAGGATTAATGGTTGTATGAGGAGGCTATGGAGCTAATGGGTATTTAAATGATGGCTATATCCTTGACATTACTGCAAATTCATGGCATAGTATGGATTATTTTGGTGATGCTCCAAGTCCAAGAGTAGGTGCATGCGGTGCACAAATGGGATCAAAAATAGCCATATATGGAGGATTAACTGAATCAGGACTTTCTGATGAACTCTGGGTCTATGATTTTACTACATCTCAATATACTCTTCTTGACTATAACAATACTAAAGGTCCTGGGAAATTATATTATGCTACTTGTAGGATGTCTACATCAACACCTAACTTTGTGTATGTGTTATATGGAGAAGGCGAAGATGAAGTCCCTCTTAATGGAGTTTTCACTTTTAATATGTCAAGCAAAATTTGGATTGCAAATTATACAGATAAAGTTGATCTTACTTGAGCTAGAGCTAAAAGCTCAGTTTATAAGCTAAAAACAAGGATTTTGGTCATAGGAGGAGAATCATTTGGAAGTTATCCTAATAGTGAAATTTTTTATTTAGATACCTCAAAAAATACACATGTGCAAATCGGATCTTTAGACTCTGCCATATTTGCTGCAGCTTTTGCATACTTTCAAAATTATGTTTATATACATGGAGGAGGTACAGCAGTTGGCTCCTTATTAAGATTTAATGTCCCTTCTAATAAATTCATTAGAGTTCATCTATGATCTGACTGTGCTGACAATACCACTTGTTTTTGGGCTTGCAGCCCAGGGACTTATAGAACTAATAATTGTTTTGTATGCCCACCTGGGACTTATTCAGATGGATTTAATCACACATTTTGCGATAAATGCCTAGAAGGCAAATATAACGCTGAATATGGCGCCACATCTAAAGATTTATGCTACCCATGCCAAGAAGGCACTTATAATGATCAAAAAGGGACTGCACGTTGTCTATGGTGTCCATATGGCTCAAATTGTGATGTAGGAAGTGTAGACTATAACTACCAGCTCCTTGTCTATGACGATAAATCAATTCAACCAGCAATTTATATCTCAGATACGAACCAAATCGACGAAACAACTTTTATTATCCAAAGTACCGTTGGTTTTGCAGGATTGCTCGTCATTATTTTATTTATTTTTGTTAAAAAAGGCAGAGAATTTTTAGAAGACGCAGATTTGTATACAAATGGCCATAATCATTTAGCAGGCCAAGCGATGTATTTAAAGAAGACTAAAATAGGTGGGCTTTTTAGTATTATTTTCATATTTATAGCTATTATAGCAGTTGGTACAGCTCTGGTGAATTATTCATTAAATAATGTATACGAAGTTAAAAGCTTGGTGCCGTTGGTAGTACTCAAGCAGGATGTCCCTGAGGTAAATTTTATATAGTTTATTGGAGATTTCATAATAACAGTTATACTGATTACGAGAAAATACTATTTTTTTGGAAGCTGTTGTGACTAGATTTTCATAATAATTAAAAATATATTATTGGTAATAATGAAATAACATAATATATAGGATACTTTGATACATTATGGAGGTACTTGCACATCGAAAAACGATTGCTCATCAGAATTGTCTCATATAATTACAGGAATTAATGGCTCTTTCAGCAAATCTTCATGTAGGTCTTATGATAATGGAAACTGTGACATCACTATTTTATGCAAGAGCTGTGAAGTATTAAGCTACGCACAAATTTCATACTCCATGAATAATCAAAATGGCTACGTTTCAGGTTTTACTGTAAATGTAACCTTTTCCTCATCAATCCCCAATGAAAAAAGCAGCTACGAAATGACCCTTGAGCCATCTGAAAATCATGTGTTTTCTGGGAACACCCCATCTGAGGTTTATTTTTATACAATTCCTTCAGTAAATTTTATTTAGCTTTATTCAGAAACTTGAACTAAAAAAAATCAGACAGGATATCATGTTTCATTAAAACAGCCCTCTGATAAAGGCTCAGAGTATCAGGCATTTGAGTAAAACTTATATAGGCTTGCCTTAGCATTTAACTCGTATTTAAATATAAAATTCGATATCGGAACAAATGGACTTGTGACTACTAGAAATGTTAGCCAAACATTTATCATTTTAATAACTACGCTTTTAGGGTCTGTTTTTGGGATTATGGGGAGTATTGGAGGGATAATGAAGCTTGTTGAAGAAAAGTGGATTAATATTGAAAAGAAATTAAAAGAAAAATCATCTTATGAAAAATCACTAGAAAACGTTGAAATGATTTCGGGCACATATGAGCGCTCCAATGGCTTGGGTTTAAATGAGCCTGATTTTTCTGAAAAACTCGTAATATCTGACAAAATTTTTATGATATAGATGAAAATTTTCCTGTGCTTTTTTTTAAAGTCAAGCGTCAAGGTAAATTGCGTCAAGATTAGAATTGTTTTTTTTGATGAATAATTAAGCATTTGTGTACTTATATAATTTTATTTAATTAAATTTTCTGTTATAAATAACATAAAAATTAGTTATAAATTTTCTTTATAGTAAAACAAAAAGATTAATTTATAAGGTATTTTGCTTAGATATAAAGTTTTGTTTGAAATAAAACAAATCGGTTCCTTGAATTTTGCAATCATATTCAAATCAATAAATAAATATAATTTAATATTAAATTTACGTTTAAATTGAGCTTTGCATAGTCAAACTCTATGAGAAAAAGAAACACAACAAAAATATCAAATAATTGATTTAAATAGATCTGGCACTTAAGAGAAATTCAGATATTTAAGCTTTGTGAAGTAGAAAATCGGAATATATCAGGGAAATAATTTTTGCAGCTATTTGGGGTCATATACTTAAATTTATAAAAATTCTTCAAAAATAGATTTTTTTTAATCTCAAATTTCTGCTCAATTAGCAGTAAAAATTTAAAAAGTTACGATGATAAAAGTCATATTTAAAAGGCTTTATATAATTAATGGCTTTCCTTTCATTTCTGTTCTGCTTTCTATTTCAAGTCAATAGCTTGCTAATAGAAAGAATCCCTTCCACGAGTACACCTCCAGTAGCGAGATCTTTATGTGCTATGGAAGCTTTTCCAGATCTTAACGTAACTATAGTGTTTGGAGGCTACACAGATCCTAGAAATGCGGTTAGTGATTTATGAAGTTTTGACTTGGAAAGAAAAATTTGAAGTCGACTTGCAGCTTCAAATGATATTTACCCTAGTAACTTTAATTTAGCAGCACGATATAATGGAGCTTCTTTTACAAGTTCAAGTGACTTGTATTTTTATATATTTGGTGGAATGTCAGTATCTGGCCCTTTAAATGACTTATGAAGATTTCAAGTTGAAGGCTTTTTATGAACCCAAATCATCACATCAGGGGATATTCCTACTCCTCGGCTCAAATTTGGCTATTCTGCCTTCACCCAAGACGATAATATTTTAAAATTCGCAGTGTTCGGAGGTTTGACAATGAAAGGTGACGACAATAATCTTTATTTGTAAAATATATTCAGACTTGACACTTCGACTTGAAAATGAAAAAAACTGCCTAAAAGTGGTGATATTCCGCCCGCAATTGAAGGAGCAACGCTAGACTATTATAACGGCTGTTTATTTATATCAGGCGGTGAGTCCAGAGGAGCAGCAAATCCATCAATACAAACTTTTTATTTATAGGAGTTTTCTCTATATGGCCTGATAAGTGCCGTGGGTTCTCCGTGGAATCCCTCTGTTGGTTAAACCAACTCAATGCGTTGGTTTGACCAATTCACTGATTGGTTCGACCAGCAGAGAGATTCCACGGAGAACCCACAGCCCTTATCGGGCCATATAGGAAAAACTCCTATATATAATTTGACTAGCCAAAAATGGACAAATATAACGTTAGCTTCTACATATACTTCAAGGACGTTACATGGGAGCGCATTAATTAATGATGAACTCTATTTAATGAACGGCTATTCAAGTGTAACTAAAAAAAACGTGCCTGAATGATATAAAGTAAGCTTATCTGACCCTAGTTATAATTGAAGCAAAGTTCAGTTTGATACCAATACGAGCAGCTTATTGTCATGGGACAGTTATGGGTATGCATATTTTAAATCAAATATCTTTATTTTTGCAGGTGATTTAAATCCGCCTATAGTTAACAGTTTTGTCATTTTTGATTTGCAATCCTCTATCATTAAATATGATGCTTATGACAGTTATCATTCTCCTAGTCCAAGAATGTACCATTCAATGCAAGCAATGAGCAATAATTTATATTTGTTTGGAGGGTTAGGAGTTGATGAAGAGCTTTATAATGATTTATGGACTTTTAATTGTGTTGATGAGACGTGAAAAGCTATTGACACAACTGGGAATATACCTTCTAAACGATATGGATATGCATCGGCAGCGAATGCAGATTTAATGCTTGTGTGAGGAGGATATGGTGTAAATGGGTATTTAAATGATGGGTACTTACTTGATATTACGTCAAATGCATGACATACTCTAACCTATTCTGGAGATGTCCCAAGTCCAAGAGTAGGAGCATGCGGCGCTCAGATGGGATCAAAAATCGTTATATATGGTGGATTAACAGAATCAGGACTTTCTGATGAGCTATGGGTTTATGATTTGTCAACTTATCAATACACACTTTTAGACTATAGCAATACTAAAGGGCCTGGAAAATTATATTATGCTACTTGCAGAATGTCTACATCAACTCCGAATTTTGTATATGTACTGTATGGAGAAACTGAAGATGAAAAGCCACTGAATGGAGTTTTTACTTTTAACATGTCAAGTAAAGCCTGAATCGCTAATTATACAGATACAGTAGATCTTACATGGGCAAGAGCCAAAAGCTCAGTTTATAAGCTAAAAACAAGAATTTTGATCATAGGAGGAGAATCTTTCGGAAGTGAGCCAAATAATGAAATTTTTTATTTAGACACAAATAGTAATAAGCATGTACAGATCGGGAAATTAGAAAGTTCTATCTATGCAGCAGCTTTTGCTTATTTTCAAAATTACGTATATATACATGGTGGAGGAACTGCAGTTGGCTCTGTATTGAGATTTAACGTGCCTTCTAATAAATTCATAAGAATCCACTTATGATCTGATTGCACTGACAATACAACATGTTTTTGGGCATGCAGCCCAGGGACTTATAGAAGTGATAACTGCATTATATGCCCGCCTGGGACTTATTCTGATGGCTTTAATCATACTTTTTGTGATAAATGCCCTCAAGGGAAATATAATGGCCATCATGGAGCAACTTCTAAAGACTTATGCTATCCCTGCCAAGAAGGTACTTATAATAAGCTAAAAGGAGCTGCAGCCTGCTTAAAATGCCCATATGGATCTAAATGTGATGTAGGCAGTGTTGACTTTAGTTTCGTTTCCAAAACTTATGACGATAAATCAGATCAGCCAGCACTTTATACACCAGACACTGACCGGGTAAAAAATGATACGTTTATTATTCAAAGCCTTGTTGGGTTTATAGGACTATGTGTTATTCTTCTATTAATTTTTGTAAAAAAAGGAAGGGAACTGCTTGAAGACGTTGACTTGTACACAAATTTTCATAATCATATTATAGGAAGAGTGATGTATTTGAAGCAGACTTGGCTTGGAGGAGTTTTCAGTATCATTTTCATATTTCTTGCAATTATGGCTGTCGGTACAGCTTTTATTTAAAAATTACTTTAATTGGATACCTAAAAACTTCCTTGGTGGTGTATTTAGCGGTCCTTATAGAGCTTTTTTCTGCTAAAGACAATAAGCAAGTGTCCTAAGCACTACAATAACTAAAGTATCCACTAGGATGAAATTGATCATTCTGATCAGAATTTTGACCATGAGCACCAAAAACTGCCTTAAAAGTTTAGCTCTCCTCTTTAAAAATTTAAAAAGGGTTTAGGAACGAAAAGATTTTCTGCTCGTTTTAGCGTGGGAAAAAGTGAATGAGCCTATAAAATAGACATAAACTTATAAATAATAATTAAAATTACAGCTTTAGTTAATTACGCTTTGAATAACACATATGAAGTAAAAAGCTTAGTACCACTAGTCGTCCTTGAGCAAGACGTGTCTAACGTAAATTCTACATAGTATATTGGTGATTTCACAATAATCGTTACATTAATCCACTATGGAGGAACTTGCATGGCAACTAACGAATGCTCATCTGAGCTCACACAAACTATTACTGGGATTAATGGCTCTTTAACTAAATCTACATGTCAAGCATATGATAATGGGAATTGCGAAATTACGATTAAATGCAAAAACTGTGAAATATTGAGTTATGCCCAAATTTCATATGCCATGAATAACCAAAACGGCTATGTTTCAGGTTTCACTGTAAATGTCACAGCTTCTTCATCTATTCCTAATGAAAAAAGCAGCTATGAGACAACTATTGAGCCATCTAAAAATTTTGTGTTTATGGGAACAGTTCCATCAGTGGTTTATTTTTATGCTATTCCTTCAGTAATTTTTATTTAGTATTATTCTGAAACACAAACTGATAAAAATCAGACAGGATATCATATATCCTTGAAACAAGCATCAGAAAAAGGATCAGAGTATCAAGCATTTGAGTAAAATTTATATAGACTTGGTATAGCGTTTAATTCATACTTAAATATCAAATTTGACACAGGAACAAATGGGCTTGTGACAACGAGAAATGTCCGCCAAACGTGGATTATTTTAATTACTACACTTTTAGGGTCTGTTTTTGGAATTATGGGAAGTATTGGTGGGATAATGAAGCTAGTGGAGAAAAGATGGACAAAAATCAAAAAAATGTTAAAGAAAAAGTCTGCATACTTGAAGGCTGAGGAAAATGCTGACATTATCACAAGTTCATATGAAATCCCACACTTTTATGAAGAACCATCTTCATCGCCCAAGGAAAGTCAGCCAGCATTTAAATTGTTTATTATATAAATTAGAGTACTTTTTACAAAATAATAAATCTAATAGATAAACTTATAATAATATCATTTGCGATATGACTCTAGGAATAAATAATTTAATCAATAATTGATAATTATAAAATTGAAAATGGAAATCATTTAAAAGAGGTTTATTATTGTACTCAGAGCATGCAGAAATTATTAGGCAAAAAATATTTTCTATTATTTTTTACCATATAAATCAAATAAGAAAATTTCTTAAAATTAACTAGTTTTATAATAAATTTCCTTATAAGTAGAATTAAAAGTAACAATATCGTAATATGACGATATTGGAAAATCATGATAATAATTAATGGTCTTTTATGCATTACTATGGTACTTTCTACTTAAAGTCAACAGCTTGACGATGGAAAGAATTCCTTCCACAAGTACTCCTCCAGAAGCAAGATCTTTATGTGTCATGGAAACTTTTCCAGACCTTAACGTAACTATTGTTTTTGGTGGCTACTCAGATCCCAGGAATGCTTTTAATGACCTATGAAGCTTCGACTTGCAAAGAAAAGCCTGAAGCCAGCTTGCTGCTTCCAATGATATTTACCCTAGTAACTTTTATTTAGCTTCTCGCTATAACGGAGGCTCATTCACAAGTTGAAGTGAGCAGTACTTCTATATTTTTGGTGGAATGTCTGTATCTGGCCCATTAAATGACTTGTGAAGATTCCAAGTAGATGGGTTTTTATGAACCCAAATAATCACATATGGGGATATTCCTTCTCCTCGTCTAAAATTTGGATATACAGCTTTCACTCAAGATGATATTTTAAAATTCGCAGTATTCGGAGGGTTGACTATGAAAGGAGATGACAATGGTCTTTAACAAATAAATAAGCTTAAATTGTATTTTAAAGGAACCTTTTATTTATTTAATTTATATAAATCAAAACTAATTGACTGAAAAAACAACCCTATCCTCAAAGATAAATTTCCTTAATTCAACTGAAAAACTGTCAAAAAGATATATTTGTAAAATATAATTTAGGCTTGATACATCAACTTGAAAATGGAGAAAACTCCCTCAAAATGGTAGTTATCCGCCTGCAATTGAAGGAGCGACGCTTGATTATTATGAAGGATACTTTTTTTTGGCAGGCGGTGAAACTAGAGAAGCTGCAAACCCATCAATACAAACTTTTTATTTATATGATCTGAATAATGAAAAATGGAAAAATATAACATCAGCGCATACGTATTCTCCAAGGACGCTTTGTGGAAGTGCTTTAATTAACGATGAGTTATATCTACTGAATGGTTATTCAAGTGTAACTAACTCACAGGAGCCAGTAAGAATTAGCAGCAATTTCGAATTAATTTCTGTAATTAATATATTTTTAAGAATAATTTTTTATTATAGGGCGACTATATTTCAGAGAAGATGCTACGCCGATAATAATTAATTTCTTTAATTCAAAAACTTTATAAAATAATGTAGTAAAATGTGAATCCATGAAGAAAAGAATAAGAAAAATGTACCTGAATGATATAAAGTCAGTTTATCAGACCCTAATTATGAATGAAGCCAAGTTCAATTCGACACTGCTACAAATAACTTATTAACTTTAGATAGTTATGGGTATGCGTATTTCAAGTCAATTCTCCTTATTTTTGCAGGCGATCGAAATCCACCTATAACATACCTATCTAGCATAAAAAGTATAAAAAATGCTAACTATTATATTTTATTTTCTACAGAAAACAAAACTTCGCTCGCTTGTGGATAATTTTTTCCCTGCATGATAGAATAAACCAATTAATGATTTTTGATTTGGGGACATCTCCCATCAAATCCGATGCCTATGACAGCTACAATTCTCCAAGTCCAAGAATGTACCATTCAATGCAAGCAATGAATAATAATTTATATTTGTTTGGTGGGCTGGGCTCTAATCAAGAGCTTTATAATGATTTATGGACTTTTGACTGTGTTGATGAAACTTGAAAAACGATTGATGCAATTGGAAATATCCCTCCCAAACGCTATGGCTATGCATCAGCGGCTAGTGCAGATTTAATGCTCGTGTGGGGAGGATATGGAGTAAACGGGTATTTAAATGATGGGTACTTACTTGATATTACGTCAAATGCATGGCATACCATGACATATTCAGGAGATGTTCCAAGTCCAAGAGTAGGTGCATGTGGTGCCCAGATGGGATCAAAAATCGTTATATATGGTGGATTAACAGAATCAGGGCTTTCTGATGAGCTATGGGTCTATGATTTGACGACTTATCAGTATACACTTTTAGATTATAACAATACGAAAGGGCCTGGAAAATTATATTATGCTACTTGCAGAATGTCTACATCAACTCCGAATTTTGTATATGTGCTGTATGGAGAAACTGAAGATGAAAAGCCACTGAATGGAGTTTTTACTTTTAATATGTCAAGTAAAGCCTGAATCGCTAATTATACAGATACAGTAGATCTTACATGGGCAAGGGCCAAAAGCTCAGTTTATAAGCTAAAAACTAGAATTCTAGTTATAGGAGGAGAATCGTTTGGAAATGAGCCAAAAAACGAAATTTTTTACTTATTCTCGACTTTAAATTAGAATAAAAAATCCATTTCCAATTTACAGAATATTTATTTTAAAATAAATTATATTAAATTTTTTATCATAAAAATTTGCTGCATTTATTAGAAGGAAATGATGAGAAAGCCAATTAGTATTGAATTGAGAGTGAAGAAGTTATGTCTAAAAATTAAATAAAGTGGGCTAGTGTTCCAAAAAATGCAGATAGGAAAGTTAGACACAAACAATAACGAGCATTCTCAAATTGGAAAACTAGAAAGTTCTATTTATGCAGCAGCTTTTGCATATTTTCAAAACTATGTGTATATACATGGTGGAGGAACAGCAGTTGGCTCAATATTAAGGTTTAATGTGCCTTCTAATAAATTCATAAGAATTCACTTACTCTCCTTAAAATTAAAACAAAATATTCTGTTCAAATTTAATTTTATGTGAATTGCTGGATCTTTTTTTTGGAGCCAGTATTCCAATTTAGAATGGAGGCGTTATGATCCGATTGCACTGACAATACAACTTGCTTTTGGGCCTGCAGTCCAGGGACTTATAGAAGTGATAACTGCATTATATGTCCTCCCGGGACTTATTCTGATGGATTTAACCATACTTTTTGTGATAAATGCCCTCAAGGGAAGTATAATGGCCATTATGGCGGAACATCAAAAGACTTATGCTACCCATGCCAAGAAGGCACTTATAGCAGTCAAAAAGGAGCTGCTGCTTGTTTGGACTGTCCATATGGATCAATTTGTGACGTGGGGAGTGTAAATTACACCTATCAATTAAAAACCTACGACGATAAATCAATACAGCCAGCTCTTTACTCTCCAAATACAGACCAAATACATAATGATACCCTAATTATTCAAAGCACAGTTGGTTTTTCAGGCTTGATCGTTATTTTAGTATTAATTTTTGTAAAAAAAGGGCAAAGCTTGCTAGAAAGTATTGACTTGTACACAACGAATCATAATCATTTAGTCGGACAAGTTATGTATTTAAAGCAGACTTGGCTTGGAGGAGCTTTTAGCATAATTTTTATATTTCTCGCAATTATAGCAGTTGGGACAGCTTTGGTAAATTATTCTCTGAATAATGTATATGAGTCTAAAAGTTTAGTTCCATTAGTAGTGCTTGAGCAAGATGTTTCAAATGTGAGGTATATATAGTTTATTGGAGACTTTACAATAGCAGTTACCTTAATTCATTACGGAGGGACTTGTGTGTCAGCTAATGCTTGTTCATCTGAGCTCTCCCAAACTATTACTGGGATTAATGGAATTTTCAGTAAATCTGTATGTAAAGCTTATGACAATGGAGATTGTGACATCTCTTTTAGGTGCAAAAATTGTGAAGTGTTAAGCTACGCACAAATTTCATATGCCATGAATAACCAAAACGGTTATGTCTCAGGTTTTTCTGTCAATGTAACAGCTTCTTCTTCAATTCCTAATGAAAAAAGCAGCTACAAGACAACTATTGAGCCATCTAAAAATTTTGTGTTTATGGGAACAGTCCCATCTGTAGTTTATTTTTATACAATTCCTTCGGTAGCATTTATTTAGTATTACTCACTCCCCCCCCTTTAAATTGGAACTAAAATTTTGTTTCAATTTAAAGGGGGGTTAATTTTTTTTTTAAAAAAAATATCAATATAAAATTTTTTATAAAAAATATACAAATTTTAAAAAAAAAAAAATTCAAAAACTTATCGAATTAGATCAATAAATTTGTTTAATAAAACGCTATTTACTCTTTATCCTTTAAAAAAAAGCAAGATATAACTAAATTTTTATTATTAGTTAATACGCCACTATTAATTGGTATCAAAATTATTTACACAAAAATTATTATTTTTATTGATAAAAAAAATTAAAAAAAGCAAAATTTTGGAAAATTTATCGATCAAAGTGCTAATTTTGTTTAAATAAGATTTATTTATACTCTATTCTTTAAAATAAAGCAAGAAATAAGTAAATTTTGAAATTTTATAAAGAATTCCTATTGAATTTATATCAAAACTATCCAAATAAAAAATATCATTTTTATCAAAAAAAAACAAAAATTTTTAAAAAAAAAATAAATTTTTTTTTAAAATTTAGCAATTAAGGATAATAAATTTATTTAAATAAGATGCTCTTTATACTTTTTTCTTTAAAAAAGAGCAAGATATAACTAAATTTTTAATTTTAGTTTAAGAAGAAACATTTAACTTATATCAAAACTTTTAGATAAAAATTATATATAATTTTTTTATTATAAAATTAAATTTTGTTCCAATTTAAAGGGGGGTTAATTTACCAAAAAAGTGGAAAATTTTACCTATATTTTGTTCCAATTTAAAGGGGGGGGAGTCAGAACCCCAAACTGATAAAAATCAGACAGGATATCATATGTCCTTAAAGCAAGCATCAGAAAAAGGATCAGAGTATCAAGCATTTGAGTAAAATTTACGCAGGCTTGGTTTAGCATTTAATTCATACTTAAATATTAAGTTTGACATCGGAACGAATGGACTTGTGACAACGAGAAATGTCCGCCAAACATGGATTATTTTAATTACTACACTTTTAGGGTCTGTTTTTGGAATTATGGGAAGTATTGGAGGGATAATGAAGCTAGCTGAGAAGAGATGGACTGAAATTAAAAATAAAGTGAACAATAAAGCAGCTTTAATAAAAGCTGAAGAAAACTCAAATGCCATATCTAGCTCATATGAAAGTCCATACAGCTTTGAAGATATTTCACCTTTGCCATCAACTCCTGAAAAATCTCCATCAATGAAGTATTTGATAATTTAATAACTAATCAATAATATGGTAAAAGAAATATGTGAAATTTCAAATAGAAGAAATTGAGATTTGTTTCATTATTTTATTTATGCAAAATTATGTCTTTAAAAGTTAATATTTAAATTTATTAAAATTTTTAAAAATCAAAGCTTTGGCAATAAATTAAAATTAATCAAAATCGTTATTCAAATCCAATTGGCCTTAAATACATCAAAAAATCACTTTTAGATCTTGTGTGCCCATATGATTTTCACAGCATTGAATTTTTCAAAGGATTTTGCAGCACTTTTTTGCTGTTCTCCATTGTTTTTCTTATTTCATCGTTTAATTCTTCGATCTTTTTGTCAGCATATTTCTCGTTTTCTCTATCCTTATCCTTATGCTTTAATACAGACCCAAGCTCACAGCAACTTTCAAAAAAACTATTTCCAGCTGAAATTTCAGATGCTTGCAGATCTGAGCCTCGAGTTATTTCATAGGTATTTAATGTATCATATTCTGTTTGTGTGCTTTTAACAGAATTTAGATTTTTTGTATGATAAAGAATCAAAAAATCGTTAATGAACTCTAGTAAAGAATTGAAGGCTTCTTCATACTTGTAATTTCTAATTAATTCGGTGTATAGTGTATAGGCTCCTATTCGTTTCAGGAACAATTGATTTAAATTGTGCTCGTTCCTGATCTGCTTTATGAGTGTACCAACATTTTCTTGGATTTTTTCATTGAATTTGGGAAGGTTTTGGCTTTTCTTTAAATGCTTCTATGTAAATTTTACTGAAAGCTCGGTGCACTCTTTTATAGCATTTTCTAGGTTTTTTGTTAAGTTTTGGTTTTCTGCCATAAAGGCATCTCTAAATAATGGATACTTTTCTTTCAATAGCTCACGGACGGCTTTTTTCAGCTGTGAATTTTGTATTGTTAGCTCTTCTATTTTTAATTTTTTCAGCTTTATTTCATTTGAAAAATGTTTTAGCTTGCTTTCTTGCAATTCGTAAGCTTTAAGCAATGTTTCTATCTTATTTTCCATGATTTTATCGGAAACAAAATAATAAATAATTTTAAAATGGAAATTAATAGGTAAATTAGGCTCAATTAAGCTATTAAAAGCGATGTGATATTGGCTTTGGACGTTTATTTCATAATATTTATAATTCTCAATCACTTTATTATTTATGTTTAGCATACTTAGCTGATTTTTTTGCATTTAAACTAAGGCCGTCGAAGCCGGCAACACTTGCCCCTAGGCGCACCTTGGTGAACGAAACGGACCGGCCCAGAGGTCTGTGGGCCCGATGCGACGAAAGGCGAGCAGAGGTCTGGGCTCTGCCAACCCCGTAGTGGACGTTAAGCGTTATAAGTAGTAAGTTAAGTTTGCATTTAAACTAAGAATTTATTCCAAAAATGAAAAATACACCTTCTTTAGCTTTGAAGGATCAATGCCAATCCAATTAAGCTCAAATGCAAAATCTCATAATTTTATTTATTTATAAATATGGGTGATAATTCTATGAAATATATCGCGTTCGCTGGAATAGTCACAGCACTAATTATAGCTAATGAAGAAATTATCAGGAAAAAGCTTAAAGGTTTAATTGGGTGGCTGAAAGAAGGTTAGGTTAGGTTTAAGATGTGTATTTATAGTCCCTACTTCCATGCGTGGCATTCCTCCGCGCTCCTTGAGGAGCCGTGCTGGCACGAGCGAAAAGAATGGACTTCCATCACTGGTTTCTCTGATCCCAGGCCGAAACCTCTGGTTTCTCGGTAGTGGGTTGCCCTATTGAGTCGTCAGCCGACTGTTGCTGAGCACCACCATTTCCAACTCAGCCTTCCGCCCCGAATTACGCCAGTCTTTGCCTCCGGTTGGCCAGATCGCCCTCGTAAGAGGACCCCTTTTTAACTGGAGAGACTTGTGCCCTTTGAGATCCCCAAGTCTAGCTTCGCCTCCCTCTTTCCGGATCATCTCCAAGAAAGAACTCAACCCCTTGCGGGATTCGGGGCTAAGCCACCAAGTAGCCTAGGCAGGTAAATCACCCTGCCTCTTTCGGACACCGAGTCTGGGCCTCGGCGCTACTGGCAAAAAGAATGCGAAAAACTGCTGCCCGGGTCGAGTCCCAAAATCAGCGGAAATTGGGCTGGGCCTCTCGCCTCGAGGCTAACTCTTCCCTTGAGTAGCTCTCCGCATCCAAAAACCATGTCCGGTATACATAAGGACATCCGCCACGGAAGGACGGGTCGCTCGTCTCCGGCCATTTTATGTATATGGGTGGCTGAAAGAAAAAATGAGTAAAGAAAAAGTATATGTTCCTAATGATATAAGGGAAAATCCAGAAAATGACATAGAAGTAGAAGGGATGGAGGCATTATTATGCCCGATATCGCATGAGCTGATGAGAAATCCTGTGATTACTCCATATGGGCATTGTTTTGAAAAATCACAAATAGAAGCTTGGCTGGACTTACATAATTACTGCCCACTAACCCGACAAAAATTAACAAAAAAGCAGCTAAGGCCTTGCTATACGTTGAAATATGCGGTTGAGCAGTATATTCGCCTACAAGAAAAGCTAAACTTGAACAATAATTAACCTTCTATAATAGCTAAAATCATTGACATTTTAATAAATTTTAAAGAATAAAATCTATTTTATTTAATTTATTATATTTTTAAATAATTATATCTATTAATGCTATTTTATATATTTAGTAATGACTACACTGCTAAAATCTCTAATTTAAATTTCATTGCATTTAGAAGCATATTAATTTTAAGGTTTTTGTAAACGGAAACTATCATAAATGTCAAAAAATTACCAAAATCCATCAACAGCTTCTAACCAAAAACAGTCAAAAATTCTATTTTCTGATAGTGAATCCAGCTCATCTCCTGGTGATTCTTTTATCCACGAAGAATCCTCAATTTCTCATCAGTTATCCCCAAAGTTCCAGCAAAGCGAAATCGGTGAAGAAATTCAAAGATCGATAACCCTAATTGCCTCAGCCCTTAAAAAAAGCAAAGTTCCCTATTCACAGCCTGATTTGTATGATGGTGACATTCGAAAAACCCTTAACTCGCTGAATTATTTTGTATCAACTATATGTAGTGAATACCTATATGCAATAAACAAAATTAATGCTGAGGCCTCATTAAATAAAATTGACTCATATAAGCAGCCGAAAATTGAAGAATTAAGGATCGCTAATGACAAGGTAAAAGACAAAGACAAAATTGATGAAGTTGGCGTGACTGTTGTTAAAAAAGGCCAGTCAGATATTATGGCGAGACTATTTAAATTGCCAAAACAAGGATTAATGCTGACACATGAAGACTGTAAAGAATTTTCCTCACTTATTATAGGCGCTATGAGGGACTCTGGAACTGCTGAGTTGCGAGAACAAATTGTGTATTTACAAGAAAAAGCTGTGAAATTTGGGAAATTGCTAAGTTTGACTAGAGCACAGCTTAGGAAAAAAGAAGATCAAGTCGATCAACTTTTACAGGCAAATAAAAATTTAAATCAGATGTAAATCATATATAGAATTTCAAATCTCCAAGACAAAGTAGATGATAGATATTCCCCAGACCAAGAAATCTTCATAACTGATTTATCACCAAATAAGCAGCATTCTCACGAGACTTCAAGCACCCAGAGTGAAGCAGTCTTTATAAACCCTTAATATTAATGAAATTAATACAATTTTTCCAAGAAATTAAAATTTTATAAAGTCCTTCTCTTTTTAGCTGTGTTCATATAAGGTCTTGATACCCATTCGACTTGTGCTTGAGGCAAATCGACAGTTCCTAATGAAATTTGGTACAATTTCATTATAAATCTCGGCCCAATTTCTTCTAAAGCTACTGTCTTATAATCTTCTTTGTTATAAACGTGATTTCTAAAGATAATATAGTCTTCTTGGTTCACAAAGCTTATAACTCTTTTACTGTCTAGCTTAGGCACTGGAAATAAGTATTTTAGTACATCAGAAACCCTATCCCCTATATTGCTTTGAAAATTATGAAAAATCAAATGTGGGTACTCCTCCGACATCGTGTCCAGTTGTGTCTTCAAATCATGCCGAAGCACCACATTAGCCAATGCAAAATAAGCAGTAGGGCCACTTGGCATATGCGAAATAATCATCCCATCAGGCTTTCCTCTGTGCTCGTGTAGTATAATTAAATCAGTGAAATTATATTTTTGAGCAATTTCTACCAAATCTTTTATCACATAATTTCCACGATTTGTACGGGTGGTATTCGGGATCACGATTTTTAGCTCTTTTAAAAACTGCATAAGGCGAGAACTTGGCCTTCTTGATGTGGTCATCAGGATTTTAGGCTCAATTGCCCCTGCGTCTGCGTATTCGTCGTCCATATGGTTTCGAGGAATTGCAGTATTGATGTCTTCAAGCTCGATTTCGTTGCGCAGTTTGGCTTCTTCGTGGCGGAGCTCTGTGGGGATTGATTTGTGTTCTTCAAATGCTTCTTTTATTTTTTGCTTTTTGAGAGACTTGGATTGTTCTTGGTGCTCAAGACTTTTCTTATAGAGATACTCTTTTCTTAGTCTCACATTTTTTCGAAGCATTTTATGATAATTAAGTTAAGTTATAATTTTTAAGGGAAATTGTAATAAATTTAATTGGAAAATATCAAAAATTAATTAGAGGGATTATTTAATTAAGTTAATTAGCAAAATCTAAAGTCTCTGAAATCACTTTTCCCGAGTGCGATTACCCGAAATCCAATTTCTCTTAATGCGGAGTGGTTTAATAGGTTTCTCCCATCAAAAATATATGCAGGTTTCAGCATATCTTGGAACATCCTAGTATAATCAAAGTCTTTAAAACAATCCCACTCAGTAAGCACTAAAATTGCACTTGAGTTTTTTACTGCTTCATATGGGTTGGTTTCAGTAATTAAGTGTTTATCAGCTGATATAAAATCTAAAAATTTGTGTAAATTCATCTCATTTAGCATCATTTGTCTAGTGACCTTTGGGTCATACACATGGATTATCGCTCCTTCTTCTATACCATTTTTGCTCTAATTGTTATTATTTAATTCAAAATTTACCTTAACAATTATTAATTTATTTTTTATTTATTAAGAAATCCATTTATTCTAGCATAATAAAGTACTTGCCACATAGCAGGCAGCAGTTTCCCTTGTATCACCAGTATTTTTCTTATAAGCGAACCCAAACATCGCTATATGTTTATTTTTCAATGTATTATTCATCGAGGTAATAATGCATTTGGTGAACCTATTCCTCTGAAACTCATTCATTATAATTACTTGTCTTCAGTAATTAGCTACATCAGTAAGCCCAATGCTTTCACAGATATATACTAAACACAGCACGTCTTTGGTAAAGCATGATCCTCCAAATCCTACACTTGTCCTGAGGAATTTGTTTCCTATTCTTTCATCTGTTCCTATTACTGTTGAAACTTCGTCTATATCTGCTCCAACTCTTTCACAAACAGCGCTTATGCTGTTTATAGAAGAAATTCTTTGGGCTAGCATAGCATTACTACAAAGTTTGGATAATTCAGAAGGACACGTATGAAAATGGAGTGGAGAAACAACCTGTCCTCTTAGCATCTAAAGCTAGACGGGAGATTGGGACTTTGTGAAAGGAATAGCAATGTGTGGGCGTATCGGCAGGTTTTACTTGGTGATGGAGTGCAATATTGGGCTGACCGACTGCACCTTGGAAGTTGGAAAGGGATAGCCCAACAAAGCTAGAAGGCGTTCTTTTGGCCATCTGGCCATTTTTCAAGCACGATGCCGAAGTTTCACCTCGAATTGCACTTTTCATCCTGACAGAAAGTTCACTTTTTGAATTTTTTAACCCCGTTGACGTATGGCACTTTAACCCGCGTCTTTTCCTCCGGTTGTGGTTCAAGCACTCATCCGGAGGAAGCAGCATAGGAATTAGGCTATGAAATCAGACAGACAAGTATGGGGATTGCACGATGCAAGGAATGTGAAAAGCATTTGCTGGCTATAAGCTTCTTTATAATAATTTAAGCTAAGCTATTGGCTAATTCAGAAGACCATAAGCTTGTAGTCAAAATTTTAGTCCTTGGGACCCATCTTGCATAGAGATTTGCCAGCTTCCTCATCTCTGTGAGCAAACAAAAAATTATATGCTCACAGGGTTTAATTTTTTTGTTGAAATTTAAAAAACTCCCAATTCGCAAAAATTGAGAGTAAAAATTAATTGAATTTGCAAAATTTATGTTTTATTAAAATTCAATAGAATTAGCTAGAGATTTCGTTATATTATTTATTATTATATATACAAAATTTTTTGGCTCACGGAGTATGTGCTTTTACTCAAAATAGGGACTTTTCTAAACGATTTTGTTCGCTCACGGAGGGGGGGAATAAGGTTTCGATGGCTTCTTCGTTTTTTCCACCTATAAGAACTCTGCTTGGGTTTAATAAATCGTTAACAGCAGTACCTTCAGCGAGAAATTCGGGGTTCGAAAGAACTGAAAAATCAAGTCCAGGGGCATTATGGGTCAAAATCTGTTCAATAATTTCAGCAGTTCTTACAGCGACTGTGGATTTTTCTACGATGATTTTTTTATCTGTGCAATCCTTTAATACTGATGCAATTGATCTCACTGAGCTTTCTACTCTTTTTTATTATAAATAACCATTTTATTTAATAAAATATTATTATTTATATATAAAAAATAGATATAAGCAGCATTTAGATAATAAGTAATAAATAAGTCAAATCAAAAGCGCAGCCTGCACCTTCTCCGTAAGTCTTTGTAGGAGTATTAACGCAGATAAAAATTATGTTGGAATTTTTGATTTCGTTAGAAACATCGTTTGAAAAAGATAAATTTCGGCCACGACAATTTTGAACTATTTCAAGGAGGCATGATTCATAAATTGGAAGTTCATTAGAATTTCAACGAGAAATTTTCTCGGGATCGAGATCAAGGCAGGATATTTGAAGATCTGGGCATTTATAAGCAAAAACAGCCATAGTGGGACCACCTACAAACCCTGCTCCTATGCATGAAATTTTATGAACTTCCATTTATATTTAAAATGAAAAAAATTAGAAATCGTATGGATTTGAGTCAATTAAGGCAAAATATTCAGAATTAATTGAAATTTATATGCAAAAAGAATTAATATTAAGATTAATATTTTTTTGGTAAATAAAATACAATTAAATCAGCATAGTATAATAAAAGCCTATCTAATTTTTTTATAAAATAAATTTATTTAGTCATATAATTAAGAAAATAAAGTTAAAACATTAAAACATATGTTGAAAACTGTATTATTCATAAACATTTCGCATATTTATAAATTATTTCTTCAATTAATTTATATTCTTTTAGTATCTATGTGAATTTAAACACTTATAGCAGCAATTTATATTATGAATTTATATCCATTAATTGAAATTATCTGATTAAATTTAAGTTTAAATTGAGGATAACTCTTCATGTCCCGTACATCTTGGTCAGCTCTGAATAACAGTAGGTGGGTTGGCCTATCAAAGTGTTTCTGTCCCCAAGCCCCTTATGGCCCCTCTGATCTACACCAGACACGGTGTAGACTCATTTTCTTGAGCCGAAACTCTCAAAAAGTCATGAATTTCTCTCACAGAGCCCAGATGTAAGAACTAAGCCCCACCCCTAACTGGCATTTTTAATTGTGTTTTTATCTGATAATTATGAATTTTTTTAAGCTTCGCAGATTTTTTGGAGCTGCTAAAGATTATTCTTCCGTCATTTCAGGGCATTCAAAAGCTCATCCTATTTTGCTATACTCACGTTCAGATTCTCAGCAAAGTGCTAGAGCAAAATCTTTGTTATCTGAACATAAATTATCACCATTTGTGATTGAAATAGATAAGGAAGAAGATCCAAAATCTTTTAGAGAAGCTCTTAAAGAAGCAACAAACTTAACAAGAATTCCGATAATTTTTGTTCGAGGAAAGCCAATTGGTGGCTTAGGAGATCTTCGGAAAAAATTGAAGAATGGAGAGATACAGTCTGAACTGAAAGACAAATAATTAAATCAAAAATTGAGGTATGCTAAAGAGTGTAATTTTAAGTATATGCAGTTCTGAAAAGCTTAATTAACACTTGAAATAATTTCCATTGCTATATTTATAGATAAATCCGAATTTGCCTTAGGGATTAAATTCTATTAAGAATGTAAATAATATAATAAAATAGAACCACAAAATAAATCGATATAAAAAAGCGCGAGTAATTGGCCTTGTCCCATTGTGCTATTTAATGATAAATAGCGATAATAATCCTAAATTTATGGCAAAATGCTGGTCAAGTTTGTATACCACAATAGTGAAAAATAACTTTAATGAATCTTTACTTATAGGCGAACACTTCGGAAATCAAGGATATGATGGAAATTGTTAAGATATGTGGTCGTTTGGGGTGATTATATGCTTCCTTTCAGGAACTTTGCCTTTCGAAGAAGAATCGATGCAAACTTAATAAAAAAAAATTGCATCTGCTGACTATGTGATGCTAGAAAATATTTCAAGCTCAGCTAGAGAGCTGATTTTATTTGATTTTGAACCAATACCCCAGGTCAAAACTCAGCATTAGGAAACTGAAATGACACTTCAGGTTTGTGGTGAATTATGAAGAACCAGATGGATATTTGAAGGCCAGAGCACAATCATAAAAATATACCAAAACTTTATAAAAGGAATGAGAGAGAAAAGGAATATAAAGTGAGTTATGGCAGTAAGGACTCTTCATCATCAGAAATTGAGGTAAAATCCTCGAGATTTTGTAGAAAAGTTGCAGTTATTTTATGGTAAAAGGAATTAGGTCGTTTTTAAAGGATTTTCCATATAGTTTTAGAAGAGCTGTCTGGTTTTATGCCTAGTAATGGCCTTTTAGTTTTGTCCTATAAAAATTGTGTTATTAACGTGCATTTTTTATTATAAAATAAGTCAAAAAATCCAGTAAATTTCTAAATTAAATCATCTCTCATTCATATAAATCTTAAAACATTTTTATAATTTGTAAAGCTGAATAGTTTACTCTCAAGATATAAAATTCACTTCCACACATACCTCAAATTAAACTATTTATATTTATTTAGTATAATTTTATAGTTTATAATAATTTTAATATTTCCTGGATCTGATATAGCATAGCTCGATAATTAGTCTAATTCTAATTCTGCAGTTTAAATATAAAGAGGTCTTTATTTTTTGATTTTAGTCGTCTTGTTGCAATATGTTTTGCTTATAAAGAGCTATTTTGCCAAAATATCCAATTGAGATAATGCTAAAAACATTGGAAATAATCAGAAAACCCTGCAAGATCCCAAAAAAATGAAGAAAATATTCTCATCACTGACTAAATTCTATCAGATATCGCTTCTTTGTCCATTTTTAATTTAACTTCGTTTATAAAACTTTTCGTTAATTTTCCAGTAGAGATGAATATTTATGCAGATTTCAACAGCAATTTAGTATTAAATATCCATTAATTACTACATATATTCTTTTATTAAGAACTATCCAGGCTAATTTAATAATTATGTCCACCTTTATATAAAAATAAAGAAAATTTATAAAGATGTCTAGAAGATTTTCAATAAAAAAAGCATAGTTTATATGAGTAACCAAGATCTCAATGAACAATACAAGGAGATGCTAGGCAATATAGCATTAAGTGGAAAGGTTTTCTTAAAAGTCCTGGGAAATGCTGCACGTTTGACCTTCAATACTGCAGTTTTTCTTTTGAGTTGTGGATCTCTGGTTCGATGGAAACAGCCTCAAGCAAGAAATCCTCCTGAAAAAGCTCCAATTCAGAAGAATAAGAGCAAATCTCCACAAGTGAACCCAGATTCAACTGATAGCAGTGGAAATTCTGCTGTGGATGATACTGAAGATGCATTGAGATATCAATTATAGGCTTAAAATTTTTTTATAATAAATATTATTTTCTAAATAAAAAGTTATGTGGAAAAGTCTTATCATCTATATAGAGATGAGATATCAAGTTCGACAGGAGCTTCAAACATCAATTCCAAGAACCGCATCAAGAGATATGTTAAACAGGCTCATTCAAAGTCATGAATTCAGCCAAAGAGAAAGCTGGGTTGACAATCGACAGCAAGAAGAAGACATAATCGTCATCCCGTCTTTATCTATAGATCAAGGCGAACTCCAAAAAATCACAGCAGTCGGGTGCTATGAAGAAAGGCAGCTATGCACACTATTTTACTTAAAAAACCCAAGGTGTAGGCTGGTTTATGTTACAAGTATGCCAGTCGATAAAGCTATTGTCGATTATTATCTAAATCTATACTATATCCAATACATAATACTTCCATTATTTGATAGAAATTTTTTATTTTTTTAAAAAATATACTATAGTCATAATCATTCTCCCTTTAATTTATTTATATATATAATACTTGAAGAAAACTCGATAGTTACCGCAAACCAAGCGTCAAAAAGGCTTCTATTGCTCAGTTGTAACGACAGTTCTCCAATCCCACTAACCTCAAAAATCCTAAGAAGGCCTAAACTTATCCAAAAAATAAAAAATTTCATCAACCCTATCAAATCCCATATGATTTGCTTTATCAGCTCAAACCTCGAAAGAGATTTAGCCTTACAGCTAAGCGTCCCACTTTTCGCTAATGACCCTTCACTAACCTATTGGGGAACCAAAATTGGGTCCAGAAAAGCCTTTGAAAAAGCTGGCATAAAATTGCCAAGAGGGACACAGCTAGTCCACTCAGCTGAAAATTTGGCTAATGAAATAGCAAAACTTTATAAGGAAAGAAATTTTGAGGTACAAAAATTCGTAGTAAAGCTTAATATTGGCTTTTCTGGGGAAGGAAATGCTATCATAAGAAGCAAATTTTTTGATAAAAATGATTTGGAGACGTCAATTTTGGAAGCTTTATGCACACATTTGGAATATGTTTATAAGAAAGAAACATGGCAAACTTTTGTCCAGAAAATAATCCGTTTAGGAGTGCTAGCGGAGGAATGGATAGAAAATGCAGTGGAATCGCCATCATGCCAAGCTTTGATAAACCCGAAAGGAAAAATTGAAGTTTTATCAACCCATGAGCAGTTATTAGCTGATGGGCTTACTTATATGGGCTGTGTTTTCCCTGCTTCTGAGGAGTATAGAAAGATTATTATGGAAAATACTTTGAAAATTGGACAAGTTTTAGCCAAAAAAGGATGCAAAGAACGCTTTGCTGTTGATTATGTAGTAAGACAAGAAGAAGGGGTTTGGGCAGCTTATGCTATAGAAATCAATTTAAGGAAAATTTATTTCAATTTTTTTATTAAAATTTAAAACAATTTTAATAAAAAAATATTTTTTTTGCCAATTTAAGGTGGGGTGGGACTAGCCATCCTATGATTACAGCAAAAAATTTAACTGATGCCCAGCTGACTGAAGATGGCATATTATTAGGAGCCGATGACCAAGCGAAATTTTATATAGCCACAGATACTGTTCAGAATGACGTCTATACAGGACTTACCCCAGCCGATTTCTTAGACTTCGTTAATTCTAACAAAGAGCTACAATTTGACAACGAAAATGCGGCTGGCGTTGTTTTCCATTTACTATCTGCAATTTCTGTATATGGAAAATTCGGGTTTACAGCAATTGGAAATTCTGCTGAAGAAGCGAAGGCTATTTTTGATAGAGCGCTGCAAGTATTGGAAAGAGAAGCAAACCAAATCAGCTCACAGAAAAAGTTCACAGAGCTAGACCAAGTTATCCAGACACCAGATGATTAATTATATGATTTAAACAAATATTTTTAGAAAATAACTTTTTTAGGTTATTACTTTTTAATTAGAGTGTAGAATTTTGAATTTTCTTATGGATTGCAGTAGCAGTCCTTCAAAAATAAATCTAGCATTAATCCTCTTGCTGCATGCTTTATTTGATTCCAAAATGAGTCTTGTAAAACTACATTATTGAAATATCTGTACTCTCTTCTTAAAATATCTCAAATAGGCAATAAGCCAATTCTAAATTATCTTTTTAAAAGAATTGTTGAAAGCATTTTTTGTAATGTTGAGTGACTACTCACTATGGGTGAAGCAACTGAAAGGATTGGGAGTCTTTATGATAAAATTTTGTAATAATAAATACTTGAGGATGCTTTCACATAATTAGCACTTTTACTTAAGAATCGCTGCGTCCATTAACAACATTATGATCTTTCATGTATATTTCCTGATAAATACATAAGACTTTTAAAAGCAGTCTCTAATAAGTCCTCTCCAAAGACTTGGTATGAAAGGCCATAATCTTGATAACAGCATAGGACTACTTACCTAATTGCATTGCTTCAAAAAGAATTGATTTCCTCCTACAATTTTCATTTAGCAATAAACTGCCAAAACTTTTAATCACTAATCAGCTTGCAGCTATGATGGATTTTTTATCAATAAGAGTCAAGCAATGCTAGCCTTTACAATTCAATTCTTTTGAAAATGTCATGGTGGCTAATCCAAAAATTTTCAGCTGCCTCCCACATCATAATAAATAATATAATCTTGAACCAGTTTTTCACCAAGTTGCAATAAGCCTTAAAACTATAGCAATTTCCTTGTGATAGCTTTTTTTTCTTTCATTTCACAAATCAAAAAATAGATTGTTGCGTAAACAAATTATGAGAAACTTTATCAATAATACCCAGATAAGAAAGATTGCTTATGAAGATAGAGAAGACTCAAAAACAGTGCTTCAACTGGTAAAAATAGTGGACCATCAAAAAATGATTAAAATGATGGCTTAATAGCAAAAATGATGGATCAATCTCCTAACAAAATCTATCAGCCACTTGTTAGAGTATTATTATTTGAATATTTTGTGTCAATAAGAACATTAGGTAAAGCTAAATAAAAATTTGCAAAACTTATCAAAACAAATTTTTAGCATTTTATATCATATTTCTAATAAATAAAAGACCTTTAGACGCAAGATCAGTTTGAAATTGTTATCCCGTATTCCAATCTTCTCATGGAGACACAAATACTATTGCAGGTTTTTTCAAATCTTTGTAATATCCATGCAATATAAATTCATCCAGCTGACGATGGGCTTTGAGAACAATTTTACCTGAGAGCATATTACACAGAAACCACCTTAAGTTGAGCTTAAAATTACTTATTCTAAAAAATTATTACTTACTATTTATCAATTATCAAAGCCAGTTTTTATTAATTTTCCCGGGCTCTAATTCATTGAGATGATGCATATCTATTAAAAACAGTGATTACATAATCTTCAGCTTTATAGATATTAAGCTTTCTATGGCTCATTCAAAATAGAATCGCTATCAAATATTGAAGGATCAACTGGGATATCAGTTGAGGCTGATGGCATCAAAAATCGACATTCTTCTAATGTCGAGCATAGCTCACTGGCAGAGTTTGTATCTATATCATATTGCGTGCTCGCATCTTTTCTAATATAAAATTTACTGTTGGGGTGATTCCTTACTTCTCTTTAATCTCATCTTTTGATGGTGCGATAAACATTGCTCAGGAGTTCTGGTGCCTACCTTCGTTGAAATTTCTTTTCAGGTTTTGCAAGATTTATAAGCTTCTTTATAACGTTGGTGCTCAGCTAGCGTTCATCGTCCTTTGCCTCGGTTTTTGCCCATGTTAAGTTCAGCTGAAAAAGAGTTTTTATAAATGGTTTAAAATTATAATTCAATAAATGGTCAAACTAACTTTATTGAATGTTCTGGTAAAAAATGGGTTGGATTATTAATCTGGGCAACTTAAAAGAAAGGGTAATAATGAAAATTTTGTGAATTGGGAATTGTTTTAAGCCATCATTTTTTGAATAAAAATAGGCAGAATTCTTGGAAATCCAAAGAATAAATAATACAAATTACAATTTAGGTAAATTAAGAGATAAGCTTATAGAGATTTTATTAAACTGAATAAGAAAATAATTTGTGAGATAGGCTTGGTAGATTGATTTGATTATTTTCCTCTCTATTGTGTTTATGCTTTCATTTAAAATCTTTAAAATCCCAATAGTGTAATTCATAGACAAATTTTCCACCTTTGCTTCTTTCTCTCTCAAGAGCTAATGTTATATCGGTTGCGTGCTATTTGGTTTGAGCGTTTTTGATGGAAAGATATTTCTTCAAGTGTTTTTTGTCACATTTTTTTCCTTTTTATAAATTTGATAAATATTAACTATTTTTAACCGAGTCTGCATCTGCGATATTATGAATCGAATTGGTGAGCAGGCAGAAGATAGTATTTATAGAAACAGAGCGAGCTTTTGTATAAGCGTTAATAGCATAAAATAGCAATTTTCCTCCTTTAAAAATCTATTCTTTAGGCTCTAGACGTTGAGGATCTTCTTTAACCTGCAAAATAATGTAGCATCAGCATATTTAAAGTTTTCCATCTAAGACGTCGTTAATAATAAAAAATTCGATCTTCGATTATTTGGTGCATTTCAAATAAAAAGGGTTCCTTCACACGAGGTCTACTCCATAAAGACTATTTTTTTTTTGGCCTATTTTTTTTTGGCTTATTTTTTTTTCACCTATTTCATGACGACTATTTTATTTTCGCCTATTTTTTTTTCGCCTATTTTATTTTCGCCTATTTTTTTTCGCCTATTTTTTTTTTCGCCTAATTTTTTTGGACTTTTTTTGGCCATTTTTTAGCTATTTTTTACTAATATTTGGGCCTAGTTCCATACTAATGATTTTAATATAATTTTTTAATGTATTTAAAACGATTTTATCAACATAAAATACACCTTTAACAGATCTCTTACTCCATGAAAGCTAATTCATTGCTTTTTAAATTTCGAGAATTTTAAATTTAATTAGGATTTTTCCACTTAATTTACTCAATATTAATCGTGTAAAGAAATATATCCGTTACCCAATAATTATTTAGTTCTCTCAGCAGCTTCATGAATTATCCTCGACAGAAAAAATAAGCCAAAACAATTAGGAGAAAAAAAAATAGGCCAAAAAAAAATAGGCCAAAAAATGTAGGCCAAAAAAAAATAGGCAAAAAAAAAATAGTCTTTATGGAGTAGACCTCGTGTGAAGGCACGAATAAAAAGGCTATTGTCTACAAATGAATCACTATTAATCACGATTGCTTTAAAATAATAGAAACTTAGGGGAAGAGGAATTTTCTCTTATCCCCCTCCTAAGACAAAATTTCTTTTCAGATTAATTTATTTTGAAGAAGATCTATAATGCTGATTAAGTGATATAGAATTGCATTTTGTAATATAAGAATTTTTAAAAAACCTGCCAATGCTTTATCTGATTCCAATCTATTTTTGAATAATATTCGATAATTGGATGGACTCTTATATCTGCGAAGCAAGGATCTATAAAAAATAGACTCAAATTCCATTTCGTGGTTGCTCAGATAACTCTTGGGAATATAACTAGTCCTTGCCAGTGACATTTTTTGGACATAAAGCATTTACTTTTTTCTAAAAAATAGTGCAGTTGATCATGGCAATTGCTGGCTTATCCAATCCTCTTGACATCGAAATTATATCCTCTATTATTTCCATAAGGTATATTGACCGCAATTCTTTCTAGGGTATTTTATCGATATTTGTTCACTCACGGAGGGGGTTAATTTTTTTTTTTTTAAAAAATTATATATAAATTTTATAGAAAATTTTTTTTTTTCGAAATTTAAAACAATAGTTGGAAAGCAAATATCAATTTAATTTATAAAAATTTATGTTTTAAAAAGCAATAGATTTCATTATAATAATTATCACTTATATATCAAAATTTTTTTCCATAAAAAATTTTTCTATTTAAAATTTTTTTTTTCACTCATGGAGGGTGGATTTTTTTGGGCAAAAAATAGGGATTTTTTCTAATAGTTTTTGCTCACTCACGGGGGGTAGTAAGCAATAAATATATCATAGCATTTAAATTAATACTTTTCATATTCTAACCTGATATAAAATCAAAATTAATGTTTGTTATGCAATCTATTAAACCCAAAAGCCACTTTCTTTACTTCAGGTCGAATTATCTGTATTGTTGTATGACAAATTTTAAACTTTTCTTTACAAACCTGTGTAGCTGCTTCTAACGAAATTTCCGGGGAATTAGAAATCAAATGGCAGGATAGCGAAGTATTGCCTGCGCTTAAGCTTCATACATGTAAATCGTCTAAATTAATAACTCCTTCAACCTATTTATATAATACTTTTTTAAGAGCCTCTTTTATTTCTTTTATTTTTACCCCTTTAGGGGTTGCCTCCAGCAATATTCCTATGCATTCTTTAATTATCGGGAATGTTGTAAAAGTTACAATAATAGAAAATAATAAAGTGCATAAAGGGTCTGCTAGGCTTCAGGTAGGCTCGATAAAAATAATTATTGATGCTATTATAACTCCTATGCTTTGTAAAATATCGCCAAGAATATGTAGAGCTGCAGCTCGGATATTGAGGTCTCCATGCTCGTGATGATGATGATGATGATGATGATCGTGATGGGAATGAGAACTGTGAAGGACTTTTCCCATTATTCTGTCCTATGAGTTTTCGATAAGAAATTTTATTTTTTGTATATTATTTTTCTATAAATAAAATGGCATTCGGTTCGAGAGAAATTTGGCTCTGCCAATTTTCTCTCCCTCATGGAATTTTATTTATGGGTTTGGTTTTCTCTCGAGAACTTCTGCACAGCAACAGCCGTTTAACTTTGGGGATAACCAAAGGCACGGCTCCTCAGTGCACTCAAGATTTAGGAGTTTTACCTCTCAGCACATCCCCACGGGAGGATGACCTTAGGCGGAACACGTGCAGGAGCTGAGTCTGGACGAGCGACGGCAACGCGCCGGGTGAGATGTGCGGCGATTTATCTGGCGACTAGCCTTATAGAAGGCTTGGGTGTGGGCTGACCACATATTCCAAGATGGCTTGGTGACGTCACTAGTTGTCGCTTTGACTCTTTTTCATTAAGGGGTGTGGGCACTAGACACCTTAAAGACTATGTAACTAAGTAAGTAAGTATATTATTTTTCTAAAAAATGATGAAAAATTTATGATGCATTATATTATATTGCAAAGGAGCCCAACAATTGCAGTGATCAGCATAATAAACCCGTCTACCTTTTCTGGGACGATTATTCTATAGATAGCTTCATATAGCAAAAAGGAGGTTAATATCAATATTAAAATGATGCTCATCAAGGCACCTATGACTTCTGCTCTGTGATATCCAAATGACATTGTCCTTGAAGCTGGTCTTGCTGCTAATAAAAGAGAAAATACGCTTATCCCAAATCCCAAAAGGTCTGATAGCATATGGGCTGCATCAGTCAAGATTGCCAAAGAATTGGCTAAAACTCCACCTATGACTTCAGAAATCATGAAAAGTGTGCATATTGCAGAGACGACATAAAGCTTTTTAAGTGATGCTGTTTTATTATTTCGCCTTATCAAAATTTTGGTTTCGTCATCAAAAACTAAAGGGTCAAATAAAACATTTTCTTTCATTTAATTTAAACTTTATAGGTTCTTCAATATTTTGATATGGAAATTGCATTTATAATAGATAAATGCTAAATAAGAAAACTCTTTTTCAATCCCATTTCATGTGGCCCCTGCTTAGACCGACAGCTCTGAGTAACGGTAGGATAAATCAGCCTGGTTGTGAGACCTGCTCTAATCCCTAAGTCTCCTAGAACTTCTTTATCTACGTCAGACTCAACGTAGATCATTTCTATTCAAGTCTAGACTCTCAAGAAATCTGGAATTTCTCTCATGAGTTCGGTGGTTTTAACCTAACTGCCATTTTTATATTGTGTATAATAGATAATTATTAAACAATGATTTATTATAATTTTAATAGAAAATAATTTAAGTTATTTTTCATATAAAATAGAATACCATTTAATCAATTTACAAATTAAAAAAATTTAAAAATCGCAAATCTTTAAGATTGATTACTCAAAAGCTTCATTTTTGCTCTTACCGACTCAATTAGCATATCGTTAACTTGCTCTTCAAGATTAATTGCTTGTGAGTACAAAGGTGTAATTGATTTGGCGATAATTTCCCTTTTTCTTGCTAATTTTTCTATATGACTCGCTTGGTCTTGGATATTTTTTATTCCTTTTTCCATCTCATAATCCCAATTTATATTAGCTTTTTCTCCAATAGGATACTCCACACTTATATTTGATCTATATTTTCTCCTTTCAGCCAGATAGTCCACGATTTTTGCTTTATTCTTTATCTCAGGCACCACACTTTTTGCTTGGGAATGCCTCTTTTGGCTATGAATTTCTGTATCTTGTCTTATGACAGATAAACTTCTATTTACCTTCAGCTTTTCCTGCTTTATGATATTTCCCTTCTTTCTTTTTTCTATTTTCATCAATAATTCATATCTTTTTTTCATATCAATAACTGGTGTGAACATTTCTTTTACAATTTCTGCATAGTTTCTTTGTTTTTGGCTCATTATTTTTTTCTCATAAGCTTCTCTATCTTTTTCTAACTTTTCCTTTTTTTGCTGTTCTATGGCTTTGATTAATGATGTTGTTTGTAGCTGTGCAATCGTGGCTGCGTCGATTTTTTCGTCAGTTTTTTTCTCTGATTTTTCTTTTTCACGTCTTTTTTCAGCTTCTTTATGAATTTCTTCAAGTTTTTGTGCATGGCATTCTAGATCATCATGACTTAAAGGTCTATATAACAGATGAATTTTCGCAAGCTCAGTTTTTCGCTTTTCCAGTTCTGGAAGCTCGATATTTGTTTTGAATTTTTCTTCTAAAACTTGAAAAGTTGGTTTCTCAAAGGATTTTTGTGAGGATTCTTTGAGAAATTTTCGCATTTCTTTTATATTTTCTTTTCTTTCCTGAGCTTTTATTTTCAATTCTTCTAGCTTTTTCTGCTTCAAAATTCTTGCTTCTTCTTCCATTTCTTGTTTTGCCAGCATCAATTCTTCTGCCTCTTTAATTAGTTTTTCCTGTCTTTGTGCTTCTAACTTTTCTATCACAATTTTTCGTTTTAATTTTTCTTCGTTGAGCCTTTTTGTCAATTCTTTGAATTTTTTTACTTTTTGTTGGTGCTCTTCTTCAGACTCATTTATTAATTTTTTATGACTTTGATGACTTGGCAATGATTGTTCAAGGAAGGAGATTGAGTCATCTAAAAGCTTTAATTGGCTTTTTAGATGTTTTTTTTTAGTCTTTGCTTCTTCAAGCTTTCTATGCTGCAACCTAAATGATACATCTTCTGATAACAAATTTTCAGATTGAGATTGCTGATGATCAGGCGTAACAATTCGATATTTTCTGGTTAAAATAGTAATACGCTTCGTAGCATTATGTTTAGCTTGTTCAAGTCTTGCTGCTAAAGCCTGCATAAATGTTACTCTATAAACGGGCTGTTCGAGATTTAAAACTTTAACTCTATTTCTTTAATAGAGAATAAAAATTATAGATTGCTTCTAAAAGTATTTTAGGTGGTTTAATTTATTTTAAATGAGCTATTTTTTAAAATAATATTTATTTAAATGTATTGCAACATTTTTAAAACACCTTTCTATCTTAAAATATAATACTATTTTAGCTACTTACTTTTTTCATTAAGTTTTTAAATCAAAACAAAATAAAATTAAAAAAATTATAATTATAGGCATTTTAAAGTTAAATCCAGCTAATATAAAGTTTTCGTTAATAGATAGGGGAGATTAAGAGAATTTGTTAAAACTTGCAATGGAGTTTTGGGTTTTTGCATTTATTATGTATTATAGTAAATACCAACAATCTTATTCCTAATCATTATCTTAGAGTGCTTATTTTACGTAGTATATGTCATAAATTTATCTTCTTAAATTTTCACATCAGCCCTAATATATATATATGGTTTAAATGAAATAGAATGATATTAAGACTTACTCGCCTTCCTGAGCGAACAAAACCATTGGAAAATACTTACTTTTTGATATATAAGTGATAATTAATATAACGAAATCTCTAACTAATCTGTTGAATTTTACAACAGCTTGCAATTTTAAAAATAAATTTAAAATTTAATTTTTGCTCTCCAATAATTATTAAAAAAAAAAAAACCTGAAAGAGAACAAATATTTTTTTCGCTAGCAGAGGGAGAGTAGAAAAAAAAACTTAAGCCAGAAATTCTCATTCAATTGCCTTCACATTTCTTAATAAGATATTAAGCGAGACTAAACGGTTAGTATGGCGACATAAGCTTGTAATAAAACGGGTAATAAAAAAATGAAAACCAGCGAGTTCTTTTCTAATACCTTTTCTTATAAAGAAGCTTCATTTAGTAGCTCTCACTATATTTCGGCTGACGAGCTACTGCATGGTCATGAATATTATCTAACTTTATCACTGCAGTGAATCGCACTCAACAATGGTTTCAATCTAAATCCAAATTTTATTAAAAGTTTACTATACTTTACTAGATAAATTAGATATAAATTTAATATACTGCATAAAAAATTATAATTCAATAAATCTAAGTATACTAGAAATCTGCAGCACTTTTAACCAGAAAATTATGATCCCTGAATTCTCAATCGATTTCCCAATCGAAGACTTCGATGATCATCTCAGAATAAATTTTCAAAATATTCATTTTGATTTCCCCAAAAGGAATTGCATAATGCTTCCGATCATCAGCACCACTTGTGAAGAGCTATCAAAATATTTTAGTAGAATAATCTTAGAAAGATTCTACCAAGAATTTAAAAGCAATCTAAGAATTGACAATTTGAGGGTAACAGTGGCGGAACTCTATCAACAACAAGAAGGCACAACGGGGATTTGTATTAAATCTTGCAATTAATTTTATTCCATTCTATAGTAAATTAAGCTTTAGGGGCTGATGAAAATGTAATATTATTAATAAATTAATAAAAAAAAGAAAATAAATTGATAATAAACGAGGATAATAGAAACTTAAAGGTAATGATGTCATCGATTTATTGTTGGCTTATATGAAAATTAGCTGGTGAAAAAATATGAGAGCGCTTATTTCTTCAATAACTAAAGTTTTTTATAATAGCATGAGTTCAATATTTATAGATTAAAACAGAAAGGCTTAGGCAAGTATTATATATGATTATCCGCAATATAAAATATTTCTTAAAAACTATAAGACTGCCATTAGTCAGGTGAGAATGTTTATCTTTATTTTCTCTTGATTAGGAGTGAGAGAGTCGATAATTTTTCTTCGAAATCATAAATCTTTGTCGATAAAATTGATTTTTAAATAATCTTAGCTTGAATCCATTTATCCATATTTATGACATCATAAGTCTTATGCCAACTTTAAGCTAGTTTTTATTTATGAATAAAATAGGGAATTTGAAATTTCTAATACTTTTCCTCAATATACTCAATCTCTCTTTTATATACTCGCATTTATTTCCTTATCAAATGGACATATACTTTATTATAATAACAAAGGTGTGATAGTAAGAAAAAACTATATAAATAATAAACTTAAAAATTCTTTGGCATTTTTTGCTACCAAAACGAGACTTTAAAATATTGTTAATTCGATTCCACTCAAGAAAGACAAAAATGTATTTCACCAAATTTAATGAGTTATACTAATTGACCAAGAATAGCCCACTAAGGAGCCATTCTTGGTCTGCCAGAAAAAATTTTGACAAAAGATCCTAATCTGCCATTTACACTGAGTTTTGGTGTTTCCAAATTTTTTGGGCAAGCCAAATGCAATAAAAAAAATTGTTCTTTTGCGATGATGCATTTGGCTTGTCAAAAAAATTTGGCAACATCAAAACTCAGTGGTAATGGCAGAAAAGATCCTAATCTGCCATTACCACTGAGTTTTGGTGTTTCCAAATTTTTTTGACAAGCCAAATGCATCATCGCAAAAGAACAATTTTTTTTATTGCATTTGGCTTGCCCAAAAAAATTTGGAAACACCAAAACTCAGTGGTAATGGCAGATTAGGATCTTTTTGTCAAAATTTTTTCTGGCAGACCAAGAATGGCTCCATAGTGGGCTATTCTTGGTCAATTAGTATAGCTAAAAAAACTCTATTTTTTTTGTATTCAATATTCTCATGTTGGATGCTTAGGATTAGTTAAATCTAAATTTTGTTATGAGCCATCGTAATGAGGATTGCAAGTCTCAAAAGCTATTTCCTGCATCTAATAATAGGTAGGAGATAAAGCATATAAAATACAAATAGAGTACCTTTAGTTCGAAATCATTTTTATATAGCTGCACTAGAAAATCTCATAGCTCTCCATTTAATTATATTTTATCATAATATTTTAAAATAAATTATATGCCTATTTGCAATAATAATTCATCTTGTATTTTATATATTAAATAAAAAATAGTTAACTACTAGAAATTTCTTTGCTCTTTTATTAAGTATAAAAACTGAAAGAAAGCTAAAAGTATTGCATAAAAAATATAAAAAGTTAATTTGCTTCCTTCCCTGGAAGCTCACAAAACCTTATCAATTCCTATTTTCCCAAAAATTCAAAAAATTCTATCCAAATCCCCTAAAAACCCCAATTACTCAAACTCTCCTCAAAAACCCCTTTAACTTATTCACTTCTTTAAATTTGCTTAATCTCTCCTTTATAAATATGGTTTCAAGGCATGAAGAACTCATGAAAGCTCTTGGAGACGATGATTTCGATCCAAACTTACTTTCAGACCCTAACTACGTTGACACCATCCTAAAAGGTGACGAAGAAATCGCAAAAATCCTTAAAAAAAATGAAATGACATCTCAGTCACCAAAAACTTCATATTCCCATAGGTTCACACAAGATCGACCGGAAGACCCATCCTCGAATAAAGAAAAGCTAGAGTCGCTACTGCAGGGTGATCGGTCTACTCAACAAGTGCCTATTGAGACTGTTGACCCATTAGATTTGATACATAAAAAGGAGCTAGAAGATGCATCAAAAACAGAAAAAATCTTGACTAATTCTTTAGATGTAAAGAGGCAATATACAGCAAGCAAGCTCCCTGTCATAAAATTCGAAGAGCTCACCCTAGTCTCCAAAAAAATTGCCCCGACTGCAGGCTACAGTACAGGTCTCCCAACCGCCTTAACAGCTTCAAAACATTTAATAGTAGTCGGTAACACCCATGGAATAATGATGTCTTTTTCCCACGACGGCCAAGAGCTAAAATCAATGCGCCCAGGCAAAGAAAACTTCGGCGCCGTGACCTGCATCGACATCACAGAAGATGAACAATACGCTATCGCTGGCTACCACCTCGGCCAAGTCGCTTTATGGGACTTACGCTCTGGAAACTGCATAAAAGCCTCCAACAACTTCCACAAATCCCCAATTTTATCAATAAAATTTTGAAAAAAAGTAAAAACATATGCAATTTCAGCTGATGCCACAGGAAAAGTCAACCTTTTAGAGTACGGGAAATCGTTCCTATCGACAAAAGTAAACGCCCATACACTATTTACTAATGAAATAGGGGTTTGTGTGACCATAGAAGTGCTTTATTCTGATCCTTACTTGCCTCACCCATGTGACCAAGCTACAATTATTGCTATAGGCAGCATGAATTTTGTAGTAATTTATTCTATTGAGCCTGAGCTGAATTGTATTTTTAGGATGGCAAGACCTGATAATGTAGTCCTAGGTGCTGTGCCTTGTGTAAGCTGAAAAGTAGCAATAGGTCCTGACGATGAACAGCCAACTGACCCAATTTTGGCAATTGCATGGGGACAAAAAATTGTCCTTTACAAATTAAGGCTCCCTACAAAAGAAGGGATCCAAATTTCAGGGTTTTTAGATATGGACACAGAAATAAAAAGCCTTATTTGGCTGAGCCATGATATGCTATTTGTGATGGGAAATTCTAGAGAAATAAGAATTGCTAACACCAAAGGGTTTTCTAGGAGGGAAAAAGAACCGAGTAGAAATGCGATACTAGAAGATACATATGTGAATAGAGATTTAGCAATCCAGGCTTATATAAGAGACGAGAGTGGCAAAGAAAGATATACGTTCCATAACTCAGTTAAGGCATTTGAAAGGGTTGTTTTTATATTGGGAAACAGATATACATAAAATGGCGTATGGCGACCGACCCGTCCTCTCAGTGACGGTAACCCATGTATATCCGGGCATGGTTTTCTCTGAGAAGCGACTTAGCCCAGCAGTATCTGGACCCTGGTGGCGACCAGGGACAAACACGGACCCGCTGATCTTGTCCAGATCCCAGGGCAGTTAGGAGCATCTTCTTTTTCCAGCAGCGCCCTAGCCAGTGGGTGCCCGAAATGGAGCAGGGTGAATTATCTGCTCAAGCTGCTATAGTGGTCTGCCCCGAATCGCGGAAGCGGTTGAGTATTTTCTCAAGCGGATAAGCTGGGAAAAGGGAAGGCAGACTAGACAATTAAGAAGGCGGTCTCTCCAGTACAAAAGGGTCCCAGTTAAATGGGGCGATCTGCCAACCGGAGGCAAAGACTGGCGTAATTCGGGGCGGAAGGCTGAGTTGGAAATGGTGGTGCCCGGCGAAGGTCGGCTGACGACCCAATAGGGCAACCCACTGCCGAGAAACCAGGGGTTTCGGCCTGGGCTCAGAGAACCAGTGATGGAAGTCCATCCTTTTCGCTCGTGCCGGCACGGCTCCTTAAGGAGCGCGGAGGAATGCTACGCATGGAAGTAGGGACCTTTAAATACACATCGTCTTAACATTAACATTAACATATTGGGAAACAGACAGTTCCATAAAGGGAGACTTTTAAATTGGAAAGAATGCATAGAAACGCTGACCTCGAAAGGGGAATGGCTTGATGTGCTATCTCTAGGGCTGGATGTGTATCAAGGGAAAGGAAAAAAATTGTATGGAGTTCCAAGTAATAAAAATGAGTTGAGGAAATCATTGGAAAAAGTTATGATAAAATAGGTAAATTCGTAATAAAAGATTTTTGCATATTTTATTAATTAAAAAAATATTATTTTAAATAGGCTAGTGCTTATTTATAGCAAAAATTATATAACAGACTATGTGAAGCTAGGAACTGTATCTTGGGAATTCAAAATTTCTAATTCAATAGAATTCTGCATTGGAATTGAAGCATTTGAATTACTTTTTAACCAATTATTCGACTTTTTTGTAGGCCAAGGGACACAGCAAGAAAACCAAAGGTTCTTTATGGACACTCTAGAGCCATTTATCTTGAATCATTATATAAAATCTATACCTATCAGCGTATTAGGTAAAATCATTGCGTATTACATAAACATGCAAAAGCCTGACACTGTAGAAAAAATTTTATTAAACCTAGACCCCACAACTATTGATCCCCGCCAAGTAATTCCAGTCTGTGAAGAATACAACTTATTAACAGCCTACATATTCATCAACACAAATTCCACTCTACAATCCTTCGTCAACCCCTTAAAAAAAATCTATAAAACCTTAACCAAACAGGAAGACCCCAAATCCAAAAGATATTTTGCTTATAAATTAATATGGTATTTACGACTTTGTCTTAAAGGAGAAACTTTTCCATCAGGAAAAATCCTTAATGATATATGGGGAAAAGTTATTATTGGAGTAATCGGCTGACTATTAAAAAGAAAACATTTACAAACTTTAATAGACATCGACGCCCCGACCACACTAAATGTCTTATGGATGGCTTTTTCTGAAAAATTCCCGTCAAATTTACTATCACAAAAACGTGATAATAATATTACTCATAGAGAAATCCTGGATAGGCTTGAACAGGTCTGTCTCCCGAATTCCCCAACTTTTCAGCATTTTACACTTTTTATAGCATACTTTAAAATGGCGTTGCAAACCAACCCACACTCTTATCTCCTATGGTTGGCAAACCACAGGACGCGCAGGAAATTTGAAAAGGGAGGATGACGTTCGGGAGTGTGCATCCGGCCGGGTTTTTCTTGGTTTCGTGAAGCGCAATATCGGGTTGACCGACCACAAGCTTTACTCCAATGCAAGTTTTTGCCTTACTGGAAAGGGGTTTCCCATTGGTGTCAATAGCGTTCGTTTTGACCAATCGGAACTATTCCCCAGCATGAAACTGGGAGTTACGCCCTGGGCGACAGATCCATCTTGAGAGAAAGCCGACCTGAAAATTCATTCCTTTTTGGTTTTCAATGGCGGGCAGCTCTTTTGAAAACAGCAAGGCGATGCGAGTCACTCAACTACCAGGCGCAAGCGCAGACCTCGTCCTGCAGGAGTAGTCTTTTTAAGGTCGTGTATAAACTGGTGAGCAGGCAAAGAAGCTATTAGGAGTGGAGATAGTCCTTTTGGAATTACAACAAGCTCCTCGATAAGTCTTAATAACTAATAATAACACTTTTTATAGCAAAAGCTGCATCTATCAATCAATCAATTATTTCTAAACAAATTTGTGTAAAAACAGCGAAATACCTAATGCAGCCTTTACAAGCCCGCAGACCACAGGCAGCAATTCCTATGACATCTTCAATTGATAATTATTTGACTGTGACTTCGTTAAATGAAGGCAGCGAGTTTCAGCTCAACACTGAGTACACAATTGAAGAAAAAGGATCTTTGATCTTAAAAATGCTGAAAACATGCGGAGAACTTACTAGTGACGAAATTGATGACCTGTTTAGGGTCGCTGTGAATTCGCCTTATATAGAAGTGCTTGTATATTTGCAAGAGCTTAAAAAAGAATACGCAAATTGTTTATGCTTGATTATAGAAGATAGTTTTTCATTTTTTTTAAAAAAACTATTTTTTTCTAAAAATAAGGCTTTTTATTGAGAAAAAAAGAATTATATTTTTTTAAAAAATTGATAAGCGCATTTATCCATTCAGAAAAAATTGAAATAAAGAGAAAAGTGTTTGATTGGCTCGCTGATGCTTTTGCAAAGCTAAATGAAAGTGAGCTAGAAGTTCTGAAAACAAGAGTTATGGACTGGCTTAATATTTTGGTCGAAATTGATAGTGATAGGACTGCAAAAATTGTAAGAGATTGGTTTAGTAATGAACAGCAAAATATTATACATAAACTTGATAGTGCTCCACAGCTGCAGATGAAATATCTAGGAGAGCTAGTTAAAGGGTCTGCAAAGGATACCTTGGACCATAATTTAATTATTCAGTACATCAGATTGTTATGTGAGTTGCAGCCTGATCAAGTTTTATGCTTATAAGAATGAATATTTTTTAATTTTGACAATTTTTACCTTATTTATTTAATAAAATAGCCTATTAATATAAATTATCAACATTAAGCTTTCTTAATTATCATAGAATTTCTAATGGTAAGAGAAGACTATTCACTGGACGACGCCCTTGATATTTGTATGAACTACAAGGTAGCAGACGCAGCTGCATTTTTACACGAAAGATTAGGCTCAGTTCGAGACGCCCTCGACATCATGCTTGAACTAGTCCACAAAAAGCAGACAAGTTTGCTTAATAAAATTAGCAGCAAAGACCATGTATCTGATACATCAATTCAAGAACTTAATAAAGACTTTGATGAAGCTATAAAGCTTTGTATGAGAAGCTCAAAAAGAGAAGACGCTGTAGATATGGAAGAGCATTGGTTCAGTCTCCTAAACAAAGCCTTGGTCTCTTATAAGCAATTTTTACCTTACTTTAAAAACCATCAAAAACTAGAAATTATGGTGCAGTCAAGCATCAAAGAAATTTATATCTTTGGAATATTAATAAAAACTAATTCAAATTAAAAGATAAAGTGGATTTTTTCATATAAATAGTATAGATAATATGATGGACATAGTAGATTTTGATAAAATTATCGCCCACATCGTCACAAACTTCGGGGATATTCCATTCAGATACTTCAAGGAAAACATTGTAGGGGTCTTATCAAGATATTCATACCAAAAAAACATTGTAAGAAAAGCTACAAATTTGCTTAATAATGATATAAGAAATATGACTCAAGAGCTATTGCTATTAAGAAGCAAAGGAGTTTGCAGTAAAGATTTTACATGCTCATACTGTGGCTTGACTATTCAGTCTGAAGACCTATTAAAAGGCCACGATGAAAAACTCCTTCTATTTATCTGCGGGCACACCTATCATGGCCGGTGCTCCAAAAGAAGAGAATGTGAAGCTTGCCGCAAAGAAGAAAACCGAAAAGGAAAATTCATGAGTGCCACAGCTGCCCAGTCAAGAAATAAATAATAATCCCTTTGCAATATGGTAAAATTCTTAAATTAAAAAATTTATAAATGAAGAAAAATGGGCTTGATCGGCCGTATCACCCTTTGCAGGTTTTATCATGAATTGGCATGACTTTTTCCTCATCCCTCCTGCTTAAAGAGAGCAATTTATTTGTAACCTATAGGGATTTTTTTTGATTTGAAAAAGATTATCTATAATAATTTTTTTAAAAATCTGGAAATTGAAGTAAAATACAATTTAACTAAAAAAGTTAAAATTAGGATTATTTAGTAAGTTTTATCGCTCTCTCTCGAGAGTCAGTTCTTTTTTACACTGTATATTTGCCTTATCTCCCTAGTGACTCATTAATAATCATCATTATCCTATACACTTTTACACTAATTGGAACTCTTTATAGTGGAATTCGCTGTACCATTAGCAACCCTACAGATCCATATGTCCAGAAAAGCAAGTCTGGGGAATGGGTTCAGCCTTCAAGTCAAAGATGCTCACTATGCAATGCATATACAATGATAAAAAGCAAGCATTGTGCAAGGTGCTGCCGTTGTGTAAACGGCTTCGACCATCATTGCAAGTGGCTTAATAATTGTATTGGCAGCAAAAATTATAGCTCCCTCTGATTATTTTAAAAATTTGTATGTATTTTTTTTGTTATTGAAATGAAAAATCTCATTTAAAATTTTTTGCTCAAGGAGATTAATTTCCCAAAAATAGGAATTTTTAATTGCTTTGCTCACTAACTAAGCAGTGAGATAAGTGATTTTTTAATTTAATTGCCTTTTGCACGATGATGTCACTTACACAGGCAGGCTCTGGAGTATATATATTTATTGATGTTTTAACGAGTGGAGATACAGGAAAAATGATTAAAAATAGATACAATGCGGATGATATTGGAAAATATAGCTTAATTGGACTAATTTTTGTGGCTTCTTTATTATGTCTCCTCGTGAGCATATTTTTGGCACACCTTTTTATTTTTCATGTTTATTTGCATTATTTAGGGCTTACCACTTATGATTATATTTTGATGAAAAAAGAAAAAACCGCAGGAAAAGTGCAAGTGAATAGCGTTAATATGACAATGGATACTTCATTTGGAGAAGAACACCAGAGAAAAGTTGTCGTTATGGAGGAATCTCCTATAATAAAACGCATAATGCAAAGCAAAGCAAAAAAAGCAAGAATTACACCCTTCAAGCATCTTGATATCAAATGTGTTACCCACCGAATTATAGATTTCAAAGAACAGGATGAGGAGATTCCATATTTTTTACCTAAAAATACCATTTCTAATAAAAATTTATAAAAAATTTTTTTCCAAGGATGTGGATTCTTTTAGATCTGTGTAATATTGTAACTAATTTAGAAAAATTTCAAATAAAATGGAAAATCGTTTTCTTCTGAGATACCCTGAAAAAGAGCAGTTCAACCAGTACTGGTATTCAGACAGAACCTTAAAAGCACTTGTTGACGAAGCTGACGAGCTATTTTCACAAGGATTTACAAGGATTGCATGCTTGTCGACTCCTTCACTATACTTTTCAATGACAGAAAAATCAAGAGAGAATTCTTATCTGTTTGACATTGACCGGGCATTTCAAAGAGATAAAGGATTTGTTTATTATGATTTCAATTTCCCCGAAAATCTTGGCCCAGCTTTGGAAAAGACCTTTGATGCTATCGTTGTAGATCCTCCTTTTATTACTCGGGATGTATGGGAGAAGTATGCAAGAGCTGTCAAATTTTTACTTAAGGATGGAGGAAGAATTATTGTAAGCTCTATTGATGAAAATGCTCAGATGCTAAACGAATTGTTAAACATAGAAAAACAAGTTTTTCAGCCCTCAATTCCACATTTGGTTTACCAGTATTCATTTTTCACTAATTACAACTCGCCAAGATTTCAAGAAAAAAATCCTGAAATTCCAGATGATTATTATGATTTTTCCTTTAAATTTATTTTTTGGCATTTTTTAGGTATTTTTATTAATATTTACTATAAGAAGGATAGATAAAAATAGTTATAAATAAAGACTTATAAAACTCTTTCTTACATCCTTCACGAATCTCGCAAAATCATTTGTTTGGTTCAAGTTGTGGAGAAGAGGATAGATTTGAGGCAAATTAGGGGTACATTTTACTATTTCATAAGCATTAGTTGAGTCACTGATATGGAGTGTCACACTATGCTCGACTTCGTCGAGCTCTCTCTTGATGAATTCATAAGAAATTCTCAAACTAGAGTTAGGAAGCCGCTTTAACGAGAGCCCAAATCTGAATTGATAATTAATAAATCATTGTCGAGGTTTAAAGTTAGTCGTGATTTTTACTCTTGCAAGCTCATCTGCTCCTAGAGACCCAGTTACCTCTCTTTAGGCTCCGTCTATATGACTTGATCTCAGGTGTCTGCTCGCTAATGGTCTAGAGTTTGAGGTACAATTTTCAGTATCGGACTAGGCGCCTGCTGTCTCAGGGCACTTGATTCGAGTAGGAATCATAAATAATCTCGAGACAATGCCAGATGTATCCTTACCAACTCCAAGCCTGGAGGGAAAAATCCTATGTCTCAGGTATCATACCCTGAGGCACGATAAAATCTTTTTCTTACATACATAAAGGATTCCGTACCTGTTCTCAGCTTGCTCCTCCCTGCAAGTTTTAAGGAAATTACATAAAGAGGTCGGGTTGTCGCTTTCTCCATCTTAATGTATACTTAAATTGATAATAATTCAAAGCTTTTCCTAATTCTTTAGTAATATGTTCCGCTTCCTTTATTTTTTGTCTCAAATTATTCTTCGTCTGTGCTTTATTTTCTTGCCCAGATGAATCAGTGGAATTTACTGGGAATTCTTTTTCCATATCTTTGATTTGCCCTTTAAGGAAGCTTATTGCTGCTTCTTCGCCTTCTATATTAGCTTTAAGCCTTTCTAGCTGGTTTGTTAAAGAATCAATATCAGCTTCATATGCGGCTAAGCGGTTTTCGTTATAGAGAAGCACACTTTCTCTATAAATTTGAAGGACTGTTTCGACTTCTGGAAGTATTGATTCCCGAAGTCTTTGGGAGGCTCCTGACACCGTTTCCATTTGAATTTGAATTATGAAAATTTCATCATTTTTCTTATAATTTTAAGTTGAGATATTTTATAAAAAATAAAAGCGCTTATATATTAATAATAAATTTTATATAAACAATTAGGTTTTCAAAGGGCTGTCTATGGCCGCTGCTGATTTTATCATTCCAATAACATCTTCTTGGCTTGGCATATAATTTATCTTTACACGGGTTCCGTACCTTGAAGAAGTTCTAGAATGCTGTGCAGTATTTTTTCCTGAAGTTTTTTCAATAATTTTCTCTTCTACAGCTGTAGGTTCTCTCATAGTCTCAATATAATTTTTCATCGCATTTTGCAGATATATAGAAATTAATGATTTTTTTGATTCTTGTGGAATATTAATGAGTTTGTTTATAATAGTTTTCGATTTTTTAGTTTTTCGCTTACGATTCATTACTTTCTTTACGATATTGTCTATTGTTTTGTTTCACAGATGATTTATTTTATTTAATCTTTTATTTTTGGTTTTCTGATAAGTTTTTCAAGAGCTTTGTATAAATAAAATTTTTGAAAGAAAATTAATAAAATAGGCTGGAAGCTTAAAATTGATGGAACTGTGGTAATTCGCTATTAAAATTTGCCGCTTTACTTTAGCAAGCAGAAAAGTTCTGGCATGGGCTCCATAAAATAATAGAGCATTTCGAGCTCTTCTCATATTGAGGTCTTGAACTGGGACTTGCTTAATGTATTTTTTCCAAGCATTTTGAAAAGTAATGACGGCAAATAATGATTTTAAATTAGTTTTTGCTATTGATTTCCTTTTTTCTAGTTTTTCTTTGAAAATAATAATAGATTTACAGAAATGCATCAAGCTTAGTCATCTCTTGCCAAATTCATGCTTTACATGGTGAATTTTATATACTTTTTCAACCTGATTATATAATGTTTTCCTTATTTCGCTCTTTTTTATCAAAATTTCCCCTCGAATTTTTCGTTCAGCTAAAATTTCATGGTGTCTGGAAACCACATTTCTCCGTCGGCTTTCTGAAATGTCCCTTCTTTCTGTTACAAAATCGTTTAGCCTTTGGCAAGACTGTGCTCTTTGTATATTTCGTTTTACAAAATTAATAGAATGCATAGCACTTTCTTGTTTTTTGAATTTCCTATCAAGAGAATCTTCTTCTAAATATACAGGAGTTTGCTTATTAGTTTGGTTTAAATATTCTTCCTCTTTATCTCTTCTTTTAAATAATTCGCAGGCGTCTTTAGAAATTATTCTTCCGAAATTGAGATTTAGTTATATTAATTAATTAAATAATTTTCATGCAAATCTTGCCAATTTTAAAAAAAATATATGATTTAAAAATAAATATTATAAACCGAAATTGATACCAATTATAAAGCTGCAAGTCTCGCTTGATGTAATATTCAAGCAAATTCTTTGTGTAGCGAAATTTAATTCACGCAATCCAGAATCGCTAATCTCAAACTCATCCCGTGTATAAACTGCATCATGCTGGTCAGAGTCAGGAAATTGCACTTTTCTTGAAATGTAAGTTGTTAGCATTTTCTTCCCAATTTTTCGTTCAATTTTGATTTTCAGCGGGATTGGCTTATTTTCTGAAAATATCGTAAAAAGTTGGGATTCACCTTCTTCTAGGTGAATATAATTTAGTCGTCCTTCTTCTAACTCCCCCCCCCCCCTCCGTGAGCGAACAAAACCATTAGAAAAATCGCCATTTTTTGACCAAAAACCCACCCTCCGTGAGTGAACAAAAATTTTTTTAATAGAAAAAATTTTAATGGAAAAAAATTTGGATATATAAGTGATAATTAGTATAATGAAATCTAGAGCTAATTCTGTTTAATTTTAAACAAATTGCGTTTTAAAACATAAATTTTGCAAATTAAATTAATATTTGCTTCCCAATTTTTGCAAATTAGGATTTTTTTAAATTTCGAAAAAAATATTTTTTTTAAAATTTATATATATAAATTTTTTTTAAAAAAAAAAATTAAACCCCCCTCCGTGAGCGAACAAAATTTTTTTGTTCGCTCACGGAGGGGGGGGGGGAGTAAGATAACCCTTCTTTGTCCGTAATTTGCATTGTTTATGATTTTGTCTAGCTCTTTTATGATTTTATTGAACTCAAGAGGCTTAAGGGATATGGTGCCGGGGTCTTTTATTGTTTTTAAGCTCATCCTGCTGATGCTTTCACTTTTCCTTACTCCCCCCTTTAAATTGGAACAAAACATCTACAATTTTCTTTTTTTTAGGTACTTTAAACCCTTTAAATTGGAACAAAGTTTGTTTTTCAATAGCAAAATTTTATTGATGAAAATACCTATTCTATAAAATTAGTTTTTATCAATTTAGTCGACAAAACACAAATAGAATCTTATTTAAACAGTTTCCAAATCGACTAATTTTTTATTTAATTTTTCATTAAAATAAATTAAAGTTCAAAATTATGTGTTCAATTTATTTTTTTTAAAACATTAAAAGTAAAAATACTAAATTTTTATAAAATTAGTTTTAAACCTAATTTAATAGAAAAATGCAAGTTGAATATATTTAAACATTTTTTTCACTAACTCAATTAATTTTTTTTTTAATTCTTTACAAAAATAATTATGCTTAAATTATATTGTTTTATGAGTGTAAATTTTGTTTATAACTCCCCGCTAGATAGAACAAGATTTTTGGTTCCAGTTTAAAAGGGGAGAGTTAATGCTTTTCGGTTTTCTCTTTCAGAAATGCTTGCCGAATCATCATTTAATTTTTCAAGAATTGAATTATCGAATTTTACATTTGATAAGGTCCTTCTTGTAACTGGAATGGGCTTTATGATTTCTTTTTCTGTAATAAACGTGCTAAAAGTATCTGATTTGTGATGGAACCAGGGACTGCTGGAATACATAACATGTGAATATTTATTCATAAAATTTCATAATTAAATATTTTATGTTAACCTTATTCGAAGCTGCTACTTAGATATATATATTTTTTATTAAAACAATTTAAAATGAAAAATTTGGTTCAAACTTTATAGTCTGAAATTTTTCTTTCTTTTAAAAACAAGATAGATACCTTACAAATGTTTAGAAATAAAAATGGTGACGTCGAAGGAAGATGGACTCCAATATACACTTGCTATGGAGTAGATAGGACCCATCTCGATGAAGCTGAAAATAGTGCCTCTATCACTTCTTGAAGCAGGCCTTTGGGTTTCAGACGAAGTGGGGGAAGTTTTGTAAAGTTTTCCTATCTCTGTGGGGTGGGCTAGACTGGTTTGCCTACTATATAGTCTTTACTTATCAAGAGGTGGTTTTAACCTAGGTGGCTAATCCTTAGGCTAGGTGGTTTAAGCCTAATAGGCAAGCTAGTGGCTTATCCGTTTATGGCCTTATATCACTTAACTTATCAAATGTTTTAATTAATATTATAATTGTAAACATTAAGAATAGTAAGCATGATAAAATATCTTTGGCTAACTTTAAATTGAAATAATATAATAGAAGAAAGTTTAGTTTTTTATTAACTGCTATTTCTCGCACTATCTATCAATTTTAAGATGAATAAAGTAAGATATCATTGCTAAAAATCATGAATAGAAGCCATTTCCTTTAATTTATAATTTATTTGGAATTTAGATAGCCGTTTTCAGATACTTTCTAACACTTTTCCAGTCAGCAGACACTGTACACTTATAAGATATAAAAGAATAGTCAGCTAATATAATGTATCAATGTTTGTAAATAAATCTTATCTATTTAAAAAAAATAATTTAAAATTGACCATTCTAAAAGATCCATATAATTTTTTTGAAAATTAATCATAAAAATAACTATTTTATAGTATATCTAGGGTAAGTAAAACAGTAGCTAATAAGTGCTAAAAATAATTCATTGGTCTTTCATTATATATTTATTTTAGATGAAGGCAGTATTTGCTTACGACAAGGCTAATATATTTCAAGACCTTTTTATGTCCTGGGCTTACCAGCCACTTCAATTCTGAACTAAAAACAAGCCAAATCCTTCAAATGTTGTTGAAATCCCTGAAAGGATCAAGTTTGAATCGTCAGCAGAAAGGCTTGAAAAAGAATGGGAAAAAGAATCCAAAAATAAAAACCCAAGCTTTTATAGAGCTTTATGGCAAGCAGTAGGCTGGGATTATACAAAATATTCACTAGTAGGGATAATTGGCTTTAATTTGGGACTGATCCAAGCAATTATACTTATTTACATCGTAGATTATATCCACGATGATAACGCAGATATAGTAGATGGACTTATCCTTGCAGCAATTTTTACGATTGTGACGCTGCTATGCTTTTATATATTCCATTGGGGTCATTTTTCTGTCCGCATGCTAATCTCCAGAATAAAAGCAATAGTTCCTTATGTGATTTATAAAAAAGTGCTGAAAACTTCTTTTTGGGAGATTTCAAAAGGAGACTATAAAGGGATGATCCCAAATTTATGCTTTTTTGCCTAATTTTACTATTAAAATTTCCTATAGAATATATTATTATATATAATCAAATATGTATAATAGCAGCTGAGCTAGAATTTCTGCATGGCCTAGTCCCTACAATGATGATTTTAGCAGCTCCAACCTTCTGCATTGGTTCCTTTGTGATCATTGGACTCTTAATAGGATGGGAAGGCATGCTAGGCTTGGTCATTGTGATTCTTCATTTTCCTATTATTTTACTATACTCAGACGCAGCTGGGAAATACAGGGCAAAAGTTACAGCCCATACAGATAGAAGGCTAAAAATGATCACAAATTTAATAGAAGGAATCAGAGTGGTCAAGCTTTATGGGATGGAAGACCAATATTTAGAGCTTATAAAGAAAGAGCGCAGAGAGGAAATTAAGGAAAAGTTCAATATTTATAGCGTTTATGCTGTAAATACCACAATTGGGTTCGCTGGTATCGCTTTGGTGTTTTTGGTCACTTTTTCGCTTTATGTACATTTTGGGAATACGCTGGAAGCTGACACACTATTTTGTGTCGTCACTTTGCTTATATTAAATTACATGGTTTCTAATAAATATTATTTATGGTTTATTTATTGTTAATAAAGTAAAATTCATGCTAAAGATCATACAATTTATCATGCAAAATGAGCGTTTTAGCATTTTACACCTTAATAATGATCAAAATGACTATGGAAAGAGCCACAAAAGTACTATTATTGACTGACAAGACTTATTTCCCTAATCTTGATAGCAGTAAAGAGCTTGCGGTTTCAGTCAAAAATGCAACTTTTGCTTACTCAGACAAAATCCCAGAAGACGACTTATAGAACTTTCTCTTCAATAGCGCGAAAAGACGTGCATCCTGGTTTAACTAAAAGGTCTTTGGACAATGAAAATCTGCTATTCCTTCTCCATAAGAGAGGAAAATAGTGAAAATGAAGATTTTTGTCCGATCCAGTTTCGAGAACTGGAAGGGATTATTTTGTCCTAAATTAAGAATACCTGAGTTATTGTAGGATTTTGATTTCCTACAAAATTTTTTAATTTTAATGTATTTTGGTTCGTCAAATGGTTTTGACGAGTTAATTCTGGCAGGCACGTGAAATAAAAAAATAATTGATTGCCATAATGTTTTAATTTTCTGATTTTAAGGATGATCAGAAATTTTAATAAATGGCACAGGATCAAAAAAACGAGATTAAAGATTAGTGAAAGCAAGCATATATTTTCTAGCTATAAGACGCCCAGATATTTGCTAATAAAATAATAAGAATTCTAATAAATAACTTTTATATATTTCTCAAATTAATTTTTTTATTTAAATTTCGCTATTTGATGCCATTGTTTTCTCTTTCTGAATTTGAACCCAAATTCATTTTTGAACATTTTTTGTTCGTTTAAGTGTCATCTTGATTTGCACACTATATAAAAAAATTAAAACTCTTAAGTCACTACTTGCGGTTTCATTGAAAGTATATGATATTTGAGATTTAAAATAAGCTATTTGGTGCCTTTATTTTCCGCTTTCTGGACTCGAGCACAAATTTATTTTTGAACATTTTTTGTTCGTTTAAGCAGCCATCTTGATTTTGCTCGCTATTTTTTGTTCGTTAAAGCCGCCATCTTGATTTTGCTCGCTATAGAAATATTAAAACTCTTAAGTCACCACTTGCGGTTTCATTGAGAACTTGGTATTTAAAGTATCAAAACAGCTATTTGGTGCCTTTATTTTCCGCTTTTTGGACTCGAGCACAAATTTATTTTTGAACAATTTTTTTCGTTTAAGCCGCCATCTTGATTTTGTACACTATGTAAAAATATTAAAACTCTTAAGTCATCACTTGCGGGTTTATTCAAAACTTGGAATTTAAAGTATCAAAACAGCTATTTGGTGCCTTTATTTTCCGCTTTCTGGACTCGAGCACAAATTCATTTTTGAAGAATTTTTGTTCGTTTTAGCCGCCATCTTGATTTTGCTCGCTATAGAAATATTAAAACTCTTAAGTCGCCACTTGCGGTTTCATTGAGAACTTGGTATTTAAAGTATCAAAACAGCTATTTGGTGCCTTTATTTTCCGCTTTCTGGACTCGAGCACAAATTCATTTTTAGACATTTTTGCTCGTTTAAGCCGCCATTTTGATTTTGTACACTATGCAAAAAAATTAAAACTCTTAAGTCACCACTTGCGGTTTCATTGAGAACTTGGTATTTAAAGTATCAAAACAACTATTTGACACCTTTATTTTCCGCTTTCTGGACTCGAGCACAAATTCATTTTTGAAGAATTTTTGTTCGTTTAAGCCGCCATCTTAATTTTGCACGCTATATAAAATATTAAAACTCTTAAATCACCACTTGCGGTTTCATTTGAGAACTTGGTATTTGAGAACTAAAATAAGCCATTTGGTGCCTTTATTTTCCGCTTTCTGGACTCGAGCACAAATTCATTTTTTAACATTTTTTGTTCGTTTAAGCCGCCATCTTGATTTTGCTCGCTATATAAAAAAAATTAAAACTCTTAAGTCACCACTTGCGGTTTTATTGTAGACTTGATATTTGAGAAACAAAATAAGCTATTTGACACCTCTATTTTCCGCTTTCTGGACTCGAGCACAAATTCATTTTTGTTCGTTTAAGCCGCCATCTTGATTTGACCGCTATATAAAATATTAAAACTCTTAAGTCACCACTTGCGGTTTTATTGTAGACTTGATATTTAAAGCATTAAAACAGCTATTTGATGCCTTTATTTTCCGCTTTATGGACTCGAGCACAAATTCATTGTTTAGCATTTTTTGCTCGTTTAAGCCGCCATCTTGATTTTGTACACTATATAAAAAATTAAAACTCTTAAGTCATCACTTGCGGTTTCATTCCAAACTTGATATTTGAGAACTAAAATAAGTTATTTGATGCCTTTATTTTCCGCTTTTTTGGACTCGAGCACAAATTCATTTTTGAACAATTTTTGTTCGTTTAAAGCCGCCATCTTGATTTTGCTCGCTATAGAAATATTAAAACTCTTAAGTCACCACTTGCGGTTTCATTGAGAACTTGGTATTTAAAGTATCAAAACAACTATTTGACACCTTTATTTTCCGCTTTCTGGACTCGAGCACAAATTCATTTTTGAACATTTTTTGTTCGTTTAAGCTGCCATCTTGATTTTGCTCGCTATATAAAATATTAAAACTCTTAAGTCACCACTTGCGGTTTCATTGAGAACTTGGTATTTAAAGTGTCAAAACAGCTATTTGGTGCCTTTATTTTCCGCTTTCTGGACTCGAGCACAAATTCATTTTTGAAGAATTTTTGTTCGTTTAAGCCGCCATCTTGATTTTGTACGCTCAATAAAAAATTAAAACTCTTAAGCCACCACTTGCGGTTTTATTGTAGACTTGATATTTGAGAAACAAAATAAGCTATTTGACATCTCTATTTTCTACTTTCTGGACTCGAGCACAAATTTATTTTTGAACATTTTTTGTTCGTTTAAGCCGCCATCTTGATTTTGTCAACTTTCTGATCATCCTTAACATCAGAAAATTAAAAATAAATGCAATTTTTTATTATTTATTTCAAGTACTAACCAGAATTGACTCGTCAAAACTATTTGACAAACCAAAATACATTGAAATTAAAAAATTTGCAAGAAATCAAAATTCGACAATAGCTCAGGTATTCATAATTCAGACCAAAAAAATTCCTTCAAGTTCTCTAGACTGGATCGGGCAGAACTTTTCACTTTTACTATTTGCGTCTCTTATGGAGAAGGAAAAGCTAATTTTCATGGTCCAAAGACCTTTTAGTCAAACTAAGATGCACGTCTTTTCGCGCTATTGAAGAGAAAGTTCTATATCAGAGCCTACCGATAATTTGCTGAAAAAAGAGAAAACACAAGTAACAGCTATAAATGACTTGAATTTTGAATTAAAACCTGGAGAATTAATGATTGTTATTGGTTCTGTTGGGAGCGGAAAAAGCAGCTTATTACTAGGTCTACTCCAAGAAATATATATCCTTAAAGGAAGTGTTAATTATAGCGGAAAATTCGCATACACCGGCCAAAGTCCTTGGATTATATCAGGCACAATAAAAGAAAACGTCATCATGGACAACCCTTTCAACGAAGAATTTTATAATGCCGTCCTCAAGGCTTGTGGACTAGAAATGGATTTAGCCCAACTCTCCTCAGGCGATGAAACTCTTATAGGCGACAATGGTGCTACCTTAAGTGGAGGCCAAAAAGCCAGAATCAGCTTAGCCAGGGCTGTATACTCCAACAAAGATATTATCCTTCTTGATGACCCCCTCAGTGCTGTTGATGCCAAAGTATCCTCCCACATTTTCACACAGTGTATTAAAGACTTCCTCAAAGGCAAAACCGTCATTTTGGTCACCCATCAAGTCCACACCATTTCTCAAGCTGACAAAATCCTGGTCCTCTACCAAGGCAAGCAGCTGTTTTTCGGGACAAATGAAGAACTTAATGACAGAGATGACTTAAAGCTAATCCTAAAAGAGCTAGGAAAGCTCCAAGAAATAGAGCCGGACAAAGAGCTTGTAGAAGCCAAAGTAATAAAGCACGTGGACAAAGGAGAAAAAGCTGTGAGCTTGCAAGAGGACGAAAAGTCACTGAAAGATATTTCAGCCAAAACTTATTATGAATTTCTAAGATATGGGTATACGACCATATGGAGTTTTTCACTTTTGGTGATAGTGCTGCTTTTGACACAGGCAGTTTCCTCAGCCCCAGTTATATGGCTTGTGATATGGACTAATGAATCTGAGGAAGACCAAGAAGAAATGATAAATATCTGGATTTTTTGCGCAATTGTGCTTATTGTGTATATTTTTACATATATTAGGTATTGGATATTGGTGTATGGGATAACGATAGGAGGCGAAAAATTGCACAATAAAGCACTTGAAGGCATTGCTAAGACTGAGTCGGTTTATTTTGATAAAAACCAGTCAGGGAGGATGATGAATAGGTTTTCGAAAGACACGTTTTTGATGGATGAGTGCTTTCCGTTTTTCTTTTATGAATTTTTGTTTGGGCTAATTGAGTTTGTAGCAGTGCTGATTATTATTAGCATTTTTATCCTACCGAATATAGCTGTGGTGCTGCTGTATGCTATATATGTGTATTGACTGTCAAGACTAATTGTTCCTATCACTAAAATCCTTACTCTCCCCCCTCCGAACAAAACCACTAGAAAAATCCCTATTTTTTGCCCACCCTCCGTGAGCAAACAAAAATTTTTAATAGAAAAAATTTTTCATGAAAAAAATAAATTATATATAAGTGTGATAATTATTATAATGAAATCATTAGCTAATTCTGTTTAATTTTAAACAAATTGCGTTTTAAAACATAAATTTTATAATTTAAATTAATATTTCCTTTCAAATTTTTGCAAATCAGACAATTTCGAAAATAATTTTTCTATAAAATTTATATATATAAATTTTTTAAAAAAAAATTAACCTCCCTCCGTGATCGAATAATATTTTTTTGTTCGCTCATGGAGGGGGGAGTTAGAGAAATTGAGCTAGCGTCAAAAAGTCCAATTTTAACATTATCTTCAGCTACAATAAATGGGATTGCTACTATCAGATCTTTAAATTTGCAAAACAAATTCACTGCAGATATGAAAGCAGCAATTGAGTACAACCTTAAATGCAATATTAGTGTCGAGCTCGTACTAAGGTTTTATACAATTCATATGGCTCTTGGAGCGGCTATGATATGCATTCTTAATGGATTTATAGTAGTCACTTACAAAGATTATATAGATGAAAGCCTAGCCGCTATGTGCATTTGCTTACTTATAAGCTGGGCTACCTATTGTTTCTGGTCTGAATGTCTAATTGAGTCCAACAATCTGATGGCTTCACCTCAAAGACTTATGGAATATGCTGAACTGCCACCAGAAGGCGAATTCGACAATGATGTTCCTTTTGTAGTCAGCAAAGGAAAAATCGAAATTAAGGATTTATTTATGAAATACCAAGAAAATTTGTCTTATGCGCTGCACGATTTAAATATCACTATAAATCCTGGACAAAAAGTAGGCATCGTAGGTAGGACTGGGTCAGGCAAAACTTCTATTATGCAAGTATTGTTTAGGCTCATAAATCCATCATCTGGTACTATTTATATTGACGACCAAGACTATAGGATGGTTGGACTGCACAAATTGCGCAAGCAGATGTCAGTGATACCTCAGAATCCTATTATTTTTATATCAAGTTTCCGAGACAATATCGATCCTTTCCACGAATACTCTGAAGAAGATATCATAAAAGCCTGCAAGCAGGCTAGTTTAGGAGATCTAATCAATTCTTTACCAAATGGTCTCGAAACAATGTTTACTGGCGATAGCGTCAATTTATCAGAAGGAGAAAAACAGCTAGTCTGCCTCGCAAGAGCTTTTATAAGGAACAATAAAATTGTCGTCATGGATGAGGCAACGGCCAATGTTGACCAGAAAACAGACAAAATAATCCACGACAAAATAAAAAGCACTTTTATTAGTAGCACATTGCTAATAATTGCGCATAGACTAAGGACTATCATTGATAGTGATATGATCATTGTGATGGAAGATGGGACTTGTAAAGAAAAGGGGACGCCAAAAGAGCTTGGAGAGAATCAAGATTCGCTGTTTAGAAGCTTGATTCTGCATACTGGGCCTGAAGAATCACAACATTTGCTTGGAAGCTTAGGGGTTTAAATTTAAATTAATATTTTTTGCTAGTAATTTTGGAAGTTAATATTGGGGATAATAGAAAGTTAAAAAGGCAATAATAAAGGCTAAGAAATTTCTTAACTAAAATGCCAGAAATATTTAAAGCGCTTGATTGATGGAAGATTCGAACCATTCTTATCAGATAATAATTTTTATCTAGAATATTTTTTCAAATATTTAGTAAAATTTGCAGTTGTATAGTAGTATTCAAATTGCAGATTAGCTACATTAGTCGAATAAATCATTATTATAGCTTTAAATAAATTTAATATTATTAAATTAGTAAAAAAGTACTTTGGTATTTTTATGCACCTCTATCTCACACCCATATGCATTCCCACCAATAAACACTTTTCCTAGCTGAGGCATTTTCACAAATTTTTTCGATAAATATGCGATTCCTCCCTTCCCTAAATAATTATCAGACAAATTAAGAGAGCCTAAGTTGCTCAGTTTATCCAAGGATTTAGACAAACAGATAGCTCCATTAACAGTAATCATGTTGGCACTAAGAGATAGCTCATTTAAACATAAAAGACTTGGAAAAGCCTTAATTAAATGAGAAACACCTTCATCTCCTAATGAATTTGCAGTCAAATACAATGACTTTAAATTTTCAAGAGCGCTTAAAGCAGCTGATAAATGAGCAGCTCCATCTGGACCAATGTTATTTGACCTTAAATTCAATAATTCTAGTGTAGTGCAATCTTTAAGCCCTTTAGCTAAATGCAAAACTCCACTTGGTCCAATATTTTTACTATCCAAATTCAAAATTTTTAAATTTGATGTATATGATAATAGAAATCCTAAATGTTGACAGTCAAGTGGCTTAGGGTTATTATTTAAGGTCAAATTGTTAAGCTCTCCACGGCTTTCTAAAACTTGTTTATATATTTGTCTGACTTCTGAGTTCATAGTCTGCTCAGTCCTTCTGTAGTAATTACTAACAGGCTTTAAATTTTCAGGCAAAGTTACGTCAGCAGAAGACTGCACAAATCCGACTGTGAGATGCATCAAATTATTTATGTCAAATTTAAAATTCAACACTTCAAGATGGGCTCGGAAAATTGATGATGAAGGCATATGAATAGGAAAATTCAAGGCATCTGGGAGCTGGCTGCCAAATTCTATTAGCTTTATAGCCTCTTCAATTAAAAATATTTTAGATTCAACCATACTTGTTGCTGCCGAATGAAACGAGTCTGCTTGAGCCCTAATTTTAGATATAAGCTCATTTACAGCCTGGTCTATTTGCTGAGGAAGCTCATCATTCATAAAATCATGCAAACGTTTGTGCTCTGAGATAAGCAGAGATTGCATGTCAATTACACCTTGAAGACTTGATAAAGATGCCATTTAAGAATAAATAATTTATGATATTTGAATTACATAAATATCCTTGTCTTTTCTTTGACAAAATAATCTAGATGCACGAATTAGCAATTACTATTGAAATTTCCCTTTTTTCAATTTTCTTCTTGCTATATGCAAGGGAATTTGCTATCATTTTTTCAATTATTTACCTTTTGCAAAGTTAATTTTTAGTGAAGCCAGGAGCAAGATAGATTAAGTCAAACTTTTTATAGTAATGCAAATCATAAAAGATAAGTAAAACAAAATTTTATCCAGTACAGCCAATAATGCCTTCAATTTCAATTATTAAACTAATTAGAAGAATAAATGATTTCCTTATAAATCAGAGAAATTAATTATGGAAATATTGGTCTTCCAAAGCTGGCAAGATAACTCCTCTGACATCTCCAAAGCCAATGGTGAAGTTTTCATTACATTACATTAGAATTTATATCGCTTAACGTCCACTACGGGGTTACAACTCCAGGTTTATCACTCGCCTTTCGTCGCATCGGGCCCACCAGTCTGCTGGAGACAAACTCGCTTTGATCACCAGGGTGCTTCCAGGGCAAATGTCCACGTCTTCGACGGCTCATGGATGAGCTACTTGCTTGTTACATGGGTTGCTTTTCCGAAAAACCCAAAAAATGGATTTTTCTGGTCGGCTATCGGCAAAAAGGAAAATGCAAAGCCTGGGACGTAACGCCCAGTTTCACGCTAGGGAGTTGCCGAATGGTCCAGAGGACTTTGCTGGGCTTCCCCTTTCCAACCTTGCACCCTCCTTCCCCACGAGGAAAAATCCACCCCTGAGAATAGACTTGGGCTAGGCTCTGAAAGCTACCAGAATTGCTTACCTAGCATTGCTGTCCATCTCTGAAATGGTAAAACCTTGCCGGATATAATTAAAATATGAGTCGAGGCTGCATGGCCGGGAGGCCATGCCCAGACGAAGACGCCATATTTTAATTATAATGGTGAAGTTTTCACTTTCTGCTTTTCCAACAATAATAAGCTCATCACCGTCATTTAAAAATGATCTAGTCTCTCCATTTGGCAAAGCCACAGGAGTTTTACCATTAGTTGACATTTCTAGCAAGCATCCTAAGCTATCAGGAGTAGGTCCAGAAATAGTGCCAGTTCCTAATAAATCGCCAGGTCTCATATTGCATCCACTCACAGAATGGTGGGCTAGCATTTGATAAATAGACCAATACAGGTGCTGCAGATTGGTAGTCGATATCTTGTGAGGCTCTGACAGTGAAGGAGTCTTAATGAAAGTTTCTATAGTAATGTTAAATGATGTAGGAGGATCTTCTCTTAAATAAGGTAGTGGGACTGGATCTTGGGCTGGGAGTCCAGTAGTAAAAGGCTCCAATGCAAGGGTTGTTATAATCCATGGTGAAATTGAAGTTTGGAAGTTCTTTGCTGTAAATGGACCTAAAGGCACATATTCCCAGCTTTGAATATCCCTAGCAGACCAATCATTAAGCAATACCAGCCCAAAAACGTGCTCACTTGCGACTGCAATGTTAATTGGTTCTCCAAGCTTATTTAATTTTCCTCCCAAAAACACCCCAATTTCGACCTCATGATCAAGCTTTTTGCAAGAACTAAAAACTGGGTCAGGGCTGTCTAAAAGTTTTATTTGCCCACGTGGTCTTTTTACTGGGTGCCTAGATACCACAACTGATGACGACCTCCCATGATACCCGACAGGTAATCTCAGCCAATTGTCTTGCAAAGCATTTTGAGGGCCTCTAAACATGCATCCGACATTAAAAGCGTGATTTCTAGAAGCATAAAAATCTGTGTAGTCACCAATATTCACTGGTAAGGTATTAGTAAATTCTGAGATCGGGATAAGGATTTTAGCTTTTAGTTGCTCATTGTCACGGACAAGTGGGTTTTCAGCTGCAAAAAGGGCTTGGATTTTTGATCTGTAAGCACGCCAAAGAGCCTTATCTTCACTCATAAAGGAATTAAGGGTTGGATTGGAGAAGAAATGAGTGTTCGAGAGCTCTTGGAAGAATCCTTCTGCTTCAAGGGCTGCTAAGTCGACCACAAAGTCACCGATTCTGCTTACACACCGAGGATTTGGGTTGTGAGTCGAAAATCCAGTTCCAAATGGAATATTTGCAAGCGGAAAGTGACTATCTTGTGATACCAATATGAAGGATGCCATAATTATAGGCCACATCAATAAGATTTTAATAAGCCAAATTAATTTACAGGATCCTAAGGTATCCTCTTAATGTTGACAAATTCATTCCTTCCAGTTGCCTTCTGAACCCTTCATTAGGAAGGACACAATTTCGCTTATTCCTGACGTACTGTAAAGCCTTTAAAAAAGAAGTGTTATTCTTCGCCATTATATATGAAATAACGACTGATGCACTTCTGGACACCCCAGCTGCACAGTGGACTAACACTTTTTGGTTGTGTTTTAAATGTCGGTGTATGAATTTTAAAGCATCAGGGAGGTGTCTTGATATATTTTCTGCTGGACTATCTTGGATTTGTATAAAATGATAAGTAATCCCTGGAAATCTTGGAGCAATTTGTGTATTTTCAAGAAGTTGCACAACAAATTTGATCCCTGTTCGCTTTAAAAGAGCTTCGTTTCCTCCTGCACCCAAGCCACCTAAAAAGAGATTGTGATCAATTTCATGCATTGGCACAAGAGTTGCTGCCATTGCTTGAGAAAAGGTGATTGCTTCCATAAGTATTTTATTACGCAAAAATTTAAATAGCAAGTCTCTGGATTTATATTTACTTGGCTCTTGCAGTATGCTCATTAATCAGAATGTTGGCCTTGGGCGTCTTCCCAGTGGCTCTGAAAAAATCTTACAGCATGAAAAATATTGAATAATCTCTTATTTAAATTTACAAATTCTATTAATATTCAAATTGGCTTTGCTGGCAATTTGGTGAGAAAAAGCTTTTATTTTAATTAAATATCTAATAAATTTTAAGATAAGCTGATATAAGTATCTCACACTAACTCCCCCCCCCCTCCGTGAGTGAACAAAAAAATTTTGTTCACTCACGGAGGGGGTTAATTTTTTTTTTTTTTAAAAAAATTTATATATAAATTTTATATAAAAAAATATTTTTTTTCGAATTTAAAAAAATCCTAATTCACAAAAATTGGAAAGCAAATATTAATTTAATTTATAAATTTATGTTTTAAAAAGCAATTCGTTTTAAAATTAAACAGAATTAGCTCTAGATTTCATTATAATAATTATCATTTATATATCAAATTTTTTTTCCATAAAAAATTTTTGTTCACTCACGGAGGGTGGGTTTTTGGGCAAAAAATAGCGATTTTCTAATGGTTTTGTTCACTCACGGAGGGGGGGGGAGTAAGATATTTTATTTCTTTAAGATGGCACATTTAGAATTTAATTCTCAGAGTTATCATTATTTAGCTTGAGCTAGAAGCTTATTTAATGATTCAGTTTGCGAGGCTAAAAGACTTAAAACTGAATTTTCAAATTGGTTGAATTTCCCTTCAATTTGATCAATCTTTGTACCGATATCTTGAACTCTGTTGTCGATCTGCTGGACTTTGGTGTCGATCTGCTGGACTTTGGTGTCGATCTGCTGGACTTTGGTGTCGATCTTCTGGACTTTGGTGTCGATCTGCTGAACTTTGGTGCCGATTTCTCCAATTTCTTCTTCCATGTGCTCGACTTTGGCTTCTATCTGCTGGACTTTGGTGTCGATCTGCTGGACTTTGGTTTCGATCTGCTGGACTTTGGTTTCAATCTGCTGGACTTTGGTGTCGATCTGCTGGACTTTGGTGTCGATTTGCTCTACATTGGCCTCAATGGTTTCAACTCTGGTCTCAACTGTCTTTAGTCTAGAGTCGAAATCTGTGAATCTTTCTGTAAAGTCAGACTCTACGTCGCTATGAATTTGTCTTTTCATAGTCCTGTACTCATCTGAGCTGAACCAGTAGCTTACCTTATCTGTGATGAGCAAAATCACTGAAATCCTATTTTGAGAAAATAAAAGTTTTTTGGAAATAGACTTCTTGTTTCATGTAACTAAAAATTATTATAATAATAAATTCTCTAGCTGAGTCTGTTAAATTTTAGATAGCTTATATGCGAATCTAAATTTAGAAAATAGATAAGATCTTTCTAAAATATAAGATTAGAATTTGGAAAACAAAAACCAATTAATTATAGAGGAGACTGGGAGTTATATCTGACTTATCTGAAGAACTTTTTCTATCCATTTTATTATATCAGTCTATGAAACTTAGATACAATATGATTGAATTAGCAAAGAACCCATTTAAATATTTATCAAATTAAATTATTTTTGGCCTTAGCAACTCTATTTTCTTATATAATGATTAAGATTCTCAATGATAAATTTATTGCTATTTTTATCAGCTTATTATTTTTATTAATTTAGCTTTGTTTAAAATGAGAAATATTCTGTGAATCTTTTTATCTATTCAGATATTAATCAAGACAAATTTCTTCTATTCTCCATTTTTTGGTTAAAAGAAATAGACTAATAATTTTGATTTATTTTAAGGTAATCTAGTTAGAAGAATATAAGTAATCAATCACTTCTTGGAAAAATTTTCTTGCATCATGTCTTTTAATCTTAAAAGTGTCTGTCAAAAACATCGTACCCGGCGCTATCATATTTGGGTGCAAATAAAGCTTTCTTATCAATTCAAATCCATTTAGTTTTGATTCTTTTCCAATTCTATTCATATCATTCAGCACCATCTCAACAACTGTCGGGTTTTGACAAATTTCTTCCCAGCTTCCTTTTATGTCATGCTCTTTAGCCCAAGTTTCCAACTCATTCCTATCCGGAATCACAATCCCAACAAGGAAGCTCTGCAAAGAATCCCCATACACAAATGATAAAGCGACATATTGGCTTTTAACATAAGCATTTTCTATTTTTTCTGGAGCCACATATTCTCCTTGTGCTAACTTAAAAATATTTTTTTTCCTGTCAATGAGTTTTAATGAGCCATTACTCCTTATAAGTCCAACGTCTCCAGTATGGAACCAACCGTCTTCATCAATAACTTCGCTTGTCAATTCTTTTAGCTTAAAATAGCCTGTGGTTATGCAAGGCCCTCTGAAGCATACTTCACCTGCTGGACATCTTTTCATCTTTTCGTCTACATAATTAGAAGTATAGCCCATGTCAGGGATATCTACAAGCTTTAATTCGACACAGCCTAAAGGACCGCCGACGTGTCCGGATTCTGGGTCATTGTCGTGAGTGATAGTGGTAGGGCCAGATGTTTCAGTAGGAGTAGGATTAAAGATTCGGGTCTCCTTTTATATCATGATCAAGGCAAGCCTTTAGGGAAGCTTGCTCAGCTGCAGACGAACGCCCCTGCTTGTCAGCCATCCATCAGAGATAGCTCTGCTTGGCTTGGAGTACAGGATTTAGGAAATTGACAGCAGCTGCTTTAGTGACTGAAGCTTTACTAGATATAAACTCCCTAGCTAGTTATAGTTTCAACAACAATACTTTTGTCGTTTGCACAAATTGCCTCAAAAGATAAAATGCTTTGTTCGCAAATGCTCAGCAGAAAGACACTTCATTGACGGACGAGTGAGGTATAGCCCTACTGAAACATAATTATTTTCCATTTTCTGTTCAGTTTGGCTTCTGTCTGCAGAATGGCCATAAGCTCTAAACAGCCCAGAATAAGGCATTTGATTAAATCGCCATTTTATTTGTGTGTCAGATGTTTCAGTAAGGCCATATCCTTCAAGAATTGGGCAGCATAAGGCAATTTTCATAAATTCCAGGACTTCTGGAGAAATGGGAGCTGAAGCAGTGGCAACAACCCTGATATTATTTCCAAGCATTCTTCTGATTTTTTTAAAGATTAATGAATCATAGAATTTATGGTGATATTCTGCTTTGCTCCTCAAATTTTCAAGTTTCGCAGCTAAAGCTTTTTTAATCAATTTTGCTTTAAACCCTGTTTGTTTTGATAAATTGCTATTAATCAAATCATAAAATCTATTTAGCACCCTAGGAACACTCGCAAAAATCGAAGGCTTCAGCAAGGCTAAATCATCTTTAAGCTTCAAAGGGTCGCCTCTATAAAATCCAACAGAAGCGCCTGCATAAGTCATGGCAAGCATAAAATACCTTTCATACACATGGGCTAGAGGTAAATATGAAATATGGATATCATAAGGCTGTGGTGTGAAAACCTGAAAAGCAGCTGCCATGCTTGAAACAATATTTAAATGAGTCGTAATCACGCCTTTAGAATTCCCGGTGGTCCCACTTGTATAAGTCAGAGTAAAAATATCATCAGGCGACGGTGGGTTGTATTCTGCTTGATTTTTGGCGCCATGTGCTAAAATGTCTTGGAAATCGTACAAAGTTATCCCGGCTTCTCATGCATGTTAAAATGACATGATACACCACCTGCCCTCTTAGCGCCTGCAGTCAGAAATGCCCATTGCTGATTTGATGGAATACAATTCTGGGATAAGCTGACTGCATACTCATTTCGGATTAACTTTTTATATTTGGGGAGATGGAACGTCACAGTTTTAAAACGATCGCCCAACACAACCAGAGGAAGTTCTTGGACTATCGGACAATTTTTCCCTGCGCGATAAAAGGCGTTATGTCATAGACTTCGAGTTTCATTTTGGTCAACGACCCACAGAAAATTTATTTAAGAATTTTTTGCAAGACAACCCGTTGACACGAAGCATGATGTCCTAGAGTCTCTTATTCTTGGTTAGTGAGTGCATTACCTCAATCATGAGGAACAACACAGTGTAAAGCCGTGCCAGGACTGGCAAGCAAACTATAGAGTATAATGGAGATGAATACCACTTCAGCGTGCAGGAACTTCTCTATAGTAAGATAGATTGAATCCCAGCTTCTCTTGCATTGGCACGATCTTCGTCGCTTGCTCTTTCCATAACTATTAAATACTCCAAATACTCTGCCAAACCTTCACGTTTTAATGCCAGCACTTTTTCTATTTTTTCGTGAGCTAAAAACAAGGTATGCATTTTGGTCTGATTTAAAATTAATTTCATTGACTCCTCCCCTAAGGTGTCATAAAAAGGGACTGTAGTGATATTGTAAAGAATGCAAGCCATATCAGCAATAACCCATTCTTCCCTATTTTTTGAGTATAAACCTAAGAAGCTGAGTCTGCGATGCCCATGCTTTTCTTTAGGAGTCAAATTTAGCGCAATAAGCCCAGACCCGAAATTTTTGGCAAGGTCGTTGATTTCTCGATAATTTTTTCAATCATAGTGGTCCTCTCTAAAAGTGCCTAAGAAGCGGTTATTCGGAAACCTTTGAAACGCATTGATGATAGCGTCGAAGATAGTGTGAATGCTTGGCCCTGGGCCTGTCAGCAAACCGTTGACGTACTTAGGATGGCGGTAAATCCTGGACTCACCTTCCTTTTCGTCTCCGACCCATGCGGAGTATTCTATTTTTCTTGTCTCTTCGTTGCTTGTGCAGGCACCCATATTTTATAATTTTCGACACGTATTGGAGAATTTTCATAGGTTGATATTAATAAAAATTTTTTAGCTTAATCTTTGAAAATTAGAAAAAGGTAATTTTCAGGCATTTATTAATTTCAATTATTGGCTTGCAAAGGAAAAATATTTTGATCGGTAGAATTTTTATCAAATGAATTATTATAATTTAAAATAAATTAAGAGGAGGGCCAGTGAAATTATATAAAGGTTGTAAACTATATATCTTAATATTTTTAAAATAAAAAGGAATACGGATTAAATAAAAATCTATTAAAGCTCTGATCAGAATAATTTAAATGAAAGGAATTAAGTGAATACCTTTGTATGGTAAGTTTTGGTTTATAAACTGTTCTGATTGGATTGATATATTTTAAATTGTTCAATAAGAAATTCTACAAGTATGTATCTGGCTGTATAAAAGACTCTAAATTATTATCTTAATTCTATTTACTAATAAGATTGCTGATTTTGCAGATCCAGCAAGGTTTCAAGTTACTCTTTGTATGCTGACTTCATCCATTTATGTCTAATAATTTCTAAAATAACCAAAGAGAAATAGAATTTTTTTTTAAATGCTTAAAGCCTATAATTATAATCAAATATTAGCCCATTTTATAAGAAAGCATTCTTTTTTTAGGATTGGAAAGGAAAGAGACTCTTTTGCTTGATTATATTAAGGTTAAAATTTATTAATTGACCATTAACAAATTCAGAGCAAGAATTGAAAAAATAGGACAAAATTATTAGTTTATTATAATTTGAGACAAATTAAGCCTTAATCTTAATTAACATTAGAAGGCGTCTGCCGTTTTGATTACGCAGTCACCATAGACCCCTAGGGGTTCACCTGCTTTGCGGCGCAGTCCTAACAGCCATAAAGACTGCCAAGAGGACACACGTCTACTCCTTCCCGCGTATAGCGGCTTAAGTGTTGAGTGAGCGGGCTATGGACTTCTGCGGCTTGCTGCTTGAGTTGACGGGAGTTGACGGGAGTTGGCTTTCCGAATTTCCAAAAAATGGAATTTCTGGTCACCTTTCGGCAAAAAGGGAAATTCCAAGTCCTGGGACGTAACGCCCAGTTTCACGCTAGGTAGTTGCCCGAATGGTCTAGGCATTGCCTGTAGACTCTGCTGGGCTTACCCTTTCCAAACCTAGACACCCTTTCCTCTCGAGGGTAAAATCCATTCTGGTCGTTGGACATGGGCCAGGCTCTGCTCTGCAGAATTGCTTACCATGGCATTGTTGTCCATTTCCTGAATGGCAAAAAAACCTTGCCGGATATAATTAAAATATGAGTCGAATATGTATGGCCGGGAGGCCATATCCAGACGAAGACGCCATATTTTAATTATGAGACAAATTAAGCCAAAATGGCTTATTGTATGCAACCTCTTAAATTTAGCTTTGCTTAAAAATAAGTACATTAACTTGATTATTTACCTTAACCTAAAATATTATAAATTATAATTTATTAGACCAATAAAATAAGATTAAAGGATAATAAATTCTCTTCAATATTATTTTCTATTAATTTATTTTTAAGCATAAAAATTTCTTTTACCAAGTTTTCCATTACGGTCTTGACTTAAACAGTTGAAAATCTAATTTTTTAAACTGATTTAAAAAAGAAGCGATTTTAGATTAATGTCGGTCAAATTATCGAGGATTTAGAAATCATTTTATTTAAGCTTATTGAGAAGAATATAAAGAATCTATCTGCTCTTGGAAATACTTTCTTGCTTGGTATCTATTAATCTTGAAAGTACTAGTCAAAAACAGTGTTCCCGGCGCTACCATATTTGGATACAAATACACTTTTTTCACCAATTCAAATCCATTTAGTTTTGATTCTTTTCCAATTCTATTCATATCATTCAGCACCATCTCAACCACTGCTGGATTTTTACAAATTTCTTCCCAATTTCCCTTTATATCATGGTCTTTCGCCCAGGCTTCCACCTCAGCTTTTTCTGGTATCACAATTCCAATCAGATAATTCTGCAAAGAATCTCCATACACAAAGACTAAAGCGACATCCCGGCTTTTCATATAAGCATTTTCTATCTTGATAGGCGCCACATATTCTCCTTGGGCAAGCTTGAAAATATTTTTTTTCCTGTCAATAACTTTTAAAGAGCCATTATTCCTTATAAGCCCGACGTCTCCAGTATGGAACCAGCCTTCTTCATCAATCACTTCTCGGGTTATCTCTTTTAGCTTGAAATATCCTTTGGTAACGTTAGGCCCTCTAAAGCAAATTTCTCCAGCTGCGAATTTCTGCTGCGTTTTTTCGTCGACATAATGAGAGGTATAGCCCATTTCAGGGATATCAACAAGCTTTATTTCGACACCTAGTATTGGACCACCTATATGTCCAGACTCAGGGTCATTAATATTAGAAATAGTTACTGGTCCTGCTTCAGTTAGACCATAGCATTCTACAATAGGGCAACATAAGGCAATTTTCATGAAATTAAGGATATCAGGAGAAATAGGCGCTGACGAGAGAGCACATAGCCTTATATTATTTCCAAGCATCATTCTGATTTTTTTGAAAATCAAAAAGTCATAGAACTTGTGGGAGCACTCTGAGTGATTTTTTAAATTTTCAAGTTTGACAGCTATTGCTCTTTTTATAGCTATGGCTTTATTTCCAGTTGGTTTTGATAAATAGCCGTTAATTAAATCGTAAAACCGATTTAATATTCTTGGAACTGTCGCAAAAATTGATGGCTTGAGTATTGCTAAATCATCTCTAAGCTTTAAAGGGTCTCCTCTATAAAACCCAGCGGCAGCCCCATTATACGCTATAGAAATTGCCTTTGAGTAGCGCGCTAAGCGCCTGAGACTTCCCGACGAAGTCTGGGCGGTGGTTTGACCAGCTGATGTTGGTCAAACCAGCATCCAATTTGACAAATCTTCTATATGAGAAGAATTTGTCATGTTGGATGTTGGTTTGACCAACATCAGCTGGTCAAACCACGCCCAGACTTCGTCGGGAAGTCTCAGGCGCTTAGCGTGCTACTCAAAGGCAATTTCTATATATAATGAAATAGATACCTTTCATATATATGGGCAATAGGTAAATATGAAATATGAATGTCATTTGCATGGATGGTAAAGGATAGGTGGAAATTTACCATACTTGAAATAAAGTTGAGATGGGTTGTAATTACTCCTTTAGAGTCTCCAGTGGTCCCGCTTGTATAGGTAATAGTAAAAATGTCATCAGGAGACGGAGGGTTATATTCAGCTTGATTTTTGATCCCATGACTTATAATGTCTTGAAAGTCATATAGCGTGATCCCAACTGCTCTTGCATTAGCGCGATCTTCATCGCTGGCTTGCTCCATTATTATTAAATTATTCAACGATTCTGCTGACCCTTCATGTTTCAATTTTAGGACTTTTTGAATCTTTTCTTTAGTCAGCAATAATGTATGCATTCTTGTCTGACTTATGATAAATTTCATAGAATCTTCACCCAAAGTATCATAAAAAGGTACTGTCGTGATATTATAAAGTATACACGCATAGTCTGCAATTACCCATTCTTCCCTATTTTTGGAGTATAGGCCTAAGAAGCTGAGATTGTATTTTCCATGCTTTTCTTTAGGCGATAGATTAAGATTGACCAGCCCAGACCCAAAGTTTTTGGCAAGTTCATGTGCTTCTTGATAGGTTTTCCACTCATAGTGGTCTTCTCTTAAAGTCCCCAAAAACCTATTATGCGGGAACAGCCGGTATTGGTTCATAACTGAATCAAAAAGAGTTTGGATGTTTGAGTCAGCCAAAGCATTTTCCATGTATTGAGGATGACGGTAAGCTCTTGACTCTCCCTCCTTTTCATCTCCAACAGCAACTGCATACTCTAGTTTGCGACTTTCGTTTAAACTTCCACAGGTGCCCATATTTATATCCGATGTTAAAATCTCAGAAATAAGTCAACAAATATTATGATTTTAATTATAAAAAACTGAGAATAAGAAATATTTTGCCTATTTTTGTAAAAATAATTAATAGCACAGCCTGACATTTTTTCACCATTTCTGCGAAATTGTTGTATAAAAGCTGTCCTTATCGGTATTTGAAATAATAATCAAATTTTGAAGTTTGAAACTGACCAGCTGGGGAATTTATTAAAATTATTAATTCACCAGTCCCATTTTGAAAATAAACATTTACTTCACCACCTCCATTTTGATCGGATGATGCTGAATTAAATAATTTTAAATTTTAGTTGTCTTCACTCTGCTATTCCCTACAATAAGCTCTTTTGATTAAACTAGTTGTTTGTTATATGAGTTCCTAACTCTTCTGACAGTAATGAGGACTTTTAATTTTTAGTCAAAGGTTTTTCGTAAAATATTTTTTCAACTTTAAAGTATTTTTTACTATTTTTAAACATTTCTTATTAATCTTTAAGAGGAGTAGGCTTTTTAAGAAAAATCGAAAATTATTCCTTCACAGTCTTTAAATAAAAAATCAAATATTATTCTTATAATTCCAAATTGCTTTCTCGTTAAATTAAAGCCAGCTTTAACGAAGTGGGTATTTAATTTGAGAATTTAGTAGTTATAAATGATAAATTATCTCAAAAATAAAGAGGAAAAGGTTATATTGCCTTGTATAGCATTTGCATGTAAAATAATATTTTCACCAGCTCAGCATATCTGTTCACTAACAAGAAATATGCATTGATATTTACACTGCTTACTCCCTTCCTCTATGAGCGAACGAAAAATTTAGTTCGAACACACATTTTTTTAAAAAAACTTATATATAAATTTTATATATAAAATATTTTTTTTGAAATTTAAAAAAATCCAATTCGCGAAAATTGGAAAGCAAATATTTATTTAATTGTAAAATTTATGTTTTAAATGCAATTAAACAGAATTAGCTAGATATTTTATTATTTTAGCAATCACTTATATATATTTTGTTTTCATAAAAAATTTTTGTTTGCTTACAGATGGGGGAAGTTATTAATGGCTCCATTTCAAACGACTATAGATTTTTGATAGTGTGGCGAATTCTAGGGGAAATTTTAGTTGAATTATTTTTGATAGTGAGACATTTGACTGAAAAACCGTTAAATTTCGGCCAAATGGATACACTATTTAAAAATTTTCGACCAAAAGCACTCGGTAAAATGTACACTATCAAAAAGGCGCTATCATTGGACCTGCACCCTTATTAGCTAATATCAAAGCAAGAGGCTAAAAAATTCTATAGTTTGGACCTTCTTTTAACGCATTTCAAATTTTTATATTATTTAATGCTTGTTTAAGATAGTCAAGGGAGTATTTTACAAATTTTTATTGAATTTTTTTAATTGAAATTATTAAAAGCAGTTGAATTTTAATTTTTTTCTAATTATGCTCATACCATTATATACATATAATGGCTGGTGATGAGGGGCCTGCCTCTTCCCGTAGGGGGTGTCTCTATATATAGTGAACTACACTGACTGGTTTTGGTGCAAAGAGCTGCCCAATGGTTAGGTTAACCTCGAAGCCAGAAGTTCAGCGCCATTTCTGCTGATTAGTGGCCTGGCTCGAACGGCATTGCTTTTGTCAGCAACACTTCAGAATAGGTGAACTAATACTCATCGTAAATTAATCTTAGCGTTCATATCATTAAGATGACTCATTTGAAATAAAATTATCTATTATCTATCTTAACCAGAATAATTATAAACTAAAGAAATTATAAAAGATAATAGCCCTTTTCTATTATTTTTATATAATAAACTCTCTAAGTTCATTAGCTACAGCTTTGCATGTGTCAAGGCTCAAAGCTTCCACAAATATTCTGACTATAGGTTCAGTCCCTGAAGGCCTTAAAAGGACTCTTACTTTTTGATCAGCTAGTCTATGTGTGATTTCTTGTATTTTATTTACAAGATTTGCTGGTTCTACCACTTCCAGCTCGTTTTCTGAAGTTTTTATTTGCTCTTTTATAGGGGATCTCACTCCAATTATCGTGGTAGGATAATCATGATAAAGTTCTTCCCATTGCTTCAAGCTAAAATCTAATATTTTCATCGAAATTTCTGAAAGCAAAAGATCAGCCACCGCATCTCCCACAGCCTAAATAATTTTTACTTCATTCGCAAGTGACAAAAATGCCAGTAATTTTTCTGCATTTAATTCTTTTAATGAAGCTAATTTATTTTCTGACGCAATAATTGTTCCATGTCCATTAGCTTCAAAATACACACTAATTTCTGCCTTTTTTGCAGCTTCATGAAGATATTTTACCCCAGTTGCTACTAGGACAATTTCAATTCCCCTTTGTTCTAAATATTCTAATGACGCAGAATTTGAGTACCCAGTCGTCACAACTGTGACTTTTCCTTCCACATTTTCTTCGTCAAGCAGTTTTTTAAGCGCTAGGCACATTAAAACAGTCAGCCTTTCTCCTCCTAATACATTTAAATTTTCAGCACTTTTATAGTAAACCAGCCTATCTGCGTCCCCATCTAGACTTGCACATTTAAGACCTACAGGTACATTCCTTGGACAAGTCCTTATTTTATGGGCGTGCTCAGCCCCACAGCCTTCATTTAGTAAGCTTGGCTCTGTATTTACTATTTGGAAGTTCAATCCTGTGATATTTAATAGTCTCAAAGTATTAGCCCCAACCCCTCCAGAAGCGTCAATTATAAGGTCATTTTCATAATTATAAGTCTGAGGCAAACTTGTATATAAGCGGCTGGCTTGGTTTAAATAATCTATATAAGCAGATGCTGGCAATTTTGATGAGAAATTTGATCTGCGGACTAGCCAATGGAGCTGTGGAGTTGTTAATTCTCCATAGTTGTGGGCAGTTCCGCCTGCTACCTCGATAGCTTGCTGTAAACAGCTGAGAAGTTCCGGAGAACTTGGCCGATTGTCACAGCCGATAAAGACGTCTCCTTGGATAGGATTAGAAAATTTTTCACGTAAAACTTCAGCGAAGTCTTGAGCATTGACGAAGGCTTCAATAGCTCTTTCCCAGGCAATAGGAACCATTTCTCCATTGTGGTCAATCATTTTGATACCGTTGTCCGCTATATGGTTGTGGGATGCAGTTATCATTACTCCAGTGATTTTTTTAAGCTCGTGAGATCGCAGAAGGGCAAGTAGGCCGACACGAAAACAAGCTTGAGGGAGGTTGTGGGCGACTGTTCGGAAGCCTGCAGTGCCATAAGGTAAATAGACTTGAGCAGATGGGATCTGAAGACTTTTTTGGAGAATGGCTTCCATTTTTTATGTAAGTATAGAATAAATAAACTAGGCTAAGATATCATGATATTATTTATAACTAATTTTATTGGAAGCTATATAAATAATATTTTTTTGACAAAAAAGTCATGAGAATCTTGGCTAGTTAATCTCTCTAATTTATAAACAATTATTCAATAATAAAATGATTATTTAAAGATTTGATGCAATTTTTATTCAAAAATTATCTAAAAATGACTATTTAAATTTTTTGATAACTTTCTTTTTATATTTCCAAACAATGTCTGACTCTTCTATCCAAGTGATGCTCCGTGTAAGACCAGCTGACCCTGAAAGCTACGAGAATGTGTACGCTATCGCATCCAACAATACTGACATCCAGTTCTTTCTTCCAGATAAGGAGCCTCAAGGCTTTCAGTTCCATAAAATATTCCAACCTTTTTGTTCTCAAAATGATATATTTGACCAAGCAGCCTCTCAACAAGTTGACCAATTTCTCAGCGGCCATGATGCCTTGGTTTTTGCATGTGGCCCAGAAGACTCTGGAAAATCATATTCATTATTTGGTAACCTTAGCCCTAATAACGAAGCAAATGGAGTTATTCCCAAAGCACTTGTACATGTTTTCAAAAAGATAGAAACAATGAAATCCAGAAAAGAAATAGGTGTAATAGCCAGCTTTGTAGAAATTTATATGAACCAAGTAAGAGATCTAGGAAATACTAAGGCTGAAGAGGGAAAGTCGGTATTTGAAATTGATAACTTTGACAACCCAGGGTATATAAGTGGACTTTCAGCGAATTTAATTAACTCTTATAATGACGTGCAGAGGATGATTCAGCATGGATTTGGCTTAAGAGAAAATTTATGAAGACAAGAAAAAGGTCATTTGATATTAAAAATTTCTATGACAGCTAAGGAAAAGAATTCTGCGTCAAATTCAAATTTTTACTTTGTGGAGCTTGCAGGGATTGGAGACCAAAAAGAAGATAAAACCAAATACAAAGAACTGGATTTTTTAAATACCAGCTTTATTGCAGTGAAGAAAGCCATTTTAAACATCCAAAAAGGAACCCATGTGCAGCATAAAGACTCTCTTATAACCTGGGTGCTCCAAAGTGTTCTAAACGAGAGGTCAAGCATTTTATTTTTGGCCCATGTGAACCCAAACCCCATTTTCAGTGACAAAATTATAGAAACTCTTGATAATGCTCAGCAATGTATATCCTTGACTAACCGCCCCAAAGTCTCTCAAGAGCCTTCAAACCTAGTGAACCCTCAACAAATTAAGAGAATGCAAAAGGTAGAAGACGACATACAAGAGCTTAATAACCAAATCGACAAAACACTAAACGACCACTCCGCTAAGCTGAAAGCATTAGGAAAACTCGTCGGAATTCCCATAAATTTAATGGATATAGTAGACGCAGAATATGGGTCAAAAGAATACGAAATTGCAAAAAGATATTATGAAGCCTTCAAAAGTGCTAAAAAAATCTCTTAAACTCTTTTTAATTATTTTTCTCTTAAAATGACTGAAAAATAAAAAATTCCTTTCAAAAAAGCAGAAAAAATTGAAAAAAGAAACAAAAAAATAGAAAATGAAATTTTTATTGGAAATAGCATGATGGAAGAATTCAAGAGAGGAGAAGTTTTAAAGTCAAAGAAAACCCTAAATCATGCAGAAAAGCTGAGAGAAAAAATATCTGAAGTAAAGCACGGCATTACAGACACCCAACTGCAGTCAAAACAAATAGTCCATGAAAATGTCATAGAAAGAGCTGAAGAACTACAAAAGTTACTGTTGCATTCCCACATGCTCCTCGAAGAAAAAGCCTCTGTCGTCCACAATCTTCCCTATACAATGAAATCTAAAGCTGCTGATATCCGAAATTTAGTCGATATCAAAGAAAGCAGCAAAGAAGACGTCCTCCCTGAGCTTATAAACAAGTTTAAGCTTAACGAAGAAGACCACGCAGGGGTTATAGAACTAATAAAGCATAAAAATGAAGCCAAACTTAAAGAACTTGACAGTGAAGCGCTCAGATTTGAACTGGAATGCAACGAATATAACAGAAGAAAAGAGTAAAAAACATATAGGAGCCATTATAAGACTATAGAAACTGAAATTATTCAGATTTACGCCATATTTGAAAAGCATGATACACTTATAAAAGAAATAGAACAAGGGGTGTACAATGGAGGAATCAAGCCAATTTATATGCTGGCAACAGAAATCCCTAAGCCTCCGACAAGAGAGAAATACCCTCAGTATGCTATATATAGAGCCTCTTTAAAGCACTTACGGAGAATAAGTTTCTCACATCGAAAACTGATAATTCTAATATAAGGATATGGAGCCACCCAGTTACTATGAAATATAAGAACTTAAGACAGTCTTTAGCCTTAAGTTCTCCTAAACCAAATACAGCTGCATTGCCTATGGTGAACACCTATATGACCCAGACTGAAAAAGGGACGAAATCAGATGAGCTAACCCAGTCCTTGCAAGCTGAGATAAATTCAGCTACAGATCAAGAAATTCTTATGATGGGGCAAAATTTGCAAGAAGCTATAAAATCACTATCAAAAGAAATAAAAAACTTAAAAAAATTCGAAGAAAATGAGCTCGGTAAGGTCCAAGCGATGGAAATGGAGCTTGATCGTGTTATCACAGAAAGGGATAAAGGCCGAGAACTATACACCCAGAACGTAAAAAACCGGATGGACTCCAAAATTGTGATTGATTCACAGAAAAGGCTGCTTGACAGGTACATTTTTATAACTGAACAACTGAGTTCTAGACCTTCGACTGGGAAAAAAAGACCTCAGACGTCTTCAACTCAAAGACCAGGGACGGCTAAAGAAAGTAATAGAGACTCTTCTAAGGCTTATAACTCAGTCAGTCAGTTTTATTCAAGTCAAGCGTCAGTTGGGGTGTTTAGCAGAAGACTTTAGATAATTATTATCAATATAAACAGCTTATTTTAAACTCTTCTTGAAAATGATTGTATAGAAATATACCCAGGTCTCTGTTTTCTATATGTAAATTACATATTGGAATGGCTTTCATTTAAAAGCTGTCTTTTAAATGAATATCTTTGAGGAAAAACCATGGAATTTCTTTCCCCAGGGGTAGAGGGGTTGATTTCTTGCTTGCTGAAGTTCCGGTTTCTGTGGGAAAGTGTGGGGCTTACGAAGGAAGCCCGATAGAAACTGTCGTTAGGGTTAAGATTGTCGTAGACCATTGAAGGATTTCGGCTGCGGTGCGGCATCTGTTTTTTTGGCTCAAAAACATGTTTGACGTCTTTAGGCTTTAAAATGCTCAGTTTTTGAAGCTTTTTCATGCTCGGCTTTTTTAAGGGAGATTCTTCATCTCTTCTGGTAGAAATTTCAGGGAAAAGACTGGAAAACCTTTCATTATCTTTGGATTGTCTAATATTAGAAGGAATTTGTTTTATTATCCGAGGGACAAATTCATCGTATTTTATTTGCACTGCATGCAGCGGAGTTATATTCGGCGATTTATCTCTTTTAATTGGCTTCAAAAATGAAGGCTCTGGAGTGTTATTTTCACTATAAGCGTGCTTTTTATTAGAAATTCTTTTCTCTTGCAATTCTTCACTTAAAATTTTAAGAAGTTCTAATTCAAACGTCTGCTTAAAGGTCTTATCAAAATATGGATGATCTAACAGTTCTTGACAGGTTGGCCTTTGATGTTGGTCATAAACTAAACAGGCTTTTAAAAAACTAATAGATGGATCCGGCAGAAAATAGAATTTCTTTTTGATAACAGACTCTAAATTGTTTAATGGTAACTTTTTTCTAATTAAATCATACATCTAGTCCTTGGTATATCGGGTTGTTCTGAAATGCAGTTACATACTTTTCCGGCAAATTCCCACCACATAATTTCATGATCTTATAAAGAGTATCCAAATCATTATCCCCCGGAAATAAAGGCTGCCCAGTAAGTAGCTCTGCAAATAAACACCCAACAGCCCATATATCAATCTCTTTTCCATACCGTGTATCCCCTACAAGCAACTCAGGCGCTCTATATCATCTAGTAGATACATAGTCCGTATAATTCCCGGCTTTTGAATTCAGCTGTCTCACGAAGCCCAAATTATCTAATTTTTTTTTTTTAAAAACATCCCACCTTCTTATAATTAAATTAAAATTAGTCTCGCAAAGCCAAAATCACACAGCTTTAGCACCCCTTTATTTGAAATAAGAAGATTTTCAGGCTTCACGTCTCTATGCACAATATTATGAGTGTGGCAATATTTCAGCGCTTCCAGCAGTTGGAACATAATTCTCTTAACAGTCAGCTCATCTAATCCTTCAGGGCTCCTTTCAATTTTCTCTAAAATTGTGTTGTCGACGTACTCAAAGATCAGGTGTAGCCTACCTTTTCGCTGGAAGAACTCTAATAAGGAAACTATGTTTTGGTGCCGCATGAGTTTCAGCATCCGGACTTCTCGTAAGGCGATTTTCTTGACGTGCTCATTTTCGTCACCTTCTTTAAACTTTTTTATAGCAACGGTCATGCCAGTTTCTTTGTGAAGAGCTTTGACGACTGTTCCGTACGTTCTGAATAGAAATTACCCTTCTCCTATGACATTTAGGACTTCGTATTTTTCCATTGTGAGATAATTAAAAATGATTTTGGAAAAGGAAAATTGGGGAATTGAAGGAAAAGTGAGGTAAAAAAGAAGAAGATAGAGGAGGGGGTTATATTAGGGAAGCGATATGGGGAGTAGAATATATAGAATTTCGATAAAGATAGAAATGAAATGCAATAAATGTAGTTTTGAAGATTATTTGGATAATGTAAATACTATATAAAAGTAGAATATTTTTAAATTTGCAGGTATTTAAAAACGACTTATTGCTGAAATATAAATAAATTTTATCAGCCTTATTTTTTGTTAAATTTAATTTACAATTATAATTTAAACATATCATCAATTAAATTAATCAGAATAAAGGAATTAGGATTATCCGAATATGGTTGAAAACTCTTTGATGTCAATCAGCCCATCCTTATTCTTATCAAACGATTTCACCATCTCTTCAGCTTCTTCTGCTGTAATTGATTCCCCATACACTTCTCCTATTTCCACAATATCTTCAGGGCGAATTTTCCCTTTCTTCGATTGATCAAACACATTGAATAGACTTTTCAGCGAGTCTCCATCTGCAAAAGGGTCAAAATTTGCCCCGCAGATTGAGTCGAAATCCTTAAAAGATATTTTGCGTAACCCTTTTGGATCAAAAAGAGACATGTAGCTAAAGACTTCGTCTTGGAAAGGCTCAAAGCCGAGTTTGCGGAGGGTTGAGGAGATTGCGTCGAAGGTAGCCTGCTGGTTTGGTTTAAGCTTCAAGAGCTTCCATACTACTTGTGCTGGACTTGGTTCTTCAGCCATCTTAAATTATGTTTTACTCCACTTTTATAGTAATTAAAAATATAAATAAAACATTTAATTAGCTTTTTATTTTTCTTTGAAAAGAGTTATAAACTGGAAATAATAGGCAGAGAAGTAATTTGATTTTAGCCCTAATATCAGCAGATTAATTTTATATAACTTTTTATTGATTGCATTTTTACCATGTTGAAAAAAATTGTGATTTTCAAGTATATTTAATATGGGCTGGAATCTAATTGAATTGCCGAATATCGAAGAAGAATTCAACCCAGAAAACACCTTTTTCATTGGCCAAGTTTTTAATTGGATGAAAGAAGATAATATTTATGTTGGATGCTTTGGAAATAAACTGCTAGAAATCTACGTGGAACAGTCAGGCATTATTTTCTCGTAAAGCATCTCTGCATCATCTACTAATAACCAAAAGCAATTTTTTATAAAAAAAATATTTTTTTATTTTCTCATCTTTTCTGAGCCCACTCATTATATCATAAATGAAAACTCACCCCAGAAGGCACCGAAGAAGAAGTCCGTTCATATTTAAATCTTGATATTTCCCTTATCTCCCTTCTGAATGACTGAAAAAAAGACTCTTTCTTCAACCAAATCTACCAAAACCAGCCAGGAGTCCGAATCCTCAAGCAGCCTGTTTTCGAATGCTTGATTTCTTTTATATGCTCTCAAAACAACAACGTCAAGCGTATAAGCCAAAACATAGAAAGCATCAAAATGACCTATGGCACAGAAATATGCGAGAAATACGGGAAAACCTGATATGCATTCCCATCACCTGCTGATCTTTCTAACTCCCCCCCCAATTAATAGCGGACGAAATCAATTTTTTTTTCCCTAAAAATGGACCCTTAGGTATCATTTAATAACGGAAATTTTTTACTATAAAAATTTTAAATTATATAAGATAATCGTTCATTATAAATTTACTAATATACATAAAATGATGGATGACTTCTGACCGGTCCTCTTGAGACGGTTACCTGTGTATATCCGGGCATGGTTTTTGGAGCCAGGAATTGGCCCAGCTATGTCTTGGGACCTCAAGGCGAGAGGTCTAAGCGCAAAGATCGCTATTTTTGTGACCAAGACCCTTGGGCAGTTATTCGTGGCTCCTTTTTGCCAGCAGCGCTCAGCCCAGTGGGTGTCCGAAATGAGGCAGGGCGACATACCTGCCTAAGCTGCTTTTGTGATTTGCCCCGAATGGCGAAAGCTGTTGAGTTCTTTCTCGGGATGACCGGAAAAGAGGGGAAGGCAAATTAGACGAGAAATCGGGGTCTCTCCAATTAAAAGGTGCCCTTCAGTGGGCAGATTTGGCGACGTACGGACAGAGTTGGCGCAAGATTCAGGGCGACGAATCAAGTTGGAAATGGAGGTGGTCAGTTGGCCATCACCTCTACCGAGAAACGGGGGTTTCGGACCGGGTTTGAAGCGGCCACGCCTTAGCCACCCTACGGGGTTAATCTCCGTAGAACGTCAAGGCGGTGAAGTAGGGACTTAAAATATATAGCATCTTAATATAACATAACATAACATAATATAACATAATATAACATAACATAACATAAATTTACTAGAACCAATGAAATAAAGATAGGAATATTTGAATAGAATTCATTTAAGCGCAAAGGTATTAAAAAATTATGAGAGCTAATAATATGCATCTGGCTTTCTTTTCTTTAAACCTTGATCTCCCCTTTTCAATTGATGAATGTCTTTTACTAATTCGCCTACACTTGACTTTGATATATTAAACTTATATACTATATCTTCATATGAAAGACCTTCATTTTGATGATCCAGGTAGTATTGTGCAATAACTAGCTTATCACCAGTTGCTAGTCTTTTCTCTTTCTGGTTTCTCCATTCAACTCCATTTTATTAGATTTAGTGCTCTTTTGACTTAAAAATGCACTTTTTTCAGACCTTTTATAAAAAAATTTTAAATAGAAAAATATATATAAATATCAAACTTTTTAAGTTATGACCCATTTAATAGCGGACGATTTTTTTCGTCCGCTATTAATTGGGGGGGGAGTAAGGCAAAAATTTCTGAACTTATAAACCTAGGGCTAGGGTATAGGGCAAAATATATAGTAAATTCTGTTGAAAGAATTGTGGAAAAAGGAGGAAACGAGTGATTAAACTCGTTAAAGGAGATGGATTATGAGGAAGCGAAACTGGAAATTATGGAATTAGAAGGGATTGGGCCGAAGGTTGCGGATTGCATTTGCTTGTTTGGGTTAAACCATTTTTCAACTGTTCCGCTGGATGTACATATGTGGAGAATAGTTAGAGAGCATTATTTGGCTGGAAAAGCGTCGAAGTCGATGTCAGCTAAAGCGTATGCAGCAGCTACGAGTGCTTTTGTTAGTGTGTTTGGGAGCTATGCTGGGTGGGCTCATAGTATTTTATATGCTGCAAGCTTAAAAAAGGCACTTCCTTTGAAAAGAAAGCTAAATTTGAGAATAATAGTCATTTAATAAATTTTAATAATGAAAATAAATTACTATGAAAAATAATTATTTTTTTATTTTATAAAAAAGAGTAAGATAATTTGACATAAATATACCTTTAAGTGTGCTATAAACATAAATAGCAGAAATTTATATATGAAGCTGTTTTTCAAAATCTTAAATACTATAGTAGTATATTGATCTTTACTGAAGTAAATTTAATGATGGCAATTCAAGGTCATTTAAATTAGGGTATCGTAAATATGAAATGCTGATATATTTCATCAGACTTTACTGCCTGTGTAATCGATTTAAAATATCTTTACTAATGGGAGAAATAAAATTATTAGCGTGATGAAAGAAGGACTCCTGGGCGCGCCCTATGGAGCAGGTAGGGTCCATCCCGATGAATCTGAAAGCACTGTCTCTGTCATTTTTTAAGAAGACCTTTGGCTTGGGATGCCTTGCCAAAGAGAGGGATTCCCAGAACGAGCTGCAAAGGCTTTGCCTTCCTCTTTGTTTCGTCTTCCGCAAGGGATGGCTCTAAAATGGTGAGTTTAGCTTAGATTAGGTGGGTTACATAAGATATATGGTCTTGTCGCATTTAACTTAACTTACTAATGAAAACTAATAAATATCATATTTAATTAAAGCAAAACCATCATATATCTGTACTCATTAAAAGAATTTCTACTTATGGTATACAAAATGGTTATTTATAAAAAAAAATTAGATTTCCAATTCTTCTTCGTCAGGAAAATTGTCAGCAAACGCCATGCTTTCATCAGGCTTCTTAGGAATTACTGCTGGCTGAGAGTTTGTCGGTGCTCTTTTTGTAATGTTGTCTTTAAAGTTTTGAGTATTAGAATTTCTTGCCATAATACTTATATTCTCATTTTCAATAAATCCAAATAAGAGTAGCCGCCATTGTTTCTTTATTTTCTTATACAATTTTGGATAAAATCTACAAACATCATCTTAGCTTGGAATACCTGTATTCGGAATTTTAATTTGTACATATGGCTTGCTTGCAAAACTTCCAGTTCCGGCCCTTGAATTTTTTGGTGAAACTTTTGGCTTCATCCCAGTTCTTCCTTTATAGATAAAAGGATTTTCTTCTTGAGTTTCTCTTCCAAGTCTTGAAGAAATGGGACTTCTTTTCCTTTTATTCTGTTGGTTCTCTAGCTCGTTTTCCAGCTCTTCTTTATTCTTCTGATAAAGCTTGATCGTCTTCTCCAACATCGGGATCATCTCATTTTTTAAATAATCTCTCTCAGTTCTTACCTCTTGGAAATTTCTCAGCTGGTCTTCCAACTTCCTTGATTAATACACAAATTTTTCCTTGACTTTTAATTATTTTAAACTAGTTAAAAATTTATATAAATTTATTTCAAATATTATTCTGTTCTTCTAACTCTCCCCTCTATAAGGGAAAAACTAATGGAAAAATCCCTATTTTCGCCTAAAAGTGAGTAAATAAAAATTTTTTATGAAAAAATATTTGATATATAAGTGATAATTAGAATAATGAAATCCCTAGTTAATTCTATTTTATTTTAAACAGTTTGCATTTAAATCATAAATTATACAAATTAAATTAATTTTGTCTTTCCAATTTCGCGAATTGGGATTTTTTTAATTTTGAAAAAAAAAAAATTACTATAAAAATTATATAAAAAAATTAATGTCCCTCCGTGGACGAACAAATTTTTTGTTAGCTCAAAGAGTAGAGGAGTAAATAATATATTTGTTTTTATAGACTCGTAGCATCTAATAAAAATAAAATTAGAATGAGCAAACACAATTCCAATGGTGACAGTTATTATATTTTCATATTATAATAGGATAAAGGTAATCAATATGAATATTTTATTTAAGATCCCATATAATTTTTTTTCACAATATTAATATTATAAATAATTTCTCATTATTATTTGGAGGAAAGTAAATCTTTATTAGCGCTCTCCAATATATTTACTTTCTCAGTCACTTCTTTGCTTTTTTCCTCTCAGTCGCTCTTATCTTGCTTAGCCTTTGCTACTTCCAACTTAAGCCTTGCGCTTTCAATCCTCAAGATCTCATTTTGGCTTTGTTCTTCATCAAAGCCAAATCTAGCTTCAAAATCTTGTTTGTGGAGACTAAAAGATCCTCGTGTTGACTCTCTTTCAGTTTCGCTGCCTCTAGAAGAAAACTTCCTCAGCTTAGTCTTGAGTTTACTGATTTCTAGGTCTTTAGCGTCGTTTAAAGCTTTAAGCTCAGAAATTCGAACTTCCAAGCCGGAGAGCTGAGAGGCATAATAATGGTTCGTACGGAGCAGGCTTTCGCGGTCCCCTCGCATTTGGCGTAGCTCGACGAGTTCTTTTATTAGATCATGGTCGACGCCTTGGGAAAATCCGAATGAGGATTCGTCAAACGATAAATCACTTTCCATCTTACAGGTTATTTAACTTATTATGGCTTGCAATAAAATATTAATAAGTAGTTATGAAAAATGTAACTTTTATTAAGCAATAAGGAATTATTTATTAATAAAATTGATAGAGGATAAATCTGCATTTAAGACTAATTATTTTCAAGAAATAGTTATATTAATTATACTTGGTTGGTTTTGCAAATTAATTCCTCTAATATTTTATTAAAAAATTTTTCATTAAATCCAATCAATTTTGGAATACAAAATTATAATTGGGGGCTAAATTTTTCTTATAAAAATATATGCGGAAGGACAATTCTCAACCTAAACAAGAAGAACAGTCTGACCAAGAAGACCAAGAGCCCATAACCCAAAAACCTATTTATGAAGCATCTTCGGATACAAGTTCTGAAGAAGAAAATAATCAAGAACAGTCTGAAGATGGTGAAGAAATAGAAGAAATCGCTAATTTATTCAAAAAAAGAACCAGAAGAAGGCGCCACTTTGAAGATAACGAAGAAGATGAAAATTTAGTTGACTCAATCCTAAAAGAAATGGACAAAGCAGCAGACGATGATATAGACGCCAATAGAAATGATCTCCCAGCCTTAAACAAGCTTAAAATCCTTGATAAAGTCACCAAATTCCTCATTGTCAGCAAATATCATGATCTATTCTTAGAAATGAACGGGACTTTTATACTAGGAAAATGGCTCGCACAAATGCCAGATGGCTCATTTCCTTCAACGCCTTTAAAATTAGGCCTCCTCCAAGCTATCCAAGATCTTCCAATCTCCACAAAAAATCTGCAGGAAAGCGACTTAGGAAAAAGCGTTATGGCGATTTACCGAAATCCTAATGAAACGGTTAATGTTAAAAGAATCGCTAAACTCCTGATTGATAAATGAAGCCGAATTATTTATGAAATTGAAACTAATTATACGATTCTCAACCAAGCTGAAGAAAATGAAGACCCTGAAGTCCCCAGAACTGAGCACCCCAAGCCAAATTTGAACAAAATTTTATACAGTCAAGAAAATAACACACCATTTGCGAGAATTCCAGAAAAAAATTTATTTGATTTCAAGTATAGACCGACTAAATCGTCTGAGGATCATTCGTTGATGCCTGATAGGAATAGTGAGGCTATTAATAGATTAAAAAAGAAGCTGCAGATAAGAAAGAAAAGGGTCAAAAGAGCGACTGGAGAAATGAGCGTGGATGGAAGAAATCTTTATTAAATAAATTTTATTATGTAATTTTACATGATTCTATGGCGATTTTGTATTACAAATAATGCAAACTTTTATATTGTCATCATTTTTATATTTGCAGATTTGGCAGACCCATCCACTTAGCCCAGGCTTTTTGGAATAGCAAGATGCGCATATATCTCAGCCAATGTCGTTACCATTGCCACAATGACATATTCAAATTGCAATTTGCTCTTTTGGTTGGTTAGAAGTTTGAATATCTACTTGGGCAGCCAAAGGAATTTTAGCTTGGTTATCATTTCTTATTGATTTAGGTATAATAAATGGAATTGGTTTAATTCTTTGGCCGCCCTCAGCTTTATTTTCCTCTAAAGTATTCTGAGCTTTTGGCAGCTTTTCTTTTAATTTTTTGATTTCTTCATCTTTAGTTTTATTTGCAGCTCTTGATTCATTTAATTGTTTTCGTAGGAGCAAAATTTCTTCTTTGCATGAGGCTAGCTCATTTTCTAATGACAAATTTTTTTCTTTTTCAACATTATACTGTTTATTGACCATTACGTATTTTTCTTCTTCTTTTTTCAAGCGGTCTTCTACGAATGCTTCTCTGCTTTTTATTGCTTCTAATAAATCTCGTTTAATTTGGCACTCCCGCTGAATTTCAGGCATTTTCTCTTTAAAACTGCTGATTATTGATTTTAAGCGATGATTCTCAATCAGGAATGTGTTTTTTAAAGTAGCCCCTGTTAAAGGGCTTGTTTTATTACGCTGGAATCAGGCTGTAATAGATGCTCTATCATAGCTTTGCCCATCTGGTGCAACAACAGGGTCTTCCATTAGATCTCCTGTTATAGGGCAGCAGTAGTCATCTGGAATATCAATAAAGCTTTCAACCATGATTAAAATTTATAAACATTTATAATTGTATATGAACAATCATTATAGACTTTTTTTTGAGGAATTAATAAATAAGCAGAATAAAGAAAAGGACTCATTGCTAATTTCATTATTGAGAGCTGTTTTATATCTAAAGTAATAGAAAGATAGCAATACATATAATTTAATTTAATCATCTAGAGAATTAGAAGCCATCTTACTTCCCCATGTAAAAGTAACAATATTGTTTGCTCGCTATTAATAAGATTAATTTGGAAGGTATTTATAGCCCCTGCTTCACTGCTCGCTCCGTTACGACGTGGTATGCTGCGGGGGACAGAATGCTACCGTCTTCAAGCCAGGGCCGGAGTCCCAGCTCTTGCTTTGATGTAAAAAATGGTTTAAAACCCCTTCCGTGATCGGACAAAATTTTTTGTTCTCTCAAGCAGGAGTAAGGCTAATTTATTATGAATTTTAAATATCCCTGAAATTAAAGTTCTCTTCTTGCACCTTCTTGACATTGATTGTGAAATAATTATTAATTAAATTAAGTCCCCCAATTCTCGAAAATAAAACCCATCTCCTCAATACCAAACTACCTAGTTTTGATAATAAGAAATATAAGTGATATTTCAGTATTTTCACTTCTAAACTATTATAACGCGATTTATAGCATGCTTAAACATATATTAAATACTTTATTTAATATACAGAAATGTTTTATAGTAAAAATTTTTACACTAATAAAATAAAAGAATTAATAGAGAAATATTCTGGATTTCGCTTTAATATCGCATTAAGCATGAATCAAATCGAATTCTGCTTTAAAATAAATAGATACATATATAAATCAATTCAAGCATTATTATTTATCATATAGATATGCATAATCTAGCATCAATTCGGCAAATTAATAAATTAGCAAATTTAATCTGTTTATGCAGCTTATTTTAAATTTACAGCATGATATATCTCATTTAAATTTAACTCAAAAATATAGGCAAAATTTGCTAGCCATTAAAAATTCTGTATATAATAGGGTTAGGCTAGGCTATTAAAGACAGGTGACGCAGTTTCCAAAGACCTCCCATTTGATACCTATAGGAAAAACCTGCTGAAACCTCCTTCTCTTACTTACTTAATTATTCAGCAGGCAGAGCCCACAGCAAACCCTTATGGGTTTTTTCACTAATAATCAGCGATTTATACCTAACTGCTTGGGGTTTTTTCCTTTTTTTCCAGGATTTTACACCACTTTTCGTGTTTTCCTCCTTGACGATTGATTCTGTCCCGTCACTTTTATGACTTTTGGCTTTTTGGTCCTTTTGGAATTTTTCGGCTTTTTGGGTTTTTCGGGCCTTTTGGGCTTTTTTGGTTTTCTTGGTCTGAATGGCGTTTTGGGCTTTTATATTTTCTTGGGTTTTGTTGACTCCTTGGTCCTTTTTGGTTTTCCGACGTCTGGTCTTTGGCTCCTTTGGCACTAGTGGTGCTCCAACCGATTCTGTTTCGTTCTCTCCATGCTAATAATTTCAAATGATGTCGCTTTAATGAATGTGTGGCCACGCATAACTCCCAGCTATCCATTACTTCTCCCTCTTGGCTTGCCGCCCAGTCCAACAGTTTTTCCTCAAATTCTTTCCTCACTCTCTCCGTTAATCCCTCTGCATCATCCTCCTCCATAAATTCTAAAAGTTCCTCATCTTCAATTTCATCAGTCTCAACATCTTCATCAATAAAATCATCTAGGATATCATCCAGGTACCCTTCATCCACTAATTCATCATAAATATCATCAGGAATAGACTCTACAAACACACATGCACGCTCTCACATTCCGTTTCCGGCAGCTTGCGGCAAATTTTCGCGCCACGTAAAAATCCATTTCCCTTAAAAAATAAAAAGTGAAACCTCCTTCTCAGTAGAGAATACACATCTGCTGAGCACTTGATTCTCTGCTCGGAGTCCGTACAGCTCACCGTAGCCATGAGGTCTGTGCTGCTTCAGGAGGACAGGTTGAAACGTGTCGCCATTTTAATGTATATCTGTATTTAATATATATAAAATCAAGTATTAAATATATATTTAAACATGCCATCAATCGCGCTGTAATATTATAGAACAAAAAATAGTGCAATCTCTTATATTTCTTATTATCAAGACTAGATAGTTTGGTATTTTAGGGGCGTTGCTCATTTATGCTTGACTCCCCCAAGTCTAATAAGACTTTAATTGATTGGTTCAGAATAATAAAAATTTAAAATAAATGATTAACCAGCGATTAGATGATTTCAGCAAGCTTAATGCTTTGACAAGCCAGATATGAATCAACAACCCTTATCGCCTGGAGCAACGTGCAAAATGTTTTCAAATTATTTCACACACAATGCAAATGTAATGCAGCTTGTGAAGCCGAGTCCAGAAAATCCCTCCAGATATGATTGTTTAGCAAACATAATAAACCTCATGAAAAGCATAGAAAATATAATTTCGAGATCTATGGGGTTGGATAAATCAGTGATCTCAATTATCAGCAGCACAAGCATTCTGGAGTCTAGCAAAAGGTCATCATTATGCATTAGAAAGAAATAGCTGAGAAGAATTGGGAGGAAAATTAAGGGGATATTACAAAGAATTTGAAAGCAATCAAATATTAAGCTCTATGTGGGCCGAATCGATACCAGAATACCATATAATTGTTCGAAGAATGTTTGGTAGGAAAAATGGAGTGAGTGAGGACCAACAATCAAGGAGAAGACCTTAGACCTCTCGAAAACTTATTTAATTGTTCGGAAATCAGCAAAAATGATGATGAAGCACCTCGAAGAAAGGAAACTTATATAAAGTAACCACAATCTGATTTAAAAGTAAGGAAAAATTGCAGCTTCCCTTAAGCTTCAATTCTTTTTGAAGATGGTGATTAATAGCTATTCGTTTGTAGACAAGAGCCTTTTTATTTATAGTGTGTTAAATCATTGAATATTACCTTTATGTATTGTACCTTATTTATCATAATATACCGCTATAACCCAGAATAATAACGACCAGAAAAAATATGGTCAAGAGGACATACCTCATCTAGTCTAAGCCTGATTAGGCTCTTAAAATGATACATGGAAATTTGTTATTTTAGTTTTTCAAAACAATTGATAAATTCAAATTTATTTTTAAAATAAAAATGGGATGGTTAATAGTGATCTAAATTTTTTCAGGGGCTATATTGCACGACCTTGGAATTGGGGAAAAACTTTAAATATGGTGATGCTGCATTATTTTTCGCAGATTGAAGAAGATCTTCAACGTCTAAAGCTCAAAGCATTAAGCACAAGAAATGAGACAAAAATCCTCAATGCGCTAAAATTTTCTCAAGTTGACGATGGGAAATTTATTGAGAATCATCTTGGGAAGCATCCAGTTATATTTTTACAATTCGATTATATTATATTTACTCTCCATATTGTCTTAGTAAGGCAGCTGTGCGCACTCTGGAAATTTGTACTGATATTATTGAATGGAATGCGAAAATTATGCATTAATTTTGGAGAAATTCAGCAAAATTATAACTTATCGAGTATAAATAAATTAATCCTAACCGGATCAATTTCAAGAGAAATAAATGCATATTGAAAATTTGAAGAGCAGGAAAAACGCGAAAGAGAAGGCTATCCTGCTTTGGACTTCTTCATTCTTCGACTTTTAGACCTTGGCTATCTTACAATAGAAGCAAATTGCATTAAGAAGAGAAATGATAAAATGCTATTAAATACAACATAAAACTTATCGGATTTAACTAAATTACAATAAGACGCTCATATGGATGCAAAATAAAAAACTTCCAAAAAAAATAAAAGTATGGTAACAGTAATGATTAAATAATTAAGAATTAGTTAAAATAAGCACATGAAGCATAATTATAAATATTTATGCATTCAAACATTAAGACCTTTCATCACTCAATTAACGTTTTCGAAAAATTAATGAACTGTTTAGCGAAGATTCTTTGTCATCAATTGAAAATAAAAAATGTCTAAATGGCTCAGGAAGGGTTGAGGATATTGATTCAGCAAGGAGAGCTATTTTTAACTTTTAATGAGAGTAAGGACATTGAAGAGATTTTATCAAGTTTTTATCCAATATTGCGGAGAGGAAATGATGAAAGAATTAATCAGGAGCATGAAGAACTTTCGCAACAAAAATAGTAACTTTAAGTTTATTCTGGATTATCAGATTTAATAAATTAAGAATTAATTATGATTAAATGCTACTCATTTCTTCCATCATCACTCCATCATCTACAAAATTGCTTATTCCTTGGGTTTTCCTTTTCTTTGAATAATATATTCCACATGCAATAGCAGCACCAAGGAAAATAAGTATCATTCCTCCTAAAGTCCATATGAATCAATGAAGTGAAGATTGTTGGCCAATTTTCCCTCTTCTAAGAACAAACACATCTGAAACTAATTTTTGGAATGAATTTTCTGCTTGAATTTGTATATAAAACTTATCAGTTCCCCATCATTGCCTCATTTTTTTATAATTTTCTTCACTTATAGCAGGTATTTCTATGGTTTTTTGGTTTATAGAATATTCTTTTAGTATACACATAATAGTGTCTGCGAAAGAAATCACATTATTTTTAATAAAAAATATATTTTTGATGTTCACAGTTGTAGAAAAAGGAAAAAAACTTGGAGGAGAGTCATGTAGATTTATTACTTCTATTAATGTAGATTGATATAAATCTATTTTAACGTCTGTAAAAATAATATACTTGCAGTCATCTTGGCATGATGTCAGCTTTGGGGAAAAAGTACTTGGCTTTAAAAAATTCAAACGGCAAAATAACGATCGAACCAGTTTTATGCTGGGTTTATCATTGATTGAATATTCGAGCAAAATCATTGAATTAGTCATAATAAATAATCTCATTTGGCAAATAGAAAGAGATAGAAATTTATTTGAATTTGAATGCGGTATGCTTTCAATGATTATTGCTGAGCTATTTTCTTGAATTTCGATAATTCTCAGACCATATGAAAAATCAATAATGTAGAGGTATATAATGCCAAATTTGGATAGTATTATATCAATTGACTGGATTAAAAACGAATTTACTCCAAGAGAAAAAAAATCAATATTTTCAATTTTTGTAACTCTCCCCTTGTGAGCGAGCACAAAATTTTTGTTAGATTAACTTTTGTTTTTTAAATAAACTAGATTAAATTATATTGTAAAATTTTGTTTATGGGAGACTCAAAAAATTAGATTTTTTCATAGATTAAAAATTTCTTGTCTGCTCAAAGAGGAGAGGATAAGAAAAACTCCATTTTCGTTTAATAAGCCCTTGTATCTGAGGATGCAGCTATTTGCATAGCTTTTAAAGCCATTAGTTTTTTCATATAAAAATATTTCAAAGCGCTGATTGTTAAGCTTAACTATATTTAAATTTTCAACAAACGATGGGATCCAAATATTACTTTCTGATCATAATGAAGATTTCTTTACCCCACCTGGGCAAAATATAATTAAACTTCTTTTTTAAATAAATTAATACCTTTAAATTAGAACAAATTTTAGAAAAGTTTAGAAGCGAAAATACATTTTTTATTTTCAAAAAGGCAAAATAAAATTGGATTTTTGCTCAAATTTAAATGGAGTATGTAATAAAATCATATTTAATGACAAGCAAAATATTTTTTTCTGCTCCCAGTAATGCTTTTTCTTGTCAAAATTCTTCTGTAACTGCAAAATATTTACAGGCTGCAAATATTATAATAATATTTTCATTAAAATCAATTGCATTAAAATTATCACATAAAATAAAATCAGCAAAAATAAAATCCTTAAACATTAGAACCGAATCTATAATAGGAATGTTGGTAGAACGATCTATAATAATAAACTCATTTATTCCATTAATCACTGATTTTTTTGCATTTTTAACAAAAATCTCATAAGTCCTTTCATAACAAGATTTGATTTTTACTGATGAAATTTCTTTAAAGTTATTTTCCATATGCACAGGAGAAAATTCAGGATTAACGCTTTCTGAATTGATTTCGTTTATTAGAATTGAAACTTTGATGCCATTTCCATGTAAAATCTTACTGAGATCAACAATCTTGTGTTGGTAGTATGGAGCTTCAATTATTTTTTGTAAATTATTATTTTCAATCCAAATGGTGTTATGATTTGTGTGAAAATTAAACAAAATGTCAACTATTGACTTAAAATTAGTGTTTTCAGCTAAAATCGAGATCTTTCCTTCTTCTATTTTATTTTCTGAGTAAACAGTTTGGTTTAGCATTATATTTATTCCAATAGGAAGTGAGCATTTATTTTCAATTGGATATACCTGCTGATTACATCTTAATTTATAAATTCTTAAAATACTTTTATCATCAATCTGGCATATTATTGGAATTTCCATAAAACTCTCTAGCTCTCTTTTAGAGTCAGCTAATTGGCACGATTCACCAAGATTAATCGTATACACCAATGCTTCAAATGCAAATTTTGTTCAATCATATACAGCAATAATATTATCCACTTGTAGGAGGAGAATATTTTTCATGCTGATAAATAATTTAATAGTTCCTTTTAAATGGGGGACACAAAATGAAATAGCGACACCACTGACCGCCATCTCCCGAACTTGTCAAGAGTTTGTGTACCAGACTAAGCAGGAAAAGGAGTCTACGGGCACTAGGCATTTATTTTCTCGTTGTCCCTCGACCATGCTATCTTTTCAATAAACATTGGGAATAAAGACCTTTGCCCCTATGTCATTAGAGCCGAAGTCGAAAGCATTAATGGATTAATATTAGCTCGAGAGTTTATGCCTAGTTGAAGTTCCAATCATTTAAGTAGGAGCTGTAAAATCCCTAAATTGTGCACTCCAAGGTTCCACCGAAAGCAGAGAAGAGTTATCTCTGAGGAATGCTTACTCACCTTGGGAGTTTCGCCTGCAGCTCTTCAAAGATTTGTCTAGGTGCAATGCTAATCAAGGAGGCCCTAAACTTTGATCCTAATCTCTTTCAAATGAGGTCCCAAAGTTTTGAGATAATTGAGATTTATATCATATATGGCAATTGTACAGTCAGAAAATAATAAAGCAACAGCTGATTCCATTGATATAGACATTTTTTTTATATCTTTGTGAAAAATGTTAATGGTTTTAAGGATGAAAGAATAGTCACCATTGTAAACTGCTGGAAAATCAATCATAATTATACCGCTATTGTAAATTACGCATAATGATAAAATGATGACATAAGGATCCCCCCTCATTTGTCGAATTTTCTAGTCTTTTTTTTTATAAGAAATTTTTTTTCAGGACCTCATTTGTCCCAAAATCTAGTCAAAAATGATTTGTCCAATTTTCTAGTCTTTTTTTGATTTTTTCGAATGCCCTAAATTCTAGTTTTTTACTTTAAAAAAACTAGAAAATGAGACAATTGAGGTCCTGAAAAATATTTTTTCTCTATCAAAATTTCGACTAGAAAATTGGATAAATGCGGTTCAAAAAAAATTTTTTTTTTCCTATAAAAAAAACTAGAAAAATGGACAAATGATAAAAGACTAGAAAATTGGACAAATGAGGGGGGGGGATCCTTATGAGCTTCGTTAGAAAAAATTCTTCGGCTTCTCAGAGAATCCTAATTTAGATATATCAGGTAAGTATAGTGAAATACACTAAGTAGCACGGGGCTTTTTTGGCTCAAGTTCTAGCCAAAAAGCCCCGTGCTACTTAGTGTATTTCACTATAACTGGGAGGGATGCACAATCTCCTAGCCTTACCCTATGGGCACTTGAGAAGCTTGGCTTTAATCCACACAGCACATCAGATAATAGTGGCTTTTAGGTAGAGCACGCGTAGGAGTTGAGTAATGCATGGCGCAATGTATCGAGTAAAAAATGGAATTTTAATAGTGATGAACCTAAAGGAAGATTATCTAGGGGGGTGCTGAATAAGCCACAATAGGGCAAATGGTTCGGTTTCATAATTAGTTTGGGTATATGACTTTACAGGGTGTAGTCTTATAATATATTACTAAATAAGTAAATTACATAAAAAACAATGTGATATTTATATAAAGATGAATGATCTAAAGTTTCTAGACCTTGGATATAAAGATCATTATCAATACCCAGCATTTCTTTATCTATTCTAAATAGTTTTTCCATTGAATTTGCTATATAAACATCTATCGCAAACTGGTTTGCACAAAAAATTGTCGTCCCCTGTTTGTCGTATCCAATAAATAAGCAGTCAATATCAGTCTGAACATCTGTGCAAATATATTCCTTAAGCCATAACAATCAATGGCATCTTGACAATAAAAAGATTTGGTACTCATTGTCATAAGATACAACAAATCAGTTTAGTGTGGAGCCTAAATATCAAAACCTAATAATGTTTGAATTATTTGATAATGTATAAATATTTTCTAAAGGATCTACTTCTTGAGCAATGACTTTATCGTCAAAACCATAAATAATGATTGCTTCGTAAACTTTAATAAATACACTTTGAGGACGGCTATAGCTCAATTTTGACTCTTCATTCTCCTTAATGATATAAAACAAAAAGAAATGAAAAGTTCATCATTATAGATTTGGCACGCCAAAATGATTTTGGCAGCTTCATCTAGCCTGAATCTGACAGAGAGGAAGGAGATCAGGCTAGAGCTGAGCTTGCGCTACAATGGGTTTGGTAACAAAATAATTTCTTTTAAAATATTATCATGATCAGGAAAAGATCAACTGACAGTAATATCAGATGGAAGCTCAGCATTTATAAGACAGCAAGTAAGATTTGGCCCAGAATATAAAGAATCTGCATTAATTTTTATTTCTAAATTAGGTCCATATAAATATGCATCAATAGAAGCTGAATTCTTCTTATAAATATCTAAAGAGTTTGAAAGCACTGAAACAACATTAAAACTCTTTTTAACACTTTTTTTATTTGATTGGTTTGATTTTCCTGTAATTTCTGCATAAAAAGAGCTGTTTCCTGTTATTTCAATAGCTCAATCCTTCAAATTGACTAAAAAGGCTCTAATCCCATCATAATCATGCCTAATATAAAACATTTTTTCATTGAAAAACACAGCCATTCACATTCCATTTTTATTAAATCCTTTATCTACAACCTTTTTTACATCGAAATTTGCAATATTATACTGCGGTGAATTTTCCCAGAATTCATTAAATTCATAAGCCATCAAATATAAAGTGTTATTTGCTTCCACTTGCATAAATAAAAAATTTGCACGAAACTGTATGGAATGAATTGACAATAATGCATTAAATGCATTATATGTATTGACTCAATAAAATTCAATTGGTGAGCTTCTTTGTGCAGTAAAAATTACTCCGCTATATGTGCTGATACCAATAGGCTGAAAAAAATTATTTCTTATTGCTTTAATCATATTGCTTGCAGGGCCATATTTTCTTAAGTCAATAAAATCGAAATATTGCCATTTAGACTTTATAACTTGAGATTTATAAATTAATTAAAAATTAAAATAAATTCTCCTCGTCAATAGGTGGGGTTCTATAGCTCATTAAGACACTGTCTGGTGTGAAAAGCGATTGAGTGACTTATACCCTTGCAAATAAGCCCAGGCCAAAACTCTAATTTTTTTGTAGTGCTTATTAAGTCGATTAGCGTTGCAGGCACCACCATTTTCTACTTCACCCTGCCAATCCTCTTGGTCAGATTACCCTGCTTAGGTCTTTCTGGGGATCTCTTTTATTCTTTTAATCACATTTCCACTATTCAAAGGTTTAATCCAGTAAGCCCCCTTCTCCTTCCCCTTGGCTTATCCGCTGCAAAGAGAAGACGATAAGACGCTGTTCAGTGGATTAGTTCACAAAGCAGCTGCTCAATGCTTAGTCCTTCTCTTAAAGTTTAAGCATCTCACAACTCTAAACAGTTTTTATGATATACGATTTAGAAATGATTAATCCCAGATTTGAATCTAATAAAAACAATTTGCTGAAATCGCTTCAAGCTTGAACTATATTCATTTCACAATTTTCAAATTCTTTTAGGCCTATATAAGAGTGAAGCGAATATAATAACTTGCCCGAACTTATATGGGCAAAATCATATAAAAATACAGCTTGCTTTCGATTTTTAAATCTCCCAAAGAAGACCACCGCATTTAAGCTTTGCTCTTCCACATCAGAAATTTTTAAATCTGTTGTGTATTTAATATCTCAAAGGTATAATTTTCTTGGATGATCAGGCTTCATGGGTTCTTGGAATTTTATAAGATAAATTTCATTTTCTCATATTCCAAATATAGGATTTTTAAGGGATTTAGCAACTAAAATTATACATTTTAGATGTAGATAGTGGTATATAGCAGCTTGAGTGATTGTATTGCTTTTAATTTGAAAACTTCAGAGCTCTTCTATTTTTAATGTATTTTTCGCAAATAAATAAGCTGAAATGTGATTGATATCATATTTCAAAAAGAAAATGCCTTCAGGAAATTCAATAGAAGGGAATGTTTTATTAAAAATTGTATAATTTGTGCTTAAAGGTTTGGTGGGTAAATGCGAAATTAGATTCAGTGAAGAATCATGCTTTAACTTTATATCATTTCCAGTCATGTTTGTATTTGAGATATAGAAGTCTATTTCATTATGTGAGAAATAATCATGAAGTCTTAAATTTATTGATTCATTTGGAGTCAAATAGAAGGTTTCAAAGTCTTTTAAAATTTCTTCTGATAAAACAGCCCCGATAATTACAATAAGCAGCATGGCTGTAATAAATTATATAATAGAAAATATGCTAAAATTATTAATTGGCTAGATAAATAATATTATTTTGAATAACATATATAAAATATATTAAATGACAAAGTTTTTATTTAAGAGGGAATTTTATTAAATAGCTGGTGTTAGGGTGTTAGGGTGTTAGGGTGTTAGGGTGTTAGGGTGTTAGGGTGTTAGGGTGTTAGGGTAGGGTGTTAGGGTGTTAGGGTGTTAGGGTGTTAGGGTGTTAGGGTGTTAGGGTGTTAGGGTGTTAGGGTGTTAGGGTGTTAGGGTGTTAGGGTGTTAGGGTGTTAGGGTGTTAGGGTGTTAGGGTGTTAGGGTGTTAGGGTGTTAGGGTGTTAGGGTGTTAGGGTGTTAGGGTGTTAGGGTGTTAGGGTGTTAGGGTGTTAGGGTGTTAGGGTGTTAGGGTGTTAGGGTGTTAGGGTGTTAGGGTGTTAGGGTGTTAGGGTGTTAGGGTGTTAGGTGTTAGGGTGTTAGGGTGTTAGGGTGTTAGGGTGTTAGGGTGTTAGGGTGTTAGGGTGTTAGGGTGTTAGGGTGTTAGGGTGTTAGGGTGTTAGGGTGTTAGGGTGTTAGGGTGTTAGGGTGTTAGGGTGTTAGGGTGTTAGGGTGTTAGGGTGTTAGGGTGTTAGGGTGTTAGGGTGTTAGGGTGTTAGGGTGTTAGGGTGTTAGGGTGTTAGGGTGTTAGGGTGTTAGGGTGTTAGGGTGTTAGGGTGTTAGGGTGTTAGGGTGTTAGGGTGTTAGGGTGTTAGGGTGTTAGGGTGTTAGGGTGTTAGGGTGTTAGGGTGTTAGGGTGTTAGGGTGTTAGGGTGTTAGGGTGTTAGGGTGTTAGGGTGTTAGGGTGTTAGGGTGTTAGGGTGTTAGGGTGTTAGGGTGTTAGGGTGTTAGGGTGTTAGGGTGTTAGGGTGTTAGGGTGTT